TCACGGAAATTCGTCTCAGCGGCGGTTGACCCGTGGGGCAATGGCGTTTGTCCATAGCATTCGACGTCCGTCAACCTGTACTTTGGATTCATGATCGACGCCCAGCGCATCTGTCGCGCCGAATTGTCGGGTTTTGACAGTTGCATGGAAAGTATGGGCTTGGGGCAGCGCGAAGCTCCACCCCCCACCGGCTGGTCTCAGCAGCCAGCAACCAATGGGGAAAAGCGATCCGGTCATACCGGACGTACTTTTTATTTGGGGTATTTGGGACTTAACTTTGGTCCTCTTAGCACGGTACTCTTTTTTTTTGACTTGGGCCAAATTGCCTAGGGGGCCGGGCCAAGCATTGACTTTGGGTTGATGTGTTTTGACCCCCCGCGGGTGGTTTATTTGTGATCTATCGACTTGCTCGGCGGTGTAGAGGAGCAAAACCATGCTCACATTCCCGATGATCCGGTCGTCAGGGAACAGGAAGGGGATGTATGCGAATCGCAAATCGAACAGTCCCGCACTACGTACATACCCCGGAGGTCGCGCGACAGAACCAGGAACCATTCTGACGTCTCCTCGGTCATAATTGCAAATGGGCAATAATGGGACGGATTAATACATGTCGATCACTCGGGTTCGTCTTCAGGCAATCGATCGCGAAGGCTCGATTCGGGGCCATGCAGGTCCGCAAGCTATCGTGGCGGGCTAGCCTGCTTGGACGGCCTCAGGGCCAATGGCTTTCTGCGCTGCCGCCTTTTGCGATGTGTTCTCTGGATATACGTAACTTCCCGCCGTTCCCGATCGATCGAGACCGAAGTTTAGCGCGAAATGCTAAGTATGGGCGGGTCGGCTTCAATGGACTGTACGGAATACATTAGTACGGAAGATACAGAGTACTCCGCGACGAGACCGATCCGGCTCCTTGTTGCGGGTGCGCCGAGCGCGGTTAGCTCCAAGTCCACGATATTGGGAGGGGCCTCTATTGGAATAAGATCGAGGTCGGGGACAGACTTTTTCTTCGTCACTTGCCACCTGAGTTCTGATGCTGACTTCCCGGTTCTCCCAGCGGCAGCTAGGGTAGTGGTGACGATGTCGGACTAACCAGGAGAAGGGGGAGGCGCGGCCGGTACATAGTACGCGTAAGTGGACCTGGGCTACCTCCGAAGTAGCTCCTGGCTGGCATGTTGACAGGTCCTTATGGTGTATCTTTCTTGTTGTTGCGCACCTAGAGGCTATGTTTCGAATTATCACAAGGCTCATACACCACGGAGTCTCAGAGGGAATGCTGCTTCTGAAATCTGAAAGTGACCAGGAATATACTGTAGGTTGCATGAGCTGACAGACCGTACTTCGGGCGACGGAGTCGAACAAAAGTACCGAGGGTCCGATAGTACGCTATCAGGAGATTGGGTTTCTGGGGCGCGTCAATTTGTGCTGATGTGTGATTATGTTTCATGTGTATCCTCGCTTCGGTGGATGCATTTGTTATTCCTTAGTTTGGCACTCTCCATGGCCGGTCAAGATTGCGCCTCTGTCCCTGTTCCTGTGCTTGATTTTTAGTGTGTCTCACGTACCACTGGAATGTTCGGTCTGGTCCGGGAAGCACCAGCGACATCCGCGCTCCAATGAAAGCGGGCAGATCGCGGTGACTTCATAGCCTGTGGGCGGCGCCCCAGCCGGGGGTCCTCCAGAGCCGCCAGGGAAACGTCGGAAGCCCCAGAGGGCCCACGGTACGACCCAATGTCAATCCCCGTGGAGCAAGACACCCAGCTCCACTGAATTTAGTTAATTCGTACTCCCAGAGAACGGTATTGACCGCAACGTACTCCATCGTACTCCATCGTACTCCATCGTACTCCATCACACTCCATTTTCCCCGTCGTTTCACCCGGTTCATCCTGGCGTTCCCCTCGACCAACAGGAAGGTTCCCCGGCACCCCCGCCAGTGGCGACGCAGCCCCATCGGAATGCAGGATCCGGTGCCGCGGTGACGGGTAAGAAACCACTCCGAGTCGTTGATAGCGCTCGATGAATGGCTGATGGCGGTGCTGAAGGACTCCTTGGGCGGATGACTGGCTGAGATGTGTTGGGCCCTTGCAACGATTTTCCACACTATTGACTCCCCCTGCGGTCATGTGAGCATCTCTCCTTTTTTTTTTTCTTGGTCAGGTTACGAACTGCCCTTTGAGGACTGGAGGAAAATTCTCCACCCTTGCACCATCGTCGACCCTGTTCGCCACCGTCAGCTGTGCTTAGGGCGCCTCTCTTTATTTTGAGGACCGTTGTTGGATCGAGCCCGACCCGGATGCCTCTAGCCTCTGCCTCTAGCCTCTCTCACTAGCCTCGTCTCGTTGTTCTCCACCCTGAGGATCCAGTGGTCCCCGGTTCCTTGCGAGCCGTCTCTTCCAGAAGACTGGCCAAAAAACCTGCTTGCGTGGGTCCATGGACTTTGGGCCGGAGTTGATACGTACTTTGTACGGCGCCAGTACTTTGTAACTTTGCCGCCCCGCCTAACTGCGCGGTGAGGGGCGATGGACGGATTGACGATGTTCACAGTCCTCGGGGCTCTCGTGAACAAGCTGGCGCTGTGATCTGCTTGGGGAGAAGTGATGGATAACATTCTTCCCCTGCAGCAGCCCAGCACTTGTATTACACCTTGTCCGCTGCTGCTCGCCCTCGCCCCAGAGGGACTCCACCCTCGTGAGCAAACATGGTATCTTGCTCCGCAGAGTCGGCATAGGCATCAAAAGTGACTGGTTGAATGAGTCGCTCCGCGGAGGGAACTTCTTTGAGGCTGACGCGCCGTCAGATGGGGCCGGCCATATCTTTAGGGTTAGACATATCAGTTCCGACGAATAGCCGCAAAATGTATGGATGCGCAGTGGATCATTCGGAATTGTAACGCCAGCTAAGTATGCATCAATATATCTCTAGCTCGGCTGCGCGTCATTTACGAATGCCCAAAGCACAGATTGTCTAACAGCATGGGATGAATTCTAGAAAAAAAACTGTGAAGTTTTGTTTACCACTGACTCACGTGTATCAGGGAGCCCGGTCATAGTGACAGCTGGGTATGGATCTTGGGCAATCTCACAAAAGTACTGCACAGTGCTTTCTTAGTGCTCGGCTGTCCTTGTGCCAGCTCGGGCGAAGGCTGCTCCTGTATACCGGAGGAATTGGTTTGTAGAGGAAGAGATCTGCCGTAAAGCCCTGAAACATGGCAATGTTGATAGTAGAGATTGTCCTGCTGAAAATGTTGCGCGCCACAAGTGTGACAGACGATCCACCAAATCCTCCAACTGTGACGATCCCCCCATAGCTGAATCAAGATAGTGGGCCAATCACTGTTCTGGCCACAGTGATCGATGCTATGCAGCGATTGCACCATTAATTTGTCCATGCTGTCAATGTATTCCAAATTCGCACTGGACTGGATAAACTCCGTGATATATCGCGTATGTGATCGTAGTGTGAAGGGCTGGTGTCAGTACCACGCTAAACCCGATACTACTGAGAGCGACTATGTATGCACGTCTCGACAGCGGCGCGTCTCATCTATAACTGTAGATCTCGCTGCACCTGCATGTTGTTAATCACATCTATCTCTGCGAGATCTGAGATCCGAGATCTCAAATTCAAATGGCCAATAATGAGATCCCCTGGCCTTCCATGAACAGCCTGCCCCATCGAGCGACGGGGAGGTCACTAGCAGGTCTACGGCTAGATACATCGAGATCGAGTGATGCAGAGATTCTGGCCATCCAGAGACCCGTCTATGACCCTCACATATCGATTACCATCCCAAGCCCACCAGCGTGCCTCTCGATCACTGGAAGCTGACACAAACAAGGTCCACCCCCCGGTCATGCTAGACTACCCCACCAGACGCGCGACCCCTCGACACGTAGACTATCTGGAATCCGACTGATAACGGGGACTTCACAGTGGTCTGGCCCATATGATACGCATAAACAAGATCGGCTGAACCAGTTCAGCCACTCCATTGGCCACAGCTCTTGAATGCCTATGAGGGGCAGCCAGCCTGCTTGCCAAAGGAGGGGCCAAAAGTACCGTTCCAATCGGGTGTCGACGGAGGGCAATCTAGATTCCCTGCATTTTCAAGCTGAACTTTCATCTGCATTTTGCCGGTCACGAAACCCTGCTGGCAAAGCTCGATGTCGGGGCACTCCGTTCTGTGAAGCCCTTAAGGCTGGAGCCCCAACATGGAAAAAAAGATTGTAATGTGCAATGAGTGCCTTCCCCCCTCCTCCAACGTCAGGACAAGGCTGGCCTAGCTTGCTGCGTATTCGCTAATGACTCCATCGTCATAAAAGTTGAGCTCATGAGGTGCACTTGAAGGGGGGTGGACGAGATCCTCAAAAGATTAATCAAAGATCGAGTTTCCTCTTTGGTTGACCGACGACTACGCTGGGTTGATTCGACATGCACGGCAGCACTTTGCAGCTACGACAATTGACGGTCATCGTAGGACTTGTAGAGCCGATCCTGAACTATACTTCAGATTATTTGGGGCAGCAGTGGAACGAGAGAGGCGGCGAGCGCAATCGAAGACGTTCGTTACTCTGCGTTGGCCCGAACAGTATGCCAGCATGTGTTCGGATGGGACGCGGTGTGCTGAATTTGCCGAGAATGCAAATTACGGGGTGCTCAAGAGATCATGCCATACACATGGCACATTTAAGGTCCCGACTGAGTCAAATGCCATATAGCTGAGGCTCATGTGAAGGAAAGTAGATGGGACCGGGAATTGATAGCTCGCTTATCGACACGTGATGATAGCCATTGCGCGCTCGAGAAATCTACGACTAATGATTTTGTGGTGTACCGCGCCTCGTTCATCATTACCTCTTAAATCATCTTTTTGAAGCCTACGAAGACTCATTTTCGCTGTTAAAGAACCGCATTGTTCTGATATTGGGCTGACCGATCTGTTGAAAAGCTTATGCAGCGCAGAATGAGGTTGGAATAGTCATTGACCGCGCAGCATCATGGCACCCTCTCGAGCTTGTCTACACCTCCCCATACGGCCGCTTCTCCCTACCCGAACGAGGCTCTGCTCAACAAGACGTCCTCGAGTCTTTTGTCCTCTGATCATCGGCCAGAGATGGCAAGGCACATCACCGACCGGCGTGCGATTCGATGACGATATCACTTCCCATGACAAGCCTTCGGATCTGTCGCATTTGAACCCAGCCCCAGAAGATTACTCGCGATTTATCTTCCAGGACAAATGCCACGTCACTGTACACGCGGGCGCTGGCGGCCACGGATGCGTCTCGTACCTACGCGAGAAGTATGTTGAAGAGGGACCCCCGAACGGCGGCGATGGCGGCAGTGGAGGCGGTATCTACATCCAAGCTGTCGAGGGCTTGACCAGTCTACACAAACTTGCGCGAAGGGGTATCATCAAGGCCAGTCGAGGACGAAACGGACAGGGTAAAAGCAAAGGAGGGAAGCGAGGTGACGATGTGCTCCTCCAGGTTCCCGTCGGCACCGTGGTGCGCGAAGTCGAGCGACACGACCCCGTTGCAGAGGAGATCGCCCGGAGGCGAAAGCCAAAGGAGGCACCCGCAGATGAGGATGAGATTGAATTCACGCCGATTCGACACGACCGCTGGGTGCTTCATCCTGGCGCCAACCCGTCTGATTTCCTGACGGTGGCATTTCCTCGACTCAAGCCGCGGAGGCAGGGGATTGCGGCCATGGAGCCCAAAGCGCCCATTTATCTTGATCTCTCCAAGCCCATGGATAAGCCCATGCTTCTCGCTGCGGGTGGCGCTGGCGGCTTGGGCAACCCGCATTTCGTGACACGCTCCATGGGCCGACCGAAGTTCGCGTCTCGGGGGGAAGGGGGAATGAGACTGGAGCTTGACTTTGAACTCAAGCTACTCGCAGATGTTGGTCTAGTTGGCAAACCAAACGCCGGAAAGAGCACGCTTCTGCGCTCCTTGACCAACAGTCGCACTCGCATCGGAAACTGGGAGTTCACTACCCTGTCTCCCCACATCGGCACAGTAATTGTGGATGACAACAAGGGCCGGCCGCTCATTGAGTCGAAGGGCAAGACGCGACGAACCCACTTCACTATTGCTGACATTCCGGGTTTGGTGGAAGACGCACATCTGGACCGGGGCCTTGGGCTGGGATTCCTGCGACACATTGATCGGGCGGGCATCCTGGCTTTTGTGCTTGACCTCAGCGCTGGAGATCCTGTCCAGGAGGTACAGAAGCTGTGGCATGAGCTCGGAGAGTACGAGCGGGTTCGCAACACCGACCCCGAACCCGTTATCAGAGAGACTCAAGGCGTGATTGACTGGGACCCGTCTGGAGCAGGACTTCCAGAGCTCGATCGGCCCCAAAAGCGTCAGATCGAGTTGGAATCCCCCGATGACCGGGAAACGGGACATACCCTCGACTATAGATCCTCTGGGTCCTTGCCACCTCTCACCATGCCACCCATTCACACGAAGCCGTGGTTTGTCGTCGCCACCAAGGCCGATCTCGAGAACACTCAAGACCAGTACCGAGCTTTGCAAGAGTATCTCTCTGCCGTGGAGAATGGCTCTGTCGAGCACCCATCTGGTCATGTCGACGGGTGGAGAGAGAAGGTGACTGCTGTTCCAGTCAGCGCTATCAGAGGCGAAGGAGTTTCTCGCATCCCCAAGCTGGTGATGCAATATTTGGAGTAAAAGAGACCCCCATTTGTGACTTACGAGTGGACTCTGTATATTAGAAATATCCCCATTAACATACAATGTACAATATAATGCATCAAAATCAGTAAACTGGTGTCCATCGTCCAGGCCGTAGGTGGGGTGAGCCACACCTTCCGAGCCTGTCGGGCATGACTTTTGCACCTAACAAGGCCATCGCCAAAACAAGCACAAGATGGAGACAGCTAACTTCCTCTTTCCCTTGAGGTAAACAACATTCCTGAATATCTGCTTTGTCCATCTCTCCCAACGTTCTCGGATCGACCCGCGCGTTCCGGCGCAACCATGAGCCTCTCCTCCAGCCTCAGCGACGCGCTGTCCGCCATCGCCGCACCCACCTCCGACGACCCGATCCTCCAATGCAGCGACGACCTCCAAACCCTCCTTTTTGACGAGACCGAAAAAGCTCTCGAGCTCGCCGACAGGAAACTGCGCGTATTCCCATTTAAAGACGTGCACAACAGCTGGCGACGGTTGTACACCGACGCGTCTGTCGTGAAAGCATGTCTCGTCATCATCCGCAACTACGACCTGAACCCCCAGGCCCCGCAAGCTGCAGGAAACAAACTTGACGTGCCAAAGCTTATTCAAGAAGTCAAGAAGGCAAAGACGGACATTCAAATTATCTCGCATTCCTCATGGATCTCAGATGTCATTCACGTCCTGGACAAGGCCTTGCTTATGACCGGGGGGTTGCTCCGAGAGAAGCTCATTGAGACCTTGCTATCCACGCTGCAGGCGGCCACCTATGACACCGAAGACCCAGACAACTCTGATGATGAGACCGCTAAACCCCCTACTAAGCGCCGAAAGATCTCGCAGCCTCTTTTCCCTCCCGAATCCGTCCCCGGGCCCCGCCTGAAGCACCCTGTCGAGCGCGTGTCGGCGCCGTCCTTCGATGCCATGCAGAACCACATTTCAGATATCCGTACGCCGCTCGTGATCACAGATGCAGTGGATCACTGGCCGGCCATGTCGACGCGACCCTGGAATTCCCGTGACTACTGGTTTGATCGCACGTTCAACGGCCGCAGGCTCGTTCCCGTGGAGGTCGGCAGATCCTACACAGACGAGGGATGGGGCCAAAAACTCATGGAGTTTAAAGACTTCATCAACGGGTACATATGGCGAGGAAAATTGGACTTGGGTCTTCCGCGGCGGCAAGGCGAGTTGGGTGCGACCGAGGAAGATGAGGACACGGGGTACATGGCGCAGCATGACCTCCTCTCTCAGATTCCTGCTCTGCGCAACGATATTGGCATCCCCGACTGCTGTTACATCGATCCTCCTGGCCCGGAACCCGGCACGCCTGTGTATCTGGCGAAGCAACGAGAGCGCGAAGCAGCTAGGGCACAGATGACGGAGGAAATAGCGGGCTTGAAATCGAAGCAGTCATCAACACCAACTGATCCGGACGACAATCATGCGTCAGAGTCGGCGTCCTTGATGGAGCTTCCCATCGACCCGATCGTCAATACCTGGATCGGCCCTTCGTGGACCATCTCCCCTCTCCACCACGACCAATACCACAACATACTCGTGCAGGTGGTGGGCACCAAGTACATCCGCCTCTACTCCCCCCACACGCCAGCTTCCCAGATCCACCCACGCGGACAGGAATGGGTGGCTTCGAAACATGAGTCTGACGAGGGGTCTCCGTCCGAGGACGAACCCGCGAAGAGACTCATCGACATGTCGAACACCTCCAAGGTCGACATCGCGGCCATTGAACTCTCCCCCGCGGAAGAGGATCAGTGGGATGCGATGTGGCCTGGTTTTATGCAGGCCGAGTATGTTGAGACTGTGCTGCACGAGGGCGAGTCTTTGTACATTCCGGTGGGATGGTGGCACTATGTTCGGGGGCTGCGGGCTGGTATTAGTGTTAGCTTCTGGTGGGGTTGAAGCTGGTTGATCTATTTGATCAGCAATGAGATATGCATTCACGTATTACGAGCGCTACACGGATATACGGGGACTCACTACACATCATACAGCAAGCAGGATTTGTAGATCTTGACTTTTGGATACACTACTGCGAACGCGTATTCGGTAGAGCCACGCAATATACCCAGTTTTTCTTCGTCTAACCCATCTACATCACCCATCCCTATGTATTATATTCTGGTCTTGGATACCAATATCGATAGCTTGGGTCTAATACCACCCTTCCACCAACTCACAAAGTGTCGCCTCTCCACCCACATTCCCCGGGAAGACGACAAAAGGCACGCCGCGATGACGAGACGTCGGCTCATCGCACAGCCAGAGCGGCACCCCGGGCGCGGCCTGGCCGACAATAGTCGCGCGCTTGACGTTCAATCCCTTGGTAGCAGCATCCGAGGACGTAATCCCACCCTGAAGACGTATGAGCAAATAGGTCTACACGAAATGCTCAAGGAGATACGTAACTACATACCTTCGCAATGATATACCTCGGCCGCACCTCGATCTGCTGCAAGACACTGACAAGAGCCTCCGCAACAACCGACCCAATCTTCAAGGACGAAAGCTCATCAGCGCCGGTAATCAGCTTCCGACTTGTCATGACCAAGGTATCTTGCCCAGCCTGGAGGTGCGCTTCCGTCGCCTCAACAACCCGCTGCACGGCTTGTGACGCTGTTTCAGGTGACGCGATGAGGTCTTCTACTTTCATTTCAATGATGGCTAGCTTGCCGGTTGCGCCGCGGCGGTCTGTGAGGACCTTGAGCTGAGCCGTAGTCTTCGGCACGTAGGACCCGGCGATAATAAGGCCGCCGGTCTGGCGAGGGGAGGGGAGCTTAAGTTCGGCCGCCGAGATAGGGGGCTTGGAACGGATTCCGAGTCTGGTCGACACAAAGGCCGCGCCGGTGCGGTAGAGGAAGTGTTTCCCCTTGCACTCAGCTGGTATTTATTAGTCTGTCAATTCTATACCGGAACCGGGTGGGATAGTGTCACATACCCAGCAACAATCCAGCGACAAAGACATGCATATCGGATTCGGCGGCCGCGTTCACAATCACCACACCACCAGCAGGCGTTGCAAGGAGCTTCTCACAAACAGCTTGTGGTCCCCCGCGCCGGATCTCACCAATGGTGACAGAATGCAACTGGTCGGTGGAGAAGCGGCCCGGTGCTTTCTCACACACATAGTCTCGCAGATTCGAGCTTTTATATCCAAATGTGGCGTCTTGCGCGAATTGTGTCGCTCCCGCAGGCACCAGATTACCCCTTTCCGCGACATAGTGGACATCGTCGATGGTAAAGCGTCCACCCTGGTAAAAAAAGGGAGCCAGGACTAAGCCATCGGCAGGACCAAAGACCGACTGCGCGACATCTGGCTCGAGTGGGAAATGACCTCGCAGGGTGCTATCACCGCGCAGAACAATATCGATCGTATTACCAGTGGACTTTGCTGCCTCCTTGACATTCTCGCATATTGTTCGGATCAAGTTCTGGGCATCTGGTGGGGGGAGGGCACGCGAGTTGGTGAGAATAAAGAAGCCGGGAGAATCAGTCTGGAATTCGGTGATGAGAGTGGGTATATCCCATACGGCGAGCACGGAAATATCATGGCAGGTTTGGGTACCAGTTGGGTCGTCGTCCAGCACAACGAGACGATTAATAGAAGACGTGGCGAGGAGCCTAGAGATCTGGTCTTGCGCGTCGGTGGGGTACTCTGCGGGGAGTTGGACGAGGGTGTTTTCCCGCGGGAGAGTTGGGTATTGGTGTGATTGCGACATGATGATGATTCGAGGGGGCCAGAGGGTATTTGCAGAATGAGCGAATGTCAATTGAATCAATTGAATCAATTGACGTCGTCTAGTTGTTTATACGGGGCCTGCACGCTCGGAAGATGGGGAAACCGCGAGATTGCGGGGGTGCGGGGAGCTCGGAAGGTTTAGCCACGAAAGTCGGAGGAAGGCCGAGGCAAAAGTAAATCCGTTGAGATGGCTACCGAATCATGGAAATACTAAATCACAGAAACTTCACAAAAGAATACACAAAGAACGCCCCGAACGCCATAGCCCAGGCAGCTCAGATGCAAGATGCAAGATGATCATGGACAGATGGACGTGAATAATGCTTGCGAGGGAGGAAAATGCACTGCACCGCTCATTCATCATATAGCCCTTTCACTGGAGTCCAGTTCCCCTCGCTATCCAAACCCAAGTTCCACCCCTCCCATGCCTCCGAAAACGCGTAAAAACAGTGCAAGATGTCAGGTCGTAGACTGCGTGAATGTGGTCGGGGAAGGAAAATTAGCCAACCACGCTGCGGAAACTCAGTGCCTCGAGGAAGCCTCCCAAGTCATCTTTTTGAACCTCAACGACGCAATGGTCGAAGCTGTCGATGCGGACTCGGGCGTTGGTCTCCTGGACCACCTCCTGGAAGGCAATGCCAAACCGATTGCGGAGTAGGTTTTTCTTCCCCCGGGGATCTTCATCTTCGGACTCGGATTCCGATGACGAGTCGGATTCCTCCGACTCCTCTTCTTCGTCATCATCGTCTTCTTGTACGGCACGCTCAGCTGCGCGCCGGGCCCGCCGCTCTTCTTTCTCTTTCTGTTTCTTCTCTCTTGCCTCTTTCTTGTGCCGGCGTTCTTCCTGGCGCTTTGACATGGCAGCAAAGTCAATCACGCCGCCGCCACCACCGGTACCCACTACCACGTAGAGATCTCGGTCCTCATCTAGCCCGGCAAGAACAAGAGGAGTGCCCGCTGCTCTCTTCCGTCCGATCTTGACCGAGTCACCCTTCTCGCGCTCTTGGACTTTGATGGCCTCGGCAATCCATAGAGCCAATTTGGTGAGAGCGCCAGGATTAGTGAAAAGCTTCACATCGGGTCCATCTTTGACGACTGCAATACGAAATGCTCGAAGATGACGAATCTGGTGCTTAGAGAGCAGGGATGTGCCAGTGCGGAGAATGGCACGGTGAAGATGCTGGGCCAAGGGCAGGGACTCCATGAGAAGAGTAGGCGACTCGGACGTCAGCGAGAGAGCATCATATGCACTCCAGAACCGAGGAAGAAGGCTAGCCAAGTCGGATTCGCCGGGACCACCGCTGCTTTCAGGATCATCGTTCGAACCCCGTGGCCGTGGAAGGCGTTTAACATCCCACGCCCCAGAGGCCTCGTGCGGCCCAACTTCTAGCATAGCACCGACAATGACACCCACATCGGTAGCAGACAGGCAAGCCTTCCAACCCCAGCAGCGCACAAAGCCCCAGCCCTCACGGGAGCTAGCATAGCCGCCAGATGGCTCCGGAGGCACCAGCCCATCCAAACCGTACATTGGCGCGTATTTGAGAAGGCGCCCGCGCAATACCCGCTTCAGCTCCATATCCATATGCGTGTAATTTTGGTGGCACTGGCTTAAACTGACGCCCATCTTTGCCAGAAGCTTGTGGAGGCGTTTGCGACCATTCTCAGTCCAGACGTGGAGCCTCGTTGCCAGATAAGGGCTGTGCAGCATGCTATCGTAGAGCGACCAGTGTCGGACAAGAAGGAAGCGAGGTTCAGGCGAGAGACGAATCGATGTATCTGTAGGAGACCTGGCTGTGGTTGGAATGACACCATTAATCTCCCCCCTGATATCTCGGTCCCGCTCGAAAGGGTCTGGTGGATTCAAACGGTGGACTTCATCTCGGAGGATCTGACGGATATGCTCTCCACGTTGCCCACCCCAGCCCGCGGATCCGCCTGATTCTGATGTATTTGAAATGCCAACACCGCTCATGGTTCGACCGCTGAGTTCCAAGCTCGAGGCACCGATAATCGCAAGCCAGAGGAGATCGTTGTCCTCACGGCCAAGTTCGGATGCGAGAGAGTAGAGTAACGACGAGATCGGCTCCGAGTAGGACGTTCCTGCGGAGTAGTATTTTTGCAAGACTGTCTCGTGTTTGCGCTTGAGTCGAAGAAGCCGTCGCTTTAGAGATCGTGCCGATGGCTGCTCCGGCTCCGCTGGTGAAGGTGAATCTGATGTAGGAGTCGGGGAACGGGACGAGTTTGACGAATTGATGGCGGTTCTTCGCCGGCTAGGAGACGAGACCAGCGACGAGCCCTATAACGCACGTTAGTAGTCAAACTGGCACCGGGAAGAAGGGTTGCATACCGAATTACTTCGTTTCCGTTGACGGGGAGGCCCGGCTTCATCTTCTGATTCGTCTTCATCCTCACGTCCTGACCACGATTTGCGTTTCTTAGAACCAGAGGCCATGTCCCCATCGTCGCCAATAACAGATCCGTCATCGCTCGCGTCATCGTCGTCCACCTCGGGCATTTCCAAGAGCGCGTAAAATGCGTCGCGTTCGTTGCTGAGTTCCTCCTGAATATCGCCATCATCAAATACGACGATGCCGCCGTTCTTCGACGTGTAAGCAGGCGTGATACACCCTTTTTCCACCCCGCGCCCGCGTCGTCGCGCGTTAACATCAATTTCCGCCATCGCCTGACCCAGTCCTGCCTGGCCACCAAAGACGTTGCCGAGGTTCCACGGCCGGCGCGCGTCGAAGACCCATATCTCGATACCTCCCATATCCTCCACCCCGTCCTCCGCGTTGTTCAAATTCAATATTTCACCTAGGTCGACCAATCCACCTACCCCGAGACACACCACCACACCCCCGCTACCGCCATTGATGGTCTGCATCGGCCGGACCAGTTCCTCCCCTGCGCGCGCCAGGTCGCCATATCCTGCGACAGGATGGATCTTGTGGGGGATATAGTCGCGTTTTAACAGTGCCGTAAGGATCCGACACGCGCAGAGCGCGTCCGGTTCGAGTGCCACGAGAATGAGAACCGGCGGGGAGAGCGGGTGGTGAGATCGGAGGAGTTGTAGGTATAGGTGCGAGATGAGCTGCCGTGGAAGATACATGGCCAGCTATGGAGGGCGGTTAGATATGCATGCGAGCATGGATATGAATAAGAATAGAGCTGAGGAGCCAGGCGAATTGCGGGGGAGGACAATTGGCGGCCGTGGTGTCTGCAGGACTCGTCTGGTCGAGTCGAGTCGAAGTCCGTCCGGTTTGGGGGAAAGCGGCCAAGCGCGACGCGTCGGGCACGTGCCCTGAGATTCCATTCCCCGTCGCCTCGACAAAGACGAGCATTTGCGATCGGTCTCCTTCTCAATCCTTACTTTTTTCATAGAAGTTTGTTTTCGTCTGCTTCTCATTCATTTTCTTTGTGGATCGTAATTAATTCTGGTATCCCTGAAGGAACCATTGATTCAATCCCCCCATCTCTGTTTATGAAAGTCGCGACTATACTAACTTGGCCAATGAGAGCCTTCTCATTCATAAGTTTTTGAAATTGGAGATTTAGGCTTCGATTTTGATGCCTTTATTTCGAAGCTGCCTGTCCCTTGCGAATACAAATGGGAAAGAGATGAGATCGCCCAAAACCCCCTAGTGGAGCTTCTCCCAGAGCAAATTGATTTTCTGCACCACTTCCGTCGGCAAGGGTCCTTTCGATATAGCGGTCAGGTTCTGCATAATCTGCGGTATCTTGCTGGCGCCCAAAATGACTCCGTCTCCCTCACGCAAGACTGAATGATGATACAGCCAGCGGAGACAAGCCTCAGAGCCAGCGATCTCGAGAGGCTCCAAAGTATCGAGAAGATCGTTCATCGCTGCATGCATTTCCGACATATCATACTTCGCATTCAAGCCGTTTGCAATCTTATTCCTTGGTGCATATCGAGTGTCCATGGGTAGTTGTCTGACCAGTCGACTAGCTTCTCGTAAATCCAGGCTAGCAGTCCTGTTGGGAGTCTCGGGGGAGAATGCAAGTGTAGCGGGCTAGAACGATCGTTACTAACCAACTTGAGGAACTATAGAGTGCCTGGAAAAGCTCCTTACCTTGGAGGATTGTATGTTGAAGTAGCCTCTTCCATTCTCATGCCACTCTGCAGCTCTCTTCAAAGCGGCCTTTTCTACTCGGTGTATTCTGGTTTGGGGTTTTCTGCGGTCCATAGTGGTTCCTGGGCCATTGTCAGGTTGAAGTGAGAGGCTTTGTAGTGTTGAGGGTACTTGTGCCCTATCAATCTGGCTACGTAGGATCCCCAGTCACCCTGCAATGTCAAATAAGCAGGGGTCTGTATTCACGTCGAATATTGAACATACTCCTTGCGTCACTGCGGTGGATTAGTAGAAACCTTCACAAGAGAAGAAGATAGCTACCATATTGATTGTAATTAAGCCCGAGCATGGTTCCGTGACAAGCTTCAGCCTGCTATTCAAGCCCAAACCGTCCCTACTCGAATTGCAATTATTAGTCAGGTACGCTTCCACTTAGAGTGCGCCAAAAACCGCAAAACCGCAAAACCAACCCGACCCAAACCGCAATTGGTTCGGGTTTTGGGGCTAGTTTCAAAAACCGCGATGGTTTTTTGGTCTCCAGGTTAGAAATCGCAATAGTTCTTGGGGCCCTAATAGGTTTTAAAGTGGGGGTAAAATATCACATGTATAATATTCTATCGATATTTATTGGCTATATATAGCGTAGTAAGCTATTTTATATAGATAGTATGAAGTTTTATGCACTTCTAAGCAAAAATGGGTTTTATTATTGGGGCCCCAATGGGGAACCACAATGGTGTGGTTCGGGTGCGGTTTAGGTGGTTTGAAACCGCACCCAATGCGGTTCGGGTTTTGGGTTGAGGTTTTGAACCCATTTGCGGTTTTTGGCGCACTCTACTTCCACTCCTTTCCTGTCTGGTATAGACCTTTGTGACTCCACCGGAAAATCCGTAATTGGCCAAAGAAGGCATAACAACATGGAAGGCGGGCTTTCCGTTTCCTCCTTGCAAGAGAGGAAGTAATTTCGATCCCTCGAAGAAACTTCCAGGCCAGCCATGAACGAAAAGAAGCGGGATGGCGCCTTCGACCTCGCTTTTCTGATGTATAAAATGCATAGGAAGAGGATCGAAACCGTTGACTGTAATTTGAGTTTGGAAGTGCGGGAGTCTGTTTAGTTCACGCTCTACCTTGCGACGGTCATATTCTTCAATCCAGTAGTTGGTTAATTTCTTGATCTCCGCACTTTAGTGTGTTAGCTATTTTCCATTCGACCTACTTGCTGGAAAAGATCTATACGTACAGCGGGACTCCGTATTTCCATTGCGCATCTTCAAGCTCATCCGGAAACTCAGTGAGCTTCAATTTCTGGTGAAGCTTCTCAAGTTTCTCGTCTGGTACAGCGATTCGGTACGGGATGATGGCTGTCATTTTCATACCTGGCTGAAAAACGATTAGAAGAACGGAAAGAGTGTGCGCAGAAGTGAAGCGTAGGCTTTCATCCTTCCCCCCAAGTGATATCCCACTTCAGCCCGGCGCTTGTGGACAAATGCAGTGACTCCCGCGGCGACCATGAAATGCCGATCGTGGCTTATTATTTATCAGAACATGAAGGGATAACTTACCACTGTAGCAACTAACAGGTCACACATGGGCCCATATTTGTTAGGTATTTGTATGTAATTAGGGATTAGTCACGAACTCAGGCATTGTAACAGCCGAGTATCGGCTGTACAGGCACGTGCAGCAGGGGGTTGCTTTCAACAGCTCTCCTCCTGATTTCTGCCCAAATCAATCAATCTAGTTCATCTGAATTGGTTCCGCTTGATCTGATTCGTCTTGGAAACATACTAGGCTATATAGTTTTGGCTTGCTCCGACATTATTTCTTCGGCCGAAATTCCAAGCCTCTTCTCTTGGCACGCCACCATAAACGAGTGCTGCATTTAGGCCGCGGAATGGGCCGCCGACACCAGAGGACCATAAGACCAGACCAGAACACGACGGTCTTTGGTCCTAACGCCGAGTACAGAGTATTGTAAGCAGGATAGGGGAGGCCACACGCCATGGTGTTCCATAGCTCGGCTCGAGATAAAGAAATAGCGTTCCTAGAGTTTCGGTGATCTCTTCCTAATTAGGTTAGACTAAAGCTCCAGGAACACCGTTTTGAAAACCTTGGTATACGACGCACTCGTAAACTTACCTTCTTCCACACACTAATCGTAACTAGCTAGTTATTTAACTAAGGATTATTTTATTATCTCAAAACTACTTAATACTATATATAGGTGTCTACTAGGCGTTTAGCCGACGTCTAGTAGATATCTATATATCTATATAGTATCAAGTGTTTTAAAAGACTTATAGAGAAAGTCTTTATATCTAGTAGACGTTTAGTAGACACCTATATATATCTATATCTAATAGCGCTATTGTACGGAGGTGCATTTCAAAAGTTCGGCGTCGCGCACCGACCACCACCTACTACACTAGGCGATTTTTAGCTAGATTATATTGTATTGTATTGTATTGCCTATAGCCTACCCTCTTTATATTCGTTACCACCATCTAATTCGATGATCTTTTTGATATGCGTAGGGATACGCTCAATCCAACGCTGGATCTTCTCCTGCGGCATCTCTCGCCATGCAGCTTGCCAAGCAATATAGGCCTCCTGCCTACTCTTTGGTGCGCCTTTCTTGGTTGTAACACGTTTCAACCAAGGCTAGGCAGGCTCAATTGGATTTAGATCAGGCGAATTGCCACACCAAATTAGCCGATTAACCTTAGCTGCATCAAAAACACGTTGTTGGATATAGTGGCTATGTGCCGGTGCTTTATCCTCTTGAACAAGCGTATTCGGCCGTTGAATAGCGCATTCCTTTGCAAAAGGTAATAGCTTTGGTATCAAAATCAGTTTTTGATATCGATACCAATCAATTCCACCCTTACGACCACGACCAAGCTTGCCAGTTTTCTGGTTAAATTTCTATATAGGCCTTTTACCAGCAGGTTGTCGTCGAAGATTCACACGACGCATCTGCGTTTCAAGCTCCTAATCAGCTTTTAAAATAGGCTCAATCTCGCAATTTAATTGCTCAATCTCTTGCTTAGATTCACGTTTCTCTTGCGCAGTTTCAGGTTTCTAATAATGATAAGGGCCTTTTTTATCATAGGTAAAGCAGCCCCAAAACATGAATTCACAAGCGCCTTTCCAACGCTCACGAATACAAGATCGAACAAAAGCTTCATCCTTGGAACGCTAAACTCGATAGCTACCACGTCGATGTAGTAGAATAACCGAAGTTTCATCGGACTAAATCACATTCTTCCAATCATCAAGTGTCTAAGCTTAGTGTTCAAGACACCAAGCAAGCCGATCAGCTTTCATCTTCTTCGTTAACCCAGGCTTCCGAGTTGGCTTCGTCTTGCGTAGGCCGGCGTTCTTGAGGATACGCCAAATAGTAGTAGCAGAGATAATAATTCCTTCCTTGCTAAGCTCACCAGCAAGATCAGCACAAGATTTCTCTCGGCCATAACGATCTAGACGCACCTTAGATAGGATAGTCGTCGTTGTTGGTTGGTCTTACTTAGTTGGCCGGCCAGTACGTTGGGCGTCTTGTACAAAAGCATCTTGAATATTATTATGATTAACCTCAAAGCCTCGCTCGATTGCGCGTGCGTAGATCTTGTTGACAGCTGAGATAGATAGATTGGTAATCGTAGCAATCTTATGCGAAGATTTGCTAGTGTAAGCCTTTAAAGCAACCACGGTTGCTCTTGTGGCGATATCTGGCTGTTTTGGCATATTTTGAATAGCTCGTAGGTTGGTAGGTAGGTAGGCAGGTAGGTAGGTAGGTAGGTAGGTAGGTAGGTAGGTAGGTAGGTCGGTCGGTCGGTCGGTCGGTCGGTTGGTGGTAGGTAGGTGGCTATGGGAAGATAGAAAATAATATTATTAGGGGTAGTTCGACGTTACTGTGTGTATTCGTCTGTTCGATATGACTAGTGGTAAATATGGTGGTCGGTGCGCGACGCCGAACTTTTGAAATGCACCTCCGTATACTAGTGCGTGTTGCGAAGAAGTAATTTCTAGTAGGCCAAGGGTCGTGAAATATTTAGCTAGAATCGCTAGGTAATTGCTGACTTAGTATACGACGCTAAGCTATCTTCGTTCGCTAACCTCGAAAATTAGATTTAGCTAGGCCTAATCCGGATTAGTTAACTCTGAGAACACCTTATCTACTCTCGGGCTCAGATATATCCTCGCTGTTCCATAGTTGATTGGAAATCATACCTAGTTGATTGGAAATCAACTTCATGCGGGTCCCAGAGGTCACCGCCGCTGTAAGCGCCTAGCTGATATGTTTATGATGGCCCATAGGTAGGCGCCGTAAATACAAGTCCATTGCCTCCAAGGTTCCTTTTTATAACTAGATCCAACGCCTCCCTATTTCCACCACACTAGTATCCCGTGAAGAGAAGATGTCTTCAATCACTAGCAACGAAGCTGCCTGGATTCCTACCGAGAAGGCAACATGTGAAGTCGGACCAGGACCCGTGCCCAAACCTACGGAAAATGAGGTCGTTATCGAAGTTGCTTATGCAGCTGTCAACCCAATTGATTACCTGGTAAGAATTGTCCGTTGAACTATCGGATTTGATTCTAATAGAGACACGCGTAGATGCAAGACACTCCCTACTTTCCAATACCATACCCTTCTATCTTCGGCTCCGACATCGCTGGAACAATCGTCCAGCTAGGTTCTTCAGTGACCCGATTCATGATCGGCCAGCGTGTCATTGGCGAGTGTGATAACCTTCTCACACAAAACATAAGTCACGCTGGGTTCCAACGGTTTGCGACTTGCGCGGAAATTATGGTTGCGGCCATTCCCGATTCCATCCCTCTGGCTAACGCTGCGGTCCTCCCGCTCTGTTATTCCACGGCTGGATGCGCGCTTTTTAAGCATCTCAGGCTTCCTCTTCCTTCGCTTGATCCTAAGCCAATCGAAAAGACTATCTTGTTGTGGGGTGGCAGTTCCTCTGTTGGCTGTTCAGTAATCCAGTACGTACAATACCATAGCACCTATATCATATTTATACCGCAAACCCTTAGCCCAGATCATTTAATACTGACTTTGGACTTTAAAGATTGGCGGTGGCTGCTGGTTTGACGGTGGTCACTACTGCTGGAGCACAAAACCACGATTTGGTCACGAGCTTGGGTGCTAAACATGTCATTGATTATAACAGCCTGACTGTTATCGAAGAAGTTCTCAAAGTCCTCAAGACAGGCGATCTGGTCGTGGATTGTATCTCCATCCCAGCTACCCAGGTGATATGTACAGAGATTGTACACAAACTTGGTGGGGGAAGCTTCCTGTTTTACGATGGCCGGAAGCAAGTAAATATGATGATGTTGAGATGATTTTTGGTATGTTTCTCTCTATTCGGAAGTTCTGCTGCCTTCGCTAATTAACGATGTAGTCAATGGCGGAGATCCCGTACTTGTCGATCTCGATATTGGCGATGCGCTTTGGCGTAAGTATCTCCCTGAAGCTCTGGCGACAGGGAAGTTTGTGCCGAAGCCGGACCCGGAGATTATTAAGGGAGGATTGGGAAAGGTTCAGGAGGGGATCGATATTGTTCGAAAGGGGGTTTCGGCTAAGAAGATTGTTATTGAGGTTTCCAAGGAGGCGTGAGATAGACATTCGGACATGTGAAGGCCCGTTACATGCTACTGGGATTTACGTGAGTTGCCGGAAGGCCCCTTACACCATAAGCTGGATAGGCGCATAGTTGGGGCAGGGATATTTTTCCTTAGCAAGATATTTTCCATGAAATTTATAAAGAGTGACTATTGATAAATTCATCAAGTAGTTAAAGCCGCACGGCACATCACCGAAATAGCCAAAGCAACGCAGAATCTTGATAAACACGAGCTTGTTTTTATCCATCGTCTCAAGCAATATAATGGCTAGATAGCCTGGCCCCCTTTCCAGTAGGATGCCTTCCATTGGGTGTGTAGTGACCTTTATTCGTGGCTCAACTACGGAATATTGGTCCGCAAGCACGCGTGATGGCTCCTATGGAGAATGTGAGTCATGAAGCACGTCTTTATTCACTTATAGAGTCGATCTTTTCCTACGAGACTGTATGTAATTCCGGAATAGTCGAAAGTTGAGCATCTATCCCGAATATAGCGTTGGAATCCATTGAAGGCGGCATGGGGCATACGGCTATAGTAGGACCTAGCACGTGTTTCACACATTCCTACCCTGGAAATAGCTAGTCCACATACTATGCCAGTTCTTCTTCAAAATCGTGGAATCTAAATCAGTTAATTTCCAACAGATATTTTCGTAGTTCGGTCTTCCAAGCAATAACTAGTTCATTAACTAACTACTCAGGGACTTGGCCCACAGCGGGGCGTGGCAGGGTATTTAATTGTCCAACTGCACATAAATTCACGTCTACCCGTTATCCATCCAGGAAAGTCATAATTCAGCAATTCTCACCCCTAGATAATATGTTGCAACTAATCCTTTCGCCTACGCAGTTATGGCCTGGCGGGATCCCGGCTGCTGTTCGCCTGCACCCCGAGAGGGATTTGAATGAGATGACCCGCTGGAAGAAATCAAAGGCTGGCGCCAATTTTTGAAGGTACGAGCCCATAGCACACTTGGTAATAACATCTTATTCACATCTCACAGGATTTTTGGGCTCCCCTTTCTGACCCAGAGGAGGATAGTGCCCAACGACGGGCACTAATCGAAAAATGAGCGTCTGCAGATCAAAGCTTCCGTGATGTAGGTCTCCCTTCTCGCGCCCTCTTATCCATGCCCAGGTGGTGAATGGAGAGTTAACATGAAATTGACATTTTCTAGTCATACTATTCTCGTGCGCCCCTCCCGGATTTGCTCGATTTCAACGGCCCAAGGTATTCTAAACGCTTCGTCTGCCTTGTCGACAAGCCCTACGATCCCGAGAACTACTCCCGCATTACCAAATTGCTGATCCTCCTCTACATCCATCTCCTACATGTATGCTCTCACCCGCTAAGCTTCGACCATGGGGCCACGTCCCGCAGCTCCCAGCATTCATGCTGGACCCTGCCGCGGCCACATTATCTACTACTGATCACTATGCGCGCCTCCTAGCAGCGGAGGACTTGCCTGCGAGCTACTACCTCGAAACCGCCGACTTCAATGCGTGTTATCTTTCCATACCTAGAATTTCAGGCATACTTCGTGATTGATAACCAGAGCTGTGAGGACGGGCCTCCGTCTGCTCAATTTCGGCCGTAACGGCCAGATTGTCCACCAGGCGCGGATGATCCCGTTCACAATTGGTCCTCTCACAATGCTCCATGGTATACTAGGCCATCATTGGGATGAACTTTGGAGAGACCCCACACGTCCCCGCGATGGTATAAACCGTACGTGCTTACTGTTGTTAATCTTGTTTATTTTTTTTCCGCTTCCACCCCACCTCTTATTTTGTTTCGCGGCGGCAACATAAGCTAACAGACAAACCCCGGATAACAGCATCGATATTCATCTACCGATCTTGGAAATTATGGCGGTGCTCAGCCAGCGCGGGGACTTGGCGCCGCTGAACGACTACATGCCGGCTGAGTTGCCCGAGGAGTTTGAGCGGTTCGCGCCGGAGTACCTAGCCTACCAGCGCCAAGGCCGGGCAACTGAGTACAGTTACCATCTTTCATAGCGCTTGCTAGTTCACAGAGAGCTTTCCAAAGGGCAAAGGTCCTCCATCGCCCCGCTGTTGGCAGCACTTGTAACCAGCATGTAGAATCGAGCAAGGGAAGTGATCGGGCAGTGTCCGACGCCTCGATAGGATGAGACATTCGCAGCTGGACGCTTCCACCATGCATCCACCACCCTGATCATTTTGGGGTGGAATAATTCCCAGTCTTGTCTTATGTTTTCGGGGAAGGAAAGATCCGCTAGTGTAGACACGGTAGGTTTGTCAAGCACGAGGCACGCGTAATTGCGAGCGGGTGCTCGGATCCAGTCGTTTTCATTAAGCTGCTGTAGCGTCCGCAGTTGCGCTCGAAACTCCTCGCGAATACGATCGTCTGATGCACCGGACAAGGTCCCCTCATCTTCCACGACACTGAGTTTGAACCGGTGACATGCATCGTCCGTGTAGGCAGATGTAGACTGCGCTCGGATATTGCGGCGAGTCACTTCAATGAGATGATCCATGGCCCGGGGGATCTTTTCCAGCACGTCGGCTGAATAATCGGTGACGAATGCATAGAAGCCCCATGTTGGATCGCGGCCTCTCATTTCTTCAGCTTCGTTATAATCGAATTCGTGTAGTTCGATTTCTTTGAGCAAATCCCAGATCTCATCCTGTAGCGTTGTGAAGAGTTGTGCGTCCATCGGATTCACATATGTAGCAGGATCTGCATCCTGGCGCACATCCTCAAGAGGCCGAACAAGCTCGTTGATATTCGGCGCAGCACCAGGCCCAAAGGTTCGGGGTGTGAAATTTCGGGTTCTTGGGACTAGGCGTGTACGAAGAGTGGGGTCTGGTTGAGTGGTCGGGCGCTGACTAGCAGGCGGTCTTCCACGAGTAGACATTGCGTGTAGAGTACTAGCGCTACAGAGCTAGTGCGGTGAGGTTGCGGCTCGCCGCTAAAGGCTACGGGTAGAAAAGGTGCTGTTTCTTGAGTCAGAAGTGGTCACTTTCGGCATCAATTTCACAGGCCCTCATAACGGATATATATAGGGCCATTTATTCACGTGACAGACGAGGCTGAAATATAGAGCGCCTCATCCTGCTAGAGTACGAATAGAAATCCTAGATCATGCTAGAATGGCCTCCCTCATGGGCACAGAAAAATAATTGGACAGTTGTTAATATCATACGAGGAATCGGAAGGTAGACAGTAAGTCGTTACTTCACATATTTCAAATAGCTGAGACAATGTCAAAGGTTAAGATTAACGCTAAACGCCTTGCACCCTTTGCGCGCTATGTATACAGAGACAAAAATTGGGAAGAATTAATATGAATATGGGACCATGGCGTGATACCCCTAGGCCACTGATCGACCCAGAATTGACCCAGCCAGCCAGATAGCGGTGCATAAACCAAGTACTGACAAACCAACCAGGCGTTTTGCCCAGTTGCTATCCTCATCCATCTTCGTTGGGCCAACGGTCTTTTTCGGGCTCAAATGTACACTAGATGACTGCATATCCTTGTTTCGAGGCTGGGAAGAATTGCCGAGAACAACGGAGTATTCCTCATCTCGCTTGTGCCACTTCTCGACTAGTCGTGCGATCTCTGCCAGGTCTTCTTTCAAGGAGCCAGGTTCGGTGGCATTAACGTTTTCGACCTCGACATTCTGCACGTTACCGAAGAAATCCACCACAGTGCGCAGGCGGCCTTCTTGCTCGCCGCCTGGGAATAGGTCCCAGCGGACACCCGGTTGCGAATGAATCTTCGACATATCGTATGAGTCAAACAAATCTCCCAGATTCAACTTGGAGTTGGCGCTCGTCACTTGAGTCTCGAGGAACTCTAGCACATAGTAGGTCCAGCGGTCAATGACTGCAACACCGACATCGTTGTCCGCATGGTGGGAATATGAAGATTGGTCAAGCTCGCTGGAGCCCGTGGCGACAATGTTGGGCGAGTAGAAATGGGTGTACATCGTGTTGGCTTGGCACGTATCAATCATGAACAGAAGTTCGTGATAACGCTTTTTCTCCCACATCTGTCCAAACGCATCGGCCAAATCCCATGCGCCAATCTCCTCGGCATCTTGAAACTTCAAGAACTGATCTCCTCCGTGGCCCGTCATGTACACCAGCACATTGCTACCGGCGTCAGACCCAAGACGCTTACTCCGAGGCACATCTTCGTCCAGACGGTCGGTTAATAGCCGAATGAAGTTTTCCACCGTCACCTCATAGCCCCTGTAGTCTACCTCGATGTTGTCGCCGTAGAGATCCACCGCGCGATCTGCGTTGCTGTACACGGTTCCGGGGAACGCATTGCGCGGGTTGCAGGCCATGTCATCGGGAAGCATGAGGATGATCTGCGAGTCGGGAATGCCGAGACGCTTAACGGTTCGGTATAGGGAGAGGACATTGGCGAGGTGGCGGTAGTTGAACCAGAATCGGGACGTCGAAACCAGCACGGCCCAGTTGGATGTGTGTTCGGCGGTCACTACTCCAGCGAGGAGCAGGAGCGAAAGCACTTGCAGCAAGCGAAGGAGTAGAGGCATTGTTGCAGGTTAAGGAGAGGATGCAGTCGGAATGGAGGGAGGAGTCCAGCTCGCGCAGCTGGCAAGAATGGGATACAGCCCTAAACAGTGAGAAGGACAGTAATGGGCTCGAAGAATTAGTCCCCAAAGCTACATCAAGGCCATCCTTGGGGGTGTGGTCAGGGGAGCGTGTCGAAGCAAGGCAAAGTAGCTCGGGGCAGTCGACATGACAAATGAAGCCAGGAACGCATCCGGTACGACACCTAACCTTTCAGGCATCGAAGAAAGTAACTACCCCTCGATGACCAATGTATAGTTCAAAGTTTGAATAAACACACGAAATACCTATGGGAAGCAATATGCGTGACAATCGCTCTTAACTCCTTTCTATCCTTCTAGCTATAATCTTGGAAGATTGGGCGATTCCCTTGCTGTAGATTAGTCACTTCGTCACCGCCTACATCGGAATCGGCATAATTGTTTGGCGGATCGGACCATCGATCAGGTCATTTCAATTTCTCTTCCTCAAACACCTCCCTTACTTCATCGGCCCTTGTCAAAACACCAGCCCGGAAGACCCCAAACCATCAAAATGGGAGGAAAGAAAGCAGCAGGCGAGAACTCCAAGAAGGCTGCCGGCCAAGCTCGAGTACGTACAAGCCCCGCCCCCGCCACCCTTAGCACGCGTGCTAACAACTTCTTCAGAAGGCCGATGCCGCTGCGTCGAAAAAGGCCTCCGAGGATTCGAAGCGCGCCGTTGAGGAAGATAAGGAGTGGACTAAGGGATCCAAGAGTAGTGCTAAAAAGTGAGCCCGAGTCTAAAGTCTCATTCTTGCCGGACACGACAAACTAATAACGCCATTTTTCTACCAACCCATAGGGAGGACGCCGAAGCCAAGAAAGCCGAAGCTGCCCGTAAGAAGGCCGAACGTGACGCTCTCCTTGCCGAAGAAGAAGCTTCCCAGCCCTCCAAGGCCAAGGGTGCCGGCGCAAAGACGGCGCAGAAGAAGACCCGCGGTCTGGACCTCTCTCATCTCGACGACACACCTTCCAGCAAGAAAGCCTCTGCACTCAATGCCTCCGGTATTGACAATGCGCTGGATGCTCTCTCTCTGACGGGCAGTGATCCTTCCAAGGTGGAGAAACACCCTGAGCGGCGATTCAAGGCGGCCTATGCGGCATTTGAAGCCCGCCGTCTCCCAGAGATCGAAGAAGAGAACCCTGGTCTGCGTCGACAGCAGCGTATTGACCTGTGCCGGAAGGAGTTCGACAAGAGCGAGGAGAACCCCTTCAACCAGGTACATGTTGCCGTCAATGCCAGCAAGGAAGAGATTGCGCAGGTCCGGGATTCAGAGCGCAAGAAGACGGAATCTCGCCTGGGCAGATAATTTGATGGTTGCTCATTAGAAGCAGTCAGACGAAAAGTGGTTCGGAGGCATTGAAACACTGCAACGTTTCTGCATTGGTTGGGAGTGTGAACCTGCCATACCTCATTGATTCATTTACGGACCAAAGCTGTTGTTTGACAACTATGTATCCTGCTTAGAGTATATCTGCAGGACTTTTACCAAGGTTATCTGCTGCTGGTGTCTTGATAGACCAAGCGTGACATTCCACATCGGATCCATCGTCGCAACATCCTTTGTCGGGAGAGCTTACATATGGACATAAAATTTACGAAATGAAACGACTGATTACCATATTCCTTCCCGCGCAGCAATATGCAGTAAATCCAAAGACTGGCTCGCAGTTCAATTGGGATTTGCCTACATATGTTGTCTCTCCTTTCAACGAGCAGAGCTCAATGGAGATGTCATTGTAGTGATAAAATGCTTGGTATCGGCTGCTTCCAAGCATGGCTATGCATGCCAAATTGTGGATACGCCATGATCAAAGAAGACTTAATGACCACATCAAAAAGTCTGGGGAGCACTTCAGGACATCACGCCCCTAACATCCCATACATACAGGCTCTCATCCCAACCGACACTGGCACACCAGCCTTCACTTCCGAAAAGACACCAGTCTACACCGGTGACAAACTCAGTGTGTCGTCCCATTCTTCCTAGCTCCATGCCGACAACCGGACCCGCCGCACCAGACCGCATGAAATCAGCATCACCAACCGACCCAGCATCTGACCGGTCACTCCAGACACGGCAAGTCATATCGTAGCTTGCACTCAGAAGCACGTCTGATAGGTGTGGCGACCAGCTTATTTTCCGGACTGCGTAGTCGTGGCCAAGCATAGTGGCCAGAGGTCCTTGGTGCGGGGCACGAATATCGAACGTGCGGATAGCCCGATCAACACCAGCTGTAGCAAGGACCGTAGGACGGTACTTATTCCAATCATGAGTGAGGGCTTCAGCTGGTGGTGTGGCGGACGGTGGGATTCCTGGTTGACCGGGAATCGCAGGTGGTGGCGGGGCTGCGTGGATGGGTATCTGGAGGGTGAGGTGGTTGGAGGCGGAGGCTGGTGTTCGTAGATCGAAAACACGAACGTATGAGTCTGATGTGACACATGATATCAGGTCGGGGCTGTAAGGGCAGAAGGCGGCGGAGTAGGTGCAGCTGTGAGTGGGGAGGGTGAGGAGGGACTGCTGTCGATGCGGCGACCAGACACGAACCGTGCCATCCCAGCTGCTGGAGCAGAAGCGGTCTTTTGCGACAAGATTCCAGTTAACACTGAATACCTCCCGTCCATGTTCTTTCCAGTTTTGAATAGGGAAGTCATTGGCCGTAGTGTCGAACAGCTTGATGCTGCCGTCGCCCGATGCAGTGAGGACTTGGTTCTCGTGGATTTCCGACCAGGCGAGATCGTAGAGGGAGTCTTGTGTGGTAAAACTATCAAACACAGATGAGACGACTGTTAGCTTTTGGGACGGTCATGTCCGATGGGGAAAGGAGAATGGGCCATCTGCGAGCTTGGCGCATTCCATTTGGTGATGAGGGGGGCAATCTCGCGTACGTTTTCACGGGCACAATTCCATTCGGAGTGAGCTCTAGAACGTATAGCCTGCCATTGCCGACAAGGCCAAAATTGGATGCGCTTGCTACGGCCAAGCGATTGTCAAAAAAAGGGGAATACTTGACCGCACAGCCGTTGAATCCCTGTGTGCGGAAGTGGAGCATGGTGGGAGTCTGCTCGGATAGCACCGGTCACGGGAGGCTATGAGGAGCAAACGAAGGGAAATAGGAACTAGAAAACCAGAGCAAATTAGAGTATCAAAAGCGACACGTAGCGAGCGCCGTCATAGCCTCAGCGCGCGTCGTGAAAGTGGACCGAGTGACATCGGGATTGCGGGGAGATCAAATGCGCGATGGGCCGAGGTCTCGCGCCAACCTTATCAGGCACGCTTGCCGTTATCGCCCGCCGTTCGAGGGGAAACTATAGCGGCAGACTAGAATAAACCACGCTTGACTCTTGCGCATAGCTTACTTCTGAGCTGTCAGATCAAAGCAGCGAAATGCTCCTCAGGCGTTACTCTCGTTTCTTGGAAAAGAAATAATATATTAAAAATGTCAACGGATAGCTTTTGGGTAAGGCCAACCTCCATAGGTACCAGATATTGATTTCAGATCGAAAATAAGCAGAATAGAAAACCACCAAGGGTTTCATTCTAAGAAAATAAATTTGATCTGTATAAAGGTGAAACTCTAACCAACTAGTTTTAGAGCTAGGTGGCAGGGGCGAATTAGTTCTCCTCGAAACAGCGTCAAAGATGGGCCTAATTGTGGCCTCCCATGCACCTTACTATTTGTTATTCATCCTAAGACCTCAAACAACAATATTAAAAAAAAATTCACGACTTAGCCTCTCCTCACTGCCACTTCCACACCTCCCCGACGGAGCCACTCTGATTGGTCAGTTTGGAGTCAATCATGTGCTGATAAATGTTAGCTGATAAATCCTTATCGCGTCTATGCGCCGGGGAAAGTTCCTTCCACACTCGTCTTCTAATTAAGCTGGTCCGGACATCGTGATGGACTCAAGTATCCATGGATGCTTTTGTTTCCAGGAAGAAACGGCGGCTATCTCAGTCAAGGGCGGAGGCTAGTGCAGGACCGTCCGAGGCTTCATGTATCTCAAATCCAGATTCTTCCGGCGAAGACTCAACAGATATCAAAATTGCTATATTGCTGTCGCTGTTTCCAAACCTCAAGCAAGAAAATCTTCTGGATATTCTAGTGTCTTGTGATGGATCCGTGGAGGCCGCTTCATCCCTTCTGTCTTCTCAAGACTCTACGTCACCTACACCATTTAAGAAACGAGCCGCTCCAAGCTCAACTCTTGGTGTCCAAACATCGTTATCGCCACACATCCTCACCAAAGCAAAGGATGGATCTCTTACCACCCTCAGTGAAACCTTCATCCGTCGGAAACCCTTGTCCACCAAGAAAGGGCAGACTTTGCACCTTTACTCCCCCGGGGACATCGCAGCCTACACACCGTGCACAATCATCCATAACTTCCTCCCTCCCGAAGAAGCGAATGTACTGCTAGTTGAACTGCTTGATGAATCGAAACACTTCTCGCGATATGAGTTCCAGCTTTTCAACCGAACAGTTCAGAGCCCACATAGCGCGAGCGTGTATGTCTCTACTCCGGAGGAGTACCGACAGCAGACCTCTGAGTACACATACGGTGGCACATACCGATCGAATGTTCGAGAAGCGACACCACAGCTTCGCTCAATATCGCGAAAGGTCCAGCGTGTGGTTAATGAGGAAATCCAGAAACGCATACGTGAAGTCTACCCAGATGGCAAGAAGCTCAAGTATCAGTCGCCTAAGGAGTGGAGACCGAATGCGGCCTTCGTCAACTGTTATGATGGACCTGCAGAAAGTGTCGGATATCACTCCGACGAGCTGACGTATCTTGGACCTCATCCGGTTATTGGCAGCCTAAGCCTGGGCGTGGAACGAGAATTCCGGGTCCGTCGCGTCATACCCCGGGACGATGAGGAGGATGCAGGCGAAATAGCTACCGAGGAAAAACAAAGTCCCCCCTCGAAAGCTATCAATGAGCAGAAGTCCTCCTCCCGTGTGCGTGCAGACCTGCAAGGTCAGATCTCCATTCACCTGCCCCACAACTCCCTCTTGATCATGCATGCAGAGATGCAGGAGGAGTGGAAGCATGCAATCGTTCCTGCGCAAACTATTTCTCCACACCCAATATCGGGAAATCGGCGCATAAACATCACTTACCGCTGGTATCGCGATACTCTCCACCCACGCTACACGCCTCGCTGTCTATGTGGCCAGCATGCGATACTTCGGTGTGCACAGCGCAAGCAAGAAACTCGGGGCCGATACATGTGGATGTGTTATGCTGGATATCAACCAGGAAAGGAAGGCTGTTCGTTCTTTCGATGGGCGGAGTTTGATGATGATGGCAATCCTGTGTGGACTCACAAGCAAAATGAGGAAGATGTCGCCCCAGCTTTGGCCAATTTTGCAGCATCACAATAGTCCAGGCGCTTCTAGTTAATGATTTACTTCAACCTTTTAGTAACAAAACGGGACCTCTATAAGCCCCGCAGGCCATCTGAATCCCTACTATCACTACTTCGCTCAGTCCCATGGGGTATCCGCAAATTAAAAGGCACACGGGCCTTTCCACGATCTCATCGCAGATTAGCGCGAAATAAGGTTGTGCGGGGCAGAAACTACCCGCTGCGGCAATTCCCATGTTAATTCCGCTCTTAGGACCCGTCTCCAAATTCCACCTCCACACGCCCAGCTGTCCTCTATTTTGCTTCTTGTCAGCACCAGCCAGCCCTTACAATGTAAAGAGGTCCATTTCAAAAGACTTGCACAACATACCTACCAATAGGATTAACATATTAATCAATGTCATGCTCCATTGTGCGAGCCTAGATACAATCAATTAGTGTTCTTGATAGGCTAGTCTCTCGGGGCAATCTGTTAAGAGGTCTGTTGGGTGTAGACCTTATAGCCACATCTGGGCGCATGTAGTGATATCGATCACAGCGGTGGTAGTAGTGGTGATAGTGATAGTGGGGGTGGTGATGGTGGTGGATGAGAAAACTCAAATGGGGGGGCTATTTTACCCTAGTAAGGCAAAACCACTAGTAACCATAACCTAGTGGTATGTGCACGACTTTTGGAATGGACCTCCTGAGGCTAAGCAGCTATACAATTGGCCTAATAGAAACATCCACTCACATAGGCAAATCTTTTCCTAAATAGTCGAGCCGAATCCACCACTACTTATCTCGTATTACAAGGGACAATCTTCTAAATACCGTGCCTCGCCCATTGCCGTACTTCTGCAGCTTATCTCGTCATATAGAAGCAAAGTTGATTTTCGTCTTTGACCCGCTACCGCCCATAATGAACTCTGAAAGCGAGAGTATCTATGATTATATTGTGTGCGGGTAAGCTAATCAACACCAAATTGCAGTGATGCCAGTTGACAAATGACAGAGGCGGCACCTCCGGCTGTGTAGTCGCCGGTCGGCTTGCCGAGAATTCTGAGATTAAGGTTCTTCTTCTCGAAGCCGGACAGCATAATAAAGATTTGGAGAATGTGCATATGACTGGAGGGTAAACGGCTTTCAAGCGACGGTGGATGAGACTGTCACTGACCTTATAACTAGGTGGTCGAATAATTTCGACGCGGAAACCGATTGGAATTTTGTTACCCCACCTATGGTAGGGGTGGATAATCGCCAGGTCAAATTGAGTCGTGGCCGATTCCTCGGCGGTTGCAGTGGGTGCAATGGCACATTATGCATTCGTGGCTGTAAGCAGGACTATGATGATTGGGGCCTAGACGGTTGGAGTGGCGAGGATTTCTTCAAGTATATGAACAAGGTCGGGAGCAACAGACTATCTGGAAGGAACCTTTGAGACTGGGAACTGACAAAATCCAGGCTGAAACCTTCCATCCTAAGCCGTGGTTCCAAGCCGACAAGGAAAGCCACGGCTACTCGGGGCCGCTGCACACAGAGCCCCATGACCTTGCGCCAATCTCGAACCTGCTGCTTGACTCTTTTGTTTCGCAAGGAATACCATTGAACCATGACATGTTCAGCACTGGAGATATCCCCCACGGTTGTGGCCACGCGCCTCGTACGGTCTATGAAGGAGTCCGGACGACTGGCGCCGATTTCATTACCAACAAAAACCACCGTGGAAACATCACGATCAAGACGAATACAACAGTTGATAAGGTTGTCTTCACAAACCACGGAGAGCAACTTCATGCGTCTGGGGTAGCTACAAAGGCTTCTGATGGTAGTTCGTTAATCTACTATGCTCGACAGGAAATCATCATATCAGGAGGGGCATACTGTAGTCCTGCGGTTCTTCTTCGCTCGGGTATTGGGCCAAAGGAAGAATTGGCCAAACTCAAGATCCCATGTACAGTCAGCGCGCCTGGTGTCGGAAGGAATCTTATGGACCACCTTGTATGCTGATAATCTACTGCTTGCCTCCCATATTGTGACTGACATTGCCACAGATCGTCTTCATGTTCTATGAGACCGAACAAGCTGGACTCACCAACGATCGCCACGTCTACCACGACGACAACTTCGACAAAACATATGCGGAAGGGAAAGAGAAAAAAAGCGGATTCCTCTCGACCTTTCCATTCGGCGCCTTCGCCTTTGCCCGAATGGACGATAGGTTGAAAGACGAGCCATTGTGGAAGAATGCACCTCGCCAAATTGGGCGAGACCCCATGGGCTTAACTCCTAAGCAGCCGAATGTGGAATTCTTCACTACGGAGTGCTATGGTGGACCAAAGCAGTACGATCAGTTCCCGGTCGACCATAAGCACGCCTTCTCGATGATTGCGGAGCTATTTGCGCCCAAGTCGCGCGGGTCGGTTACTCTGAAATCGGCAGATCCGATGGAGAACCCCCTTGTTGACTGTAACTATCTTGCCGATCCTATGGACGTGTTGGTTCTCAGTGAGGCTTGTCGATTTGGCAATGAGATCGTCATGAATGGAGCTGGTACCAAGGATATTGTCAAGGGATCATGGCCTCCGAATTTGTCTCACCACACCTACAAGACGAGAGAGGAGTGGGTTCCGTACATCAAAGAGCATGCTACCACTTGTGAGCTAACATGGTTCCGATTTGCGCGTGGTCACTCTTGAACTAACACCACACAGGTTACCACGCTGCAGGAACATGCGCAATGGGAACGGAAGATGACACCATGGCCGTGCTGGATGAGAAACTACAGGTTCGCGGTGTTGTAGGTCTGCGCGTGGCCGACTGCAGTGCCATGCCAACGTTACACGGAGGACACACGCAGATGCCGGCGTATGGAATTGGTGAGAAGTGCGCCGATCTAATCAAGGATACATTGCGAATGGCTGGCAATCTACAGCCGCATTTAGGATGTTGATCTGGAAGATATACTGCTAGCCAATATCAATAAAATCGGTTGTTGAAACCAACATTTAATCCAATTTTGATGAACAAGATGTCTCGCGGGAAGTAACAACATGCAAACAGAACACAAATGACTAATAATAGAAGTAAAACACAAGAGACCAGACGTCAATGGAAGATTCAAGATCTTGAATTCAGGAGCTCAAAAAAGATTCGGCTCCTCGCCTTGGTCAATGATCACGGTGTTTTCTTTTCCAGATTGGTGCTCATCTTGCGTTCGGATAACAGTAAGATGAGTTTCCACATGAATTTTGTTGGGGGATGGGAATAGCGAATGCCGATATTCGACATGAGCGGTTAAGACAGGCTGAGTGATCTCCCCAGCATACTCTTGCAGAAGCTCGTTGATCTGAGCAAGCAAGTCCTTGAAAACAGGGGAGTGGACAGGCGATTCAGCAAGAGGCAAGGTTTGCTGGAAGGCAGTTGGCAAAGAAATTTGGACTGGGACTACCCAGGTCTCACCGGGACGAAGGGACGTGAGTCGGGCGCTATCTATAACGGTCCCGATTAGACATCCACCAACAGGGGCCACAGAAAGTTTCGGATCGAGTATAGAACCAGTACGTATGCCGGTGCGGAGCTGCCGGATGACTCTGGAGACTTTGCGTATAAAATATGATTCCTTTGGACGCGCATCCCCAGTACCGACATCGTAATGAATATGCCAACCGATGTGAATGTTTGTGTGAGTCAAGGGTAGACAGGCCTGCGGAGTAATGGTGTGAAAGCCGATGGCGGGGTCAATCCATGGGATCGACAGATGATCTGGTGGTGTGGCGGAAACAAAGAATACATGACAGAAAGCAGTTCTTGGTGAAGTTTCGAACATTCTGGTGACCTGCTGAATAGAGTCCCCAAGGTCTGAAGCTGACCCCTGTGTGGTAAGATGCTGACGCCGGGAATATTTGTTCAGTGAAGATCGGACAGTGTCAAACGAATGGAATCCCAGAGGCAGCAACACTTCGAAGCCGTGCTGTGCATCACTTTTTATATATGTCAAGGCAACCCGGTCATGGTTATGAACCAGATTGAATGCTAATACAGAGGACCCCAAGGTAATTTGCGAGTGCTGAGATCTGGTAGGTGAATCAGTTTGTGGCGAACCAACTGAGAAGGAATTTGAAACAACTTACAAACTGTCAAGAAGAATGATAATGTCCAAGGATGCAAGCCCCGAAATCCCCGGGAACGGAATTGAGTTGACGTCAGCAGAGACTTGCACAGTTGCCCATAAAGATATAGGGTCCATGCCAATATGCGCTCTGTTAATTGTCGATACCACGTTAACAAAGGCAACTGGCAAATCCATGGCGCTAAAGAGAGCAGTTTTGACTTGATGGCCACTGTTTACTGAAGAAGCGTCGATTTTTGGAGTGAGTGGCCTCGACTGCACGGAGAAATTTGTCGAGCTTGAAGGTAGAGATGGTCTTGAACAGTCCCAAGACCCAGAGCTCCACCGGACTATCAATCGCGGGGCTGGTCGATACCGATTTCCCGTTTTCTGCTGTTGTTCTTCTTCTTCGCTAAGGAATCGCGGGATCTGACATGCGATGTCAACATGGAAACAAAGAAACGCGGAGCAGAGGCAGTCACCTCGTCAACAAAGGGATCTTTCGATAAATTGAGATCACCACTATTCGAACATCTGGAAGCCCGCGCGCCCATTTCCCGGATTTTCAGAACTTGAATTTGATATAGACTGTCACTGAGGGATGGTGTTCTCGTTGATGTAGCTGGCCCGTTGGTGCCATCGCTCACGCTTGCGGACAATGACGATTGGCGATGCGGGATCAGCGGGTAAGATGCTGTAGAGCTCGTGCTTTGACTTCGCATCAAGCCGATCTTTTTCGCTGTGAGCGGCTCAGGCATTGTGTCGTCCACCATGAAAGGGATTTAAACGTGCTCCCGGCTCCGTACAGGTTCTGCGTTCTCGAGTGGTGCCTCCGATGATTCGGTATGCCCCGTACTAGTGCCGCTTTCAATGTCGGAACGGTGTCTCTTCTTTCTGTGCCAACCTCTCCGGGGGATGAAACGCTCCAGCCAGGCAGGCCTGGTGATTCGGCAGCTGCAGTGTTCAGAGCACGAAATGGCCACAGCCACGGCGCCGAAGAGGACAACGATAGGAACCAGGACTAGAGAGATAAGCAATGCAGAGCTTTTAAAATCCAAGGATAAAGTGTTGGTCATTTTGTACGGTTGTATGCATGATGAGGACTCTGTGGGCTCTGGAAGTTGTTTATGAGGCCCGACCGAGGCCCTGGCCATGCGATGGAGGACCGGGCAGGAACGACGGAACAGGAAAATGGCATTTGTTGGGTATATTTGAAGGCGAGCACGACCTTCACTCTTTATGTACTTTCGCCACTCTTGCCATCATCTCCTTCACCGAGCTCATGGTCGCGTCGTCCAGTCGCGAAAACTTAATCTGGTTTGAATTAGTATAGGTGCGTACAGAGGTTGGCTTTAGTGGGTTTACCATTTCATCAACACCTCCACGCGCAGCGCTTCCAAACAACATTGGATCGGAGCGACTCGCTTCGATCTCGTCCTGAACCCGCCGAGCCCAGATGCCATCCCAGTGCCAATCCCCAGGGAGCCGCGCCTGCGGGCTTCCCCGTTTCAAATCGCTAATGCCATTACCTCCCCGACGGTGTGCTTTCCATGCGTGCCACGCTCCAGGATTCCCTGCGGCTTCGACTGGTAGGGAATCTAGAACCTCTTCGTCGTCGAATGTCGAGCGAATATAATCCAACAACTCGGCGACTGGCACAACCTTCCTCGGCTCTGCAAATTGCTCCGCCAAAGGTAATTGGGAGATACGCAGCTTCTCCTCGCCGCCCTCTGGACCCTGCCCACACTGGGTTGCAACAGAGGCCAACCCATCTGAAGCCACATTGCCTTCCGCCCCGGCACCAGCCGATGCTATTCCTCCGCCAGGGGCGGCGCCAGCACTGTTTCCGCTCACGTTTCGAGATGATTTGCCGGATGTCAGGCCACTCCGCTTGGCCCTGCCAAACCAATGTGGAAAGCCATGGCGGAGGCTGAATCCGCCGGGCGGAAGTCGCTCCTCGTCGGTCGCGCTGACCGGATTGTCGCTTGCCGAGCTCGTGCTGAAGGTGTATGTGGTAAGCGGAACAATCAATGGGTGGAAGACGTCGGTTCCAAAGGTGACTAGAGGTGGGAGATCGGGGTAGATGTCTGGGAAGCGGACTTGGAAGCGCAGGACGGCGGAGGCGTAAGGACCTGAAAGGGGGGTTGGTTGAGTGATGTGATCAGCCAGCAAGCCGAGAGGTTCCCATCGGATCCAAGCTCACCGGAGCGGACAAAGATGACTCCATTCCATAGACTCGGATCCCCAAGCGCAAGGCTCACATAGACCCCGGGGGGTGCGGCATGCCGCAAGCTTGCGCTGTACCGGAGTTCAGGAATCAGCATGCGCCCTCCTGAGCGTTGGGGCAGGGGCGCTCACAATTCGAGATGAAGCTGCTGCTTTCGAACAGAAGGAATGCAGGGTAACCTGGTGGTCGCCATAATTGAGTCTCACCGTGCACGACCAACAGGTTGCAATCGGGGGTTGCTTCGAGGCGACTCGCCGGGGCTCAACAAACATGCCCCTTATCGCCCAGCTTATCGCCGATCTTTGAGAGCGCCGGCTTCGGAATAGAACAACGCACACGCGACAACAGATGAGTCCGGAGTTGCCGGACTAGAAGTATACTCAATAGTCAGCCTTTGCCGGCAGCCCTAAGCATGGAAGAGAGCAGTTTTGAAAGTGGGCTACAGAAGAGCCGTGTGATGGTGAAGGCGCAGGGCCCCGCTTATTCTCCGAAGGATCATCGCCAACCTAAACACTCCCGCTTGTTTTCCATATTCCTCTTCTCCCCAGACAACTCGAGATGAAAACAATCGGAATCTGCATTCCCACCATCGAGGGTGGCGTGGTCTGCCACCAGGAGATCGGACGCGAGGCCATGAGGCGGGGTATTGCCTACCCCCCCATTGTCACCCACACTCCACTCTACGCTGGAATCAAGCAAGCCGTCCAAACCGACGACTTCGACTCGCTGGTGGCAGTACTGAGCGATTCAATCAACCGTACAGCCAAGGCGGGAGCGGACTTTGCCATCATCCCCTCGAACACCCCGCATATCGTATACAGCGAAACGGCAGAGAAGTCGGTGATCCCTGTCCTCAGTATCCTGGATGTCACGGCCGATCATTGCAAGAAGCATGGCTATAAGCGCGTCGGTATACTTGGGACTACGCCTACTGCCAGAAGGCGTCTCTATGATGCCCCGTTAGAGAAACGAGGTATCACCTCGGTCTATCCGTCTGAGTCCGATCAGGACCTTGTCCACGATATCATTCAAACCCAACTGGTCTGTGGGATCTTTCTGGATGAGACGCGCGACAAGCTGGTGCGCATCGCGAAGCAGCTGGCCCCGCATTGTGATGCTATCATTCTGGGATGTACGGAGTTGCCGCTGATCCTCAACGAGGAGAACTGTATGATCAAAGTCGTGGACACTACGAGGATTCTGTCACATGCGGCACTGGACCTTGCAACCAAGGAATAGGGCTATGTCAATAGTCCTGAAGATACATAGCCATCATCGCGGTAACATCCAAGCGTACACTGGAGAGCCTCCCTGCCGCATATTGGAAGCAAGCTAAACAGTTCATATTCAACGCCTCTCTACCTGCAAAGCCAATCTATCAAGTTCTAAGCCCGGTCTCAGCAATCCCAATTGCATCATTCCTTCGCCTACCCCTTCATAGATACCACCCGCAATGCCTTCCACCCACCAGGCAGCAAGGTTTCCCACCGCAGTGCCAACTCTGCCCCCATTGAGCTTGCAAACGGCCGAGCCAATATTCACACTACTTTTGCCCAATCCATCCGCGGCGTCTAGTATGGTTGTGACAATACGCTCGGTGATTCGATGCGACCGTTCGTATTCATAGAGTTGACGTAGGAACAGCCGAAGATAAGGTAACAGGAACCGCAAAATTAGAAATATCTGCACGATGGTCGATGCGAGGAGCCGGTGAAGGTATGATCTAGGAGGCTGAAAAGTTTTCAGCTGCGTGGGTCCCTCCAAACGCGCAAGATGCGGCTGTGACGAGGATGCTATTGACTCTTTGACGGGCTCTGGCAGGCGATGCTGGAGCATAAGTGTCTCCTCGGCCGTGAGATTGGATGGCAGCGCATCGAGCAAATACATCACAGCATTTATGTAGAGAGACCTAGCTAGACGACCGTCTGCCTGTGGCTGTTGGGCTTCATAGCCAGCATTTCGGAGGAGGTTGAAGGCTGCAAAAATGAAGCATTAGCCACCAGCCAATCTTGCAATACTCTCTTCTTTCGGGTTACACTCTTACCAGGGACGACCCGGTTCCATCGCAAACCGGACTCGGTCTCGTACTTTGTGGGGCAGCCCACCTCTTCCACCGGCGGGCTATTCGACCCCCCAGACCCAGAGTCAGACGAGTCCAGATCATTGCCCGCCGTTGAGGGCCGCTGCGCCTCGGTAGCCGCTCGCTCCAACGGTTGGCTATTAAACGGGAGATGCGGCTCAGATGAAGAGGCCAGTCCATGATGGAGGACCCCGCTCGGCTCGTTATCGGATATAGCCCTACGGGACGAGTAAAGTCGGGGCAGCCGGCGCCGGATCAAGGCTGGAATAGGAAGAATCGGGAGGCGTGAGTACTCCATTGGCACACATCTGATTTGGGTATAGAAGTTGAGCTGAGTCCAGTCTCATTGAGAATTCAAGGAGGAGGGTTTATAAACGTTCCGTGTGCGGAAACGATGAGTTGACCTGACAGATAACGGTCATGCTCGGGGGGGGGGGCGATAATTTCATGCATGCGCAAGGCGAGCCCGTTTCACATGTTAACGCTCCGCAGTCTGATATGCTGATAAGAGTGGGGTCGGGAACGATCGGGCCCACGGGAGATCTCTCGATCAACCGTTGGATAGGGTATAATCGGCTGTCTTCTAGAACTGTGGGTAATATTATTGCTCATCAATGAAAAGATTTTTCCCATGAGGCTCGTTCGAAGCTAAGCACTTTATCTGTTTATAAGTTCTGTCCGGAACCCTCCGTTATCTAGATGCATGCAAATTTCACAATGTCGCTATCAAGGTTCATTTTGATGCAACCCTGTAAGCGTCCTACGAGCAACAAACAGCAGAGAAAGCTGATCGTGTTGCCTCCTACAGCTTCGCACGTCACTTCAAAGCGCTTGCCCATACCGCTCTCATTTTCGGCCTAGATCTTATTCGGGGTCGTAGTAGCCCGTCTAGGCGACAGAGTCCAACCAGGTATCACTGTTCACCCTTAAAATTAGGATTGTAGATTCCTAGAAGAAACATGAATAAGTAAGTAACTAAAAATAACATGCCTAATGATCAATGAGTGGTGTTGTTGAATTATATGGGTGGTGGGGAGAGGGAGGGTGTCTATATATCAACTCAATGGATATCATGGAATATTTTGGTCAATACTAATGTCTAAATCAGATTACCAGAGGTAGAAGTAGGTCCTTGTAGACTAGTTGAAAATTAGAAACCTGTTTTTGTTTCTTGAGATCGTGTTAAATACTTAGTCCATTCCTTCGGTGATTTCATAATGCTCCGAGAAGATGCGAAACAGAACGGGGTTTTCGATATTTTCCTTTCTTTAGAGAAGCGAGCGTGCAAGAGGTAACAAGAAGTCGGCACTAAAGTGGCAGGGGAGTGGCCCTCACCCCGAAGGCCAGAGGTCGAAGTGGGGACAACAGGTCGCTACAGGGCCTCGGGCGTTGGGAAAGATATGACCGCCATTTTCGATGGTGGTATTTACAATCACTCCAAACGGCGCACGGTCTCCTCTCTACGATGCGTGTTGGTGTGATTCGAGCAGTGAAGAAGTCGAAATTTGCAGACAGGGAAACTCCGAATAACGGATATATTTTCCTGTATACATTGACCCAGTAAATAGGCAGTCAATCCTTCTTTAACACTCTTGTCAGGCAATCTATACTCATTTAGTTATAAAGTCCAAGTTTTATGTAACCTAGGCCACCAAAATCTGTGAATATCCAGGTAATTCACTCACCGCTCGCTCTACTTCGCATTTTGTAACTATTTACTGTTGTTGAATGACCACTACGTACGTGCCTCACATGACCGGATCGTAGTTCGCACTGCCTCAAACCCGTCAAACCGCGACATCTCTATCAGGGCACTTGCTTACTTGCATGCCTACATACAGATAGATATGCGTACTTTTTCTATATGGCAAAAAGAGCAAATAAAAAGGGATGATTGGAGGGTTGTTCTAAAGCTAAAAATAAACTCCGATAGGGGGAATCGAACCCCCGGCTGCCGTGTGAGAGACGGCGATGTTAGCCACTACACCATATCGGATACGGTATGGTGCTAACCGCGCAGCAAGCATAAGAATCCAATCGAGATCAATCAATTTAGGAAAGGAAAAAGACCAAAAAGTAAATTAATTGTGCTCCGATAGGGGGAATCGAACCCCCGGCTGCCGTGTGAGAGACGGCGATGTTAGCCACTACACCATATCGGAATACTGTGATAGAGTAGCCATTTTCAGCCTCTATGACTCTGGTTTAGCGTCAAGTGTCCTTAGGCCTCTCCATGTGTGCTGGTATATAGTCCCCTGTCCCCCCAGCCCAACATGTATCGTTTCTTTTTGTTTTTTCTCCTCCGTGTGAGGGATTTATGCTATTGACCCGGAGCACCGAGCTCCTGAGCTCCACCACCCTTTTGCCCTGTGTGACTCGTCATCACCTTTTCGCAACTTTCTTTCGCCCCTCCTGCTTTCTTAGGCTCATCTTGTACCTGATCAGGTGCTTTCTCTGAAGTTCTGACGCTGGACCTCGAATCTTAAGGTTTCACGTGACTACCTATCCGTCATTCGTAAGCCCCGTCTTTGACGTGTTTTGCACCTCCTGGACAGTTGCCCACGCGAAGCGTGTCTATAAACTGCAGAATATAAAGAAGGGTCTGAATGTGTAAGCAAATAAAAGGCTAGGTAAGAAGATAGTAAAAGGCAAGTGAATTGAATGTGAAATAGTACTAAGTCAGGATAGAAATATATTCCAAGGCAATATGATTTATATTGATTACAAAACTAATTCTAAAGGAAGGAAAGAATCTAAAAGATAGAGATTCTTCTTCTTCCTTATTATAGAGAAGTCAGAGCTAAGTGAATTATACATAATGAGCCCACTCTTCGTATCACTCATCATGGACTTATTCTAGACAATTCTAGAGCTCATTTCCAATCTATATACAGAATCAGAAGTGATTCAGTATCATTTCGGGATATATCATATTTCTGCCTCAGAAAATTGGTTTCCAACTTTTCTTTCATAACATATATCATACAAACCAGAACAGGTGTAAAAAACAGTAACTGAACAGAATGAATCAGTAAGATTATGCATCCTAATTAGGAATGGTCAACATCTTTTATGCAAAGTTGGGTTTTCCTGGGGCCCCAATGGGTACCCAGTCTACGTCCTGGGTTGGGTCTGGGTTGCCTTACCTTGACCCAGACCTAGGTCCTGTGGAAGCCTACTTATAGTACGCGTGTCCTATAGAGGTACCCCTATAGGTTAGGCGGTATCAACTACCCTTTATATCTTCTTGATTGATTCTTGATCAGGCTAAAGACTATCTTTAAATGTAGTATAGATGTCATCAATAGCTAGATATTTTATACGATGCTGCATTTACAAAAGCTCTCTTTAAAGCAATGTTTGCGTTTTCAGTTCAAGCTTTAGCTTCTTTGAGAGCTCATCGTCACGAATTTGGATAGCATTATTAATTTCTTTATTGATTTGATCATTTTCATTCTCATCGCGTAGATGAAGCTGTGGAAGAGTCTCAATGATCGGCTGCAATCCGTCTTTTATCTCATGTGGTAGCGTAATGTTGGCAGCCTCGGCTGGAGTGGAAGACAAGGCTCTAATCCCCATATCTTGTATTGATGTATGTTGTAAATGGATGGGTAACCCTAAGAAAGACATCACTTGTACCTATTCCCGCTTGACTTCTATAGCTATTGAAGAGGGGAACACTCTCGGCAGTACGCTCCTAGACGGAAGGTCGAACAACCAACACCAACAACTAATCTTACTCCGCTAACCACAAGAAAGACCTTCCGGGATGACCCATAGGGGTGCTATGAGAGATGTGTAGGAGTGTGTATTGCAATAGTAGCTAGAAACTGACATTTCATGAAATGCATACAGCATGTGATACGTATTCGAGACATGCGAGTAAATACCATACTGTCGCGGACGAGGTTCCCCACTACACTATATAGATTCTCCATATGCAATCTGCAAGGTATAACAATTCTGGCCGCAAGTTTATTATATACAAACTAACACCGATTCATACTAAGAAATGTAAATTGTAGATAAATTAGAAGAGGCGACAGAAGAAGGAAAGGCCCAGAATCATCTGCTCACGAATGCCACGTCTATACCACTTTCGGCTTGGCCATTAATAATTCCACTGAGCAGGAAACATTCGGATGCAGACCTGTCATATTGCAAATGATTGCATGTAGACAGTGCTGCACATGCGTCCATACACTCTTTAAAGGTATAACCCATGTCCAAACCCACAATTTTGCTAGTACTATAAGAATATTCATAGTTGCAGGCAATATCAAATGTCACCCCATAAACAGAATCATCGTAAGGACTTGACAGTTGGGCACAAGCCGTGGGAGTAATGGTTGCCGTGGTGGTCTCTGTTATTGAAACGGTGCTGGAAGCTGTTTCGAGGATGGTAGCAGTGGCAGTTATGGTAGTCGTCGCAGAGGCAGTCTCGTCAATAGTCACAGATTCGACGGACGTTACTGTGGTGCTGGCTGTTTGATCGTTGGTGGCAACACGAGTTATTATTGCAGATGAGGAGGCAGTGGCATAAACGTATTTAGTGGTTGGTGATGTACGAGTCCGGGTGACAAAAAGGAAGATGGATGAAGTCTCATCAATGATTGTGGATGCAGACACAACAACGTGACTGCTGCTGGCTTGGGTCTGATAGGCTGTGACGCGACTTGTGGCAGTTACAAATATGGAAGGCTGCTTGTAATGATCAGTTGATCTGCTCGCACTTGGAAATGGGAGGGAAAAAGGTGGCAAATAAAGGCATACCGCTGTGCTCCGAGAAGCAGTCGTTACGATGGTGGTCGTGGTGGTAGCAGGTACAACCAGACAGGAGCAAGCACTGCTAAGGTCGCTAGCTGCGATTGTGCTGACTTCGGCCAGCCAGCTGCTAAATAGACACTCGGAGGAAGTGCATTCCGGCTCTGGTGCTCCACAGCTATCGAACTCTTCTTCTTCTTCTTCTTCTTCTTCTTCTTCTTCTTCTTCTTCTTCTTCTTCTTCTTGATCATCCTCCGTCTCGACATCGACGGTTCTTTGGGCAAGAGTGACCGTGGCAGTTTGAACACTGGTTACCGTCTTGATCACGGTAGAATCCGTAATAGTCATACTCAATGTCGCGGTTTGCGTTGCATAGACTGTGGTGTCTGTTGTAGTGATATAATCGGTGTTTACCACAGTGCTGGTTAGTGTAGTATCGGTTACAGTCGTTGTCACCACATCAATGGCAGTACTAATTGCTGTGGCATCGGTTGTTGTGATGAAATCGGTAGTTTGGACAACATCCTCAATCACGCTCGTAATAGTGACTGGGGCAATATCCGTGCTGGAGTACCACGAGGTGACCGTATCTATGATGTTTGAAGTGTCGGTAACAGTGATATCGACGGTTATTTTGTCAGTGATTGTGGCGGTCCCTGCGGTTGTTGTCGGGTATACAGTAACAATTTGAGTCGCAGTGTGTTCGATATACGCGCTGCAGAACGCACTCGCCTCTGCTTGCAACGAGGATTCCTGGAGCTGAAGCCAGACTGCATCATTCGCACACTGGTCGGTCAGTCAGACACGCGGAAACAATTACCGAACGCAAGTAATCTGTCACCTACCTGAGGAAGAGATCGCTTGACGATAGAACCGCTTCCAAGTGGTCGAGCAGATGCGAGCAAAGCTCCCCCAAGCCCTAATAGAAGCGACAAATGCATTTTAATTCTCAACAGCAAAGAAAATAAGGAGTGACTAAAGTTGGACGACTGTAAAGATTCACACACGAACAACTTCCTCTGGATTCAACGCCCATTTATATAAGGCCCTCTGTCGCTTCAAATTGCTTACCTATGTTCAAGTTATTTTTGGTGGCGTTTTTCTTTTGGCTCTAAGAGCCCCTTTTGTATGAAGAAAAAAGACCGGCACCTGAATCAAAACCAGATTTTTTAAGCAACAATGACGATCACTGGCAGGCATGAACTCCCCCACTTCCAGGTTGCTGAGCCTGAACAACAGTCATATTAGCCGATCGCAGCACTTAGTCGCCAATAGTGTCGCCATCGGGCTTGCGCTTTCCCTGTTCCTGTTGGGACCGGCGCCATCGGCGAACATAGGCCAGATTGAGGACGAGCCTTCCATGCTGTTTCTTCCTGTCAAATCCTTGCGCCTTTTCCCAATACTCTCATTCAAAAGGGACCCTTGGAGAATGAAGTGAGGCGACTTTATCATTCCGGTTCCTACTACAGCTTGAGTGCTTCGCAGCTGGTTTTTGAGATTCGTGCTCGGCTATAATTCCCAGGATCGATTGTGTGGCGGCAGCTCCGGCCTCCACGGGTCGGATAAGCTCATTGAGAACCTTGGAAATGGATTCGTGCGTGATTTAAGTAGTTCCGGCTCCACAGAGCAATGCCATACGGCCCCCACAGTAGGGTCGCATAGCCTCAAGGGGTCTTTATTTGGGGTCTTTCGACTTGTTAAATCTCTGCCACCGGCAATAATGTCCATCCTCAGAGTAGGAAAGCCAGTTCACCACCATAGCCTCTCGCTTAATGGCTCACTTGGTCAACCGACCTTGCGCCATGTGGCAGGGAGGTGGGGCTGGCCCAGCTGCGTGGAAATTCCTCGCTTATTCATCCCTTTAGTTATTCTCGGGATCGCCGCCATATAACTATGTACTATCTCAGAAGCCTCCCAAAAAATCACTTGACCTCTCCTAGTCCTTCGTTCTATCTTCGCGAGGTCGTACACTCTTTTTTTCTTTTTTGTTTGTTTGTTTGCTTTCCTCCCCTTCATTGGGAGTTCCCGAAGTCTTTCGTGTATTATCTTGCTCGTCTTGGACGATAATAAGAAGGTGAAGATGCTCGCTTCATCCGGATTTATTCTCCCTCTCTTCGCTCTCTTGAGCCAAGTCGCCCCCGGATCCGCGAACAGCGTTCCTATTGTCTCGTGCTCTACCAGCACGGACGTCCAAATTTTCCAGAATCCCAGCTTTGAGTCCGGATCACTTGATGACTGGACCATCAGCAATTCCTACGCGGAGTCTTACAGCGTCGTACAGGTTGGCACATCAGACGCCCAAGGCTCAGCCGAAGATGGATCCTATTACTTCCAAACGTACGGCTACAATCACGAGTTTCACCTTTCTCAAACGGTTTCCAATCTTGTAGTTGGCTCTACATATACGATCACGTATTGGAACCACCTACCTCAGTACCTAGGTGCTCTAGCTAATTGCTGGGATTCTGTTTACTTGGATACCACCGCCAACAAAATCGCCTATATTAACTACGGCCCATCCACTACATGGACAGCACATACCTTGACCTTTGCAGCCACAGCGACCAGTCATACCCTGGTCTTAGCTCCAGATTGTGGTTCCGGTCGCGATTACCCATGGTATATGGGATGGGATAACTTCCAGATCGAAGGAGAAACCCAGGTGTGCACTACCTCCTACTCGACTATTCCATCTTCGACACCTACGCCAACCCCCAGCTCAGTCTTCTCGTCCAGAGTTGCATCCACTACACCCTTGGTTGGATCATCTTCATCCAGAGTCATTGCATCCTCAGCCACACCAGCGTCGTCCTCATCCGGAGTTGGATCGTCTTCAACCAGAGTCAACCCATCATCCAGCACTGTCAAATCCTCGGCCAGAGTTAAACCATCTTCAACTAGAGTTCGGCCCTCGTCTAAGGCATGCAAAACTAGAACCAGGACATCTTCATCCAGCGCTGTCCAGTCATCCTCCGGAACTCCCCCATCCTCGGTCGGAGTTAGACCATCTTCAACCAGAGCTGTATCCTCGTCGGTGGCTGCTACTTCTGCTGCCTCTTCCACCACAGCATCTACCACTTCTAGCAACACTGACAGTGGAAACGGCTCATCTTCTGGCGTTTCCTCCAGCATGACCTCCACTCTCGGTGGTGGAAACAGCTCAGGCTCCGGCTCTAGCACGACCACTGCTCCTGGTGGAGGATCTGGCTCTAATACACCCCAAGGTGAATCTGGTGGCGCGGGATCTACTACTTCGACCATTCTCTCAACCCGCACCGCTACTATCACCGCTTGCCCATCAACAGTCACCGATTGCCCAGCAAGCGATAAGACTACGTATACCACCACTGAGGTCATTGTTGTGTCAACGACAGTTTGCCCTGTGACTGCTACGTCAAACTCAGAGCCTACCAGTGAGTCTGGTGGCGCGGGATCTACCACTTCGACCGTTCTCTCAACCCGCACCGCTACTATCACTGCTTGTCCGTCAACAGTCACCGATTGCCCAGCAAGCGATAAGACTACGTATACCACCACTGAGGTCATTGTTGTGTCGACGACAGTCTGCCCTGTGACTGCTACTGCTACTTCTTCTTCTGCAACTACCCGTGGCTCTGGCTCTGGCTCTGGCTCTGGTTCTGGTTCTGGTTCTGGTTCTGGTTCTGGGTTTGGAGGAAACTCAATCACTGAGACTATTTACTCTACCCGGGTCTTTACAATCTACGAGTGCGCTTCGACTGTTACCAACTGCCCCTATGCTTTGAGAACTGCTCATGCGGTTACTGAGACCACTGCCGTTGGAACTACAGTTTATCCTGCTAGCTCTGCTCCTACAAGTGGCTTCAGCTCTGGTTCTGGTTCCATCACTGGCTCCGGCTCCGGCTCTACTGGCTCCGGCTCCGGTTCTGGTTCCGTCACTGGCTCCGGCTCTTTTACTAAGGCCATTGTTGCTGGAACTGCGATTCATGCTGCTGGCTCTGTTTCTACTAGTGGATCCAGCTCCAGCCCTGTTTCTAGCTCCGGCCCCCAATTCGGCTCCGACTCTGCGCCTGGAAGCAGCACCTTGGTGTCATCTTCTCACGCTAGTGCTTCATTCACAACAAGTGCAAGCCAGCCAGTCTACACAGGCGCCTCGGCCTCTCAATCTGCTTTCCTTTCCGGATCGCTCGTATCCATCTCCGGTCTTTTGACTGCCTGGCACCTTCTTCTTTAAGCGAAAGGCACTACTTCTTTTCTTCTTGAATGAACATATTGCCTGTCTTTCATTTGTCTAATCTTCCTGAATATACTCTAATTAGCTATATACAACTGACCTGGGTTCTTCTCAGAACGATTGATAACATTTTTTACAAGACCACACGCTGCCATGACCAGTGGAAAAGAAAAATTTAGGTGACTTATACCTATAGATAGATTAAAGATACTTAATACTCATATAGCTAGCTCAAACGATGCTAAATAGCCTAGGTAGCCAATTTTCGTCTAATGATATTATAGTAACTAGATCTCGTTTCAATTTTCGGGTTCTAAAAGTTTCCTAACCCCACGGTCCCGAAACTGAATTAAAGAATCCTCTATATTTAGCATAATTAGCATTACTTGATTGGGTTGCGTTACTAGACTTCCACACGACCCAGCAGAACCCGGACCCAGCCGGGTCTGGGTCCAAAATCAGGGCCCAGCACTGGGTTCTGGGTTGTCTCCCTTAACCCAGATCCAGTGCTGGGTAACTGCTCTGTCGAGACCCGAAAGATCACACAATTATGCGAATCTACCTCTAAGTCCCCTGTCGTGGCACTGAGATAGATAATAAGGATACAAGAGCTGGTCAGGCCATGAAGCTTGGCCCCCAGGAATTAATCGCCTATCAAGAAATTACTGCCTAGAAGTTAAGAAGCTTTACTCCGAAGCTCTTGGGACATAAAACTACTGCATAGGACAAGTCGGGGCGAGTCCTGGATGGCGTCGCGGTCTGGCTAGCGTGGGAGATGGTACTAGGACTCCGCCCCCGCAGAAAGAATAGCCCCGATACATTTTGTGCTCTAGATACTGACGAAAGAGAAGAAATCTGTTAATACTTCGTGAAGAACCTCTTACAAGTCGTTACGGATTTATACCTTTTATAACTAATATCGATAACAGTATAATATGAGAACCTGGATATGTAGCCTAGTCTGGTATAAGGAGGAGTTTAAACCCTTTATGTCGAAGTAGATAGTCGCTATCTTTAATGTGCGAGCTAGTACTACGCGAGCTGGTGCTAATGAGCTCTTGTTACTTTATCGGGTTTCGCCTATTACAAAGGAGCCGGCTAGAGGAATGGACTATCTAGATTTAATGGATATTCGAAGGAAAGTACAGAGTGAAGTTAGGGACACGCTTAGCACCGTCTCGAGCCTACTAGGAGGCTTAACCAAAGGAAAAAAAAGGTAAACCAGACATGGTCTCGCGGGCTAGGACGGTCACGGCCGTGCTAGACTTCGCCAAGACGTCACAACGGCTTCGGAGTCGCGCGCCAAGAGGGCAGCCTAACGATGGGAACGGCAATTAGTCCACGCAGGCCTCGACGAGGCTCTAAGTTCGTTTTTAGGAAGTGGAACACTCTACATACGCGGATATATATAGTTGTGGTAGCCTGCATACCGCTTTTCATTGCGAGGGGTCAAGGTAAATGATATCAACTAACTAACCAATGTATTGTATCAGCCGCTATTCATAGCCATGACAATTTGATAGCAAAGATAGAATTACAAAAGAGAATTTACATGTCCTCAATAGTCTCCTCTTCAGTGTTCCTGGTCAGCGATCGGAAACTGACGGAGAGAGACTCCAGCTTCATGATCTTCTCCATGTTCTTGATCAAGCTCAACAGCTTCTCAAATGTCGGTGTCTTCCTAAATTTGGTGTGCGCATCAATACTATCAAGTCCAATGAAGGACATAAGGATTGATGCTCTCTGGTTTTCTTGTCCATCTCTGACGGGGAAGTCGCTTTCCACGCCCCAACCGTAGCTCAGAGCCCCAATGTCGGGAAAGATCAGAAGATCTTTCTCGGAATTTTTGAGATTTGTGATAGCTGCATCTTTCTGAGCCGATGAAATATCCGAGGGAAAATAAGCCAAGATGACCTCTGTTATAGGAGACTGTAGAGCCACTGGTAGTGATTGTGTGGCGGTAATGTGCTCTGTAAATAAGCCATGGGTGAGAATTTTTGGCGATTCCTTTGCGGCTTCCTGGCCTAGACTGTGATCTTGTTATTATGTTATTCGAGCCGGAATCGAAGGAGACTGCTACTTACGTTTTAGCAAAATTCTCGTGATCTTGAATCGAATTCCAGTCAAACAGTGCCCAGAGGTAGGACGGATTTTCAATCTCAAGGCCCCAATACACCCGAAGGGGTCCTCCAGGTGCAGTTACGACATATTTGTATAGCTTGGTCAAAATTTGGCCCTCTGTCGTACTGTCATTGATGACATCAAGTGAAGGCTTAACGCCCATGCAGCCGACTTCGGTAATAGTCATATTTGGTTCGTATCTAGGCCTCTGCCTGTATAGTTCAAAAACATTCAGAGTCTGCAGGGAAATAGGGAGAATATTTTCTGTTGAAAAAGATGCCTTGTATTCACGGGATTTGATAATTAAATATCCAGTCTTGATTAGGCCCTTCAATAATTCGGAAGCCTGAATCACTGCTGCCTCGGGCAAGGCAACCATCCACGCCTCTGTAACACGCAAGTTAGCTTAATCATGGCGCAACATCACTAAAAGAATGTTTCTGCCTTAATATGAGGTGAATGAATGCAGGCAGTGTAGTAGGTCTAGTGTCCACCAGGGGAAGACCTAATTAAACAAGCGCTCGATCATCGGTGCCTGCGCGGAAAGACCAGAGTTTTCACTCGCCAAGACCTTGCACAAGCGTGGGCTTTCCATTGTCACCTCTATTGAGTAAGCTTTACGAAGTACACACGTAATATAACTTATAGGTCATCGTCGCACGGCCCATCAATGACGACATGCTCCATATAAAATTCTGAGAGTGGTGGGAAAAAGGGATAGGGCCGATGCCCTAGCGCCTGCCTAGCGATCAGTATTTAATGCGACTTAGCAGAAATATAATCAAAACCGTCAGACTTTTCAAAAAGCAATGAGAACTCACCCCAATAATGTTTGAGCATCCTCGGAGAATTTCTGCTCATTCCAGACGGGAGTCCAGAAGCCATTCGTTCTTCTCTTCACTGCGACCGTGACTAACAAACAGCGATCGGAACCACGCAAAAACAGCCCCATTCCTCTGGATCCCAACTCGTCCCAACTGCAGCAAGGTTCCTTCGAGGCACGGGTGGCCAATACAAGCTTTTAGGATACTACATCCGGTACATAGTTCTCGCCGCCAACACGTCGCCCCCCGCTATTGGGAACGCCACGCGCTCCACCTGGTCCAGGTACGGAACCCCTGACCCTCGACCCTTGAATTACATACTCCTGCACATATTCACCCCGACGACAATATGGCTTCCGTGATGATTGACCACTTCCCTTTCTGCAAAGAATGTGTAGAAACTATGTCAATCTACATTGTTTCAAACTGGTCTCTGAGTTGCTGAAATCATGATCCCTATTCTGAATTTGCAAATTAGTCATCCCATTACTGTTACATCATGTGATTTATGGCTAACTTGATTAGGCTGCTGTTAATCAGAATACTTTCCTAGTCCAAACAGTAATTCGAACAATGGCTCTGGCCCTTATGTAGCTCATTGGCCGTTCATCACTTATTCCGGCGCCATCCCATGTATATTAGCAACGAGCAAACGAGTCGGTATCACATAGTCAGCTTTAGCTTATTCCGTTACGATACTCATATATGTGACATCTTATACATACGCTTGACAGAAACTGTTTATACATGACTTATAGTATGGGTCGGAAGTCCAGAGCATAATATGTACGTTGAGCACTTAGGTTGCAAATTTACGACATCAAAGCCCTGTTCGGACTTCAACTTTTATCCAATGACTACCCTGGTGTGAAGATCCCTGGAGGTAGTATCTATATTGGTGAATTGGGTATCTATAGCATGAGCACCTTCGAGTATATCATTCTTTATGCGTAGCTTTCTAAACATGTTCCCTTTACCAGCCACCCAAAAGCTTCTCGTGACTGGTAGAAGCCTCTTTTACTATCCTGTGAACATCAGAACCTATGGTAAGACACCTATCTTGGTAAACGAAGGTATAGCCATTTGTGAGATTCTGCTAAAACGGTGCACGACGTGGCTGATAGCGATATCCAATTATTGATAAGGGTATACGTTTGTTGCCGATCGATCAGTGGGAGCGAACATCAACGCGCCAGTGTGCCGACTTATTTATTTTGGCCTAAAACAAATGCTACGGAGAACCTAGCTAGATCCTAGCAGAGCGGTACTGGGGCAAATTGAAGGACAAAGGACGAGGGAGAGAAGTTGAAGATCTAGAAATAGTCGACTGAATTGAAATGCTCTCCCGTGCCAAATTTAATGACTTTGATGAAGCTAAATGGAATCTTCAATATGGATGAGGCGAGTCGCTTGGTAAGATTATGCAAACCAGTCGGGAGGTAAAAATCAAGTCAGCGAGATGCAAAAGACTTCACATCACACTATGGAAGAACAACACTTCTTTTTTAATGACTTGATCAGTCCTTCGTTCATATGAACTACCACTAGGGAAACCTGAGTCGTGTCTGGAGAATAGCCGAACAGACCCCATGATGTGCAATTGATGATTCTTATCAGCCTCCGTTGCGGGCGATTATGGACTTTCTTGGTGGGCTCTGGTGAAATATTATACACCGTACAGGGGTTTTCCGTCGTCAATTCGAATTAAGTCGTTCCGTATGTGTTTTCGAATGAGGTCACCGACCCGTAGAAAATTTTTTGCTTTTCGAGTGTCTGGTAGTATATTCTGGAATCGCGGCTAGGATCGGGGGTTATGGAGACATCCTTCTCGGGACATTGCCGATTGTCTGCGTTATCGGGCTCCGATTCGAAGAAGTCTTGGCAGTTCAGCACGTGTCCGTGAAATTCAGATGAATGTTCCATCCCTGGTAGCGGTAGAGTGTCGGTGTGACCTCTACTTGGGGGTTCTAATCTAGAATCTATTCCGTGCTTGAGAAGACTCGCAACTATTGGTCTAGGTCTGTGGTCGTCGGGAGTGTGACTCAAAAGAGAGTACGACAGCCTACTGAGAGTTGTTTCAAATTCGGGCCGAAGCTGCTCTCGATTGGCTTATCACATTATTCATATTGAGCCGCCGTTCCTCTAGAATCCTGAGAAATTAGGAAACTGATCATTCGCCCCCTCCATCCCGAGCACATAGGAAGAACGCACCTCTGAGTTAGTCTATACTTGGCAGGACAGATCTCCGATATCGCGGGGATTTCGAATCAGAACTACCCAAACGGGTCTGCCAGGGCTACGAGCAAACCAAACAAACTCGAGCACCACGCCCCGCCCCGCGCCGGGCCTTTCCCGAATAGGCTTGGCGCTGACATTGGAAGGGCGTGCAGGTGCAGTGTTTTCTGATCATCCGGGACCTCGACCCCATCCACCGGACTCGCTGCGGCCCTGCCGTTCGTATCGTCTAAGCCGACTCTCAATATGACGTTGTGGCCTTCAGTCGGCTTTTCCGAATCTTGATCCATGCTGCGGATACGAGGTCTTCTCCGGATGGCATGCTCATTACATTCCGTTATGACGGATGGCCTATCGGACGTGGCAAGATGGCACAAGCCCTCGAGCTGCTGGTCTCTTGTAGAAGACACCTCATCTTCCGACAGTCCTCGTATCTGAGCGGCCTTAGTGGCTGTCTTAGCGTCTTAGTGGCACATGGCCGGTGGTACCGCAACTCAGGAATCGCCTATGGCTCCACCCGAGATTGATTATTCACCCAGAAGCCACGGCGCCGGTGTCCTCGCCGCTACCCCAGACCAAGGATACGCCCTCTTCACAGACCGACTCTTTCTTCAATCATCAATCTCCCCATCGTGGCCTTACTTTGATCCCATATTCCCCCGGCTGGTTCATCTTGCTTTTCTCCGTACAGCCATTCCTCCTGGAATCTGACGGCTGTCTTTTCCCAGCTGCGCAGCCCATCATGGAGTACTTTGATTTTGAAGGTGCCTCGTCCGCCCATGAATCGAACCATCCAAGTGACGATGTTGCTTCGGTTGATCTTCAATTCGATGAGCCCGAAGAGCGGGATGCCCGATTCAAGTTGCTCCAGGACCAGTCGTTGGACTTTCCTGGCAATCCTCCCGTCCCGGAGGCGGCCGAACAGTACGCGGGAGGTTCGATCGGCCCCGATCAGGACACCGGAGTCTACCCCATGTTCCGCGCCCAGGAACCCTGTGACTTTTGTCGACGAATGGGCCTGGACTGTTTTGTTGCCAAACGTGGAGTGATGCAGAACGGTTGTACCTGTTGTATCTCGCTCTATCGTGAATGCAGTTTCACCCACGCCAAAGTCCCTGGAAAATTCCTTCAGACCTTACACCCCGTGTCAGAGAATGCCTACATTCCTATAGGCAGCCTCACGGGGAAGAGAGCACTTAAATCCGTCTCTTATGGGACTTTTGGAGACGATACCGATGCACGATCTCGCTCCAGTAGCGCTCGATTCTCCCGCAAGGCTATCTCAATTCTCAAGGGCTGGCTGCGCGATCACAACGAGAACCCATATCCCAACGAGTCGGAAAAAGACGAGTTGAAACAGTACACAGGCTTGACCAGAACCCAAATTTCGAACTGGCTGGCAAACGCCCGACGACGCGGCAAAGTTCGCCCGTTTATTGGCACTAATTCGCCCGTGCCAGGAGCCGTTGACATTCCTGGTCAACCACAACATCCCAAAGATCCAGCCCTCATGACCCCTCTAGAACGTTGGAAATACTCTCCTCCCGAAAACGAACCGGCTACAATTAGCGATATTACCCGTGCTTTGGCCAATCCTCCATTCGATCCCTCGCGTCAGCGCAGGACCCATCTTGGTCACGTGAGGCACCGTCACCCGGGGTCTAGTACCAATGAGTCAAGCCACGCAAGCTCAGAACATAAAAGATATACTGCCTCGGCCAGTAGTCTGGACACTAGTCGGTCATCCCATTCAGACCTTTCTTTTGCTTCTGCATTTTCCCATCGATCATCCCTTTCCTTTGGTTCAATGGATCGCAAAGAACGTCGTCGTCGCCGCAAAGTCTCTGTACCTGTCAATACTTTCAATTTCCAGAAGGCTAAGGCTGTTCGTCCTTTCCAATGCACCTTTTGCACTGATTCATTTGCTGCCAAGTACGACTGGCAGCGCCATGAAAAATCTATGCACCTTATCTTGGACAAGTGGACCTGTTCTCCTTTTGGCGGCGTAACAGAGGAGAATGGTATACTTCGTTGCGTCTTCTGCCCGGCAGTCAACCCGGATAGGGATCACCTTGAAACCCACAATTACATTAGCTGTCAAGAGAAGTCCCTTCAGGAGAGGACCTTTTACCGGAAGGATCACCTCAATCAACATCTGCGCCTGATGCACAATGCCAAGTTCCAACCGTGTATGGAGAAATGGCAAAGTAGCATCACCGAGATCAAGTCTCGTTGTGGTTTCTGTGGCTCTCTGTTGCACACATGGAAGGACCGAGTGGACCACCTCGCCGGCCACTTCAAGAATGGGGCCAATATGGCTCAATGGCAAGGAGACTGGGGCTTCGAGCCCTCGATCCAAGAGCGAGTAGAGAATGCCGTCCCACCATATCTCATTGACTATGAGTGGAGGTCACCAAACCCATGGACCGCTGTTCAAGCACAGGGAGACGGCATCTCCCCACAGCTGGAGGTCCCGGATGACGCCAATTGCTACATGCGCCTTTCACGTGAACTTACGGCATATATTCACAACCAATCAGCACAAGGGATTATTCCAACCGACCTGATGCTGCAGGCTGAGGCCCGTCGAGTGATCTACGGAAATGACGACCCTTGGAATCAGACCTGTGCAGACAATCCGCTCTGGCTGACAATCCTGAAGCGAGACACTGGCCTAGAGACTGTCGTCAATAATGACAGCATTCAACTCTCTGATCTTGGATTGCAGCCCCCTTTCGCCGTCCACGGCGGCCTGCGCGAGCCTCCCCGGGAAACCAATATCCTGGCTAGGACGGTAGGTCCTGATGCCCTCCCCAGTCCAGCCGTGTCTAGCCCTAGTCTACAAAGCCCCGCCTACCCCCCCACCGGTTTCTCCTCTGCTGCGCCCAGTGGGCAAGGAAGTCTGTCGGGGAGTTATGCTGGTAGCTCAGGGATGATATCAGCTGGCGTGCCAGCGTTCATCTCCGATTGGAGCAGCAGTCTCACTGGCAACCCCTCCTCGTCTTCTGCTCCTGCAGAGGCAGGGCCACCTGATCCGCTGGTGCAGATGGGATTCGATCCGGAGTTCCTACAAAGGCTCAACGACAGCTACAGTGAACTCACGCCGCCTGATATGGAAAGTCTACCTTTGGATGCACCTGTGGATTATGAGGGCAAGGGGAAGCAGCCGTGGTTGAACCCGGCATCGCAGGCTCCTCCTCTCGTGGGCGTGCCTGCTTCAGATCCTCTTGCCATCCTCCATTCCAAAGAGGGCCACCATCCTGCGTCAGACGCCGCCCAACCTGGGCTGCCTGCATTTTGCGACGATACTGGGTTTTTCTAATTTTTGAGACGGAAACTACATCATGCATGCCAGCTGAAGCTGAAGTGGGAAAAGTTTAAATTCTTTGTATGGATTCAAAGGACGATTGGTGGATTTAGTATGATAATCCGATTTCTTTATGATGGTAGTACGTAATCAATTGGTGTTTCATTTTTTAATATCTATTTTACCTTTCACTGATCATCCTCGTGGTGGGCAGTTGTGTTTGGAATCGAACCCTCCCTGCACCCCCTGCTGGACGCTTAAAACCTGCGTTAAGGGGTTTTCAATGCTTCTAATTCGTCCTCATCATTGTGTACCTAACCCATCGCCTACATACGGGGAGTGCCCGGGCAGTTCGGAAATGGAATCCTTTGCCGACTTTCCGTGCTGGGCGTTGCTGATTGACTTGGCTCACGCCCGATCCTGATCAAGGCCGACTTTGCTTTGTCCCAGACCCAGTATCACGGTTGCATCCCTGTCTTACACGCAGCGTGCCGAGAACACGCTATCCCTGAGTCAGGCTCGCTCCCTGGCTCAGGTACCTCTTCGTTCTAGCGCTTGATTCGTCTCTTGCACACCATCTGCGCTAGGTGGAGGTTCACCGGTGTGGCCCTCTAGGGCAGCACGAGGCACATCCGCCTCAGCCTCCACCACTTCGCAGGACCAAATACCTCATGCTCCCAGATCCTCCGTCGGGCTATTGTCCCTCCGAGATCTAGAAGAGCCTTTTGTCATCATTAATTGAGCCCTTCCCAAAGTGAGGTTTCCGCGGGTGAGAGTGAGATCCCGCGCCGACGCCACGGAAACAGAGTCTTTAATGATTGGCTTCATCCCAACATCAAGATCCAGGATCCTAGGCTTAAACTATTCACCTATAAGGTGATCGGATGAACTGTCATTCCATCTGATGCTCTGCAGGGTTTCGCTAGAAACCCTGGTCCTCGACTAACAAATCAGGGAGCAGTTTCTTGCATCCGATGTCATGCGTGGATATCGCAAGCAGACCAGCCGCTGCTCTATGATGGCTTCGCTGAGACTCATAGGGCGTATATTGGAAATCTTGGCCGGAATGAATATGGTTCATTTTTGAAGGTCTTTTCTTGGTCTCATGGGCCTGTATATAGCCGTTAGCATCCCATGAGTCTAGATGATGCAACACAGCATTCAGTCTATACCTTGATAGCTTGAATAGAGACTACGACTGTCATGGGTCGCTTGCTTCTGTTACTCTTATGTTTCACTGAGTGGGCATCTGCCGTTACTGTCTACTTTTCTGTCCATCTAACTTGGGCCAACTACACTGTTGCAGGGGTGAGGCGGGAAATCATCCTTACCAATGGACAATACCCTGGTCCTGGGCTGCGATTGAACCAAGGCGATGATGTCACCTTTGATGTCTATAATAGCTGTCCATTCAACGTGACCGTACACTTCCACGGTAGGGATGACGTTCTCGGCCCTTGTTCAACGAATACTAAGATAGGAGGGTTGCTAGGCATTGAACAGATCGGCACGCCGTGGTCAGATGGGGTTCCCGGAATGTCGCAGAGAGTAATTCAAGCAAACCGTGCATTCCGTTACCGCTGGACCGCCAAGCAGTACGGTGCTTACTTCTATCACGCTCACCACCGTGGCCAATTTGAAGATGGTCTTTACGGGCCAATCTACATCACCCCATCGAGTTCTGAGGCACGGCCATTCAGTCTGATTACCAGCAATAATACTCAAATCCAGGCTATGCTCACTGCCGAAAAGAATACATCCCCACTGTTAATCTCAGATTGGCGTCTTCTGACATCGGAACAGATTTGGAGTGTCGAGGAGGCCTCTGGCGTTGACTCATATTGTGCAAATGCTTTACTGATAAACGGCAAAGGTTCAGTGACATGCTTCTCACAAGACGAGATCAATAGCTTGACAACGCCTAATCAAAAGGCGGCCCTGGGGAATGAATCTCTTACGGATATAGCGTGAGTACTCTTTTCTTTTGCGAGAGGTCCTTCTTCTAGGTAATGAAGGAATGCTAATAGATATTTCTATGGTTAGATGCTTCCCTCCGAACTTCACAGCTGCCCAAGGCGACTTCTCTCATAACTATAGTGCGCTCTTGCCGACAATGTTTTCTGGCTGCACACCCTCTCGAGGGCCCCAACAAATCATAAATGTGGACCCGAATGCCCAATATGTTAGTTTGGACCTGACTAGCGCTGCTGGCCTACTGCATCTTATATTCTCCATCGATGAACATGATATGTGGGTATACGCCATTGATGGACGCTACGTCGAGCCCGTGCAAGTGAACGCCATCAACATTCCCAACGCAAACAGGTACTCTGTCCTAGTTCCTCTGAACCAGACTGCGGGAAATTATACAATCCGTATGGTCAGCGGCAGCCCACAGCAGATCCTCAACACGACAGCGGTTCTGCACTACCGAGCTCGGAACCAGCTCAACAGAGCCTCCAACCCCTGGATCACCCTCACAGGCGGCAATGCCACGGCGAATACTATATTCCTCAATGACTCACAAGCCGTACCCTACCCAGCTATAGCGCCAGCCCCAAACGTCGATGCTACTTACTTCCTTACAATCGGTCGCTACGGCGCCTCGTACCGGTGGACACTAGGCAACAGCAGCTTCGACCTTGAGCTCGAAGAGTCGCAACCACTGCTCTTCAATGAAACCGCGATACCTAGCGACCTGCTCATTCGCACAAACAACAACACCTGGGTAGACCTGGTAATCCAAGTCGACCAGCCCGTGCAACCCGCACACCCGATTCACAAACATTCAAACAAGCATTTCGTCGTTGGCCAGGGCTCGGGAACATTTAGCTGGTCTTCTGTCGCAGAGGCGGTGCAGTCTATCCCCGGCTCATTCAATCTGATCAATCCGCCGATCAAAGATACGACGCCCACTCCAGTTGCTGTTTTTGGTCCGACATGGTTGGTCATTCGGTATCAGGTTGTGAATCCTGGTGCATTCCTGATGCATTGTCATATCCAGGTTCATCAGAGCGGGGGGATGGCATTGGCAATTCTAGATGGTGTTGATGAATGGCCGAATGTGCCGTCGAACTATCTCAATGATTCGGGATTTTGAGATTTGCATGTATGGCGTGGCTGGATTGGAGAAGTGGTGATTTAGTAAGCGATAATGTGGGATCTGGTGGGTGGAGATGACGGAGTATATGCTCTGGTACAGTCGATGTTTGTACTGGAGACATCACATCTGCACAGGTGATTGATTGATTGGGGATTGGGCAGATATACTGTGAGAACTTTAGGGTACTAGATTGAAACATGCCTGGCTGAGCTGTTGGAGTAAATGGGATTTCACGAAGCAGATATTGCAGAACAAATTGGACACAAAATGTCACATATAATATGGCTCACACGCTAATTCTTATCATACATACATTAATCATACCCAAAACTATCAAATTGCCATCGAACGAGAGACTAGCTGGCTAAAGAACATCAATATACGCCCAAAATGGTAAGGTAAAATGTGAAATAGATCACAGTCAAAAACAGGTAATCTCAAACGCAGACGTCGCAACTCGTGTCATTCCATTCGTGAAGGGTCTGTTCCCAAAAAAGTTATGTTTCTCTCCCCCGGCAAATCCTGCTATCATATTTGCGATGCAGTTATTGCTCCTCGGCAGGGAGAGGTTCCGGCCAAGCTTCATGATATTCCTCGGCAGGCTCAATTGGTGCTTCTGGTACGTGGATTGCTTCTGCTACCTCGACCGGCTCAAGGTGGACTTCTTCCTGGGATTCCCCCGGGAGTTCCTCTAGTGGCGTGGCTTCGGGGAAAGGCTCAGGTTCGAGAAATTCGGTTTCGACCTCAGCGGCAGTCGTTGATGAGACAATCTCCTCAGTGAAGAAAGGAATGCCTGATTCGGAAATTGGCATGGAAGCCATCAGGCTCGAGGTAGGAACAGTGCTCTCCACCAAGCCGGTGCATGAAGAAGCAACCGACAAAGCTGGCGGATTGATATTCACGTTGACCCTCGGTGCTGGAGTAGACTGGAAGGTCTCATGAGTAAACGAGTGCAGAACATTTTGGAGCTGTTGTTGCGGCGGGCCGGATCCAATGGCGAGGAAGACCACAAGAATACTCATGAAGACCAGCGCGACATTACGCCTGTCACCAGCCAAGACGCGGACATAGTTAATTAACAGAGTCCGGAGGGCAATCTCATGTTCCTGCTTCTCTTGCTTGGCCGCCAAGAAGCCAGGTCCCCGATCCCCAAAATGGGGCTCAATAGGGTGGTCGCCAGCTCGGAAGGACCCAGTATCGCTGAATGTCCTAGAGTGGGTCTGGACAGACAATCGGCGTGGGTCTATATCCAGCTTCGCCGCATCGTTGAAGGCCATTGTGGGGTGGGTTTCCTCAGTAGGCATAGCCGCACGCTCTTCTGCAAGTCGCTTCTCCAAGGCGCGCCGTACGTCTGACGGTAGCCAAAGTCCAACCTCCACATCTACCTTCTCCATTTCTTTCCACGCAGCAGCCCAGGCGCCAGCGCGCATGAGGCCATTAGCAGCGTAGACCCTGATCTCCCATTTACGATTGCTGTCATCATGGTACAGAACATGTCCACCGCAGTCGGGGCATTCATTGCCCTGCTCGCCGTCTGTCTCGCTCTCCCCTCTGTCGGACGTCTCACCCTCCGAAACCGGGCCGCTCTCCTCATGGCCGAGGAAATGGCCCTGGTGCACACGTGGGCGCTGTAGTTCAAGACTTTCCAGCAGTCGTTCTTCCAGCATGTCGTATAGATCCTCGGGGTGGGAGATCAATACGCCCCGATCGCGAAGTACTCCGGAGCCAACCTTCTCTTGCAGTCTGCACCATCGCTTCCAGTATTGCACCGGCAATACCTCCTCGACTATTTTCTGGTAACGCAGCTCAGCTGCATCAGGGACTGGGAGAGACGGGGCGAGAAGTGTACAGTGTAGCAGCACAAGCGGATATTCCTTCTTGACACTCTGTTTGCTTTGGGATGCTTTGGGCGAATAGTGCGGTGATCGTTTAAGCGGCGATGTTCCAGGCGATCGCATGCCTGGCCGTCGCCTAGGTGGAGTCAAAAATTCATCGTCATCCGCTTCATCCTCTGTATGCATCTGCATCGCCCGCACGGAGCTCGGTTTCCGAAACGCAGCCTCGCGTTGTCGAATGGTGCGTATCGATTGCGGCAGTCCGTCGAAGCCGCCGAAGTTTGCTTCGTCGTCTTCTATCGAACACCCATTGCCGCGTGCGTGCATGCTCATGGCCGGTATATGTTTTATTTGATCCAGAGGGTGCACTAGGACGGAGGCCGGAACTGATGACAGCGAAGAGCGGCTCGACGCCCGGGACTTCATTTGCTCCAGTTCTTCATCCATCTCGCGACCGAATATATCACTAGTCGAGGGTCGGGTCGACGAGCCGGATGAACTGTACTCGTAGCTTAGGATAGACATTTGCCCGTCATCGATTGTCGATCCGGCCTCACTAGGTAGGTGGGCTGTCTCGAGGGAAGCAATTAGGAACTCCTTGCTGGGAGGGGCACACGGCTGGGGACTCAGAATATAGTTCGAGGCGTGAACCTCCGCGTCGGGGAAATGGTCATCGTTCAGCCTCGCCATGGAGACCACATAGAGTAGTCAATGGAGAAGAAACAACAGGAATTTATGTGCAGACACTCGTCTGATCACCAGCGCTGCGGTTTGCTGAGCGGACGCGTGTTGACTGTCGCTCACCGCTCCGTCGCGCCGGGCAACCGCCCGTTGGGCGCCGCCCACTCTCCGCTTGGGTAGATCCCGAAGTATACCTGTCAATGATTACATGGAAATGATATATTACATTGTAACATTCTCCATCAAAGTGCGTAAAGTTCCTCCAAAGGGACCGGATCAAAACACGCAAAGAGGCTCACGCTACCCAAAAATTCAATGACTAAAACTCAAAAGCACCCGCCGGCGATCTATGTGGTGCACAGGGATATTTCCATCCATGAGACGCCGATGGTACAATAATTCCCACAACCAGAGAAATGATCAAAATAGGGCGACGCTGAACTGAGGACCATGCAAAATTTGCCAAAAATGGAAAAATACATATATACGAGAATGGAATAGACGCATTGATCAACACATTACTGAGGGGGCCGGGGCGTAGTATCGTCCGGGCTCATCATGGGGAAGTTCTGGTTCTCCCCAAAGAAGCTGAGAACGTCTTGAGGCAGGTATTCGAGCCATGGGAGAATCTCGCCATTGGAGAAGGGAAATGATTCCTGCTGTTGCAGGGTATTCATGTCGACATCGTGGCTCTCGATCATCACGCCACCAGTGTTGAAATTCATGCTGGGATGCAGATGACCGGCCCTAGGGCCCAAGTGAGCGCTGCTTGCATGATGATCCGCTGTAGATGATACCGAGTAGGTATATGGAGGGGGTTGAGCAGCCGAAAGGCCATTGTAGGTCGATTGAGCTGCTGCTGCCGATGCGCGGGCGCTCGACCCGGAGTACGGAGAGTTCATCCCCAGGAAATAAGGAGAATCAGAACCGATTTGTCGGGCTGTAACCTGAGAGAATTTCGGATTGACTGCGGCGAGAGAGGATGCCCTGCTTTCATCGTGCGTGCGGGTTGGGGTACCGGTCTGGGGGAAGGAAGAGCTTGAGCCCTGTGCCGTGTTCGTTGGGACCGGCATAGATGGGTAGCTATGGCTATACTGCGATGGATGAGAAGGTTTTGTGGGAAGCGCGTCGGTCTGGGTCGAAGGCATTTGATAAAGTAAGCTCAGGTTGGGTTGCGAAGAGTTGGTGGCTCCAGTGAGGGCCCATCCGATAGCTGTAAACCAGGCACAGGGTATAAGCAGATTGCCTCTCAGCAGATGCAAAAACGCCCATAATGCTTACCTTGACTGGGGTCAATCTTTGGAGACCACTTTCCATCGGGCGGGATGTCCGCCTCTCCCGGAGTTCTTCCGGTGCCCTGCGCTGGATCCGCAGGGTTGCCTCCATGCCAACCGGCAGACCCAAATGTTTGCACTGGAGAGAGCTCTGCTGTGTTTTCCATGTCCTCGGCAGTATAAAGAAGCGGATCGACAATTCCCTTGGCCTTCTGGTCCAAAACTGTTAAGATGTACCTTGTGCCCTCCCAATACGCGTCCAGCGCCTTTAGCGCCTTGTAGCAGCGCTGATAGTTCTCTTTGGCAGCAGAGGCAAGAAGAATATGCTTAGCAGTAGACTTTCGTTCAGGGTCATTTGACGACTCCATCGTAGGCATCACGAAACCACTAGATTGGCTGGCTAACAACGGTTGGGGCGGAGGCGAAGCGGATCTTGACGATGGTGACGAATAGTATGTGCTCTCCATCAAAAACGCACATGCTGCGATGTACATCGGTTGACTGGTGAACGGATTACCGATGAAGCTCTTCCCATCGACTAGTTCCGAGAATGAGAGAATATCAGCGATTGTCTTGGCAGAGGACATCGAAAGTTCACGGCTGTTGGGATAAAGATGCTGTATTGTGCCACCGAAGGAGTTTAGAAGAGTGGGCTGATGGAGAAGCACGATGAGAGTATGAAACCACTATCACCAATTAGAAAAGGATTGGACCAAGGCTAGGTGGCGAAGATTGGGGGTACTTACAAAGTGTAGGAGTATGAAGTTGGTCCCTTCTTTAGCCTTCACATACGCCTGGAAGTTAGCCGCGTTGAAATAAAGCTTGGGCGACAGCCGCTGGTAGATGCCAGTCAGATCGCTTTCCATGCCAGCCAATCTCTTGAGTGTGTCCGACGTGACGTGATTGACGTCTTGGATGCCATTGATCAGGTCGGTCACTCTTCCATAAAGATGAATGATCCGAATAAGAGGCGGGAACGGTGCGGGCCAACCATTTGGCAGTTGTGACTCAGATTGAAGGGGGAAGCAAAGCTCAATATCTTCATCGCGTAGCGTAACGGGCCGACCTGTCCCCGAAGAAATGACACGGTCGAGAAAGAAGATGCTCCAGAACGAATCGACTCGCTCACGCTCTCGAGCGCGCTCAGTATCAATTACAGGCGGAATCGTTTTGGGGCTCTGGTACATATCTAGATCATCGTACTGATCCTCTCGAAGCTTTCCAGCTTGTCCGGTCATAACTTCACTCGGCGTCACGCCTTTTTGGCCATAGTTGTGCTTCAAACCCTGCAGTTTTTGCAGGCCGAGATCTTGTGCCATGCGAATGGATATACCGAGGTACATCCAGAGTCCGCTATCATGGTTGGATCCGAACTGCTCATACGCCAACAAAAGGCAGGCCTGAACCGCAGATAGAGTTGGGCATGATAGTGAATCGACAAGCGTACTCATCGCGCGGTGGGCAAATGGCAACCCACGGTCCCACAGGTTGATATCAGCAGGCGGTTGTGAGCGATCAATAGGCGGCGCTTGAGGAGGACCGAGTATCGGGTGGGGGGAGAACCTGGCTGCCAGAGAACAGACCGCATCCACCAACATAGTATCGACCTTCTTGTCCTTGAGATCGTGCAGAAAGCGCTCCCGCTGGAGGAAAGGAAAATTGCAGCCAAGGTGTGCAAAGAACAAATCGCATAGATGAGAAACGAGATTTGAAACAGGTAGAGCATCGTCACGGTCGTAAAATGGGATCGTATTGGCGTCGCGACTGTCACGCATGTCTGCCGTAGGAGCTGGAAGGCTGACTGGAGCATCGAATGGCCTAGGGCTTCGTAGTGGGGAGAGTGAATCTGGAGAATCCACTAGAATTAGCGAGTATGCCGATATCATAGCATGCGGCTATGCGCATAGCAAAGCGACGAACCTGATGACAAGGAAGGGTTGCTTTTGCGTGAACCTCGAACTTGGACAACCTAGAAAGTGGGTTAGACACATGTCATCGGCGCTGGACTAGCGAGAATGTCCGAACCATTTGTTTGAAACCCGGCACGATGGCAGTCGGGCCAAAATATCTAAAATACGGGACATGGGTGCGGTTGCTGGAGCTCACGGAGGTACGACCTGCGCGAGAGTCAAGAAAGTCAGCCTCATGGTGCCGGGCGCATCCGCGCAGCTACCCAAACTCACAGCTTTCTGGACTATCACCCGCCGCTTGCGGATCCGACTCTTTGTGTACGCGCGCCGAGGCATTATCTTTTGAGGAACCAGTTTTGATTTCTGGCGGTTTCGGTACTTGCGGGGACTTGTCGGGGTTGACTCTGGGGGGGGATGTCGGTGGGGGCTCCGGGGAACAGCTCTCGACCGCCCTTGCGACCCGCTGGCTGGCTTCTTTGGAGCCGGCGAGGGGAAGGGTCGCTGGGATGCGGGACGCGGAGTCGGATTGGGATCGCAAGTGAGCAGTAGAATCAGTGTAGCCGAGGCAGACATGCTTATAGTCAGAGCATGTCTTGCAGACTGTCGCAGGGACGTGAGTTAAGGGTTCACAGGTTGGGTATGCATCTGTTCGTGTCCCTCCTACCTGGTTGTTCTCCCGAACATCGAATCTTGCGCCGGCGGCATGTTAAACAGCTAGAAAAAGCAAAAGTACTTGTTAGCATCACCGCATTCTCCTTGTGAAGCCGGAAAGTGCGCTGTGCACGTACGCCGCGTTGACCCGGCGGCGCTTGGTTTGGGGTTGGCCGTCGGTAGCGACAAAGCGGATTTGTCGTGGCCCAGAAGCATTGCCGCCGATTTTCTTCTTGGGAGAAGGAGGGCTCATTGCGAGCGAGAGATTTATCCGTGATCACGACCCATTGGGCACCAGGTCGAGTTGCGCTGATGTGTTGACGAGTCGATCGACGGAGCTGAGCTAGCTTTCGTCGGAGGCGTGGCCGGAGATCGGGCAGATGAAACGGTAAGGGAGATCGTGGGAGAGGAGAATAGAGAGCGGAAGCGAAAACTTCATGAGGCTGTGTTGTCGCGAAAGGGAAGAGCCAGGACTCGATCGAGGGGAAGGGGGCCTCAGAGCCCAATAGGAAGGGATAGCGAGCTGTTGAGGTATGGTGGGAGGGAAGCGGGAAACGAGAGGGAGGGGAGGGGCGGCGTTGGTGGAAGGATAGGGAGATTGGGAGATGAGGAAGATGGGGTTGAGGAGGCGTCGAGGACGATAAGCGTAGAAGGTCGTGTTCTCTCGCTTGGAGTAGCGTAGCTTCCAGAAGAAAAAAAAGAAAGAAGAGCGAGGAATGAGAAGAAGGAGCTTTGAATGGACGAAGACCGACGAGCTATACGCCACTGGGGGGATTTACAGGTTTTACAGTACGCGGCATTCTGGCCGTCGCCCTTGTTCGCTGATCGATCATGCTATGCCCGTACAGTTTTTGGTTGTAGGTCGGTATGTGTGGATGTGCAGCTGGAAGTATAGCTACTTGGTCAAGTCGGAGTACTGCTGGCGACATAATTTGACCACCCATGACTTTGGTTACGGTGATTTCCACGAACTAACGGCGTGGGACTTCACAAGGAACTAAATAGGACTCGATTCCCCGTGTATTTCCTTCCTCTCTAGGACGTCGGAAACAGTGGCGCGCGCAGTGGGGGGCTTTACCCTTTCGCTGGATCGGAATATTTACGGGGTACGGGGTATGGAGTATTGGAGTGCCCATCCACCAAAGTGACATCCCAAAGTCAAGATCTGATGGTCATGGGATCGTTGCCCTGGTGGGGCGACCACACGAAGATCCGCTCGGTGCCCGCTGGGACGTTCCTGGCTGGCGGGCTCCCGGCTTTCAGAGGGGTTTGGTATGGGCCTTGGGTTTTGTGTGATGGGTGATTGTTCCTGCAGGAGACTCGAGTAGGAGAGGACAACTCATAGCAATAGCTAGTGTAGATCGGGACTATAGGACTCCCTAGCTTGGCGGCGAAGTTTCCTATCCCATATTATCCCACGTTGGGGACATTGAGGGCATATACTTCACATTGGGGGGGGGGACGGGGCGCGCACGGCGAGTCCAGACTTCCCGGGCTCCATTTATTGCTCTCCAGCAGCCCCAGCTGCTCCAGTTTTCGGAGTACTTTGCGGGAGTCGGCCGGGGTTTTCCCGCAACTCGGACCAGTCACCATTGCCCCATTCTCCCGTTTACCAGCCTGCCTTCGCCAATGCTAATGTTCTTGGCCCATCATCGCGGCATATCGGCTGGCAAATAAGCTTATCCATTTACTGGATATTTGTGCTTTTGTTACCCGGATTTTACACGTCTATCGGGCGAGAAATAGACCGAGGGCAGTACACCAAGCGTTCGGAACCTACCTTCGGTCCGCCAGAAACCACCCGCCAGCAACATCATACAATTTAAGGTATTCTAGAAGGCTGGTTAGTGTAAGACATCTGCCTGGGTGAGTCGGAAGGGAACATGATCAGAAAACCTCACTGCGATTCCTCATATCAAGCTAGTCTCAGGTGTCATCCGTACACACTGACAATGGTCGGGCCGACCGTGGGGGGCAGCGGCGGTTACTGCCACGGCTAGTTCACGTGAGTGACCCCCAAATATGCGTGGCAATACTGTCAAGCGGTCAAAGATCGCCGTGGTAGTTAGCCCCGCTTCGATTGGTAATATAAGAAAGCGACGAGGTCGCTGCTTGGCGAGGGAGACGCGATAAGGACGGGTCTGCAATCAATCGAGCCTTGATGCATTTCTTCGCAACCGCTCTCCGTGCGACTCGGAGATCCTCCGGGCTACCACTGTGAGTGTCCCAAATGCCTCGCCGTCTCGGCGGCAAGGTCAACACGACCGGCCGGCATGGCAACATATGTCAATGGCCAGGTCCGAGATGAACCCACATGCAGGCGCGCTCGAACAACTGGGCTGACTCGAAGCATCGTGACTACAGTCGCGCCCGCTCCAATTGCACCTCCTACCACTCAAGTCAGCCCCTAAGCACCACGTCCGCCATGCTCAAAGTCGGCCGGGATTTCGAAGCCCTCCAAGCCACCCGGCCGGACTTCCGCCGCGACGCCGAGGTTACCTTCTCCAAACCCCCCAACCCGGCCTGGAAAGAAGGCGACGGCGCCAACGATGGCGGTGAGAGCCTGAAGAAGGATCACGTCGAGATCGATCCCCATGCCGATGGCCGGTCTGTCGCATCCAACTACAAACTCCTGATCTCGGGCATGGTGCCGCGGCCCATCGCCCTTATCAGCACCAAGTCGGAAGACGGGAAGACAACGAATCTCGCACCGTTCAGTTACGCGCAGCTCATTAACCATGATCCGCCGCTGTTCATCGTCGGGTTCGTCGGTTCGCTGGACAAGGCTAAGGATACACTGAAGAATTTGAACGAGACGAAGGAGTGCGTGATCAATATTATCTCGGAGCACTTCGTTGAGGCTGCCAATTCGACGGCGATCAATGCGCCCTACGGCCACTCGGAGTGGGACGTCTCGGGCCTCACCCAGGGCCCAACCTCCGTGGTCAAGCCTGCACGTGTGAAGGAGTCAATCCTGGCGATCGAGGGCAAGCTGGTCGAGACGAAGGAGTTTGAGAGCCGGGCGGTGCCGGGTAAGAAGTCCAGTGTGTTGGCTATTATCGAGGGCGTGCGGTTTTGGGTGCGGGAGGATGCTATTGACAAGGAGCAGAGTGTCATCGACCTGAAGGTTCTCAAGCCTATTAGTCGTTTGGGTGGCATATCATATGGTCGCACTACTGATGCTATTGAGATTCCCCGTCCGAATTTTTAAAGCTTTCGATTGCATAACACATATATGTGTGGCCAGCGGATTGACTACGACGGATACATTAGAAGAACAAGAAGTGCAATGCATCCAAGGAACCATACATAGAGTAGTATCGAAACTTTTTATGGTAGCCATTCGGCAATTCAGTTGTTGATTGACCCCCACCATTGTGGCAGGCTGTCCGGTGCTGAATGACTGTGAACGAGACTGGGAACATTCTGTCACTACATGGTCAGCATCCAAGTGCTGGGCCTAACGACTGTACTTGGATCTATCGGTATCCCAGGAACTACGGTATCCCAGGAACTATGATTTCCCATCATGCGCGATCCCAGTATACTGATTACAAACACGCCCCAAAGGAAATGCAAAGAACACCATGTCAGGCGATTCATGACAAATCTATGGGGACGGGATCCCGTGGAAGATATAACTCCCGACTCCAAGCGCGTATCGTGCGGAGAGGGGCAGATATCTCGCATGTCGAGCGGGGTCGTTCGTTATCTCTAGGCCGTAGGACTATAAATGCGCAACGCCCAGGACCAGATATCGCCGAACCAGGATCTTTTGTTTCACCAAGCCTTATTTCAACCGACCGCAACAATGTCGGAGCCGGATTACGAGGTTTACAAGCTCGGGGACTGGGACCTGCAGAGCGGGGAGAAGATTGCTGATGCACATATCGCATACAAGACCTTTGGGGACCCCCACCTCCCGGCCATTGTTTACCCCTCTTGGTTTTCGGGTGGTATGTCGTTGGAACATGAGACCTTGGATAGCTGCTGACTTGATGCTAATCTTGTCTGTACAGCCATCTCGGACAATTTTTGGCTAATCGGAGAAGATAAGACCCTCAACCCGAAGGAATTCTTTATTATCATCACAGCCCTCTTTGGCAACGGGCAGTCGTCGTCTCCTTCAAACCAGCCCACCTCTAAACCCTTTCCCAAGGTTTCGTTCTACGACAATGTCCGCGCCCAGCACGAGCTCGTCACCAAGCACTTCGGCATCACACACCTGCGAGCCGTCTTGGGCTGGTCTATGGGTGCCGGTCAGACCTACCAGTGGGCAACGCAGTACCCGGATTTCATGGACATTGCAGTACCATTCTGCGGCTCAGCGAAGACATCCCTGCACAATCAAGTATTTTTAGAGGGTGTCAAATGTGCCTTGCTTGCTGTCAAAAATACTCGATCGGCCGGGTCTGGCAAGGTTGGAGTGCAGGAGAGCTCCCTGGAGGTTCGAGTGTGGAGTGACAGGGATAGAGAGGTTGGTCTCAAGGCCATGGGGAGAGTTTATGCGGGGTGGTATGGCCTTTCCCTTGCCTGCTTTGTATTGAAGCTGGACTAACAACCAAAAAAATAACAGGGGCTTCAGCCAGGCCTTCTATCGCCAGAAGCTCTATGAGTCAGCCCTGGGATACAAAGACCTCGAAGACTTTTTGGTGAATTTCTGGGAAACGTGGGCTTGCTCGAAAGGTACCATCCTCTAGCGGTTGTGCTAAATCGCACTTGCACTAACGGCACTCTCTAGATCCCGAGAACCTGTTGGTGATGATGCAAACCTGGCAGAACGGGGACGTCTCCCAGCAGGAGCCATACAATGGAGACTTTGAGAAAGCAATGGCCGGGATCAAGGCGAAGACACTCGTTCTGCCAGCGAAGACTGACCTTTACTTCCCGTAAGAAGACCCAATGATTTCTGGATTGGATTTTAACAGAGATATTGACATTCAATTTCCGTTAGGCCCGAAGATTCCGAGTACGAGGTCGCGTGTATGAATCCTGGCGTTGGAAAGCTGGGCGTCTTCCCTTCTGTCTGGGGACGTAAGTGCATCTTGATTGATTTCGATAGCAACGAGTAAGGCTGACTTATATCTGCAGACTGGGCAGGAGGCCCCGGCGATAGCAAGGGGGATGTGGAATGGTTGGACAAGCAGCTCTCAGAGTTCTTTGCGGAAAATCCGCCAGATGGCGTTGACGCTCTGGGTGAGAAGCTTCAGGGTGCGCTGTGATCGGCAGATATTGCGCGCGACTCCTGGGGACGGTCGCTCACCGAGGAACACTGGGGTTTCCTTGACAGCCCATCATAATTCACGATCAGTCTACCACATAAGCTTGTCCGGAATTCCTGCAAACAATTGCATTCCAAGTTCACAGAAGATAACCAGCCCTGGCGTAACAAAGGGCGTGAAAATTGGCCAAAGTACATGATCATGTGACAGAAACTGAGTAAGCGCCGTAGGCCCATCCATGTCTGTGGAAACGCCGGTTGGCGATGGACAAACCTTTCGCGCCGTCACTTCATCCACTGCTCCCTCGAGCTGTCGTTCATTTCTGGTCGTGTCACTTCCTTCTGTTTTCCTTTGTCGATCTCAATTCCACCCGTCGTTCTTCTTTCCTGTCCCTGGTTACTCGCATCGACAAGCGACTGTGACGTCGACCCGGCCGAGTTCTCTCTCCCGTTATCTAATCCCTATCTTCACTGGAACGCGACACCTATTACCTCCTCGCAGACTACCTCCCTCTTATAAAAAAAATGACGGCGACCTCTGGTCGACAATGGGGTGTGACTCCTCCCATATCAAATGCTCTGCCGACACACGATGAGGTGGCTGCGAACGACGATCTCATCGCCGAGCTCAAGGCGCAGAACAACTTCGAACCGCCTTCAGATTCCGAAAAGAGGTGCGTGTCATTCATGCTGGTTAGCTCACAACGAGGAAGTGACGGCTGATGAGTTTACGGCAGAATACAAATGCTCCAGTTACTCCAACGTGTTGCGCTAGAATTTGTGAAGTCTGTGAGTCGCAAAAAGGGCCTTTCTCCTGCGGCTGTCGAGGCTTCGGGAGGCAAGATCTTCACCTTCGGCGGTTACCGACTCGGTGTCTATGGCCCAGGTAAGGCTCATTTCACTGCGTTGCTCTGAAGAATCTAAGCTTATAATTGACCATTGTTGTTCGGTAGGATCGGATATCGATACTCTCGTGGTTGGCCCGAAACATGTGTCTACCGAGGATTTCTTCTCCGACTTCCCCCTCTCCTACAAAACATGGCACCCGAAGGCGTGATTGAAAAGATGACTCCAGTTCCAGATGCTTTTGTTCCCATTATTAAACTGGAGCTTGCTGGGGTCAGCATCGATCTGCTTTTCGCTCGTTTGATAATTCCTTCTGTGCCGATGAACCTGGACCTGAAGAACAATGATTATCTGCGAGGCTTGGAAGAAAAGGATGTTCGTTCGCTGAATGGAACCCGTGTTGCGGATGAAATACTGGAGCTTGTTCCCCAGCAGAAGACCTTTCGCCTCGCCTTGCGCGCAATTAAATTGTGGGCTCAACGTGAGTCAAGACCCTTTCACCTCTCTTTGTTCATTCAGTAGCACGTGGACTAAATACAATTTTGTTTAGGCCGAGCAATCTACGCTAATATTGTCGGCTTCCCCGGAGGTATTGCTTGGGCGATGTTGGTGGCCAGAGTGTGTCAGCTGTACCCTCAGGCTACCGGCTCGGTTATTGTTGGCAAGTTCTTCAGAATCATGAACAAATGGGCATGGCCTCAACCTGTGTTACTGAAGCAGATTGAAGAGGGCCCTCTCCAGATGAAAGTCTGGAACCCCAAGGTAAGCAATGCTCGCCATGTTGTCATGTGTGGAATTTAGGACTCACATTTTCTTTTTGTTATTCTTTTCCAGATCTACCATGGCGATAGATTCCATTTGATGCCTATTATCACTCCTGCCTATCCCTCCATGTGTGCAACTCATAACATCTCAATGTCGACCAAGACTGTTCTTCTACGGGAGCTCCAAAGAGGAGGCGACGTTGTGGACAAGATTTTCATGAAGCAACTTTCCTGGAATGATCTCTTCACCCGCCATACCTTCTTCACCCAAGACTACAAGTACTACCTCAGCATCACCGCATCAAGCAAAACGAAGGAAGACGAGGCAGTTTGGTCCGGCCTTGTCGAATCGAAGCTGCGTCACCTCGTTGGGGCTCTTGATCGGAAGGGCATTATTGCGGTGGCTCATCCTTTCCCCAAGGGATTTGACAGAATCCACACTGTTACAAATGCGCAGGAGATGGAGGCCGTCAAAAATGGATCAACACAGTATCAGGCCAAGGGAACGACGACGGAGACAACCGACGAGGCAAATAACCCTGCCCACGAAGTTGCGGCGCAGTATGGAATGGAGAATGCAGATGTTCCAGAGCCCGCGGAGCCTATGGAGCGTACGGAGCAGAAGCCCGAAGGTGAAAGTCGTACCGTCTACACTACTACCTATTATATTGGCTTGGAGTTAAAGCCATTGGAGCCAGGTATGGAGCTTACTTCTCTTTACTTTGACGTTTCTAACCCATACTAGGCGCCTCCCGATCTTTGGACATCTCCACGGACTCGCAGATCTTCAAGTCAACATGTACATCCTGGACGGGCTATCTTCCAGAAGTTCATGACCTGGCGGTCACCCACGTTCGCAAGTAAGTCATTCAAGCCTCTTAATCCCTCTCTCGATCAATTGATCCTAACACCTTCAGCTTTGATCTGCCGGATGATGTCTTCCAAGCCGGCGAAACCCGCCCGTCCCGACCCAAGAAGAAGGTGATCAAGAGGACGGAGTCGGCCGGCCAGAAACGAAGGCTCGGCGAAATGGACGTAAGTGAATTGAAGAGAACGAGATTGGACCTGACTCAGTAATGACATCGATACTCGAACTCGCCCTTCCACGTCTCGCGAAATCAGATGCCCTCGGGGTACCGACAAACCGGAATCACTAATTTATGTTCTTACTCCACAGGATTCGGTACAGGGATCGGCACAAGGAGCAGCCAAGCGCCAAGTCACACCAAACACGATTGCCAGCACTGCAACCCCGGCGTAAACACTTCTTCTTTGACTTGAGAATAACGCATCCATCCCATCCCGCCGGGGCTGGTCCCCATAATAAAGAGAGAAAAAACAGCACTACCACCACCAGAATCTTCCAGATATGGCCTGCGGCCATCTCAGCCTTGCTCTCCTATGAGCCTGATACTTTGATCAATCGGCCATCGGGCGACTTTCTTTATCGCGGTGAACCTCATACCACGCTCACTGAGCACAAGGTCGGTTTTTCCACTTACCCTCCCCTTTACTCCAGGTTTGGCGACTAGACTAGCGTCTGGTTTCCTTATTGTATCTACCCACGGAGATGTCCGAGCAACACATCTCCCGCATCTACTTGCATAGGCAAGAGTCGGATTCTTGCCTGCTATCTTATCTTTCCAGGCCGAGGTAATCAGGGCGTTTCTCGGCGCTGGTGATAGCCTTTTGCGCTGTTGGTATTACGTTATTAATTCGGGTCTTGCAAATAGCTTAGCTAGGGTAGTTTAATCGGAGGGGTAGGCCCGCAGTGTGTGGGCTAATCGTATTTATCTTTCCTTCTATTGTGTCTCGTAGATCACACGAACTTGAAACTGTAGTCAATTCGGTCTATTCGCTCCGATTCCCGACCATGAAACATGGCGCCCCCACCCGGTTATAGATCTTGAATTCTCGTGGCTTCGCGAACATAAGCTCCGTCGCGGCCAGATATCCCTTTTAGTAATCCTTGGTCATTTGAGTCATTTGATTCTGGTCCTACGCGTCAGAAATTAGAGGCAAATGACGTTCGGGAGAAAATAGTCTCCGTGAACCATCGAGTGGCCGTATATCCCTTTGCAGAGTCAGTGCTACGGCCATACCGTTCTTCACCCACCGCGAAAAAGAACCTCATTTCCCCAACCAAACACAGTGCTCCTGGATTCTTTGGAGACTGGTACCGCTCGAAGAGGCGAAACTCGGGCTCTGCAACCACACCCTCGTAGGACAGGCTACTCAAAGAACTTAGGCACATTGGCTGGGTCAATGTGAATCACCGGTGACATGTAAGCTGAATCCGGACCTAGTTGCTATACTGAAGGAACGATACCGAAGACTCGATTCTGGATACTGATCAATCCAACGATTGGACAGCGCCCTTTTCGTAGCAACCAAGCCATCGCGACCGAGCTTATTCCGCACCCTTCTTGCATCTCAGTTCTTCTAGCCGGTTCACAATCGTCGTTTTGGACTTGGTCGCGCATCCGATCATCTTCTAGCAGGGGATGGCACATTTTCGTCATGACCACCACGCAGCTGCGCAGTACAACGTAGTTTGTCACCGTAATGTCATGGATACGGAAAACATGGACCTGGCCAACACCCTGGCTCTAAAGCAGATGGCATAGGCACCAGGCGACCCAAATGACATGTTGCCTCGATTTCTGAGTGGGAAGGGTGCTCTGAACGCCCGGTAAGGCGCTACATGGGTTGAATTCATCCCATGCTATTATTCCGAGCATATTCTCGATATAGCTGATGCAGAGGTTGGTCTGATACTAATAAAAATTCAGAATGAGCGCTAAGAAATGGGGAATGCAATTCTCTCTATAATTCTATGTTCTAAACAACGTATTCAAGCAAGCTGTGAAATCGGAACTTTCGACCACCAGAATTGGGTCTGTTCCCTCGCCCAATCATCCTTGGTCAACTTCGAGGCTGCGGCACTAGTGCCTCCGATCAACTCTTCATTTCCCTCTCCCAAAGTCATGATATGTGCATCATTTGGTACAAATGGTTTCCATTCAGATCTTTGAGAGTAACGACCTGCTATAGCGTTAGGATCCCCCTGGGTGATGAAACTGGTGATATAGGCATGCAGCGTTCCAGAAAGCTCCTTCTGTGACTCTGAAATCCCTGTGATCCCACTGTTATATGTCTCATAGTACATGTTATCACCATGGTTTGCTCTGCCAACCACGGTTCTGGGAAGAGCCCAGTGATACAGGTAAACAGGGACACCTTGGGAGGATGCAAAGTCGGCTGTCTGGCGGACGGGTGCAACATATGCATAGTGAGCGTACGCTGCCTCAATGCGTTTATACTGAGGTCCTAGTCCGCGGCCTTTTCTCGTTTCGACATATGGTGAAGTCGAATCAACGCTCGGGTCCGGGTACAGCTTGTCGATTGTATCCAAATCCGAAGATGACAGCTCAGGAAGAAGATTGTGCCAGAACGCGCGGAACTGTCCCGGATCAGACATTTTCTTGTCCACGTACATGGTCCCTTCATTGGTTGTAAAGCCCGTCATTATCGGCACCTTATTCCAGAGCTGAGAATTCCAGGCGTCCAAAGGCTTACGGTAAATAAGCTCATCGTCAATGACAGGTTGGAAAGCCCACCGAAGAGAAGGATTGTACTTGTCGAATACGGCGGTTTGGGCATTTGTCACCGTGGAACTAGGAAGTGACCGAAGGAAAGGAAATATTTCAGCCTCAGGTAGGTCTGGAGGACAGCCAACCTCTAGAAGGAAGTCTTGGAATTGCTGTTCGTGTATTGCTGCATTGTAGGGTCGTACCGCGCGAGAGGTTGGCGAGCCGGATTCCATGATAACGCGGTGGAAAAGTGGTGGGGCTTGTTCCTTGTAGTTGAGAAGATGATGGCCTATCTGTTTAATCGTTAGAATGCGATCTATCTCTAAACTCCAGAATGAATGATATTACCGAATGCGCTCCAGCCGATAGGCCAAATAGCGTCACATTGCCAGGATCACCTCCGAACTTCCCGATATTTTCCTGCGCCCATTCAAATAAATGAACCTGATCGCGAAGTCCAAGGTTAAGGACCCCTTCTTTCTTTGTCAGGCCCGAGGGCAGGAATCCCAATGCCCCAACCCGGTAACCGAAGCTCACCCCAATAAACGGTGACTCAGACCAAGCAACCATGGAGGCTGTGTCGTGCATTGCAGCCGATCCCCGATTGAAGGCACCACCGTGAATATACACTGCAACTGGAAGTTTGTCCCCTTCGTTGGTTCCCGCTGGTCGAAAGATATTTGCGGTGAGGCAGTCTTCACTCTGCTCGAGCTTTGGTCCACCCGACAGCAAGGGCTTACCAGGAGCCGCGGGGCCATATTTCGATGCGTCTATTGTTTCTTCTGACGCTGGCACTTTGAATGCCGGCTTGAATCGTCTCTCGCCGACAGGCGGAAGAGCGTAAGGAACTCCCAGAAACGCGTCGACAGCCTGCGGGAATGCCTCCTGGAGGTGAATTCCAACCACCAGGCCCTGCAACAGGGTGACAGAAGGGCGAGTGGAATGCGCAGCCATGATTGTTTTCTGGCTCACTTCGAGTGGCAACAATGTGGCTGGCTGAATTCGGGGTGGCAATGAGTAGTGAGAGGGAGGGAGGCGTCTTCGGCTTCGGCGCATATAAGTAGTTCCGTGCGGAGGAGACTGGGTGGAGGTAGTGGAGACCTGACGACAGCGATCAGCGGCAGGAACGAGGCTAACAGATAAGACTTATGGAACCGGCAGAAATTCGGAATTGCCGTTGCTCTAAATCGAGTGTAGGGGCCTTATAGGTTGATCAATGGATCTTAGTCGCGTCCCTTGTCTCGCCGGACCAAACCGCTAGTCTAGCCAAGTGTGGTGGGAGATATCGGAAGGCAGGTGAGTAGTTTCGACGTTTGGAGTTTGAGATTGGATCCCCCGGTTAAGACATTTTCAAAAGGCGTTCTCGATCTTGTTGACACAAATAGAATGGCAGCCAGCGGGTATAGCAATACCCAAGACAAGGGGCGGAACGGCAAATCATAAGGTGATTGATTGCCTTACGTTCTTATCGTCGACTCCCACCAGCCATTTTTCTGCTTACCCGTGTCATGCAGATAGGGTTATCAGGAGGTATTAGCGTTATAGCCAAGAAACAACCTTTATCTCTGGGGACTAATTATCAGACTTCGGACAGAATCCGAGTAAGTAGGGTACCCCGCCCGGATGCCCACCGTATAATGGGGGATTGGAGGTATATCAACGGACGCCCAGTCGCGTTTTGAAAGACTAGCTAAAGGCTACCGAAGGCTCAATTCACTATTACTTCCTAGTATCTAATTTTTGCTGTCACGTTCTCATCACCACTATGAAAGAAGATAATATAGAGAAAGGCTCTATCGGAATCAAAGATGAAAAAGATCACCAAGTCGGCACCATTGCGGACCTAGACGAAGGAGAGGCTTTCCTTCACGAACATGGCTTCACTCAGGTAGCAATGCAGGTGCTTTTGGATGATGAAAAGCGCAACAAGTCACTGGTACGCAGGGTGGACCTTGTGCTCCTACCACTTCTCGCAGGTACCTACGTCCTTCAGTATATCGACAAGTCTGCACTGGCGTACTCCGCGGTTTTCGATCTCTTTACATCAACACACATGTCCAGCAACCAATATAGTTGGCTAGCCAGCATTTTCTACTTAGCCTATCTGGTTGCTGAATATCCCTGGAATATTCTTGCACAAAAGACGAAACTCGCCAAAGTTGTCTCAGGAAATGTTGTTGCTTGGGGTGCAATGCTTATGATTACCGCCGCCTGCACCTCATTCACTGGTATGGCGATTTGCCGTTTCCTTCTGGGCATCTTCGAAGCACCCATCACGCCATGCTTCATGATGATTGTGGGCATGTGGTACACGCGTGATCAACAGCCTTTTCGTGCAGGTATCTTCTACAGTTGTAACGGGCTGGGCGCCGTCATTGGCGGTGTTCTGACTTTTGGAATTGGTCAAATTAAGACAATTGCAGTATGGAGAGCGATCTATCTCATATTAGGAGGAGTTACTGTGGCCTGGGGAATTTTGATGTTTTTTTTCTTCCAGACGACATCATTTCTGCAACACGTTTCAAGTTGGAAGACAAGGCTCTTTTGATCAGTCGCAATCGACTCGGAAGAACAGGTGTGATGAACCACAAAATCAAGTGGTATCAGATTCGAGAGGCTTTGGTTGATCCTCAAGTCTGGATCTTGTTCTTCTATACCCTTTTCAATGAGATCATCAACGGCGGAATAGCCAGCTTTGGCAAGCTCATTATCAAAGGCTTGACAAACGATCCTCTCATGACATGTGCGCTTGGAATACCCATGGGCGCCTTTCAAATCTTCTGGATTTTGAGTGGAACATTCTTCGCATCCCGTGTTCGCAATTCTCGCACCATCGTCATGTTCATCTACCTGGCGCCTACCGTTATTGGCACCTGCTTGATGTGGAAACTGCCTCACAATACCAACAAGGTAGGGGTACTGTTTGGCTACTACATCGTTGGTGCATATGTCTGCCCTCTAGTTCTGTCACTGCAGATGCCAGCCACCAATCTTGGAGGCTACACTAAACGGTCCACCGGTGTCGCCCTTGTATTTTTGGCCTATTGTGCTGGAAACATAATTGGTCCTCACGCATTCTTAGCCAAGGAGGCCCCCATCTACCAGACCGGCTGCAAGGTCATCGTTGCTTGCGCATCTGCTCAAGCAGTTCTGGCTATCTGTCTGCGGCTGCTGTTGGTTCGTCGAAACAAAAAAAGAGACGCAACGGCTGCTGCCGATCAAGACGGTGCTAGAGTCCAATCAGAATATGAGGAGATGGCTGATCTTACCGACTTTGAGGTGAGAACCATTTTAATACCAATGCCACCTAGGGAAACATGCTAATTCTCTGATAGAATCCAAGGTTCCGATACGTGTTGTGATTCGAATTCGGTTGTTGGCATCAGCGATCGAGGTGAACCCTGCTTGAGTGGTCTCCGTATGTGTGTCAATGAGAATCTCAACTCACGAATCCTAAATGCTCTGGTGTACTGTCAATCGTAGGTTGCAAGCCGAGTACCGTCAATCTCATCGCGCCTTTGGTGGTTATGGGTAATGGCAACGCAAATAAACACTCGACAGTGTCTTGAAACACACGGTAGATCATCCGTACCCAAGCGATGATGATACATGGAATAAAAATCCTCGACCGTAGCCGCTTGAGCAGGACATCGGCACCATGGGTTTATGATTCTTTACACAAGAAGCGGGAGCTTTGCGTACAGCCCCAAGTCTACTTAAGTGAATCCACGCAAAGGGCCCCAATTGCAAACAAAGGAAACCGAGCCTGTTCTTGAAGGAAAACTGAGACAAAGTATTGTACATCGTATTGGTGAGGATGGACAAGGTGTGAAACGTGAAAAAAGTCTAAGGGTAGTCTCTATAATCCCCTTCCATCTACAACACTCAAATAATCTATTTGCCGATCTCAACACCGCCGGTAGCACCAAGAACACGCTTGATGTCACCGTAGATGGCGAACTGACCGGCGGTGAGGGAACCGACCATGAAGAGACGAGCACCGATACCAGAGTAAGAGCCACGGAGGCCGAGCTCTTTGCCAATCTTGACGAGACGAGAGATAGTGCCCTCACCGGGGAGACCCTGGGTCTTGTTGATTTTGGAGAGCATGGTGTCAGCGGGCTGAGAGACGAGGGCGGCGGCAAGACCAGCAATGAGACCGGAGCCAAGGTTGATACCAGTCTTGGCACCGTCGGAGAGGCCGTTCTTGTCAACAGAGTCGTAGATCGACTCAGAGACCTTCTCGAAGACGACGAACTTGGCCATGGTGTAAGGGACCCTATTGACAATAACGCGTCAGTCAAGAGGGCCAACATATGGGTGTCTCGTACGGGTATATCAAATGCCCAATCCAAGACAACAGGAACTTACTGCTTGAACAGAATGGGGCCGAAACCGGAGTAGAAACCGGCGAGACCCTCCTCCTTCATGATACGGCTGAAGCCACCCAGAAGGCCGCTAGCGAAGGAAGGCTGAGAGACGAGACGGATACGGGTAGCCTCGAGGGGGCAGAGGGCGATATCGGCCATGAACTCGGCGCAGGCAGAGGAGGCGAGGTAGACAGCGGTGCGGTTGTTCTTAGCAGTCTCGTAGCCGAGGTTGGTGATGGCCTGCTGCTTGAAGAACTCGTAACCACCGAACTTGAAGGCACCCTGGAGGAAGTAACCGGCGGCGGTAGGGCCGAGACCAGTCAGGAGAGCGCCAGCACCCTCATTCTGGATGACCTGACGGAAACCACCGATCATACCACGGTTGTAGGTGACCGGGTCCAACTGGATACGGGTCTTGACGCTGTAGGACGCGCGCAATGTTAGACATTGATCCCATAGCTCTCATATAAATCCACATTGTCGACTTACACATCCAGAGGAGTGACAGCGCCGTGGGTGACACTGCAGCAGACGGCGCCGGCGAAGGCGAATCTGCTGTACAGAGCAACTCCGGACAGCTGGGGGGCAGCAGCCGGGACGGGGAGGTCCTTAGAAACGGTGGCGGTAGCAGCCATTATGTATGATCACCCAAGAAGAAAAAAACGAGGATGGGGAGAGGAGAGGAGATTCAATTGAAGCTTTTGGGGTGAGTGAGAGAAAGGAGGAAAGGATTTGAAAGGGATGGGGCCGCAATTCCGAAAACTTTTCGCGGGCCAATGACGGGCCAATGCGGGTAGCGTTCGGCAACACACGGGGCCTTGCCCCATTATATCCGGTCATCGCCCGGTCAACCGAATAGCGCTTGGGCTTTTGGCTTTTGCTCGCTTTCTATGCTTGAGAACAATGAGAGTCCTCAATTTAGGATGGATGGCTAGGTCGGAAGTAATCCTGTACGAACCATCACGGCTGTCACAGTGGAGTTAGTTCGGAAAAGTGACTGTCGCGAGAGACAGATATGGTCTACCATACTGAGTCTAAATTCAACTCAACTTGTTCATCTCACGTCAGAAACACTTCCCAGGCGTTATGAGAGCCTGAGAAGCCTTTCGACAGTGATTCGTACCATGATTCTACAAGGCTATTCTGCAGTTGGTGGTTCAGGAGTCATCGGCTCGAGATAAATAATGCAATTCGCTTCAGTCAACAAACCTTGCCATATAAGAGCCAGCTTGTGTCGACCTATTCGCTGCGACCAAGCCATCAAAAGGATTATGAAGCCATTGCCTCCCTACGTCACAAAGTGGACACCTGGCGGCAGCGATGGGGCATAGTTTCTGACCGCCCTGTTTTGGCCACGACGGCGCCAAGACCCACCGCGAGGGACGGAAAGGCTGTTCGCCGACCGGCTTACATAAACAGGAACCCTGTGTTCCAGGTCCACGAATCAGTGGCCTTATAAGGATACCAAACTTACAACTGGCGAGGCTACGATTGGTCGATCTCCATCTTCGGGCCGCGGGATCCGGATGGGCTCTAGAAGTAGGAGGCTGAAGCAATAATCGAGGCTGGACCCTTCACGGCCTATTCCGCATGAAGCCATTCTTGGTGAAAGTATATCAACGCATTGACACTTCTTTAGATCCTTTAGGATATCTACCCCGCCTTGGTGTTCCATAAGTCTTCCACCACCAAACGATGATATAATATTCTGACGGTCAAACAACTCCCTTTACTCCTGCATCACGCCCAATATATAGCTTCCTATGATTGTATATTGAGCTTGGTCCATGTTCCAAATGGACTTTATTAAGAAGAATGACCTCAGTTTACTTTCATAGTGGTTTCTTGACCTGTACAGTTTCCCCTGAGAGCGGAAGACTACGCGGTACCTAGAGCAAAGGTGGTCAAACATATGGAACGATCCTTGCGCATTATGCGTGGGAAATATGTTTCCGCTTAAAAACTTTGCTGCTAGAACTAGCGGCTGACCCTAAAAATTGACTCAATGCGAACAACATTTCGAATATACCCAGGCATTAGAGGGATGCCTACGTAGGGACCCGTTCGACCAAGTGATGCGAAATTACCAACATGATTTAGGCGTTGATGCTGATTATTTGGATATTACAAATTTCCAATTTCCCAAACCCCTAAGTAAGGATGGTCGTGGTCCTGGAACTGGTAGAATGGATCATGGGTAACATCCATGAAGGAGACATCACTTTGGAAACTAGGCCCCGACCACCCCAGGGTTTCTCGGGCCACCGGAACTTGACTGGTGTGATTATTGACTGGAGGCTGATTGTCTCCATTCCAAACTTCATGATCTGAGGCTTCAGAGGGACGCCGACCGCTGACGGTACTCGAACACGGCGGAAGGGCCTGACCTCCATCGGAAGTATCAACCGTCCTTGTGGAGTGATGGAATATCTCCGTTTCAACTGTCACCTTCTCTGGATAATTCTCTCTCGGCGACTCAAAGAACGATGGGTCAAAGATACCCTGCCCAGAGAGAGCCGATGAAGTCTGGGGCGAATTCGGGAGAAGAATGTCCCACATCAATGCAGTGTCAATGGATATAGTTCTTCGTGGCGACTGATGGTTGCTAGAGCTCGGACTCGCCGCAAAAGCTGATCGGATCAATTCCTGGATTTTTTGATACTATATCACAATATTAGCTAGTTAAAGAAAGCGGAATTTAACAACGAACTGACTATGGCATCGCACACGGGCCATTTTGCGGCCAGGTCGTGTAGTAACCGCGTACAAGTTTCAACTTTGCGTTGAGCTGACTCTCTAACGGCGGGATCTGCTGCACGGCAGTAATAAAGGTGAATTGTGATCGCAATAGCTACCAGATGGCCAATGAATGGATCGGACAGTTGATAGTCCTTCTCAGTAATCATGTCAATCAGGCGAACTGTCCAGGTGGTGTGAACTAACGCCAATTCTGACGAGGTCTTCCAAAATGTGTTTGGCACGGCTAGTTGAGCGGCTTGTTGAGGTCGCCACGAGTAAAGGAAGGGGTGATTGATAACGCTGTGGACGGCGTGATATGTAAATTGGAGATACAACCATGGACTCCAATACCAACGATCACCATGAAGTTCCTCAATCGACTGCTCTTGAAACCTCGCAGAGTCATATCGATGAGAGGTGGGGAAATTGGTTTCAAGGTTCATCAAGTGAGCTCCAATGATAGAATAACCGGATTCCACAGACCATGGTGGGGTGAAATGGCCACTGGCGCAATGTGAAACATAATGCTGGACCTCCCTCCAAAGCGAGCCTAATTGCACCATGTAGACCCATATGCCTCCTCTCGATGATAACGACCCAGTTTCTTCAGGAACTTGAGGTGGCGATACCCCCATCTCTCGATGAGAGTCGATGTTGAGTGCCATATATTTCGGGCTTTGTATATCTTGTAGCATATTCAACGACAGACTCCTTGGGCCGAACTGCTGATTGAGAAAATTTATACTCCAAAACAACCTTCGACGAGCTTCTAATAAAGATGTAGATTGACCCTCGTGCAATTCGATGTCGATGTTTCCACATTTTGCGAGATTTGTAACGAGACCAATATGTACCCAAGCCAGGTGAGTATCATTGGCTAAGTAAATATCAGCAAAGTCTATCGCTTCACTCGAGTACCAGAAACTCACAAATGTATTCAGCAAGGGCAATCAAACAGAGGCTTTGCATCGTGGAGAGATGCACTGCCCCTCGAGCAATGCGAAACGAGATCAGGCTCTGAGCAGCTTCCGCATACTGGCGACATATCTGGTCCACCCGCCCTTCCAGAAAGTGATTATCCGAAAAGCGCAAAGCGAGACTCAGGATACCATATATAACCTCCTTGGAAAGATTTTTTGGAGTGGAAAGATCCACTGGATCGAATAGCCACAATGGCTGCTTGTGGCAATATTTTAAGTATAGCGCAATAGACTCAGCAATCATGTCTTCGGGAAGTTCTGCTAGGGGCATCGTGTTGGCAGACTGAAGGGCCACCCCATCATGCGATATTCCTTGCTTTGCATGTGTTTCATAAATTCCAGTCGATGTTGGTGCAATCTCCCTACTTGTAGGTCGGCTGGGGTGCGTGTCAAATTCTCCCGGTGCCCCCATTTGGCGCTGTGATCTAGATTGATCAGCTTTCTTTCGCCCTTGGGGGTTTATTCAGTATGGGAAGCTATGCATACGTTGGTCCTTCCAAAACCAGGTTCATCTTTTCTTCTAGCCTTTGCAGTCGGTCCTCCTGGTTTAAATTTAGCCCAACCCATTGAGTCCCAGTGTAAGTGACTTTTTACCAGGACACGATCGCTTCCCGAGTTTGTCTCCCAGTAGTCATAGTTGCTGCTATACTGGCATGATTGCTTTAGACGTGTGCAGGTTGAGCAAGCCGGTCGCTCCCCAGGACACCGTATCTTTTTTCGTCTGTTCAAAGCTTTCTGTCACCCAAAACTCTCCTCGCAGGTGCCACGATTCAACTAACCTGCAGTTTTCGCAGGCCTGATGTGATCTTTTAGTGATACGAGTGTTCATCAAGGACATTTGTAGAGGTACAGGGGATGCCACGGTAAAGAATCTCGACGTCGCTTTATCATAGCGCCCAGGTGTCTTAAGAAGTGGACGCGCGGGGTTATCGGACACGAGCCGATTAGACACAAAGTCCCGCGGAGACGACCCACTGCAGGAAACAATAGCGGTAACAGGAAAAGCTATTACTAAGTGCACTAATCTCATCCTGCTTATGTGGAGGAAAGAAATGATGACGTTACAGAACGATCTGGTCGGTCACCCTGTAAATTAAGCGTCGGATTTCGTTTCCCCCTCAAGCGGAATACAACGTTGTCCTACAATATTCAACAAACACGTCTGCAAGTAAGACATATTAAAGTAAAAACAATACAAGCCAGGCCCTGAATCAAATGAAGCCAAGGAGTGCAGAGCTACCACTCTAGCTTACTATTGCCCTCCACGGAACAAGCCAATCCCGAGCAAAAGGCAATATCTTCTACAGTGGCCGATCCGGCTGAATGTTGCCGAGCTGGCCAGATTTCGCGTTTCTCCTTTTGCTCGTCCTCTCGATGACTGAGTAGCAAGCTTCTAACCGTATTTTGAAAGAAAAGGGGTGCACTTTCCAGCTCCGGGTGAAGTTGACCATTTACAAAAACACCGGCATTTAGATTTTCCTGTGCCGCATTGCAAAGGTACTTATCTTCAGCCAGAACCCGCTTGAAAAACCCGTCAATATGGTGAAAGTCCATGTCTGAGGCTTCCTCGTGTCGATAAACCTCGTATTCCATCGAGCAAGTTCTCGCTGATGTTGGCACGCATCTCATCATGTAGAAAAAGTGAGGACTGTGATATGCTCGTTAATAATTGTGATGCTAGTGATACTACCCAGGAGCACGAAAGACCCACGAGACTGTCATACAAGCATTTGGGAAGTAATAAGTGCTTGCATTTTGAATATCCTGATCCACTCTATCCTCCTTCGGTCGAGAAAAATGCTGTATATGCCCAGGTGTGGAGACTGTATGATAATATGAGAGATCCGCCAGGTTTGCCACATCAGGATGTGCGACTGTGCAGTGATAACATTCGTTGTAGTTGTCCGCGAGTGTTTTCCAATTATAATCCCCGTCCATATGCCATGTGTGGTCAAACTTGTACTTGCTGAAATCAAACTTTCGGAACCGTTCTTGAGTGTCGACACCTTTGAAGGCGTCTTCCCAAGGTACAGGATTTGGTGAAGAGTCGAGATTCACCCAGATAAATCCCAGTGTATCGACGTGCACATGCACGGGAAATAATCTTTGGTCTTCTTTGTTAAACCCAGGTATATCGTCAAATCGCGGAGCCTTGGCGAGCTTTCCGTTCAGACCGTATGACCATCCATGGTATTTGCAGGAGAGAATCCTGATGTTTCCCTCGTCTTCTGAAACAAGCGGGAATGCGCGGTGTCGACAAATATTGTGAAAGCCATTTATATTGCCCTCCCGATCGAGGCACAAGAAAAAGGAGAATCCAGCTTCATGGAATCGTAGGAAGTCGCCGGGCTTTGTGAAACGGATCTTGTGAGTGATCAAAATCCACAGCTTTGAGAAGATAGCCCGTCGCTCCAATTCATACATCTCTGGTGTGCAGTACCAAGAGGCCGGTAGAGCCTTAGGTGGCTCATTTGGAAGCTTATTTTGCGCAAGGTTATTTGGTTTGTATCCAAATAGAGAAGCAAGTGTAGCCGCCATGGTGATAGCCAACAGTCTCACCAATTATTCGATCAAAAGAGGGAAGATGTGCATTCGTCCCATGTAAAGCAACGTTCAACACTCCTTATCATGTCGCATCCATCCTATTTGAACTATGTCCCGGTAGAATGTGTTCAGGCTCCCCGACCACGTGACAATTTAAAGGAACGCAATGACAGAGCTAGGTGTCACGTCAATCTGGCACGGCCTCCGACCGACGGCGAGCTTACCGCGTTCTGCAACTAACGGACCCACTAACAAGATGATGTGTCGCACAATTTTAGGCAATATAACCGCTAGACCAGAAATGCACTATAGACGGACATATTGGCCTGCACTTCGGATTTCGTCATCTTACAATCCTTATTCGACTTTCTTCCGGTTCTTGAATCACGCTAAAGGATGACGCGTCTCTACAGACTTAAATACCTTGTCATAGCTTAACGCATGCGTCCTTTGGCGGGGCGTGCACAGTAAGAGCGCTCTTGCCGTGCACGGGGGAAATACAGCTTCTAGCAAATATCTGGGTGGATTTAAGTGTACGCAAGAAAATGTATAACGGGCAAAAGGTGCTGAGTATGTCTGACCGAATTCAGTGTCGGGTTGTTTAGTAGCGATTTAATTTGTGCTTTATTTGAGGGATTGGCGGTTGAGAGGGGGATAAATGCCCTATTGGGTACAAGACATTCATTTGATGATGGAGATATTGATGCTATTCGGTAGGTTATAATACCACCGCTCGTTAACTTTCAGTAGAAGGACGCAATGAAATATTGTTAGGACGATGATTTATCATTATGACCCGGATATTACCAGCATAGTTCTGCTGAACTTTACTGAGCAACGACCTGAAAAAGGGGAATAGCGAACTTGGGTTTATCTTCCGGAAAAGACGTCCGAAAAGTTTAGAGGTAAAACCGAAGTTGAAAACTACTGCAACGCGCCGGTCAAAGCGTACATTAGAGTTTGTGTCGCCCGAATTAGATCATCGCTGACCGTGTTTCCCATCGGCCTCGCCCGGTCAAGTGAGCGGCTCGGGAGCAGAGAAACCCAAAAGATGATACCTTGTAGAATGATAGCGAAGTAGCCGCTGCGTGATGTTGACCAGCATATTGTGCTCCCGGCGGTGAACCTTTCGTTCCGTGCAGTTCAGTTTCCGTACAACTTCCTCAGAGTAGCTCCCCTTTTGGTACCTCACACCTCTGCTGACATACTTCACTCGGGTTTCTCGCCTTCAGTTGGTCACAAAATCGCGTTATGAACTTGAAATGACTCAATTACCCCGTGTTGGAGATTGACCCGGAAGACCTCGTGCGTTGCGAAAGCGGAGGCATGGTAGTATAGTTCTGTTTCGAGTGATGGCGACCCTTTGCAGCAGGGTACCCCGCTTACTCGAGGTATCTAAATCAAATCAGAGAAATCCAATGATACAGGCGGCGGGTCTCGAGGGTCTAAACCGATCAAGGTCGGCGAAGGCCCGGAGCCCACCGATCATGTGCGCTGCAGACAAGGGAGATTCACATGGATCTGTTCATTTCACTCGGTCAACTCATTTCAGTGAAATAAACAAGGGCCTTGCTCCTCCTCGTCTCGAATACTGCATTGCCTATAAGACGGCCATACTCATTGATAAGTCGCACTGCAGAATCCCGTCATCAACTTGTTCTCAGTGTGTTATATGCTTAATACGCGGGCCATGGAATCCAATAACAAGTCTGACAAGGGCTCTGAATTTGTTTTGACAGCGGAGGATCTCAATAAGGCTTTACCCGGCATGAGCATGGCCACAAGAGCAGTTCATGCTGATGATTTCGTCAGTCCTCATCGGGCAATTGCTCCTGGCATGCATGTCGCGGTCAACTTTCGCTACGCAAGAGATCCCGAAGCGCTAGTGCCGGAGGAGAATCAAGATGTGAGAGCCTTAGCTTGACTATCTGAACAATCGGCTTACATCCCGAGACAGCCTAATAATCCTCATGATTCACATGTTTATTCTCGTTATACAGCACCCAATTCCAACCGCTTGGAAGTCTTGCTTCGCAATATCATGGGCGGCGAAGTCATAACGTACTCTACTGGACTCTCCGCTTTCCACGCCATGTTTATTCTTCTAAACCCAAGAAAAATTTTCATCGAAGACGGATACCACGGTTGCCATGGTCTTTTGGACATCATGCAGAGATTGACGGGGGTTCAAAAATTTGATCTGTCGCAGCTCGACCAAGCGGGCCCTGGTGACATTGTACACGTTGAAACGCCCCTCAACCCAACGGGCGAAGCACGAAACCTTGCATATTATCGCGAAAAGGCGACCGAGGCAGGTGCTTACTTAACGGTGGATGCAACTTTTGCTCCTCCTCCACTACAAAATCCTCTCGACTTAGGCGCAGATATTGTAATGCACAGTGGAACTAAGTATGTTGGGGGCCATTCAGATATGCTGTGTGGTCTATTGATCATCCGTCAAGACCGGGTGGAAAAGGATGGGTGGTTAAAAAAGCTGCACAAAGATCGACAATATATAGGCAGCGTCATGGGAAGTTTTGAAGGTTGGTTAGGTATCAGATCCGCCCGCACAATGCACCTTCGTGTCTTGAAACAGGCTAAGACTGCCGAGAGGTTGGCTGGGTGGTTGCAAGAGCATTTGAGAGATCAAACCAGTACTGTTAGTCAGGTTTTGGAGCGTGTGCAGCATGCATCGCTGCAGGTCGATGATTTGAATGATGGGTGGCTTCGGAAACAGATGTCTGGAGGCTTTGGACCCGTTTTCTCGATTTGGGCCAAGAATGCAATTTTCGCACGGCAACTCCCAAGCCGTATGTATGTTTTCCAGCATGCGACCAGTCTGGGTGGCGTGGAAAGCTTGTTGGAATGGAGGGCAATGAGTGATGCCACATGCGACCATAAATTGCTAAGAATTAGTTGTGGCATCGAAGAGTACGAGGATCTACAGGCTGATATCCTGCAGGGATTACAGTCGCTTGTGTAGAGTGCTCACTAAGGTCAATTTCCATTTCCGTATTTGATTTCCTTGGAATAGGGTGCACTATGCCGCTTCAACGGGGGACTGCAACCAAACAAATTCTTCTTAGTTTCGACATCTTCCATAAATCCTTGTCCAATGCGAAGAAGCCCAACCCAAATCAACCCAAATAGTAGCCGCTCCCATTAGAATAACATAAAGTCCCGTACCAAGCTACTGCTTCGTTGTGAAGGAACTACGTGGCTATTGCACACCAATCTTCCTCATATCGAAAGTCGCTGTCTGTCACGAGAGCCATAGATGGGCGCGCCGCGCTAGTAATTCAACTAAGAATGTGCCAACAATCAGACATCAATATATAGATAACGTATACAAGATGTGATGAATGACAAATTTGCCAATGTGTCCGCCTTATCATTTAATGAAAGAGACATCGCAACCTGTTCACAAAAATTCAAGGGCAGCCTGTCAGAACTGGTGACCGGCGAGTGTCCGATCTTGTGACCGGAGACAATGCACGGAAGCGGGGAAGTTGCTGGTCTTGCCGCGCCAGGCGTAGACGTTCCAGGCTGTATTGAAAGCCAGGCTCACACCAGCTCGTGTTTCACCTAATCTGCCTATCTTTAGAGCGGGCTGGACGGATGGCTCATTGAATCTCGTCCCGGGTTCCATACAATGATATCACGTGGACGGCGGCGCCCGTGATCAAGGTGTGTCAGTTGGAAATCTTAAATCAATGGATATTGATAGGACTGTCTTGTGCTGTATACCAATACAAAGCCTTCCATCAATTTCAAGTGGAAAAAGAAAGGCAAAAATGGACCAGTATGATGTTGCTGTCGTTGGACTCGGCGTCCTCGGAAGCGGTGCGGCGTACTACGCTGCCAAAAAGGGCGCCAAGGTCATTGCATTCGAACAGTTTGAACTGGGCCATGTTCGCGGGGCGTCTCATGACACATCGCGCATTGTACGGACCTCCAACTTCACGCCAGAGTATGTGAAACTCGCGAAATCAGCATACAAAGATTGGGCCGAGCTTGAAAAAGCCGCAGACCAAAAGCTGTTGACTATCACTGGCGGTGTGGTTTTCTTCCCGGAGGAGCCGAACACACCTGCGCTCGCGAGCGACTTCACCAAGAGCCTTGATACCAACGATGTGCCATATGAGCTCCTCGACTCGACAGAGGTGAAGAATCGATGGCCACAGTTTGACGTTCCCGAAAATGTCTCCACAGTATACACAGCCGACACTGGCATTGCCCATGCTTCTCGAACCGTCAGCACTTTGCAGTCACTGGCGCGTATACATGGTGCTGTTCTGAAGGACCAAACCGAAGTAGAACGTGTGATACCCAAAGCTTCCGGCACTGGTGGAGTTATGATTCAGACGTCCAACGGACAATTTCAAGCTGCCAAGGTCATCCTTGCGACGGACGCGTGGATCAATAAATTGCTTGCGCCCCTGGGTACACATATCCCAGTGATTGTGATGCAGGAGCAAGTGACATACTTCAAGCCCTCTGAGGCAGCCAACTTTGGTTCCGATCGCTTCCCTGTTTGGATCTGGAACGGTGCAATGTGCTATTATGGGTTTCCCTGCTATGGCGAGCCGACCATCAAGGCGGCCCGAGATACTTCAAACAACTTCATGACACCCGAACAGCGCACGTACGTCCACTCGCCACAATTGCTTAACCAGCTATCATCTTTCTTGAAAAGACTTATTCCGGACGAGACACGCCAAGTACTTCGAACCGTGACCTGTCAATATTCAATCACTCCAGACCGACAGTTTGTTATCAGTCCTCTCAAAAGCCACCCGAACATTATTGTGGGCTTAGGTGCAGCTCATGCCTTCAAGTTTGCACCTGCCTTTGGCCGTGTTCTGGCGGAGCTTGCCGTGGATGGCAGGACTAATGAAGACATCTCGAAGTTTGGAATCCCGACATCGGCCACATGTAGCAGCAAGCTCTAATGTGAACACTGAATTCCTCGAGATCTCAGCCCATTTATGACTAGCAAGTGTAGTATCTATAATTGACAACTCCAGCGCCTTTTTTACACTATCGTGTTAGCCAGCGGTAAAAAGTACAATTTCCTTCGGTTTTATCTCACTTAAGGCTATTCCTAGCCCTACTTTAGTTGGTTATTATTCTATGTTTATTATAGTACCTCTTTCTATGACCCTGTCTCCGGCCTTCTTTTCTGTCCTGTTTCTAATCTGATTTTCGAGGGATGGTGTCTTTCTCCGACCGATCGCTCTTGCCATCCGGAGGACGGAGGCCCGTGGTGCCCGGCGCTAGTCTTAACGTGCAGCTTTGTCATTTCCAACATTTGAGATCTCCGATCTCACCTGTAGGCAACAGCGATGAGATAGTATCCTTTATTGGAGCCTTTATAGGGGATTTATTGCTGTCATCAACCAAAGTTCGTTGTGACCAAGCCTTTCTTATGTCCATTGCCGTCCCATTGAGGTCGTATCCCCTTCTCCGCCACATGGTTCGAATGGGTGTCATTCGCAGCGCAAACTTCAGACTCCAAACCAGAATATGGAGAAGAGAAAGACCCTGCCTTACAATTCCTATCAGCTTCGAGAGCTATGGACACCCAAATTGATAGTTTGGGCCGTATGGGTGGTTCTTGGCCTGGCCGGGTTCCTCAAGCTGCACAACTATTTGTTCAGCAAACATGACCCTTCTCAGTACGATCAATTTAATTTTGAATAGAATGCAGATGACAATAGACTTCTGAAGTCTCCATTTGGAAGTTTTCCTTGGAAAGATGACCCATTCCGGTTCCTTCCTTGCACAAATTCAACCGTCCCACCACCGCTCGACGATCCCAACCCGCAGAAAACATGGGGAACCCTATTCGACCGGGACCCAGACCACTGGAGCTGGGGCCAGCGTGTACCTGATGCTCTAGTCAATTCCGATCCCCACGCCAACCGTGGGATATACCTGTGTGGATACCTGGACTTACCTCTTGACTATCTAAATCGCTCTGACAGTCGGATTGTTCGCCTTGCCGTTACCAAATACCAAGTGTCTGGCCTAGCGCGCCTCGATAGCCGGGATAAAATACTCAAAGCCAACCGAAAGAGTGAGCGCACCATCATCATTGAGCCGGGCGGTCCTGGAGGTAGCGGAACCTTGTCCCTCTGGGAAACTGCGGAGCAAGTATCGGACCGATTTAGTGGCGGGAAATATGACGTCCTTGGATGGGATCCGAGAGGTGTCAATATTTCACTGCCATCGGCGTCATGCTTCCCCCATGACGCGCTTCGAGACCGTTGGTTTTCCCTCGCAAGACAATATCGCGAGGTGTCCAACGCCATCGAGCAATTGGAGCTCGCCGATGCACTGAACAATGCTACATTCTATGCATGTCAAACACGGCTCGGCGATTTTGGTCGTTTCATCGGCACTGCATCTGTTGCAAGAGACCTCGAGGAGATTCGCAAGGCCCATGGGGAGGACGAAGTGTCTGGTTATTTCCTCAGTTACGGAACAGGAATCGCCCAGACTTATGCCAATATGTTTCCGGACAAAGTCGGTCGTATGATTCTGGATGGGACTGAGTATGTAAAAGACCATCGGTTACTTGGGGGATTTGGGTGGACTTCTCTTGATAATACCACTGATATTTGGCGTGATGGATTTCTGGGCGAGTGCGTCAATGCAGGACCTGAATGGTGCGCTCTTGCAAAGCCAAACGCTATTGATGGCGGACCGGTCACTCTCGCGGAGCTGGAAGCACGCATGACAAAACTCATTGGGTCACTTGCTATCCGGCCAATATCTGCATTCACAGAAGAAAGCGGACCGTCCCTCGTCACATACTCTGCTTTTGTGGAAGTTCTTTACTCGATTATGTACAATCCGAGAATCTGGCCAGATGCAGCTCAGATGCTTTATGAGCTTGAACAAGGAAACGCAACTCTTGCAGCTAAATTGCTGGACACCCAGTGGGAGTACAGGCCCACAATTCGAAAGCCTACACATGGTCTCAATCTCAATGAGCTCCCAAGTTTAGTCATCTGCGCTGATTCTTATGATGCGCCTTCCCCGGCAGATGGTCTTCGGTGGTGGGACCGGCTGTGGGGTGAAATGACAACTGAGAGTTGGATTGCAGGGAACTCGCGCTTTGCTTCGGTTCTACCCTGTCGATATTACGAGAAGTACTGGGGCAGCGCTGCGGAAGTGTATCGCGGCGATCTAAACAAAACAATGAAGACGCCTGTTTTACTCATTGCCGAGACATACGATCCCGCAACGCCCTTAGGGAATGGAAGGAGACTGCTCCGGGATATGGGCCAAAATGCACGACTGATAGTCCATCATGGTTACGGACATACATCGAGGTGGGATAAATCGGAATGCACAGATAGAATTGGTAAAGCATACATCTTGGATGGAACTCTTCCAGATGAGGCGGAAACAAATTGCTATGCCGACGGGAAACCCTACATTTCTATACAGAAATAAGGGGCCGGAAATGCATACCATGATACCAATCATGGAAGACCATGTTTCATTGCTCAATTCTTGGGGGAAACGCGAATAAGAAAGACCTCGGGCTCACGTCAAGTGTCAATCATAGTATACGGGTCAGATAAATATACATGGGTATGAAGGCTATTCTATGGAGTCTGGTATATCTTGAAGCTGTTGAACACCCAGTAGGCCGTTGTAAAGTTTGCTCCATTCTCCGCCGCAAATTGAGTGCACGTGTCTGCACACTCGTTGAGATCCGTATAATATGAGGCGGCACCAGCAAGATCACCACAAACGTCGATATTTGCAATGATGCTTTGATTCCGGAAATGCGAGCTGATGTCGCAGTGGGTGCTAGGAAAATCTGCCAGAGCCTCTCCCCACGTCGAAGGATCCGGGCTACTTGAGTTCGAGATGTCTGAAGGGATATTATCTCGAGAAAACATCCATACACGAACTCCTGCATCACGAAGCTCCATAGCGTACACCTGGTAAATAAATTGTCAGTGCAGGGCTCGAGATTTAATTTGACATTCGGGGCCGTACTCCACCGCCATTATTGTTGAAAGTCTCACCGTATGTTGCAGACTTGCCCTTCACGCTACAGCCAGAGTTGTCGTTTGCCGTATTGAGGCAATTTGAGTATTGAGCCGTGCCGGTTTCCTTTCGCTTGGCGTTCATCTTGCAGCCACTGGTTGTGTGCAAGGTCATATCATTTCCGTGCGTCCCCTTATTGTTCGATTCCATAACGTCAATTTCGCCATTTTCTGGCCAATTGGAGGGGTCAGTCAACCAAAGTGCTGGCCATGTTGCACATCGATATGGCGTGTGAACAACATCGAAATAAATAGTCCGTCATTATATGTATTTGTTGAGGTGACGCGAACAGATTTGCGACCACTTGTTTGGTTCTGCGTGTCTGTGTCGACTTTAATAACAGCCGTTGAATCCGATGCGTACGTCAGATTCATCATTGCTGTTGTTTTAGAGCCGACGTTTCTGTGCTATTGTTAGTAGAAGTAAATTCATAAGAGCAAGGGTGATCATACTGTACCCAGCCGTTTGTCGGATCTGATGATGTGTAGAATTCGAAATTGTCAAAGAACGATGGTCCCGAATACGTGTGCATCAGCATATAATCTAGCTGGGAGTAATTCGGGTATGCATTTGCTTTTACTCCTTCAACTGCTCCCACAATCACTGCGATGATGACCACTATAACAAATACGGGTCCACTCCGTTCGAAGGCAACAACAGTCTTGTACCACTTCTCTCTGGTTTAAAAACCACTTTGCCCATCATTACTTTAGATTTTATAATTATTTAGTTTTTATACCGATGGATATCTTTCTTGCCATGATGCCAAACTCGTATTTTTTGGGTTTAATACTACTAAAGTATCGATACCTTTGGTGCCTCGGTGTTGCCTAACATAAGAAAGGGGCACATAAATAATGGGCCAATAGAATCCCTGATAACTGGAAAGGGGAGAAAATCCCGGGATCCACGTTTGGGGCGGTCACACATTCGACGCAACACTGCACAGATAAGCGGATCATAGCAAAAATGTTGGATAAACAAATTAGAGAGCTCTGATTTCTGGCGCCATGGACTTTGTCTAGCAGGCGACTCGCCTACAAACCCCACTTTCAGGCCATTCTGGGAATAAGCTAGAGGGGCCTTCGAACGACCCCCAATCCTTTCTCTCTGCCTCTCTGCCTCACTGCCCCTCTGCCTCAACACAAACTCATATGTCATTGTTGCCGCCCGAGAGACAACTGCTAAAGCTTAGTGAAGGGCCACAGTATGCGTCCGATTTGAATGACGCCGTCGGGCCAATCTTCAACCATCCATCCCATGTGCCTCCATGATCCATGCGGAGGCATTCAGTGCCGCAAAGTTTGTTGCCATTAGTGTCGGCAAGATACTTCTTAACGGCGCCTGCAATAGTGTCGTGCTGTGCTGTGGTGTCGCAGTTCCGACCAGAGGAGTAATACACCCAGGACAAGGACTCGTAGGTACCACGCATGGTGTTGCAAGAACCCTGATCGGATAGCTCCTTGATGGTACTAGCGAGGGATTTTGCCATGCTAATCACAAAGCTGGTGATCACGACACAAGACGCAGTGGTGCTGATAATCCGCTCACACACTCTGATAGGGGTTCGCTCCACAAGTCCAGTATCGGTGTTCCTTATGCTGAGGTTGGTGCTTGCCAGAGTAGTTTGGTTGAGACTAATCTGCAACCACCTGTCTGGTGCCGGATGCCCGTCGATAAATGAAGGCCAGGTAGAGGCCTGCACTGAGGTTGAAAAGTAGCAAGCTGCCATCAACAGGCCTTTGAGTAGGAACATAGTAGGCGGTTCCGTTTAAAAGAATAAGACCAGCAAGACAACAGAAACGAGCGATATCGTGAAGACGGTCCAGAAAGCTGGTCATTGCTTGAATATCTTGTAGCTGTGAACACAGGTAAAATGGCACAGACAGTTCTCCCCCTTTTATAGTTACGAAAATTCTGGTTCACCGAGTGTTTTCTGTCCTGTATGGATGTATATGAAGAAGTAAGACATGGCCGAGCAAGATTTGGGAACAGTCATGGATTCAGTTTTTCAGAAAATGTGGGCTCATCCACTGCATAACCCACTATGAGGTTGGGGGCGGATTGGGTGCGGGTCAGGGCGTTCAACCAGTTATGGGTTCTCTCGGAATCTACAGGACAACAGCTGATGTGTGCAGACCTACATAATGGTAATGCTGCCGCTGATAGGCCTATAGTGGATCCTCGACGGCACTGTATCTAAGCACCTTCGGCTATCCCAGAATTTCAGGCAACCCTCGGTCCTTAGTCCCAAAGCAAATCGTGAATCACCACAGTAGTGTCAATAACCGAGCTCCAGTAAGTGCCGTTTTCTGCCACGAAGATTCATGAGGACCAAGGGGGCAACAAGATTTCATTATTAGATCAACAATTTGTCCAGTAGCATCTACCCCAAGTGGAGTCAAACATGCTTAGCCTAGACGGTGGATACTGGTACAGTACATAGTGCGGGACATATCTTCATCGGGCAACTTTCCCGAGGGTGGTGTCTCTTGGGACACGCTTTTCGTTTTTCCTACTCCGGACAGAGGTCAGGATAAAGAGATTAGGCCTGGAACCGGAGGCTCCGCCCGATCGCTCCACAGGCTCACGGCCAAGGTCATCTTGAATTACAGGATATTGTATATTCGATTTCGCCCTACTATTATTCATTAGCGAACCGAAAACGGGTGGAGATTGGGCGACTGTATCTCAATACCCTATCACCAGGTGGACTATTAATCCTCTAAGGCAAATTGATGAAGAGCTGCTCGGGTCCGTTATTGTGGCCCTGTGGGACTTGCATCGCTTGGCTAGTGCATGGTACTCTTCACGGAAGAGGCTCGGTGAACTAGTTCGGGTGACCTCTTGAGGAACGGTGGCTATAGAATTGGGACTCTCCGATGCAGCTAGGCTATCGACTCTACTGTGGATTTTAGTAACTATGGCTAACGAGACTAATGACACACGAATGTAACGATAGATCGGCGAGATGAACTAAACAGGCATAGGGATGTGAGTGGAGACAAAGGGGGGGGTTGGGCCAATAGTCAAGTCGGTCAATTCGGCCAAGGCTCGCTGAAACACAGAATGAATCGCGGGTCTAACCCATAAGGATTATGAGGACTGCCCAACTCCGCAGAGCAAGCAAAATCGTGTCTGGGAGCTGTATTGTCGAGGATAGCGGAGCAGTTTCTTCCAGCTGCCTCCTATTGTTTTCTTTTGTACCCCACTTTTTCGTTGTCTTTTGAATGTGATTATGCGGTTACGAGACAACACTTACAAGTCATTCCAGAGTACCCCCACGGGTCCTCCCGGACATGAAGGATGATCCTATCCACATATCAAACTATGAACCGATTCTGCAGATAGGTATCTCACATACCCTTTACCTGCCATTCTTTAGATACAATTAATCAATTTCATCTGTTAACTATGCCGATTGGTTCCCCTTTGCAAGTATTCTCCACAATATGCATACTAGCCAATACTGTTTTAGCTTGCTCTGACCTGAAAAAACATTTATCACCTTTAGATGACAAGCTTTATGAAGAGAGAAGCCTGTGAGCAGGTCGAGTGTTCCAAGTGATATGATATGACTGCCTCAGATTTGATGTTGACAGGGGTTTCTGCAAGTCTGCTCAAGGCACTGATTTTCCTTATACCCCATGGGACTCGAATCTACGATTAAGGTTCTGTCAACCCTAGTAGCCCGGCTAATCACACGTAGTTACTCTCTGACTTTGTGCGTCAAGCATTCATAATTACATCAGTCCATGACAAGGCTCAGCATTTTTCTCTGCGAAGAGAGAGAATTGAGTAAAGGTCCTCTATCTCCACAAAAAGTGCATCTTATTCTTGTGGGCATTCTGTCCTTGAACATCGCCATGGCGACCACGAACAACCCGTCTACTGAAGAGATACCCCTACCGCCGACATGCCTCCTTTGTCAAATGGAGATACCATCTACTCACAACGCTGCAATCGCGAGGACAGGCGACCACGAAGAAGTGCTCAAATATTCGACCCCGTGGAAACGTTACTGGAGGACCCGTCGTAGACATGTGACGGTGCGATCTGTGTCAATCGAAAAGGCAGCCTTTCGTAATTGTTATTTACCGCGACTATGGTCATGTTTCTGTCGTGCTAGTAAGTCTCAGATTGTATTTTGGATTGTGAAGCCCAGTAAAGACTGACTGGTAGGCCTAGTAATCAAGGAGTCTGATACTAAGTATCGTCTAACGGGCATTAATATCGTACAACCCCAACCAACTGTTCCACACAACTTTCCAAGTGACCCGGACATCGCGAGAATTGGTGGGAGAAGAAATGCCCCATACAGTCGTCCAAGATTCACCGAATGCGTGGCGGCGACTATGGAAACACGGCCAGCTCAGTATCAAGGGAAGCGACTCGGGTTTATCATACACGCTCATTGCTGGGTGCTTTTTAGTCGGGCGGTTAGGACGTCTCCGGCTGAGATACAGCTCGAGAATTTTATCGAAGCCTCCCGATCTCACTGGTGCAAGTCAAAATTAAAGGGTCTAGTTGATGGAAATATTTGCTCGCTCGTGACCTGGCCTTGCAATGCTTCACAGAGGCTTGGGCTCGAGTGTGATATTTATGAGAATCCAGTGATCATACGAGGTCTGAAAAAGGTCATTTCCCACGCAACCAAACGTCATTTCACGACTACGCTCCAGGCCTGTTTCAGTAATCTTCCAATAGAAGTTACTTTTCTGATCTTAGAGTGGGTTATCCCGATTGACTATACCTCGGATGATGTTCGAAACATGCGAAATATGCTCCTCGCGTTCGGATGCGTTATATCAGATTTGTTTTGGCGAAGGCGGCTTCCAGAAGATTTCTTCTTCGAGCTGGATATTCTGAGGAAGTCTAGCTCTCCGCCGTCTTGTATGAGTTTACAGATGCTGCGACTTGACGTGATGCGTCTCACCTTGAACCCTTATAGTGGATTGGCAAATCGCAAGCGTATACACAAGAATATTGTTGCGATCAAGAGGGGCTTAGGAATTGCTTAAGGGAAAGGACTTGCTAAAAGAATTGCTATGGGAGGTGGAGTCTAGTTACTCTGCACCTTTGCTCCGCTTAATGCGGAGCGTTTATTCCTGGGAGCTGAGTGCCTGCTCTTTGATCAACCACACGTTTGTAAGATCCTTGTCCACCATACCACCTGCATCTTGAGTTAGGACGATAACTCGTAGGAAAAGACACCATGTATGCAGCAGAGTCAACAGATGTTGAATTTTGGCTTATTATTTACCGGTCAGCGGGTGCCGGTGCCCCTTCCTTTAGATATGGCTCTCGAAGCTAGTCATACTCAAAGAAGTGCCACCTGTCACTAGTTCTATTGGCTAATACGAACGGTTTGACCAAATGTTTGCTATATAGTTACTTCTTTGCACAAAAATTATCTCCGCCGCAGTGTTTTACGATATTGCTCCGAAAGGCCAAGTTGCTCTTGTTGTTTCTCGAAACTCTCTGAAGACAATGCGAGCTTGGCGATGTTCGTCAAGTCTTCGGCTGGGGCCTTGTGGGCTCTAGACGGGCACAGTATGCTTGTTTGATTATTCTATTGGTGTAAAGGTGGCGTTGCGGCTCGGTGACAGCACAAGTTCAGGGGCGAAGGGAAAGAGGAGGAAATGAGATGATATGCAGGAGCAATTCGAACAAAATCACGCAATTTATACTAAATATAACATGTCATGTGGTAACACAGCCATAGAACTAGATCAATTTCAGGGACACGTGGTTTGAAGGTGGCAACATCCATTCAAATTATTGCGCGCCAAGTAGGAAACGGGAACGTGTCTCAAGAATACAGGTCCTCATCCTGTGACGGAGTTTGGAACACAAGAGTGAATCGTGCGGGTCAATAAATAGAAATATTCAGAGTTCCAAATGAATTTTAGATTGCACGGAGTCTGGCTCGGTAGTCTTCCGTAATGTGCGAGTACTTTGGACTACCGTACGTTCTCGTCTGAGAAGCCACCAACCCTGCTGCGTTTAGTCATCGTGCTTAGCCTGAATGGCTTTCATCGCCTTGCTGATTGTTGGCAATGCTGGGTCCCTAAATGCTCTAGGATTCTTACCCACTATAACTGAATTGCAGATCGAGAAGGAACCGAGTGTACTAGAGGGCCCGAGGGGCTACAAAGTGTTCGGCGATATAAGAGGTGGCGGAGCTCGGCGATCCAGATCAATCGCAAACATGCGTCACTAATAAGGCGCAGACGGGGATCGAAGAGGAAGGCAAAGTAGAAGGCCGAAAATCAGAGAAGTTGAAGCGGCGATAAAGCAGATTTTATAGAAATACGCATTGTGATAGTAAGGTGTAGGAAGGCGCTAAACCCGATCCGGCACGCCAAACTACTCTGCGTAATTCACCGTTTCCGGATTTTGCGGAACACACCCAATTACCCCTATGTTTGGATACCCCGCGAATGCCAAGTAGCGTGTGCGGCTAAGTAAATTTGCCGAGGCGTGGTCTGCTGAACAACAGCCGCAGCGACCTGTCATGAGGCCCAGTGCTCGGCCTGTTGACCGGCCGAATTAGAACTCTTCATCGTAAACAATCATGCGATGCAGGAGCGCTAGTACAAAGCCGTGGTTAGTCCTTGGGTTGTTCTGCATTCTTGGAACCCCTCTTTTTCGTCTTAGAGAATGTCGGCCTGATGTCCGAGATGCATGCGGTTTGCGGTATTTTTATGTTCTTTTGCGCACCGGAGTTTTCGCACGCTTTCGTAACCAAATTGCGATAACCCGGCTAAGGCTGTGGTACGTCGGGCTTCTTTGCGATGTCTCATTGGGATTCGCAGCAGATGGCAAAGCGTAGTAATAATAGGTTGCCACTTAGAAATTTGAGAAACTTTTGGCTCCTGTTTTCCGCAAACTTTGTGTAGCACGAAAGCCGTCTTAACCGAGGGAACGCTAGCCGTGAACGGATCAACATCTTCAACTACCCCATTTGCGTAGATTGGGCTAGAATCTCGCCGTATTATCCAGAACCGTGCCACAGACAGACTCACTTGTCACATATAGGGCGTAGGGAGTGAAAAAGCGGCGGATGGATGTGGAGACCGTGCCCACAATAATATCGAATTTTACTTGTCTAGCTGTAGCATTTTGCGTGGGACCCTGTGAGAGTGGTGGGGGCTTGCTTTCTTGAAATTTCTTTGCAGTAAGGTCTTAATAATGAGCTATCCCACCTTAGACCTTCTTCTAGCGTATTTGCGTCTTCACAAATCAATGGGCCTTGCCAGATCACCGTCAAAATGTCAGGTCACTTCCCTATGGAGGAGAAACTGCAGAAGGTCATGTCGGCCACAGGTGGGTCCATTCCGCCAATCTACGCTCGCTTTCGGATATCTAGTACTCACGTCTCTTCAAAGAGGGCGCAGTGGTAACCCCTTTTGAGTCACCACAGGATTCACCTCCAGATTCACACTCAGAATTATCAGACGATGACTCGGGCATTGCCCACGAGCCTATCCAGGAACGATATGAAAACCCGTCATACTCTCGTTTCCGACGCGTGGCTTCGAAAACAGTCGTGTCGTTTGGGCCCAACGATCCGGAGAATCCGGTGAATTGGAGACAGGTATGTCCATTTCAAAGAAAACGGCCCTTGTCTTAGCAGCTTGTCGGTGCTGACATACGTATGCAGACAAGAAAGGTCTTGGTACTCCTTGCGGGTGTCATGCAAGTCATGAATAGCACAATCGGCTCATCCATCTGCAGTAATGCTATTCCGCAAATTGCTGAAGAATTCAACATCACCAACCAGCAGATGCTGGTGCTGCCCATCTCGATTTTCCTAATTGGTTACATCCTGGGCCCTTTGCTGTGGGGCCCCAGTTCTGAGTACTTTGGACGCCGGCGTCCTTTACTTATTGCGTTTATCGGATTTATGATCTTCACGCTGGCATGCGCGGTGGCTAACTCCTATGCATCGCTGTTAATATTTCGGCTTCTCAACGGCATGATGGCATCTGCACCAATCGCTACTACGGGCGGACTATTTGCTGATGTTCACGACGATCCAACCCTACGAGGTCGCCTCATGGCTTATTATATGGCTGTATGTTGCTTATATCCACTTACCACATAGGCAAAAGCGACTAACGATTGACAGTGTACTACCTTTGGCCCCATAATGGGCCCTTGGATCTCCGGATTTGTTGCTGTCGTCAGTTGGCGGTGGTGTTTCTGGATTGGACTCATTTGCTCCGGCGCAACCTTGCCTCTGGTTATCTTCATGCCCGAAACATATGGGCCCGTCGTTCTGACGCGCCGTGCGAAGAAGCTGCGAAAAGAGACTGGAAACTCGAATATCGTGTCACCTTTAGAGCTTGAGAGCCGGGACCTTCGCAGAATGTTCCTCGTCACGATCTCCAGGCCCTTCCGCATGATCTTTCACGAGTCCATTGTTTCCTTGAGCTCATTATACTTGGCGCTGGCCTACGCAATCTTTTATCTGTACTTCGAGGCATATCCAATCATCTTTCAAGGTACGTGGCTCTTCTTAACTGACATATGAGTGTCATCCGTCGGGCCGTACAGGCTAACATAACAACACCTCAGGCATCTACGGCATGAATGCTGGCATATCTGGTCTCATGTTCCTGCCCAGTAAGTTAATCGGCTGGTAAATCTTTGATCTATCTATGAATTCAAACTAACGTGGATGACATAGTTGGCGTAGGCGCAGTCCTTGCCTGTGCGGTCTTCATTTGGTACGATGGTTTCTTCGCCCGGGCAAAAGCTCGTCAAGCCAGCTGGGCAAATATTGAAGAGTATCGGCGACTTCCACTTGCGTGTATAGGAGGCCCATTGTATGTCATCGCCCTTTTCTGGGTGGGCTGGACCGCCTCTCCCAACATCCATTGGGTGGTGCCCTTCCTATCGGGTATTCCGTTTGGAATGGGGTATTTATTGATTTTCATGGCAATGCTCAACTACCTCACTGATGCCTACGAAACGTTATCTGCCAGTGCTCAGTCGGCCGCCAGCTGCACGCGTAGCATTCTAGGTGCAGTGCTACCTCTTGCCACTAAGCCCATGTTCGACAAACTGGGTGTCCACTGGGCGTGCAGTCTGATCGCATTCCTAAGCCTGGGTGTTTCTGTCATTCCATTTGCTTTCATTCGGTACGGTGATAGTATCAGAAGCAACAGCAAGTTCTGTCAAGATTTGAAGCGCATCAAGGAAGAGGAGCGCCTAGAACTCGAGAGACAGGAACGCTTGCAAAATGAGACCGGCAACCTGGATATTGTCCCATCCGCAACCAGTGGTCAGATTTCGAGAATCGAAACCGCACGCAGTCATGCGGAGAAGGCGTCCATAATTTGTTAAGGCATAGCGACTATGGGGGTGGCTCGTCGTTTGAAGACATCATCCGACATAATCACTGCATTTCATCCCCGTTTGGCGATCTAAAAGTTTTCCCTTTGCCTCGTGATTTCGAGGCCATAATGATGTGACCACACACTTATCCTCAAATTATGCATATACAGGCGTTACCTTGTTCTTTATTTCACGACAGCTTATTTTCCGCATGAATAAATTTAATAATAATAGTAAATCCATCATTTCTTTCCTCGCAGAGTTCATGTCAGCTTTAAGCGAGTCTGCTGACACCTTTTGATGACCTTTTGCTAGTGTGCTGGCTATTTACCCCCTCTTTAGGCCAACTTTTCCAGCCTTGCGTAATCCCCCAGGTACAAACGCCAGAGACAGCCACCATCAGCCCAAAACAGGTCCAGAACACTGGGCTGGTATGCAGCCATCAGAATTAGTCATTCGCGGGGTGGCGGGGATGGCCGGTCGATAATACTCTATGAGGTTAGAGTGAAAGCGAAAAGGTTAGGCCCAACTACTTATCACTTAATAGCTATTCTAGTACAACAAGTTGATCCTGATCTGCGGAAACTGACGTTCAATATTGGGAGGTGATCTGATCGCGAGCTTTGTTTCAAAACGTGGCCTCGGCCGGTGCTACTCGAACTACCATCCGTGCGTCTCAGTACCTCAAAGTCAATCAAATCCGTATTATTCGTTTCTATTGTTGGCTTAATGATGAAAATCCGAGTATTGCACGCGATCATCCATGTACCAGTTTATCTCAGTGTACCGGATCGCCAATTGGCTGGGTAATGCTTCGCCGTCGAATACGGGGAACTGAATATGAAGGTTGGGCATGAAATCATCGCCACATATTACTTGTACGCTCAGTTCGTCCAGTATGGGATTTCCATCGTCCAGAGTGGGGATTATCTCGGTATAGTATTGTCACTTCTACAATCAGTTGAATGTCTCTGGGTATCAATCTCGAACATTCATTCAGCACCAGATCACCCCAGTTGGTACTACCCACTGTCACCCGGCCATGTCTACTTATCTACTTATTACTTGCCCTCTCGTGCCTTTTAGCGCTTACTTGATCCCAGCATGCTCCCGTACCGAACAAACATATGACTAATATACTTTGCATCATTCTCCAGTCGGAACTTCAAGGGACGAATGCAAAAAACCAAGCACGGTCCTATTTGCTGATCCGTGGCGGGGGCATTGAGGGTACAGTCTCCGAACCGAGCTGGGGTCTGCCAAGTGCCTCTGCATTTATACGCATCAGCTCGATACGAGCTGCCCATGCAGTGCACGCGGGCGTATGATGACAACAACTCCCTGTGTAATTGACTGTTTCTGCAGATCAGGTGCTCCGGCGAACGACCTTTTTCCGAGGAAAACTTGGATGTCTCTGTTCCTGTGGCTTGACGGTTAAGCCCCGACAATGGAGGTGACTTGCATTGGTCCCACTTGTATCCTGTTAGTGCAACCTAGATCAGAGCCCAGATTTCCGAGGAATCGATCGGTAAGGTTTTCACCATCCAGGTGGGTTGAAGGCTGTGTCGATAGGATGAAGATACAAGTCGATGTCACCGATGTCACCGACGTTCCTTGCCCGGTTTCGAGCGCCAAACGACACAGTGTCAAATTGAAACCGGAACACGCACTCGGATGACCTCATGCTTCTGTCGTGTCGAATGTGAGGGCCAATGCTATGGAGAGGGGGAGGGGGGGGGGCTACAACGGGTGGGGGAAAAGCAAATATTAAACCAAAATATACTTTCCCTTTCCTAGCGACGAAAGAGGAAAAAGAAATGAGAAGCTGAGGATTATGGTTGAACGACCCATGCCCCCAACGAAGCCCCGAGGAATCGGCCAAACCAAAGGAAAACTGTGCTTCGGTGCGCATGGAGGGGACGGTGACCATAAAGCAGCGGCAAGCGCGCTTTGCGCGAAAGAAGGAAAAGCGGGTTGCGGCGGGAACCCCAGATGGGGCCAGTGGAGTGGGTATGTCGAGTGGGACTGTGGAACAGAAGGGATCAAGAAATGCGTCAATGATGGGGCTTAGACCGAATTCTGGACCTGGGCCAAATGGGAATGTCCCCCATAGCGGGGGGGCAAGTCCATGTGTACGGTACCTGCTGCCTGCCCTACTGTCCATCGGCCAGGGGCCGTGGCCGGCCTTGGGTGAGGCGGACGGCTAGGCGTTAGGACCAGCTCCCAACAGGAAGGCGGATCGAATCCGAGTCTCTTGGTAAGTCAACAGTCAACAACCCCCACGATGTGATACGTCAAGCCCCTCCGTCCCTGTGGAGTTTGGGAATGGGGTGTGCACTGGGGCTAGAAGGCTAGATCGGGGGCTCTGGCCAGTCGGATCGGCCTTGTTAGAAGAGCGTGGGCGATCCCCAAAGCGTCCCAGCGCCCTAATGCTATGGATCCATGGGGCTGGGAAAAACGCGACAGACCCATGCCTCCCAGGCAGAAGCGCAGCCTGATGCTTATTGCTCGCCTACCGCGGCGCGAATCAGCTGGTCCGGCCTTCCTTCCGATGGTATCCGGCTTCGTGCTTCGGCCTGTCGCTGGTCTCGAGAGCTGTTTCCCGAATTGCCCAACCCTCACTGGTGCGCGCACGGACCGAGGACGATTCGTTCCAAGCTCCAGGCTAGCGACAGGGTCACGCCGAGACTCATAGGGCCTTTCCAGCCGAATCCTGGAAAACGAGAGGACCACCGGGCCCCCCGAACGGACCGACCACCCCCATCTTACACCACCCCGAAGTTCGGGGTGGAGCTGGGACGAGCACAGCCCAGACCTGGACCCGTCAATCATGAGAGCTGAAGCCCGATCATGTGGCTGACCGTGCCTACTCCCCAGAGGCGAGAGGCTTTTTCATTGCGGGGAATCCCTGAGCGTATCACGGCACTTCCGCAGGCAGAGGCTCGCTCAATCCGGAATGTGGCAGCGCTTTGGTGGGTATTCAAATGGTGAAGCTAGCGTCGCTGACTTGACCGTCTGGTGATCAGCTTGATTTTGATCTGCCTGGGTCCGAACGGGTCATATCGTCGCCCGGGTCCAGGTCCAGGTCCAGGGGCATATTAATGTAGCCGTTCGCCGAGCGGTCCATTTCCATAGTTCACTCCCTTCTCCCGTGGTCCAATCCCGAATCCAGTTCTAGTTTCTTTACGATCTTTCCAAGTTCATTCGAGTTCATTCGAGTTCATTCAAGTTCATTCAAGTTCATAGAGCTGCCCCAATTGCCCCAAGTTCTCGCGATCTACGTTCACGACAGCCGCATGGAAAAAGTATGACAACCTTCTCTTTGGCGGCGCTTCCTTTCCTCATCGTACTTCTCATCGTGCGATATCACCAAGAAATCCGCCATTGGGTATCGACCACTGCGAAGAACAAGGGTTGGACAAATGAAGGTGCTCATCCACCCCCGACATCAAGCGCATGGCGCCATACCCAGCGCAGCCCATCAAAGGCCGGGAACGATACCGAATCATGATGGATATCCGCAAACTGGACGTCCAAAACTGGCTGACCCTCGACCAAAATTACATGGAAGAGCATCGCGTGCGAGACGACCTGCTTCGCGAGAAGCGAGAGAAAGTTCTCCAATGCCTGCCCGAGTCACAAGACGCCTGCCAGGAGGCGTTGGGAGAAGTCTCCGATTTTCTCTGCGACAGATTTCCCAACATGTTCCAAAAAGTGGTGCAAGACGGAAATTGTTTCATTCGAAACCGCATGACAGGGGAGCAATTCGACATTGGTGGCGCACCTGGCGGTGAAACTATCGACGCGCTTGAGGCGGCAGTCCGACTTACAATGGAGGATCTCAGCATTTTGATGATGAACGAGGACGGCGAGTACTACCTGTACGTTCCCCAATTTTCACCCCTGGCCACCCCCACCTTCGCTCTTATCAGGATCCCTAATCCCTTTCCTTACAGGGCCGCCAGTGCCAGTCTGTTTCCGACAGGGTGGACTGTCGAGGAGCGCATCGGGTGGACGATCTCCCGCCTGCATCAACCTGTGCCGCTATGGCATCAGCACGTTGCGAGCTCAGTTAGCAAGTAAGTGGATTCCCCCCCCCCCCCCACCCAAGAAGCACAAAGAAGTGCTCTACTTCTATTGCCTTTGTGTTTGGCACACTTTCTAATGCCTAGTAGGTTCCTGGCGCGACTGACGCCAACGTCCCCGATGGAGCGGTCGAACTACTTCGTGGAGATCAAACGGCCCGACGAGAATCTGATTGAGATTTTGTATCGTCCAAAGGGGCTGTGTGAGAAAGACATTTGCAGTCCTTCGCCGGAGGAGATTCTGATTCGCCGTGAGAGACAGACTTTCCGTCGACTGCCAAAAACCGGCACCATTCTCTTCGGGGTGAAAACGTACCTGACTCCTCTGGACCAGCTCCCGATGCAGGAGCTGGAAAATCTCGCCACCGAAATGAAGAGCTGGCCTCACTATGTGGGTGAGTACAAGGGAAAGGAGGTATGGGGTGCCAAGGTCTTGGAGTTTTACCAAAGCCGAGTGAGTCAGGTGGACAAGGTTGAGGTCTGATTTGCTGAATTGTTTGACGTGATGACGAAACCATATTGCTTTTTTTGCTGCCTTGCGCTCTTGCTTTTTTTTCTCTGCTGAATGGTTTTCCGGTTCTCCCTTCTTGGGAAGTAAAAATGGGTCGGCTGTCTGAATATTCTTTTTCTGCAAATGCGATGCTTGTTTCTTCAACGTGTTCCGAAATGATTCATATTACATGCGACAAAGTTGCTGAGGTACTCGAAAAGAAAGACTGGGAATCACACTTATTGATAAGCACAAAGTCCTGCCCGATTGGATTATAGTGAATTAAAATATATTTACTGCGATTGCCCGGGAATAAAGACAATTCAGTCATGTCCAGATCAAGGTGGTGATAAAATAAAAACACAGTAAGCGAAATCTATCTAAAATAATGCAGGTGAGAAGAACACGGAAGCGGGCGTAGCAAGAACCCGTGGGTCAAGAAGGGGTATAAACAAGGCACAATTCAGATCTTTGCCAATGGTGGCTTATCCTGCTTTAACCGGACCACGCCCTAGAAAAAAAAAAGGTTAGCCAGAGAACAAACATCAAACCCAAGCAATGAAGATAATGTTCGGCATACCTCTTGAGTGCAGGTGGCGATCAATGTCCCATCCTGCGACCAGATCTTCTGAATAGCCAGTCCTCGTCCTTCTCCCGCCCACGGGCTCTCCATCTCAATCAACATCCACTCGTCGGCGCGGAAAGCGCGCGGGTTATGGAAATAGATGGAGTGGTCCAGACTGACCATCATGCCAACTTCCTTACGATCCTTTGCCTTGCCATTGGTGGCATGATCCAGCGCCCCCTCCAGTCGGCGTCGCAGGTCGGCCGCCTCCTCTTCCTTCAGCTCCTTCAGGGCCCTCTTAATATCCTCATCGTCGAGATCAGAGGGGTTCTTCAGGGCCTTGAGGAGCTTCTGAAGTTCTGCCGGGGACGAGAATCGGGGAATGTCGTGCACACGGGCGACGGTGCCGATGAAGTAACTGTCCGTCACGTAGGCAAGGGCCGACAAATGGGCCTGGAAGCCCCCTTCCTCGGAGATGTGACCGCGCGATCGCACAAATCGCCGCACCTTCTTATCCTCCGGGTTGGTGGAATTGCCTACTCGCTGTCAGTCACGAGCTTGCGCCAGGGCGATCATCGGAGACACTCACGGTTGACGATGCCCGCCTTCCTGGACTCGAATGGGCCATCGCCCGCGTTGTCCAAAGCCTTCACGGTGCCGGGCAGCGCATCCTCTGGAAGAGACACGTCGGGCATAGGGACGGCGTGTGAAATGGTCTTCTCGCCACCACTGCCTACCCGGCTGAAACTGAGCGTGGTGGTAAAGATCGGGCGGCCCCGTTGCCGCGCCTGCACCGTCCGAGTGATGAAGCTTCGTCCGTCGCGCACTCGCTCCACATGGTACAGAATCGGGATTTCAGAGTCCCCCGCAAGGACGAAGTAGCAGTGCATGCTGTGGACGGCGAAATCCGCGGGGACAGTTCGCATGGCGGCCGATAGGGACTGGGCAATGGCGGCGCCGCCGTAGATGCCGCGGGCGCCCGGAGGATGCCAGAGGGGGCGGGTGTTGGTGAAAACATCCTAGAAAGTTAACGCGAGGCATCAGTACGAGCCATGGGCCATGTTGGGAGTGCGCTGGGAGAAGGGGGTGTGTACGGGGCCGAGGTCCACCACTGGTGTCAAGTCAAGCACATTCTCGATGGGTGCCTTGGAATGGTCCTGTGGCGGAGGGTCGAGGAGAGTCACGCGTGCCATTGTTGTCGCACTTGGAAGACAAGTGGGAGAGGTTGAGAAGGGCGCAGGGTCTCGGCGTGGAGTGCGCGGTCGGACAACGGCGGTCTCCCGCGCTTTTGAAATGCGGGGGGGGGAGCTTTACGGGGGAGCAGCCGAGGTCCAACGCTGGCTATGAGTGGGAGTCGCGACATGAGTTTCCATTGTGTCATTATGTCACACAGATGGCGCTAGCTAGTTACAGCAACACAGATCAAAGCTGATTCAAACACACATTTCTCACGTATCATGAGGGTCATTTCCATCAGGTCATCGTTCGGCTCAAACTACTCCAGGTTGTAGATGGCGGGGGCGTCAAATGCGGCTCCCACGTCTTCGGCGCTGGGTCCAGACCCGGCACGCTTTCGAGCCGATAGGTTGTGTTATTATGACTGAGACTCGGAGAAGGGGCCCCCGAGTTCTGCGCTTGCAGCAATCGCAGCATCTGTCGCCGCTGCATCTCTTCCGCACTCAAGAGGGAGTGCCGTCCTCCGCCCGGCTTTGGCTCGATCCATATTCACGATAGATTAAGAACGATGCGAGACCATAGATCAAAGAAAATGCACTGGGAAGGCCGATTCCGACCACGCGGATCGCGTTCAGCGGGTAGAGGTTGCGACTGAGGATATTCAAAAGGACATTAAATAGCGCGACCAGGTTTACCACGAGATGAGGCCTAGCACGCAAGTTAGCGCTCCTGCGAACGCGATAGACACGAGTCGACTGACACAAATAACGAACGAAGGAGGAAGAGTTGGCGCGTGCGGTGAATGCAAGCGATCACGATCGAGCCGACATATGCGACTCCGACGAAGAACAGGGCAAATACGAGGGACGCGGTCTGATCGACTCGCAGGTTGTCGTCCGAGTCCCCAAACACCACCGACAGTATTAAATAACTAGCGATAGAGCGCGATCAGCAAATACGAAGCAGTTCCACCTCAGTGCCCGCACGAACCCAATTAACAGCAGAGCCGCGGAACAGGCCGTGAGGAGTCTCCAGAGCCTCGACACTCGGGTCGCACTCGGGATCGGTCCGCGCGCGATCCATCCATCGGATTCAAACGGGGGGGCTTGCATGGCGGGGAGTCATGTCAGTGCATCGCGGTGCTGACTGTCAAGGGGCTGGTTGACGTCAAGGGGGACGACGAGCGACGGGAATCAAATAAGTATAAGGGCCAACGCTCCCGGATAGGCAAATTAACAGCGCGAAAGGCAGTAAACGAATGTCGACGGCTTCATGAAGAAAGGAGAAATCTCTGCCCCCTCGCCAAGAAGAAGGGGAAGGAGCAGGAAGAAGATTCCTGTCAGAGCCGCAAGCAACCGAGGGCACAGCGTGCAGATTTGAGGCCCGCAGCTGAGCCACTCACGTCGACAGGCGATCGCGACCCTGGAGGTAAGACCCGGGCGGGCACCTCCAATCAGGTCCTGTTCGGGGCTTGGACCAGTCTGGCTCTACTTGCGGCTGATCCGTGCTGCGCACTCAGCTTCAGTCTGTCTGGTCAAAAAGAACCGCCTGCGGTGGGCGGAGTGCATTTCGGGACTACGTTGACTATCAACAAACTCTCATCAAGCCCGTGTCTCCCCTTACCCAGCCCATAACTGTCCAGCACCGCTAGGGATGGTCCGAAATGGTTTCGATCGACAAGTTCTTGGTGATCAGATGCAGGTCAAACGTGTCAGGCACTCGGAATCTAGCAATGGCCCACTTGGTCAGTGGAATGGATTCTGCAAGGGAGTGGGGCCCAACTAACTGTACTTCATTGCCGTGCTCGCCTGTGATTTGTCCCCCGGCCGATTCCACCAGCGACTTGAATCTGATTGCAAGTTAATCAAGTTCCTGGTAAATTGTGAAGGTAACTGACCGGTCCAAGTCGGATTCAGTGATGCCGTCCTGTAAAATGACCTTGGATTTGATTTAACCAGGCCCACGAATCTCGCTAGGGAGGTATGAGACTGACTGTGTGTTCGGGCATCTTGGACTCTACATATGCAAGAGCATGGCAAACAGGCGCAGAAATCAACAACGGGTGGATATTTGGAGACTATCGAACGAGAAGATCAAAAGTAGCGGCAACTTCTATGAGACCGCCGCTTCAATGTTGGTCATGATGATATCATATTGATTGCCCCCTGGTCATCGCGTGCAGTGTCGGAATGCAAATGTTAAAGTCACTCAAAGATGGATCCCAGCCAATCATCCAAGCTCAAATTAAACTAACCCATTAACAACTCATCAGAAGTTTCATACCAAACCTCGGAGATTGGTTTATCTCCCCTAGCTCCCTTTAATCCATCCACCACCGATTCCTCAAATTCTTCAAACCAATTCTCCCAGATAGAGACACAACCAATCCATCCATATTTCTTTCCCCAAATGAAATGGTTTCTTCCCTCGTGATAAAACTTCTCCACGATGCGCGTACTGGCTGCTCTTAGGTCATACAGACCAAGATGTTCCACCAGTCCCACTTCCGCCTTTTCGATCTCCATAGTTTCTTTGTCTAGGATTAACACTCCATCGGTCCAGAATTGAAGTGGCGCTAAATCCATGAGCGTGTAAATGTCTTTGTATTTGAGTGTGTTTATCCTCAGCTCCCTTGATATAGGATCAAGGAGAATCATGCTCCACAGTTGATAGGCCGCTCGAATAAATCCTGGACGCTCACGTTTAGTCAAGTACGGAGGACGTATTGGATTGCCGTCGAAGAACCTCTTATCACGGGGGTTGTCTGTTTGGCTGTTGAAAAATGAGAATTTCTAGGTCGGGCTAAACATACGAGCACGGCCGCTAAGGGTCATCTTAATGACGACCGTTTCATTAAAGTGGACAACGGAGTTCTCCATCACGATAGAGTTTCGGGTCATTTGCAAGAAATCTTGCACCGTCGGAGTCTCATTTCGTAGGGAACCACCTTGGTCTGCCAGCAGCTTTCGCGCATAGCGTCGGCAAGGGATTGCCATTGGACTCACATAATGGTAAATGGTGCTGACATTGTCGTGGAATATCTGTCGGTGTCTTTGACAGGTTGCAGCGAGATGTAGTGTATCGGGAAATGCAGATAGCGAGTAGAAAACACCGAGGATCACCTCGGCGGGAAATGAGGACAGCTCAAGCCGAGGCTGCATTATCATCAGAAAGGCCTAAGATGCAATGGCGGGAAAAGGAGAAGTTGGTTCGAGATTCGATTCGAAGGGAAAATTAGGAGCTTTCTGAATACGATATTTTAGTTTCTCTCTCTTTTGTAAAGTCTTGAAGACTCTTAGTGACCCAAGACTCATTGCAAGGGATGCTGTGGAGTTGATCCCTCCCCCACTGAGGCGCCCCTCTCACATGACCCCCTGAAAAAAATGATTTCAAAGTTAGGCAAAAGGTCGCGGAAATTACAATATAGCTGATACTATTTCTATAGCAAGGTTTCGAGAAGAATCACGGCTGGCGTATGAACCGCTGGAGTCAAGAGAGGGGAGTATTGAAGAAAGGAAGAATGCGCAAACGAGCCACGGGTAGATCACCATTGTGCGTTTCGTGGCAACGCCTCCCTTAACCTAAGCATGTGGTCTGCCGAGTATGACTGATATAAGCGAGTCAATACTGTAATACCCGTGAGGTTGAGAATGGGAATCAGAAAAAAGTAAGTCGCAAGTGACACGAGGGAGACAAGAATTGGGAGGTGCGTCGGAATGCCCGACCGCGACCCTAGTCGTGAGATTATGCATTTGCTAGATACTCAAAAAGTTTAGAATGATAGGTCATCAGTCCCAGGAATATTGCAAATCTTCCAATGAGTCGATTTCAGAGCTTTAATCAGGACTTCGTAAGCGGAGTTCGCCTTCTTGCCAAGAGACCCTTCGGCAAGCCATGCCAAGCCCCCAGGTACAACTCATCATCGCGTAAGCTGGTGTAAGCAGCCCGAAAGTACGTGATCGCAACACTAACTTCTTTTCGACTTCTTGTGGGTACAGTGAGCTGGATCAAACGTGAACGCGGGACAGTCACCTGGCTAGAACCGTAATAATGCCGCGATGCGGCGTTGAGCGGTAAATGGATGACAAGAGATCAATCGCATCTACACACGGTTGTTCAATATTCTTGGCGTTGGGGATTCCCTCGGAAACCGAGCTATAAAAATCAAGGACGGGTGAGAAACAATCCCTATTGCTGGAAAATTGGGGTAAAAAATGACAGCTAACGGCAAGGGGCATTTTGACTCGGATGTTTGGGTTGACGTGCATGCTCACAGACCCTGAGTCTGCAGTCTGTGAGACACAAATTAAGCTAAATTCAGACCGTGCGGAAGCCGGACATCGGTTGGGATTATCGGGCCGATAGAAGTCCCCATCGATGAAATTTATTGGTGCGCATCTCCGGTGGCTTGTTCATTCATTCGTCAAGAGGTTTGGGGGCCGGAAGTTCTCGCTCAAACATGTTGATGGGTATTCTATTGCACGGTGTGAACAGAAGTGACCAACAAAATCAATAGGGTTTTCTCAGTGACATGGTTCCTCCAATATTGAGGACCAGTTAGTCTGGCTATACGATTGTTGTATGTCATCACAGGTTAATTCCATTGGGCAAAAATCTCGATTCTTCAGTTTCACATATAGTAGATAGTAGACCTCATCTTGACTGAGCCTGACCCTAACAACTGCATCTCATAATTCCGGAATACGTATTTAGGAAAAATACGCCTTGGATTTCTTGTCACCGCTCAATCATCCTTGACAGGATTGCCAAGCCATATCGCGGGCGGTAGTTTGCATCGTGTTGTAGCAGTCTCTGCAGGCCAAGACAAGGTGGATGTGGCAACTATAACCAAACCAGATACAGGATAAGCAGTAACCATATCGGGGATTAGCAAGCTCTTTGTCAATATTACCTATCGGCTGAGTGAATGTAGAGGCGAATTGACTTGGGTGGTGAATGTCGAGGTATAAAGAGAGAGAACTCCCCCAGCTCCTCGAAGGGTGAATCAAGGATCACGATAAAACCATCAGCCCTTCAACAAGCAGCCTACTCTTACTGATATCTTAACCCATTTTTCAGAATGCACTTCTCCAAGATCATACAGACAGCTGTCCTTCTGGCAGTGTCCGTTCCAGCCCAGGCTTGGAACAGACTCGACAAGAACAATGCGGTAAGTCGCCCCAGATTGAACGCTTCTCAGAGCCAAAATTGATTCCATATTTAGGCTCTTCTGGTCATCGACCACCAAGTTGGACTTTCGCAGCTCGTGCGCGACTTTGGCACCAATGACTTCCGCAATAACATGCTTGCGCACGCCGCCATAGGCAATGTCTTTGATCTGCCTACTATCTTGACTTCGTCGTCAGACCAAGGCCCCAACGGCCTCCTGCTCAAGGAGATCATGGAGATGCACCCCAATGCCACCTTTGTTCGCCGCCAGGGTGAGGTCAACGCATGGGACAATGCCGACTTCCGTAAAGCCGTCAAGGCAACTGGAAAGAAGCAGTTGATCATTGGTGGCATTGTGACTGAAGTTTGTGAGTAGCTCTGTTTCTTTTCATGCGATCTAGAGCTGGATTTTTTTAACGGGTCAAAATATTAGGCACCGCCTTCTTGGCTCTGTCTCTGATCGATGAGGGATACGAGGTTTTCGCCAACACCGATGCCAGCGGAACTTTCGATGTTAAGCTCGCAGAGGACGCTAACCGCCGTATGGAGCGCGCCGGCGTTACCTTGATGGGGCTTTTCGCGATTGCCTGTGACCTCATGCGGGACTGGCGAAGCACCCCTGGACTTAACGAACTCCTTCCCTTCCTGGACAAGTAAGTCGTACACTACCAGCCCGATACGGTTTGCGAAACTAACTGACTCAACCAAGGTACCAATTTGCTTACGGATTGGTTGCTCGCCACCACGCCGGTGCTATTGAGAACGGTACTCTGTCCGCGATTGAGACCACATTGATATAAATGTGGGCGCAGAGCTGGTGCATATACTTGGCTCATGATAAGTGCCAGTGCTGCGGATAGGCAGGCCTGACAGGTCCGATACCTGCAAGAGTGGGGAAGATGGATCACAGTAGAAGTGCGTGGAAAGGGGTTGACCTATAAGAGTGTATAGCCTTGCCAATCAATCATTATACCTCTTGTTGAGCGATTATCGCAGTAGATGACTGGGCCGCAGAATCAAGGTATCAACTTGAATTAGTCCAACATACCCTTTCAATCATTATAGATCCCCACAGATCTCAAGTTCCATTTTCCTTTTCTTCATACAAGTACTGTCTGACCAATTTCACTGATAAAAGTAGTCAAGGTGCTCAGCCGCATGATCAAGTATCAAAATGACTCCCAAGAGCTCTCTTCAGGTTAATTTTGCTATCATGAGGATAATCCCATTAATCAAGATAAGATGAGTCATGTACTCCGCATAGGCCCACAGTCTAGAACAGATCCTGATTCAAGTTTGAGTGATGGATTGATATCAGGCTTGACATCGATCATGGGTATGCCCGAAACCCCAGGCCACGCATCTGATCGGGTTGGGGTTTCTGATGCGAGAAAGGCAGGGAATATATATCGCGAGTTTTATCCCTCAATTAAATATCGTCGAATGAAAAAAATGACAAGAGATATTATTAGTTTACTCCAAGTATACTTCATCTCCATGTTTTGCTCTATCCCAAGACTACAACGAAAATCACATTATATTGTCTAGTTGTCCACAGAAAGGCTGAGTGCCGCATTTGCACTCATCCGACAGAGCGACAGGTAACAAAGTACCCAAGCTTTAGCCAAATGACGATCGCTTTGTTGCGCGGACGGACTAGAGACCATTCCCGGTTAGGTTTAGATACTAACTGTACCCCGCTCGAAACAGCTGCAACCTTCCCAAATGAAAGAAAAAAGCGAGAAATGAAAGGGGCAATCTTATCGCAATCAGGGGGAACCGTCGGTCTACCGGGCCTAGTCAAACTGCCAGATTAAATCAAAGGTATTGGAAGTGGATACAAGTAGAGCTCCAGCAGTTTATCAATAAAATGACGGAACCCCCCTGCATTGAATCATCTCATCCCTTCTAGCAGGGCCCTGTAACCCCCCAAATCAGCCCTGTCTTATTCTTTTCACTTACCGGACCAAGCTCGCCAGATTGGAGGTCAACAGTCTATAATGGTGCGATATTCGAAAATTTCGGCCGCGGCGGCAGCTTTGCTGCTCCCCTATACCTCGGCACAATTCGTACCCGCCCCCACCGACTTGATCACAAAGAAGGGACATGCTGGAATCAACGTGCGATACAAAGAAGTCCCGGCTGGAATCTGTGAGCAGGATCCAAATGTCAAGAGCTACTCGGGCTACGCAGATGTTGGTGAAAACGAGCATATTTTCTGGTAAGAAAGATCTTTTTCGCGACACGAATTGTACGCGGTAGAACTGGGCAGTCGGCCGGCACAAGACCTTGTTGCCGCGACCGTACTATCGTTTAGATCGACCGGAAATAGATACAAAATACTGCCTCATTCATTCAGAGTAACGCAGAATTTCGTCATACACATTTGGCTAACCATTGAAATATAGGTGGTTCTTTGAGGCAAGAAACCAAGACCCGGAAAAGGTACGTTGCAACGCACCTAGATGAATGTCATAAAAAATCCTAACCAAGCTCCAGGCACCACTGACTGTTTGGATCAATGGAGGACCCGGGTCTTCCTCCATGATTGGATTGTTCCAAGAACTCGGACCGTGCGGAGTGGATTACGATGGGAATGTGTACAATAACCCTTACTCGTGGTCCAACGCGAGCAATATGGTAAGTCTTATAACTAATTTATCACAACTATCACTAACCGACGACCAGCTCTTCATCGATCAGCCAACCACAGTCGGACTGTCCTACTCAATTCCCGTTCCAGCGTACCAAGATAGCGACGGCAACATCATTCAATTGCCTGACGAAACATGCCCCGATTACGCCGAGGAGGTTGGCACATGCGGCACATACTCTAAATCGGACATTAGCCTCGTTCCCAACACAACACAGGGAGCAGCCCCGAACATGTGGAAGACTCTGCAAGGGTTCATGGGCGCATTCCCAAAGTACTCACGCAACGGCTTCTCGTTCACCACCGAGAGTTACGGTGGCCACTACGGCCCAGTGTTCAACGGTAAGACAATCCAAGCGTCTGTCCCCATCGGGCGCATCTAATTCAAAAAAAAAAACAGAATACTTCCTCGAGCAAAACGCCAAGAAGATTCATGGCGCAATCGACATCGAACTTGAAAACGTACTGATCGGAAACGGCTGGTTCGATCCTCTAATCCAATACCAAGCGTACTACAACTTCTCTGTTTCCCCCGGAAACACCTACGACTATGACCCATACAACGCATCCGTCAAAGCGGAATGGTACAACAACCTCTACGGCGAGGGCAACTGCGTCGACCAGACGAAAGCGTGCTATGCAACCGGCCGCAACGACATCTGCTCGACGGCCGACAACTTCTGCGCGAACAAGGTCGAATTCCTGTTCGATATCTACTCCGGCCGCGACGAGTACGACTCGCGCGAGCTGACCCCCGATCCGTTCCCATACGAGTTCTACGTGGACTACCTCAACAGCCCGACGGTCCAGGCTGCGATTGGGGCGTATCAGAATTTCTCCGAGTATTCGTATACGGTTGGGAATGCGTTCGCGAGTACTGGTGACGATGACCGCGAGTCCCAGACTATCGAGGATGTGCAGAAGCTGTTGAAGGCGGGCGTACAGGTGATTATGTATTTCGGCGATGCGTAAGTGCCCTCCTACCGCTGGGATATTTTGGCTCGCTTCCATGAGCTTGACTTTGATTGCACGTGGGCTGACCGGCGGACTACCTTCCTAGTGACTACAACTGCAACTGGATGGGTGGACAAGTTGTCGCAGAGGAAATCAACGCCCCAGGTTACAAATACGCTGGATTCGTCAACATCACGACCTCGGACGGGGTGGTGCACGGGCAGGTCCGTCAAAGCGATTTATACAGCTTTGTGCGCATCTACGAATCCGGCCACGAAGTGCCTTTCTACCAGCCTCTGGCTGCGCTGGAGCTGTTTGAACGAGCGCTCGCAAGAAAGGATATCGCGACTGGCAAGCATGCTGTGACTGTGCATGGCGGGTATAAGACCGTTGGAACGCCTACGAGTGACTACCGGGAGGGAAATAGCACGGTCGTGCTGGAAGTGCTGCCGGACGATGCTACTTACAATACGACCTTGAATGGACCGAACCCGTCGACTGAATCGAAAGTGCGGAGGGAGATCTTGCAGGGCAGGTCTGAGAAGAAGCTGAAGAATCTTCGCAAGGTACGACGGTCGATGGGTGGAAGGCGCCTGGTATAAGCACCGGCTACTCCGTACGGTCAAGCTAGATAGACCATCTCTGAAGCGCGAAATAATCTACAGGGAGCAGTCCCGAAGTATTTTTTTTTCAATCAATTATGGGGCTTGGTGAAGCCAGTCTTATTTATGCAGTAAACCTTTGGCATACAAATAAATATTCACAAGAAGGTAAGTGCGCGGATGGGTGACCATTCCACAGGTGCTGAGAATCTCAATTTAGAGGTAGCCCTTCTCTGAAAGGGCTATACCTGGGCCGTCGTCTCGGTTTGCTCTTCTTTGTCAAACCGAGTGGCCCCGAGCCTTCTGCGGCCACAGGCCAAACTCCGCCCTGATAGCGAAGTTTGACAGCGGAGGGATGGTTTGGCGGTTTCGCGAAGCCGGTGTCTGGCTTCCCGGCCATTGCCTGTCTTTAGGGCAAACACGAAGGAGACTTGACAAGAAGCCTCGTCTGGATAGCTGAATTTCTCATATAATGCTCGCAATGGTCATACGCGAATGAGCCGAGCTGGACCGACGCTCCATCATATCCGAATCCGCCGATTCAGGCGCAAGCATGGCCGAAGACTCTGGCCTGTTCTCCATGGGAAGATCACGACTCTCATAGTCGCGCTGCTGCTTTTCGCCAAGCAGATGCGCAACGGTCTTTTCAATCCACTCCCAGCCCTCCCATTGCCCTTCTGCCTGGGTCGGTGCTGAGGCAGCTGGCCCAGGGATGTTCTCCAGATTTGCCCCCGTCTCGCTCCCCTGCCAGACCCAGCTGCCGTCGCTGGTGCCCTGCATATCCCCAGAGAGATATGCCATTATCACTTCGTTTGGCTCGGGGTCCATCAGCTCACTCGGCTGGGACCGATCAACCAGGCATCGCAGGAAGAACGCGAGGTACCGGCCACAAGCGGCGTTCGCGGCGCGAGCGTCGCCCACGGCCGCGCTAGCCTGCACACAAGCCAAGGCCGGGCCGAATTCTTGCCGGAAGAGAAGGAAGAGCGCACAGCGCCAGATGTGGGTGCAGAGAAGCGTCCCTGCGCTCGACGCAAACAGGGCTCGCCAGTCCCCAGCGCCAGCGTGGTTCCGCATACAGCGCGAAAGGATATTAGCCGTGTCGATGGCGATTGAGACACAGTAGTCTACTGCGGCGATGCGAACGCCGGGTTGACAGAAGGGTGAGATGTTGTGGCGGTGAAGGAGGAGGCGGGCGTTTTGGAGGTAAATGATCGGCGCGAGGGACCGGGGGTCGAGGTCTGTGTCTTGTTTGAGTTGCAGGTGAGTTGGGAAGGTGGTGCGGCAGATGGTGAAGTGACGTTCGAAGGTCTCGAGGGTTGCGTAGCTGATGGAGGTGGAGCGCAGGGTGCGGGTGAGCTGGCCGATGGATCGGACAACGTGAATGGTGGCCAGTAATGGCGATGGCACCGTTTGCTGGTCTTCGGGGAGTTTTCCTTGGGCGTGGGAGTCGTCGTCCACGGGGCAGGGCAGGTCGATGTCGCAGTCCTGATCGTTAATCAAGACTGGCTTGCCCATCTCGAGCGCGAGGAGTCTAGCACGAACAGTTAGCTCTTAGGATTCTTTCCTCGCAGATCAAGCCACGAAATACAAACCGGTCGTAGGTGTACAAGCCCCACCATAGGCGCTTGCGCATCTCGTTTTCAAGCTCCGGCCATGGTCCAGACTCGATGTGCAGCCCAATCTCTTGTGCCACACGCACCGCGGAACCAATCCAGACCCAGCTGGCTGACTTGGAGTTGACTTCGTAGAGGAAGATGCTGGCCAGTAACGCTGCGCGCGCTCGATCCAGGTTGAAGCTGTCCTGCCACACGTCGATGATCCCGCACGAGATGCGGACAAACTTCTTGCCCTCTTCTTCTCGATTCGGCTCAACCGTATGGACCGCGCCGCATGCGAAAACACCGAATAATACAGCTGCCCATTCGCTGGAAACCCCCACAAGAGAGCCCGTTCGGTACACCTTTTCGTATTCTTCTGTAAATTCAGGCCAGTGGAGGACTGGCAGAACGGAGTGAACACAGTGGTAATATTGGGCCAGTAGATGGTCGGCCGACTCTTTTGGCGGCAGTTGTGGCGCCGCACCGGCCGGCACGACCGACTTCAAGCCTTGTTGCTGATATGGATGGGGTACTTTCAAAATGCCTCGACCGTGTTGGCGCAAGTTTGATCGCACTTCTGACAAGTCTTGAGTGATCAGTGCCTTGGGCCGTCTCGACGGTTTATACTCAATCTCGGGCAGCTTGATCATTGGTGTCGTCGATGCGTCGTCCACGTCCATCATCCCATCTGGCCGGAGCATGCCTGATCGTAGTTGCTGTAGCTGTTGCTTGGTTGTTTGCAGTTGCTTCTCCAGATCCTGCACCTGCTTGATGGAAGACATGCGTCGGTTGGTCTCCTTGGTGAACAGACACCGGACCTTTCGGTTGATGCATTCTGTGCAATGCGACGTCTCTGTCGCGTCGCATTTGACCTTGCGCTCGCGGCAGGCATCGCAACTAGGATCTTTGCGGCGCTGTCGATAGGCCCTCTTCTGTTGGAGCGCGGTCGGCGTCGTCTGTTGATGCCCGACCGGGCTGCTTTGGTAGAGGCCCGGGCCAGTTGTAAGTGATCCCATCGGAGGCGCATCGGGAAGGCCACCGCTCTCCGCAGGGGACCCCGAGGCCGAGTCATAGAACCGGGCATACGGCGACGTTGACGGGCCGGGGGGTCGGCCCGACGCCTGAGCCATCGGCGGTGGGGGCAAGGGCTGCGCCTGGGGCTGCTGGACCGGGAGCATGGGCTGCAACAGATGGGCCATTCGCATTCCACTGTCCGGCCGACTTGGCGGAGCGGACGGGAATGCGCCCGTCACCGACTGCACCGGAGGAAGCTCGTACGAGCCACTCCGGTTCGGGTTGGCGGGGCGAAAGGGCGTCTGCTGCATCTTGAGGAAATGAACCGTCATCCGCACTCCGCGATGACGAAGCGAAGACACGAACAGACCAAATGTCAATCAAACCACAACCCAACCCACAAATACCCCAGAAAGGAAATGCTGAAGAAAACGGAAACGCGCGTCGGGATCCAGAGCGAGCGACGGCGCTAGAGAAAATGAAAAATGCACGCGAGTTAGTGGCGGAGCGGCGCGAGGAGAGGCGTATGGAGATGGTCGTGTGGATGTGTCGATGGGTGTGAAGTTGGAGGGGGGTCATACAAGCCGCGCGATAATACGAGTGCCCGGCGAAGACAAGGCGCTATCGTCGACTCAGCTCATTCGCTTGGGGAACCGCCAAAGCCCAAATTTTCCAAAGTCCAAAAGCCAAATGGGAGACCAGCCGGAAAGGGGATGCTAGGTCATTCGCGGGGATATGGCAGGTCCAATGAAGCCATTGTCGGGAAAAAGAGTCGTCTCAAATCGTCAAACCGTCCGGTAGTCCAATGGGTCGCTGAAGGTGCGCGCGGATTGGCCCAGGAGCGCAGGATTGATGCGCGGCGAATAAACCAAATCCAAAGAAGAAAAAGGCCCCAACGGGAACAACAGCACAGCCAAGACCAGGACCGGGAGAATGGTTAAGGGGAAAAGCTCCAGGATCAGGAACCCGGTCGTCGATTCGGAATCGTGGAGACGCCAGTGCCGAGGTTGGCCCACGGGCAATGTGAACGAAGATCCCGGAATCTGCTGCAGCAGCGCGACGGGGAATAGAACACACGAAAGATCGCCTTAGCGCAAGAATGAGGATCAGAATGCAGGACAGCGAAAATGAACGGGATTTGCTCGGGCTGCGATTGCGTCGCGGCGGGTTTCCTGGTGAAGAAAAGGGAGAATACACCGTCGGGATGCGCCAGGAGGGAGAAAGAACAGAAAGGAGGCAACGGGAAGTCGGACGCAGGAGGGCCGAAGGACTATGGAGAACGGAGAACTAAGAACTAAGAAAATAAGGACTAAGAACTAAGAACTAAGAACTAAGAATTAAGAATTAAAAAATTAAGGGAGGATACAACCGACGGCCGAACTAGATCGACGCAAGAACGAGTAGGATTGCGATCATCGTTCGCCCAGGACCGGCTCCATCAGGGTCCCGGATCATGGACACAAAAAGACTATCCAGATCGCGGAGTGGTGAATGGCTTAATGGCCGGAATGGCTTAGTTGAGCGAACCAAGAACCTGCCAGGACCGGACCACTAGGAACCGCTTGGACCGCTAGGACCACTTGGACCACTTGGACCACCAGGACCCGGGATCTGAATTAAGGAATCTTCAGCCGAAATGACACTTTGCGCGACAGCTAGCTCGGGTCTAGCCCGGACTTGGTCAACTTTCCAGTTGACGTCCGCCTGGCTCTAATCGCAGTGACCGCCACCGATCGGGACCCGATCGGGACCGGATAGTGAGATAGTGAGATAGTGAGATAGTGACCAGATAGTGTACAGAGAGCAGCACTCCGGGAAAGCGGCAGCAATATCTGGCTCTCCTGCCCGAGGTCAGACCTCTGCAAGAGGCTTCCCGAGATCGGCAGAGGCCGTGTCGATGGATACCTGAAGCAGTTGAGAGCGTTCTGTCTTCCTTGGATGGACCAGTGGCGGCTGGAGATGAGTGCCCGAGTCCACTCGTGCCCCACCGTCGGGAGGCATCTGGTGACCCTGGTCTTTCCCTCGATCCGTCAGAGCCAGGCCAAGGCATCATGATTCTTGCGATAGACTCTTGAAGTCGGCAGAGGTGGCCGGTCCCCACTTGGACCTTGGACAGCGCGGGGACGAAGGACCGAGTAATCTCTGTATGGAGTACTCCGTACAGAAAGTACCCTCGCCGGGGATCTACTCTTGTGTCCGTGGGAGGTTCATCCTGCCCGGTTTCATCTGTGATTGACTGACACCGGGCCCACTGGGACATGGTAGTTATCACAGACGCCAAGTGACGGTGTGAGGGCTGGGGCGCGGCCGAGGATCGTCGTCGGTAGACGGGCGGCGGTTGGGACAGGCCGGTCCGTTCTTACGCCAGTCAGAATGCAATCTTATTTTCCCCCTAACTTGTCTACGGAGTCTCCGTAGTCACTCTCCGTAACTATAGCCTTAAGCTCCCGTCGGGCTTGTACGGAGCCCGAAGAGGGGAAGTCAAATGATACGTCTAATCAGTGTTGAGGTCCAGCTCAGGAAAACTCCGTTGCGCGCACTGATATTCCCCCTCATCACCGTCCAATGGTTTGTCCGCTCCTCCCTCCTGGCACCAACCCAGGGAGAGAAAACCCGTTGTTCACGGTGGGACCAAGATCTCGGCGCCGTGCCGTCCTCTCCAACGGCCGAACCACTGAACGGAACAATGCAAAGACCTAGTTTTCTTGGGGGGGGGGGAGTTCGCCCACCGCTCTCTTCATCTTCTGCACGCCCTGAGGATCGACTCGGAAAGCAGGCACCAGACCACATGGAAGCCCAGTCCGGATGCTGACCCGGGCAGTGGGCCTGTCACTCCTCGTAAGGAGGCCCATTGTTGGCTTGTTCCGTGGGCTACCCAGCCGACATGGCTTAAACTCGTGCAGTCCGCCCCGCGCCTATCAAAGGGGCTGCCGGGCAGGCCGATGAGGTAAAGCCATGCCGACCGCTGACTGGTCCCGAATTTTATCCGAATTAAACGTTGTCAGGTCGTCTCCGCAAAAGGGGAGGTTTATGGTTAACGGGCTCTACGGGAAATCTACCGAGACGAGACGAGGGGAAACCAATACCTTGGAGGATATACAGAGGACTCAGCGATATACCGTCTTCAAATTGGAGATGGCAACCCTGACACACGTGAGGATAAGAAAATCAATGTTGCTTTTTTTTTTTCCCCGTTAACACGAGAAGCACGGCCGTGCCTCGTGCCTCCCGAACTTTAACGCCAATCTCTCCTCCTTTCTTTAAACCCCCCCACTCCATCCCCAAGCACCTCAGGACCTCCTGAACCCCCCAAACCCACGGCCCAAGGGCACGCTTGGGTCCCACCCCGTCCATGGCCCAGGATTGGGCGGCACAGACGAGGCGTCCGGCTTGCCGGAGAAGATATCCCCGAGCCAGTCTGCTCGCTAAGCGAGTCCCACGGGGTTGGGCGTCCTGCCGGCCTGATCACAGGACCTGCGGCGTCGCAACCGGCGTGCATGCTGTGCAGCAAGCACGGCACCGCCCACTCAGCTTCAGCCCCCCTCCCCCGTTAGGCGAGTTTGCCCTGATCCTGTCAGTTTGGCCCCCCCCCCCGCCCCACCCCACCCCGGTTTCCCTCGGCCAGTGCGCAGGTCCTTATGAGTTCAGATCATCCGTAGCAAATCATGGATGATGGGAGCGGCGAAAGATGCCTTGGCCCTGCATCATTTCGTCTCAGCTCGAGGCTCGACGCTCGAGGCTCGACGCCTTGGCACGTCTATGCCTCATCTCGCTCTCGCTCTGCTCACGAGCAAGAACCGACCGCTAGCTCCCAATCCCAGCTTCCCCGCACCCTCTCTTCGGCTAACGATAAGACGCTTCGGTCCCAGATACCACCCATCTACATCCACGTCCACCGTCCACCGTCCACCGTCCACCATTCCATCATTCACCAGCCTAGCGACCAGGAATCGCCTCACATCGATTTGAGAGAGCGCCCGTGCTAGTGGACCGCCGCACGCGCCCGTCAATATCCTGCATGCACTGTCCCCAATTGCGCCATCCGCCCCTCGCAATGCGCGCTGGCCATCGTATCCCGGGCAAGCTAGCTATGTATGGCGTACGGATACCGTAGAATAAATCCCCGGGCCAACTCAACACTTGTTCAACTTACATAGGCCAGGGGCGCAACCCAGCTGCGTGCTGCATACGTCCTCTTACCCGGAGTACCAGTCTGGAGCAAGAACGCTTGACTGGATAGTCAAGCCCTCGGTTCGTGCCGCTGCTTGTCGGGATTATTCTCCTGCGTCCGCATGGCTTGCAGGGGCTGGATTTATTTGATTTGCTTGGTTTTTGCTCTTCTCCCTGGCAATGCCGCTGGGGAGGCGGGAGGTCCGGAATACGCATGGGCCTATTGGGCTGAACTGGCGCACATGGTGGTATGTGGAACAGTGTAAGCTTTCTCTTCCCTCGTTTCATACCCCAGTGTTGGTTTCGGTAAGCAAACTGCTATAGGCAGGGGACCCTGGGTGGTATGTGCTACGATCGACGCCGTCGGCTACGGGAGTCGAACCATGCCCTTCTTTCACCCCGATGCCTCCCGATCACTGGGCGTGCATCAGCGCTGTCCCCCCCCCCCCCCCCCCAACCACTCCTAAGAATAGCCGCTAGCCAGGCACGGGCCCCAGGCGCAGGATTGAGATCAGCCAACATGCCACGCGCTCACACACGGCCCGCGATTCAGAAACGCAAAAGCAAAAAAAGGGCAAAAAGGGCAACCTCACCCGGTCATCCGTGAAGGAGGTACTTACGGGGCGCCTCGCCTCGTATTGATCATTTGAGTAGAGACTGGAGCTGCATCGACTGTAAGCAGCTCCGATCCTTCCAGCATTCGTATTTCCCTCCGCGCACACTCGAGTCTATTTGCCCGCCCCACAGCGGGACAACGATCCGAGGAGATGAAACCGCGCCGACCAGCAACCGAGCCTTTCCGATTTGCCTGCCGCGAACCATCCTTTTAATCTGAGACCGGAGTACTCCGCAGGCTAATTCGCGGGATTCACAAATTAAACGATTGCTTGGCTTCATCGGTGACGTACCGATCCGGGCTGTTTATCGGGGGTCGCCCGACTGGGCTGTTGGGACAATGGGGGCGACACGTGGATAGATATTTCCTTTGAGGGTGAGCTGCTGGAGGGCTTATTGATGCGGTTCTGTGCCTGGGTTTTATGCAGGTAGGCTCTCGGAACCGAATCGGTGTGGTATAGTTTGAGTTTGGTGTGATGGGGTTTGCATAGCCGGGGCAATGACATTGGGGAAACCCGAATCCCTTTATTTCGAGTTTGCACTCGAAACGCAGAAGCCGCTTGCACAACCCCCCTCTATAATGCCTTAGGTATGGATAATAATTATAATTCTTATATTATTATTCTTCTTCTTATGAAGTTGAGAAGATTGAGATCCATAGTGATATTGTGCCGGAAATTTACATCTGCAGTTTGGTTTGGTTACCTCGCTTTTCGGCTCGGCTTGAGTTCTACTTCACGGCAGAGGCCGAAACATCTCGTCCATCCTGACGAGATAATGCATCCCGCTGCCAGTGCATCCACGTTGCCGACAAACGTATCGCTCTTCTGCTGATACGCCTGCTCGCGCAGTGTACACATCGAATCTTAGCGATAGTGCGTCGCTTGTCTATCGCGGGCAATCTTACCTTATCCTAGAACTCCGCCGAAACCGGCTCCCGGGCTGTCAGACGGGCATGCAGATCAAGCTTCGCTGCGATGCCGCCGACCTCACGCGTGACCCGAAGATTGAAGAGGGTACTGGCCAGGTCACTGCCAAAGCTCTACACTCCCACGCGCTGACCAAGTGGTTCCTTGCTCGGCACATTGCTGATCACACTGGCCACGCCGGAATACACGCCCGCCGTGTGCATGTTTTGAGGGCACGCCGGACTCTTGCGGTGAATCGGTCTTTTGATAGCCCTATGAAAAGCTTCTCCAGGCGCTGATCGCTTCGAGGTTCTTCGTAGCTTTGTTCACGAATAGTGGAGGGCACCGCGTCAGACCTGAACAGCTTATTCTCAGGATCAGCGACATGGTCATTGTATAGTAGGCGCACATATGACTTAACGACTAGTTGACAGTTTGGAGCGTGAAAGCCAAAATAGTCGAAGTCGTCCAGAGGAACTACTGCCGAGACTGTCGACGAGGAGTCCCCGTTCATCGCTCCGTTCGTCTTGTCGTGCGAGCATCCTGTTTCTCTCGGGACCGCCGGTAACACCCATCCAAAGCCTGTAAATAGCAGCTTGAGGAGTACTGCCCTTCGATATTCGGATACTGTGACTTGAAATCTGGCTGGTAGAAATCGTATATATGCCGCATATATGACGCTCGCAGCCGCCCCAGGACAATGATTCCAACGCCAATTACATGTCCAGGGAGAGTTCCGGCACCAAAAATGGGTTCTAGGGGGCGAGGGAGGTGGCGGCAGAAGAAACAGAAGATATCTTGATTCGCTTTGAGAACTTGAGTATCAACTAGTATCTAGAGATCAAGTAAGGACAAGATATGACAAAAATTAAAGGGAAAGTAAGGAAATATCATATTAGCAGTGACTGTGAATCCTATACTATATAGAAAATGCTATCTAAGTAATACTCAGTCAAGAGGCGGTTTACAAGTCACATATACCGTATATACAGGGGAGGAATGGCTTGTTGACTGGATCTCCAGCAGATCAGCATCGCGACACAACCCGCACCACCTCATCCAAGGCGACAACGTAGTGATGTCGACAAATGCCTGATGAAGGCATTGTCTGGGCAAACAGGATACTCAATTCAAATATCCCCATCTCCCCCACCACTCTAACAAACGTTTCTTCCCCCATCACAACAGCATTAGATTTCTTGGTGTTTCTTCCTCCATCCATCCAAAACTGTTCCAAGTCATCCCAATCGCGTCGTCTTGTCCTTATTTCCACCATGAGGAATCGGGGAACACGTGTCCCCCCTATTGTGGCCGTCAGCAGCGAAGAGACTGAGTCTTCTCCAGATGCCCTGCAAGTGGAGGAACTTGTTGATGTGGAAGTTGACACGTCTAGCAACGAGGAATTGCCTAACTCCTCCCTTGAGCCTTCGCCCGCGTCATCCCACCAACCTTCGCCGGAGCCAAGTAAGGCACTATCAGCGGCCTACTCTGCACCTTCGACTACTGCACCGCCTACACCAACTCTAGTGGCTGTGGTGGTGACTAAACCTGCGCAGTCAACTGAGAAACCACCTGTCCTGGGCCTGAATAGTGGTTACAACCCCATCACCACTGGATCCACATCCCAGCTCGAGCAGAACCTCCTGAAGGTCACTCCCTGGTGTGATGTGGACTGGCGACATGGCCCGAAGCCATGCAAAAACAGTCAACCAGTCCCGTGCTGTATACGTGTAGCAAGTGGGAGCTATTGCTTCGGGCAAGTCAGCCTGTGTCCCTGCAGCTGCAATTTTGGTCCTTTCGAAAGCTGCACCACCCCTTGTCACTGGTGGTGACGCCCTCTTCTACCGTGCTTGGGCTAATTGCAATTTCAACCCTGGTGGCAAGAAGTGTTCATTCCGAACTCCCGGCCAGATGTTGCCCGACTTCATCCTGGAGCCCTTGATGGAGCATACGTGACCTCACATGAGCAGATCCTTGCACATCGGTATGATATCGGCTAGGCAATTCTATCTATGTACCAGACTTCCGCGAGACCTACAGGTGGTGCGGGTTGTGTCGCGATACTGATCTGCTGCTGCAGGTCTCGCGGAAGTCTAATTGCACATAGATAGAATTGCCTAGTCGATATCATACCGATGTGCAAGGATATGCTCATGTGGGGCCACAGGGAAGCTTCGAAGTGGCTTTAGAACAATTTCCTCCATAATATCGACACAAGTTTTGGGGAATGGAACACGAAGAGCTTGATGAATGTCCCGAGCGGCGCAATATCCGAGTCAACCGCAATTGCCTCCCGCGCATCCCAGGCTGGGGAACTCAATCCAGTTGACGGTGTTGAAGAACGTGTAGGTGTCGATTCCTTCAATGTTGTTGGCTCCGGCAAGCTGCATGCGGACCGACTTGCAGGATTTGAATTTGTCGAGCATGGATTCAGTGCCTACTTCCAGCCGGCCGATGGAGTCTGGAGAGATGTTGTATTTGCGCGTTTGGAAGGAGACGGCTGTGAGGGCGAGGAGGTATATATCTGAAATCAACGGTCAGTGATGCGGACCCTTGGGCGCTCGGGGTGAATGGGCTTGATGGCAAGTTCACCTTGACAGTCATCACAGAAGCTCATATTTGTCTGGCCCAGTCCGATTGTATATTTGCCGGTGCTAGCTCCCAGGACGTTCTCTAGGTAAGATGGAGGCACATGTTACGAAGGAGCCGGCTGGAAGAACCAGTTGCATTCAACGAAACAACTAAAGTGAAGAAGGAAGAAACAATGGAAGGGAATGCGCTGTTATGTAGAGTGCTCCTGTGCAAACGGGCGAAATCAGGTTAGTCACTTTCTCCAGTCACGCGTCCCTCAGGAAATCTCCAGGTCCATCGTCCGTCATGTGTCACACCACATACTGTCAGAATTTAGGAATGTCATGTTAGGTGATGCCAGGATGGAAAGCAGTTCGTCGGTTCAAAGAAAGTCAACGGATTCGGCTAGAAAAGTAAATCGCAATAGCTTGGATGCCAATATCTTCGGCAGCCATCATGGCATGCGTTATGGTGTTTGTAGATGACAAGAGTACCTAAGGGAACAAGGGGACTCAAAATAATTGGAAACATTGGATTTTTCTCGATATATATATTCTTAGCAATACCCAGCAGCTGTCATCCTATTAGCTCCGTCTCAGAAGCAGCTCCGTCCAACCCTCCGGACACCCCAGTCCACACGCCATTAGCTCTGGTCCATCTCAGAGTGCCTGGAAACAGTTGCAGCACGAACACCAGAGAAAAAGGACCAACCTCCGTTCAGCCGAAAGGAATGGTGGACAGTATCGAGGAATTTTAATGTCTGAGTGGGAACCTGGTGGTGGCATTCGGGGACATACACCTTAGATCGGGTCTGGGAAGAACCCCGGTTGGCCAGGTTTTCGGTACCCAAGACCTTCCGAAACCGAACGATCACGGCTTTACTTAGAAGGCCTTAGCAACAGAGAGATGGCAAGATCAAGCTCCGTTGAATATCCCAGCAAGCCGGCGGGCCAGGCTGCCAGAAGGCCGGTCCATTTCATGGATATCTTGGGCTATTGCTGCTTTTGTGCTTCGTATTTCTCCACAATCAGGTTCACAAAGCTCGCAAGGCCTTCCATTTCTTCCTCCACAGTCTGTCCGAGCCCATTGGGATCGATGCTACACCCGACATAGACCGGCTGCCGCATGCGCCGAGCAAGGATCTTGGCCACCCGTGTCGTGTATTCGATACTGGATGGTGTCGTGTACAGAGTAGTCGATATTGTTGAATTTGAGGATGTTCGCTGGGGATAGTTAGTCACAGTCGAGAATGGTAATCATGGAACAGTTGCTGAAGCAAGATTTCAGATGGATGGGAGATGCGATCATCGAGAAACTGAAATCATCGATAAAGACAGATAGAATAAACCAAAAGAAAACATGATATCAGACATGATAGCGAGGTTTGAATCAATGAACCAACAGCGCCTTAAAGCGGAATAGCATATCTTGTGATCTCCGAATGTTGGGCATATAAATACCTGGTATAACCAGCGGACGAATAAAACGAAAATGATAAAACAAGTAGAGACAGTTCCAAAGATACAAAATGCTGAGCGGAGATACGACTGCCGTGCAGGATTGATGTGATAGAGAACATAGAGAACATAGAGAACATAGAGAACATAGAGAACATAGAGAACATAGAGAACATAGAGAACATAGAGAACATAGAGAACATAGAGAACATAGAGAACATAGAGAACATAGAGAACATAATAGACGGGCCGAAGAACTTACATTAGGCATGGCATAAACAAAGCTACCCATGGGCTTAAAGGAGCCCGACGAGTCACCCGGAGTGGAAGTGGCCAGATGGACGACGGCACAATGCCCCAAGAAGGTTAAATGGACATGTCCGGTCGTATGCAGGGCCTTGGGTAGCGGAAACGAGAGCTCCTGGGGCTTGAGGCTGGGGGAGACCAGCTCCGTCTGCGGGATTGTTGGCGGTGCAGCTGTTGTCATAATGTGTTCTCTGCTCCAAAAGAGGGGTAGGCTTCCGTAAGATGAGAAATGGAAAAAAGGAAACTGTTCTGGTTGCGTGGGTGGTTCTTGCGTGTTCGTCGTCGAGGCCGGTGAGGTTGAAGATTGTACGGTCCCCGCCGGCAAGCGCAGGCGGCTCCACCAATCCCGTTTCACTTTGCCCGCACCGCACTCTGCATACCCACGTCGAGGATCGACACTGGGATCGGTCCGCAGGCCGTTGCGTGTAAAAGGGGGCTCTTTGATTGCAATTCTTGCCCAACGGGACATTCCTGGCCATGGCAGATCCAGAGCAAAGCGTCGCCTCAGATGCAGAGGGGGAGGAAACCTGGACTGGAGACTTTGATCCATTCTCTGATCCCGAGGAGCGAAGGGTTCTCTTTGCTGCGTTCGACTCTTTCAGGTACGTTCGATGCGGGAGGATAATTCTTTCCACTATTTGAGCTACTGTACCGAGTGCATCGGCACATTCCATATTCATGGCATCGTCGACTGACCACGGGAACAGGCAATATCGGCGGACTGCCCATCACAACACTACGCATCGCCGGCGGCAAGCCTTCTACGCCCTGCCCTCAGCACACTGGCACATGCTCTCTGAGCCGCCATTCTCCATCCTCGACACCTTGAACAAGGTCGACGATGCCATCGACACCAATGCTGAGATCGCAGATGCAATCCTGGCCGTAGGGTTGGAGTCCTTTGGGCTCTCCGCTAGCCCAGACAAGCACGACCCTAGCCAGTACTGGCACGGAACAGCCACCGCATCCGACGTCAACAAGGCGCACTCGACCATCCGCCAGTTCTACCGCGACTGGAGCGCCGAAGGCCGTGTCGAGCGGGATGTCTGCTATGCCCCCGTGCTCGAGGACCTCCACGCCGAGTTCCAGACGCGCCGCGACGCCGGCGAGGAGATCCGTGTGCTGGTCCCGGGCGCCGGGCTGGGCCGCCTGGTCTTCGAGGTCTGCCTGGCAGGGTATTCGGCGGAAGGCAACGAGATTTCGTACCACCAGTTGCTGGCGAGTAGCTGGGTACTGAATCACACGGCGGGGCCCGCGGCGCACGCGCTGCACCCATTCGCGCTACAGTTCTCCAACCTACACTCGCGGGCGCAGCAGTTGCGGAGCGTCCTGGTGCCAGACGTGCACCCGGGCACGGCGATGCACGAGGCGGCGCAGGCGCAGGCGCCGTTCGGCTCGATGGCGATGTCGGCGGCGGACTTCGTGGTCCTATACTCGCAGCCCAGTAACCGTGAGACGTTTGACGCGGTGGCGACCGTGTTCTTCATCGACACTGCGCCCAATCTGATTCGATATATTGAGGCGATTCACCATTGTCTCAAGCCCGGAGGCCTGTGGACTAACGTGGGACCGCTACTGTGGCATTTCGAGGACGGGCACCCCCGCCATGACAGCAATGAAGCGCGCCCAGGGCCCACATCTGGTGAGCACTCGGGCATTGGTGAGCCGGGCAATGTGGAGTTGAGTGAGGACGAGGTGATATATCTGATTGAGCGCATGGGCTTCCGCCTGGAAGCGCGGGCGGGCGATCGGCGGCCGTGCGGCTACATCCAGGACGGTGAGAGTATGCTTCAAAACTTGTACCAGCCGTCACACTGGGTGGCGCGGAAAGTGGCTCAGTAGTTCGATGGGGCCGATTGCAGTGTCCAGAACGAAGCGGGTGCAGTTAGGCATCATGTTAGATCCGTCCTCGCAGAAGTAGTGCAAAAACGGCCCCGTCCTAATTTTACTTGATGGGGGCCAAAACGGGGAATAAAGGGACGCGCCGGATGGCTGGTTCCGCACTGATGTTTCCGTGGGTCGACCCGAAATAAACGGGGCAGGGGGAAGGAATTCATGAGATATTATGATTGTATTGAATATTGGAATATATTAGGATGTGAAGGATGAGATCCAATCCACTGCTAGCGACGGTGGTCTATGTCCAAGTCCCGGAATGCATTATCGCAGTATCGCAGTATTGCAGTATTGAAGCATGGAAGTATGGAGATGGGCGTACTCCGAACACTGCCCGCGTGGAGTGCCTTGCCCGGTCGATCAACTTGAGGGGGGCCTTTTTTCATTCAGCTTGAACCCGTCCACTGCGTCCAGAGTACCTACTCCGTACTGGAACTGCTAAGTATAACTAACTCCTGGTTCACGGAGATAATATTCCCCCTTCCAATCCTGCTTCTCAGGCTCAGCCTCTCAGCCTGTCGCAGCCACCGTCCGCCCTGCGTATCACCCACCTCTTTTCTCCCTTTATTCCCTTTCCCACTACTTTTGCGGTGAACGAGCGACCACTACGGAGACTGTTCGGTGTACCCGACACTCTGCTGCTGCGACACTCTTTCCGCCTGGCGCTGACAGGCAGCGCGTTCCCTCGACGGCTCGTATCCCACTCAGCCTTGTCTTCCCTCGTCTGCCTGACACCTCCACTCCACCCTTCACCCTCCAACCACTTCCTCCCTTCCTCTTCCTCCCTTTCCTCCTCCCCCTCTCTCCTCCCCTCTTTAAGCCCCTCGGCGCTTGCCACACATGTCCTCCATGAGCTCCCGGCTTGGCAAGTTCACCTTTCGACGCGACAAAAAGCCCCAGCACCCCCCCGCCTTCCTCCTCCCCCAACCCCAACCCCCTCGTGGTCACCCCCTCCAACGGCACTTCTCCCACCTCGCCTCCTTCCCAGCGCAGCTCGTCGACGAGTCTTTCAGTCAATCAGCAGCCTCAGCCGAATCGACCGCCCAGTTTCCCCTCCAACCGTCCCACAAGTCCCATGGTCCCCGGCCAACTCACCCAGCACCCCGCCCCACTCAACCCCAATCCCAATATGCAGTACTCTGGGCACCAGCACCAGCAACCCATGAACCCCCCTCCGGGATACAGCATGCAACCACCCCAACAATCCATCGGCCACCCCATCCAACAGCAGATGGGTCAGACCCAGTATCGCAATCCCGCCGTCGAGATCGAAGGCGCCAATCGCAACAAGGCCCAACTCATCGTCGGCATTGACTTCGGCACCACCTTCTCAGGTGTTGCGTTCGCGTTCGCAACGAACAACGAGGCCCGAGAAGATATCATTACAGAATGGCCAGGCGCAGGTACACATACGAAACAGAAGGTGAGTCCCAGCAGTCTCCACTCCCGTCGCAAAGGCCTTCCGTTGACCTATTCGCTCCCTTTGTTTTCCTTAGATTCCCACCGTCCTCTACTATGATCAGTACCAAAAAGTGGTAGGCTGGGGCCCCGACATTGCCGAAGCGCTTGCACCAACCGGGTACCCGAAACCCGGTGTCCAGAAGGTGGAATGGTTTAAGCTCCAATTGATGCTGTCGGGCAACACCTATATCGATCCGATCAACCTGCCTCCACTCCCCCTGGGAAATCGGAAATCGATGTCGCGGCCGACTATCTTTTCAAGTTGCGACAAGCCATGCGCGCGCAACTGCAGAAGACGCTCGGGGAGGTGTTTACTCGCGAGGAGCGCAACATCCGCTACTATCTGACAGTGCCCGCGATTTGGAATGATGCCGGCAAGGCGGCGACTCGTGCTGCCGCGATCCAGGCCGGATTCTTGCGCGATGAGAATGACAACCGCCTCACTCTGGTTTCAGAACCGGAGGCGGCTGCACTCTTCTGCGCGAAGACTGGTTTGCTGAACCTGAAGATCGGCGATGCCATTCTGATTGTTGACTGTGGGGGTGGTACTGTCGACCTGATCGCCTACGAAGTCGAAGAGGAGCAACCGTTCAGTGTCATGGAGTGTACTGCAGGATCGGGAGATTCGTGCGGTTCGACCGCACTCAATCGCAATTTCAGCAACATTCTGCGGGCCAAGATTCGAAAGATGAAGCTCCCGGATGGGTCACGTACGGCGGGCAAGGTATACGCCAAGTGTATCATGGATTTCGAGAATCGGATCAAGGCAGACTTCCGCAACAACGGGCAAAAATGGGCCGTGGACGTGGGTATCGAGGCGGACTTCCCTGACGCGGGCATTGAGGAGGGTTACATGACGTTCACCAATGAGGAGATTCTTCAGTGCTTCGAGCCTGTGGTGAACCGCATTCTCGAGCTGGTTCGCAACCAAATTATTGCCATTCAAGCACAGAACCGCTTGCTCCAGGTAGGGATTCTCCTGGCCATCTGGTCTCGCGTTGTGTGCAATACTAACTCTGTTTCAAGAATGTTCTGGTTGTCGGCGGTTTCGGTGCCTCAGAGTACCTCTTCCAGCAGATCAAGCTCCACGTCCCACCGCAATATCAGACTAAGGTTGTCCGTCCCATGGACTCCGTCGCTGCTATCGTCAAGGGTGCCGTGACCGCTGGTATCACGGAACGAGTCATTACCCACCGTGTCGCCCGTCGCCACTATCTGATGGCTACCCTTCAGCCCTTCAAGGAGGGATACCACCCGGAGCAGTACCGGGTGCCCAGTCTGGACGGCCGGGACCGGTGCAAGTACACCCGTCAGATCTTCGTGCAGAAGGGAGAGCGCGTCAAGATCGGCGAGCCGGTCAAAGTCAGCTTCTTCCGTCAAGTGGCGCCTGGTGCAACGCTCATGTACGAGGACGTGCTGTACGCCTGTGATGAGGATGTCTGCCCGGAGTACACCAAGGATCCTCGTAAGTTAACGGCCTTTTTCTTTCCATCTTCGTGTAATCATTTTTGCTTACCTATTTCCCTACAGGCATCAAGGAAGTTGTCACCCTCACCTCTGACCTCTCGCGCAAGAACCTCGAAACCGACTTCGAGCGCATGGACACACCCCAGGGTATCTTCTACCGAGTGTACTTTGATATCTACCTCACCCTAGACGGCAGCGAATTCAGTGCCGAGCTGGTCTGCCAAAACGAGGTCATGGGCCGCTGCCGTGCGAAGTTCCGGTAGATGCGAATTGATTCCCCTCTGCTGATATACCCTGGAGTGTTGTATGCGTGTGAAGCCAAAATGGAGAGAGAAAAGTCCAGATCGGTGGGTGGGACTCGTAAATACATTCTCCTCCGGGGATTGGAGGGGAAAGCAAGATGGATGGGTGACGAGAGAAGGATGTACAGCGAATGGCCGGGATCTCGCGTCCCCTCCTTGTCCCAATGCTCCTCTCACCCACACTCTCCTGGACAGCACTACTGGAGAATGGGCGTTGTTGGATGACACTTGGTGACTTGTTCCGATCAATTCTTTCAAATGCCCTTGAAGGGCGTGCTACTCCGTTCCTCCCACCATATCTCCCACGGCGTTCTTCTTTTTCCGCAATGTGATCGGTGCCACCCGATATCCTCTGGCGAACAGCGCATCTTTGTTTCTTATTTGTTTTCGGCGGTCCCCTTAGATACCTCTTTTCTTTTTTCCTGGCTTGATTGGTTTGGTCTCTCTCGAATGAACTCTATGAGCTGTGGTCAGATCAGAATACAGACCGTTTGCCTTAGTATCGATATACCCCTGGCGACGTAGGCCTCCTAGCTGCTGTAGTCCTGCATCCCTTTCCCCCTCGGATCGCTCACTTGATTTCTCTTCACCCTGTACGCCGACAATCTCCATGCGAACGCGAGATAGCACAGAGAAACACAGCATTATCATCCACTTTCTTTGGTTCATCTCTCTATCATTCATTTCCATTGTGTACATAAATTTTTGTAATGATATCGTAGTCATATGAAACCGGCCCGAGACCTTAAGTCTCAAGGTTAATGCTCCTCCCGAATCGCGCATACAATGCCACCTTGAGCTGCTGCAGCTCCTCGCGCAACTCACCCAGTGAGTCCTCCAACTTCGACACGTCGGCGTCGATCTGCTCTGTAGAGGTCTCCAGCATGGACTGGGCGTCTGCCAGGGGAAGTTGAAAGAAGGAGTCGCCGATTTTGTACCTGGACATACATTCAGTACAGGCCTCTTGGAAAACGAAGCAGTCTCAACTGAGAATAGGGGGGCAGGGCAAAGAAGCCACTTACGGAACCAGCTCGTCTTCATCGGCGAGTTCGAGTTCTGTAGAGATTTCTTCGAGGTCCTCCTTGTCCTTCTATATATATTGTTAGACCATCGACACGCCAATAGACCATCCGGCGAGCTTCCGGTGCGCCTACGTACCTGTTTCGCCTTCAACTGCTCCTCCAGCAGAGTCTCTCTCTGATGCAGCCGACTGAACCGGTTAATCTTCTCCTGGTCCTCACGGCGGACCTCATTCTCCTCACTGCCGGGACCGGACTCCTCGTCCCGCGAGAGCTGTGCAAGGTTAGCTTTTGGTGTGTTCTGTGCCGTGGGGTGCGGGAAGCTTGTCTTGGTGGGATGGGCGTGCTACCCCGCGGTCCCGGGGGGTGTGGTTCGGGGTTACGGCTTACCATGCGTGGTTGCATCATCTTGGCGGTCTGGGTGATGATGCGGGCGAATTGATGTATGAAAGGAGAGGAGAGGACTGGACTCTGAGAGGGTCTGCGATGTGTTGCCGACTGCTGGATTTGATGGTGGGTGGTCCGTGCGGCATGCTGGCGGGCGGTGCCTGTCGAGGACAGCCCAGTATGGAAGTATGGAGGAATTCAGATCAGCATGGGCGTCGATTACGGCTTGGGGTATTTCACTATTGCTACAGTATTCTAGGGAGCCTTGTCATATACTCCGGATATTTGAAGATTAAAATACGAAGCGGTGGAGACATAGGATGGGAGATCATGTTGACTATGCTGAACCCAAGACCCAGTATAGTGAGGTAAAGATGCTGCCTAAAATCGTACAGTAGAGAGTATAATAGCACATATCCTGTGTACGCACGATTGTTACATGACTGCCGATATGCCTCTGCAACATAGTCTATCTCACAGTGGAATCGTCTGCTGTTGGTGACATCATCTCCGCCCCGACCGTGGAGCAAAATCACCCAGAAAAGACAATATCCCTGAGGCTCAAGCTCAAATCACTGCTAGGACTCCTTCCGGACGGTCATTGTGATCTCTGTTTGAAGGTTCCTCCTGCTGATCGGCTCGTGGCGGCTCCCTTTCCGTGCTGCCCTGTCTGCAGCTACCGCCACTGACCAAGCGCGTCGGAGAATCCGACGCAACTCCGCAGGTTCCAGCCATCGTCATCCTTCTCAACACCAGACCACCCCTCGTGCACTGCTGCCACTAGAGCTCCCCAACTCCCACCCTCCCCCATCATCTGCCCTCCCACTCCAATCTCACCTCTGTCTGTTCCCCTGTACACGTGCCCGCCCAGATACGAGCCAGCGAGCTCCCGCCCGCGCCGGAGCCCGATCCAGCAACGGCCCCATCATCACCTTTCCTCCGCTCCGCCGACGACAACCCCCAGACCCTCCGCTATGCGAATACAATCCGGTGGCATCACGTTCCTGCTGTCCGCAGTAATACCCAGCCTGACAGCGGCGCTGAGCTTCGACTGCGCCCACCTCAACGTCGACAAATACAAATACGACCTTAGTCCGTTGGGCGGCGTCCATGAGTTATACCATGTCAACGAGACGGAGAGCGCCGTGACGAATACCACCTATGTTCTCAACATATGCAAAAATCTCGGCAGCAAGGCTGCGGACCGTGGAGATGATGGGAAGTGCGGACAGACCAAGCGCAGTATGTCGTGACCAACGCAATCTATCCCTGGTCTCTGAACCCGGCTACAGGAGACCGGGGATCAACTTCCAGGGTGGTTGTGCTTACTGACTGTACTCTATCTAGTCTGCGGCTTCGTGAACCGGCACCCAACCGACGGCAACGGCAGCAAGCGCTTCGGCTTCCCGATCGTCGGCCTCGACCACATGGGACACGGCTCCATGGAGCCAGAGCTTACACGATTGGCCGCGATCGATCCCGACACACAGGGCGTCCGCGTCAGGCTCGCCGGTGGCGAGTTCAGAGGGGATGAGGACGAGGGAAAGAAGAAGGAGACAGCGGCTGTGATTGACTTTGTGTGCGACCCAAACCGGTCAGGACTCGAAGGGCTGGTCACTAAGGAGGACAGCGCGGACGCGGACGTGGACGAGAAAAATCGCCGCCGGGAAGAGAATGGCGACCAGACGAACCAGGATCGCAGCCTGCAGTTCAAGAGCTTTGGGCTGAACGATGACGATAGCTATGTCCTGAAGCTGGACTGGCGCACGCGGTATGCCTGTGACAGTTACCAGCGCGGGAAGATGAACAGCTCGAGCTCCTGGGGTTTCTTCACTTGGATGATCATCATGTACGTGCACCCTATCACCTGTTTACCCCCTGTGGTTCCGACCTGCATTTGAATACTGATAATTCTGCTCGCAGTCTCTTCCTCTGCATCGCGGCTTATCTCATTCTCGGCTCCTGGCTCAACTACAACCGCTTCGGCGCCCGCGGCTGGGACCTCCTCCCCCATGGTGACACCCTCCGGGACATCCCATACATCTTCCAAGACTGGTCTCGTCGCGTGATCAACTCACTGCAAGGGTCCGGCTCGAGAGGCGGGTACAGCGCGGTCTAAATCACCTACCAGTCGATCTGGGTAGACACCGATTTATGTGCAGGTCATTTAGCTGTTGATCCTTTCGTTTCGGGAAGTTAACCGAAAGGGTTCCATTTCATTCCAGTTCCCCCAGGGATGTTGGCTGTCGGATGTCTGGCTGGGGGGTTTCACTGTGATCCCCCGTGGCTTCCTGGGGGTCTGGTGCAAGTGCTTCTTTTGGCGATGATTTCTTTCTTGAGAGAAGTCTGTTACGAGCACTAGATGTTAAGCCTTGAAGGGCCGGGTGGGCTTTTTGTATGCTCCGATGTGAACTATACGTGGTTTCTTTCAATCAATCGAGTCAGGGTGCTTCTATAGGGTACCCGCGAGATGCTCCTATAATTTTACCTCGCTATGCATCCGTATGGGCTGGGTCTCAAGGACAGGCATATGACCGCGACATGTGCAGTCTCCCTGTCTCTGTTCGAAAGAGCCTCAAGGAGGGATAAAATCCCGTGTTTGTTGTCTTCCTCCCGGAATTGCATCTATCGCGAACAGGCGGATGACTTCTCGTTGTGTATACAACAGCGTGACACTGTCACACACCACCGACTGCACAAACTACTGATGGAATCCCGTACGCAACGCAGACACGTATCAATTTTCAGTCTCCCAACACACTAAAGACGTAGATCGGGCGCAGATCAGGTCCCATCGTGAATCCAGATCCGATCTTCCCCGCAAGAAGCAGATACATAGAGCAGCAGCACGGTAAGACAACGCAGCAAGAGTCGGTGAAGACAAAGCGTCCAAACATAACAGAAAAGCAAGGTGCAAGATCGTCAGCGGCATCAACCAATCCCCTTAATCCCCCAACCCGACGTCCTCCAGAACGACGGGTGGGCGAAGAGCGAAGATGGCGTGATTGGGACTAATTCGTTCTCATCGGGTGTCGTCACAATCAGAAAAGCGCGGTAACAAACAGGAGGCGAGTAGGCAGTGCAGGGTTCCACATGGTACGGAGCAGTAATAATAAGAATGGTCATGTCGTCGTTCGGCTGGGGTAGAAAAGGGTTCCCCGTCCCCTTTTCCCCCACAGCCCCAAGCCTGTTTCCTTCCATACTTCTTCTCGTTCCTCTCTCCCCTCCTAATTCTCCTTCCTCCTCCCCATACATGCTCCCCTGGTCAGATTGGCACCCGACTGGGAACAATCATGTCCAGACAGAGCATGGTGGTTCCCTCGGCATAGTTACACTTTCACCGCAAACTGTTTCAGATACAGGTAGTCCTCCATGTTGTCGTCGACGGCCTTGCGGATGAGGGCCGCTGCCTTGGGGCCATACTTCTTGGTCCACTCGGCGTCGAACTCTTCCTCGGTCTTGACAGCATGCTTCTATGAATGATATTAGCCTGGGCCCCAACCCGTCACCGCATCACGGTCCCCTGATCCCCCGATCCCCAAGAAGATCATCCCATCTATTAGGCTGCCGGAGGGGAATCTATGCTTACATGTTGTCGCGCCACCAGCGCCTTGGACTCAATCGCATCATTATGGAACCCACGCCACTTCTCAAAGCAGAAGCACGCGAAGTCATAATCCTCCTGCGTATCCCAGGTCAACAGAGACGGATCGTACGGCAGCCCGACGCTCTTGCAGAACGCCTCGATCGTCGGCGCCGGCGCATCCAGCATATCATCCGCATCGATCACGCAGATTTCATGGACCGTCTCTTTCGCCCCGCAGTTCTCAACTTGCAGGTCCGGGCGAGTCGCCACGCGCGGTCCCACCAGGCCCTCGCGCACGAGGTAGTCAAAGTGCCGCCGCAGTTCGTCGTACCCCGCCTCCAGGGGGTCATAGTTGTGGAACCCGGTCACTGCGTCCAGGGGTGGGATCGTGCAGCGGTAGTACGATGGCACGCTGAAGTGCGGGTCGCGGATGAGGAATGCGAAATGGAAGCGTTCCTGGATCTCACGGGGCATCACCGTGGGGTTGCCCGGCTCGGCGGGTGTGTCGTACGGGTACGGCCGGTGCGAGACACTGTTGGTGGTCCCGTTCGCGGTGCCGTTGGTGTCGTGGTGGCCGTTGACCCCGCTGACGCCATTGGCAACGCCGTTGCCCACCGTGCCGTTGGTACCGTTGGCGGTGCCATTAGTGACCCCGTTGGTCGGCGCGGTGGCGTGGCCGTTGGCATGAACGGTGCCATTGACGGCACCATTCACGCCGTTGGCCTGGGCGTGGTTGTCGCTGTTGGCGGTACCGACACCGCGTTTAATGCGTCGCAGCGAGGGGGCAATACTGGCGGGCTTACCGGCTGGCGGAAGAAGGTAGTGGTCGATATCCTTGATGAAGACTCTCTTGCCCTGTACGCACGGTAAGTATCCCCCCGGCACGAAACGACGCAAGTTACACATGACGGAAAGCGCACGAGACCCTCGGGTTCTCGGTCTTTCTTGTTTTCTGGTGGCTTTGACAAACTCGTAAGAAGGGAAAACACAGTAGAGGCAGACAGGCTCTCGGGAAAGACTGCCATCTCCAGGACCGAGAGGCAAACGCAGGTAGGAAGTTCTTTCCAGCACGTCGATCCTTACGGAGACATGAGGTGCCAATTTACGGCCAAACGGGACAAGTGAACAGAGGGAGGGGGAAAGGAATTCAGGAACAGGGTCGCAGGAAGAAGGGTCGGACCTCTGAAGCTTCACCTTCCAGTCTCTCCACCACAGTGCGATATGTCGACTGGCTGAACCCGCTGTCGACACGCGCCTGCTCGTCGTCCTCGAACCGGTCGGAGAGACGCTCCGGACCGTAGTAGAAGGCATCGCCGAACGGCTCATGGACACACTGGATGGTGGCACGCTGAGTCATGAAGACCTGTAGAAAACTAGTTAGCCTTGATCTTAATCGATACTCGCAAACAGCGGCATCCAACCCATATTGGGACATACTCGCTCAAACGCCGTCGAACAGGCACGCGGATGCGTGGCCACGAAGATCGGCTTGGTAGACATCCTGAATCAATAGATGCACGGACAAATAGATGTTGGTGATTTTTAGTATGACGAGGTAGCCGAATTGAGAATTTGGTCACTATAGAATCGTCGATGAGTGTCTGCAGGTGGATCAGGCGAAGGTGATGACAACAGTGTCGAGAGCACAGCACACGACCGGAAGGATCAGAAGGTAATCGGCAATAAACTCGTGGAGGTCCGAGTGCCGAGCCAGAACGAGGTCAAATGGCGGAAATGGTACAAATCTGCAATGTACCGATCCCGTGAGAGGCTCGCGCGGCTAGCAAATTTGGATGTAGTGGTGAGTGATATGATCGGCCGCTGGGATAGTCTGAATGACAGACAGGATCCCCGGTAGAGTCCAGCAAATACGAGGGCTTGCAGATGGCTTCAATGGGGGGTGCGATGGCGTGAGAGGAAGGCCAGGGCAGCAGGGCTAAAATGCTTTTTATAGGCGCATGGATGACATAGGCTTTGCTGTTGTTGGGCGGTGTATTTCATTAGGTGATTCTCCTCCTAATGGGAACCCGCATGCCAATGAGGATCGGAGCGTGAATTAATGCAGTATGTGATTGGGGGTGGATTGGATTTAAAATGGATATTTCTCCCATCCTTGACCCAGTGGAAATCAGGGCGGACTCGAGGACCAACCGAGTTTTCCCTAGGCAAGAAAGCCGGGAAAGCTCCTCAGTAACTTGCCCTGCAGAGGGTACAGCGGAGCACAGCTGGTACATCTGGTACAGATACTACGGAGTACACTACGAGCTTGCACTCGAACTAGGGCTCGAACAAACTGGGACCCGATGGAGATCCGTCGAGCTACCGCCCCCATTTAACCGCGGATGCTCATCTCCCAAAGAACTCTAGTCTCCAGTACTCCAGTCCTCTGCTTACGCACCTATGCCATTCGCCGCGTGTTTGAGACGTCTTCCATTTGGCCCTGGAGAGGTTGACCAGATTGGGATCTCCGGTGTCGAGACAGATCGACGGCTTTCTAGCCGGCTAGAGAGCGTAGCATGTCGCAGTGCATGTGGAGGTAAGTAATAGCCCAGCTTCCGCCATGAGATTTCTCTGTGTTCTGCCTTTAGTTTCACCAGCTCAACTGCCACCGGCCTAGCATCATCGGCAGGGGGGTCCGCGAGGCAATCAGAGCAGACGCTACGCCTCGCCCCTCCGCTGCCCCGCCGTAGGAACCTTCCGCTGCTATTATGTGCGCCATATCCGCCCCCCCCTCCTCACTCCATCCCAAGTTCCCAGTTTCTAAAGTTCCAAAGTTGCAAAGTCTACTCCGTAAACCCCACCTGTCTGCGGACTGTGGGCCAATGGGCAGCCCTGTAGTGGGCAGTGAGAGTGATCGATCTCCGTGTCTGGACTGCGCCGACTCGGACCAGGTATCCACTGGGTGACCCCACGATGTCTGAGCTTCCTGCGGGTGGGAGTAGAACGGCTTTCTATTTGCACATGGCCAGCGAATGGAGATGAAAGGTTTGATCCCGTTGGTCGCTAGATGGGCAACGGTCCGCTGGATGGAGGATTGTCTCTCCTTTCTCTATCCGTACCCTTTCATTTTCTGCCAGTTTATTTCTCTTCCCGGTTTATTCTCTTGCGTCGCATATCGTGCGTTCTCTTGAATGCCTCGGCCGAAATGTCAAGTGCGTGTCATGCCCCAGACGCATTCTCGAGGTCTGATCCCAGGCCGCAAACTTAGACCATCCCGATTTTTGCTACATGGCCGGTCGCGCTTGACGTCATGACCCCGGGACGGCATATCGCCGTACTCTCCTCGGCTAGCATGGAATTCGGGTCGTAGAGGGAGAGCATAGCAAGCCGCACGGGCGGGGCAAAGGGGGCCGGGCAACATCGATTGGGAGATGGGAGAGGGGGAAAACAGTGCTCCGAACAATATACACGGCAGATCGCGGACGCCCTGTGCCCGACGCTGGCGTCAGTGGCACTGCCTCTCGGTCAAATCAAGATCTCACCTCCATCGGGGCCTTCCCTGGATCGTCCCTGCTATGGCGGAGGGCCAGGCCCTGCGCTCCACCGCAGCACATCCATGCGCCTGAACAATTCCGCCAATGGAGAGAGTTGGAGGAGGGGGTTCATCTCTCGTCTTCGGGCGAGCAACGGAAGCAACTCTTCCTCTTTTTGCCAGGCGGAGTGATGGACACGGACATCTGGGGCAATGAGCTCGCAACGTAATTCACGTAATTCACCTCCGAGTCGCCTGTACAAACGAGCCCGCCCAGAATCCACTCCCTAACTTAGTACCTGGTGTTAGATTCAAAGACCGATCTACCGAGGCATCAACTAATTGAATGGCCTATCTGTGAATAACCCGTGTATCTTGGCTGCGCTCGTTTGACTGGTTGAGGTAGTCAAAACACGTGGATTCATAGGTCCTAGGAGTGGTCCTGAAACGCGTCTCTCCTCGGCTGACAAGGCTGCTTACACTCGCTATGGGCCATATTAATAGTTAGACCGCCTTCGGAGGCGGCTATCTAGTCGAGCGCAAATGCTTCTAGCGCTTCTTCTTGTTAGCAGTGCGTAGATTGTAGATCAGCCTTCCCCTCGCTAATAGCCCGGTGTTATATATGGAGTGCACAGTGTAATCACGATTGTCCGCTACTCAATATAGGGCATCCATGAGCATGTCAGCGTTGACGGCTGACGTAAGTGGTGTTTTTTTAGCGAAGATCATGTGATGTGGTATTGATCTAGTGCAGAATTCCTGAGGCGGTGTGGGCGAATCACATGTGACTTTTACCCAAGGCAACACGGCAAACACAGGAGTCATCTGAGAGCATAGAATCATCAATAGAAGGACAATGAGGAAGGCGGCAGGTAGGACAGAGGGAACATGCTTCATCAATTAGTCTATTACATCTTCCGATACTCTATTTTCCTACGATGTTCCACTGTTTCTTCTAAGTATCACAGTTTACCTGGCAAGTCATGACATGATTGTTTAATCATTTCTCAATCATTGCTTTGCTATCAGCTGAATTGATATTGTCATTGTTGCTTTCCCAGCAAATTAGAATTGACTGATTGACTGGATGATCGAATCAATGTCTTCATTATAATCGCATGATGTCCAACAGTGTCACTATGACGGTTACTTCGTACCCACGTGACTTTCATCGCGGTGGAACGATCCAGCTGTCAGGTGTGGCGCGTGGCAGCTTCTGGAAGGCGGTGGAACCCCCCCGTGGCGTCATGAGCGTGGGAGCTGCTTCGGGCAGCAGACTGGTCCAAGTATATTATCAGCTTGCGACTTAGCCGCCTTACTTCTTCTCCGTCTCTTCCACACTCACTTCACCTGAACATATTCTTCCCCACATATTCATCCTCTACATATTCATCCTCTACATACCATATCATACCATATCATACCACCACATACCAACTGAGTCCACAGCACATACCCTCTTCCGTTCAACATGAACGGCGCACAGTTCACCGATCGGGCTAACAAGGCCTTGCTGGACTCCAGCGCGTTGGCCGAACAATATGCCCACACCCAGATCCTACCCCTCCACCTGGCAGTTAGCCTCCTCAACCCATCTGCAGATTCTTCTGAAGATCAACAACAACCGGCCGGTCACTCCTCACACGATGCTTCCAGTACCCCGCTCTTCCGCCAGGTCGTGGAGCGCGCTCACGGCGATCCGCAATTACTCGACCGATCACTCATGAAGCTCCTGGTCCGTTTGCCGAGTCAGGATCCCCCACCAGAGAATGTCGCCGTCTCTCCACAACTCGCCAAGGTCATCCGATCGGCGACGGACCTGTCCAAGACCCAAAAGGACAGCTACGTGGCCATTGACCACCTGATTCAAGCGGTGTCTCAGGACTCGCAGGTGCAGCGTGCCCTAGCGGACGCCAACATTCCCAACCTCAAATTGATTGATACCGCCGTTCAGCAGATTCGGGGTACACGGCGCGTGGACTCCAAGACTGCCGACGCGGAAAGTGAAAATGAGAACCTGAAGAAGTTCACCATTGACATGACTTCTTTGGCTCGCGAGGGTAAGATTGATCCAGTTATTGGTCGCGAGGAGGAGATTCGCCGAGTTATTCGCATCTTGAGTCGACGCACAAAGAACAACCCTGTCCTCATTGGTGAGCCTGGTGTGGGTAAGACTACCATTGTCGAGGGTCTGGCCCGTCGCATTGTCAATGCCGATATTCCCGCCAACCTGGCTCAATGCCGGCTGCTCTCCCTCGATGTCGGCTCCTTGGTTGCTGGCAGCAAATACCGTGGAGAGTTTGAAGAGCGAATGAAGGGTGTTCTCAAGGAAATCGAAGACTCCAAGGACACCATTATTCTCTTCGTCGACGAGATCCACTTGCTCATGGGCGCCGGATCCAGCGGCGAAGGCGGTATGGACGCTGCGAATCTTCTCAAACCCATGCTAGCTCGTGGTCAGCTACACTGTATTGGTGCCACTACTCTCGGCGAGTATCGCAAGTACATCGAAAAGGACCAGGCTTTCGAGCGACGTTTCCAGCAGGTCCTCGTCAAGGAGCCTACCGTCAACGAGACTATTTCAATTCTCCGTGGCCTGAAGGAAAAGTATGAAGTTCACCATGGTGTCAATATTCTCGACGGTGCCATCGTTAGTGCCGCTACCCTGGCTTCTCGCTATCTTACAGCACGCCGTCTTCCCGATTCCGCCGTCGATCTGATCGATGAAGCTGCCGCTGCAGTTCGTGTCACTCGCGAGTCCGAGCCTGAAGCTCTGGATACCTTGGAGAGAAAGCTGCGACAGCTTCAGATCGAAATACATGCCCTGGAGCGTGAGCAGGACGAAGCCTCCAAGACCCGTCTGGAAGCTGCAAAACAAGAAGCTGCCAACGTGACCGAAGAGCTCCGTCCGATGCGCGAGAAGTACGAGAGTGAGAAGCAACGCAGCAGGGAAGTGCAAGACGCCAAGATCAAGCTTGACTCTCTCAAGGTCAAGCGTGACGAGGCGGAGCGCTCCGGCGACACTCAGACAGCTGCCGATCTCGAGTACTACGCCATCCCCGAGACTAAGCAACTCATCGAGCGGCTCGAGGCCGATCGCGCCAAGGCTGACGCTGAACGCCGTGCTAACTCCGGAGACGCTGGCGAAGCCTTGCTGGCAGATGCCGTTGGCCCCGAACAGATCAACGAGATCGTCGCCCGATGGACCGGTATCCCTGTCACTCGACTCAAGACCACCGAGAAGGATAAGCTGCTCAACATGGAGAAGTACCTGGGCAAGGTTGTCGTGGGCCAAAAGGAGGCTGTGACCTCCGTCGCCAATGCCATCCGACTACAGCGCTCTGGTCTCAGCAACCCCAATTCGCCTCCCAGTTTCTTGTTCTGCGGTCCTTCGGGTACCGGTAAAACACTCCTCACCAAGGCACTTGCTGAATTCCTCTTCGATGACCCGAAGGCGATGATCCGCTTCGATATGTCCGAATACCAAGAGCGACACTCGCTCAGCCGAATGATCGGTGCGCCCCCTGGATACGTCGGCCACGACGCTGGCGGCCAATTGACCGAAAGCTTGCGCCGCCGCCCATTCTCGATCTTGCTCTTCGACGAGGTCGAGAAGGCTGCCAAGGAAGTCCTCACCGTCCTCCTGCAACTCATGGACGATGGCCGTATCACCGACGGCCAAGGCCGCATTGTCGATGCGAAGAACTGCATTGTCGTCATGACCTCCAACTTGGGAGCTGAGTACCTCACCCGCTCCCTCAGCCGCGACGGTCGCATCGAACCCCAGGTCCGTGAGCAGGTCATGGGCGCACTTCGCGATTACTTCCTGCCCGAGTTCCTCAACCGTATCTCCAGCACGGTTATCTTCAACCGTCTCACCAAGCGCGAGATCCGCAAGATCGTGGACCTGCGCCTATCCGAGGTGCAGAAGCGCCTCGAGCACAATGGTCGCAACGTCCTTATCCAGTGCTCCGAGGAGGTCAAGGACTACCTAGGTGCTGCTGGCTATTCCCCTGCCTACGGTGCTCGTCCACTGGGACGTCTTATCGAGCGTGAAGTCCTCAACCGGCTCGCCGTTCTCATCCTGCGCGGCAGCATCAGGGATGGCGAGGCTGCTCGCGTGGTCATGACCGATGGTCGCATCGACGTCCTGCCGAACCACGAGCTCGGCGAGAGTGATGAGGATGATGAGGATATGGTTGACTCGGACGATGCCCTCGCCGAATTGGATGATGACAGCGGCGACATGGATCTTTACGAGGAGTAAACAGACCAAGCTTTCCATGTGCTCGGGGTTGGAATACATTGCTTCTATGATGATGAAAAACGACTCCAGTTACTTTTTTTCTTTCCTATTTGTGCTCATTGGCGTGGCGTTGGTGCTTCCTTTTCCCTGGTGCAAATTGTACCCTACCCTGTTGACCTGCACTACATAACATAATATGACATTTTCGGGGCCTATTCCTCTACGACTTGACATGTCGGGAGGCTTGGCTTGGCTGGATTTGTTGATAAAAGATAATATAGCATAGCATATTGATGGCATTTTCAACTCAAAAATACTTTTCTCATAAGATCCGGAACAGATTTCCATGTAGATTTGTAAGCAGCACCAAGTGAATACAAACAGTCATTCCGTCACTGTTATGGAGCAATGACTAAACTCTTCCCCAGGCATGACGAAGCTCATAAGCTTAACATACGTACTGTAGCTACTACATAGCACAACATCACTTTACCAATAGCTGCAAAATTATATTATAGACCTTTCGACTAACGACTTACACTGAATACCCAATAAACTCACTGCAACCTGTAAAAACCACAAACCAATCTCAATTAATAGTCAGCTAATAGATAGCTACATATTCACGTCGTTATAGTAATCGGCACACTCTACAATGGTAGATCTTTGCGTGGATCCAGTCTCCTGGCCGTACGAGGATTCCAAGGAAGATGTGGATACCCCCCCGCCCCATGATAAACTCAAAAATTGTAACACGGTAGATCTGGATTAATGTGCTATCATTCTCCGAAACACGTGCTCTGGACTTTATAGAAGGAGTCAGTATACAGGAATAAAATCACGGTTATTGAAGCACATCACGTGAGGAGCGTTCTGGGGATTGCATGCGCACTTGGCCAACTCAGTCAGTCAGCCGCTATCAAACCCACATGGTCATCAGCCTAACGCGATACGACCCCGCCCCCTTCTTCGGGGCGCCTAATCCAACGTGCGAACATACATTTCCAAGAGTGCGAGTTTGAAAAGGGAAACAATCAAGGTTGGTCTACGTCAAATGTCCGCTGGGTCTAGAGGGCCGGACCCTCTGCGACGCCCGTGCGACCGCTGCCGCCAACGCAAGTCGCGATGTGTGCGAGAGCCGGAAAAAGACAATTGCATGTTTTGTAATCTGAATAATCTTGAATGTACCTTTCTTCATGGCCCCCGCGCGCGAAAACCGACAGTCAGAGAATCACCTCCAAACCGAACGGGGGAAACAAAGTATGTCTGCTCCTTGAGGTAGTATTCGTTGGATGAATGGCATCAAATGACTGGTCTCCAGACTTCAAGATCCCCATGGCTCTCCCACATTATCGACGGCCTCCACCATCGACCAGGTCCCGTTCGACCAGGCCAATTCATTACTGGATGGCACGCTTGGCCTAGAACTGCATCTGCATTCCGAATATACGGGACCTGCAAGCTACCATGAGCCTGCACTTCTGGACCTGAGGCCTCCTTTTTGCTCCGCTGTGGGCCACGGCAAATGCTTTCCTCGGAGAGTCGATCAATGCACCGCATTCATCACGTACCCGGATGAGGACTCGGCCTCCGAGATGCAGCGCATCGCTGATCTAGATCGTATCGAAGAATCTATTCGTCCCTTAGGCCCAACCCTGGTGAATCTTTACTTTCGAATCATGCACCGCACCTTTCCAATCTTGGACAAGGGCGTGTTCCTAGAGAAATATGCCCGATCATACCGCAATTTTTCCCCACCGCTCCTTGCTGCTGTATATCTAGTCGCCTTGGACTGGAGGCTTTTCGACAGAAATTTAGTGACTGCCCCTCAACTGCCCGATGCGGTCGTCCTGGAGAATCTGGCCATCCGCGCCATGGACGATGATCTGAAGCGACCCAAGCTCTCCACATTACAGGCCGGCTTGCTATTATTACAGCGAATGAGATCTGCCCATAACACGTTTCCGGCCCAACTCCTGGCTCTGGGACAAACCTTAGGCATTCATGTTGACTGCAGTGACTGGGAGATCCCGGAGTGGGAGAAAGGCCTACGAAGGCGACTCGCCTGGGCGCTCTACATGCAGGATAAATGGGGTGTTCTCGTCCACGGCCGGCCCTCCATGATCCCGGCCCAGGTGGATGTCGATGACGGTACAAGCGACTGGACAGTGAGCCCATGTAAACTGAAGGATTTTCCAGAAACCGCGGCCGGGGAGGAGAACGGGGAAGGGAGCGTGGACGGTCCAACGGCGCGGGCTGCATTTCTGCAGTCCATTGAACTGACCAAAATCTTCAGTCGTATTGTGTCGACCTTCTGCTCCACAAGCGCGACCAGAGCCGGTGGGTTGCTAAGTCGGATAGGAGCCTCAGGAGCTCTCGACCTAGCGAAACCTTTGGCGCTGGAGTTACGCGAATGGCATGCTGCTTTGCCGGCAAGCCTCCAGCTAGAGTCCACACCATCATTACGATTGTCGACCAATGGGGCCCTGCATTTATCATATATGGCCGCACATTTAATCATTCACCGTGCGTTACTTCGTGCTCTCATCCCGAAGACTACGCCTTCTCTACGTTCAACGATCCGGGCAGCCGCTCATGCCCGCCTTCTATCAGCCATGGCTTTGATCGGGTCATTTCAGCCTGAACATTTTCAATCATTTTGGGGATTTGCAGCGGCAGCCCAGGTGGCTTTGGTCGGCACATTTGCCGGACTGCTGTGGGCGACCAGCGCCGAAGTGAATGAGGCAGCGGTGTATGTAGAGCAACTCGAAAAGCTCCGCTGGATCCTGCAGGTGCGGGCCTCCGCAGCTCCATTTGCTCGCGAAGGACTTCGAATGCTCGATGAAGAGGTCGGCGACCTAGCCGCAATCAAGGCAGCCACATTCCGCGACATGTAACTCGGAGTACTACTTGCTTTTCTTCTATTTTTGCACAATCATTTGCTTCATTGTCTTCCGTCTCAAATACGGGTCTTCTCTATTGGATAACAGCTACTACGTCACTAGGGCTCAGGATGTCACCCGGTTGGACTAGTAGCCTCATGCATTTGCCACTGACCGGTGCACAAATCTTAACCTCCATCTTATTCGACTCGATCCAGAACTTGAGGATAATTTAGCTGGAGTATTTGCCATGGCATAATCATGAGGTTTACTCACCAAGGGATCTCCCTCTTGGATATCATCGCCCTCCTCAACGGCCAAGCGAAAGCATCTCCCGGGTAGGAGAGCCTTTACTTGCTCTCCAGCTATGTTCTCATGGAGGTCATGTGTCCATGTCGGCCTCATTGAGATCGGATCATATGGTTTAAGCAAGTCTTCGAAGAACTCTGCTTCTTGAACGGCGTTGAACCGGTTTTCCTGCACAGCAGTGATGTCGGCAGCATTGTCAATCAGCCATTTTTCATACCTAGCGAGGTCCAATTCCGTATGATTGATTTTAATCAGATCTTTATAAGTCCCTTTCTCCCCTGCTTCGGCAAGCTCTGCTTCGGAGATCGGGTAGAAGCGAATCTGATCCAGAAGCGAGAACATCCACGGGGGTTCTCACCCAGTTCGGACTTGTGAAACTCATCCCAGATGGGTACGGTACGGCCAACAAGCTGATATCCACCAGGGGAGTCGGTTGCATAGATGCACATATACTGACCGGCAATGCCAACTGCACCGCGAGGAGTGAACGAGCGCGAAGGATTATACTTCGTCCCAAACAGTCGATGGCGTGGATCCAAAGGCACGGCACAAGGGGATCCTTGGTAAACATCACCAAGCCCCAACACCAGGAACCTTCCTTCATACAAATTCTGCTCAATTCGATCAGGACTATCAAGACCGTTCAATTTCTGCAGAAACTCAATGTTGCTGGGCAGGTATGGCGCGGAAGAGCGAATAGTCGAAGCATAGCGGGCGATGGCTTTGCTACTCATTTCATCATTGAAGACCAGAGGCATGTTGACAATTCGAGAGGGTAATTTTGAAGGCAGCTCGGTCCCGAGGGATTCTTCATGTGTGATGAGTGCGTCCAAAACCTGAGACAGAGAGATGTTGTCCTTCATAAGAACATGGACGCTCCGGACTCCGGGTGTTAGCTCTTCAACTCCAAGAATTGGATTAATCCGATGTCTTTCCATAAAGCGCATGATATGAAATGTCGTTCTCAGGCTGAAATTGTCTTCCTCTCCGAAGTCGAGCAGCAATGCGCGATCACCGGCTTGGCGGCATTGAATGAAGCGGCCACATTCATGAATCTCCTTCATGACCGGGTTCGACACGGTGTAGGCTTTGCCGCTTCCCATGCTTTGTGTGGCCAGTGGTGTCAAGTGACTGATCGAGTGATTGAGATTATTCGCAAACTGGCGTGCATCCTCCACGGAAATTGGGTGCAATCGAAGCCGATCGCCCGGTCGCATCTGCCCAAACTTCCACATCTCGGCCTCTGCGACGGTGGCAAAAGCGACGAATCCCCCCAAGCTTGGCCCATCGGCTGTCAATACAACTGCCTCATCGCCGGTGAAACTGATGTTGCCGATGGCATAAGGACTATCATGAATATTGGAAGGATGCAGGCCAGCAGCACCACCGGTCTTGCGTGCCCACTCTGGACGGGGGCCGGTCAGACGAACTCCGATCCGGTTACTATTGTAGTGAACGGTCCATTCACCATCAAACAGCTCGCGAAGGCCGTCTAGTGTGAAATGAGTCGGGCTCCCATGTGGCCCAGGAACTACACCAACTGCCCATTCTCGGTTCTCAAGTGATGGCAGCGGCAGAGCAGGCGCCCTGAGCATCTGCAGTTCTTCTTTCGAGGCAGATGGCAATGGGAGCAGGTCTCCAATGCGTAGACTGCGTCCATTGTGTCCCCCAAAATGGCCAGTTGCGAATGTTGACCGGCTCCCCAGGACTTCAGGTACCTGGATCCCGCCTTGAACAGCAAGATACATTCGTGAACCGTTGCTGGCTGTGCCGATCGAAAGCTTCTGTCCAGGGTGAAGGCCAATAGCCACCCCCGATTGCCTTTCCTCCCCATCAACAAACACAGCGGCATTGGCACCGACCACCGCAACGGTAATCTGGCAATGGAACAGCAGCGTAGGCCCTTGGATCGAGCATTCAAGCCCTGCAGTATGGTCATCGTTACCGACAAGTTTGTTGGCAAGACGGAAGGAGTACGAATCCATGGGACCAGAAGGTGGCACCCCAATATGCCACAACCCTTGACGGCCAGGGATATCCTGTACGTGAGTGTCTGACCCACTGTCAATGACCTCAAAGACTTGAGCTTGGTACGGCAAGGTATCTAGCGATTTTGTCGTGAAAGACCCAGAACGGAATGCGTCCCACGCAACAATTTGCTGTAAGTACCCAAGATTGGTCTCAACGCCGGTGATAACCGTGCTAGCTAACGCTTTAGACAGCTTTAGAATAGCCGCGGGACGGTCCTCGCCAAACGCTATGATCTTGGCAACCATTGGATCAAAAGACGAAGAGAGCTGTTGACCCGAGGCGACCCAAGTGTCAATGCGGACGTCAGAGGGGAACTCAACACGCAAGAGCTTCCCAGGAGAAGGTCGGAATCCTTGGAGAGGGCTTTCCGCATATACACGAACTTCAATCGCTGCACCGATCACAGGGATTTCGTTTGTTTGCCGAGGGAACATGGCAGCGCAATCATCCATAGCAATGCGCATCATACATTCAACGAGATCGAGACCGGTCCCAGCCTCCGTCACCGGATGCTCAACCTGCAGACGGGTGTTCATCTCAAGAAAGTAGAATTTATCCGTGTCAATGTCGAAAATAAACTCCACAGTACCAATATTGCGATACTTCAAGGAGGCGACCAAATCCGCCGCAGCGCGACGAATATCTGCTCTTACTTCCGCGGGCACAAAAGCCGCCGGCGTTTCCTCAACCACCTTCTGGTTTCGACGCTGCAGCGAACAGTCACGCTCACCCGCACAGAGGACCCGGCCAGCGCCATCGCCGAGGACTTGCACCTCAATGTGTCGTGCACGATCAACAAAGTGCTCAATGAAGACCCCGTCGTCGCCAAAGTTTGCCTGACCAAGTCGGCGCACACCATCAAACGCCTCCCGAAGTGCGTCCTCGTCGCTGCACCGCTGGAGGCCGATCCCACCACCTCCAGCGGTGCTTTTCACCATCACAGGATACCCAATCGTCTCGGCTTCGGTAACAGCATCCTCGATACTGGTTACCAAGCCCTTACTTCCAGGAAGAACAGGAATGCCCGCAGCCATGGCAATCTCACGAGCACGGTGTTTCAAGCCCAATTTCCTCATCTGGCCCGGGGTTGGTCCAATCCAGACTAGACCTGCGGCTTCAACGGCGGCCGCAAAGTCGGCATTCTCTGAAAGAAAGCCGTACCCAGGAATGATGGCGTCAGTTCCAGTTTCGGCAGCGATGTCTAGGATTTGGGCACAATTGAGATAAGTATCCGCCACAGTGTTTCCAACAAGCCGCATGGCAACATCTGCAGCAGTCACATGCGGCGCGCGAGCATCGGCGCTTGAGTAGATGGCCACAGAGGAAATTTCCATAGCTTTCATGGTACGAATGATGCGTAAGGCAATTTCTCCCCGATTGGCAATGAGAACCGTCCGGATTCGTTTTTCATCGATGCTGGGTGTAGGAGTGAAAGCAGCGCCTTCGGAGGATGCAGTAGAGGTAGTGAGAGACTGTATGTAGTCTCGCCATCCACCGAAATTGGTGATATCTTGCGCATAGGCCAGGCCTATCGGCTCGCAAATAAATCCTTGCACCCAACGGCCATCCTGCAATTCAACAGATCCGATTCCCAATGGCGATGTGATGGTTCCCAGGAAGCTGCCTATTTTGTCTAATGGCAAGTTCCATACTTCCACCTCAATGGCCGCTCCGCCTTTAGCAACACGCTTCAGACCAGGCTTCAATACTGATCCGGTCTCTTGCAATGCGAACAGTTGATAGCATGGAGCTGTTGTTGTCGCAGTGGCGAGAGTTGCGCCTCTGGAGATCAAGTCCGTGTTTAACGGAAACCCAGAAAGATGGGCCCCAACGACCGCAAGCTGCATTGAATGAGAGGTGACAGGGAGATGGGATGATTTCTCTTGGTATTCCACACCAGTCGCCCCCAATAGGCGCGGGGCGTCGCCGAGCCAGCGCCGGCTGAGCTCCAACAAACGTGGCTCTTCCCATGCTCCGCCGATGAGGGTGATACTAAATGGGAGGTGATCCTCTCGCCAACCGGCAGGTATAGCCAGAGCGGACCAGTCCATAAAGTTCACGAAGTTTGTGTATGTGCCCAGTCGACTGTTTGCCATGACCGGTTCGTCTTTGAGCTCTTGCATTGTAGGAAATGTAGGGGTAGTAGGCACGAGAAGCGCGTCAAACTGGCCAAATGTCTTTTCAATCTCGCGAGAAAGTTCCTGTCGTTGGTACTCGTTTTGGAAGAGATCTGCCGCGGAAAACTTCTCGGCACTCATTATAATGCCGTGTACGACTGGGTCCAATTCTGAGGCGGGCACCGAGGAAATGAACTTCTCGATGGCAACGTATCGCTCAGCAACCCATGGGCCCTCGTACAAAAGACTGGCCAAGGAAAAGAGGGGTGAAAAGTCGACGGGGATCAATTCCCATCCCAGTCTTTGAGCCTTGACTAACGCTGCTTGGTATGCTGTCGCATGCTCAGATGATCCAAACCACTGTGGATTGGAGCAAATAGCCAAGGCTGGCTTAGAAGGCACTCCAGATCGAGGGAGCTTCTTGGTGGCACAGTCAGCTCGACTTCTGGAGTATGCGTCTTGGGCATCATATGTCTCGGCTAGTTGTAAAACCAGGTCTGCATCTTCCAAAGTCAGGGCAAAGATGGAAACACAGTCGAGTGATCGGCATGCAGGCACCACACCGTGTGTGCTCAGAGCCCCGCGTGTAGGCTTGAGGCCAACGACATTATTGAAACCAGCAGGGACCCGACCTGATCCTGCCGTATCAGTGCCGAGCGCGAAGGGCACTAAGCCCCGTCCAACGACGACCCCGCTACCCGAGCTGCTGCCACCGCTGACTCGCTCTGGATTGATGGAATTTGCAACAGCTCCGTAGGGGGAGCGTGTCCCGACGAGTCCCGTAGCAAACTGATCGAGGTTTGTCTTTCCAACGACGATGGCTCCGTGTGCTTTCAGTTGTGCCACGACGGTTGAATCGGCAGTGGCGGGTTCTGTGCCGAAAGATGGACACGCGGCAGTTGTGTAGAAGCCAGCGACGTCGATGTTGTCTTTGACAGCAAACGGCACCCCAAAAAGTGGAAGATCTTTCCGCTCAGAGCGAAGTGCTTTGATGTGTCCCCATTGTGCACTGATCTGCTCTGCCGTTGCCAATGAAATCCATACATTTGATGTGTCCAACCGTGCTCGTTTCAGCAATGATAGAAGGTGACTTGGCTCAGAAGCACTCTCTTGCAGTTCTCGCCACTGAGGGATTGTGAGCGGGGTTGCCTCGCTGCTGATCGATCTTGTTGTAGTCATTGCGAATAGATGGAGATCAATGTGAACTAAACGCGAAGCTATGTATATTTGCGCTTATCACGACCAGAAAGATAAGGATAAGCAACAAAAACAAAGTGATTTGGTGCGGTCAATCTGAGAATCAACGACAACGGTGAGCCTATATTACTTTGAGGAGACCTCTACTTGCCCATTCGTTTGTCCGAAATGGTCCGATATCCATATTCCACACGGATTGGAATCTGTCATTGCTATTGCAAATAAGCTTGGCTCTTATTGTCTGCGCCGACGCCAAGCCCCGGCCGCCGCGGTCATCGCTTGCCGTCGCCCGCCGTCGGCGCGGGGTGAGAACACATAACTTCAATACTTCGTAACGAGGTGCCATGACTAGAGGATCTGTTCGGAGAGAGTAGATTCACTTCATTGCTTTCAGTCTCTAAATTCTAGTCCGGAAAGGAATAACCATAGCTGCGCCATGGTACCTACGCCTCCACGAGACTTCAAATTTGGCCTGACTACTGACATGAAATACCGTATTTCGCATCATTTTGTTATTCCAACAACGGATCAAGCCATCCAAACACGCTGATCAAAGGTGATGAAATAACCCACCTACGTCTACTTAGCGTGAATCGGCTGGTTTTCAATGCCATCAGAAGTGCTTTCGTTATCAGGACCCTTGAAGCCTGGGATCCAGAAGTAGAGAAAGCGGCGGAGTACTATTTTACGGATATACCTCCGGCTTGGGGACCCTCCATCTTTACTTGCATTGATGACGAGGAGTTTCTACTACGGTTTATGACTCTCCTCAAGCTCTCCGGTGACTAGTGAAGTGAATGAATCCTGGAAGACTAACTCCTCGATAGAAAGTACAGAAAACCTTGGAACTCTCGAGACCACATCCTTCGTCTAAAGATGCCTACCACGATTCCTAATTCTATTCAACCGCTGGTTTACAAGATACGCTAGCGAATGGGAGCGCAGCGGTCTCATTACTCCGGATGAGAGAAATGTGATCGATGGTGAATTCGGGACAACTCCCAGCTTCCCTCACTCCCCATTCGCGCAGAGCCTTAAGGAGCCAGATATATACTCATCGATCCTGACGACGACTATGGTCTCCCCTCTGTTAGGTATTATTGAAGCTGCCTGGTCTGAGTCCATGAACGGTGATGATGATGATGATACTTTATTAGCCTGATGCAACCTAACTAGTGTCGTATGGCTATGCAGGCGCTTCCTCCGGCGGAAGCAAGGGCATTTCGAACACCAGCTCATGCGCATGAAACAGTAAATATATAAGAAGATGGCGTCTTGCCATATTAAATCCCCGAAAACCCATGTAACCAAACGCCTATCGTGTGTCCCCCGGCCCTTAGATCTCCCTCAGTCTGGCCGGCTGCCTCTCCTGTATCTCCATCCCCTGCCAATCACTGGCAATCTTATCCTCCTGCTTCATTCTCGATTTGTGACTTTCCTCCGTGTTGGAGGTAGCTAGGTTTGGATTAGTGTAAGCCTAATTCAGAAATATACCAATCGACAGGCGCGTAAGTTGAGTTAATTCTATCGGAAGGACTAGTTAGTCTGCTGGGCTGCTACAAGGATGACTTTGGTTTCTCCATGGATCGAGAATAAACCTCTTAGGTAGTATATTCCCTATATTGACAAAGGACACGTTAGGCCATACTATCTTATCTCTAAGTAGTGATTAGGTGTTCATACTTAGTCGTAGAGAGAGGCTACTAGCGATTAGAGAGAATCTCCTAAATATTCTTAGTATAAATTACTCTTTATAGAGCGAAGTAGAAAGTATATAGGGAAGGGTAGATAGTAATTTAAGCTAAAATAGATTAGTTTTAAGTAATAGAGATAGAGATATATATTACTATATATCTAGTCTATAGATAACCCTGGATAGCGACCCGCTAGCGGGGACTAAACTACCTAAGATATATAATTTATAGATTAAGTCTAGAGGATATAAAATAGCTAGTCTAACTATACTAGACCTCGCCAAAGACCGCTTGGGACCGGACCAGACCGGGGACCGGACCGCACCATGCAGGGCTTGGTCCTTACTTTTAGGACCGGACCCGGTCTTTGGCGAGATCTAAACTATACCTTTAAGATAATTAGGGGAGCAATCATAATCGATAATATAGCTACTATACCTAGCCTCCCTCGCCGACGGGGGCGATCCTAATAAGTACTATAGGGTTCCTATATACTATAGCGGGGCTAGCGCCATAGACGATAGAATATTCGATAGTTAGAGCGCGACAAGTATAATAAGCGTAGTCCGGTAGCGGATGGAGGCGTAGTGGTCGTGGGAGATTAAAGGGCGGTCGCCAGCGTAGGGGGTAGCGGGGTCGTATAATAGCGGGTACGGTAGGGGCGGGGTCACCATATAGATAGGCAATCTTTAGTGAATTTTCACTATATCCAGTGGAAGAAACCATATAAAAAGCACTTATACTAAATAGATCTAAGAGAGTTATAATTTATCTCATTTAATATGGTGTTTTGCGGTGGCTCACTCGGTGGTATGGCTTGCTCGGTAGTGAATTACATTATTCATCATCCCCATATGCCTGATTTCAACCATGTTCGCAAGGCTCTCAACGACCTTACTAAGCCCCAAACGCCTTTTTATTCTGCACCTTCATATAGTATATAGAATAAACACTCTCAAGTACCCAATTAGCTATGCCCGTACTAGTCCGTACTGCAACGACCACGTTTCGATAGGAGCTACTGCGTCCCGCCTGTCAGGATTGTGCTATGCCGGGTCACCCAACGAGATACCGCCACCTTTTTATTTATTATTATTATTATTCTTTTTATACCTGTTATTCCTGTTCCTCTGCTGTTTATTTTATCTGCTTTGGATGGTTGACTAGAAACTTGGGGCATACCTATACTAAATCTGTGGAATTCACTGTTCAAAGAATTCATAATTGTCCTATGGATTGAAGAGAAACAGACTTATCATTCAAGTGAACAAACGCGTAGATAATGCTAAGTCTAATGTAGTTAGCTAAAATACAGTCACGAGCACTATAAGAAGGGATTCCATCCCCTCTAGAAACCGCTGCATACAAAAACCGTGACATTTTCCTGGAATATTTCCTGATAAACAAATACCTTGGGATTTTTCGTCGCTTGCACTGAGGACAATAAAAGATTCACCTCAATGAAAAAATACACCTTGGCCAACACAACCGACGATTCGTTTGACGCTGACATTGCGGACTCGATGAAAACCTACCCTCGTCTTCCAGCGCACGGCGTTCGATGTGGTCTTTCCTCCTTGGCTATGCATGGAAAACGGCCCTCCTAGCCATGGCTCTTGTCGGGTGCATCGACACACTCCGCCTGGTATGGCCCCGGATCAACCACAACTCTCCCGGCACATCCTGCTGGTGCGGGGCATCCTTGGAGGAGGCCATATCCCTCAACTGCAAATTCGATAGTATTTCGGCATCCTGGCTCCCAGCACACTGTCGAGACGATGAACTGGCCGAGCAGTTCGACCATGCTGGCCCGGGGCCCGACGGCTTCTGAACCTTCTATACAGATGAAAACAAGACACAGACACTGGATCAGAGCCAGATTGCCGCTTTGGGTGGCTCGACGGCCCATTTCTACGCGACACACGAGTGGAATGTCTCACACTGTGCGTGGTTCTGGCGGAAACAGGTGCGGGCGGCGCAGACTGAGGTCACGATCGAAGAGAGATTCAGGGGCGTGTGGCACGTGGAGCACTGTGAGATGATGTTCAAGAGGAGAGGCAGTTTGGATGATATTATTGCCCATACACCGTTTGTATCTATGACTGGTAGTATTGTGAAAACGAGGAGAAGTGACCACATTGGTTATGTGTTTTCGATTGCCGTACGCATTCTCTGATACTGCTCTCGGCCACCGAGACTGGCGGGAATCTACAGTCTCGCATTCGGAATTGTCCTGTTTAATTTCGCGTATCTCTCTTGGGGTCTGCGACTCAAACAGAACCCTGTGATAACAATATTTACATCTCGATCCAGCCCGTCTGAGATTGTCAAGTCTCCTCCCAACTGGAAGATCTCAACTCTGAGACTGTAAATACTTCCTTCTAGGTAACATTCTAACAGTGCTTTGCCAGCCATTCAAATCACTCATCTAGCTCTATGGATGTATTCAAGCCCCTGGTCTCCTCCATGTCCACAGGGCGGAACTTCAATTTTCGATATGCGTTCCACATACGGTATTCCCAGAACCACACGGTGAAAAGTGGAATGCAGCTAAGAATCGCTAGCAAAAGTTTGACCAAGTCAAATCCAGCATAAACCAAGTAAAGGCCTCTGCATATTAAGTAAGAGGGCAATACAGCACAAAGTGGGGGGACTTGCGTACAGGAATGCGTTTATGGTCATGAAGGCCCATATGTAATGGCCCAGGATGACATGAGCAATGGATGCCTGGCTCTTTTCCCTTCTGCGCATGTAGTTAATGTGATGCCTATAACCCAGGGCGATTTGGCCCGGAATCAAGCCACCGAGTAGTAGTCCCAGCCATTGATGTGATGTATGGAAATTATGGTACTGCAGTTCGCGTTTAGTGTGAGATTATCGCATCACATAGATCTGGGACAGAACTTAGCCTTACGGTATTGGAGTTTATGGAGAGGAGCAACCCAAGCACTATAGCCAGGATGCAGGAGGCTGCCATTCCAAATTGAATTGCTCGATGCTGGCTGAATGCTGACGGTGATGAACTGCGGATCCGGAATATGCTAATAGGCAATATCGCCACCGCACAGAGCCCCAGCAAGCCGAAGCCGTGGAGAACTCGTACAGCGGATTTATGAGAGCTGATCCATGACTCAGCGTCAGAATTATAAATTCCACTGTTTACCCTAGTCTTTTCGACTTGTGGCAACAAGGGACCCTTATTTGTCTGACTACTTGTCATATCTGCGAAAAAAAGACCTAGGGATTATGAGCGGGACTTGCTAGACAAAGAATGCCCCACCCACAGCTACGGCCGAGCAGAGAGACATATTGTACGTACCATAATCTATGTGCCGGAAGATCGGGAAGTTCGGGTCATCCGACCTTGCATTTTGACCGACAGCCCAGATCCACGGCTGTCTCTATGAATCGACATAGATGGCAGCTCACGTCCACGTATTGCAGGCAAAGCATACTAGAAACACGTTGTACAGCCCATTCGCGTCAACCATGGAGTTCAGCACTTGCACATCAGGGGCATCCTTTACCATAATAGGGGGATTATGACCACTATCCTGTGTTAGCATTGGATAGTGGTTTGCTTTGTGGAGGAAGTGAAATTGACCTAGTACTTCGCACACTCAAAATAGCATCTGTTTTCAAAATGAACGCTATTAGCAACCATGAGCAATAATCGCGACGATTTCCATTACCCTTACTAACCTGTCCCTGATTCGCTCGGATACATTATAAACATTAGAGCCTCATCCATGAGCCTACCAGGTGTAACGGCAGACCACCCTTTTCCGGACGGGAACGAAGAGGAAATGTGCATGTAAACATCGTAATCTGCGGTCGATGAGTTGAAATAGGACGCCACTGCAAGGCAGAGATCTGCCTAACGGTTATGATCCGGTGTGTAAAATTGAAGCCCAAGGGCGAAGGATGCATACGGTATGAGAATCAGCAAAAATAGACGGTTGAAGTGAAGCTGTTTCATTGTGGATGAATCTGATCTTCTATTAGCTTTCTTTCCCGTTTCAAGGAGTAAAAAGGTGGTTTGTGGTGGGTAAAGAAGTCAAGCATACCCCTAAGAAGTACTGATATTCAGTTCATCGCATTATATTTTATCGTGGGTTCTTGGACGGACAAATGGATAGGGTAGAATTGGCATCATTTGTGCTAGGACTGATCGAGAATTACCTCCGTTATTTACGTGTGGAAAATTACTCGGGCAACTTTGTAAAAAGAAAAAGCACTCGTAGGCGGCTAAACGACCCACTAGAAGGACTAGTAAAATAGGCTACTAGAAAGGAGAAAATGATAGTGCAAGCTTCATAGAGGGATATGGCCATACCCCTCATAGACTGGAGGATGACGTGTACAACCTTGAGGCTAAACGGGTTAAGGACGAGGCTTGCACGGACCAGCCGCTGTACAAAATTCAAACCGTGCAGTCAACACGGAAAGAATACGGCCGAAATAATCAAGGAATGGGCAATGCTCCTCCCTCGGATGCATAGCAATTGATTCCGTACCCTAGTTTCCGATAGCCCCATCGGAGTACCGACGGGTTACGAGTTCTAATCTTTTTTGGCCCCATCGGAGTGCCAACGGGCTACGAGTTCTACATTTCTACAATACAGCGTAGGCTAGTAGCTAGCTACTATAGGAATACCGGTCATAATCAGCAGAGGGACACAGAGAGTTACTCCCTAGAAGGTTGCTCCCGTGCCGGGGCCCCCATAGAAACGGGAAGTGGAGATGAGTACTCCACTACGGAATTGCACTTTTCCGGACACTTCCGAGATCTCTTGGATCCCCTATTGTTGGTCCTCTTCGAGAAACAGAGAAAAAAAGAAGTAGAAAAAGAGAAAGAGAGCCATTCCCCTCATAGGAAAGCTATTCTCAGCCATACTTAAATTACAAAGGGTGGGCAGCAACTTTATTGGCTCACGCGCTCTCTGCCTCCCCCATAGTTTGTTACTATATGTACCTACTCTTCTGCGTCACCCACCACTCATAACACACACCACAACCTTCACCAAGCCTATCCATTCCCAAAATGGCAACCGAAAATAAACAAACTTATTATCTTTATTCATATTTCCGATCGACATGCACGAATCGTGTTGTGATTGCCATGCATCTTAAGGGTATTCCTGTTGAGCATACCTACATTGATCTCGGCAAAGCTGAACACGAAAGCCCTGAATTCCAGGCGCTGAATCCAAGCAAATCCGTGCCAATCCTCGTCATTAAGGATGGCTATGGGAACAAGACTGTTCTCACCCAATCAATCGCTATTCTGGAGTATTTGGAAGAAAGCCTGCCCACTCTGACACCACTACTACCTCAAAGTGGTGATCTTGTGCAGCGTGCCCGGGTCCGAGAGATGGTGAACGTGATCACCAATGATATTCAACCAATTACCAATGGGCGGGTCGCCAAACGAGTCCGCGCCATTCGAGGTGAGGCCAAGGACCAGATCAGTTTTGTAACGGACGTTTTTCTCGCTGGCCTGACAGCGTATGAAAAACTGCTGGTCAAATATGGAGGGAAATTCTCGGTGGGGGACGCAGTTACCATGGCCGACGTGTGTTTTGCACCAGCGGTGGAGATGGCGCTTGCTTATGGAACCAATCTGGATGGGCTACCCCACATCATGGGATTATTTAAGCGACTCTGGGAATTGCCGGCATTTCAAAAGGGGCATTGGAAGAGGCAAGGGGATACGCCCGAGACCATGAGAGACTCCTAGGAGCAAGAGTATAGGCTGTTATACTGTAGCCCACAATGCCATACCAGTATCACTATTACGACATCTATCATGATACTACACAGACCCCCTGTACTATCAGACCTGTACCACCGGACCTCATGTATAGGTGCACATGATCTTCTTTCGTATCACCTCGCACAGCCCCTATATAGGCCCCCTGATTCCTCCTACGAGGGATCAGCGATTAGACTGAATACCATCCCCACACTGACAGTGTGTATCAGGCAACTGACTCGTATTCCACAGTGTCATACGGGCTCTTTGGAGGGAGTCCTGACAATCACTCCCGTGACGGGTGTTTTCATTTCATTGTCCAGACTCTAGCTATCTGAGATGAAAGCCTTTAGAAAGGAGATACATATAGCCCATAAATTGGATGCGACAGCTGGCCCGTAATGTTAGCTTCATGAGCTAGGGCCCATTTTTTGATCTTGTCAAAGTTCCGACATTGATAAGTCGTTGTAAAGTCCGGGTAAGGTGACGGGTAGTCCGGGTGCCATCCGTAGGTGATAAGGCCAACATCCGAATGGTACTGTAAAGCCAGCCTCACTGCGTTGATGCAGTGATCTGCCAAGTTTTCACGTAAGCTATTGTACGGATTTCTCTTCCACTCCTTGGGGCCGTTCTGACGACCTCAACCACCCCCTAGGGAAACGCAGGAAAGAATATTAGCCACTTACCAATATGGGTCACAAGAATATCATGATCGTCGTTGATGACAGTATATGTTTCTCGGTATATGACCTTCGGAAATAGTCCTACAGGCAGACAATTCATGTTCTAATTAAAATCACTCTTACCTGGCATAGCCAGGGTGCCGAAAAGGGTCATCTCTTATAAGATAATGGAGTTGGTGGAAGACGCCGATTGAGGTATGATAGCCTAAGCCATCTGCTCTTATCAATAATATCTTTCCGATATTTTGTAATTCCGCTTCTGATGTAGTATACAAACCCACTGGGGGTGCGTCATCATTAACCTCAAGTCAAATATAACATGATAGAAAGGATTTCACCTACGGTGCGTGATATCTCTCTATGTATTGTCCAATTCTGGTCTTCTCGGCCTAGTATAGGGACTGTCCTTGTTGAACTCGTTGGACTAGGTTTCTATGCGGTATTCTACTATATCATTGAGTGGGGCTAATACTAGAAATTAGTTGAACTATTTGAGAAGCTTTTATAGATCTTGTAATATTAATAGACTATTAGGCTTATAACTATTATAGTAAGCTAATACTATATAGCGTAGTATATAATATAGATAAATAAGATCAAGCGGAACTAATTTAGATAATAAGATTAAATAATGAAGAAGGAAAATAGGGGGGAGCGCTATTGAAAGCACCCCTCAAGATACGTGTCTATATCTTAAATACTTAGCTATTATAAAGCCTAAGTTACTAACCAATCCCTAATTATATACAAACTACTAAACGACTATAGGCCCATAGGCAACCAATCAGTTGCTAGTAGTAAGTTATCCCTTTATGTTCTAATAGATATTAATGTGAACTCGACGCGAAGCTATATATTTGCGCTTATCACGATCAAAAAGATAAGGATAAGCAACAAAACCAAAGTGATTTGGTCCTCTTATGTGGTATATTCCCATTATATGATAAAATTAAGGACACATTAGACCACACCATCTCATCTCTGAACAGAGATCAGGTATTCAACGTTAATTACATGCCAATGTCATCTTAATTATTGCAATTTACATACCCCTCACCACTCAAAGCATTCTTGTCTTTTCCTTCTATTACCGCGTGCGTTGTTCCGGTCTGCAGAAGTTACACCCCTTCTTCCTGTGCTCAATGCTCCAACCACCTCAGGCAAGAACATTTGGGTGTGCGATTAAATGCCGCAGACTGCGGTTAATATCCACGTTGTGAACAGACATATACTTTTTTGAATAGATAGCAATGGTAGAAGGTCTCGGATACGTATGCCCTATCCGCAATTCTTTTTTCCGGACCAGCTCAAGCCATATAAGCTGTGCAATTCCAGTCGGTATAGATCATTTGCTATGGAATACGAGCAAGGTACTGAATTCACTTAAGCGTATTTACTCTGGCAAATTGGTAGGCTTCGATCCAATGTCGCGTGTCGAAGACAGGTACATTGGATAGGACAGCATGACGTCGGGAAAGATCACCACATAACTCGGAAGGCGCGCTGTATAGTGTAGGTATGGGTGTAGATGCCAACGCTAACTGCAGATTTTCCAACAACTGCTCTAAAGTCGGAGCAATCACTTACAATGCAAGCCGTAGGTCATATGGCAGTAGCTGAGAACGCCTCATTTGTGCCGCTTAAGAAGTGGCTGGAAACATGCAAAGATATATTCGCACAGGTCGGTGATACGCAAATTTGGTCTCGTATAGAGAGAAAGGCCAAAATGTCTCCACTATTCTCTGATGGATTCTCTTAACAAGTGTGAACTGGTGGTACTTTCCGCATATTATGGATTGTCGACCGATGCCGTTGAAAGCTGGTCTTGGTTATAGTGCAGATTGGGATCATAGAATGTTGAGAAATCATGTTCAATACCCCGAAAGGTGTAGAGTATAGAAAGGAGTAAGAAGCCAATGGTGCGAGCTCCATAGAGAATCTCGCGGGCTTATTTAGTTGTCTATGTCGTCATCAACTTTCTACATATGTTTGTCGTGTACCTTGACAGGGTTTCTGAAGGACAGACACTATAACCAGGCTGGACAACCCCATCAAGGACAGAAACAGTTAACTGTCAGTTAAAGTAAGAGGCTCTAGTAGACTTGGCTCCGTAATTTATCAAGTGTAGATGGCATTTGAGTATTTAGGTCTCTGGACTTAACACGTAATTCTCTTGAATGAGGCTTTGAGGAGCTTTACGCATAGCACACCGATTGATTGTTTCGTATATGAATTTGAGAAGAGCGATAGCTTTTTGCATGCACAGCAAGCAAGAGGAGTTGAAAGGAACTGTTTGGATTGAGCTATCAAGAAATCTCTGGTTATATGGTGGGAGGTGTGTGTGAGAGAGAGGTCACGGTATCTTCCATCAGTATTCTTCTCTACTCTGTTTTGGGTACGTTCTCGACAGAATGGTTTAGGTTATCGATGGTCAGCTTATTTCGAAGTGATATAAGCTCTGGCAAGTATATCTCGATTAGTGTTTATGCGCACCCCTGCTGCTCAAATTTGTTTTCTCATCTCTAGCTCTCCCTCCAGGTATAATCGCGTTGTCTGTCTCCTGCAAAGTCTATTTTTCTCTTGAATAACAAAAGCATTCAAGCTTTATTCAAGATGTCATCATTATCTTCAACGTATTGTGCGGACTTTCAAGTAGTCAGGGATGAGAGTATCAGAGACCAGCCATAGCGGGCCTAGCTGCCTAGCCTGGTTCGATGGTATTCTTCAATACCACGCCTCTGGACAAATAGTCAACAATCGCTGATGTGGGAAGTGCCTGCCGTGGACTTTGATAGCAGACTGCAAATCAGAGCCCTACCTAAAAGTTCTCGACCTACTTCACCTCCAATGACGTCAATGACCCCAGCGATGAAGAGATGTAACCTTCCACTCTAGGCTATTTGAGCAACAAAGTTGACTCTGCGGAGCCCTCGACCATTAATTGAAAAGGGCATGAACTCAAATCCTTCAACAGGGAGTGACAAAGCTGAAGCCAAATCTTAAAAGACCTAGGTCCCAAGGTTGAAGAGTGCTGTAGCTACGTGTTTGGACTCCTGCCTTTTTAGGTAAAGACGATCGATCCGCCAAGAAGGGGCTGTCCACCACGTGGTGATTCCTTCGCCACTCACGGCTTCTGGCAAAACGATCGGCAAGGGCAGGTCTAACTCATGCAAAAATTAGGCAGCTTTCCAATGTATAACAGGGTCTAGGATAATTTCACGCGAATTCTTGGTACCCTTATTCTATCGCCTATTGTCAACGGTGCTCGTTACCGTTTGCCGGAGCAAAGGAGGAGATAAGCCAGAGTCAATTGCATAGGGAAAGTGGAGAAGGAAGGTGATACCCGAGGCCCATAGAAGTGTACCTAGCAAGGAAGTGTGTTCGAAATTGCACCTATAATTAACTTTCGGCGAACAGGCTCGCTGCGATTTGTGTGATCGTAGTCCGTTCCTGTGTCTGTGCGGCGCAATACATTGGCCCAGACACTTTTAACTTGTATTCTGCGAATTGGCCTCTCATACAAGCTTTTGCGATGGAGTGAGATCTGGCCTGGTGGTCCGAACGATGGATCGAGATTGGCTTTCGGCCAGGAAAAGATTTAATAGTCCGAGCGTGTCGACTTGCCGTCGCCATTCCCTCACATGGGGTGCCCCTGACGTTGACTTGGTCGGAGGAAGTGGTGGCAGCGAATTGATGAGTGGGATTGAATATTCTTTGGGAATCCTACGTTCGACAGCGACTCTTTTGTGTTCTTAGGCTTCAACAGTTTGACTCTGTTGAACCTCACATATCGTCAATACTGTAGCCCACTATACGAATGGCATAATGGATTTGACCTCGTAATCATACAATCCGGCTACGGAGGGACGACAACAATCGTCGCAAAAACCAAGCTCCCGTTTCTAGTATCCACGCCCGAAGCCGAGATGCCGCCGGCAAGCTTGACAATTGCAGCCCCCTCAAAATTCTGGTCCGGAAGCCTGAAAGGCTAATGTCAATAATGGTAATACTCAAGGGTCTGGCCACGAGGGGCAAAACGGAAGATCGCATTCGGGAGTACATTCCGTAGCTACCAGCGCACGTACGACCCGCACGGCCCTGCATAGTGTGTGGGCCGGGAACCACGAATCGAGCCACACCAGCTAGCTGACTAGTCCTGCTCGGTACTCCGTAGTCCGATCAGGGGTGGGTGAAATGTGGAAAGTTTGTGTTCGCATGAGGTACTGAGGCACGCGCGCGCTGCACAAGCATAGAAATTGATTAATCTATCCGGAGAAGCGTGCTATTGTGAACAGTAGCATCGTGAGTGACATATGAACGAGCCAAGCTTTTTTGCTTCTGCCCTTGGTCGATCTCCATGGCAATCAATCTCTTTGTTGATCTCCTGGTGCTGTTGATCAAATGGAGAAGTGGGTAGTCAAACCATATTACGGAGTACGGTGTACTCCATACTGCTTTGAGGGGCGGCTTGGCAACCTGCCCAGCGACATCGGATGAGGCGGCGATCGTTTTATCCGGAGGCACAAAATCCAGGTACATGTTTAGCCTCAGGGTCCTCCCCGGGCAGATCCATGAATCGCACTCTTCTGGGTCAATTTGGAGACCATTTTTGGACTATGAGACTTTTTTTGGAGGCACCTTTTGCTCAACGGAGCGCTGGAGACGCTGTGGGTCACCGAAACTCAGTTAAAACTCTGTCGGATGTAAGCGGATACTATGGCTGGTCAAGAGCTTTGGCCCGGTTTCTGAAAGTTTTGGGTTTTGGGTTGAAAGTGAAACCATTCTTTTTCCAGCAGGACGTTGCATCCTTCGGTCTCACTATCACCTAGAAGGAAATACGTGCGGTTGCCGACGCCTTCTTCGCCGCGCTGACGTGGATCAAAGCCGGCGGTTGCGGAACTTCGGTTCCAATGACTTTCGGAAATTGATAATTGTGAGAATCCAGACCGCTTATCGTCCTTGCTCTCTCCGCAAATCAATCCCGCTGGGCAACTTCCGGGAGCAGTGGACGCGGCCCTAAGCGCACCCGGAAAATCCATCCCACAGCTTGTACCATGGAAATGGTGATGAAAACAAGTACGGAGTAGTCGGCTTCCATGGATGTCAGAATGTTGATAGCCGGTGTGAGCCAAAGTTTGCGCGCGGTGCCTGGACGGATGGATTAGTAAGCTAAGGAGCCCGCTCTCGTCTGGCTGTGGCAGGCTGGACGTGCCATTGGGCCCAAGGGGACCAATTCGGAGTGAACTAGTTGACACGCTGGGTTTTTGAGGCGCTTCGACAGGATCTGGGGATCTCCTCTTTGAGGGGACTTATTGGACGAGGCATGGGGATATTGCGGCTTTCGGTTAGGACCTGCAGGAACTTCTCCGGGATACGCCATGAACCGGGCTCAAATTACAATCGATCTTGTGTGGAATGTTCTACTCCATCTCCATTATTGGTGCCCGGCCTTGGTTGGCTCAATCAGTCCAAGTCCGGGATCTGAAGTTTGAGATTGTGCCTCGGAAAACAGCGAGATCCAGCACGCTGGGCTGTTTGTTACCCAGTAAACTGGGTTTCGGGGATAGAAATCCGGAAAGACGGGAAATAGCAACGAAAAGGCAGGGTGTCGGAGGCGACCATGGCCTCAGCCTTCTCGTCTCGACAAATGAGCGACCGGTGACCCCCTGAAGGCGATAAGATCAGCGGTTGTTGATGCAAGAAGGCGGGAGATCGGCGGGGCAGGTGGGTATGGATCTAACTGTCTGCGGCATAGATTGACTCCACCGACCAGACCGAGTGTTCCGTGGGACTGCGATTCCTCGATGGGTTGCGCAGATTGGAGAGATCGAGAGTGAGCAGTGCGATAGGAGGCCAATGATACATGTTCTATGTTGGAATCTATACAACTATGTACTGTACACCGTACCGCACGGTCTCCGGCAAAAACCACCATTTCACTCCCCGTTCCCCCTTCGCTCATCCGAGAATTAGCGGTCCCAATCCAAAAAAAAGGGCAGGTCTAGAAGTGAATATGTACAGGATAAGAAATGCAGCATAGAGGGGGGGGGGGGGGAAGAAAGATGTAATACTGTAAGGGCTGAGGTATGGGTATCAGGCCCACCAGGACTCCGTAGCTTCGTAACATGGTTCACAAAATTTTGGATCGGCGCCAATAGCAGGAGGGGCCGCGGTTAGACATCCTCATGCTCGCCAGTGACCCGGGCGGTATGCGATGCGCTAGACTGATAGTCGGGCGGCCGCGAGTCATGCTGCACAGTGACGGTGATGTCCTGCCGGATCCGCAGGGCTCGAGCGGATCCATCGTCGCTACTCATATCCCGTTCCTCACTTGCGCCGAGGCTGACGTCGGAAACCGCGGTGTCCCCCTTCTGCAGGGTATCTCGCTGGATGTCGTTCATGCTGAAGTCGCCCGAGCGCAGTTGACTGTGCGGTCCGTAAGGTCGAGAGTCGTAGGGTCGGGAGTTCTTGCTGGTCCAGGGTGCGGACTTGTAGCGGTCGGTGCCTCGTTTAGATCCCCCAGTCCAGCTCTTAAGAGCGGGGAAGACATCGCGGAGCAGAGACCAGATGAGCGGCAGGTTGGTGACCAGGATGGCAACAGTAACTTCCCGGAAATACCAGTTCATGTAGACGTAGGAAATAAGCGAGGGAACAAGGCAGTACACCTTGTTGAGAACAGCCGCCACGATGACGAAGATACCCATGCCAAAGAGGAGAAGCAGGATCAGCTTCTGCTTTGGAGGAACGCGGACCTGCACCAGCATCGGAATGGCGACAACCAGCATGAACACATCAGCGGAGATGGAGAGACATCCTTGGACGATTTCGTACTGCTGGTAGGACGAACATTGATCTGATGTACGAGTTAGTTGGTGGGTTCGAGGTCGAAGACTCTCTTTCTTTCTTACAGTTCGGCGTGGGCACGGCCCAGTAGTTAGAGAGGGGGCGACAGATGAGGAAAAGCGACAGCTCGGTAGCGACAAATCCGAGCGCAACGTAGATAGCGATATAGTTGATCCATTTTCGTTGGCGCAGGCCCTCTCTGAGGAGCAAGTTAGCAAAACAAGCGCCGTGAGGCGGAACGAACGTTCACATACGTGATACGGCAATAAATCACCAGCATGCACGCCTTCAAACTCCAGATAGCCAAGACGAAGGCATGTTCAGAGACAAACACCCATTTACTGCCCCGCTCGCGCTCGGCAATAATTGCGGGTGTTAAATGCTTCTCATCTTCTTCCGTCATCAAATTTGATCCTCCACCCGTTGCTACTTGGTTAAGCGCGACACATAGGATCGTATACCAGACGACGGCGAAGACCATCAGGTAGTCATCGACTTGGAGATTGCGAACACCGAGACGTCGAACACGGGCAACACTATCAAGCGCATTCAGTCAGTGTTAAGAGCCAATGCGAGGTATGGCAATCAGGTCCAACTCACAATCGGAGGACAGCGCCGAAGACGCCGACGCCATAGAGGGCCCAGGTCTCGCGCTCAAAGCGGCGACCAAAGTCACCTCCCAGGCCAGACATAGTGTCAGGATGGAGCCTGTATCGAGACGGGAGGATATTAGGACAAGTGGTCGAGCGGAGCAGAGGTGGTCAGGAAAGGCGAACAACCCACATATTATAAGATTACCCGGGGAGAAAGGCCAATATCTATAGAGTTCCGGATAACGTACGCATCTGCCGGGACGATCACGTCGCCAGGGTGGGTGAGCGGAGAGTTCACCGGGTTAGTGTGATAGGTACTTTTAGAGCTAGAGCGAGAGATACATGGGCAATGGCAACGGACGACGAGGCCTGCAAGAAAAAGGCTTATCATAGGCGGGCAACATTTCTTCCGGCGACAGCGGTCGACCAACCATCGTGCTCGGTGGGGAATTCAATCGAAAGTGGAAATGTTTCCATGGCTTCCGTGGGGTGCCTTACCATGGAATCGCAAGACTTGGAAGCTGGACCTGGTTGCCTCCCACGTTCGGATATATGATTTGTACCTGACAGTCTCCCTCCAATCCCATTGCTGCTCCGGGAATTGGCCCATAGACCTTCCATTTCGGGGCGGTCCTCCTTGATTTCGGCTTGGCCTGCGCGGTAGGTTTAGGTTCAGAAGTACTCCGTACTCCATGTTTGATTCCATTGCGTGTATCTGCCAGCCACCTGGCCCAAGTGTTTGAGAAAGAGAGTTCACCGGATGGACTTGGCGAGAAACATCTGTTCTCGAATCCACCGATCTCAGAGGCGATAGTAATTTTCCTGACACAGGAGTGGTGCTAACAAGCAGTTACTATGGAGGCTACTCGGGTAGGTCAGCCAACAGCTGAGCCCGCAGGCCTTCGGGTGACTGGGGACCCAAAGAGCCTTCCTAAGCGAGCTAGGTAGCTATCGAGAGGTCGTTATACGGAATACTCCGTTCAATCTGGTTTCATTGCGGAGGCGAGGGCCCACCTACGATTAGCGAATTGATGGATTGGAAAGCAGGCGCGGGAAAGGCGTTCACGGCCATTGTCCGTATACTTTGCTCCAAGCGGGCCTCCTGCCTGGAAACGCGGGCACCAACCAGTCTAATAGACTTTGCCACTAACCTCAAGACGGAGGGGAAGTGGGCCTATTGGAGCAAATGAATGGCACTGACCGGGCACTCTCAGCGACGCCCTTGCAGGTTTGAGGGATTTTGCCGGTGGAGCACGGGGATCATTACTCCATACGGGGGTCCCGTAGTTGTTCTATGGGTTGTGGATCGTGCTCCCACACGCTACCTCAGGGTGGCAACCAACTCATTTGCCAAAGGCCAAGGCAAATCGTTCATTCTAAAGAGGGGGGGGAGGGGGGTGGACTCCGTACAAGTAATTTATATAGATTGAAATCATAGGTACCGATCGGATCCGCAGGATTTAAACTGTAGATTCCTTCTTCATGACCAGGCCGCTATCGGCCTCGGGCGGGTGCAACGCTAGTCTCCTAGCGAATCATAGCCCAATTATAGAGAGAAAATTTGTTAGTTGCATTTTATTCACAGCCCCCAAAGTAACCTGAATCATACCAATGGTCCTGGCAATGTATCTACTAAAGTGCATTGGCCGATGCCCCGGCTCGGAGGCTTGTCCAGATGCGGACGCACACGCCACACTGATTTCACAGATCGGAGGCTAGATCTGTATCGCCATCCTTGCCCTGATCATAACTTGATCATCTCCGACTGTCCAGCCTTGTGAAGTGGGTGTCCCACTCTGACCTGCGGCACAGTTGCACGCACACAGAACACATCGACTTTTTCGGGGGATGTGCTCTCGGCGACGTAGATCGTGGGCCAGAACCAAAATGGAGTGTCTCGTGGTCAGATGACTGGAGTCAGTTATATCCAAAGGAAGTTCGGCGCGGGCGAACTGACTTCTTAGAATGTTCTTTCCAGTATGTGCTTAGGACCGAGTCTCGTGGCAATGTACGGAGTAGCATTCCGGAAGGTTCTGCGAGAAGTACTCCGTACTGTAAAATCTACTCCGTACAGTACTATGAGAACCTCATCAGTCCAGATTGCTATGGATCTTTTTTTTTAGAAACTAAAATTCAAAATATCCTACACAGAAGAGCCACAACCGTTAGAAGTCGACTGATTCCCGATAAGCGTTGCATCTGGTCAATAAGCTATGAAACAATAGCCTGACCGAAGACTTTCTTGAGTGGTGCCTCGACGCGCAGGCTGTCTCACCCTGCAAATAATAGTGTACTTGGTACCCCTGAATTTGAAATTCTCGAAGCTTGGGACAACTTCGGGGCGCCACTTTCGGGTGGTACCATGTGGGAAGGGAAGCCAGTCTTCTTTCGCAGAAGGTCGCTAGAAAGAAGGGAGGGGGGGGAAGATACGTCACGAACTGGTGGTGGTTAGGGTTTAGACATCTCGTAGGGCTACCTATGCACCACATACTCTATCGGGCATTTCGAACAGAACAACAGAAATGCAAAGGTCAAGATCCCCTACCGCGTCCCCACGGATGGCCGGATCATGCCATGGGGACCACCTACCCCGTAGATTTCGAGGATAGACACCAGATTGATCAGTGATGAGCCGTACACTGCGACTGCAGGGCCCCCACCTTGCCAAGAACGACAGCACCAAATGACCCGCGCTATGGAAAATTCTTTCTGCTGAAGCTCCCCTTCTAGGTAAAGCGCAAATGCGCGATGCTCCGCGTCCAGGTTGACTTTCCGTTGAAGTTTGGTCGGCTCGCCTCTGCAGGGGCCCAATTGCGGCGCATAGCCGGGCTGTATCGCCCCACATCCGCGCAAGTGGCCACTTCGACGGGCCTTGCTGGAGCTCTGATTGGGTGTAGGTTGGGGCCATCGTCAATTAGAGTGGCCAGACGGGTGGAGTGGGGGACACAGAATACATGGTCGGCCGAGCTGATCAAGCCGACATGATGGTTCGCTCTTGCGTATGAGCACTCGCACCGGCGACTCGGAGGGCCCGCGATGTGTTCTCCGAGCATTAGATAGGACTCCACCGGCACAGGACAATACTCAATCATATAGCCCTGGCCTTGCTCCTTTTCTGTTTTCGAACACTTCGGTCCCTCCATCCCTTTCCAACGTCAGGGAGAGTGTGCCTGCGTGCAATCCCCCTTCACTCCTCCAGCCTCTCGACCGAGCAGAGATCGGATCTCTTGCCTACCTCGGTCCCTAGGTCCATCCCGACCTCCCTTAATTCGGGATATACATACACGTCGTGGGTCGTCAATTCTCCCTTGGGGATTCGCCAATCACTATGTCGACCGAGTATGACGAGAAGACCAAGGCCACTGAGTCGGCCTTGCCCGCGGAGGATCACCAGGGCGAGTTGATCAACGCGTCGGGCCATGTCCAGGAACTCGAGCGCAACTTCTCGCTTCTCAGCATTTGCGCGGTGGCTGTGACGACCGGAAACACCTGGATCGCCCAGGGTGGTAGTGTCGTGACGGCATTGAACAACGGTGGTCTCGCCGGTACGCTCTATGAATTGTACGGACCACCTCACCCCTCGCCACCTTGTATTGGAGTATTCAGGCTAATCTCTCCGGTTCCAGCATCGCCGTGTCCATCTGTTACTGGCTAGTTGCTGCCTCGATCGCCGAGCTGGCATCGGGTATGCCCTCTGCCAGTGGTGTCTATCACTGGGCTTCGGTTACTGCTGGCAAGTATGGTCGCGCCTGCGGCTTTCTTCGCCGGCTGGTGGAACTGCCTGGCCTGGATTCTCGGCGCGGCCTCCATGTCCCTGATCATGGCCCAGCAGACCGTGTCCATGTACGCATTGATGCATCCCGGTTTCGTTCCGGAAACCTGGCACGTCTTCGTCAGCATGCTTATCTCCACTTGGGTTTGCTGCGCCATCGTGCTGTTCATGAACCGCTTCCTGCCTTTCATCGGAAATATCGGCATGTTCTTCATCCTGTCTGGTGTCTTCATCACCATCATTGTCTGCGCGGTGATGCCCCATGTCAACGGTGTGGGATATGCTTCCAACAAAGATATCTGGGGGTCCTGGAGCAACGGAACCGGCTACAAACAGCAGGGCTTCGTCTTTGTGATGGGCATGCTCAATGGTGCCTACAGTGTCGGCACCCCTGACTGCTCCTCCCACTTGGCAGAGGAGATCCCCAAGCCGAGCCGCAACATCCCGAAGGCTGTGCTTGCGCAGATGGCGGTCGGGTTCCTCACCGGTATTCTCTACATGATTGCGATCTTCTACTCCATCCAGGATATCGAAAAGGTGGTGTTTAGTACCTACAAGTTCCCACTGGCGGAGATCTACCACCAGGCGACCGGCTCCCGTGGGGGTGCTCTGGGCCTCCTGATCATTGCCTTCCTGCCCACGCTGGTCACCGCGGCTGGCTGCTACATCACCGCCGGTCGCACCCTGTGGACCATCTCTCGCGACCGTGCCACTCCGTTCCCCAATTGGCTCGGCCACATCAACACCACCTTCCACAACCCTTTCAACGCGACCCTAACCTGCGGTGGGGCCATTACCGTTCTGGCCTGTATCTACCTCGGATCATCCACCGCTTTCAATGCCTTCGTAGGCTGCTTCGTCCAGTTGTCCTCTCTTTCGTATTTCATGGCCATCTGCCCCCACATCCTGACCCGCCGCTCCTCGTTCGTTCCGGGCTTCTTCTTCATGAACAACAAGATCGGCTACGTCGTCAACTCCCTCTCTTGCGTCTACATCATCGCCTTCGTCATCATCTTCTGCTTCCCCTACGCCCTGCCTGCTGAGGCGGCCACAATGAACTACGCCAGTCTGATGACCGGTGGTCTGACCATCTTTGTCACGATCTGGTGGTTCATCCGCCAGGGTTCATACGAGGGTCCCAAACACATCCCTCTGACTGACAAGGCTCTTGCCGAGAACGTTCAGTAAACAAACTCATAATGTGATGGGAGTGAAGAAGATGGAGTGGCCTTTTCTGTTATGCGTATACCACTTTGGACTCATTATATATACCTTGCCCTCGCTGATGATATGCACGACTTATCGGATGCATTTCTTTCATGTGACCTTGAAGTGACATTCTCATTATGTACATCATCCTTAATCCTGCTGGGGTGTTTTGTCTTTTGTATATACCTACCCCTGGCATCCACAAATCAGTGGCATTTACTGTCCTGCATTACACTCCTTCCAACTTAGACTGCCGTGAATTTATTTCAACCTTCACTTCAAGGTCTAGAAACCAGTCCATGTATTTAGTTTGATCTCGCCGACTTGCCCGACCTTCCCCTAGTTGATCGGTTATTGGTCATGTGACCACGCGCTTCCCGCCTCGCGTCTTTCCGCGGGTCGCGATCTTCAGATCTCACAGTACAGGTCGCCATGGTTTTCAAACCCTTCAGGCCCCCTTTGATTGGGAAACCCCAAACTCTGGATGAGACGACCGATGCAAGTGGCCACCCTGCCAAGAAGCCACGTCTGGTGAAGGATGAGGCAACGCCCGAAGACCTGACGCGACCCGCGGCGACATTGGGAAGCCGAAAACCGCTACTGCAAGTCCGGAATGTTGGGAAGGAGTCTTTGGCGAAAGCAACATCTGGGTCTATATCCAAAGAAGATACAACCTTCGAGAGATTTTTCAACGTCCTCTGGTATGTTCATTCAGCGTCCTGCCTAGATCTCGTCGAGCAATGGACCGCCCATCTGACATGACAAATGCTTCTATCTTTAGGAGAAAGCCAACAGCGAAGAAGAATAAAACATGGGATGGCGATGGTATACTGGCAGCTCGCGGGGGCTTTGTTTACCTTCGTGATGTGGGGGGCAAGGACATGGGACGGGTGACATGCGAGTCGGAGCTTGAACCCGGGAAAATGCTCTATGTTGCTGGGAAAGAAGTCGAAATCGAGTCTGAGATACCCCGTTCAGAGTACCTTGCCGGGAAGCAATCCTCGAGCGACTCCAAACCAGTATCGACACCCCCACCACTGCCGAAGAAAGCCTCTTTGCCTGCTCTGAAAAGGAGCGAAAGTCGGAACGTGCCGTTACCCACAGGCCCGAGCTATACGAATTCTTTGAAGCGCAACTCATCCGCTTTGGACAATGGTGCCACCGCCAATTCATCAAAGGTTTTTGGCGCGTATAAGGCGCCCTTGCTCCAAAACACAGCCATTTCATCAAGCCCTGAGAAGATAGTTCCACGACATGATCCATATGCTAAGGGAGCGTTGGTTATGCCTCGACCGACTTCACTGCCCCAAGGGAAGCGAGTGGTCGATGTGGTCGTTGACCCATTGCTGACGAAGAATCTGCGCCCACATCAACGGGAGGGTGTGCAATTTCTTTACGAATGTGTTATGGGCATGCGCAATTTTAATGGCGAGGGAGCCATTTTGGCTGATGATATGGGGATGGGCAAAACATTGCAGACAATCACTCTGCTATGGACTTTGCTGAAGCAGAACCCTATTCACGGTGATCCTCCGGTGATCAAGAAGGCGCTCATTGTCTGCCCTGTGACACTGATTAATAACTGGCGAAAGGAATTCCGCAAGTGGTTGGGCAATGAACGGATTGGTGTTTTTGTCTTTGATGACAAGCGGAAACGCTTGACGGATTTCACCAAGGGCCGAGCTTACAGTATCATGATTGTTGGGTACGAGAAACTGAGGACTGTGCAAGAAGGTTTGGCGAAGGGTGCCGGTGTCGACATCATCATTGCGGACGAGGGCCACCGGCTGAAGACCCTACAGAATAAAAGTGGCCTCGCAATTCATTCGCTTAACGCTGCAAAGAGAGTTATCCTCTCTGGCACACCCATCCAAAACGACCTGCGGGAATTCTTCGCTGCTGTGGATCTCGTGAATCCCGGTGTCCTTGGCAACTTCAAGTCTTTCATTCGGGATTTCGAGACCCCCATCGTGCGAAGCAGACAACCAGAAGCCACGAGAAAGGACATCGAGAAAGGCGAGTCCAGAAGTGAGGAACTCAGAGAGCTCACCACGAAGTTCATCCTCCGCAGAACAGCAGATATCCTGGCCAAGTACCTTCCACCCAAGTCCGAGTATGTGCTCTTCTGCAAGCCAACTCGCGCCCAAGCCAATATCTACAAGGCTGTCCTGCAGTCTCCCATATTCCAGACTGCCATGGGCAATGCGGAAAGCGCCCTTCAACTCATTACCATCCTGAAGAAGCTTTGCAATAGTCCATCGTTGCTCTCACCAAAGAACCAAAATGATTCGCCCAATGAAACCATCAAAGCCCTCCTAGCATCCCTGCCCCCTAATCTCCTCCGTCACTTCTCTCCTTCTTCGAGTGCCAAGGTTCGCGTTTTGGACCAGATCCTGGATAGTATGCGAACAAACACGTCCGAGAAAATCGTGCTGGTGTCCAACTACACATCAACGTTGAACCTACTTGGAACTCTCCTTACCTCACTCGGTCTACCATTCCTCCGCCTGGATGGGAGCACACCGGCACAAAAGCGCCAGCTACTTGTTGACGATTTCAACCGTATGCCTGCCGAATCCTGCTTTGCCTTCCTGTTGTCAGCAAAGGCAGGCGGTACTGGTCTCAACCTCATCGGTGCCAGTCGCCTTGTCCTCTTCGACGTGGATTGGAATCCTGCCACGGACATCCAAGCCATGGCTCGGATTCATCGCGATGGACAAAAAAATCATTGTCGCATCTATCGTGTCATTCTCAAGGGCAGTCTGGAAGAAAAGATCTGGCAGCGCCAAGTGACCAAGCTTGGGTTGGCTGACAGTGTCATGGAGCACAAAGATAGCGTCGCCCAGTTCTCCACTGCCGAATTACGAGATCTGTTCCGCCTTGACGAGGAGAGCACTTGCCAAACTCACGACCTGCTCGGCTGTGACTGTGGCGGCAAGGGCGTTTCGTCCGCACCATCAGGCACCACTACCCCAGGGGATAACAGTGAATCTGAGCTTTCAGAGCTTAGCGAACCCCCATCTATCGATGACGATGACGATGAGGATCTCCCTGACCTACCTACTCTCATGAAAGCTTCCGAAGTCGACATGGACAAGCAAGAACGGAACATTCTTGAAAGATCTCGTCGCAATCGGGCAACCTCCAAAAACGAGAAAGGCAAGGCCAGAACGCAGAAAGATAAGATGCATCAATCACTAGCGCAATACGCACACGTCGATCCGGCCTGGCTCTCTGCTGGCACCGATTATGACGAGGAGTTTGCAGCGGCTGTCGATGACGATGTGTTGGTTAATTTGCTCAAAGACGAGTGCAACCAGATTGGTTACATTTTCAAGAAAACGAATGGTGCAGTGGTGGAAAGCCCGGTGGTGGCACCCGATTCTTGAAGGAAACCATTGATAAATTGTTTACTTTCTTTGGGATAGATTGTGGTACTGTAGGGCATGTCATGATAGCATTTTAGATACCTCATAATGGACATGTGTGAACCAAGATGAAGGTCATCTCGTCCGACATCTGACATCAATAGGTATATCTGGTTGTGGCTTAATTTGGATCTGCTATTTTGGGTGATAATGATGTTGGTTTCGGTTTAGATTTTGGTGACAGAAAGGCCTGTGAAACTGCTTTCTTTAGCCTTATGCCCGCCATGGTCGTAAGATGTAGCCTCTATTGTACGGAATCAGGGTTCTGAGGATCACTCAAGTACATTTAGATGAATTCGCATTCAGTAGATAGTCGAGTATATCGCAGAGCGGGATACATGAAAGACCTGCCCATCATCTATCCATCCACACGGCCACCAACGTCTAAATGTGCCAAAGATAAATGTACAAAAGAAAGGGGGTAATCGCATAACGACAGACATGATCTTAGAAGATCGGACAAAATAAAATCGCAGCAAAAGGAAAGTCATGTCCAAAAATCCGCCTATTTACCTACCATGCACCATGTCATCAATGTTGCCTTCATGACCCCTCTTCCCACCTAAATGCATACAGGTAGATATCTCACCTCACCACAAAGGCAGGATTCACTCGTCGGATTCCTAATACCGCAGCTTTCCCACGAGGCCAAATGTATAGGTTGCCTCGGCTTCGGACTTCATCTGAATCATGTAGATGCGCTGGGTGGTTGTACCCACGCCACCTTGCTTCGCGATCGCGCCGCCTTCATTCTCTTCGTACACAGAGACGGCAATACCGGTGCGAGCAATACGCTCGAATGCACTTTCGGGTAGACACACGTCCAGCAGGACTTCGCCGCGCGTCTTGCCGCGAATGATGATGCGTTTCTCAGGGTCTGCATCACGGCGGGGGGTGGCTGCGCCTGAGCTTGGTGGGGAGCTACTGTCGTCGTCGCGGCTGCCTTCGCTCCGGCCACTGACGGCGGTGCCGGGGCGAGAGGGTGGGTTCTTGGGCGGTGCGGGCATGATGGTCAAACGGGCAGCGCCCATGTCACGCCACTTAGACGCAGTCTCGCGCAGGTAAATACGGATCTTGGCGTTGGAAAGGCCGATTCCATCAGCGCCCTTGATGGCGGCGGCAATGCGGCCGATTCCCGATGACGGAGAGGGGTTAGACGAGTCCCCGGAGCCCGAGTAGATACTCCCTTCGCGGCCGCTGCGAGATGTCACAGTCGAGCGGGAGATGTTGAACATTTTATTGCCGCCGCCGAAGCGCTTGAGGGCGGAGAAGGCGCTGCTCATAGTTCCAACACTACTCTCAGAGCCTTCGGCCAGGGAGCGTGGTGAGTCAGAGGCGCGATAGCTCTTCCTGCGGCGAGGGAAGCCGAACCAGCTACCTTCAGCTTTGCCGGCAGGTTGCTCGAAGGTAGGCATATGGTTGTCATATACGGGGCCACGTGCGTTTTGAAGGGCGATGTAGGTCGGGTTGTTGATGCGGGCTTGGTTGATAAGGCTGTAGAGAGCATCACATTCGTCCGGGCAGCGTGAGCGGAACATGATATTGTTGCTCGAGGTGATCTTGGAGCGGTTGGTGGGAGGTGAACGTATACTGATGTCAATTGCAGTTCCTCGGCGGATTGGGACCAGTGGTGTGAGCTCCATGGAGATAAGCGGTCTCGACGACCGAGGAGTACGGTTGGGGGAAGATGAGTCCGAATCGGAACTCATCCCAAACGCCTCAATCAGGCCAGGGCTGACGATAATGTTGCACTCGTCAGGAACTAAGCTGTCCCAGCTACCCTTGTTGGACCAGGCAAAGATAGATGCAATCGCCTTGGTTGACTTGGTAGGTTGCAATGGCACTGTACGGTAGCCGCCTTGCGAAGCAGAGTTGGAAGGAGACAAAGAGCTCGTGTCAGACGTAGTGGACTGAAATGCTCTTGGCTTCGGAAGTTCCGGCTCTTCACCTTCTTCATCAGATGCTGAAGAGTAAGAGTCCGAGTCGGATACAGATCGCGAATAGTCCGAAGAGGAGTAAGTGTAGTGCCGGACGGTGGATGCATCCGAGTCAGAGTCCGAGTAGTCCGAAGCAGTGGAAGGCTCATATTCATGCTTCAGAGGGGAGGAGCCCCGGCGCTTGAGGAGAACCCCCGATGGGCTGAGCACAGTAGTATTGGAGAGCTTGTTTGCAGAAGAGCTCGGCGAACGATGAGGGGGCGGCGGTGGAGGAGCATCCTGGTGCTTCGACTTTCGCCGGGACCTTCTTCTGCTGGACTTAGTGGGTGTCTCCGGGGACTCTTGACCAGGCAAGGATTCCAATGGAGGATAGTCCTCCTCTTCGCCAGGCTCAATGGTAGACGGAGATGACAGGTGGGTTTGGCTGCTAGTGCTGCGGATCTTGGGAATCACAGGCAGATAGGCCGAAGGAGTCAAAGAAACCCGGGGAGATTCCCTCTCCGGAGACTCTTTCTGACGAGGAGTTTGAGGTGCCTTCTGAGTAAACTTATCCTGTGGAGAGGCTGTTTTCTTTGCAGCATCGTCACCACCGTAAAATCTGCCACCTGCTGGAAGGGGTGCTGGGGACTCGACCAGCTGACCCGAGCCAACAGGTTTGGGAGAGACTGTCTCTGATGCCGGACTATCTGCATGCCGAGAATGTCTCTTCGCCTTAGATCTCTTGAGACCCCCGGGAGACTTTTCGGGGCTAATAGTAGAAGGCAAGAGCGGCAGACCAGAGCGGGCAGCTTGTTTGCTAGAAGTTTCAGACCCACCAGCAGTATACTCCGTTTCCCGAGTAGCTGTTGAGACAATGGAGCTTCTGTTTTCAGTAACAGAGGAGCTGACAGTGCTCGGCTCGGAGTAGTGCTCTTTGGGCGTGAGGGAGCGACGTTTGCTAACGGCTTTCTCGCCGATTGGAATGTCAATGTCGCTGGGGTTCGTTCTTGGGGGAGAGTCACTGGCACTGGGCTTGCGAGCCTTGTGTTGCTTGGCTCGACTGATGAAACTCTGGCTCCTGCAAAGCGTCGGAGGGATGGGGTCTTGGCCCAACAATTGCACCCACTCAAGGCCAATTTCCACTTCATCAATGCGGAGTGAGATCAACTCCTGCCAGTACTTCTCTTCTTCGGGGGCACTGCGCAGCATAACTACAATCTCGCCTTGGCTATCACCATTGCGGGCGGAAACGCATCGGAGATCCATCGGCGGGAAGAGCAACCAGCGATCTGAGTGGTCAATTTCACAGATCAACAAGTCGCCACCAGGGCCATTGCCTGATGTATTGTCTCGGTATAAGAGCTCGGCTCGGCAGTCAACCAACTGACCACTAGAGTGATATAGAGAGAGGTTGAAAAAGTCGCGGGCTCGCACACGGCGAGTCTGGTCGACAGTCACATTGCGGGAAAGACCCAAGGTCATCGGGTCTCGAGCACGGGTTGAGTCAATGCTGGCGGCGGATTCATCCTCAAGCCTTGCCCTCTCAGCTCGCGCTCGCTTGCGAGCATCAGCCACGAGTGATGAGTAGGCGGTTGCAATCTCCTCAGCCTTCGCGGATGGTTGCAGGTGGTTTATTCCCTTGAAGCTCTTCGCAAGGTATTTCAATCGGACCAAGGGCCGCTTCAGCAGATATGCGACGTCCACCTTCTCTCCGTCAGAGCCAATCACATCTCCATGCTCATCTCGCTCCATGCCTTCATCCAAGCTTTTTGTCTCAGCGCTGTCTCCTTCGTCACCCTCTTCCAAAGGAGCGAGGTTCACAATGACATCCTTGAACCCAAGCCTCCATGCTTTGAGGTATTCACGATAGACTCGCTGAGCACCCTGGGCCCACGTGAGCAGTGCATCAGCATTGTCTTGTGGAATTCGCTTGTGCAGTGTTTTCAGGCGCTCGATAGCGACACCCATATTGACGATAGGCTTCGAGAAGTTTAGGTCATCCTTTGGATCCATCGAGGGCCGGAATAGACCAGCGGCGATTGCCGAGTCGGATCGTGATAGAACGCAAGTGAGCAGCACTGGGATAACACCACCGACAAGTGTTTTGAGCTCACGCATATATTTGGTCTCATCGGCTGTGAGCTCAGCCAGGAGATCGGGGATGGTTGCATTGGCCAGACGGCTTCTGTTGGAGCGAATACTCCGCCGGGACCGAGTACTACCGCTCCGTGAGACAGGGCCCGATAGTACGGACATGAGATCCTTATGAGTGGTAAGGCGTCGCTGGAGTTGTGAAGAAACTGCCGGCAGAGAGTCGGGATCGAACTGATCCTTCTCTTCAGCAGCTTCTTCTAACTGTTCAACGGTCTGAGGTTTGGACTTCTTATCCGCAACTTTTTCGGATAGAGTGGATCCTTCAGGAAGAGTGCTCAGGGTTTCGACTGAGGCAATTGTCGAGAGCCGGTGGTAGCCCGTGCTTGGAAAGGGCTTCTTTCGGCCAACCGGAACGGGAGCATTGTTTCCAGAAACCTCAGAGCCACCGTCTGAGAAGGGCTGGAAGTCGGACTCTGATGGAGCCAGGCTATCCTCATATGGCTTGTCGCGAAGTTGGTCTTTGTCCTGTCGAATTTTGAGGGCCAGTGGCTTCTCAACCGTGTCCATGCCGCATTCGTGGGATTTGCGAGACTTTTCGGATGACGGAGCGTCACCTTGTTCTTTGGAATGTCGGCTGTGGGAGCTCTTGGGTCGGGAGTCACTACTCCTCGGACGAGGCTCGCTCTCCTGAGACAGTTCTGACATTGGATTGCTTGCTGCAATTTCATCCACCATGCGCTGTGACCGTCTCGCTCGGGCGGACTTGATATCCAACGGGCCAGGCATATCATTCTTTGGATTTACGTTGTCCACAAAGGGATCCGGTGTCTCAGAGAGCCATGCTTCAATCTTCTCTCCACGAGTGCCTGTGGGAGGGGGACTTGGCTTTGGCGGTTCTGGCTCCGGTAATTTGAACATCTTCCTGGATTCATCCAGCATATGGGCAAGAATGCCACCCTTTGGTGGTTTCTGAGGACCACGAGCACGTCGCCGGGACAGCTCGGAGAAGTCGGCCTCGCTTTTGGCCCAGTCTATCTCTTCTGGAGGTGGCGAGTTCCCATTCTGGCGTTCTGGTATCTCCGATGTCACGATGGACTGGGAAGGCCGGTCCGTCTCCAAGTCGCTGCCGGCGACAGAATCAGCATCCTTCCGAGCGGACGAACGCTTCCATTCCCGGGTTGGCGATCTCGGGGCCCCATCATCACGATAAGCTCCAAATTTGGGGGGATCTCTGGTCTTGTCGAGGGTATCTTTCTTGTCTCGTTTGGCTCGTGGCGAGCCAGAGTCTTGATTTGTCGTGTACTCATTAATACGCCTCGGAATGGGCAGGTTGCGTGACGGCGTCTGCGTCGAGCGATTTTTCCTCCAATGCTCGTCGCTGATGACTCGTTTGCGCGGTGTGCTGTGACTGCGTTTTCGTACAGCTGGAAGCTTCTCATTCAGTTTCTCCTTCGTTTTCTCCTTCTCTTTGTCCGAATTCTCCTTGTCCGACTTCTCCTTGTAGGGCTTCTCCTTGTCGGGCTTCTCCTTGTCGGGCTTTCCCTTGTCAGGCTTTCCCTTGACGGGCTTCCCTTTGTCTGACATCTCCTTGTCTGACTTCTCTAACTGATCCAGTTTCCCCTTAGCCACCTTGGGCTTGCCTTTAACGTGATTCTCCGAGTCATCATCGTCGTACACCCCATCGTTGATCGTTATCACTCCTCCGCCCTGTTGCTGCCATTGGCGCACCCTGGAGCGAACCGAGTTCGTGTCGTGAACCCCCAGCGGCTGGCCGATGTCCAGCGGCTTCGTTGGAGTCGATTTCGCACTCCCTCCCCGGTTAGCGGGGCGGTGCGGCGTCGCAGGAGACGGCATCGATGTCTGTACGAAGCAGAAAGATCAGTACACTCGTGTTGGGGGTTTTTTGACTCGGTGAGCAACTGAGACATGTTTGTTGACAGTCGTCATCGGTCGGTCGGAGGAGGGGTTGTCACTAGGCGACTCACCACAATGACCCAACGGCCTAGCTTGGATCACAGATCATAAAGCGACAGCATTTGCTTTTCTCTCTGCTATAATCATGGGGAACTGGCCGAGGAGGGGAAGTAAACAAGGCGCTTCGAGGCTGACCGGACCGCAGCTTGGATAGTTTAGTTAGCCGATAAGCCCAAAGCGACCCGCTGCCGGGGAAACCACGCGCCGATCGACAATCGACGAGACTGGCCAGGCGATCGCCCTTTGCCTACCCAACCGCCTGTTAGATCGTCACTGGTCGCGTTTTTCCTGCAAGGATAATCCGCCTGATCGCTTGCACTGCGCGTGTGATTTGATCGCGCGCACTTTGCTGAAGGGGGTCCGGCTTTCACGGACGAGCAGCGGAGGGCCTCGACGCTCTTGGCATCGCCCGCAATGGTCGTCACGGGGGCTGTCGTGAAGGCCTTACAAAGGAGGGCTAATTCAGTGGACGAGAACCCGGCAGTGGACGAGGACCAGTTCTTATTAGTTCTTCCTAGGCTGCGCATCTCAAGTGGTGCGGTGGTCCCTCCTGCATGGCCGTCATTGCTGTGTTGGACAGACTTATGTATGGAGTATGGAGCGGGATTTATGCCTGACCAGATCCACATGCTATTCAGAACTATCCATTACTATGACTCTTTCTTTCCTCTCACATCAATAAGTATAGCAGACTATCTATTTATTTTCTACCCTCTTGATCTGTCCTTACCAGCTGCATCAGAACCTTCCTTCCCTCAAATCTACATCGTGATTCATTTCCTGAGCCAACCCAGTTCTAGTTTGACCCCGTCCCCACCGCACCCACCCGCACATGCGACTATGACGGAAGAGGTGCTACTGGGCTTTACGCGTCGCGCCTGACTCCTGCTGGGCCCGAATAGCGGCCGAAAGTGTGCTGATGCTGTCGAAAAGGTAGTCTAATGCAGAAAGTCAGCCGGGCGCCGCCACAACCTGTTCGGATACAGCTCGACATACAGAAGGGAACCACAATCCAGATGAAGTTCATAAAAAAATAATACAGCCAGAAATAGTACGGCTCTGGTCGGCTGTAAGGCAGACCGTTCACGTAGTGGTCGAAGAGACTCGTCGCATAGTACAGCGTATCGCCGTAGAGATGGCTCATGCACACAATCATTTGGATCGGGTGGCGCAAGGAATGCCGAGTTGCGGTCAGATATGCAACAGCGAAGCATAAAGGTCCCCACAGCAACTAGGGCAGAGCAGGTTAACGGGAAAACTCTCGGAATCGTGATGCCGTGTAAATGATAGTGTACATGGTCCAGTGCAGCAGTGGCAGTGAGGTAGTTCACTTACCACGGTCATCGTCTCCATGCACAGCACCAGCGTGTCTGAGGTCATGTACCGCGAGTCTGAAAGTGCATACTCCTTCCACAGCTGCCCGAACAAGTCCTGCGCCGACGCCATATGCTCATGGTGAACCATGAAGTAGCCCTCGAAAAAGCAGTGGAGGGTGCCAGCTTAGTGTCGATCTTGTCAGTTTTCATCCACACCCTTCCATTCCTGGAGTACTGTCAAAGGCGTGGGAGGGTCATACAGAGCACGAACCACAAGATGCAGATCCGATCGGCCATACACAGCGTTGGTCGCACATAACTGGCCACGGCGAAGGTCAATCCGAGAAGGCCCGCGCAGCCTCCACCGGCCGTGACGAGTAGCTCAAGGACGGAGGTTTGGTTGGGCGAATAGCCGACGATGTTGGCTCCAAGGGGGTAGTAGGGGTGGGCAGAAGAGGCTCCCGTCATGGCGTAGGCGTGGGACATATGAAAGGCCTGGTTCTTGCTGCGATCAATTCGGAACCCGGAATCGAGAAGATGCCGGATCAATTCTTGTTTCTAGTGGGATCTTCTTCAATCAACCCTCCGTGCAGAGCGAATAGCTCATATGTAGGATGTTTGCTTGGGTTTTGCTATTCGCGGTACTTGGCGCTATGATCGCATGGTGGATCCGCCCGAGAGAGATCAGGCCAATTGGAGAAGGGCTGGCTACCGGCACAAGGCGGGACACCATTACTATCGAGTCCTATCCTAGCCTAATATTCAAGATGCTACCTATGGGATGTATAGGTGACATTGATACCTAGGTAGAGCAGCAAAGCAGTCAGTTATCCGAGTGCCTGAATTTTAAGTATACCTCGGTTACCGGCTGGCGATATTTTGAGCTTTAAAGTTCTTCATACTCTCCCAAGGTTTATACCTCCGCAGGACTCGCTCGACGAAGAAGACCTTTGTCCCACCTTCACAATAAGAAATTCATGCTGGACTTTGATCGAACGCTATTTCCAAATGCAATAGACATCATTCATCAATTTACCTGGGTAGGATAATAGTTCTAGTTGGAATTTAATCCACGCGGTCTTCGGCACCCCGCCCGAGCGGTGACCCTGCTGCCTCAGGCAATCAGTTCCCCAAGCTCGTCCGATGGATTCCCGATAGCCTCCCCAGTCTGCGGATCGACCTGCCGTGATCCCCCGACTGCTTTAATGGCGCCCCAGCGTCCCTCTTCCAAACATGGCCTCCGAAACTTCTAAAAAGCCCTTCGCTGTTGACGTCTCGCGGGCCTCGATGGAGTCGCCCCCTGGCATTGCGGCTTTGTTCGTCATCCGCTTCGACATTAGGACTGGGTGAGTGCTATTCCCCCCTGTCGCAGCTGTCGGAACTGCGGAGCTAGGGAGGGGCATGTCGCTGATACGCGTGTGATGCGCAGATATGTAGTATCGTGGGAAAAGACCGCACCGGGTGGTAAGCGATCCTATCGATTTGTTTGCCGAGGTGGTTGGCTCCGATACGCGTAGCTAACACCAATTCCCCCATAGTTGAGGTTGAAGGGGTGGTGGAATACAAATCGCTTCCCTCCGGACTGCACAATGTACATGAGGACTTGGTGTGAGTCTTTCCAGAGTTTCTGTGAAGCTTCTGATTCGAGAGTGCTAATGCCACACTTCACTGTCAGGTACTTCGTCCACGAAGAGTATGCTGGTATCAGCGCGTTCCTCAACCAACCCGCCGAAGAGGCGGAGCGCAATGCAAAGATGTTCGCGATTGGGGTCTTGGTCCCTCTCAGCTCAGGGAGACTTGGAAAGAGCTGGAGACATGCCCCAAGGTTGAAGGAGTTGACACAGTAGGTGTTGTCTGGCTTCATTGCTGAATGGCGAGCTTGTCACTGATACCCAATTTTACTCGTCAGAAAATATGCGGCGGATATGTCTGATCTACAACCATTGTCCGATTACTGGGACTCCTTCCGGATTGGAGGTCCCGATTCTTCTGCGCCAGATTCGCCGATTGACTCGCCCCTCAGCCTTCGATTCCGTCCAGGTGACAGACCAGATGCACTCCGAAACCGCGTCTTCAGCGATGCGATGGTGTTGGAAACGTCCAGGCCGGCCCTGACACCTTTTCACCCTGCCTCATCTCTTCCCGACTTTATCGAATCTTTCGGTCCCTTGATATTCCCCCTATACAGAGCTGCGCTGTTACGCAAGCGAATCCTCATCATGGCTGAAGCACCAGTGCACACGCCATGTAATTATGGTATCTGCCTCAATGCCGAAGCTGACTATTGAATTTTGATATTAACCAGAACGCAGTCTATGACCTGTCCTTGCTGGCATCTCTCCCAAATTCTTTACTACAAGTCCTCCCTCCCGACTGCATCCCGCCACTGCGTCCCCGCCCCATGTTCAACGTCGGCATTCACGATATCCCCGATCTTGCTCTGGATCCGTTGCGGGATACCGTGGACCCCGAAAAGCATTCTAGTTGGATTGCTTGCTCAACGGATAGTGTCCTGAGCATGAAGCCTGACCTTTACGATGCCCTCGTCACCCTCCCGTCACCATATTCTCAACATGCCAATGAACGTGTCTTCCCCAAAATCAGCCTAGTAGACCGCTCAAGTACGAAACATAACGCCAATCAAACGATTCAATTGAAAGCGACACAACGTGATGCCCGTCGATATGGTATGATTCGCAGAGGGCTACGACAATTGTTCAGCGACCGCTCAACCTCCCCAGACACAGACGAATCCGACGCAGACTCGACGTACTCGTCTAGCACTGTCGTGGAGCCACTTTCCTGGACTCGTCTCGCCTATACCTCTTTCATCTGGTGGGCGTCGGCCGGTGAAAACCGGGACGGCCTATCCGAAGAAGAGGAAGAACAGCAGATCGAACAAGACGCCCGACTTCTGGCAAGCGTGGAAAGTCTTGCATACCATGCGCCGAGCAGAGGTCGTCATTCACTTAATTCCGATGACCATGGCCAGGAGCCCCCGGAAATTGCGCTGGTCGCGTACTTCCGCCGTCTCACCTCGCAGATCTTTTACACTCTCGCAGGGGCCATTGCGCGGCATGATAGTGACGGCCGAGGCGAAGAGGACTCGGTTGATTGTTACACCGACGCACCGTACCTCGACGACATGGCAAATGACGATCCGGACTTGTCACTTTCCATGTCACGGCAATCGATCAATGGCGATGATGGAAATACGCCGCTCCTCCGGCAAAGATCGCAGGCGAATCACACCAACCGCAGATCAGTACAGGAAAATCCTGACGCGGATGAAGATGAACCCGTCACCATTACAATCGCTGACATGGCGGAGATGGGACTCGACGTGTGGAGCGCCACAGATCGGGTCTTTGTCGAGGAGCTCGTCTCTTTATGGTGGGGACGCTCCGCGCATGTCGATAGCGCACGCATCCGGTGCTGCGGTATTTCAATCTTGTAGGGATTTACTCGGCTCCTTTTTTTGGTGAAGTTTGTCTTGTGGATATGAAGATGCGACGGTCTCTGTGAATGCTCGGCTCTACTTTATTATATTTGTACATATTTCTCTTGTATCCGGCATCCTGATCTAGATAATATCATACACATCAAGATACGAACCGCATCAGCTATTCCGCAGGATGGGGTTTCCTCTTCACTTAGGTGCTAAACCCTCGCGAATTTCTCGCTAAATACATCAAGTATAGTCAGCAACTGTCCCTTCAATCGGATTGCTTTATGTTCTGCTGTTGGTTGGGGAAGATCGAGTCTTCGAATCGAGCTGGCTCCGATGGCTGTCATATTTTGGATCAAGGGAGAAAGTCCAGGCGTAATCGATCGACGAATTTCTTGAGAAATTGCGGAGATAGATTGACTTCTGGATGTCGGCTTTCATGCTGACAAAAGCACAGTCATGAAAGACCTAGGGGACATTGATCCTAATATTCTGGGTCTCATTATTGCCGGCGTTGTTCATCTTTGTCATATACTTCGTATATCCGAGATAAAGGGTCGGACCCTTGAAGAGATTCCCTTGAAGAGATTGCGGTCCTGTTTGATGGATCTGGTGGTTGAGCAAGATCAAGTCCTGGGTGTAAACTTGATAGTGAAAAGACTCTTGATCTCTGTAAACATAAGTCGCACGGTAAGGTTGAAGTGGAACACGCTGCCTGAGACCTAACTGTATGGAGCAAGGGGCATAAGCTGGGGATAGGCATGTCTGAACGTACATACTACCGGTTGAAATTCTAAGCTTCTGAATTTATACCGGGGCCAGATAGTGATAGAGTACCAAAGCCAAACATTGGTTGAATGCCACAAGCACGATGCATATATACACAAAAAGTCCAGCCATACAAAGGAAATAAATAAAGAGCGCGGTGGTCCCGACTAAGACCAAAAAGCACAATGGATATAAGGCCGCGAGACAATGCAAGGATAGACACGATATCACTCAGAAACGCCATAGCTAAACAAGGACGTCACAAAGCACCAGAATTTTTGCCATGTAGCTGCGATGCAAAAGAATGGATAGAGCTAGTGCCAAGATAGAGAACGCCAGACAAAAACAATTGATGCGCCGGCGCCGGGGTATTTTGAAACGAAGACAAGAACCGGCTGAAAGAACACAGAACCAACAACACATGAATATACACAAAACCCAAACTAGACAAACCCAGAAACCTATCAACGTCGGGACATCCGTACCGGTGCGCTCAAGTCCCTGCGCTCTGCCAGGTCATTTTCGCTCTTGCCGTCTGCCCGGAGATTGGGCATGCGTCTTGGGCCGCGACCCGGAGTCGGGGCTGTGCTTCCAGTGGACCCGGAGTGGCCGGTTGCTTCGTTTGCGCTCACGGAGCGTTGCTTGCTGCGGGCACGGTTACGCCGGGCTGCAATCTGGGCGAGGGCTTCTTCTCGGTTGATGGGGGTGTCGGGGGCAAAACTAGACGAACCAGAGGTCCGTGAGTCGGTTGCTTCGCGAAGAGGAACTCGTTTGGTAGTGGAGTGTGTTGGCTGGTGATAGTCTCTCTCTCGATGCCTGGCGGGTCGAGATTCCACAGATAGACGGGCATTGGTAGTTTCACTAAATATAGACTCGGCAGGGGTAGCATGGACCATTCGGGAGGACCTCGGCTCTTCAGAGGGGGCGGAATTGTCGGCATGGTAGTTTGACGAGGCAGATGAGTCCTTCCAGTTCTTGATGGAGGGATGCAGGTCAGGCAGGTCGGGGGTTGGGAGGAAATCAGCCCGTCGGGGCGGGGCATTGTCGCGGAGAGGCGATGGGAACGTCTTAAACGTTCCCGTTTCCGGAGAAAAAGTCACCAATGGCTCTTCAGGTATCTGCATCTTCTCAGGCGGGTCCCTGGGCTCGGACTTCACGACAGGTTCAGACTGAGGTTCCGCTTGCGGTTCGGGACGGTGAAGGACAGGTGCCGGGGGTTCGACGCTCGGGGTATGGCTCGATTGAGGATGGGGATCCATCTGGTGAACGTGTGTCTCATGAGCGTGGGCCTCGCGAGCAAGGGCTTGCCGAGCAGCTTTGGCCTCCGCCTCAATTTGGGGCTTTTGGAAAGTTTCGAAGTACTCGGCATCGTAGATGTATCGACGACCTTCGCTCTCGGCGATTCGGCAAGAGCAGCGTTCAAACTGGCACTCGATGTTCAAAAAATGTACCATCTCCTCTGCCTCGACACGACGGCGACGTTCGTAGTCAAGCTCATCCTTCAACTCATCTAATATTCCGTCGTCCAAATCGGATGGCAAGATATCGGTAGTTGTCTCTTCGAGCCCGGCGGTTGTTGTGCATTCTGAAAGACGCTGTCGCTTGGGGGGAGTGGCTTCGGCAATTTCGTCGGCCTCCTTTTCGGGTGCAGAGGATTTGACCGATCCCACAGCAGCCCGCTTGGGTCGCCGCGGGGTTGTCAAGAAGGCGAGATCACCCTCAGCAAGGGAAATCCGTCCGAAGTCTTCCGTCCGAATCTCGTGTGCCCTGACTTCTAGTGTGTTCGAATGGTTGGTTGCCTCCATAGAACGTAGTTTGCCTTTGAGGACCTCGAGTTCTTCGGTGAGGCCAGCAAGAGCATACGCACGTTCAAATGCCTCTTGCTTCGCCTTGTCCTTCGACTCCCGCTCCGCAGCGACTTCGTCTTTCAAGGCCTTGGTCTCAGACTTTGAATGCTTTAGTTCTTCCTGCAGTTTGACCAGGGTCGAACCTGCTCGGAAAGCTTCTTTGCGAGCTTTCCTGATCTCTTTCTCGAAAATTGATCGCTCGTGTGCCTGGCGCTCTTTGGTACCATGTAATTCTTCTAGCAGAGATTCGAGTCGCTCGCTGATGCGGCGCTCCCGTGATTGCGCTTCGGAGAGTTCCTCTTGCACAGACGCCAGAGCCGACTCGGCTTCCTCGCGCCCAAGGATCGCCCGCTGGAGGGCCGCATTGTTTGCCGCGGCTTGGGCGTGGGCCATGGGACTGCCCCCTCGCGAAAGGCTGTTGAGAAACGCAACTTTGGCCTGGACTTCGGAAACCCCCTTGGTGTTTTTGTGGTGTAAATTCAGGAGATCCGCGGGCAGCGACGGCGAGGCAGGGATTGTTTGCTGATTCATGCGTTCCGGCGATACCGGGTGGAGGACCTTTGAGGGGCTGACGATGGGACGCGTTGGAGAATCCATCGCGGGTGTTTGCGAGGGAATATAAACGTTGCGAATGGATGTCAAGCCGTCATGGGGTCGTCCCAGTAGGGAGAAGTGTTGGTCCACGGGAGGAAAATGACCGTTGACATTTGAGTCGTGACCCACGCACACCTCTGTTGTTTATTGCCCTCTTAGGACAGATCAGGTGACCGTTACCCTGGACACCATTGTTTCTTGCCTATTTAGGTTAGAGTGTGATCATGCGGAGTCTATCATCACGTGTTGTTGTCTTCCACATTGGGGTTAGCGTCACTGAGAGAGTCGCCCGTGGACGTCTGTGCGTCTGTGCGTAGCGGACTGACGCATGTGAGGAAGCGAAACTGAGAAGCCTTGATAGCCGGGTGATCTCAACGATGCATGAAATCGTCACGCTCCAGCTGGGTCAGCGGGCTAACTATCTAGCGACCCATTTCTGGAATCTCCAGGTAGTCCTGTTCCTGGCCTGAGCAAGATACCTCTTTCTAATGTATGAATAGGAATCTTATTTCACTTACAGAGAAGGCGAAGAGTCGCTCGTGGACCATGACGTCCATTTTCGACCAGGTGTTGGGGCGGATGGGTCTGAAACGTACACCCCGCGAACCGTCATTTATGATCTGAAAGGAGGTTTTGGAACATTGCGCAAGCATAATGCCCTGTACGAGCTCACCGAAGACTCCACGGCGGGCCAGGGTCTATGGTATGTTGGACCTATGACACTTGATCTTGTACCCTGCATGATTCTGATCATAAGCTAGGGATGGCCAAGAGATTATACAAAAACAAGCACCCATCCAGCAAAGTGATTATCAAAAAAGCTTAGATCAAGGCACAACCGCCCCGCACCTCACGTCTGAAACGGTGCGCTACTGGTCCGACTACAACAGAGTCTTTTATCACCCACGGTCCATTGTCCAGCTGAATGAGTATGAGCTGAACTCGCAGGTCATGCCTTTTGAGGATTGGAATGTTGGTGAAGACTTGTTCAACGATCTTGATAAGGAGCATGACCTTTTGGATCGGGACGTCAGGCCATTTGCCGAGGAGTGTGACCAGTTGCGAGCATTGCAACTGTTTTCAGGATCTGATGATGCATGGGGCGGATTTGCCGCTCGGTATATCGACAGGTTGAGAGACGAGTATGGCAAGAAGAGTATATGGTTCTGGGCTATCGAAGATGGCACTAGAGTCCAGCGAGTAAGTTTGAATGCCTGACTTCGCCATCACACGGGTGCATGCTTATCTATGATATAGCATCGTCAGTTGAAGAGGGACACAAACAAGGCGAAGTCGTTATACTCGATCTCGCCCCAGTCGAGCCTTTACGTGCCCCTCATTGATATCCCTCAGAAACTCCCGAGCTACCTCAGTGTAGATCGTCGCTCGGAATGGCAGACGTCCTCTCTACTGAGCGCTGCTATGGAGACGGTGACATTGCCCTCTCGACTGCGACCATACCATGACTTTGAGGCGTCTCTCGCAGGGGACGATGGGAGACACAACATCTTTGAGCTGCAATCAACTATCAACCCGGAAGACAATGCTGAAAAGGCGCTGTCGTCGGATGAGGAAGGCTCATCCAAACTCCAAACTAAGTTTGACATCGATTTCACCTACGATGGCGAAAATACCAAGACCGCAACTATCTTCAACCAAGTCCAGGTGATGCGAGGCTGCGAGCCCAAGCCATCTGCTCAGTCGCCCAAGGGTGACATTGGGCACCTTCGCAAACTCCGTCTGTATCATTCAGAGCCAAAGCTGCAAAGGTATGCTGCCCCGTTGACTGAAACAGTCTCAATGACTACTGACATCCGAACGCCCTGTCTTAGCTACCACAGCCCACTCCGCCTGCCCATTCTCGACAGTTTCCCGCACGGTATGTATCCCGCATCCCCGTCTGGGGTGAGCGTGTTGACCGCATTGACCGCTTCGACCCGGACGGCGGACCGAATCAAAGCTATTGAGGGCACCGCGGCACGAATGCTATCAGTGGACGAGCGAGAGGCGATGGTCAATGGTTTGGGCGAGATCCGGGAATGCTATGAGACGGGTTGGAGCAGTGGGTCCGAAGATGATGATGACTAGACCGTGGGAAATCAGGCTTTCAACAACAACATTGACTCTTATTGACTTCATTGTCCCCAGTTGTCATACTGGATTGCGAGGGTCGAGTTGGTCTGACCGTAGCCGACGTCGGCGAACTCCGCAATCGATTAACTGTTCCCCTTTCCGTGAGCATGCGCGAGAATCTCCTATGTACCCCGGTCGTCCCGATTTAGTCCAGGGCGCTGTTCTCGTTTGCCGTTAGCCGGTAGTCCGGAGTCCTTGAGTCATGAGAAAACAATCTTCTAGAAATACGAAATCTACAGTGCGCCTCCACGCCTCTTTTACCGTCCCGTTGGGTCGAACCTGGTATAGTCGCGTGTCGTAGGTGGGATATATTCCTGTAGTCTGCGCTCGGATAGCCAGCGCCGCGTCTTCCAAATTCGACCGAGTGGCGATCGGAGAGTTCAAGACACTTTGCCTGAGCAAAAAGCGCTAGTATGGGTCTTGCCGTTAGCCCAGGTGAGACAGCGCAGTGGCTTCCTGGGGCTACGAGGTGACCCCTCACACCCCGGATTTTGCAGTTTTTCAACGGTGGCTGGAACGGGAGGGAAGCAGCAGAAGCAAGAGGGGGAGGCCGGTCAGAACCTGGTTCGCCATCGAACCCTATGTCATGGCTCTTAGCCCAATCAGTCCGGGGTGGCAGGCTGGTGGACAGGAGATGGGTGATTTGATATTGAGCCCTTCGCTGTCGGCTGTCAGATGGCGCGAGCCTTGGATGACCCGCGAATGCTAATTCCCAGTAGAGTGGAAGAACATCAGAACATCAGTTATTGGAATTCATGGGAGGCCCTGGCGATGCGGTGAATCGGTGTTGTGGGGGAAATGCATGACGGGAGAGCCACGGGACAACCATCCGAGACATGCCAGCTGGGTCAGCCACAAAGGGGAAGTACACATCCTGCCAGGCTAACCCGAACTCAGGGACTCAACCACATCAATCCCCACAAACGGCAACCCACGCTAGAACCACCGGACAGACTGGACCGGCTGTCTGAATCGTGACATCATGAAATATCCATGGCCAGGCTGACATTGCACCAATCGCGTGGCACCCGCGTGCGTTAGGGCCCATTTAGGGCCCCCTTCAGTCAGGGCAGGACTGTCTCAATTCACCCGCTCCACAGGCAGTCTCCCACCTTGGGCGTCAGCTCAACATCATCACGTCTCTCAAAACTGGGCAAGGTCAACTCTCTGCCGTGTAACGTTACCTGCAGGGGTCCAGGCACCGACTCGGTGATTCGCCGTCCCCATTGACCTCCCCTCTTCCCCCACATCTCGGGACTGTTCCTTCCCCCGTCTGAGGTTTGGTGGTATCCACAACCCGCGATCCACCATCCTCCACCACATGTCCCAGCCCTGAGGGGTGCAGCAATGCTATCGCTGTGCTATGGCAGTGGCGAAAGAGGGGCGGGGGCGCCAGTGAACTGCAGGAACTAATTTCTTTGCATGCATTTGGGGCACCTGCCCCAGCATCTCCTGAAAGAAAAAACAAATCAACAAATACTCCGTCGAACGCCGATCCCCACATGCTGGATGGATCTAGAACTAATCAGCTAATGCACTGGTGTCACACTTTCCGGGTTGTACTCTCTTGTCCGGATTGACTCTGCCTTAGGGCAAACCAAAATACACCTACCGAAACCCCGTTCGGGTCCTTCGCTACGATTCTTTTTGGGCTCAAGTGCGGTAGGGTCTTTGAACTTTCACAATGCTTCGTTAACCGCGCCTTTTCATTCGTGAGGTTTCCCCACACAAGCACTCGGCCCACGACCAGCAAGTGAGACCTATCTTGTCTATTTTAGGCCCGGCTGTCCAAGCGACTTGAACAGAGACCGAACATGAAAGGAATCGGGTCTGGGACCTCCTGTCAGGTCTCAATGGTCTCAATTGGTATCATGCCGTACAGTACAGACATTTTCTCAATTCAACGAGTGACCAGGGACATCACACCCCGGCCATCATGCTGTTGGCGGCAGAAAAGGAGAATCGGGTTCTGTCGACATGGAATCCATGACCCCAGCCCCCAGCCGCAGCCCCAAGGAGAAGAGGGATGGCGTAATGGGCAGTTCAGCTATCCATCGGGCCCCGGCCGCCGCAGGGCCAAGCTAGACTAGACATGACTCTACATCATCGGGTCCCGGTTGACTTGATCTCACTCCCGCTTAAGCGTCGGCTCTCTCGACGCTTTGAGTTTGGCAGCGACAACCCCGGTCTTCTGATTCTTCTGCTCAAGCGAACCAGATGGCAATTCTCCGACCACAGCCGTGTTGATTGGTTACATTTACCCCCAGCCCAACCCACCGTCACCGAGCCAACTGGGTTGCGGCGTGCCGCTAACTTCGACCCTGCAGCGAGACTCCGTTCATGGCACGTCCAGTGTACATCGTGACCCATTGTGAACGATGGAAGACCGCGGAAAGTCTCGAGGCTCGCTGCTCCGCGCCGGCCAGATCTGGTTACCTTGTTAACCTTTCAAGTTACATACCGCTCGTGGGTCTCGCTAGGTATTGTTATGGTACCATAGTCGGACGGATTAACCCTCGCACTGGACGAATCGTGACGAGGCGGCGCCCTGGATGCAGACATTCGCCCCAGAAAAAACAATCCTGATGGCTTGATGGTTGCTCTCGCTCTCGGTCACCCTCCCTCCAGGGACCCGGACTCCGGCTTGGGCTACACCCTGCGGCTCAAGATATAAATTGGCCCGTCTATCCTCGCCCTCCTCCCCTCTTGGGTCTGCTTCCTGATCCTGGAAGTAATCCGTGCTAGGAACTCTTTCGCTACGGTTCCTACTGTCCTTCGTTTCCGAGAAACGGCTCTCTACATACTTCCTGTTTACGCAATTGTCCCTTTGCCCTCAAACATTCGGTCTTCCTTTTCTCTAGGATATCCCTCACTCGTTTGCTAGACAGGATGCGTGGCGTCGGGATCCTCATACTATACGCCGCCAGCCTGGCCTCGAGCAGTGTGCTGCCCAGAGACTTGGCTGGCAACGTTGCCATTGCTGCCCGTGGCGGTGGTGGCGACCAAGGTGGTGGTGAATGGGGAGGAGGTGGCGGTGGTCACGGTGGTGGTGGTGAAGGTGGTCATGGAGGAGGAGGTGGTGGTGGACATCATACTCCTCCTCCCGAGACCACGACTCCGTGCGAGACGACCACCACACCACCGCCAGAGACCACCACTCCATGCGAGACAACTACTACCACTCCGCCGCCAGAGACCACCACTCCATGCGAGACAACTACTACCACTCCGCCGCCAGAGACCACCACTCCATGCGAGACAACTACTACCACTCCGCCGCCAGAGACCACCACTCCATGCGAGACAACTACTACCACTCCGCCGCCAGAGACCACCACTCCATGCGAGACTACTACTACCACTCCGCCGCCAGAGACCACCACTCCATGCGAGACTACTACTACCACGCCGCCTCCAGTGACAACCACTCCGTGCGAGACTACCACCATGCCGCCGCCTGAAACCACGACCCCGTGCGAGACGACTACCACACCGCCACCAGAGACCACCACTCCGTGCGAGACGACTACTACCACTCCCACTGGGCCCCCTCCGACCTCTACCCCATGTGAGACGACTACTACTCCCGGCTCACCTCCGCCTCCGACCTCGACTCCATGTGAGACTGAAACTGGAACTCCTCCTCCCGAGAGCACCACCACTATCACCACCGTGTATACTACAACTTCCTGCCCTGGTATGTAAAAATGCGTTCCCCCAGCATGTGCAGTTGCTAATGTTCCCAGTGTCCTGGACCACTATCATCACTGGCTCGTCTACTGTCACTCAGCCCGTGACTGCTACTAGCACTTTTACTGTCACTTCCATCATTACCTGCAGTGAAGGTTGCCCTGGCATCACTGTCATTTCCCCTCCCACGAGCCCTGCCCCTCAGCCAACCACCGCCCCTGCCCCTGCTCCTGCTCCTGCACAGTCTTCGCCTGTTGTCTCCCCTGTGAGCAGTCCAGCCCAGACTACCGCGCCTGCGCCTGCTGCTACTACCACCGCGCCTGTATTCAACGGAGCTTCTTCTCAGTTCCAACGATCCCTGACTGGTTTCATCCCCGCTCTGGTCGTTGTGCTGGCTCTGATCTAACGTATCTAACAATCCCTTATCGGCATTGTCAGAGATAAATCAATTTCGATATTTCGATATTGGTACAGGTAATACAGGGAATAAGGAAGAGGAAGTGGATGGAAAGCCGGCAACAAAAAGACGAAATCACAGGAAAAAAAATTGTATTCTTGGCAGCTTCGGGAATTGACGTGGATAGCCCGGAACTGTTCCTCTAATTCCTGCTACCTGCACCGTAGCGGTTTTCTGGGATTTTATGAAGTTTTGATTTACGATTTGACGGACGTTCCTTATTACTACATCTGATGCACAGCTTAGTTTTGTGCTGCATAAAGTAGTTCACTAATTGATTCGAGATCTTATCTGATACTTCTGGTATTTTGCAAGTATTTCTCAACACTTACATCACTAAACTTGTAGCTCATACCCTGTAAATACCTTTGATGAATTCAATTTTCTCAAGCTTCATGTTTATGCTGTTTCGGTGTGGTTACTGTAGCTCCAGGCCTGGGGGTGGACCCTTTTACGGGTTCTTACATAAGGCTGACTGCAAACAGTGCAAACACTGGACCTTGCATCCTGATCGGACCCGTGGCCTTAGATGCGCCTCGTCCTTTCTCTTGACAGGTGGCCACAGCATCCCCTCGCGCCCAGATGGCCTAAATTTTGTGCAGTCCTCTTTCTGTTCCATTTCCTATCCTCCCGAAATCCCTAATTCTCGCTCGAGGGTCTCGTATCGCCCCAATTCCATAGCTCCATCCGGTTCCCATCTGGCGCAAGGCGAGCGTTCCACCGACACACGTCTTGGCGACTTGGTGGAGCGGCTTCGACAGAGGGCTGATCTTTTGTGCTTATATACCGCTGCCTTGGTGTGCGCTGAGCTCTAAATTGTTGCTCTGCAGTTTGGATGACACACCGGCTAACGCTGGACTCGCAGTGCGCACCTTAGACATAGACCATGGCTCTCCCGGGCCGCGGACGGTCACCGACTTCGCCGCTCCTCTCCCTCGTGATCTTTCCGTTCTTAATTTTCCTCATCAGTTTCACCAGTCCAGTTACCGCGGCTGGATCAGCTGTTCTTGGCCTCGATGTGGGCACCGAGTATTTCAAGGCCGCATTAGTGAAGCCTGGTATTCCCCTCGAGATCGTGCTCAGCAAGGACTCGAAGCGCAAGGAGTCGGCAGCCATCGCGTTCAAGCCGACAAGAGAGAGTGATGCTCCCTTCCCGGAACGATTCTATGGCGGGAATGCGCTGGCTCTGGCGGCTCGGTACCCGGACGATGTGTACAGCAACTTGAAGACTCTCTTGGGCGTGCCTTTCAACGACGGACAGGAGGAGGCGGTCAAGACCTACTGGAGCCGGTATCCAGCTTTGAACCTTGAGACTGCTCCCGATGGCCGTGGATCTGTTGCGCTGCGCAGCAACCGCCTTGGTGAAGCACAGAAGAAGGACGCGTTCTTGGTCGAGGAGATCCTGTCCATGCAATTGAAGGAGGTCAAGTCGAACGCTGACGCTTTAGCCGGTAAGGGTTCTGATGTCCGCGATGTGGTCATCACGTATCCCGCTTTCTATACTGCGGAGGAGAAGAGGAGCCTCGCATTAGCCGCCGAATTGGCTGGTTTGAAGATCCAGGCTCTTGTCAGTGATGGTCTGGCTGTCGGTCTCAATTATGCCACCAGTCGCAAGTTCCCTAGTGTCTCGGATGGCGAGAAGCCAGAGTATCACATCGTCTACGATATGGGTGCTGGGTCGACAACCGCCAGTGTGTTGCGCTTTCAGAGTCGCAAGGTCAAGGATGTTGGGAAATTCAACAAGACTGTTCAAGAGATTCATGTCCTGGGAACTGGTTGGGACAAGACTCTTGGAGGAGACTCTCTGAACGATTTGATTGTCAACGACATGGTCGCCAAGTTGGCAGAGGACAAGAAGTTGAAGGACAAGGTTACTCCGGAGCTCATCAGGGCCCACGGAAAGACTATGGCTAGGCTCTGGAAGGATGCAGAAAAGATCCGCCAGGTTCTGAGCGCCAACACCGAAACTTCTACCACCTTGGAGGGTCTGTATGATGAGGAACTTAACTTCAAGTACAAGCTCAGCCGCGCCGACTTCGAGAAGATGGCCGCCGTTCATGTAGCTCGCATTGGCACTCCTCTAGAGCAGGCTCTCGCAACCGCTGCCTTGAAGCTTGATGATATTGACTCTGTTGTTCTTCACGGCGGAGCTATCCGTACTCCTTTCGTTCAGAAGCAGCTCGAAAAGCTTTGTGGATCGTCCAAGAAGCTCCGCACCAATGTCAACGCTGATGAGGCAGCCGTCTTCGGTGCCGCCTTCAAGGGTGCGGCCCTCAGCCCCAGCTTCCGTGTCAAGGACATCCGTGCCAGTGACGCGGCCACCTACCCAGTTGTCCTGAAATGGAACTCGGATGGCAAGGAGCGGAGCCAGAAGCTATTTACTTCTACCTCCCAGGTCGGCCCTGAGAAGCAGGTCACCGTGAAGAACTTGGATGACTTTGAGTTCAGCTTCTACCAGCAGGTAGAGGACCAAGGTCTGCCTGTTCTGAGCGTCCAGACCCAGAACCTAACCGCCTCCGTCAACAAGCTGAAGGATACCTTTGGTTGCACGGCTGGCAACATCACGACTAAGTTCAACATTCGCTTGAGCCCTGTCAACGGTCTCCCTGAAGTGACCAGCGGCAATGTTAGCTGCGAAGTTGAGGCCGAGAAAAAGGGCAGCGTTGTCGAAGACGTCAAGGGCTTCTTCGGTCTTGGTTCCAAGAAGGGTGAACAGGAGCCTCTTGGTGAGGAGGGCGAAGCCAGCGAGTCTATAACCCTGGAGCCCGAAGCCGAGTCTTCGACTACCTCTTCTGCTAGCTCTTCTACTACGACCACTACCAAGGATAACACCAAGGCAACTAGCCAGACCAAGCTTGAGATCATTCCCATCAGCTTGAAGTCGACCCCTCTTGGAACCCAGGCCCCCTCGGCCGCGGAGCTGACCCGTATCAAGGGCCGTTTGTCCGCTTTCGATGCCTCGGACCGGGATCGTGTTCTGCGTGAGGAGGCTCTCAATGAGCTTGAGGCCTTCATCTACAAGAGTCGTGACCTGATTGACAACGAGGAGTTTGTCAAGGCTGTCCCGGAGGATCAATTGATACTTCTCCAGGAGAAGGTTGCTCAGGCGAGCGACTGGCTCTATGAGGACAGCGATAATGCCAAGACGGCGGACTTCCAGTCGAAGCTGAAGGACCTGAAGAACATCGTCAACCCTGCTCTGAAGCGGGTTAAGGAATCTTCTACTCGCCCCGCCCGCGTCCAACTCCTCCAGGACATGCTCAAAAACGCCGAGTCCATGAAGCAGCTGATCGAGAGCCAAATCGCCAACGATGAGCAGACCTATTCGTCCTTGCTTTCAGCCTCGAGCACATCAACCGCCGAGGAGTCAGAGCCTAGCTCCGAAGCTACCCCAACGCCCTCGGCTTCTGATGATAACTTAGACGACCTCGATGATGACTCCTACTCAACCTCCGGCTCTTCCAAGTCCTCTACCAAGTCCTCGGCCGCGGCCAAGCCCACCGGTCCGAAGTACACCCTTTTCACTCCCACCGACCTCACCTCCCTGACCACAATCTACGAGTCCACCAAGCCCTGGCTCGAGACCCAACTCGAGCTGCAGGAGAAGCTCACCGAGTCGGACGACCCCGCCCTCACGGTTGTTGAGATCGACTCGCGGCTACGGGAGTTCGAGCGCGTCCTGAACCGCATGTATGAGCGGATGACTGCCGCCGCTGGCCGCGAGGCCAAGAAGACCAGTTCCAAGCAAAATAAGAAGAAGGCTTCTGAAGAGAAGGGTAAGGGCAAGGATAAGGTCAAGGAGGACAAGAAGAAGACGAAGGAGGATACGAAGGATGAGCTGTGATGGATCCTGCTCATCTGTATACGTATTGACTAACTCCCGTTCATCTTACATGTTGGTCTTTTGTGCATCTGTTAAAATACAAAGCATGATTTTCTTTGATTTTTTGTCATGTCCCACATACCATGCTCCTACCTGTCATGTTTGCAATAGTAGAGAAAAGAATTGCAATGGAGTTCTTTCTGGGCTGAGAATTTCTAGTTTTCGCCCTTGCTTTTTCTTTACATTCTCATAATCTTTTGCTACAAAAGACGCTGCGTCAGGATGACAATCCATTTTTGTCATCCTACTCCCCTCCTCTCCTCTCCTCTCCCTCCTCGTCCTTGTCTTCCGTGCATGTTATTATGAGGAGGTCCTTCGACCACTCATGAAGTGATTATCTATGTAGCCATTGTCATTAGCAAGACCAAGACTCCGGACCCGGCGAATGAACAATTGGATGGGGTTTGGCGACAACACTGAAGGGCCAACCGTCTGCTGGAGAAACATGAGCTGTCATTGGCTCCTGTAGAGATGATAGAAAATGAGAGTAGAAGACATTGTTGTTAAAGATTCCCAAAGCGTATCGGCTTACCAATGATCAACATAAAGTACTCTGAAAAATATTTCTTGGTATATTCAGCCCGCTTCTACTCTCGCTCCCCGTCCTATAGGAAACTAGGGGAGGTCCGTGGCAATTATCTTCCTTCTGGGGATTTCCATCAGCGAGAAGGCCTGGAGGCGTCATATCGTGGGCCTCGGTCACCTTACGCACGACTCCATTGGCCAGGGTGCGTGATCAATGACCAACTCCTATGATTTGGACGGGGAATCGGCAGTTGATATCGTTCTACATCCCGTCCAAAGCAGCGAACTTCCCCAGGGACGCGCCGCCCAGCCCCACGTCGCCCCACGACTGGGAACAAGCACCCCCGCATATTCAGGCCCCAGAAGCACTACGGCGTGCTGGCCAGGTATCCCGCATCTCTTCCCTTAAGACCAACAGCCAAAACATTCTGCAGAGTTGGCGATTCCCTTAGGAAGGGGGATTCGTGAAGGACCCCGCGGCGATAGCCGGCGCTTAGGCCCTCTGGTGCAAGCAAAGATCGTCTGAGAGCAGGGATGCAGCCTGCACTAGGCCAAGAAATGGGCATCGCTCCCACATGCTGGCTTGATCGGTGTAGGCTCTGCGACGGGGCTATACTTTCCTTTTTGACAAGCCTTGCGCCAAAACATTCTGGCTCCGCTTCGACCCCTTTGGCAGAGCCCGGTAGTTGGCGGGACAAATAATATGCCGACTTGTACTATATCTTTACATAGTATCACTCCCTCTCGCTCACAGCGCCTTCAACTTCGTCTCCAGTTAATTCTCTCGATATGCACGGGTTAACTGACCATGTCTTCCGCATCCTCTCCCAGCATTGGATAGCAGTGTCTCTCACGGCCCTCGTGCTGTGGCTAGTCAAGAACAGATATCATAATGGGCTTCACAAATATCCAGGTCCGCTTTGGGCCTCCCTCACGGACTGGTGGCGCTTCTTGGATGTCTATGGTCGAAGGCCTGAAGTCACTCATCGCTTACTTCACAAAAAGTATGGCAGTGTCGTTCGCCTTGGTCCGAATACTCTCTCCTTCTCTGACCCTCGGGCACTCAAGTCGATATATGGCTTGAACAAAGGATTCATCAAGGTATGCAAGCTCCTGTGAAGACGCGTGTACTTCACACATTTAGGCCGAGATCCAGACTCACGATTGGAATAGTCCGAATTCTACGTTGTCCAGCAGGCCGTTGCTAAAGGCCACCGCTTGCAGTCCTTATTCAGTTCCACAGACAACAATTTTCATTCCCGATTCCGCCGCTGTGTGAACTCTGCATTTGCCATGTCAGCGTTGGTTCAATATGAGCCCTTTGTCGACAATACGACAAAGCTCTTCCTAAAACAGACACAAGACATTTATGTCAACAACCCTGAAGGCTGTGACTTTACTCAGTGGTTGCAGTTCTACGCCTTTGATGTGATTGGAGAAATCACGTACAGCAAGAGACATGGTTTTGTGGAAAATAACAAAGATATTGATGGTATCGTGGCGTACCTGTCATGGCTATTCCTCTACGTCGCGCCGGTATGTTGCCATTTTCGCTGCCATGTTAGTCGTTTATTGACTCTCCCAGATTGGACAAATCCCTTTCCTTGACCGTCTCTTGCTGAAGAACCCTATCTACCTCCAACTCTCCCAATGGGGCTTCATTGATGCCACCTTCCCCGTCGCCCGATTTGCTGGCAACCGCATGGCTGAAAGACTCCCAGAACTAGCGAAGGGGAGATCGGCATCCGACCTGGGGGTGAAATCGCCAGATCTCCTGTCTAAGTTTCTGGCAGCACATGAGGCACATCCCGAGTTTATGAGCGAGACTTTGGTCCAGACTATGGCCGTAAGCATGGCTTTTGCTGGCTCGGAGACCACGGCCATTAGTCTATCAGCAGTCTTTTACTTTTTGCTCAAACATCCGCCCGCTTTGGAGCGTCTTCAGGCTGAGCTTGATGAAGCTGCCCGTGCGGGATTATTTGGAGACTCTGAGACCGGCCTCGTTACTTGGCACGAGAGCCAGAGGCTTCCTTACCTGGATGCCTGTATTAAAGAGGCGTTCAGATTGCATCCTGCTGCAGGACTCCCGCTGGAACGAGTGGTACCTGAGCATGGAGCAGAAATTGCCGGCCATTTTGTGCCTGGGGGCACCGTTGTCGGCTGCTCGGCGTGGCTGATTCATATGGACAAGAGCATATTTGGCGACGATGCAGAGATCTATCGTCCTGAGCGTTGGCTTCCGGACGAGGTACTCAGCATGACTGAGAGCGGTAAAGACGCCGAAGATCGTCGTATCAAGGAGATGAACGGGACCATGTTCCAGTTTGGAATGGGCAGTCGGACTTGCATTGGGAAGAACATCAGTTTGCTCGAGATCTACAAACTCGTACCCAGCATGTTGCGAAGATTCGAAGTGAGTGTCCTGGATACAATTCATGCCTCTGAGCAAACTAACCCATTGTTTTTCGCCAGATTCAATTCCAAGATCCATCCCAAGAATGGGAGCTGGTCAATGCGTGGTTCGTCAAGCAGAAGAATTTCACCACCACGTTCAAACTTAGGGATATCGTCAAACCAGGAGAAATTCATCATTCCACCTCTTGAGCAAATCTTGATTCTAATGATCATCTATCTTTGCGACATTACATAGCATTGTACAATGAGAAATGCTCTATTCCATTCTGTCCCATAAAAGTACCGCAGCTTGAGGAGAAAGGTAGCTCCAATAACCTTTTGCAATACTTCACAAAACCTAATCCCTAGAATAGAGGCCCCTGCACACAACTTGCCGTGCAGAGCGCTGCGCTGATGTCTACGCTGATGTCTATCCAGTACAACCTTCTCCAGATGTCAAGCATGTATATTCCACAAATCATCTAGATTTCCAGCCTAGAGTACGGGAGGATTTGCCCTCGCGCTGCGTATATACAGAACATTCTCCATTAGGGCTGACGTAGTTCATAGTCTTGCTCTATTATTTTCACCTGTTGTGGGCTTTTATACTTCTATATCGTTGATTATCGTCAAAGTTGTAAGCCACTCGCCATGTATGTCTCCAGGTAATTTGCCAGAGTATGACTGCAAATTCGGAGTTCAGCAAAGAAAACAGAACAGGGTATCGAGTTAATCCGACCATCAACAACGCTACTTCACGGAGCCGTCTTCGACATGATTTCGGATGGACTTTCCACCGAGTTGGGGAGCTCATGTGCTTGGGGAACATTTCCCAGTTCCACTGGGCGGTTGCTCCTATCCCGTAAATTCATATAGGGGCCGCCATAGGGAGTACCTGCAGCCGGTGGCATTGTCTGCCTCTTCAGAGCCCTTCTCCGCTCCAGCAGCGCCCATATGATCGAAAGCAGAGCGATTACACCGAGCGCTACCCCCACCCCGGCGCCGATTTCAGTTTGGTGGCATGTCCTGCAAGTGGCCGATGAGGAGGACGAGGATGTTGCTGTGGCTGCGGCTGTCGCTGTGTATGTTGCAGAGGACGATGTTTTTACGACCGCGTCGAGTAATGTAGAATTGGCAAGCAAAGCGCGACCGAGGATTGGGGTACCAGTGGGGACTTCGAAGCCGGAGGTAGGGCTATCGGGGCAGACGATTGTATCCCCGTCGATGATTGGGGTGCCGCAGCAGTAGATCGCGGTGTTATTATAGAAACTCAGGTTGATAATGGATGCGCCCATGCTCGGGGTGCTACTGGCTAAAGAGGGTCATCAGTTGCGCTATCCAACGCTCCGAGAGTGCGACCGCAACGTGCACTCACAACAGTAGCTCGAACATCCGGCCTGCCAGTCGGAATTGGTGCACGCCCCCCGCGAGAGCACATATGGCTGGTGTGCGACGTTCAGACAGAGTCCGTTGGATAGGCAGATGTCTCCCGACCCACAGCATGTGGCACTTGTATCGTCGGAGCAAGGCACGTTTCCTGCGGCGAGATTGCCCGAGGGGAAGTAGCAATATCGATCATCGGCGACCATTGTTGCAGAGAGGCTGGAGATGCAGACTGTTCGAGTAGAGCACCTTGACAATGGGCGGGGGCCCGCCCCCTCTCATTATGAAGAGAACTCATCGTGCAGGCACTGAATGCTGATCGAGTCGAGCAATCACTCTTGGACCCGCCTGGGGCGGGTTCGTCTCGGCTCCCAGGGGGGCAGCTGGGCCGCGAGAAGAGTGATAATTCCTCCGGTGGGAGTTGATTGGCAGCGGCATCAAGGAAAGCCTAGCCCCCAAATTTCTGCATGCCTAAACTTTCACCACAGGCGTCAGCTCACCCGTGTTGAGATGAGACCCCCACCGGTGCTGCAGGGCCGCTAGCCCCTTGAGGTGATCATCTCGTGAAAGGATACTATAAGAAAGTGGGGAGGTGACAGGGCCGTAACTATGACCGTTGCTCCGTCAACATTCTCTCAGGGTCAGGATCAATTAGGTGTCAAGAATGAACTTTGGGCTCCACATCATCGATCCACCGCGGTTAGCTCTGGCTGTTCCCGGCACATTAAACGGCATGATGATTGTTGAAGAGAGCATGGGCTCAAATATCCATTCGCACGCAGCTATACGGCAGGTGGTTCAATTCTAAGATAATAGTACAGACAATGATGGTACACGTAGTAAGCAAAAGTGGGTATAGTTACAGAACAAAAAGAAGGGGTGGCGGTAAGAGGTTGACAGGGCAATGGGCAAAAAGGAGAAAGGAACGACAACTGTCAACATCGGCGCAGCAGCAAATCCCTGTTGGGAAACGAGGTCCTCTTCGGCCATCCAGTGGCAGCCACACAGAACCAGTGCTGGCGTGATCGTAGGCAGATCAAGCACAGTCCATCTCCACGTAGTCCAAATCCACTTCCTCCCGTCGACGGAGGAAAGATGCTTCTTCGAAATCATCCAAGTCCATCGTGGTCTGCTTGGTATTACGCGGAGCGAGCAGACGGCGTCTCGGAGATAGAATAGTACGTCCTCGAGGAACATCTTGCCAGGACTCACTGCCAAAATCATCGTCGGCATATACATTATCCTCGAAATCCAACGACCGTTTCTGGCCGTTAACCGCACTGATGAACGACGCGGTCGATGTAGTAGATTCCTGGCTGCTGGGAGGAAGAGAGAAGGCATCACCGTCGTCGGTGACAAGTGAGTGTGGGTCGTGAGAGGATTTGGAGATGCCAGAAAAGGGCGCAAGTTCAGCGTGACTGACGTTGCCGTAGTAAGGCTGAGCTATAACAGCAGGCTTGACTTGCTCGGCTTTCATCGCCATATGGGTCTTGTATCCATCGGCAACAGATTTTCGGACCCGCATTCCGACCGAGAGAAGTGAGGCCTGCACCTTGGCCGGGACCACGGGGATTGCAGAGCACGTCGAGGCAGAATAGTGGTTATGTGATACCGACTGGCCATCGGCGGATTGAGACTCTAGGGGAACTGAGGGGAAGAAATTCGTGATAGGGGCCTGGAAGCGGCGGCGCTTGGAGAGCGTGCTATTGGATGTTGCCATGGTTTGGTGGGCGGCGACAGTGGTCGGGATGAGAAGAGTGGAGATTGTAACGAGGACAGCTAGGCCAGGTGGAACGACGAAAGGAAGGTGGAACGGCCAAAGGAGTATGAGGCGAGAGGCCGAGAGTGGCGTGTGGGTGTCTTTCAAGTATTCGCGATAGGCGAGAGGTAGGAGAATGGATGCGGGAAGGAAAAGATAAAAGAGGCTAGGTCATACAAAATGATGCGGCTGGGAAACGCGACGCGGGGAACACGCGCCCGACACGTTCTTCGATGTAGCCTATTTTGGCTAGGGCTTAGGGCTTGGCATTAGTCTATCACGTGAATGGCGTTTACCTCTTTCTTTAAGGTTATCTCGGGCAGGGAGGGAAGGAGTGTGAAGACTTCGGCTTGCTTGTTGAAGATACGGTCCTCTTGCCCGCATAAAAAAACATGGTGGATGGATGGATTGCAACAATTCTTAAAACAATAATCTGCCGACATGCTCAAACAACAATACGAAAGTGAAAAATACAAATCAACAGAAAAGTGTAGGTACCCAGCGGGTGAGGTATATATCTATATACGTACCTACTGGCAGTCGTAATCCCCTGTTGCCCAACGAGCGCTCCTGAGCGCTCCCCGAGGACTCCGTGATTGGTGCTTGATTGCTCAGAGATTTCGTTAGAGGCATCTATTGAGCACTCAGTCCACGCTGATACCATGCCCTAAGGAGCACTCCACCCCAACCAGGCTGTTTATTTGTGAACTAGGTATGTTTTGATGGCCCCGCTCAGAGCACCCCCATTTCATGAATTGCTCCATGCTCCCACCCCTGCTCGCTTCCGCCCTTCCCCATCCTCAAAAATAGGCATTCGAAGAAACTACCGCAAAGTAAAAAAAAACATTGCTTTTGTCCGTTATGTATTGCGTGATTACTTATTTCCAGAATGGCCTCCACGTGACTCCCTCAGTACCTATAGATTCAAGCTATAGCCCCCTTGAAGGTCGGGCCGATGCCAAAGGATACCTAGGAGGAGGATCATCTGTTGTTGTTTTACCCTTTATATCATAGGGAAGGAAAGGTAGAGCCATGTTGAAGGAAGAAGCCTTGTGAGCATCCAGCTGAGGAGAGAGGGTCTCACAAAAATGGGGCAATAGTCTCACCATGAGGATGGAGGCGGACAAACCCATAAAGGTAGTGAGAAGGGAGAGAGAGAAAGAGAGTGTGAATATGACCTGAATATTAGAGGACTGAGGCGTCAATTGTCTGGATCTTTGGCTTGTGCGACCTCGGGGGCTCCACTAATTTTCCGATTCAGAATTGGGGCTATGCAGGATGGATGGAGTTGATCGATAAGAGACAAAATGCAGAATAGTATTGTAAATCACGTTTTAGGTCCCATATATAAGTCGCGAACATAAGGAAGAAACGCCAATCTCTTGACATATCAATGGCCATTATCTACAACGCAATGCCCAGGGCAGGTGAATCAACGTCAGTAGAACATCCATGAGCGGATATTCGATCAGTTTCCTGCATTGCCTCTCTTTCCGCCTCTCTTCTGGCGAGCATGGTGAGCCTTCAGCACGGCCCGGGTCTCCACTAAACTGCGCTTGTTCTTGCTCTTCGCCTTGCCCAGAGTCATGAGGAAGTTCTTGCGGCGGGCCTTCTCTTTGTTGGTGGTACTCTTTCCCAGCTCCTGCTTGCGTTCCCTGCGTCTGGCTTCCTTGCTCTTGTGCTCATCCCGGTCAGGCTTACCCTCACGTGCATGAGCAATACGCTCTTCACGCGTAGACTTTGCCGCGGACAAGGAGGCAAGGCCTTCGATCTCTTCGGCAGTCAACGGGTCATCCGTGTGGCGGGCGGCAGGCTGGGCAGCCCGGCGGCCCCTGGGGCCATTGACAGCAGATTCGACAGATGCTTGAGCCCGGAGTTCGGCCAGCTTAGCCAGATCGGCTGGGGTGAGGATTCGAGTCGTAGCGAGAGTGGATAATTTAACCTCTTGGACCGCATCGTCGTTCTCCTTCGTCGCTTCTCCGTCCTGCTTGGATTTCTTCGAGGGCCGATCCTTGCCCTCATCTTCAGAGTCGCTGAGATCAATCTCAACATCGCTTTGGACATTGATCCATTCACCCGAGTCGTCACTATCCTCGTCATCCTCAACGTTCCATGCGGCCCAGTCATCTTCCTCATCATCAGAGGCATCAGAGGCATCAGACGCAAGACCCTTCTCCGCACGCTTCTTACGCCGCTCCTCTTCCTTCCACTTCTCCAGCAGCTCCAGACCCTCGATGCCGCCACTCTCCTGTTGGCCAAACCGTCTCTGCTCCTTGTCACCAGACCGGAGGCTCATGGCCGCCTCCTTGCCACGATCGCGCTTCTTAAGCATCTGCGCTCCAACATCACGGTAGAGACTAAGCAGGCCCTTGGAAGCCATAGTCACACCCTTATCCTTGCTCTTCTTGTACATGACAAGATCCTGCAGTAACGTCTCGTTCATCGCCAGGGGCTGTCTAACACAGATTTCTCGGATGGCGTTAAGACCCGCCGTGGCAACCTCTCCTGCCGATGCCTCAGAGACAAACTCATTGGCAATCTTCTGGATGAGTGGCTCCAGGACATCTGGAGGCACCAGATCGTGCGATGCCTGTGCCAATGATGCCAAGAAGGATGTGACTGAAGGCTGGCGAGGGGTAAGGAACTTCTGGAAGTAGGAGTAGAGCGACATGATGTGCAGCTTGTGCAAGCCCACCAGACGCGACACCAACTGCAGAACAAGGAGCTTCTGCTCCAAGTTCAGCTTAACCTTGCTGCTTTGCAGGTGCTTAGTAAAAAGGCTGTCGGCAAATCCTTGGGGATCATGAAGCAGGTGAAGTGCTGAGAAGTTGAGCGGATGCGGCTGACTCTTCTTGCGCTCCTTCTTCTTATGGATGGATATGGCCTTCTCAGCCACACGGGCCTTCTTCTTCGACTTCTTATTGATTTGCAGGTTATGGCGGAGGCGACCAACATCGAGGGTCTCTTCGTCACTGCTCTCATCCTCCATGTCTTCACGCTCTTTGTCTCCACCTAGGAAAAAGCGCACTCCACCCACGATGACCTTCTCGTTCTCTGACAAACTTGCCTCCTTCATAATCTCAACGGCCTTAGCATCCGTCCAGATTTGACGCTTCCATAACTCTCGGGTCAACTTGATCGCCCAAAGTCCCTTGGAAGATTTGCGATCAGAGGTGACCAAGTTGAACAGAACGGTCTGCATTGTCCGGTTCAACTTGTGGTGGGTGGTCTTTGAATTAGCCTGGCGAAGCTCGGACAGAATCTTCTGGAACAGGAGAGCTCGCAAAGTCTTGCTAGGTGTAGAGATGAGAATGGGGAAGAGCGTGTGCAGCAGCCTGCCAGTATAGCGAGTTAGATCCCTGGATCCAATACTTCACATATAGTTTTCTGGGTCATGCATACGTAGCTGAGTCCAGAAGATCCTTCTTCTTGAGGAGCACTATGCTTCCAACGAGTTTCTCTCTCAGTTCCGACTCCAACACCATGTGGTGCTGCATCAGCATGTCAATGAGCTGCTGCGGGAAGTCCTTCAAAATCTCCGGGTAGCAATCGGCAACATGAGAGATGAAGTCAATCAACTCTCGGAGTGAAATAATACCCGTGTCCGTGGCACCGGAGGGTGCAGCCATGAAAATTTCTCGATGCGACTCATATTGGTAGTGCTGGGCGCGGAAATCTTCGATGTAGGATCTAGTTAGAGCCAAGCACACGAGTCAGCCTTGCTCAGCGACAGAAATTATCACACAAAGGATTTGAGCAACTTACTTGGGATCCCTCCGAATCTTGTGTTGCAAATTAGGCCTGCGGAAAGCAGAGAACGCGTCAATATTCCACATCAAAACTGGGTTGCACCCCGGGACACAGCGATTCTAGGCAGATTGGGCACTTACAGATCAGCCTCAACCTTTTCCAAGGCACCGAGCTTCCGTTTGACCATCTTGAAAGCCTCTGGCGTGGGAGTAAATGGGGGGTGGAGGAAAAGAGGCTGGAGGTCAGTCGACGCTCCGAAACTTTTTTTCCCGCCGTATCGATAAGCGACCCAACTTGGGAGATTAACAGCTGGTGCCTCCACCGCAATTTATCAACTTGCCAATCACCCATCAATGGTCAAATGATACTTCGTACATCTGTCGGAATGTTTCTACAACAGCAAATCCGTTACTCAAGATGTCATCTGAAAGAACTCAAGGCTACTTTTGAATGCTACAGAAAATCCATAATCCCATGACGTGAACAGTAAAAAATTTTGTTTTTTCACTTAAAACTTGGCCATTACCACCCAAGGCCCTTGCGACCGCATCACAACTGCAGGAAATGAAGCTATCCAATTGTGTTCCCATTTTGGATTCTGCTTCCTCCGTGGCTGTCCCTATCCGTACAGCCGTGCAGATGCATGTCAATCATCTAAAACCCGGTGAAAAACACCCCGTTCACTCCAGTATCCATAAAACACGTAGGACCAAACGGAGAATGCATCCAGTACACCCTTTACCGGTTGCTCTTGGCAACACGCTCCAGCTCGTCCTTCTTCTTGATGGCGTAGGAGTTGCTGCTACCCTTGGCGGCGTTGACGAGCTCCTCAGCTGTGGAGATATTAGTGGAAATTCAAAAGCACGGAGTGGGTGTTTTGGGGAGGGGGAACGAACCCAGGCACTCAGAGATGGACTTCACGGAGCGGAAAGAGCTCTCACGGGCACCGATGGTGATAAGAGCAATGGCGGTGTTGACACGGCGCAGGGGCGAAACATCGACGGCCTGGCGACGGACGGTACCAGCAGAGCCAATACGGGTGGAGTCCTCACGGGCACCGCAGTTGACAATGGCATCAACGGCGATCTGGATGGGGTTCTGGTCGGTCATGATGTTGACCTGGATACAAGAACATGAGTTAGATTCCGAGGGATAAATGTGAGGATACAGCCAGCCAAGGTGGATCAGGGCAGCGGTCCAGCGTGTAGACAAGCCTTCGCAGCAGGTCTGTCGATGACAAATTGTACAGGAATGGGGAAGACGTACGATCTCGAAAGCGTGGGCGACGATGCGGACAGCCATGGCCTTCTTTCCGTTGTTGCGACCGTTCATCATGATCGAGTTGGTCAGACGCTCAATGATGGGGCACTGAGCCTTGCGGAAACGCTTGGCGGCATAGCGACCGGCGGAGTGAGAGGTGTAGACCGGCTGGCGGATCTGGATGTAGTCGCTGTTGGCGGGCAAAAGAGGTTAGCCATTCGAGTTCTGCGTGATGGATTCGGCATCTGGTTCCTCTAAAGAGATTTTGTCCCGGCGCGCGCAGCAGTCCCTCCCTCATCTAGTGCAGCCAAAGTCGCTCCCTGCGCATATGCCCCCGAGACTAAATCCATCCAGAGAAACTCGTTGTCGTCGATTGAGATGGACTCACGTCAGAGAGATGTCGCGGATCTCAACATCCTCGTAGCTCCACTTGCCGAAGAGCAGGACACCGGCGTTTTCGCCCAGGTGGGCAATCTCCTTAGGGAGGACCGTGACGGTCTGAACGTCCCCGCTGTCGGACATTTTGCTTGTCGAGGGGAGGTGGTGGGAAAAGGGTGACCGGGTTGTCGAAGGGTGGTTGAACGATCTCGGGATGGCTATCCACACGAGAATTTGGAGGTGTGCTCGCTTAGCGGTGTGCGGTGTGTGTGGAGTCACATGAGTAAATTTAGGGCAATCGCTACAATTAGGTAAGCGCAATGGGCCGTGGAGAATCATGTGACGGGCTGATTCGACAGCCTCAGGCGTCCAATTGCCTTTCTTGCTTGCGGGCGGTCAACCTACTGGGCATTGGGTACCATTCACAATGTCTCATTACTTCCCCGCCATGGGCGTTGAATCTCCTAATCCTAGAGTTTGCGCCATTCGCTGCCTTGAACGGGCAATTGCACACTCGTTGAATAATTTAAGAGTTGCTTGTAGGGAATTTTCTATAGGTAATGCCTCTTATGCACAACTGCTGACCGGGGCTGAGACATACTCTGCCTACTAGTACCTGAGAAAGCCACAGTTGCCATCTTGACCACATGGCATCCCGTATCGCCCCTGGCACTCCTGCGTAGCAAACAAGACCTTGTCCCTTGACTCAGTAGAGACCTCAAATCCATACATATACTACAAGTGCAACTACATCCCTTCGGGTCGGCCTTATTGCACTGGTACATTCGGCTCCCTTCACCGCCTTTGGGTACGTGACGTTGTGTCTGTCCAGCGCAGAGGCCGACACTGAGACAAGACAATTCGTTGGCCGCTGGTCAAGATCCCCAGGAAATTCAAGTACATCCAGCAGGGGTCGCTGCACGTTACCCCTCCTTGACTTTCTTCTATCGCGCCCCAAGACGCTCCCTGAGATGAAGTGTTCCTGACCGTTCACTTCCCCCATCTTTCCCCCGCGTGTTCGATCCACTTGCCTCAATTTGAGGCCCTGCCCGTGCCCTAATGGCGGAAGAGAGTCCAGAATTCCAGTCTGCTTTGCGGAACCTGGACAGGGAGCTGGAGGTATGTTTTCCCCCCTATGCTGGTAATGTCCTTTTTGCGCTTACGCGGCGTGAACTTCAACAGGAAGGCGATATCACCGAAAAAGGGTAAGCAGTCTTCTCGCAGCCTTCATTCCTACCAATCGGGCACAAAGAGCATGGATCTTGGAATCTCTAGAGGGTGGTCTGAGATGTGACACAACAGCGGTGGGCTAACGTTAACACAGGTATCAAAAGCGACGCACCTTTCTGCTCTCCCAATTTCTCGGCCCCAACAAGCCGCTTGAGATCAATGCTCATGCGGCCGCAAGCTATGCGGGCTCATCCGAAGGCTCCCATATTACCCCACCAGCTATATTGAGCGTGCGACCGCCAACTGCCGATTCTTCACAACCAACCATCGCATCTCCAACCTATGCCGGCGGGTACGATGGTGGGCAAGGTAGCGGAGAATTCGGGTACAACCACGGTGTCAGCGTGGACGCACAGAATCCGTCCCCGGCTATAGCCGGCCCTCATGAGCGAGATAGTACCGGCATGTTAGAAGCTCTCGATCGAATGCCGACGTCGGCATCGTATGATTCGCTTTTCCTTCCCAGGCCTCCGGTCCCAGGTTCGCAGGGCCAAGATGGCTCGCGCACTGCGACTTTGATGAGTCAGAACTACGCTTTCAACCCTGAGTCTGATGCAGAATACGTTCAGCCTGAATACGCCCAACCGGAGTATGTGGATGACGGCGTGGGGGGCTACGATCCCGCTCCGGGCGGGGTCACGCGACAGTCGACAATGTTGGATTCCCAGCAGGGCTACTTCTCTGACTTTGCCGGACAACAGCACGATGACTATCGGGAGAGCTATGGTGGTGGTTTCCATCGCTATTCTCAGTCGGGTGAGGCCTTCTCACCAACAGCGAACATGGCGCCGCCGTTTATCCCTCCCTCCGAACTGTCCCATGGCCCAGCTATCGAGCATCTCCTACCTCTCGAACCTCGAGAGATACCTTTTGCGGTGAATGACCCCCATGACAAGAACATCACCATGTCTAGTTTTGACAATATCCCATCGGTGCTCCGACATCGTGCACGAGTTCATCCGAAACAGCCGGCATATTGGGTGCTGGATCAGAAAGGAAAGGAAATTGCTTCTATCACATGGGACAAGCTGGCAAGCCGCGCAGAAAAGGTGGCGCAGGTTATTCGTGACAAGAGTAACCTGTACCGTGGAGATCGTGTCGCTTTGATCTATCGCGAGGCTGAAATCATTGAGTTTGCCGTGGCTCTCATGGGCTGTTTCATCGCAGGAGTGGTTGCCGTTCCAATTAATAGTCTGGACGATTACCAAAGCTTGAATTTGGTGCTCACCTCGACCCAGGCCCATCTAGCCCTGACCACCGAGAACAACCTGAAGGGCTTCCAGCGTGACATCACAGCACAGAAGCTCAACTGGCCACGGGGAGTGGAATGGTGGAAAACCAATGAATTTGGCAGCTTTCATCCTAAGAGAAAGGATGACACACCTGCCCTTGTTGTACCTGACCTAGCATTCATCGAGTTTGCGCGGGCCCCGACAGGAGATATGCGTGGTGTCGTGATGAGCCACCGAACTATCATGCACCAGATGGCCTGTCTGAGTGCCATCGTCTCAACTGTACCTACCGAATCGAGTGCCAAACACTTCGCAACCAAGGGTGAAACCATTATCAGTTACCTTGATCCAAGACAAGGAATTGGTATGATTTTGGGTGTTCTCCTGACCGTATATGGCGGCCACACAACTGTTTGGCATGAGGATCGAGCGGTAGAAACCCCGGGCTTATATGCTCATCTGATTACAAAGTACAGGGCCACCATCATGGCTGCAGATTACTCTGGACTGAAAATCTCCGCGTACAACTACCAGCAAGATCCGATGGCCACCAGACATTTCAAAAAGAACTCGGAGCCCAACTTTAGCAGCGTCAAACTTTGCTTGATCGACACGCTCACTCTTGATCCTGAGTTCCACGAGATCCTGTCAGACAGATGGCTGCGGCCCATGAGAAATCCACGGGCCCGAGAGATCGTTTGTCCAATGCTGTGTTTGCCCGAGCATGGTGGAATGGTCATCAGTGTACGTGACTGGCTAGGCGGCGAGGAGCGAATGGGATGTGCTTTAACCCACGAAATGGACCCGGCAGGACGGGACCCGAAGAAAGAAGACGAGAAATTCGAGAAGTCAGATAACAAGACCGGGTTTGGCAGCAGTCTCCTAGGTGGTGGTTCGCGCGTCTCTGCTCCCAAAGAAAGCGCACATAACGACCTGGGCGAGGTTCTGCTCGACAAGGAGGCCCTCAAAAGCAATGAGATTGTTGTTCTGGCAATGGGCGAGGATGCTCGGAAGTATGCTAGCAGTATGCCGCATGCCGTCCGAGTCGGTGCCTTTGGCTATCCCATTCCCGATGCCACTCTCGCCATCGTCGATCCCGAGACCAATCTCCTGTGCACGCAAAATGTCGTTGGAGAGATCTGGGTGGATTCCCCGTCGCTGTCTGGAGGCTTCTGGGCGCTTCCCAAACATACGGAGGCTATCTTCCATGCCCGGCCATACAAGTTTGAAGACTCCAACCCTACCCCAGTTCTTGTCGAACCCGAGTTCCTGCGTACTGGTCTGCTAGGCTGTGTGATTGAAGGCAAGGTTTTCGTACTGGGTCTATATGAAGACAGACTACGGCAAAAGGTGGAATGGGTTGAGCATGGTCAGGAGATGATTGTCGAGCATCGGTACTTCTTTGTTCAGCACTTGGTCGTCAGTCTCTTGAAGAAGGTGCCAAAGATCCACGATTGCACGGCGTTCGACGTGTTTGTGAACGATGAACATCTGCCGGTTATTGTCTTGGAATCGTATGCTGCTTCGACAGCACCTACAACGTCTGGTGGACCCCCGCGTCAGCTTGACTCCGTTCTTCTCGATTCACTTGCAGAACGCTGCATGGAGGTTCTTTACCAGGAGCATCATCTCCGAGTCTATTGTGTTCTGCTAACGGCCCCTAACTCTCTCCCGCGCGTGACCAAGAATGGTAGAATGGAGATTGGCAACATGCTCTGTCGTAAGGACTTTGAATCCGGTATGTTGCAGGCCGTGCACGTCAAGTTCGGAGTTGAGCGGTCCGTGATGAACTTGCCCGTTGGTGTCGATCCTGAGGGGGGCATCTGGTCGCCTCTTGCTTTGGCATCCAGACAGGAGACCCTGGCCTACCAGGAGAAGCAGTATTCCGGGGTGGACTATCGGGATGTTGTTATGGATGATCGGACTTCTACCCCGCTCAATAATTTCAAAACGATTGTCGATCTTCTGCAGTGGCGTGTTTCGCGCCAGGCAGAAGAGCTTGCCTACTGCTCCATCGACGGGCGCGGTAAAGAAGGCAAAGGCATTACCTGGAAGAAGTTTGATTTGAAGGTCTCGGCGGTCGCGACCTACCTCAAGAACAAGGTCAAGGCCCGACCCGGCGACCATCTGATCTTGATGTACACTCACTCGGAAGAGTACATCTATGCCATTCATGCCTGCTTCTGTTTGGGTGTTGTCGTCATTCCGATGGCCCCCCTGGACCAGAACCGTCTGTCCGAGGATGCTCCCGCATTCCTGCATATCATCAATGACTTCAATGTCAAAGCCATCATCGTCAATACTGAAGTCGACCACGTCATGAGGCAGAAGCTTGTCTCCCAGCATATCAAGCAGTCTGCACAGGTTCTCCGCATTGGTGTACCGGCTATCTACAACACCACCAAGCCTTCTAAGCAATCACATGGTTGCCGTGAGCTCGGCTACACAATGAAGGATACTTGGCTCCAAGGTAACCAGCCCGCCCTTGTTTGGACCTACTGGACGCCCGATCAACGACGAATTTCTGTCCAAATTGGCCACGACACCATTATGGGCATGTGCAAGGTGCAGAAAGAGACATGTCAAATGACCAGTTCACGGCCAGTCCTTGGCAGTGTGCGGAGTACTTTGGGTCTTGGGTTTCTCCACACTTGCTTGATGGGCATTTATGTCGGCGCTCCCACCTACCTTGTCTCTCCCGTCGACTTTGCTCAAAACCCAATGACATTGTTTGTGACCCTCGCGCGGTATAAGATCAAGGACACCTATGCTACGAGCCAGATGTTGGATTACGCCATAAGTGCCATGGCCGGAAAGGGCTTCCAGCTACAAGAACTGAAAAACTTGATGATCTCTGCCGAAGGCAGGCCCAGAGTGGACATCTATCAGAAGACGCGCCTACACTTTGCTTCCGCGGGCCTGGACCGTACCGCAATCAACGTTGTGTACTCGCATGTGCTAAATCCCATGATTGTTACGAGATCGTACATGTGCATTGAGCCGATTGAGCTCTGCCTGGATCTCCGGAGTCTGCGTCGCGGTCTCATCTATCCTGTGGACGCTGACACTGATCCTACGGCGCTTGTAGTTCAAGATTCAGGAATGGTGCCTGTCAACACCCAGATTGCGATTGTGAACCCGGAAACCTGCACTCTAGCCCACGTTGGGGAATATGGTGAGATTTGGGTCCAGTCGGATGCTTGTGCCCAAGGATTCTACAGGTCCAAGCAGGAGTTTGACGCTGAAAGAATGAATGGCCGTGTCGCGGATGGAGACCCTGGCGTGCCCTACGTCCGTACCGGGGATCTAGGCTTCTTGCATACTGTCACTCGCCCCATTGGCCCTGGTGGGCAACCTGTTGAGATGCAGGTGCTTTTCGTTCTGGGAAGTATCGGCGAGACCTTTGAGGTTAATGGTTTGAACCACTTCCCCATGGATATCGAGAACTCCGTGGAGAGATGCCATCGTAATATCGTGAATGGAGGATGGTGAGTTTTACCTCTCTAGCATGCCTCGAACACACTAGCTAACCCAGTTCCCTATAGTGCTATCTTCCAAGCAGGCGGCTTGATTGTGGTTGTGGTCGAAGTCACTCGAAAGTCGTTCCTGGCGTCTCTCGTCCCTGTCATCGTCGACACCGTTCTGGGTGAGCACCAGGTGATCGCAGATATCGTTGCTTTTGTCTCGCACGGTGACTTCCCTCGCTCGCGTCTCGGCGAGAAGCAGCGCGGAAAGGTCCTGGCTTCTTGGGTGACCCGCAAGTTGCGTACAATTGCTCAATTTAGCATCCGCGACTTGGACGAAGACCATCCGTTCGCTTTAATGCAACACCGTGCTAGCCGAGGCTCCAAGCCGACCAGCACTATGGGCAACAGCATCCGGCAGTCTAGTATCATTCCTGAAGCCGACATCTCTGCAGTCCCACGATCACCGGCCACTGCACTCCCTGAGGAGAGGACCGGCACCCTGCACGAATCCTATCAGGACATGCAGCGCCCAGCTCTGCCGGAACTTGACACTCACACCGAGAACTTTGTATCATCAACCCCGGTTCCTGCAGCGACCTCCACTGTACCTTACATCCAGGAGCCGCAGTCGGCAACGATAGTGACGGAGGATGACTATCATTTCAACACGGTGGAGCCTGCCTACGAGTCCGCTCATGAGCCCGCCGCTGGCGCCACCCGTGACTTCCGTTTCAGCTTTGATATGGATAATAACCCCATCGAGCAGCTGCCGCAGGATTCGATCCCTTCTGGGACCGAGCAGCCCCCGACCAGGAAGGCTTCGCTTCCCATCCAACAGTCCGTACATCATGAGGGCGGCATAACAGCAGTCCCTGGGCACTACGAGAAGCCACGCCCGGGAACGCAGGAAAGCGGTTTGATCGACGACTGGCCCCAGGAAGCCCTTATGTATCAATCCGCTCTGGGCGCAGAGGACGGTCAACGGCAGCACTACGACCCTAGAAACCGGATTTGAAGTTGAGTCGCGAGCATTGGGACATGCTCTGTACATGACATTTGATGTGCGAATTTTCTCTAGAGTAAAAGCGACTTGTTCACGAAGCGATTGTTGTTCCGATAGTGTGATTGTTTCTGCGTTTCTTTTTCCATCCCCTTTTTTACCCCGGTTGTTTGGGATTCATTGTCTCCTTTCCCTCACTATTTTCACTCATATTTTGCCTCCAATACCTGATCTGCACTGTTCTCTGTTCTATTGCGCGTGTGCGTCGCCATTTGTACATATTATCACATACCCAAACAATTTATCTTCAGCCCTGTCCCTGAAATCCGGTGCGTAGTTTTTCTCTGGCATTATTTACATCACAAGCACCTTTTACCTCCTGCATGCTCATCATCGGCGAATTGTGTACCGACCTATGATCGTGGTGTATGGGCAACGTTTGTGCCCACCGGAAGACGTGATGTTGACCCACATTTATACCATCCGCTCTGGCACCATCAATGTGCGAAGCTCGCAATCGGCACTACCGGTCTTGGCATTAAGCACGCCTACTCTATGCCCCGGGGAAAAGAGAATACGAAAGACTTTGTATCCACTGCCGTTACCGCATGATCGACAACCAGACCCATTGTGCTGTCGTTTTCTCCATGCCCGTCGTTGATCACCGGGCACGGCCGCCCGCTCTCTATACTCAGTGCAGTAGGACTCGCGGTACGATCACGGGGGATCTTCGCCGGTGCAATTCTGTGGATAAATGAGACAAGAGTTGCTCTACTTATTAATTTCCATCATGAGGGGTCCTGTAGAAGTCCATCTAGCTGTTCGGGGTTTATATAGAGCTCCAGTCTGAACCCCCAAAGGTCAAGCGATTCACTCCAGCTTCACAATAGGCGGAACATGTATCTTCTCTGGCTTCTGGGTCTAACCGCTTTAGCGGTGGCTAAGCGGCCCAACATTCTTTTCGTCTTGACTGACGACCAGGGCAAGCATGTCGGAGGACTGGAACATATGCCCAAGCTACAGGTGAGCCTTCAGGCAAGCCCCCGAGACAACGCGTATGATTAATCGAATCAATATCCAGGAACTTCTTGTGCAAAAAGGCTCCACCTATCCCAAGCACTATTGCTCTGTTGCACTATGCTGCCCTTCTCGCGCAAATCTCTGGACCGGCCGTATGCCACACAACACCAATGTGACCGATGTCGCGGCTCCCTATGGTGGGTACCCAAAGGTGGTATCTGCTGGCTGGAATGATAACTACCTGCCGCTGTGGATGCAAGATGCAGGGTACAACACGTATTACGTGGGAAAGTTGTGGAATTCCCATACCGAGGACAACTATAACAAGCCCTATGCACGTGGATTCAATGGCTCCGACTTCCTGCTGGACCCGTACACCTACCGATACTACTATGCGCGGATGACCCGCAATGGTAATCCCCCAGTGAGATACGACGGCAACTACTCTACCGATGTTATCGCTGACAAGGCGGCCGGGTTCCTGGACGAAGCGCTGCAGCACGATCGTCCATGGATGCTGACTGTGGCCCCCAATGCGCCTCACTCCAATGGCTCGCATGACTCGACTCGCAATGCGAATTGGTTTGGGGAGCCGGAGTATGCCCCACGTCATGCGAACTTGTTCAAGGGTCTCCAAGCTCCACGCGATGAGAGTTTCAATAAGCTTATTGAAGGCGCCGTGGGTTGGGTTGGAAATCTACCAGAGCTGAACCAGACCGTCCTTGATTACATCGATGAGTTTCAGCGCTGCCGTCTACGTGCTCTGCAGGCAGTGGATGAGCTTGTAGGGAACCTGGTTGAAAAGCTTGAGAAGGCTGGTGAACTGGATAACACCTACATCTTCTTCTCTACCGACAATGGATACCATCTCGGTCAGCACAGGATGCAGCCAGGCAAGAACTGCGGTTATGGCAAGTACTTGATAACCTGATATAAGATGACTTAAATGCTAATACCCTTAAAGAAACCGACATCAACGTCCCCCTCATTGTCCGAGGCCCCGGTATCCCCGAGAACCAGACCCTAGACGTCGTCACCAGCCATACCGATCTTGCACCAACCTTCCTATCCATCGCCAACTCCACACGAGAAGGCCTAGATGGCAAGGCTATCCCCACTACCATTGGAGCCAGCAAGTCCGACAATAAGACTGAGCACGTCGCAATTGAATACTGGGGTCTGGCGGTTCCAGAAGGGATCTATGGCTATGCCAGTGACAAGACCGCCGAAGTCGGCAACAGCTACAAGAACAACACATACAAGGCCATCCGACTCGTTTCCGACGACTACAGCTTGTACTATGCAGTGTGGTGTACGAATGAGATTGAGTACTACAACCTCAAGGTAAGCACCCGGCCATAGACGCCCTTCATACCATCGGAGTCAACCCGTCCAACCCTAACGATGGATAGGATGATCCCCACCAAACCGTCAACCTAGGCGCCACCCCCAACAAACATTCGAAGTATAAAATCGCCAACCGTGAGCTCCCACAAATTCTTCACCGTCTCGACGCCCTTATGATGGTTCTCAAGTCCTGCGAAGGTGACGCATGCCGCTACCCATGGCGCCAGCTGCATCCTGCAGGCAAGGTGTCTAATCTGGCTGCAGCGCTGGACTCGGGCTTTGACACATTCTACGAAAACCAGCCGAAGGTGTCATTTTCGGCGTGCGAGGTGGGATATATAGTTGCTTCTGAAGGACACCAGCAGTTTGATGTATATGGAGGGGGAACCAAAGAGAGGAGATGGGATGATATTGAGAAGAGGTGGGATGATGCGTTTTTGTGGTGAGATCCTAATAAGTAGGGAGCTTTCTTTTAACGAAATGCTCCTTTTTGTTAAAGACTTGAAAATTTATTGCGAACGCACTTTCGATGTGGTTGATCTTCCCAATGAGAGCCCCATTCAAAGTCGATGCCCAGCCAGAGGTTGCCACGAAAATATTGAACGGTGCGTTGATTGATAGCACAAGGAAGGAGGGAGGGAATGCGGCAATTTACGACTTTGTACTTCAATTTTTGGAAAGACGTCAGTGTTCTACGGGTACTGTATAAAGAAGAGTTTTGTGCCCACTCCCCGGCCAGCAAGTCCATGTATCTAGAATTGGCACAATTAGTCATTGGACAAGTGCTAAACCTTTGTTTTCTTCTGGGTCCATCACAACGGTCAGATGAAACTTTAATCTCCGCACAATTGTCTGCAGACCTTTGTTGCTTACTTGATGACCGACTCCTCTACTACCAATGGATCAATACTTGTGGGAAGCATACTGACGTCTAACACGAGTAGCATTCACCAATCTACCAAGCAATGAAAACTGGACCAGGTGGCGAGGTTTCCATAGAGGAATTTTCGAACATGCTGAGTGATGCGATATACTACAGGATACCGAAGCTTCATTCCAGATGCCACTGCATTTCTTCACGATCTAGAGATCGTTGTCTCAAAATCTTCCGGCTCGCGTCCTAGGAGCTCTCCAAGTAGAGGGGAAACAAAAGCTGCTTCTCCAGGACGGAAAGCCTCAAAGGTACTTGTCCACAGCTTCGAATGATCCACTCCATGGTAGGTGAGGCTCGGTGCGACCTTGGGCTGTTTCGCAAACTCGTCCACCGAAACCTGGCAGATGCGCACAGGATGCTTCGCAATTTTCCCCAGGATGGTGACAGTCTCCCCCAGCGTTAGTGTCTTGGATCCTGACAGCAGAACCTTTTGATTCTTGTACTCGAACCCTGCCTGATTCTGTATAAATCTCTTCAAAAGCTCTGCCGTACCCTCTCCAAGCTCCTCGCGCTTGACCCACGCAATTCCAGGGCCCGATCCATCATGTGGGATTTTGATTTCATCCACAGGGTGCGTGAGATCGAAGAAAGCCGTATAGAGAGGGTAAGACTCAGAGTAGAGACCCTCACGAATCACTGTGTATCCAAAGCCTTTGTGCTGGCGAGCGCACTCTTCCAGATATCTTTCAGTGTCCAGATGCGCCTGCATGACGTGGGCCACAGACTCGCCGTTCTCCGGCTTACCACCATATCCCAAAGAGCCGTAGAAGATATAATTCACCCCGCTCTGAATCACCAGGTCAATTGCAACGCGTTGGCGCTAGATAGACCAATATAAGATATTAGTTTGCTTCCTAGGATCACTTTGCTTTATCTCATGCGAATCTCACCTCAGTCCGATACTCATGCTCCACCGACGCGTATGATATCAGAAAAAGCGTGTGCAATCCATCAAATGCGTGCTGAAGGCTTTCGTCGTCATCGTAGTCTGCACGGCGCAGGACTGCTTCTCCGACGGGGAGGGATTTGAGTTTTTCTGGGCTTCGAGCGATGAAGACTAGGCTTGATGACGGAAGGCGCGGCAAGAGGTGTTTAACAGTCGCCCCGCCAATTCCTCCTGCTGCGGGAAACACTCCGACAGTATGGTTTGGCATTTCAATAGAGGATGTCTGTTCAGGGCTTGACAAAAATACAAATCTTGCAGCCTGTGGGTGACTCTGCTGAGATCGTCTACATACGAATAATTATCGGCCTAATCCTAAGCCGGTTCGGAGGCTTCGTTCATGAATTTGTCATCGTTGTCATAATTAACCCAGGGAACGTACCTGAAGAAGATCCACTGAGCTTGAATCTCATAGAGTGGCGCCACCAAAGTCGCCGGCCCGTCCTCTACACCGCTTATCTTCTGCCGCTTTGTCTGCCGTACTGTGGACCAAGACATCATGTCAAGACTAAATAGGGCCAATCCTAGGCAAAATAACCACTAGACCAAAAATGCACTATAGGCAACATTCTTAGTCTATACCGTCATTTATTGCTCCGACACATCATCATTACTGCTGATCCTGTCATCAGTCCAAAGTTCTCCCTTAGATCTATATAAGGAATAACGTGGTTACAATTTACTGTCCCAGGCTTAAAGTTCCATGGCTGGAATGCCTTACGAGAGATAAGCACCTGGCTAAATATTTACCAATAGAAGTAGCTGGCCCAAAATCCTACCCAAATTTCGATTGTAGAGGCTTGAAGATTTCTCTTCAGAGCGCTTTAAGACACAACAGGAGCATTCATGAAGAGCTTTGCTACGCTGGATAATTGCGGTGCAAAATCCACTGAACCCATCATGTATCACATACAAGGTATCAACCATCTCATGTCCTCCAGGAGATAGCAATAGGGACCTATAAATAAGCTTGTTGGAAATAATTAACTGATCCTTATCGGACGTGGTGTTTGGTGGCATTTTCCGGAAGCTGGCTTTCGTCCACAAAATTCGTCCTTTCTCTCCATCGTAGCCGGTAGTTGGAACAAAAGTCCATAAAACACTTTTCGAGCTTGTTGCATTGCTATTTCATACCTTTCCATTTTGTAGGTGATGCGTTTTACCACTTTTCGTCTGTTGCGATGCATACATTGACTCTTTCGTTTTGATGACTGCTGATAGCAAATCATTTTCTTTAGCCAATATGTGATTCTACTCTGCATCGGAGATAATAATCATCCATGCCATAGCATACGAACAATTGGCTGAAGGAATACTTTTTATGTTAATGTCCTTCCTTGGGCCGATTACAGACTCTTAAGTATTACACCCACCAAGGATTCTACATAGCAAACAAAGGAGTCACCATCAGTTTGAACTTGAACTCATAAACAATGCATTATTTGTTATACCTGCTCCTCAAGATGACAAAATACGAAACTTTTTCCCAAATTACTGCTGCTCAGCTAGCTTGGTCAGGTTCTCAATGTTGACCTTGGCGCTGAGACCGCCGTTGGCAACGGCAGTCGTAGAAGAGCCGGTCAATTGCTCGAGGGCCTGGAGGTCCTCATTCGTGAGGGTGTTGGAACGAATGGGGCGGAAAGGGGCTGGGGAGTCGGTGCGGGAGGTGAGGAACTGGAGTCTGTTAGCTTGGTTGTAAGTGGTACTTAAGTTGGTTGGCTAGAACTCACGGAGCTGGCAGCGCTGAGCAGCGCGATCAGAGATGCTTGTACAACATCACCATGGATTCCGACACCCCATACTTGATCCTTGCTGCCGGCGGCAGTACACTGGATGTACGTGGCGGCCTTCACTTCACGGCCCAGACCACCTGCATTGCTCTGGCTAATGGAGTGCTCCTTGTAGTCCACAACATCGAGATCGATGCTGAGAGTGGACAGAGCCGCGGCAAGGGCTGAAATAGCACCATTACCTGTGCCGGTAATAGCATGCTGGACACGATCGATCTCAATGATACCGGTGAAACGACGCTTAAGGTTCTGAGTGTTAAGCGCCTTACCGGGCTCAGGCGGAGCAGGCGACTGGGAACGGTCGGTTGTGATATTGTAGTCGATGAGAGTGAAGCGGGGGTTCGACTTCAGATGATAGGCGTTCTCGAAAAGGGTGACAAGCTCGGACGGTCGCAGCTCCCGGTTGACCTTCTCAGTCTCCAGTTGCACAATCTTGCTGAACTCAACCTGAAGGCCACGGGGGAGATCCAGTTCCAAGCTGCGTAGAATGATCCAGGCAGCTCCACCCTTCCCACTTTGGGAGTTGACTCGGATAACTGCCTCGTAGTTTCTTCCGATATCTTGCGGGTCGAGAGGGAGGTATGGCACGACCCACTCATCATCATCCGTCGCATTGGCTTTCTCACGCAGCAAGAAGCCCTTCCGCACGGCATCTTGGTGACTAATGGGGGGTTAGGAGCTATAAAAACGAATGATTGGTCGAGTACTAACCTTCCACTAAAGGCACTAAAAGGGGGGAAAGAGTTAGTATGCTTGCATCACAAAACCGGTGACGGAGTACTACTAACCTTGTGACCAGGGCGCCACCATAAGGCCAGCGCTCATTAACAGGAATCTTATTACACTCCTCCACAAGCTTGATAACGGAGGGAATGTCGGAGAAGTCAACGTTGGGCGAAACACCTTGTGTGTAGAGATTGAGAGCGAGAGTGACCAGGTCGACATTACCGGTGCGCTCGCCATTGCCGAAAAGGGTACCTTCGACACGTTGAGCGCCAGCCATTTGTGCGAGCTCAGCTGCAGCAACAGCACAGCCACGGTCGTTGTGGGGATGCAGGGACACAACGAACTTTTCGCGCTCCGTCATACTATTGCAGAAGTACTCAATCTGATCCGCGTAGACGTTGGGAGTAGACATCTCAACAGTAGCGGGCAGGTTGAAGATAATGGGGTTCTCGGCAGTCGGCTCCCAGGCAGCCTTGACAGCTTCACAAACCTCCACAGCGAACTCAGGCTCAGTATCCGAGAATGTCTCTGGGGAGAATTCAAACTGCCATTCCGTGCCAGCCATGGAAGGGTCATCCTTGGTGATTGAGCGGGCATACTTGGCGCAAGCCACAGCCTTCTCAAGACTTTGCCTCTTGTCCATGTTGAAGACAATCCGGCGGAAGCACGGGCTGGTCGCCAGGTAGATGTGCAGAATGGCCTTCTTCGCGCCCCTCAGGGAGTCAACAGTGCGGCGGATGAGATCCTCACGGCATGGAGCGAGAACCTGGAGCCATACATCATCGGGGGTAAGACCGGGCTCCTCAACAAGGCGGCGGGTAAAGTCGAAATCGATTTGGGACGCAGAGGGGAAGGAAACCTCGATTTCCTTGTAGCCGAGCTCGACGAGCTTCTTGAAAAACCGGTATTTTTGCTCGCCGTCCATTGGATCGGGGAGAGATTGGTTTCCGTCACGCAAATCCGTTGCCAGCCATCTTGGTGCAGAAGTGATTTGCTTGTCCGGCCAGGTTCGGTTAGGGAGGTTCAGCGGCTTGTATGGCTTATATTTTTTGGAAGGATCTTTGAGCCTGAGGTAAGAACAAGAAGGTTAGCATTTCACTTCGCTCAATTGCATCATTCCCAAGGATGCGCCGCCCTAAAAAAGCCGGCAGCAAAGCAACATACATCGGCATATTGGCGGTTGGCGGGGTATTCGGCGGGGGATCAGTTTGATAAGGGTCGATAAAAGGGAAAGAGAGAAGGACAACGAGCAGACACGATGTGGTTGGGTCAGAATGAGAGGACACAGATGGCACTCGGAATTGAGGTACGAGGTCCCTTTTAAAATCACACAGCGCTGAGACCAATGAAGAAAAGGGAATTGGTGACTCAAAAAGGCCCGCGATCGTCGATGACGCCGAGTTTTTCGGCGCCGACAGCGGAGTCACGTGATATCGACTCCGGCCCCCGTGGCCAAGCGTGGAAGTGGCGATCGGCAGTTGTCTGCAGTGACCGAGGAAGACGAATCAAATCAGTTTCACCCTCTTTTAAGCTTCTCGTCCTGCCCATACTGCGTGTTTAAGGTTGCACGCCGTGGCGAACGTGCATCTGCGGCTCGCTGGCTATAGCAACCGCCCCCGAACTCGGAGCACGCTCGGCCCAAGGCATGCATGCTTCGCCGCGGCTAACCGCGGAGTGGGTTCGATTGCATAGGATGTTTCCCGCGCAAATTGTGAAAACATATTGGCATAATATACAAAAAACAGGTGTTCATGAGAATATGGTGTGTATAGTACAAGGGCCGCTCAACTGAGAAAAAAAAATCACAGGAAATTCCGCTCCAAGTGCACCAGCAATGGATGCACAGCGCCCAACTTGAGTTTCACCGCGCGCGCATTCTTCAGCGCGTCCTCCCCAAGCTGGGACTTGATCAACGTTTGGAATTGCTGGGCTTCCGGATCGGTCTTGCTCTGCATCTGCCCGGTGACATCCACGGTAATGCCACCTTCAGCGACATCGCGCGAGCCCAGGATAAAGATCATATTATACTTCATTTGCTTGGCTCGTTGGATCTTCTTGCCCAGTGTCTGTGCGCTGGTATCCACATCGACGAGGAATGTAGAATCAACGGACGACAACGGGCGTGGTGGTGCAGCAGTCCCGTCATTCTGGAGAACCTTGAACCCGGAGAATTGAGCCGCGGCTTCGTGAGCCTGTTGTACTACAGCTGCATCCTGGTTGACTGTCAAGATAATACCCTGACGTGGCGACAGCCAGAATGGCCAATGGCCACCGTGATGCTCGATCAGCAGAGCCAAGAACCTTTCGAGGGAGCCGAAGATAGCGCGATGCACAAGGACTGGAGTGGCAACTCCAGGTGTAGCTGGGTTATAGTCCTCCTCGCCCTCTGCAACCTGATACTCCAGTCCAAAGCGTTGGGGCAGGTTCATATCCAGCTGAATGGTGGACAATTGGTGATATTTACCCGCCTGATCCTGGAGCTGAATATCGATCTTCGGCCCGTAGAATGCACCATCACCTTCATTCAGTGCCCATTTTCGCCCCGTACTATCCAATGCCTCTCGCAGCTGGTTCTCTGCATTGTCCCACATCTCCAGTGTCCCAATGTAATCGGTCTCTGGCCGTGTGGACAGCACCAATCGGTATGGGCCCAGCCCGAACGTGGTCATCGCCATGTCAACGAAACCCAGCGCCGACGCAATCTCCGATTTGATCTGCGACGGTCGGCAGAAAATGTGGCCGTCGTCCTGGTGGAAGCGTCGCACGCGTGTGAGTCCTGTCAGCGAGCCGGAGACTTCGTTCCGATGCAGCGGGCTGAAATCCGCATAGCGCACCGGCAGCTCGCGGTACGAGTGGTTCTGCGACTTGAACAGCAGGCAGTGGCCCGGGCAGTTCATCGGCTTCAGGCCGTACGATTCATCCTCGCCGACTTCGCCTTCTGTCACGCCGGATGCACCGCGACCGGTCACTTCGTACATGTCATCTTTGTAATTTTGCCAGTGGCCGGAGACTTCCCATAGGGAGCGCTTGTAGATGGTTGGGGTCAGGACTTCGCGGAAGCCGTATTGGAGGTACTGCGTGCGGAGGAAGGAGATGAGCTTGTTGACGACGTGGGTGCCGTTAGGGAGGAAAAGAGGAGAGCCAGGGCTGTAGTTGGACGAGGTGAAAAGCTCCTGGCTAGTTCCCAGAGCTCGGTGGTCGTGTGATGGTGGTGGTGGTGGTGAGGGAGCTTCGCCGTTGGACCGGCCGTTAGCAGCGTCAGCGCATGAACAATGGCGAAATGCGGTAGTCGACAAGGATTGCAATCTTTCAGATTGCCACCGCAGGCCTCGGTTGACCACAGGCCGATTGCAGGCGCGCGGCCGTAGCCGAGTGAGGACTGCGCGCATGGTTGGTTTGCTGAGAACCATTTTCTCCGCCGCGTTTTCCTGCCGATCTGCCTCCGGCCGCAATTAGCGGCCATCGCGCAAATATGGTACCACTACTATATATCTTCCTACCAAACAAACGCCTCTGATCATGACAAAGTCCGATTTAATATGACGGACCTAATGATGGGGTAAAATGGGACTCTACCAGATTGACAGACTGCATACCTTGACTCATACTTGTAATCTGCCGTGAACAACTTCGCTTCATTATGCCGTAACCTTGGATATATATAAACAATGGAGCTACCCTTCACTGGTATTCCCAGATCGTCGGGTTTTTTATGGCGGATTTTTCACTTACTTTCATCCGAAAAAGGATTCACTCAGTCACGTATACTTGTTAATCTAACTCATTTTCCGTCAGGATATCTTTTAACGAAAGCGAGTGTGTAGCATGGCCAACTGCACTTGCCGCCGAACCCACCTCGACCTACCCCACCGCTTTGCGCGAGGTGAAACGGTCGCGCGTCACTGCAACTTCCCTTCAGGCAGTGCCATTACCTAGCAGAATCGCATTCAATAACCTGGGCTTTTCTACTACGCGATTCTACGCTCGTATCCACTGGCCACTGACTCCCCCCGACGAGCCATCGCCGCAGTGCACCGATCTCGGGCGTGATATGTGTACGACACCATGTCAACAGAACCACCCGGTACCCCGGACCGCTCGGTGCTAGGCGAGTCCTGGGTTGTCGCATCAACAACATCGATCAAGGAGCATGACTCGCATCCCACCCTTGAGAAAGACCCTTCGAGCCCGAGCCCGCTTCCCAGGACGGAGAGGAAGATCGGCAAGCCGGCAAACAAGAACACGAACCTGGACCATGACCAGGACCAGGACCAAATCCCGGCCCAGCTAGCACAGTCGCTGACCTCGTCCTCCTCGTCATGGACTACGCCTGGCCCGGAACTCGTCATGCCGTCTATCTATGAGATACCGGTCTCAGAGGCATCATGGGTCGCACCCAATATACGGCCCGCAGAAAAGAAAGCACCGCAGATGAGGAAGCGGCGCCGGATCGCGCGGAACGGGGAGCAGATACAGCAGCAGCCCGGGGCTGCAGTTGGGAGCACTGGTTCAGCAGCTCCAGATCATAGAAATAAGAAGCCAAGCGTGATTGCAAGGCTCTCGTCGCTCTGTCGCGAGCAGCGCACGCTGCTCCTCACCGCGATCAACGCGCTCCTCGTCGCCCTGATCATGCACCTCCTCTTTCTCCCCGAACTCATCTACCAAGCACAGGGCCTCTGCGCCTTCCCAACGTTAAAAGCCCTCTACCCGGCTAGCTGCGTTCCTCTCGAAGCGCGAGCCCTGCCCTCCAACCCCTTCAAATCCACAGCTGCTCCCATCTCCCCCGAAGAAACCATCATCGTTGCGCAGAACAACCTCCAATCCATCTTCACCACCACCCTGTCCACCCTCACCCCGCTCTCGCACATTCTCAAAGAAAGCGAGTCCATGCTGTCCAACTTGCAGTCGGACCTGCAGACTAGCCTACCCGACGCACGCAACGCGCTAGCCCTCGAGTTCCAAGGCAGCAACGCCGCGCTGCGCGCCGCAGCGTGGGAGTTCGACTCGCTGCGCGCAGACCTGCGCTCCGCAGTTGACAGTCTGCTTGCGTCGCCCCTGGCCCTTGAGCCAGACAGTGCCGCGTCCATTGCGCGCGATACGAGGCTTGCGGCACAGCTGCGCCGGCGCGCCGAGTATCTCGACCGGCTGCGGGCGCAGATCGGGAACAAGGCTGAGTCGCTGGGCGAGCGGTTCGCCACGCTCGATGACCACCTCGAGGCCGTTGATGGGATTGTATCCCGAGAAGCGCGGCGGGCGTCGTTGCTGGGCGGTCCTGCAGTGGTACCGCGCGGTGAAGGCCTCCTGCACTTGCTTTCGAGCTATGCCAGATTCAGCGCGCGGCTGTTCGGCGCCGGCGCAAGCTCGAGCACGCGCGAGCGACCCGCAGGCCCATCGTTTTCGCCTTCGCCTTCGTCTAGCGCAGACCCAGCACGGCCCACGAGCACCCTTGCATTGCTGAGGCTGGCTGCGACGCAGCACCATGCCGTGGCGGACGAGGTGTCCCGGCTAGCGAGGGCGCTGCGCGATAAGCAGCGACCTCGATTGGGGCCCACTTGGTGAGTCGGTTCCACTTAAGCTTGTGCGGCTAGTCGATAGGGCCCTTTAGTGTATGGGTGTGGGGGTCCGGTGGGATTGCGTTTTGATTTGATGTGATTTTGGTCTGGCCTGCTGTTCCTTGGGCACGAAATTTCGTTGCGCGGTTTTTTTTTTCGGTGTTATTAAGGGGTGTTCCGTCGCGGGGGGCTGATTTGGGGACTGCGATCCGATACGATGGGATGAAGTACATATGACGATAGCCATGACATACGATCCACTTTTTTTCTTCTGTTAATTGAGTCCGCACCTCCATACAGTCCCGTTCGGCCTATCTTCGGTTCCACTCTGTTTTGATCAAGTAATCCTCTACCGTGGTTTCCAGCACACCCGCCCCATGGCCGTCCAACCCCTTCGCAAACCACCCACGGTATGCCAGCCGCGAGTCCCTGGCAAAACAAATCTCACCACAGAGCGAGCCCGGAAAGAATGGATAGGGACGGCTTCGGCCGAAGCTGCTGTTCTGGGATAATGAATGCCTCCATTTAACAGGGCACACACCCTGATCTTAGCTACTGTAGTGGGGATGCTCTAGACTGGACTGCAATGCTTCCCTTCCACGGTCCAACACTGAAAGCAACCACATCTGCCTTGATACCAGGCAGAGCAATATGGTATCCCGTCCAGCATTGCAGGTTAGCACATCTGGTCTCGGCAGGGGTTACTGTACCTTTCCCTACCATATTCCCTCGTTTCCGTCCTAGACGCCGAATCAGTATTAAGCAGTATGGAGTACACATACCCCCCAACACCTAACCCCAAGATATCGGCAGGACCAGCCGTGCTGGCGGAGCTCGTTATAGAGATACGGAGCTTTTCTTTTTCATTAGGTGCTGTGTCTGTATCTTGCGTTGCACGGCACAGAGTGCTGCAGATACGATGCCGATCGAAAGAGTGGAGGCCTTCCAGATCGCGCGAGAAGCAGATACGGAGTATAGGAGGGCTCAGCCTTGCGTCGATCCAGGATCGTCCGTTTCACACTTGCAGTTACAGTTACAGTTCTGTGAAGAGCACCGGAATATTGAAAATGGAGAGAATGATGATTAGTCCCAAATTTGGGGAACAGACTAATCTAGTGGGAATATGGCTGGTGATGGCGTGAGATCGATAGATACATGTTTGGGGGATGAGACTAATAAAGCAGATCCAAACTAGAGACTCCCCCGAATGATAAGCAGCTTGACACGAGCGGCGAAACATGAAACGGAAGCACTTATGGACGCCAAGTCGAGGAAAAAAGATACATCCTGGAAAAGAAAATAAGCGATGAAAAAATGCGTCCCACATGTTCCTGTCCAAAACCCGGTTCCAGCCCAGTATGCTTTATCCGTGGGAGTAACGTGATTAGGTGACGCGCGTAAAGTCGATGAACGTCAAAAGAAACAAATGGAGGGAATCCTTTTTTGGTAATTTACAGCTGGAAGAAAGCAGTGAGCAGGCCCAGGAGGGACAGGGGGCCAATGTAGTTGGCGACCACGTTGGCGGCGGCATTGAAGGTGGTGGACGCGGTGGCGGAGGTGCTGGAGGTAGTGCCAGCGGCCGAGCCAGAGGACGAACCAGAGCTAGTAGTGCTCGAGGACGAGCCCGAGCTGCTGCCGGAGGTGGTGCCCGAGGACGAAGCCTCGGTGGAGCCCGCGGTAGTGCTCTTGGCCGTAGACGAAGTCTGGGTAGCGGTCACCATGGTGGTGGCGGTAGAGGTCGAGCTCTTCGTCGAGTCGGAGCTGGTGGAGGAGACGGAGGAGCTGGAGCTGGAGGTCTCGCTCAATGCAACGGCACCGCTGAGCTTGATGCTCTCGTAAGAGCCGGTGTTGTCGGTGTAGGTGTAGGAGTCGGCCGGGTTGGCGTTGGTGATCTCCACGGACTTGACGTACATGGAGAAAGGAGCCTGGGAGTAGTCGGTCTCGCCGCCAGCCCACTCGATGGTGCCCTCACCGTTGGCGGAGTCACCACCAGCCCAGACACCGAGGCGCACGCGCATGGGAGTCTGGGGGTAGCGGGCGCCACCCTGGGCATCGGAGTACTTCAGGGTGCGGACGGGGTTACCGTCAATGGACCAGACGGTCTGGTCCTTCTGCCAGTTCACCGTGTACGTGTGGAAGGTGGTCTGGGGGTTGGACACCGCGGGCCAGGTGGCGCGATTGTACGTGGTGGTATCACCCTTGCCGAAGTAGTTGGTCTCAATGGTGGTGGTATCACCGCCGAGAGCCTCCTATACAAAGGGTTAGGAAATCGGAGTAAACCAAAAAGGAAAAAGGGAAAATGATGCTTACCCAGTCAATCTCGTCCAGGTCATCCGACTCGAAGACGATGGAGCTGACAATGCCCTGGCCGGGGGCGGCCATCATGGTGACGGAGACCTCGCCGAACAAGATGTAGAAGTCGGTCTCAATGGTGGGGGCTTCGCCCCTCTTGTGAATGGTGAAGGCCGCGCCATTCGAGCCCGCGTTGACGGTGTTGGCGGTGGTCTTCCACTTGCTCAGGCCGGACGCTTGGGTGAAGTCAAAGGTCATCTTGGACTCGGTGGTGCCGGCATCTGCGGGGCAGGTCTTGTCGAGAGGGTTGCAGTCGGTGAAGGTCTGCGCCGCGGCGAAGGGGACGGCGACGGCCAGAGCCGCAGTGGCGTACTGAAAGAGAGACGGCATGGTGGAAAGAATGTGTCACAGGTGTGTGTGTGGGAGTGAGGAGGTTGGAAACGACTGTGGGAGAAGATATAAAGCAAGGCAGTACAACAGAGGCCAACGAGTGGAGCGTGTGTGCTGATAGTCCTGGTTCCGAGAGAGAAAGCGCTCCACGGTTGCGCGGGTGATGGGTCTTTTTGTACCGCATGCAAGTCCGACAGTATACACCGGCACACCTGCACGCTAGCAGGCGCCCGACCACCGAGACGAAGGAGGCTGACCATGACTCGTCCCTCCGTGTTGGACTAGGGGATGCCTCCTTTGGTGCACCATGGACTGACAATGCTGATTGGACCGCGGCGTGGCAACGCGGTTCCACCAGGGATCGCAGTGGAGCCGCCGCAGGAGCTACTGGGGAAACCCTCACTGGTGGAGTCGCGCGCACGGTGAGACACCGCCCCTCTCCTCTCCGTGCGGTTGGTTCGATGGGACTCCCCAGCCTCCTGGCACGGGCGATACGGGGTACATACTACTTATCCTGGGTATACTGGGTATACTGGGTATACTACTGTATACTTGGCCCCGAGACGTCCCCATCTCATCCCCCCTGCCAACCTTCCACTCAGCTATCCCCCGCCAAACTGAAAGGCAAGGATCGGCTGATCATCCCGGACGATCAGGTTCCAGGATGCCGTACTTCATCCAGACCCTGGATAGTCACGACGATCATCCTGACTCCCCAACCCCGACGGCCCTGGGATTTGGGATTTGAAAAATCCTCTCGCAGCCCCGTGGCGATGGCCTGCAGCAGAGGCGGTCCTGGTCTTCTCGTGCGTCGGGCCACGCCGCTCACTAGCTGGCCTAAGAGGCTGCGAGATGCTAAGAAACACTAACGCCGCCTAGTAAGCGAACACAACAGCCCCACCACTGCGCCCGATCTGAGACACCGGAAAAACGGAAATTTGGGCAATTCTCGGGGATGTCCTCCGTATGGAGTACATATGATATCAACGACACTGTCACGTTGCGTGATGCATCTCATGGGCCCTCAACCGTGCCTCGACCCTCATTGCTCGAGAACATGACATCGTCTGGTTCCAGGTCCACCGCCTTCTTGCCTCCTCGGCGCTTGACCACTTCTCGCTTCCAATTGCCCCCCATCGTTGTCAGACGAACTTGGAACCAGCGGCCCGTGTCCGCTCTTCTCACACTGCCCTGACTAGTAAGTGGTGCACTAACTGCTTACGGTGTAAGACGCCTGAAATTAGCAGAATACGGCCATCAAAGTCCGTGCTAGCGCCGCCCAATGCGACCGTCCATTGCCACCCCTCCCACGGACGCAGACTCGGCCCTTACCGCACCACTCACGGGGTCAAGGATGCTCTGAATCACCTGCCGGGGCCCTAAAAAAACCCCACCGGACAACGGAAATGAAGCCGAAAATAGATTGAATTCGCCTTTGTTGGCCTCGTGGCTTCCGGGGAAGTCCATCCAATCACCGGATTGGCCATCCTGGCTCAAGGGTGGTGCTGTATTGAGTTGGGCCAACGCAGGAACCAACGCTTGGCACTCTTAGGTGGGATCGAAATGGTTTTCCAGACAATCCTGGGTTCGAAGGGGGCCATGTGTGATCCTTGTTCCATTTCATAGCCTCATCTCCTCCTAGAAGCGATACTTCCAGGGGCTCTAACACTACTACCCTCTTGGCGGTTTGGGGTTGATGCCGGGTCCCTGTGATCTAACTTCGACCCTTTAGGTTCACGTGGACCCTGGCAACTCGATTCATCCCATCTACGGAGTATCCCGTTGTCACCTACTCTCGGCCCCTGTGGTCCAGGCCAGTAGTAATGAGGTCCCTGTTTGGTGAAAAAAACCGGGCGTTAAGGCGGAAAATTAATTAATGATTGTGATCCTCTCTCTCTCTACGTAGTGCCCATTTTTAGATGCGAGAGACATGCGGCGGGTTCGGCCCCGGGTCCTCTCCCTAAATAGATCGCACTGACCACAGCCCTAAGACAGCTGTCTGAGGCGGCACTGAAGCGATCGCCAAGAACAGGACCAAAAGAGAAACCAAGTGCTAAATTCTGGCACCCTCTCCCCTCCAACATCACCATCTTCCCGATCCCCAGGGAATGAAGATAGCAACTAATGGGACAAAACAAGGAGAAGAGGGGGATTCTTCCCCACCCCCTAAATATCAACCTCAGCAGGCCCTGACAACGCGATGTTCACCTTCTTCGTCACACTGTGCCGCGCTGCGTCAAACTCCACCCCGCGCTTCTGCTTCGGCGGGCGATTCTGCCCCAGCACAGTCACGGACTCAATCACCACATTAGCCGAATACCCGAATTGACCGCGGATAGTGAGGTGGCCACGACGATACTCGAACTCGATCTGGGAGCTGCGATCGGTCTGCAGCGACTCGCCGTCATCCAGGTACAGCGAACCGGAGGCATAGTCGCTCAGGTTCGGCGCCACTAAGATCTCGAAGCCACGGCGGCGCAGCTCGGTCGTGGTCATGGCGCTCGTTGCGCGCAGGGGGATCACGCTGCCGCCGCGGATGTGGATCGGGATCTCGGTGATGCCGATGTTGGACAGGTGCACGGGAGCGCCGTGGCCGCGGACGGTGGCGCCGCTGTGCCAGTCGTAGAAGATGTCGTTGGGGAAGTAGGCGTCCACCGAGGTTTGCCCGACGTCCTGGACGGGTGAGATCAGCAGCGCGTCGCCGTAGAAGAACTGCGCTTCGTTGGCGAAGGTGTTTGCGTCGGAGGGGTACACGTAGAAGAGCGGCTGTAGGAAAGGCTCGCCGGTCTGCGTCTGCTGGTGGAACGCCGTGTACAGGTAGTCCAGTAGCCGGTAGCGGATCTCGATGATCTTGCGCGCGGCGTCGGCGACGGTCGGCCACCGATAGAACTCCTGTGGGATCGAGGAGATCTCGTTGTGGTTGCGGTAGAATGGGTAGAAGGCGCCCAGGGTGGCCCAGCGTGCACAGAGCTCCTCGGTCGTGTTGCCGCCAAAGCCACAGACGTCCGAGCCGACCATGGGAATCTGGAAGATCGAGGCGAAGGCGAGCATCTGCGCAATGGAGGTGCGGTACTTGTCCCATTGGCTGAGATTGTCGCCAAGCCTGGTCGTGTGAGGGTTAGAAGAAGTGCGTGGAATGGGAGAGGAGCCGGTATGGACTTACCAGTGGCCGACATGAGCACCTGCACCGGCGAAGGTGCTACGAGTAATCACCAGAGGACGCACTTTCGGGCGGCGCTGGATCATGGCCTCACGAGAGGCAGAGCTCATCACTGATCTCCGCGTCAGCATGCATGGATGCCCAACATTATGTAGGAAAACACCGCATCTCCCCCAAGCTGGACATTACTCACTGGTTCCATAAAGGTTATGAGTGTCGTACTCCACATATGAATCATCCCCAGCATGCACAAGATCCGTATCAATGGTCTTGTTGCTCAGCGACCCAGCCGCATTAGCAATCTGATACGGTGGCGACAGGAGGTTCCGATCAGGCAAGCCCGCCTTGCTGCCCTTACCCCTACGGGCTTTGACAGTGTCAGAACGCTTGGCAGCTGGCGACGTCTTGGGCTGGAAGTCAGACGGGAAACCGGGCAGCGGGCGCGGCGACGAATCGCGGACGGCCGGAGCAGCGGGGGGCAGGTCGTTGTCCTTTGCGTACGCGGCGGGGTCCTCGCAGGGCCAGGGGCAGAAGTTGGCGGCCTCGTTCATGTCGATCCATAGGCCGTCGATGTCAACACCGCCGTCCGCGGAGAAGAACCGGCTGAATTCATCGTTCCACCAGTCTTGCGTGCCCGGGTGGAACCAGTCGGGGTAGACGGTGACACCGGGCCAGACGGCGCCTGTACGTAATGGTGAGAAGGAACCTGGGGACGAGGGCTGTGTGAATGAGGAGAGAGCTTACCTTGATAGAGGTCATCGCCGCGGGTGAGGAAGACGCCTGCTTCTTTACCTCGATTGGCAGCTCCGTTGTCTGTCCACATCGATGTCAGTGTCCTCCAAAGAGCTGCTTTGGCAAGAGGAGCAGGGTATACTGACCGCTGTCACTAACAGCTGGATCCACCATGACAATATAGTGCTGGTTATGCTTGTGCAGATGATCAACCAACTCACGCATCTTGTCTATCGGGAACCGCTGCGGATCCAGAGTAAACACACGACGGCCATACATGTAGTCGATATCCGTCCACATAGTCTCTAACGGAATGCGAGCAAGGCTGTAATTGTAAACCGCCTCGGCAACATCATAGACATCACGGTATCCATAGCGGCAGTTGTGGAACTAGAATCAACTTAGCGGGGTGACACGATCCTACAAAACCCATTCAACAAAAACATACACCAAAAGTCCAGTAGCTCTGCATCGCAGGAAGGCCCACAATCTCCGAATACTGCTTAGCCACATCCTTGGGTGTAGGGCCAGCCAAGAAGTAGAAATCAAGGACGCCACCGATGGTGTTGTACTCCAGGTACTGGCGCCCATCGTCGGTCTGATCGATCTTGATATCCATCCCATTGGAGTTCAAGAAAAACACGCCGTGCGTGCCAGCATCCCCGCGATGGTCCACATACACCGGGTGGTTGCCGTACAAGTTTGTGTTTTCCGGTATGCTGTACGCATCCCGGCTCCACAAGGTGCGCGTGTAGTTCTTCGTTGGCAGACGAAGCGAGTCGGAGTGCTCGCCCAGGCCGTAAAGGTGCGGGTCCGCCGGCAGCCAGGTCCGGAGCTTGAGGTACTGGTTCTGGAAGATCAGGCTGGTGTCCGAGGTATCAAACAGCACTTCCTGATCACGCAGCACACGGAAACTGAAAGGTTCAGGTTGATAGTCGAAGCGGATAGCAGGCTGTTTCTTGTGGTGGTCGCCGTGGGCCTGAGGCCGCGGCAGCACTGAAGTTGGGACCTGGTAGACATCCTCCTCGGCGTCGTAGATGACAACGTGCAGGCGGTCGTCTGGATAGGGTTAAGATAAGCTTATCCGTATCTGGTCAGGGGGTGGACATGGTTATACGAACCGGTCTGGTACTCCACGAGCAGCTTCAGGTTCTCCAAGTCGGTGCCGTAGCAGTTACAGGGGTCGCCCGCGAGAGTGAGATCTGCCGTCAGAGACTGGCCTTGCTCATTGATGTTTACAGCTTTGTAGCTAGGACAATCGTCCGGGCTGCCAGCCCGGGGTCCGAGGACCGCGGCTCCCACAAAGGGGGCGAAGAGGAGCAGTGATCCCCGCATGTTGAGAAAATCGCCTGGAAAAGCGGTTGAATGCACAACAAGGGGGAAGAAGAGTGGGGAATGTGACGGGTTTTAAATCGGACCTGTGGCGATTCAGAGGTTGGGAGGCTGGGTGGAAATGGGATGGTGTACAAGACACCGGGTGAGGGGAGAGGGGTCCGATGAATGTGCGAAAGCAAGGCGAGGAGAGCGAGATGTGGTCATACCAAGACCGGCCCAGTGAGGCCGGCTGCCCAGCTTGTGTTGGCGGTGTAGTTATCGCCATGGCCATGTTCTGCTTGTGCCACGCTCCAAAAAAGAACATGCGGAGACGCGGGCAATTATCGGACAGCATGGCTTGGCCGATCGGCAGGGTCCATCTGGGGTTGCATCCATGCTCGCGTGGGCCACCATTGGTTTGCCCAGCCTAGAGCCGAACGAGGCCGAAAACCTGACCGAGGGACAAAGCTGGTCGTCGGCGGTTGGCAGTTGCGGAGTGGTTTGGTTCGCGCGCGGCAGACTCTGCTATACTTCGGATGGCGGCTTGTGTGGGGACATTGATACGTCTCCCACTCCCAACTGCGAGAATACCCAACTCCACAGCTCGCCAGGTCCGCCCTGCCCCCTTTTCCCCCCAAAAATATCAATTGCTGCAATTGCACTTGGATCAATTGCTTTTACCACCGGTCTGGTCGAGGCATCTGAACAAAAAGGAAATTCATTTCATGGTCTCTCTATGCGCCCGGTGGGCATCTCTAGACATCATTCGTGTCGTATGTTAGAAAATTCATCATCTGAAACGCCGCTGTGATCAAAATCCCCGGGTCGAAAGATCGGTGGGCAGCCCCCCTCCCCTTTCCATCATTCCAATTCATTCATCATCAATCCTCCTAGTCCGCTTAGATCTTCTGACCAGCCGAAGCCTTCTGGACATCCTCCTCCGAGCTCATAATCTGCACCTTGATGGCGCCGGTTTTCGGGTTGGCAGCGGTCTCAAAGGCCTTGAGGGCATCCTCGAGCGCGAAGCGGTGGGTCACCAACTTGCGCAGGTCAATCACGCCATTTTGCACCAGGCGGATGGCACGCGGCCAGGTGTTGCAGTAGCGGTACTGGTACTGCAAGTCGATCTCCTGGGTGCTGAGGCGCATGAAGGGGATCGTCATCTCGTTCTTGCCGACACCGATCACAAACACCTTGCCGCCAAATTTCATGCTCCAGATGGCCGAGTTGACACTGCTCTCGACACCGGTGCACTCCAGGCACAGCTTGGGGCGCAGGGCATCCGGGCCAGAGCCCTTGCCGTCGTTCAGGGCGTTGATGATCCCCGCCGCAGACTCCTCGGCCGAGAGGCCTATCTGCACCTTGTAGGTGCGCACCTCGGGGGCCAGAGACTTGGCAAAGGCCAGGCGGCCCTCGTCAATGTCGGTGATGACAATGGGGCATGCACCGGCGGCGCGCGCGCTGAGCAGCGAGATTAGACCGATGGGACCCGCACCGGTGATGAGCAGGGGGTCGCCCAGGCGCAGCCCGCTGCGCTCGACGGCCGCCAGAGTCACACTGAGAGGCTCCAGCAGAGCCCCATTCTCATAGCTCATGTCGCCGATCTTATGGCACCAGATGGCCGGGTGAGTGACATAGCGGCGCAGAAGGCCGTCTACAGGTGGGGTGGATAGGAATGCGACGCGCTCGCAGCCGTTGTAGCGGCCCGTCAGGCAGGGCTCGCAGGCGTTGCAGATGACGTTGGGTTCGATTGCGACACGGTCGCCGGGCTTGAGAGAGGTCACATCGGGCGCGACCGCGACGATCTGACCGGCCGATTCGTGGCCGAGGATGTGGTCGCCGGTGACAATCATAGGGCCGATGCAGCCCGCGTGCCAGAAGTGCACATCGGATCTGTTCGTTGCCGATGTGGAATTAGCGATTGCCATTCAACCAAGTTTCCCCGGGTCTCGTCTGAGCCGGATGGAGTCGCCTTACCCGCAAATGCCAGTGCTGCGCACCTCGATCGTCACCTCGCCGGGCTTGAGGCCCTGGCCGCTCTGGACATCCTCTACTTTGGGGGTCGTCTCGGCAATCCACAGGTCATGCTTGGGGTTGGTATAGACACCAATGTTGGTCTTCGAGACGGTTGTAGCGGTAGACATGGTGGGGATATGGACGATTGGGACAGGGGTGGAGGGGCAGGGGAGTTAAAAAGGCTTCTACATGAGGCGTGCGCAACTACTTAAATACTCGGGCAGCAAAAGTGCAATGTGCAGGTGATCAGTAGGAGCCCACACCTTTTCCCCTTCGTGGGCGTCACACTGGCATCGACAAGAATGGAGGGGACGGAGTTACTCCAGTGACTCCATTGTAACCAACAGTGGTCCACGTCTCCCGTCGACTGGAGAAAAAAGTGGAGCGGGGGGTGGGGGGTGGAACGACTGATTTAACCGCGCGGGGTCGACCTGCCCGCCCAGTTCCTTACGAGGCAGTCCAGGCCGGTTCCAGTCCCTCCCAGCGGAGACTCTGCTGGAGTAGACCTCACTTCAACCACGTACGGACCGAATCCGATGGTCGGCTATCGGGTAAATGCAGGCCCTGGAAGTTTAAGAGACGCCCTCTCCAGCAACCTGGCTTGCAAACGGGGTATCTCATTCCCGGAGAATTCATTCTGCGCTCCTGAAAGGTCGTGTCCATTCACAGCAGAGCGACCCCTTCCAGAACCCTTCCATGGCCCTGAAGTGGCAATTCTCCGGCGGAAGCGCGTCTGGTTGATGGAGTTTTTGGTCGAGCGGCAGAGGCGGCATGGCGTTTTGCCGCAAACAGAGCAAACATCCTCGCTCGTCGTAGAGTTCTCTTGGTCTTTGGGCTGAGATAGTCGAATCGCTCATGAAGAGCAAAAGGTTCGACTGCAACGTCCCAGATTGGGGCTTTGTCTTCGATCGAGACAAGTGTGCTCGCAGCCCACGAAACACATTCTCTCCGATCAGTTCCGTAGTGAAACCCCCACCGTCACATTGCCAGGGGGCCCCGTGTATAATCCCAGGCGCCATTGACGATCAAAATCAGAACAGATTAGTAGAAGGAATAGCTTATCTGCAGCGGACAATCCCCACCGGGATTTGAACGAATCCCTTGATTAACAATATTAACAATAAGGAAATACTTATCTCCAACTTGTCGGTCTACCGTACTTTGGATGAATCTCTGGACCGAGAAAGATTCACTTAACTTGCAGATAAACGTAGGTGGTTGGGTGACACCAGCCCGGATAGAGGTCTTCCAGTAGTGATGAGGATCCTAGCAGTGCCGTGTCGTTGGCTCAAAATGCTCCGGGTCTGGGCTGGACGGAAACGTAGTGCCGACAGTAGGTAGCCCCGGGTATTTACCCGAGCTTTCATCCCAGCCAAAAGCCGACTGGGCCCTGTGTCCTGTCGAGATGCGCGGCCATTAGACTATCCGGTGACGACAAGCAGTGACACCATCTGCTTCTTACAAGGTGGGCTATTTATCCTTGGGTATATATATACCCATCCGGGTATCTAGGGATCTACTTCTTGCATGATACAGAGATGGTGAGAGGATGTCATGACGTGTGCCTGAGATGATAGATGGCAATGGAAGTCAAAAGAAGCCTGATTCACTTTTTCAGACTGGATTTGCACCAGAAAATGTAGGTACATGATAGCTTAATATTCGATCAAGGTCAAGGGTGGTTGCGGCTAGTGCTATTGCCCGTTGGGTCGGACCCAGGTACGGAGTATATAGTAGGAGCAACTGGATGGAGTAGATCCGTCACGCTCACCATCTCGCCTCCCCCTCTCTAGCCAAGCCGCCTGGAAGGGCTGCAAAACCACTGCTTCTCATTACAACATCGCGAAAACATTATTCTTCGTCTTGCAATGGCGATTGTTTACTGGCAATTCAGGCACACCGGCAGGACCATCACGTGACCCGTTCCCTGAAATTCCCGAGCCTTTAATCCGCAGATTCTGGTTCTGTCGTTGCGCAGGTAAAATCGCTATTGGACTCCCTCCGTCCCTCCACCAGCTATTCTCCCGGGTGATCTGTGCTTGGTCTCTTCAACTTCACTCCCTCCTCTGCCTCCTCGCACCCTCCAAGATGCCCGCCGCCACCCGCGCCGTCCTGCGGCAATCGCAGTTCCTGACCCGGCGCACCGTTGTCAGACATGCCTCTTCCACCTCCGAGGCCGCCAACAAGGCTAGCCAGACTGCCTCCTCCGCTGCTTCCAAGGCTCAAGAGGGTCTGTCCAAGGCTACTGCTGCCGCTGGCCCGGCTCTTTCCAATGCCGCCTCGGCCTTGCGGAAGGTTGGCGGTCCCGTTGGCAAGGTTGTGAAGTTCGTCGACTGTAAGATATCACCCGACTGCTTGGAATCCAGTTTCTCCCCTATATTGGATGGAGAGATTGTGAATTGTTGATGAAGGAGGGAATGGGCCTTCAATTGTTACGATGCGAGTCGTGCTGGGGCCTTCCAGGACCTCCTTGTTGACGAATCCAACCTCAAGAATCCATCTGGACATGACGGCATGACTGACTTTGATATTGACGATAGCTATGATCCCCCCGACGATCTACTACTCCCGCGTCGGCCTTGAGCTCGGCAAGCTGGTGTTCCGTGGCCAGAACATGACTCCTCCGTAAGTCACAAGCACACCATCTAGCCTTCTCCACTTCAGCCCCCGGATCTAACATCCTGCCTATCTTGTCCAGCAACATGGCCACTTTCCAGTCATACTTCCAGCCTCTGATCAACGTCGCCCGCAACCCTGCCGCTATCAAGAACCTCAGCATCCCCTCTCCCCAGCGCTTCCTGACCCGGGTCCGCAACGCCAACGCCAAGGAGATCGCCCTGGTCGGTGTCACCGCCGCCGAGGTCATCGGTTTCTTCACCGTCGGCGAGATGATTGGCCGCATGAACATCGTCGGCTACCGAGGCGAGGCTGCACACCACTAGAGTTGGAAAATACTTGTGCTTTCTTTAATTAACCAACCCTTTCTTTTCCCTATGTGATCCTCCCCTTATCTCCGCCGCGTGCTGTGCTCTGTATGATAGACGATGGAATATAAACTGTTGTCTGAGATAGAATCATTTTCTTTGCAATTCATTTGAGCCTGGTTTTCCGGGTATTGTGACACAAACTTTCCCTACCGTATTCTGATTGGTGTTGCGCTGTAGCAGTCGTGCAATAGCACATCTTCCACCCTCCAATTTCGTATGGTAGGGTCAATTATGGAAGAAATGCAACCGGCATTTACTTCCTCTGGGGATTGAACTATCAATCCTGGGTTCCAGCCCCCATCACCCTGGTGCATCTCGTATATTTTCTGGCATCGCGGGCGTTCTGCGCGGTGATCGGCTGTGGCTGCCGGACAACGCTGATTGGTCCGGATGGAGATGCGGGTCCCTTTTTTTTCTGCCAAAATATTAAAGTCCAAGGCTCAAAAGTTCCAAGACGAAGTCCGATCTACCTGCCACAAAATCACCCATCCAGCATGGATGCTTTCAGACTGTTGACTCGGTCAACCAGATTCAAGTCGGCCGCTGCGCCGGGCACAGAGCCCGCTGCCCCCCTGCCCTCGACGGGCAAGGCGGCGAATCCGCAGCTTTTCCGCACCGCCGAGGGCGAGAAGCTCGAGGCGGCGAAGAATAGGAAGAAGAGGAAGAGAGCCGCGGCCGTCGACGACGAAGAGGCCGGAGATGATGCCGCCGAGCTGGACTTTTTCCAGTCCTCCAAGCGCTCTTCCGCAGCAAAGGCGGAGGCATCTGCACCGTCCAAGAGCGACCAGGACCAGACGTCTGACCAAGACGATGGATCCGATGAAGATGATGAAATGGATGAAGTCGAGCGTCGCACTATTTTGAACTCGCATAAGATCAAGGTGACTGATCTGCGTGACCTGGACGTGATCCAGCCCCAGCCTCCCATCACCAAAGAATCTAAAAAGAAAAAGAAGAAGCAAAAGAAAGAGGAGACACCCGTACTCAGCAAAAAGGAACAGAAGCGCGCGCGGCGCATGTACCCCCAGCCGCTGACCTCGTTCAAGGAGCTGCGTACGAGGTACAAGATCTCTCGGCGACTGGCTGAGAATGTTGCGGAGCAGGGATTCACAGTGCCTACGGAAGTGCAATTGGGAACTTTGCCTCTTTTGCTGGGCGATTCTTGCGTTTCCTCGAAGACTACTGAGGAACCGGATTTGCTGGTTGTCGCGCCAACTGGTAGCGGAAAGACGCTGTCGTTTTTGATCCCGGTGATTAACAAGATTGTTCGGCACCATCACTCCTCGCAATCTGATGAGCATGGCATTTTGTCGATTGTTGTTGCGCCGACCAAGGAGCTGGCAAGTCAGATTGTCAACGAAGGCCGGAAATTGGTGGCGGGTACTGGTGTCAAAATCACTTTGATGAAAAAGGGTATGCGCGTGGTGGAACGCGAGGACGAAGGCGAGGCAAATGTCCTCGACGAGGACAGCGAGGCATCAAGGTCAGACGACGAGGAAGACGACGACAAGCCGAAGAAGGCCCGTAGCAATGCTCCGGTCACCAAGAGTGATATCCTGGTCACTACACCCCTTCAGCTTGTGAACGCCCTATCCGCCCACCAGACAACCACCATGGCAAGATTGCCCCTTGTGCGAAGCTTGGTTCTCGATGAAGCCGATGTGCTACTTGACCCGCTTTTCCGCGAGCAGACTCTCGGCATTTGGCGCTCATGCGTCCACCCCGATCTGCGCGTGAGCCTCTGGTCTGCGACGATGGGCTCCAACATCGATGATATCACCCGGTCGACAATCAAAGAGCGACAAGACGACATCGGGCAGACAACACAACACCCACTCGTTCGTCTCGTCGTCGGTCTCAAAGACTCCGCAATCCCCAATATCGAGCACAAACTCGTTTACGCCGCCACTGAGCAAGGCAAGCTCCTCGGCCTGCGTCAACTCCTCCGCCCAACTGCCGCCACGGCGTCTGACGTCCGCCTGCGTCCTCCATTCCTCATTTTCACGCAAACCATCCCCCGTGCCATCGCCCTCCACTCCGAGCTGAAATACGACATACCGGCCGAAGCCGGCGGGTCCTCGCGTATCGCCGTCCTGCACTCCGACCTGTCCGACAGCCAGCGCTCCGAAATCATGCGGGACTTCCGCAAGGGCGAGATCTGGATCCTGGTGACAACCGACCTGCTTGCCCGTGGCGTGGACTTCCGCGGCATCAACGGCGTCGTAAACTACGATATCCCCAACTCCGCCGCCGTCTATGTGCACCGAGTGGGCCGGACCGGTCGTGCAGGCCGCGCGGGCGGTATCGCCGTTACGTACTACACGAAGGAAGATATTCCCTACGTCAAGAGTATCGCCAACATTATCGACGTCAGCGAGAAGCTGCGCGGCACCGAGGGCAAAAAGTCGATCCAGAGGTGGCTGCTTGACTCGCTTCCGGACCTGAGCAAGAACGATAAGAAGGAGCTCAAGAAGCATGGTGTCAAGGCGCGGCAGGTGTCGAAGCAGCTGGGCAAGGATAAGGAGGGTGAGGGCAAAGGTATGCGTGGGACCAGGATTAGTACCAAGAGTGGGTTTGAGAGGCGCATGGAGAACCGCAAGAAGGGGGCTATTGAGGCGAGTCGCAACCGCAAGGCGAATGCTTCTCGGGGAGCTGAGGAGAGTGATAATGGTAGTTGGAAGGGGTTGGAGGATTAGATGTAGATGCTTGTGGATGTATTCTGTACTGGACTCTGGACTATGAAACTATGAACTAGAAGCTAAATAATCATCACCACGTGAACGCATTCAATCATGAAAATGGGATCATTCTTCCAAGATATCCGCCCTCACCCCGATTTCCCCTGACCTTCACCTTCAGCCTGGCCGGAACTCTGCTGCGGTGGAGGCGGCGGCTCCTCCGCCGGCCTCCTCACCATCCGGACAGGCACAAATGCGCAATCAAGCTTCCCCTGTTCCTCCAATATAGCGCCACATTCGTCCCCATCGCCATCAAAATACAGCGCCCACTCCCCTTCACTCTCTTCGACCGCCACAAAGTTCTTACTCCCCTCAAGGGTAATCACCCGTTCATCCTCCGTCCAGTCCCATGGCCCGACAATATGTGCCACGCTCTGCGTACGATTCCCATACTTCAGCTCATGGGTATTCTCATCGGCGAAGATCCAGTTGAGCAGGGGTGGGTTGGCGGACACGTAGGTGGGCAGGCCGAGCCCCCGGTCGAGGTGCTTGGTTTCGTCGAGTTCCGGGTATTCAATGTAGAAGGCGAGGGCTGTGAAGGCAGGAATTGAACGGTCTGTGGGGTTGGGATGGTCCAGGTAGATCTGCGGAGGGGTAATGGTTCGTATGGAACTATTGCAAACATCGGGGTGTGTAGTTGTTGCAGATTATAGATGCTTACCTTGTCATTCCGTACGACTAGTCTTCGCCCATTGACGTCCCGATCATCATCTGTCTCGCCGTCACATTCGACGTCAATGTTGAATTTGGCCAGTCGCCTCGCATCTTCCTTGCGCTGGTTCGATTTGCGCTGCTCGCTGACCCCGAACGCCACGCCCGTGACAGTCGGGATCGATGTGAGGGCTAAGAGGCCGATGACCATTGTTGTTGAGCCCGGGTATTTTCCGCCAGGTATATATGCGTTTGCTTTGGAGTTTTGCTTTTGCGCAAAGGGGTATGAGTGCTGGTAGGGTCTTCAAGTTTATAGTGACTTGCGATTCTTCGGTGGTGGCCTATGCATCTCAACCTGGGGGTAAAGTGAAATTTCGCAGATCTGCAGGAGTACCCATGAGGAAGGCAGGTAGAATCATGGAGAGTATTTCGACTGGATGTGTGTCATTTGAATATCCAAGTCATTTTTTGGCGTCGAGAGGGATGCCATGGATCGACGTCATTGCCCCACACGTGATGGTGCTCGTGCGCACGCTCTTTCCTTTTCGTTACATTCTTCACAGAACACCCATCAGTCGGCGACTTACTCCATGTTTAACTGCCAGACATGAACAGTTCAGGAGAATAATGAATATCTTGAATCTAATAATGACCTGTGCTCTATGTCTAGGGTCTTGCTAATCTATCGTGTATCGTCTATTCGTGGTCTCATTTTGCAATGACAGCAGGTTGGTCAACCCAGGGTGCCGTCATTGTCAAACCTTCTCGCTCCAACCCCAAATGGACCACCAGCACTTGACAGCTAGCGCATTGCCGTCTGCACTCTCCCAGTCATCGTACCCGGTCTCCTCACCCTCTTCAACGACAGCCAGGCCCAGATCAGTCATGCGCTGCCGGAACTCGTGGACCTGAGGTAGATAGGCATCACGCAGCGGCATTTCCGCGACAACGCGGGCGTTCAAGCCCTTGCTCAGCCAGGGTGCGATGGTGTCTACCAGCCACTTGGGGTGATTGGGTGAGTATAGCGGATCCGCGGCGAGGATCACGTCGAACCGCTCTTCCGCGGCGGGAGGTGGTGTTGGCGTTTCAGACCAGTCCAGCACGCCTGTTGTCACGGTTGCCCCTGTTTTGTTCAGGAGCTCAACATTTAGAGCGGTATTGTGGGCCAGGTTCGGCACGATCTCGGGGAGATCGGTCAGGTGGACGGTGGCCCCCCTGCCCTTCAAAGCTGCAAAGGACAGTCCAACAAGACCAGTACCTGAACCGAGTTCAAGAGCTCTGACTGGCTTGTTCCGGGATGATGTGGTCGACCGATCAGTCGAACCCACAGGGACGAGCTCAGGCGGGGACTCGAGCAGTTCGTGCAGCCGACGGGAGAGGAGGTAGGACGACACCCAAGTCTTCATGCCCAGGTTATCTGCGGTCAGAGACGGTTCGTGCAAGGTGAGCGTATAATCCTCCCCGGAGGACGTGGGGATATTGAAGATGCGCGACATGGCCGGCATAGCTACGCAGCAGGGAAGCGCTGTCAGCGAGACTACAACAGCAGATATTCGAAACAGAAGCAACCCTTACCAGCACGGCCAGATCGCTCGCTCAAGCGAGCACCAGCGGCATCCCACACGGCCTCCCGCAATTCCTCCGTCTCCAGCCAGGACAGCGGGCTCGAGATAATCTGAGTGAGATACCTCGTCAACCCCGCCGGGTGCACCGCGGGGCCCTTCACAGCCTCCGCACTGGTGCCAAACGCACGCGGTTGCAGGGCCAACAAGGCCAGGGCCTTGATGAGATCAGTCCCCGAGGGCTTCTGGTAGATCTGGGGCAGGTCGAACACTGTGGCGGTTGTCATTCCTTATCAGTTCCACTATCTCGGTGGACCGGGGAGGGTGCAGATCGTAGGCTTACCATGAAGTGGCTCCTCGACCGTGGTACTGATCATGGTAGGCGGGATGCCCAAATTGGGTACTCTAGGGGCTCTGGTGGACAAGAAGCCTGCCTGGCAGCAGGACAATCAGGCGACAGAAGGATTTATCTGCGGAGCCAGCCCCGTGAAGCCCGCCGGCACGCAGGAAAAAGAAAATTCCCAATGGGGTAAGGTTGGCTCCGGTTCCGCGGCTCGTGGTGTGGCCTGCGTATTCAGGCATCAAGGTACACGCTGACGAGGAGTGTGAGGCATTGGAGAACGTCTGATGTGTTTTCGACTTCAATAGTGTCGGGGCTCATAGATCATAGCCGGAGAGTAGTTGCAGAGAAGCTAGGAGCTGGTCACAATTACACCGACGGTCCTTCTGACACCAAGAAATCTCCATTATACCAAAACGAGCAAAGATGCCTGCAAAAAACAAACGAGAGTGGTATCTATCGTTAATCACATATTAAAACCTGAACCGAAACGCCCTGGCTCAATGCTGTTCGAATGGTTTGGATTTAGTTCAATGTGGCCTTGAACCCTTGGTAGGCCTGCTCAATATCAAAAGCAAGTTCCCGGGCTTGATCCTCACTAAGCTCTTCCGTCGCCCGCATTTGATTCAGCGCAATCAACCACTGGATGATCTTGCCACGATTCTCAAATTCTCCAGCTGTCACTTTATTGACTGACTGGATCACCTCCGACAGCAGTGGATGCAGCGCATCCTTCGAGACCATGTTCAGCTTCAATGCGTCGAGGAACGTGATAAAGTTTTCCGTTGCAGCCAAGATGAGACTACCCGATGCACCAGTTGCACTCCCCGACGCTCCCGAATTTGCCGCAGGTGCACCGTGTGAAGCCTGCTCGACGGTTGCGGGGAGACCGATGCGGAGTCGTTCGGTTGCGCGAGGACACTCCAACTACGCCAGAGGTGAGCCACAGGCAATGAGGATGTGGGGATAACTCCAGTATACGTACATCCCAAGTTCTCTTAAATGTTTCCAAATCCACAAATTCCCGTGACACAGATTCATCACCCAGACTGGATTTGTATTGCTTCAGAAGCCTCGTGCATGTTTCGGTGTATTCCGCCTCCGTGACCACGTCCTTGATGTAGGCCTTTTCAAGTCCGTCGAGGGTGATAATGATACTGTAGATCTCGGCAAGTGATTCATAAAGATCGCGTTCGCCCGAGCTGGAAACCAGTTTCACTTCCTAGGGTCAGTCAGCCTGGGGAACCCCACGTTCCTGCCACCGAGCATACCTCATCGAGATTGATTGAGGCCGATCGTGCCGGGTTTGGCGTGTAGCTGTAGGGAGTTGGGGCATATGATAACGGGCGTTGTGAGTACATCTTCAACCACGATACAATGGAAAGACAAAAGATCTTGAAACTCGTCAATCGACCAGCAAGTGCCCAGTCGCCGAGGTGGAGCTGGGCCTTATCGGCAGCTCCCAAGGCGGTCACGAAGGCGGACCCGCTGATATTCCCCGAGCCAAATTTTTTTTCTTCAGCGTCCGCCAAACTGCAGAAGCCGCGCATTATTTGCAGCGAAATCTTTCACCATGGCCGGCTCAGCGAAGAAGGCGACCAAGAAGTTCGAGAAGAAACATCTTAAAGATACTCTCGAGCGGCGCAAGGACTCGGCCAAGATCAAACAGCGCCACCGCCTGAACGACAAGCGCAAGGCCCAGAGTGCCAGCCGCCGCGATGCCGAAGATGACGAGGAAGCGAACCCTGAGGAGGTCAAGAAGCAGAATGCCTTTGCAGAGATGAACGTTGATGACTTCTTTGCTGGTGGCTTTGACATTGCTGATGCGACCGACGGCAAAAAGAAGGCCAGCAAGAAGGATGTGACTCCCACAACTGGCAAGCGCAAGCGCTCTGCGAATCAGGCGCAGGAGAATGAAGCGGGCGAAGATGGTGCCGCTAGCGACAACGACGATGACAGTGCAAGCGACGCCAATGCATTCGGTGAGCACAAGGATCAGCTTGAGGCTTTGAAGGAGAAGGACCCCGAGTTCTACAAATACCTGAAGGAGAACGATGCGGAGCTGCTCGATTTCGGCGACCAAGGCGATCTTTCGGAGGTGGACGAGTTGAGCGAAGGCGAGGCGCCCGAGGAAGAAGGCCCGGCCAAGAAGAAAAAGAAGAAGGCTAAGAAGGAGGAAGAGGAAGAGAAGGAGCAAGAGCAGGAGGTTATCGACAATACCCTGACCATAGAGATGGTCAAGAAGTGGCAAAGCTTGATGGAAGAGCAGCATTCGATCCGGGCTATGCGTCAGACTGTTCTGGCGTTCCGCGCCGCAGCCTCTGTCAATGATGCCGAGGCACCGGAGCAGAAGTACACCATTTCGGACTCCAATGTTTACCACCAGGTTCTTGTCACAGCGCTGAATGTCGTACCCAAGGTTCTGGGACATCACCTTCCTGTCAAGGAGACTGCCTCAGGCAAGATTAGGGTCTCCCTGGACTCGAAGAAGTTCAAGACTCTGACTCCCCTGATCAAGTCTTACACTTCTTCCATCCACCATCTTCTGGTCAACCTGTCCGATGCATCAACTCTGAAGCTGACCATTTCGGCAATGGAACCCATGCTCCCCTATCTGCTTCAATTCCGCAAGGTCCTGAAGACCCTCATCAAGACCGTCGTCGGGATCTGGGCTGATGTCTCTACCGTCGATGCCACTCGGATCACTGCATTCCTCTTGCTCCGCCGCCTCATGGTCCTGGGTGACCCCGGCATTAGAGAGACTGTGCTCAAAGCCACATACGAGGGCGTGGTCAAGGGCAGCCGTAATACCACCGTGCACACTCTGGCAGGTGTGAACCTGATGAAGAACTCGGCCGCCGAGATCTGGGGCATCGACCAGAACGTCTCGTATACGACGGGCTTCAGCTTCATCCGGCAATTGGCCATGCATCTGCGCAGCAGCATCACCAACACCTCCAAGGAGTCATACAAGACCATTTACAACTGGCAATACGCGCACTCGCTCGATTTCTGGTCGCGTGTGCTCTCCCAACACTGCGATGGCCTGGTTGAGGCCCAGACTGGCAAGCAGTCTGCCCTGCGCCCTCTCATCTACCCCGTCGTTCAGATCACCCTCGGTGCTATGCGCCTCATTCCCACGGCGCAGTACTTCCCGCTCCGCTTCCAGTTGACCCGCGCTCTGTTGCGTATCTCTCGCGCCACTGGCACCTACATCCCCCTTGCATCCTCGCTCATTGAGGTTCTTACCTCGGCGGAGATGCGCAAGCCCCCCAAGTCCAGCACCCTCAAGCCCCTCGACTTCCACACTGCCATCCGCGCGCCCAAATCCTACTTACGCTCGCGTGTTTACCAGGACGGTGTCGGCGAGCAGGTCGCTGAGCTCCTGTCGGAGTTCTTTGTCCTGTGGTGTAAGCACATTGCTTTCCCCGAGCTATCTGTTCCCGTCGTTGTTGCCCTCAAGCGCTGGTTGAAGCAGGTTTCCGCTCGGAACGGTGGCAATAAGAACGCCAAGATCAACCAGATGATCCTGCTTCTTGTGCAGAAGGTCGAGGCCAACGCTCGCTGGATCGAGGAGCGCCGCCTGAACGTCTCGTATACCCCCCGCAATCGGACCGAGGTCGACAAGTTCCTCAAGGATGTTGACTGGGAGTCCACACCGCTGGGTGCTTTCGTTAAGACACAGCGGAAGCTGCGCGAGGAGCGTGCTGCTATCGTCGAGGAGGGCCGCCGCGAGGAGGAGAAGCGCCGCGCAGAGGAGAAGAAGCGCGATGGCGAGATTGAGATGATGAATGAGTTTGGCAGTGATGATGATAGTGATGAAGGCGAGGGCGAGGGGGAAATGGAGAGCGAGGACGAGATTGAGCTCGAGGATGAAGATGAAGAGGAGGATGAGGACGAGGATGAGCTGGAGATGGAAGAGGAGTAGTTCTTTCCCTCCATTCCCAATCTCCTTTCCTTCTTCTGTATATTCCATCATAAAAGAATCTCGGCGTCTATTTGGCTTCTATGCAAATGCATGAATTGAATATTATTCTAGCACATCGAATCGTGCACGTAGAGCAGCACCCTCTCACTCCGCCAAGTAAAAGCAAATCAGAACATGTCTATCGAGACAGCAGGGTATCTCCTAGCAATGCAAGCGATGCCATGTCGCAAAGGCATTCTATCAAATATCAAATATCAAACTGACCCAACGGGCATCCGCTCCGGACCACAAGCCCTCGTCCTGTCCCTCCGCAACGCAGCATCCTCCTCCTCCGCCCACGCCAACGACTCATTTGGCAACATGATAGCCTTATCAATCGCAACGGGCAATCCGCGATGCCGGCCCCGCAACGCGACAGCCGCAAGAATCAACTTGCTGATCGTGTGCCAGGCCCCGCAGAATGACGAGTTCTTGCCCGGATAGCCCACGCTCACCCCAACGCAGCCGTACGCAGAGACGACCTCGAAGATGATATTGAACGTACTGAAAGCCACGGGCTGGGCGTTATAATGGTCGGCCTCGGCGATTGTAATGAGTAGCACTGCCAGGGCGATCCACCAGATGTCGTGGCTAAGCTGGGAGCGCACCTGTTGGTGGACGAAGTAGCCTCGTGAGGATTCGGAGAGGCTGGGCCGGCCCAGGTGGTACCGGACTAAATCCACAATGACGTTGCTGCGGCTGGTGTGTGCTGGAGCTTCGGGGGTTTCATCGTCCGCGTAGATGCCGAGTGAACGCTCTTCGTAGACGTTCGTGTTCCTACAAGTTGTCAGATCAGTTTTTGTTAGGAGAAAGTGGGCAGATGGACTTACCGGATTGTCACCAGCACTGGGAATGCGGAGACATACTGGCTGGATGTTAGTTTGCATGCACATTGTGCTATGACTGAGCACAAAACTCACCATCATGAGGACTAGACAAGTTCGTTAGTTGGAGACTCGATCTGAGGAGCTAGTAGAGTAGTGAATGCGGACTCACCATAGAGAGCAAGCAGGCCTTGCCGTAGATCGGCAATAGTCACCACGTAGAATCCACCAGCGCGGACAGCTATATTCAACAATCAGCCGGGTTTAACGCCCCTCCGGAAGGTTAATTTGGCGAACCCAATGCCTGGAACAACCCATCCAGTACTCGATACTCAGTTGGAAGCGCCTCGATCTCTTTGTTTCCAATGGACAAGAGCTCAAACGCAGCCCAGTCAATTCCGTTCAGAACAATAATTGTCGCGAGAAGGTACCATGTATGCCGGGCGGGGAAAAGATTGGTGTATACCCTTCTTGGGTGATCCAGGATGAAACCAAGTGTGACGCGCCACGAGTTCCAGGATGGCGTGTTAGGCAGCATCATTCGCATGGTCCAGATGATGAAGCGTAGGAAGCATGGATAGAGAGTATTACCGGCGAGCATGAGCATACCCAGGGTGAGAAGGGGGTAGGCACTGCGAGCTATTGGTTAGCTTTATGAACCAAGTAGCTGCTGGATGGTCAGAGCACGTACTTCAGTTGCAGGGCGGTCATGTTCTTATCCAGAAGGGACATGCCGCTGTTGACAAAAGCAGACACTGCAAAGAAAGCACCCGTCCAGAACGGTGAGAGTCCATTGACTCGGGATACTTCTGGGTGATTCGCCTCTAACCACCCGCCCATACCGACAATGCCAATGACGAGAAACGTGACAAAGTACAGCGAGACGATGACCGAGAGAAACGAAACAGCCTTGTACTCGACTCCGCCGAGTTCCTCGCGTTCAGCGGATGTCAGGCCGTAGAATTGAGAATTGCGCGAGATGAATCCCTTCGAGGAGAAGTATTTCTGCGTGCCCCGGATGATGCCCTTGAATGCAGATGCAGATCGCGAGGACTCGCTGGTGTCCAGTGGTAATGGCGCGACATCGCGAGGGTGGTTGTTCAGATCCGGTCTGGCACCGACACCAGCCATGGGGAAGACCCGATGATGGTGGTGATGCCGGCCTTGGACGTCGCTGAGGGTGATTTGTTCGTCATCAACCCATTGGGTCTGTACATGACGGCACGCGGATGTTTCCGCTTGGCCTTCTTGAATGCTCACTGTAGCTTTCAGCTGGCCTCGGTTGTCCAGCTCATTGAGGGCATCCGGCGTTGCGCTCTGCAACCCCAACGCGGACGCACGACGAGAAGCCTCACGCTCCTCCGAGACATGTTTCAGCTTGTCTTCGAATGCCCGCTTGCGCACTATGAGAACAGTGCTCGAAATGAGAATGGGAGATCCTAAGATCAACAGAATGAACAGGATAACCTGCTGGAAGGAGTTTAAGGTTGATAGATCGACCTGTTGCACCAGATTAACCTTTGCCCCCAAATCGGAAAATAAACTAGCAAGTAAAAAGCATACCGTGTTCAACCCAGCTCCAGTCATGGCACTAACACACAAAAAAATCGCATCCACGTAAGCCACGCTCTGCCATGGTGTAGACGTCAAGTAGAAAATGATGCTGCTCACTAGACATGTCACGATAAAATAGACATAGTGCAGCGTGAGGAAATTAAATGGCGGGAGCAGCGCCATCATGGCCCGGCCCATCGGTCCTCGCCATCTGCGCGCTTAAGAACGACATTAGCAGGGTGGCCCAACAGCATGTATTGTTCCTTCGGGAAAATGAGGGCGTTTAGATGACGGAGATAAAGAAAGCGAGGACATACGGATCAGCATCGCACGAATCTTCAATCCGACAGCAAGGAGGGATCTCGACCAGTCTGAAAAAAGAAACAAATCCAATGAAAATGGGACTGGCCCCCCTCGTGCGACTGGACCTGTCGGTGAGGCAATACTGCTCGTTGTTCTGCAGTTCTGCAGCCCGGATTCAGCAGAGCTTTTCACCCTCGCCCAATTGTCGGGTCGCCAATACGAAGCAAAACGCGAGCAACCACTACGGGCCCCAGGCGTATTGAACTAAAATCGCGACACTGCGAGGGACCATGGCTGAAGTTGCGCAGAAGGGGAGAGGAAAGGGGAGGGGGGTTGCACAAATAGTCAGACAGCCAAGATGCGTAGATCAGGCAAGGGCCAGGCAGTGTGTGTGTGTGGTTTTTGGGACTGGGAGGCTTTTTTTTTCTTCTTCTTGCATCAGCGATGCCCCACTTGGTGCCGCTGTCGCGCAATGGGTGGAGGAGGAAGAGGAAGGGTGGTTGCAGAGTTGTATAGTTAGGTAGTACCTGTATAGAACTCTCGAAAGAGAGCGTGAGAGCGAACTAGGAACAGAAATACACAGCGGTTATGAGGGAAATTGCATATTGAGGACTATCTGGATCGAAGGAGATGCAAATAGAAGACGGTGAGCGGAGAATTCCTGGGCGGGCCGAAATAGATCCTGGGCGCGGCGTAGGGCTGGACGGAGTACATGGATAATTGAATGAATTCTAGACGTGTACTAGGGGCACTTTCTAGGCACCCTGTACTTAGTATCACTACTACCTAGCTACATGATCAATTAGGGTTGAGCTCAAGGCGGAAGCCAGCAACTACTTTCGTCAAGTTGGGAAAATAGTAGGCTACAAAAAACTTGAAACTATGTCCGAGAAGCGAGGAGAGACAGTACAGTATGTATTATGTACTACACATAAAATATCGTATGATACATTCTATGAGCCACAGCCTTCATTCCCTACTCCTCACGTCTCCAATGCCCACTTTTCCCCCCCTGCTTCTCCAACAACCGCACGCCACCAATTATCATCCCCTTATCTACGGCTTTAAGCATATCATACACCGTCAGGGCGGCGCCCGTTGCAGCCGTCATAGCCTCCATCTCCACGCCGGTCCGGCCAAAACAGCTGACAGTGGCAAGAATCTGCATAGAGCCGTAGTCCTCGGCATTTTTTCCCTCAGGTCCAACAAGCTCCACACTGACTTCGACGCCGGTGATGCCAATTCCTGGATGGCAGAGCGGGACAAGGTCAGGTGTCTTTTTGGCAGCCATGATGCCTGCTATGCGTGCAACACTGAATACGTCGCCTTTATGTGTGCCTTGGCCCTTGCGGAGGAGCTCCCATGGTCGGGTGTTGGAGAAGGCGACGTCGCAGGCCGCTGTCGCGAGCCGTTTTGTCTCGGGCTTAGAGGTGATTTGAGTCATGTGCACAGTTTGTGATGGGGTGAGATGTGGGAGATCGGGATCGGACGCTGTTGGGAGAGCATGGGATTGGCTCGAATGTTCATCGTCTGACGAACACTTCTCCCGCTTCGGCGTGAATCCCTTGCTATGATATAGACGGGCTTGGGAGGACCCTGACGAAAAGGGGAGGATGTGTGAAGGCATCTTTGTCCATGGGGTTGAGGCTGTTCGCAAACTACTCAAAGACAAGGATCCTAGTAGCGCTGGCTTACTATCTATTCGCCTATCAGCATAGGAAGTAAAGATCAAAAGTTAATCCCAAACCCAAACATGATATTGATAAATACAGGATTTCCGAAAGGTAGATGTAGTATCTTTGATGACAATAGGTATTCAATCCAATTTTCCATGGACATATCCAAAGGTCGTAAATTCATTCCAATCATGAGCATGACCGAGATAAAGGTGAAAAAAAGGAACAGAACAGAAATTAGGCCTACCCACCGATAAGAATCATGGGCCGGTTCTTCATATTTTCCAACTGGCCCATGCCTGCATGCTTGGCCTTCTTGCGCTTCACAGCCATGCCGATGATGTTGAGAATCTCAAGCTCGCGCTCGTTGACCAAGGCTCCCTCATCGCTCAGCCGAGCCGCATTCTGCACCGTCTCCATGAGTTGCAGTTGTTTGGCTGCGTCTTCATCGATGGGCTGTCCGTCATTCTCTTTGCGGATGATATCTCGGAGTGATACCTCGGCATTTCCAAACAAACAGACCTTCAAGTTCCCATCGCTGGTAATCCGCAGCCGGTTGCAGGTACCGCAAAAATTGTGCGTCATGCTCGTGATGAACCCTACACGACCCTGGAATCCAGGGACTTGGTAGGTCTTGCTAGTATCATTCTTGTGATCCTGCACCTTCTCCAAAGTGGGGTATTTCTCCCGAATCACGGCCAACATCTCCTGGTACGAGAACATCTTGCCCTGATTCCATTTGTTCCCGTCAAAGGGCATGTACTCGATGAACCGCACCTCGATGGGCTTCTCGCGGCCCAGCTCGACGAATGGGACGATCTCGCGATCATTCATGCCCCGCATCACCACGCAATTGATCTTCAACTTGATGCCCGCGCCGACCTTGTTCATTTCCAGAATCCGGTCGATGCTCTTCATCACCGCCTCAAAGCCCTTCCGTCGGGTCATGATCTGGAATTGGAAGGGGTCCAGGGTGTCCAGGCTCAGATTCACACCGGTGAGTCCGGCTTCCACCATGAGATCAAGCTTGCGGTGGAGCGAGATCCCGTTCGTCGTCAGGCAGAGCTCGCGCAGGCCATCCCGTCGCAGTTTGCCGATAGCTTGCATCAAGGGGACGATATCTTTGCGCACGGTCGGCTCCCCGCCCGTTAGGCGGATCTTTGTCACACCCTGCGAGACAAAGAGCGATGACAGGTAGACGATCTCCGGGGATGTGAGTAGCCGCGCGGGTGGCGACAGCTCGATCCCTTCCTCTGGCATACAGTACAGACACCGTAAATTGCACCGCTCGGTAACGCTAATCCGCAGGTAATCATGTTGGCGATGGAACGAGTCGGTCAGGAATTCGGAGAACGGTTTCGCGGACTCAAGCGCCGTGACTCGGGGGGAGGAAGATGCATGGTGCGGGTGAGACGGAGATCTCTCGGCGGGCGCGGGGACGGTTCGTGTGGCAGAGATGGGAGTGGTGCTCTGCAACCGTGTCTGTGCAGCAACCGAAGCCCAGGATACGGTGATCCTGGGGCGCGATAGGACCCGCTTGCACAGCATACCCGCCGTGTATTAGTTTCCAGAGGCTTGGGGGAGCATGGTGGGAGTCGTGGGGTATAAATGAAAAGAGTAAAGCGAGAGTGAGGGGCTGGAAGCTTATCGCACAGGCCGCATGGACATTCCTCGGGCGGTGAGGAGTCGGGACTCGCCGTGTGGGCGCCTTGCCTCGCTGGCTGCGGCGGGGCCTGCCGGGGTCAAACCAGCGCCCATGGCCAGTTACATTTGCCTACTTTCATGGTGATGACAATTCGCATGCTACAATACCGTGGATGATTGGGAATTACCAACCACAGTGTCCCTCTTATTGGATGGCTCAGTGCTGAAGCATCTTCTGCACCCTCTTCACTAGGCTGTGTTCAAACTGCTCCACGCCCGTCGACTGCTCGTTCAGCTTGCCCCCCTTTAGGACATATACGGACCGGCGTCGAGTGGTGAAATTATCCGTTTCTTCCTCTTCAAGGCCCTCGAAATCTTCATCAAGTTTGTGCTCGCTGTCCCGCTTGCCTTCAATTACGGACCGCACGAGGAAACGGTCGTGCGAGACGAGGATAATTGCCCCATTAAACGAGGAAAGTGCCGTGGCAAGAGCAGTCACGGTGTGAAAATCCAGATGGGTAGTGATCTCATCCAGGATGAGTAGGTGTGGTGAATTCCATACAATTCTCGCCAGTGCAAGACGGACGAGTTGCCCACCTGATAGTTTGGCCACAGGCACATCAGAAGCAATGCGACCGGCCAAGCCCATCGACGAGAGCAGGCCTCGAATAGCACCTTCATTGAGATGATCGTTCGTCTCGGCCATCAAAAGCCCTAGCGCGGTTAAACCGGGTTCGCCTCGACCGCGCTCCTGCAGCTCCTCGACGGAATGCTGACCATAGTAGCCCACCTTCAGGCGCGGATGGGTCGAGACCTTGCCCTTTGATGGCGGAATTTGGCCGTTCAGAATGCGGATCAAGGTAGTCTTGCCAGACCCATTGAGTCCCATGATACCCACGCGGTCGCCAATATGCACCACGAGATTCACGTCAGCCAAGATGACACGGTCGGCCTTCTTATATTGGAAAGTGAGCCCTTCCAGAGACACCAAGGGACCCGGAAATCGCAGCTCCGTCGCATCCGGTAGCGCCATCGACGCGCCCCTTTCGTCCTGCGGGACCTCGATCTCTGCGCGGCTAGATAGATGATACCCGACTAGATCACGGTTCAGTTTGAATCGTCCGCCATTGGCATTCACCTGCAGGCCCATCCGGTCATCGACTTTCTTTTGCCGCGACTTGGCTTGCCGCAGCTTATTGTCGTCGTTGGTCTTCTTGCCAATTTTCATATTCTCTCGGATACTGGCTTCCATGTGCGCAATCTGTCGGTCTTGGGCTTCTTTCATGCGTCCCCAATACAGCTTCTGCTCTTCAAAGTCCTGCTCGTAGGCAGCCAGATTTCCACGGAAGTAAGTGAGCTTTTGATCCCGCAAGATTATGATCTCCTCGCACACAGCATTGATAAAGTCTCGATCGTGGGAGACTAGAACTATGGTTGTTTCAGATGCATCGCGTAGTTGCTGGAGGTAATTTTCCAGCCAAACCACTCCTAGAAGGTCCAGAAAGTTGGTCGGCTCATCGAGGATCATGATGTCGGGGGATTGGACCAGAACGCCCGCGAGCATGCATCGCATTCGCCAGCCTCCGGAGAGGGTGGAGACCTTTTTTCCCAGGTTTTCTTCTTTGAAACCAAGACCCAGGAGAATTCGGCGGGCTTCTTTCTCCACGTCTGTGAGTTTCATCTGAGTTCAGGTTAGATCGGGTGGTCAGTAATATCGGAATGGAAACTCACATCTTCGAGCTGTGATTGTAAGGTCTGCAGTGTCTCTACTGCAGCTTGTGTATCCACCTGGACGGCCTCCGCATCAATAGACCCGAGATCTTGGACAAGTCTGGTTAGAATCAGAATTAGCTTTTGAACCATTTCCATCCCACCCTTCTCTGTCTCACCTTTCTTTCGAGGACTCTATATTTGCCTCGGCCGCCTTGAGTTCCTTTCTTGCCTGCAGCCCTCTCGCCCCGCTCTTCAGGTTGGCATTTTTCTGAGCCAAGAATAGTTTTTTCCCCGCTTGCTGATATTGGATCTTGCGAATAGCTTTCACCGGTTCCAGCGGGTCTTCTGTGTCGAAGCTTTGGGAAAGAACTGGCTTCTTGGTTAGCCAGGGAAAAGCCAATACCATGAAGGCTCTATATATCCTTACATTCTGCTGTACGAGCGGCCTCATTTCGAGTTTCGTCGCTGCTAAGCACTGCCTCCAAGACGGTCTTGTCTAGCTTGAGGCTCCCATAGCCCTCTGATTCGTCTTCTGCATCCGTTTGTTGTAGAATCGCAATGCGGGTGACGTGAGGTATGCCGGGAATGAGCTTATCGGCCATGGCCCGCAGGAGTGCTGAAAGCGAGGATTAGCAGATCTAATAAAGCTCAAGAATCGAATGCTCTTACTGGACTTCCCCGTCCCATTTCGACCTAACAGGCCATAGTGGACACCGCCTTTGAGACGGAGGTGACCGTCGGAGATGAGCTCTTTCCCAGCCGCCTTCGCCTTGGACTTCCCCTTGAGCTTTGATTTAGAGGTATCGTCTATGGAGTCAGATGTACCAGAGGTGACAACTATACCGAGACCCTCCACGTCAATCTTCAGGGAGATAATTTGCAAACGTCAGAGTTGGGGGTTAATTTTCTATCGGACGACGGCGCATACCTCGGACGAAGGGGTTTCATCCAACAGGTGAAACCGCGTCTGCTTGCAGGTTGCAAGAATAGTTGGTGCAGATGTCATGATACACTCTTCACCTTCAAGTTCCGTTGTCAACGGTGGTCGCGTGCAAACAATCTGAAGATTGTGGCTGATTCGGCTTCATATAGGAGTGACGGTCTCAGTGCGGATAGCCTCGGTTCCCAATTGAGTTCCCGCCACCAGAGTTAGATGCAGGATATGTGTCATGGAGGAAAGAGTCATTGCCAAGCCATACGAAGCGAGGATCGCCCACAGTTTATCCCCAATCAATGGACCCTGGCGAGAATGCGCGACTGCTGGCTTGTCGCGTTTCTGGTGGTCGGGGTCCTAATGCGGTTTAGTTCGGGGCCTCAGGCCGCCAATGTGCGTTCGTTCCAGTCGGTGAGGGCCCCCCTGCAGAATCAGATGCATCTGGAAAGCTCGAATTGAAAATTTGCGTTATGTGTCATTGGAGAGAACTTGCCTTCTATGGCGGCAAAGGGTGAATCAGGGCTTGGTTAATCGAAGGGAGGGGCGGTGATTATTTAGGTCTGGGGTATGTTTACATTATACACTTCAGCAAACTAGTCCAAGGCGCGATTTACTTACTGGGCAATGGCTAGTCCACTTCACATAGAAGAACTGTTGCTTTGTAGGGAACCTGCGCTTGCCAAGTGTTTCGTTGAACGCTGCCACCTTCTTTGAAGCTTGTAGTCAGACTATTATGAGCTCTAACTTCATCAATCTCTCACGAATTGCATGTTATATAATGTAGTGGTAAGTTTATGCACCGAGGCTTCCAATAGCAAACCAGAAGGGGAACGTGAATGGACCAGAAAGGAAAAGTACACAAAATTTACAAATGAAGGCAAGGATGAAACAATAGACAGTTCAGCGTCCCCATCTCCTTCCCCATTTCCATCTCGCTCGTGGTCATCCTCTCCTACCTCCAGCTAGTATATCACTTACTTAGTCCAGTTGAAGGTCTTGACCGATTTCTTTTAATGCACTGGCAATAACAACAACTTGGCTCCGCCTTGTTCAAGTTGTTCCAGAGATATTCTATCCAGCGATGCGTACGCTTCACCCTTGGAGCCAGGGTTTTATTCATGGACACTTTAAACAAAAACTCAACATCCTCATCCTCTTCATCACCCTTGTTTGCGGATGGGTTGACACCAAGTTGGCTAACATGCAGCGCAATCAATTGTAGAGCAGTGGCCACTTCGTGCCGGCGCCCGGGCTCCGCTCGCAGTGTGTCGCAAATATCTTTCAACGTATCTTTAGCACGGTCGCACTCTGGCACAACACAGTGGTATAGCTTATTACCACCTGCCTTGGTTATAGCTTTGAGGATACATATTTCTTCTGCAAGCTCATTGACTGAGCCAAGAACTTCTCCGATTCTAGCAGAGTCATCACGAAGGTGTCCACTACATCCAAAGATAGAGTTAGCTATAGAATCACGGGTTCCAATGAAATGCCCTAAGAAGCCTATTGGCTTCTTTGCCGATGGGATTGGGATACGACTCATGATTTCGGGAGCACAGTAGGAGATTGATAGGCGAGTGAGGTCTTAAGAAAGCTTGACCGTCAAGTAAATAGCTTTAACCAGACAACACAAAAGACCTTTAATTTATAATCCAGGTAGCCTATATTCATACTAATATCGAAAATTATCTTAACAAAGCCAATAATACACATCCTTGTATTCATTCATTGCTGTTACCATCTCCTTTGATTTGAGTCAAAGCATAAAATAAATGACTGGGAAGAAGATGGGCTTTGTCTTAATTCTCCAAATTCCTTGGAACATCGTGCATTGTCAGGCTGCCTATCTTTGTGATCGAGCTGTCCTAGAGTGCCTCGCCGCCTGTGGTAGAGTCAACTTGAATAATTACTGGTGCGTACATCTCTTCTGTATCCAAAGCTCTGCCTGGTCCTACTTGGAATTCTCAATGGTTCTCGGACCGCTTCTACACCCTACCACCTTCCTTCTTTTCTTCTCTAGAAGGTGTAAAAAAAGATCCATGTGCTATCCATCCACGTTCCTTGAAATTTCATTGCTGTCATTCTACCTTGATGAACACTCCGAGAGTCTGATTATCTCGCGCCGATGCGGCTCATTTGTTTCTCAGGTTTGACTTTTCACCGCATTCCTTGAGAAATGCTTCAATGCTGATTGGATTCGGACGACGCTGAAAGCTAAGTTCTGGGCTAATGTAGCTTAACTAAGACCACACCAACAGCATCGTGTGTAGGTAAGAACAGACCCATGAGGACTTTCATCTGGCCAGCTTACTCATGATTATGGAACACATTGTCATCAACTGGCCGGAGCCTTCTCGCACATGAGCTCTTATGGGTTCGTCCGTCGCCGGTCCGTAGGTGTGGACGGCTCGGCCGAACCGTCGGACAAAATGAGCTCGGTGGACGAAGCGAAGGCTTTCGACCCATAAACATGGACATATTGGGAACTATATAAACGCAGGATGTGGACTACAGATACGAGTGTAATAGCAATCATCTTTGGTCTTACTCACATCTATGATGGCCTCCAGGATCGCAAATAAAAACATCCTGCTTATTGGTGGTACCTCCGGTATCGGGTTTGCGGTCGCCAAACAAGCTCTCGCAGATGGCGCAAATATAACCATCGCATCATCGTCTGAAGAAAGAGTATCTAAGGCTGTTGATAATCTTCGCAAGGGAAACCTGGCCCGAAAGTCCGCAGTGCGCAGCTATGTTGCCGATCTCTCCGTCAAAGACAAATTGTATGCAACCATCGAAGATCTGCTCAAATATACTGCTGAGATCTCGCCCATTGACCACATTGTTTTCACGGCTGGAAACGTTCCCCCGATGGTTCCTCTGGCAGAGGCTTCTCTCAGTGACTTTGACGCATACCTAACTGTTCGCTTCTTCGGCGCGATGGCGGTGGGAAAATATGCGCCCAAGTATATGGTCTCGCATAAGAGTTCGTCCATTACTTTGACTACCGGGACTCAAAGCAAGAAGCCATCGGTCTGGTTGGCGCCGGCTGTTGCGGGCTCGATAGAAGGATTGATGAAGGGTCTAGCCATTACGTTAGGACCAATTCGTGTCAATGCTGTCTCGCCGGGCTGCATATTGACGGAGTTGGCTGATCGACTACCAAAGGAGATGAAAGAGGGGATGATTGAGAAATACACACAGCAGTCTCTTACGAACGATATTGGGTATCCAGAGGACACGGCCGAGGCGTACTTGTACCTCATGAAGGACTACTTTGCGACCGGGTCAACAGTGGCTACAAACGGAGGGGCTTGGCTGGTTTAAACAGTATTCGATAGTTCATTCATGAAATGTATACTTAAAAGGATCATTTGTACCTACCTTTCGGATGTCTTCGTGCTCAGTCCCTCACCACTTTTGCCCACTGAGTAAAACTGAGCGCTCCCTGAGTGGCCTGATTTTGGAAAGCTGCAAGAAAACTCTAAATGGCTTCTGAAAACCCCAGTAAGCTGAAGATTTCCCAATGCATCAAGCTTGCCAGGAACCCCAAAAGGCACTCTGCAGGGATAGTAAAACGCTTTTGTAATCCCGGTCAACTTCAATGAATTTAGTAGAAATAGTCTAGAGGTTTCGGCTTCTTTGCTCGCTTGTGGTCGCAATGTCTCAACTAATACGTTCGAAGTCCTCGCCCCTGTTTCATAATAATCTTCGTATAAGTTAATTTTTCCTCACAATTAACTCTTCGATAGAGATTATCAAGATGTGCTCCTGCTCGCCTCCACCAATCTATCCCTTTATTTTGCCTTTCCCTCATCACGCACATCCTACAAGAATACCCCACAGCCTACGGCGGCCGATAGCGGCCACTGGGAAAGTGCACAATTATGCATATTCTAAGACCGGCAGAAAGATTTAGATACCTGAATTACTATTACAACGCCTATATTAAATCATGTACAACTATCTCAACGGCCATTTACCTCGCTGTCGCTATAATGAAGCTATTTTTATGGTGTATCTTGGCCATTTCCGCTGATATCAGGTGGTGAGGTGCTATCTCAACAGCCATTTACCTCGCTGTCGCTATACTGAAGCTATTTTTATGGTGCATCTTGGCTATTTCCGCTGATATTAGGTGGTGAGGTGCTATCTCAACGGTCATTTACCTCACTGTCGCTATAATGATGATATTGAAACTATTTTTATGGTGCATCTTGGTCTATATTCGTCTACTATCGCCGCCGCCGCCTAAGCCGCTGGCTTCGTCGTGATAGAGAAGCTGCTCGCTTCCTCGATGAGGAAGATACTGTAAGAGATATAGCACCCTCTACTACTACTGTAGGAGCAGTATCCTCTACTGCTACTATTATAGTAGTATCCTCTGCTGCTACTACAGAAGTAGCACCCTAATCCGTATCGTAGTTAAAGAGCCGCTCTATGAATAGCTTATCCTCCTCCTTTTATTATAGCGCTATCTGTTCGGAGGACTGTAGGATCATAATGTGTATCTGATGTTTTCCCTTCTCTATCCGGAAGCGCTAGCAAAGTTTACTAAGGCTTCTAAATAGGAAGAGATTCTGCTTAGAGAGAAAGTGTACGATTAACGGCCCTTTCCCTCTATCTTAATGTGTGATATCCTCGGCTAGAAGGAACTGATCTCGTAGCCTCGTTTGGTATCCTAATTGCTGGAGTACGTTCCGATCGAGCTTTGAGACGAGGTCTCTCGCGAAGGATGGGATATCGACGATGGTCTCGGAGGAGGGGGAAATGTGAGAAACCGATACTAATAGATGAAATATAGGTTAGCTAGCTCCTTCTAGTAGTAGTAGTACTTACCCTGTAGCCGCTCTATCTCTTTTGGGCTCTCCTAGAGATAGAAGGACGCAGAGATATAAATCTCTTATAGTGGCGGCGGCGGCGGCGGCGGCGGTGGTAGTAGTGGTAGAGGGTGTCTTTCTCGTTGACGTAGATACGAGCTCCTAGCTGCGCTTACTGTGCTAGAAAGAGAGGAAAAGCGTATATTTAGCTACGCTGGTGCTGTAGTTACTGGTGAAGCTGTAATCACTGGTGAAGCTGTAGCTACTAGTATTAAAGGTATCGGTGTTAATAGTGTAGGCGTTAGAGTTACTACTATTAAGGAAGCTGCTGTTACCGTTAAAGAAGATAATATAGCTAGGATAGTAGTAGCTATAGCGTCCTATAGGGAGGATTATAGAGATGCTATTTCGAAGTGAGATTCGAGATTGATCGGGGCCTTTAATAAGCTACTCGAGGCCTTTGAGCTTAATATAAGACGTAAATTTAATTTTGAACTATGTCTTAGCTGTCTTAGCTATCTTAGCTATCTCGGCTGTTGGCGACTATAAATATATACTATGCGGCTTTATATAGACGCCTAGGATAGGCTCTTTACTAGATTCGTAGTAGTGTAATATACGAAGCCGAAGTGCTTTATATACCGCTCGGTATAGCTAGTCTCTTTCCCTATAGAGCTAAAGTAGTAGATCTTTAGGGTTAAAGCTAACGCCTATAAGTTACTACCTAATCTGCTGAAGCTATAAGCGGCACTATACTAAGGTCGTTGGTAGGAGATATTCTAAAGGATCCTATTCTTCTACGTCTTACTGTAGTCTTCGAAGGAGCTCTTAGTTAAAGGATTACTGATAATCTTGAACGTCGGTATAGTAGTAGTTTATAACTGGCTTCCCTAGGATAGTATTTAGCCGGCGAGACTGTCGCCGAATTAGATAAATATTCTACGTATTCGTATATAAGTGTATGCGAGCTCGGAGGATAGGTATATAGATAGTAAGAAGCGATATCTGCTCTAGAAGATACTACTTTAAGAAGATCCTATCGCGTTATAGTATATAGAAATATTCGTAGAAGAGGAAGGCGCTTAACCCTACGAGCTGTCCCTACTAGGATTTAATCCGTTGATTCTTAGTGCTTCGGCCGTAGAAGAAGTAGTCTTTTTACCGAAGATCTTTATTATCTGATGCTAACTAGCGAAGGGCTAGATACGTATTACTAAGTATTATTATTTCTGTACCTAGATTAGCGTATATAATACGTAGTAGAAAGCCCTTCGAAGCTACGTAGTCGAGATACTAACGAAGTACACTTACTGCTGTCCGAGTAGAGATTCCTATATATATCTATATAATAAGTCGAGAGTATCTATTAATAGCAGCATATATCTCGAATCTAAAAGGTTCTAGCTTCATATAACTATTAATATGCTATATCTAGTTAGGCCTAGGGTAAGTATAAGCTCCTCTCCGGCGTTAGAGGTCTGATCGACGACGTTTAATAGCTTTAGGGTTGATTATTTAGTAGACCTCCTAGATTCTATCTCTAGAGAAAGATTAGTATTAGCTTCGTGTCTACTCATCGAGGATAGGAAAGACCTTCTTATTAAGGATAGGAAAGACCTTGACTCACCGGGGATAGGAAAGACCTTAGCTACGAAAGAAACAGTATTATAGCCGCCGGCTATAGCCTTCAATATCTCTAATATAATCCTCTACAATCAGAATAGCCTCGATCTTAGCTTTCTGCCGCTTACGTTCCTTAGGATCGTCGACCCGAAGCTTTATTCTAAGCCGCTTACGAGCTCTACGAAGAGAGCGTTCGGATATAGGTATATCCTATCTCTTTAGCACTTAGAGAATCTCTTAAGTGCTTAGAGAGAGGAGAAGAAGCTTATGAATAAGCTTATCTATAGCTTCGGTTATCTCAGCCGTTCGACGGGGGTTCGCTAGGTAGATATTCTATAATTATAGGCGGTTATTAATTATACGCTTTATAACGCTAATACTATAGTTATTAAGCAGGGTAATACGAATAGCTTCAGCAGAGCGCCTAAGTTAGACGAGATCCTCGATCTCCTACCTATACGTATTAAGAGGGATAGGAGGCGTCATTATAGAGTAGCGCATAACGATAGTAACTGCGAGGGTATTCAGCGACGGCTACAGTAGGGCAATAGCGAGGGTATTCAGCGACGGCCACAGCGACAGCGATAGCGAGGGTATTCAGCGACGGCCACAGTAGGGCAACAGCGAGGGTATTTAGCGACGGCTACAGCGACAGCGACAGCGAGGGTATTCAGCGACGGCCACAGCAGGGCAACAGCGAGGGTATTCAGTAACGGCCACAGCGACAGCGACAGCGAGGGTATTCAGCGACGGCCACAGCAGGGCAACAGCGAGGGTATTCAGTAACGGCCACAGCAGGGCAACAGCGAGGGTATTCAGCGACGGCCACAGCAGGGTAACAGCGAGGGTATTCAGCGACGGCTACAGCGACAGCCACAGCAGGGTAATAGCGAGGGTATTCAACGCCTAGCGATATTGAGAGTTAGCAGATTGTATGGTATGAATAGCTTCAGCTTACCACCTAGGATTAGTGGTAAGAAATAGCGGTCAATATGGGGTAAAGTAGAAAGTGGAGAATCTATTTTTGTATGGGAAAGACAGTGTAAAGAACGATTCCTGCGTTACAGAGCGGTCCCTAGGGCGGTCTAGAATATGCCCAAATTGTGCACTTTCCCAGTGGCCGCTATCGGCCGCCGTACACAGCCGGATGTAACCATGGTCGGGATGTTTATTGGCAACCGTCGCAGATCCACCCGGAGTCCGGTCTTGGCTGCCGATCGCCAAGAGCACCTGATGAAGGCTTGGAATTTCTTGTCAAATAAGCATCCGGAACACTGCTTGGATATGGCAGATGATTCAACTAGATTTTGAGCTATTGATTTCAACGTCGTATTCCGACGGTACTGCCGAGTAGCGGGTAATCAGGCTCATTCCTGACGATGCTTATTGATGCAAGCAAAAGATTTGCTCATGCGAGGACGTGGCACTGTTTCATCTTGCCTAGACAATATTTAGAGGAGGGATGCCCTGCGGTGGTCAGGATGAAGGTAACACTACTTTCGTCAGTAATAAAAGTCTTCGTGAAGAGTAACAATGCGGTACCAAAAGTGGCTACTACCTCTACTGGCGGCAGGGGTTAGAGCTGCCCCTGCAAGCACCGCCAAAGACAGTGTCTCCTCAGTCGAGAAGAATGGCATCACATATACCGTCTTTGAGCATGCCGCGACTGGGGCCAAAATGGAGTTTGTCAAGAACTCGGGCATCTGCGAAACCACCCCAGGGGTTAATCAGTACTCGGGATATCTGTCCGTCGGGAGTAACATGAACATGTGGTTCTGGTATGTGTCACTATTAATTGATTGATGGGTTTTTTGTCTCACTATGATAGGTTCTTCGAGGCGCGGAACAACTCCCAACAAGCTCCTCTGGCCGCCTGGTTCAACGGCGGTCCTGGATGCTCCTCGATGATCGGTCTGTTCCAGGAAAACGGCCCCTGTCACTTTGTTAACGGGGACAGCACTCCCTCGTTGAACGAGTACAGCTGGAATAACTACGCCAACATGCTATACATTGACCAGCCCATCGGTGTTGGCTTCTCCTACGGCACGGACGATGTGACCAGCACTGTGACTGCTGCGCCGTACGTCTGGAAGTTGCTGCAGGCGTTCTACGCACAGTTTCCAGAGTACGAAAGTCGTGATTTCGCCATCTTCACTGAGGTAAGTCATCCTTTCCTGTCAATAAACAGTAACTAATTTGTCAGTCATATGGTGGACACTATGGTCCCGAATTCGCCTCGTATATTCAGGAGCAAAACGCCGCCATCACAGCCGGATCCGTCTCAGGCGAAAACATTAACCTGATCGCTCTCGGCGTCAACAACGGCTGGATCGACGCGGCCATCCAAGAAAAGGCGTATATCGATTTTAGTTACAACAACTCGTACACGCAGCTCATCGACTCTTCCCAGCGCACGAGCCTCCTCAGCGCCTACAACAACCAGTGTCTCCCTGCTATCCAACAGTGCGCAAAAACAGGCAGCAATTCCGCGTGTAAGAACGCGGATACTATCTGCTACAATAAAATCGAGGGACCGATCAGTAGTTCAGGCGACTGGGACGTCTATGATATCCGGGAGCCGGCGAATGATCCCTACCCACCTTCGACATACTCGACCTATCTCTCCAATTCCGCTGTTGTCAAGGCTATCGGTGCGCAGACTAGCTACCAGGAATGTCCCAATGCGCCGTATAACAAGTTTGCGTCGACTGGTGATAGTAAGTCTCCGTCTTCACCTGGTTATCTCGATGCAGTGAGCTGACCAAGCAGACCCTCGGTCATTCCTCTCTACGCTCTCTAGCGTGGTCAAGTCTGGTATCAACGTGCTGGTCTGGGCGGGTGACGCCGACTGGATCTGCAACTGGCTTGGTAACTATGAGGTTGCTAATGCAGTTGACTTTTCAGGACATGCGGAATTCAGCGCAAAGGACCTGGCACCATACACGGTCAATGGTGCTGAAAAGGGCCTGTTCAAGAACGTCGACAATTTTTCGTTCTTGAAGGTGTACGGGGCGGGTCACGAGGTCCCTTACTACCGTGAGTTCCTTGTCTCAGTTCAATTTGAACGAGTGCTAATTGATGTAGAACCTGAGACGGCGCTGCAGGCATTTGAGCAGCTTCTCCAGAAGCAGCCCATTGCCTCAACTTGAGGCTTGACCCCGGTGTGCCCTTTAATATAAAGGGATTGATATGGTTGATAGATTTATATACCAAAGACACATACTTTACCCAGAAGTTAGCACCCCATCCCGGTGTATGACCATGATCAATGCAGCTATAAATTGAGCAGAAAGAAGCCGGATATTGCCTGGTATCTCGTGGTCCACCATTTATCGCAGGTTTTGAGGACTATCAAGGTAGCATATCATCCCGATCGAGTCGCACCAAAGGTCTCATTCAGCGGCGCGGATACCTTCGACAAGAAGATTTTGTCCCTCAAGCGGACGCCACTGATCTGATCCTGTCCCTGAACTATTATCTATAATCTGTGAGCGTCCTGAGGGTTGATTCTATTCACTTTCAAGTATAGATACCTCTTGTGTAACCATGATCCCCTGCCCTTCCGCAATCGCGAGCATGTCCATCCGCACGCCATTCTGAGCGGCAATACGCTTAGTTGATATAATCCCATCATACCGAGTCCAGAGAAGAACCACAGCATTGGAGCCGGGGTAATGGTAAAACGAGTAAACCTGAGGCGATGGGCACTTAAAGTATATGGCTATGGAATCAGGGTCAACTTCCTTGTAAGAGTTCAGAAATTGGATCTCCTCCTCTGTAAAGTGAATGACCTGCGAATAATCGGGATTGGCTCTCGATATTTTCCGTATAGGAAGAGATTGAGATGGCTCGCACTTACTAGCTGTAGCAATTCACCCTCTTGTAGCGCCCTCACGGCGGTCTTAACGCCCTCTTCCACTGGCCACACTGGCCGGGCCATGTCACACGGGTGCGTGGGCGTGATGGACACAACCCTGCAGCGAGATGATTCTGCCATTCTCTCTATCACGGCCTCTGTGTCAAGGGCGAGTCCTGTCAAGTGGGCGCGGGGTGGGGGGAGTAAGCAAATATGATCCGATCACCTTCTGAAGGGGCCGGGCCAGCAAACACGTGTAGCTAAATAGACATCTATAGATATAACTAGTTGATAGTCACCTACGGATGAAACCCTATCCCCCACCATTCACGTCAAAATTATCTGCAAGATCAGATTCCAGAAACACGTAGGACACGACTGATCTACTTTCGCTGCTTCCACGTGAAATGTCACTAACATGGAGGAGTCAAATTGCTCCAGGTATTCCTCAACAAACGAAAACGAATAGACCGTCGGATTGGAATATAAATACTCTCTAGCATTTAATGTTCATGTTCTTGACCTGGGGGGGCGCGGATAGGGGTAAATGGAAGCGGAGCTTCTTAGGTTGCACTCCCTCTAGCTTGCGTGACATCTTTCGGGTTTCTGCCTGAGCGCCACGCTTTCTCTTCCTCTTTCTCAGAGGCTTTACATTTGACCATATGGCTTTGTTTAACCGATAGGTGTTATGCAAGTGATATCGAAGGCCACGCTCGATATCGAAATTCTAGCTCTACCCGTAGATAAGCTTCGTTTTCATGCCACTTCCCTCTGGACATATCTACACCTCGACAGTCTTCAAGAATGCCGGGCTTTCATATCCTTCCACCACCTTGGCGATCGGGGTGAGATATGCTTCGGAGTTTTCTTGGCTGTCCTGGAGTCGACGAACGTAATGTTGAGCAACCTTGAGCCACAGGGCCTTCTCGCGCTCGCTGGCGCTGAGGCCCTGCCAGACCCAAAGTCTATTACCGACATCATATAGGAAAACGTCGTTGCCGTCAAAGTCGGACCGGTTGATGCGACCGCCGTCCTTGACAAGGTCAAAGGATAATTGCCCCGAGGCGTCGCTGAGACGGAACAGCTTGCGCGGATGTGAGATGTTGCTATCCTCGGCCGATCTCTTGGCAAATGACCCCGGACGAGGCGACTGGAACGTGGATTGTTTCACCTCCTTGCCTCCCAACAGATCCACAATGATCTTGGACCGCGACTCGAGTTGCGACAAAACTTCCACGTCAATGTGCTTGGCGAGAGTCATGTCATTCACCACCTGCGCCGCCTTCGCTTTCTCCATTGGGCTGCAGCTCTTGCCTTGCCAGACCCAAATCTTATCGCCCTTGTCTAAGACAAAGACATCCTTCTCATCCAGGCTCTGCCATGTAGGCTCCACTTCGTGTACGATAATCGCACGGCCACCGCCGGGGTGCTTGAAGATGCGGAGTAGAGTGAGAATTTCCATGGGCTCCTCCGGTTCGACATGAGTGAACCCGGAGCGCACCCCTCCCGACCGAACCCGGTATTGACGGAACAGGGATAGGAATTCGTCGGAGGGTTGTGCTTGTGTCTCCCGATGCTGAGTGGCAGCGCCGTGCAAGAATTCATCCAGCTCGACCGTCTTGTAGGCGGCCGTACCAGCTTCATCTTGAGTCGTCTTGCTTCCCAGCCAGAAATATATATCATGGCCTAGCTTCTCCTCGCCTTGCTGCTTGCCGACTTTGTACGAGTGCAGCAGGATGAAGCTATCCCCATCGTAGAACTCGCCATACCGCTCCTTGGGCCACGGGATGACCTCGAAGTTCTCAATCCGCCATATGGAGAACCCAGCTTCTTGGCCAATCTTCCCATTGTTCCAGGCAGGCTCGGCCGCGGCGGATTTGTACTTGACGCGGTGGTCGATATCGGATCCAATCAGCTCCACATTGCTGTCCTTGATGTCGTACTCTTTCGCGTGTACCAATCCCTCATGAGGCGCCATGTTGATATTGCGGGATTCGACAATCAGGCTGGAGGAGGATGAGGAAGGATCGAGGGGGTGGTGGAGGGGTGGTGGTGGTGTAGATAGGTGACGTGATAAGCGCTGCGGAGATTCGCGGATGGCAAACAAATACGTCGGTGGAGTGGGGCAGAAGCTGAAGGGGGCTGAGAGAGCGGGGCAGCTTTCTGGCAGCAAATAGGGTTGGTCAGATGGCAACGCGTTGACCAGCGTCTATTTTTGATTTCAGCCTATTTTAACTCCCATGATCGAGTTTCATGGAACGCATTGCTTCCCTACAGTATCTCCTAGTCGGGATACAACTGCCAAAAATTTAGAGGCAAAGCTGCTGCGGGGCGCTGCAGCTAAGAAGCACCATTTTACCCAATCCGAGCTAAGTCTTTAGCCAGCCTGGGGCCCGAAACTATGTTTGGCCTCACGACAAGAACTTCAATATCAGACAATTTTTTCCATTTGTCGCATCTTCCAACATTTCGGCCCCAGTACAATGTAGGGCCGGAATCATTGAATGTTAAATATATCCTTCAGACTATCAGCTGGCCAACTTGACACCAGGCTCGCGTTCTAACTTGTGATTTCAAGAAAGACAAATCCCTCCATGATACCAGACTTAAATATATATCAGTCAGGCTGCCTAATAACTATCTTTTCGTGGGGCGCGGCGAGCTCCCTCGACAGGCGTGGGTTTCTGATACCCACTTTGCACACAAGCGGCGACATTGAGCTCTGGTCCATTCAGCCCTGCCCAACATGTTTTCTGATAGGGCCACACAGTGACCGTAACTGTGTTTGAACCATTGTGATTCAGAATGTCTTTCAGCGTTGAATAACGGCATTGCGGTGCGACGTGATTGACTAGATAAAGATGCCAGCCGCACCATTTGCGACCATAGATCAAGGTCGGCATTGGTCCCTTACAATATTTTCCAAATTGCCAGCTGTTAGCAATCAACTCTGGGTGAATCTTGGTCGCCTCTTGTGTCTCTCAGGGTCAGCAAACGTAAAGCTCATTGGCATACCATACCCCGCTGGGATATCGAGGCCAAATATAATCACCAAAAAGTCCACGCCAGAGTTTGAGAGTCCATCCGAGGGTGGCCATCTCTCCATCCAGCTTTAGGCGCTTCAGAAGACGATAATCCTGCCGCTCCGCGAATGGTACTCCTTTGTTCAAGGGCCCGCGCGTATGATGGCCGTACATCTCTTCACCAACGTTTCTAGTCATATTCAAGGATACTGAAGACCTACGGCGACCATGTACATCAAATTTGAGAACTCCTCTTGGATCTTTCGTTGCTTGTGATTTCGCAATGAGTTTCGTATCCAACGCCACGTGATCGACTAGAACTGTCAAAACATCGGTGCTCCCGGTCCTCGGTTTCGTCGGGAAATTATGGGTCTGATTGTAGAACATATTTGTGATGCTGCCCTCGCTGCTGTTCCTTTATTCCAAGTTCGGATTAGCAGGTCGGGGGTGTCGGACCAAAGCCCATGTTCACCAGGAAAATTTTTGCAAGGAGACCGATCCCGATCGGGTCCGCTGGGAGATCTAGATCTCAGATGCCCGATCGACATACGGGGTCATAATTACTGTTCCCAAGTCTCGACCCTCTCCCCTCTGGTGGGATTAGGACGGGCCTTACGTTGTCGTCAGACGACCATACTCTCGATGCCTTCAGAGGCATTGGTGTGGACTCAGCCAAGGGCCTTTGAGGGTCTACCCAAGCCCAGCAATCAGGGTCGCGGCGGGGCTTGCAGAGTCGTCGTCAGTTAACCAGACCATGAGCGCAAGGGCAAAGGAAAATCTGGCCTCGTTAAGACCACCGGGTTTACACCTGGGCATCATGCCTAAGTTGCATTTCGGCTCATCCACGGAACTGAGGTTGATTCATTTTATCTTCCATTGCTTGGGTCCCAGGCCGATCACACTTCGGGCAGAAAGCATTATCCCCAATAGCGTGCAGACTATCGTTGAAATACACGGTAGACACGGGGCATGGCCAATGGAAAGTGGACGGAGAGTGTGCCGAAGCCCGAGAAGAGATCCACCTGTTACAGCGCAGGAGCTCGATGCCAAACTTGGGCACCCGTTCAGGGGGTAGAGATCCGCGCTTGAACGAATTTCGTTCGGCTTGTGACTGAGTATTGGTTGCCGGACAAAAAGCTCGGTTGAGATGTGCAGGTTAGAGCAGTTTAGCGTACTAATGATCGCCTCGATTATTGATGCCGGACTGGCGCAATAGGGTCCAATGAGTGGCGCGTCTATTATTACACCGGTGAACACGGACAACATCCAGCGCCGGTGCTGAACAGAGGACGGAGAACGGAGGATCCGTATACTCCGTACATGTGCGAGGCGCAGGCGGAGACGTTTGAGCTCAGCCTCCTCTTTGCACGCGGTCGCTGGAACAGGGTATCAACTGTCTGGCTCGTCTCAGCCCTAGCTGATCACTTCTGGAAATGGGGGTGAACCCCGGTCAGTCTCGTTCGACCGTGAACAGAGTTTCTCGGTCCGCGATCCACTCTTCGGTCCAGACCACGCGGCTAAGATTTCACCCACTCTGGGAGATGCTGAAAGCCATTGCCCTGCGACGCACGCACTACTCCGCATGGAGTACGGAGTAGCTTGCCAAGCAAAAAAACCAAAATTGAGTTAGCCGGTGCCACAGCAGGGTCAGAAGCACAACCCAAGCCACAAGGCGTCGCGAGGAAAACGCGTAGTGAAATGCAAAAAGGAGGGCCGACCTCGCACTTAAACTCGGTCATACTAACCACATATGGCATAGCGACAATATCACGTGCAGCGGAAGTCAGCCGGCGCAAAAAAACGACGATCGTATCGATTGATTTGCTTCCTCAGCTTTCAAGAAAAAGCTTAACGCTAGTGCCTTCTCTGGGCTCAGTTGCTTGGAAACGGTCATCCTCCGTGGTTTTGCCGACCGGGGGTTCTGGCCCTTCTCGGAGTACAGCCTCTAAGGGCCGACACGCGACCCCTTAGCCTTGTTTGCATGAAAAGACGTCTCCCTGAACATCCGGCGCATCTGATCGCATCTGATGGAGGTTTTTTTATTATTTTAATTGTTTTTATTTTTAAATCCGAGTTGAGAAGCTGAGAAGAGGTCTGGATACAAGGGACTGGAATTGTGCATGAACTTGAGGTTTTATCCCTGTCCTTCTCCCCCACTCATTGGACCATCAGCCGTCCGTCTCGAGAGGGCCAAGTGGACTACGGCTGGTGCCCACCATTCAAAGGGCTGGGTGCTGCCCCGTTGACCTCTAGTGCTGTGATAGCCTGGTCTGGTGTCTCGACCAGGTTACCCGACCAGCTGGTGATCCCCGATATCAACTCTCGTGTCTCTGATCCCGACTATGATAGCGATGACCATGATCGATGTCCCTATCGTGTTGTGGTTCATTCCTAGGCAACCCGAACCCCGCTGTCAACCCGAGAAGAATGCCACTTGGTCAAATGCAGCCAGGACATGTGGGCGATAAGCACAGCCACCGGCGTCATGCAGAACACAGCTTGGCCTGAAGGTGCTGCTGCTAAGTTTGGGTATACGATGGGTCCGAAGATAATCTTGGAAATCTAGCCCTGATGTGCCAATAGGAGTGAGTGGTCCCGGAACCGGTGGCCCCCACTTCCCAAGTACTCCGTATAGTACTCCGTAGGTGATTCGGTTACGGGCCAAGTAAATAGCAGTTCAGTAGGCTGCGTAGTTCACCGGGAAATCCATGGTGATTGCCCTACAAGTGAGGGCAGTAGAGGCAGAAAATCACTGAAAACGGAGTCAAATAACATACTAATGAATAAAGCCACGTTAAAAAATAATAATGAGCCCAAGAACAAACCCCTCGAGGGAGGAGGATGCCGGAGTAAACAACTGCCGTTTCAGCGTGAGTGGCGACTGAACCAATCACTCATTTCGGGGCAGCCAGCCCCGCTGAGTCAGCCATGAGGACGCGCAAGCCTCTCCGGCCTGTTTGGCCCATTTGGCCCTTTCGGCCGTTTCCACTCTCTTCCTCTCCTGATTTCCACTTTATTTCCCCCCTTCTCCATCCAGACCCAACAACCAAACTTCTTAATCGACCCCCCCCCCCCCCCCCCAATCTAGAACCACTCTCGCTCTCGCTTCTTTCCTTCGTTCAATTATACCAACCACACCCCATACTCTTATATAGCCTGCCTCCCCCCAACACTTATCTGCACAGGGGTCCGGTACCACCTACACATTATGGCAACTCTCGCAGAACATCCTCTACACGCCACGGCCTCGCCGATGCCGATGAACGCCACTTACGACCAAGACCTCGACTCCTTTATCAACTTCGACCAGCTCGCCTACACATCCGCTGACGCCGCCCGCCCCAAGGTCGCGCTCGCCAGCCAACCATCTGTTGCAGGCACCGACTTCAGCGCCAGTGATGTCCGTAGCGCCAGCTTCGCTTCCAGTGGTCAATCTCCTATCGCCTTCCAAGGCCCCAGTCATCATTACGAAGAGCACCGCCAACAGACTGGTCTGCCTCCCGGTGCCCTGTCCATGACCTACAACCAGGTCCCCCAGATGAACTTCAGCAACGCCGCTCAGGGCTACCCGATGAATGGAGAGGTATTTGCTGGACAGATGAAGCGCGAGGATGCCCCCTTTGACTTCAACACCGCGCCGGCCCGCAACCCATCTGAAATGGACATTGAATCGGACGGCATGAACAACGCTCCATATTTCTTCCAGGCCAACACCGGCAAGAATCAATTCGTCGACCCAAATGCGCTCGGTGGCCATGAGCAGGCTCAGGCCGGTCCGTCCACCCAGGTCGGCCGCATGTACCCTGGCATGCATCAGCAGCAGGCTGCGATGGCCAAGGCCCAGCAACAGAAGCACCACGACATGGTGCGGCAACACCAGATGCAGCAGCATCGTGTGGAGGAGCTTCCCCACAGCGCGGCCGCCCGTGGTCCCCGTCCGCCCGACCCAGTTGTTGAGGAGCGTATATCCCGCCTCCTCCAGCAGATGCGTGCGAACGCCGTTGCCGCGGGTGAGGCCTCGCCTACCCCTTCCTCCGTCCTGCCTCACATGGCCAAGTCCAAGAAGGACGAGGCGGATATGGATGAGGATGAGCGTCTCCTGGCTAGCGAGGAGGGCAAGAAGCTCAGCAGCAAGGAGCGTCGCCAGCTGCGAAACAAGGTGTCCGCTCGTGCTTTCCGCTCCCGTCGCAAGGGTACGTATGATTCAGATGTGGTTTTTCGATGGAATAGTTTAAAGGCTAACACACTTTGAAGAGTACATTGGTCAACTCGAGAGCGAGATTGCTTCCCGCACCAACGAGGCTCATGAGCTGCGTCTACAGAACCGTGCCCTCTACGAGGAGAATGCTCGATTGAACGACCTGGCCCGCATGCTCCTGGGCTCCCCTCACTTCGCCAACTTCCTGAACGACATGCCCGACACTGTCTCGTCTCAGATGCCCGCTCCCCAGCAGCCTCATCAGCAGATGCAGCACCAGCAAGCCGCCCCTCAGCCCACCATGCAGGCAAACATTCCCAAGGAGGCCAGCGCCCCTCGCTCCCAGGAGTTCCAGATGCAGCAGAACCCCCAGGTCAGCATGGCCATGGTCCCTAACCAGGGCATGGACGCCTCCATGATGACCAGCAACGGCTGGAACTCGGGTATCGACATGAACTACGGCAACACTCCTGTCTTCGCAGTCCTTGAGGTTCCCCAGGGCCCTGAGCTCGACATCGCAGCTCTGTGCGGCAAGTCATCCTCGCCGCTATCCAGCGAAAAGAACGAGGCCCCCGGCCTCGACCTGCCTGAGATCCCCGAACTTGATACCCCGGCTCAGAAGTCTGATCTTAGCTTCAAGCCCGACTCTGCGGACCTCTTTGCTGACTCTCCTGCCACTTCTGACGACGAGCTTGTTTTTGACGGTATTAAAACGGAGAAGGCTTCTCTCCACTACGAGCTTATGGTTGATGCTCCCAACGAGGTCACCGCCGCCGACAAGAACCGATTGAGATCTCTCTGCCAGAGCATGCATGCCGCCTTTGAGCGGGTGTCGTTAGCCACTTCCCACCTCCAGTGATTCCCCATTTAGCGTCCTACCTTTCTGGTCCCATTTTCTTTGTATATCTGTCCACTTTTGTACCGGCATTTGTCCCGTTCACTTTCTCTTTCTCCATTTTACCTCTCATGGCCCGGCCATTATACATCCAGGCTGAATTGTCTAACTACATCTTGCAAGTGATCGAGTTGGGATTCTCACTTGTCCCCTCGGGAGTTTGACGGCGCGCTTTATTTGTTTTCTATCTTGTGTATCTCCCGGGTTGGGCTTTGGGCTTTTGGGTGGAAATTTTGGTAGCGACTCGGCGCATGTGATGGATCAGCGAAATAAGAGCTCAAAATTGATTTTACTACTGTCTTGACCCTTTTTCTGACTTATTGTAACATATATATGCTATGCGTATTCAAGGACGCATGATAGATGACCAGCTCTGCGTGGCCCATGTGAAGTATTTGGCTGCGAATCGAAGTGTTGACTCAGGCCGGCGTGGCGTCAATCCCATCTCCACTAAAAAAAGTTCGGTGCCGCCGCGCCTCTCCGCAACATAATATTCCCCCTCCCTTCTCTATCATGACCATTCTATGTTGACCTCTTCGCTATAATATTTTCCTTACAGCCAAATTGGCTTCCATAAGTGCCCGCGGTAACCTACTTACCGCGGCTTCTCGCGCTTTCGCCTCGCGCGCGTTTCCTCGGACGTCGGTCTCTACAGCCTTTCTTTTCGCAGCAGCGTATCGCAGCGCCAGCATCACCGATCGCCAACCCCCACAGCATAAACGACCAGTTTCGGGCCTCAAGCGCGTTGCCAAAGCTCAAATACCTTTTCGCGGACACCAGAAACCCCCCTTCCCACGCCGCTCGACCAAGAGCCCCGTAAGCCGGCACATCGCCCCGGACGCGTGCCTACTTCCTTCCACTTCGCAATCTGAAACAGCCTATGTGATCTGTGATCCCTCACGCCTCACAACCAAAACAGTCCAGCTTCCTCCGACCGGCATCTTCCCGATGAAGTTCTACTACGAAGTCATCACAACCCCGACGGCCGACACCCCTGGCACGGTCATCGGGCTTCACTTCCCCGACAAGCGATACTTGTTCGGTCAGCTTGCAGAAGGGACACAACGCGCATGCACGGAGCGCGCTCATAAGCTGACCTCCATTAGCGACATCTTCGTGACGGGTCGGACAGAATGGGCCAACACGGGAGGCATGATTGGTGTCATCTTGACTCAGGCGGATGCGCTGAAATCGTCAAATGATGCATTGGAGGAGGAGAACAAGAAGAAAGCGGAGCGGCGAGCCGCAGGCAAGCCAGCAAAGAATGACAATCAGCAGCCTTTTGGTACTACAGCGCCAGATGTTCCTGGAGAACTGAAGAAACACGTTGTGACCGTTCATGGAAGTACAAATCTGATACATACGATGGCCACGGCTCGTCGCTTTGTTTTCCGGACGGGTATGCCGATCTCCATGAGGGAATATGATTCAGTGACCATGGCGAAGCAGATCCCTGTGGATAAAGCGGACCCCTTTGAAACGCCTAGCTTCGTCGACTCAAATATCAAAGTCTGGGCTCTACCCATCAAACCTCAAGTTTCCGAGCTGCCAAAGGTGACGCGATCGCAGAGCCCGCGGAAGCGAAGTCTGGATGAGTTTCAGGAGACGGAGGCGCAGCTGGATCAGCACAAGAATACCCAATTGCTGAGACAATCTATCGTTTCAGATATGTTCGATTCCGACTGGAAGATGGATGCACTCATTGAGACCCCCTTGGCGGAGGTAAAGATGCCTGCGGCCCTGTTCGTACGCAACTCGGAGACTAAGGATCTGGAGCCGTACAAGGGCCCTGCTCCTGGTGATAACAAGCCCTTGCCTAACATCAAGGTGCTTGTTCGGAAGCCTTGGCCTGGAGCCATGATCACCTCCCTACCTCCCACGTCTCCGTCCAAAGAAGCGGTCTCTTATATCATTCGCAACCATGATATCCGAGGCAAGTTTGACCCTGCCAAGGCCACGCAGTTGGGAATTCCGAAGGGTCCGGACTTCGCTCGATTGGCGAATGGAGCAAGCGTTCAGACCCCGGAGGGCAACACTGTCACTCCGGATATGGTCCTAGGCGCGCCCCGGTCTGGTAAAGGTTTTGCCATTATAGACTTGCCATCGTCCGACTATGTTGAAGATCTGGTCAACCGGCCGGAGTGGAACTCTCCTTCCGTGACAACTGAGCTCAAAGCTTTTGTCTGGATTCTTGGACCTGGTGTGGGTGCCCATCCCAAACTTCGGGAGTTTGTTGCTCGTATGTCCCACTGCAAGCACACTGTGTCCAGCGTCGATTATTGCCCCAACTACTTGGCATTTAGCAGCGCCGCAGAGGCTGCTATCCGACTTGCTCGTCTGAGGGGCGAGAACTACCCAATTCCCGTCCACGACAATGTGACTATTCCACAAGCTCAGAGTGGAACTCAGCCGGGGAGTATCTCGCTGCACGACGCACCTTTCGAGCCTGTGGATCCCGGACTCATCGTCGACATGGAGCCACAATTCAAGATTAACAAGGACGAGGTCATGACTCGCTTGAACACTGCCCAGACGATTTTCCAAATTCCACGCTCTGTCGAGCGCCGGATGGAGGTCATTCGTACCCGTGTTAAAAAGCCAGCTTTCCAGGAGCGGCTGGCTAACATCCGCAAGGACTTGCCCGGCGCAGATGCTGAGATTTTTGCACTCGGTACAGGGTCATCTGCCCCTTCCAAGTACCGCAATGTCTCGGCGACACTGCTCCACGCTCCTGTATATGGTTACTACCTTTTGGATTGCGGTGAGAACACACTCGGTCAGATGAATCGGATCTTCGGCTATGAAAAAACGCGCGAGATATTGCAGAACCTCCGCATGATTTGGATTAGCCACCTGCACGCCGATCACCATCTAGGTACAGCGTCTGTTATCAGAGCCTGGTACCAGGAGAACTATGGGGCTGAGTCTAAGCCGGCAGAGCCAGAACACGACCTGAAAAAGATCCTTCAGGAGAAGCGCCTGGCTGTGGTATCTGATGAGATGATGATTGCCTGGTTGGAGGAGTATGCCGCTGTCGAGAACTATGGCTTTGACAAGCTGATTCCTCTCTGCGCCCACCCCGACCAGTCCGGTCCGTCCATCACCACCAAGTTCAGCTACCGACACAGCCGCAGCGGCAACGCCCCCTATGGGCTCCAAACGCCGGGCAGAACCATTCTTAATTTCAAAGACGACTCCTCTCCTCTTACGGCGCTCCTAAAGTCTGCTACCGGTCTGGATGATATTCTCACTACTCGCGTGAGGCACTGCAAGGGTTCTCTCGCCTTGTCCATTGTTTTCCCCGATGGGTTCAAGGTCTCCTATTCGGGCGACTGCAGACCTTCGGACAAGTTCGCCTCCATCGGTCGCGGCTCGACCGTACTCATTCACGAGGCCACCTTTCAAAATGACATGGTCGGCTCTGCTCTCGCAAAGCGTCACTCCACCGCCGCCGAAGCAATCGAAATCGGTCGCCGCATGGGGGCCCGCTCTATTCTTCTGACGCACTTCAGTCAACGGTACCAGAAGATGGCCTACGTCGACCACGATGCGGGCACAAACAAGCACGACGCTATGAGTTCATCTAGTGCTACGAAAGACGTGACGGCAGCAGCCAAGGAGCCAAATAACCCCGACATCCCCTTCGATGACCCCGAGGACCAGCCAGCAACCCCCCAGTCCGCCGCTGCCCTACTCGACGACATCCACTTCCCCCAGCCAGGTCGACCGGGACTTCCGCGCCGTGATCTCATACCAGGCGTGACCGCGCCTATCGCCGCAGCGATGGACTACATGCGCATCACGGTGCGCGACCTGGCTCTGGCACAGGCGTATGCCCCCGCGCTGGAGAGACTCGTCGATCTAATGGAAAGAGACACCATGATTCAGGCCGAGGTGACCAAAAAGGCGATTCGCGAGGCGGAAGAGGCTCGCAAATCGAAGAAGAACAAGAAGTTCGCGGGTAAGAAAGCTGCTGCCGGCGCGGCTGCAATCGCTGCGGTCGCTGCTGAGGCTGAGGAGAAGAAAGAACCTGAGCCTGAACTGCCGGTGCACTCAGTGTGGAGTGCCAGTGAGAGTGAGAGTGGCTGGGAAACGAGTGACTATGAGGAGTAAATCTTTCGTCCTGAACCATAGCTATGTCCAACATTGTATATAGTGACTGTGCAAAATCAATAGAACTCAGTACATTCTGGGCGTCCATATTGGGCTTCTAACTACGTACAGTCCCTAGAACCCCTACTGATGAGTCTACCAGCGGTTCTATTTTCACAATGCTGGTTCAGGTGATAGTAGGGAACGTGGCTGTACGCCGTACCATCGCCATGTTTGTCTTGTTTGGTAAACCCTTTAACTATCCTTTCCAATTTCTTGGTCTTGAGACATCGATCCTTCTCCCTCCCCTAAGGCCTTCTGGAATTTTCTCCTGATTGAAAGAGCGCGCAACGTACTGGCTTACTCACTCCCATTCAACTTCTTGACTCTATCGCTTCCTATCGTTGAGGGTCTTCGACGCTCTCAACTGTTGGTTTGCTCAATTTCATGCTTCGCACTCATCTCCCACAATATGGCTCGCCCTCCTGATACCACATGGGAGTTGTTTCACAACCTTAAAGTCCACCCGAGCTGGGGATATGTTATTTATCGTACTACCTATTCCTTTGAATCTGACGCACACTTCTCCACCGTGATCAAGTATCTCCAAGCCTGCTTCAGAAAATCATTCTTTACAGAAGCAGCAGAATATGCAAGTACTAGGGGAGATCCCATGATTTATGAGGGAATATGGGCCCAACACAACCTTACTGTTATCGAAGATACGATGCAGCTCGACGGGGTATCAATCGATTCGATTCGCGCTCGCTTTGAGGAGTGGGTAGATGCACAGGGCTAGCGTGATAAACTCAACAAATATCGAATGTGTATCGTCATCGATAAGGAATGCCTCCAGACGCTACTAGGTACATCGGTGGAGGCTCTAGAACATGAAACACAGTACGTTCGAGATAAGACCGTACGGTAGGTACGTGAAGGTTGTGGAAGCGTGGCCGGTTATCGACGAGGGTGACGAAGGCGAGTTTCCGGGATGCATGAAGTGTTGGTCGCGCGCGTTATGGGATCTTTGGAGCATGATGGGCGATGGTACTGAAATGAGTTTGTCCTGGGACAAGATAAATGATTTTTGCCCTGGGGTGTATCGTGGATGATGAGAATGAAATCCGAATTTCTAGCAAGAGCAATTGAAGAAACGAAAGGAGACCTCTGCGCTCGGATAGGCTAGCTGACGAGGAAAGTGGAATAGGAGTAGTTACTTATAGCTGCCTCCTATTATTGGTTTCGTGGTCCCCTTGCTTCCAAGTTTGTACGTAATTATTGGGTTCCGAGACAGCACTTTCAAGTCACTCTCGAGTATCCAACAGGTCCTCTAACACACGGAGGAATTGGTCCTATTCACATGTCAACTACGAACCGACTCTGTAGATGTGCATTTGACATATCCTCTGCCTGCCACTCATTTTATCTACAATCAATCAATTAATTTATGCCTTTTTAGTTGGTTCCACTTGATCCTCATGTTCCGGAGTGTGTACTACATAGTAGATACGAGATTGCCTCTCTCTAGCATAGACTGATAGACAACTCACAAGTTAGTATATCTCAGACAATATTTGATGGACAAATACTGTTTTACTCGTTTAATGTCACGGACACGGCATACTTGCGCGGATCAGACCCGGCCATGTTCCCGGGATGATTCCGGATTGTCCTTTCCCCGCATGAGACAGAGTCGGCAAGAACCTCCATGATGCCTCTGTTCGTTGTCTCATAAGGCATTGATCCGGAACGAAAAAAAGCGTGCAGAGATCCGTGCCGGGAATAAATCCTTGGCGAATAGGATTCGCGATGTCTCACCACAATTGAGTGGTCCCTGAATTATATTCCATCCCTTTAAAAAAATACTCCGCTCCACATTATTAAGAATGAGGTGTGGAGCACTTTGTGCGGATTTGCTCTTAATCTCAACTAGAGGGAAGTCCAACGCAGGGCGTAACATGGTTTTTCTCATGACCATTCTCCTCAGAGAGTAGCTGTTCCAAGAGATCCAACACCGGTTGAATAGGTGGCTGTGATAACATTCTCGTCGACCGCCCAAAGGGTGGCTCCCCTTCTGTATCAGTCGCAGCAGATTGATTGCATCAGACCGCCGGTCATTCAAGACATGAGGCCATGCCAGGGCTTTTCCAAACGGTAGGTCCTCGTGATGTTTTGGGCTGAAAATTTTCCATCCAGCTTCAACGATGTCTCGTACAACGTCTCTGGACACGATGTCCCGTCGAATGACCCGACTGGGCTGGATTAACACCTTGTAGAAGATACGGTCCGTCTTCAGGCGGGTATATTTGGAGAAAGCTGATTCGATCAGCGGTCTTTGAGACTCTTGGAAATATTAAAAATGTATCGGCAGGCGAGTATCATAGATAAAAGATCCAAAGAACCTCTTGATCGAAGAGTACTTTATTCTTCACGAATACAACCACAGTATCTGGCATACCAAACGCAAAATGGAACAGTCCTCCAATAGGATACAGGGAAGTACTGTGTCACAGCAATGATCAAGTCTGATTCCTCAACAATGACTTTCTAGGGTACATATAAATAGAAGACCTGGATGACATTATGACTTCTAGCTATCAAGATCACTCTTCAAACTTGCCCCCTTTATCTCCGCATGTTTCCACCATGGCCATCAATTAAAGCATATCGTCGTCTTCTTCTTGACTGTCAAAACACTCCCTTCAGTCAAACCAGTTCAGGAGTTTGGACCGGGTGTGTAATTGTCTGCAAAATCTTTAGGTTGATCATACTCCGATAGGGTAAGCTCCTTGAGAAATCCGTCTGTTACAAGTTGATCAGCACCGCTGCTCGTCTTAAACTGCGTTCCCATTCCTGGCTGCTCAAACCACGGAGCAATGGGCCCAAGGGTGACATTCAGCTCCATTGTCACCTCGTAGACACGATAGCTGTAAGGGTAGCTGCCATCACTATTGTTCAAGTTGCGAGGTGGTAGCGCTCTCTCAATATACGGCGCACCCAATGGACTAAAGAAATTTCCCGTTGGAGATCCAAAGCGATCAATCTTTCGGCCAACAGGGAGTGTCACGTCAGCCTCGACGGGCTGCCCATCACTTGCGATCACAAATCCCTCCTCGTCCGGATAATGATAGGATCCGTTATCCCAAGTCCACTTTTGAAGGAACTCGTACGGGCACAGATCGCCAAATCGGGCGTATGTGGCGAGTTCAGTCGACAAAGGGAAATTCCGAGGAAGTTGGACGGGGCCAAGGGTATCATTGCCGCAGACATATGATTCATTGGTAAAGACAATGCCCTTGCATGGATCGGGGTAGCATCGTGCGGGATAGTCTGGTTCCTATAGGACAAAAAAGGGGGGGAAATAAAGAGTTAGACCAGTGGCAAAAACGGCAACGGGCTGTGTGTAGTGACTGGGTTGGTTGCGTATATAATACCTTTACATCGCCCGGATCGCCATCGCCCGGAGCGGAGGCTTGGTATGCCTGGGCAGTGACCACGGCTCCAATGAACAGAAGAGAACGAAAGACACCCTCAAAATGCATGTTGATACTGCAGATTTCTTTTTACCACCACGTTGTCAATGTGTACACCACCTGATCAGGATGTTGGATCCGAGCCTCAGCCTTTATAGGCACCCCGATTTCACTCCATGGGATACATTCCTTTTGTGCACGTATCTTGCTTTTGAGCCTGCATTTCTAAACACGCGGCGTTCAGCTGACAATATTGCTGTCAGCTCAACGTGATCTGTGAAAATCACTCATTTTCGGAAGAATATGTACACTATGAGAATGTAAGAATGCAAATACAACCATGCAGTCATGCATTGATTGGCGGGTATTTTTTCAATATGGCATTCCTTAGCGCCACAAATTTGGTGGCATAGTACGTGGCATGACAGGACTTTGGATTGGCTAGATTCGTGGTTAAGCTCAAGCAAGGGTTAACCCGGTCGCATTCCGAAGTATAGTTCCTGATCCGACTTAATGCAGCTAAAGCGACTGCGAAGCTCTCACGGTTCCTCCAGGACCTGAGTCCACAGCACCATCATACGATCAATAGGGTGATCTGCTACCTATAAATCACGAGATAGTGCGGGCTACAATAAGTGGAAGTGGCATAGAATCAACTGAACGGACAGTAATGCATCTATCGCTGATGAAGTCGATCGACAAAGCTTCTGCAGGATATACTGCCAGGTTAATAGTGTCCCAGTTGACTGGAAGGCCGTTAAATATCAGTCTATGTTATTTGATTCGGTTTGAACGTCAGCGAGAAATACCGGCCAGGAATAACATTCTCCTCACTGGATATATCATAGAGGCTGTGAAGAACGTCCTATCAATATCTGTTCAGTCAAGATATTGTCGCTCTGGACTTAACCCGGTTATATTAGAAACTATAAAAGATTCTCAAGTCGGAGTAAAGCGAGAAAAGCCCCGACGAGCTGAGTGTGGCCAGCTATCAGCAACCCATGTCGATAGATGCACAACCATCTCAAAAGTACCACTTTCAGATTGCCGCACAATCCAATTTCAACTACCTTGTGGTACTTTCCTATTATATACACTCAACACAATCATTATTCATCCCACCGCTTAGCATGCTATTCAGTATCCTCGGTGTCACCGCCGCCGCAGTAGTTGCCATAACAGGCGATGTCTCTACTGCTGGTGCTATTCTGAAGCTGACGTCGACGAACCCGCAGCGTGGTAAAGAAAACCTCTCAAATAATGTCCTGTTAGAAGAGTCTGACATCTATATATTCATATTCTAGCTCATCCGGTGCCGGCCCTCATATAGACGAAACTATCTAGCTAGGATGAAACCACCTATGCCTAATCATACTTTCAGATAATCCTCCTTAAACAACTCTGTAACAGCTAGCCACGTAAGTGGACTATTGAAGTAAAGTGTCTCCAAGCTGACGCACTACCGGAAGTGTTAAACCGCAAGCATCACCCGCACTTCGCGAAACCAACCCCAAGTTCCATAAGCCAAACCATTTCAACCTGGTCTCTGAATAAATGTCTCGGCAAGTAATAGGAGTGGACACCAGGTATACGAGTGAGATCGGGGCATTTTATTTCCTAAAGTGATACACAAGAACGTTCGCTTCTGTATTCCCTCATGTACACTTCACAATAAATTTACTCTATTAGACTTACTTTGTCACCTAGACATTAGCTACTCCCTGGATTATATTCAAGGCTTATATTGAGGCAAAAGACCCTTGTAACCTAGAAGTAGGGGAGCTACGTTCCTTATTTACTGGTAACATAAAGGCCACTCGATCGAGTAAGATGTCGGAGAAAGTGGGTAGAAGAAAACTCTCCGAATCATAATACTGTAGCACCTTGGAAAGATATCAAAATACAATGTTCGCATATTCCTCGAGCGTTACTCTTCAAACAGTAATTTACTCTGCTATTACGTGTTCTGTTATCACACCCTAGTAAGTTGATTATTGTGATTAAATAAGAGGTCATTTATGACCGATGAGACTGACTTCGCGATGTGCATTGTCTCTTCCGCGAAAGTGGACACACGTGCTGAATAGTACGGCTGCCGAGCAGATCTACAGCTGTCCTTTTCCGGATAATCGCGAGTAGGTTACTACGCACTTATCATTTTCTTTCGGCTAAGCAAACAATGTTTACCATCAAACAGCATCGAGAACCGTACATAAAGGTAAGCGCAAAGAACTTTTAGGCGAGAACATATCAAATTGAGCGTCTTCACTTGCAAAAGGCTCCCTGGGCTGATTCGAATCCTGTAGTGAGACACACCCATGTGCGATCGTGAGAGTCCGTCAAGACAGCGGCCCCGACTAAATCGCTGCAGGCGCCACCCTTCACAGTTTGTGTCTTGATATCAGCCGTCACATCATCGATATCAGCACCCGCAGTTGACTGGACCCGACACATCCAATGAGGATGGCCTGGGACCGGGGCGAGAGACTTATGATTTGCATAGTTCAAAGCACCTAGAACAAACTTAGGGTCCCCGGGTTGCAGCTTTCCATCACAAATATGAAAGTGGATTTGCTCCTGTTTTCGTGTTCTCACTGAATTGAGCGCCAGAGCCTGTGTCGCTCGCTTGTAAAGTGTCTGTCCCCACCTCCAAGGCTCTTCAGAGTTGAGGTTCAGGATCCCCGCTACCCGCTGTGTGGTCGACAGCAGCTCGTCGTTCAACCGAATCCATGGACCGCTAGAATCGCAATTTCCAGTCCTCACGCAGTTGCACACCGAGTCGAACCAGAGGTAACACGAGTCGCAGCCCCAGTTGGCTTCGGTGCAGCCTTCGTTGCAGTGCATTAGCATGCTTGCAGAGGTGAGATCATCGCCGTTGCAGTTTCCCAGAGCGCATGGCTGACAAGAGGTTGCAGATCCTTTGTCACAATCGCATTTGGTGAGCTGATCGTTTTGGATCCAGTCTGAGTGACAATGATTGTCTGGCGGTGCAGGGCCTTGTGCGCAGCAAGATCCCAAGACCAAGGTCAGAATCAAGTATACACTGATTTGGAATATCTTCTCAAATTTCATCTTGAAGTATGTTCCAGTTCGAAGAACCTCGAAGTTAAATCATTGTTTTAGAGCCGGATACTCTGGCAACATATTAATAGGACAATCGCCTTGAAACAATTTCTTTATAATTAAGTCGACTCCGTCATTTTACGAGATATTGACTAAAATTATTGGGCTCGGAATCTCGCTTACCATTCGTTCTCCTCGCTTCCCGGGGTTCGCGCAAGATTCTGAGAACCAGTCTAAGTAATGAACCGTAGTTCGAGAGTTGGTCTAGGCTCGCGCCAAGAGTTGTCCTCTAACTCCCCAAGCGAGTATGTACTATGTGCCTGAGCTCGCCCGCGAATTACATTCGCAAGAACTTTGGACTGAGTAAGTGTTAAGCCGGTTTTGGTACAGTCGGATGACTGTCCCCTCTATCTAAACTACTGACTTCGATCGATCGATCGAACGCGTCATATTAGGTTTACTAGCGCGGAACCTAATAGTGGTGACGTACAGTCAGAGTTCACAAGTATTTGCAGTAGCGTACCATAACCTGCGCTATACAATAAGGCACTACTAGACGGAGGATAGAGAAAATGGGGCAAAAGTGTTGTGTAATCTTGATAATAATGCATTAGTGCGGAGGGTGTGTGCTGGTGAAGTAGTGCTGGTGAAGTAGTGCTGGAGGTAGAGAAATGGCGGTGTAAGGCGGAAGTACCATAGTGTAGATACCAATGCACGGCCACTGTACAGTGGCCGTTCTGTACAGTCGGCGTTCATTAGTATTTGGAACATGCTACATGCCCTACTTATATTTCTGCTAGTGGGCGGAAGTAATGTGTTCCAAATACTTGTAATGAACGGCCACTGTACCAGACGTAACGTAATTACGGCGTTCATAGTCCCTAACAAAAAGGATTCATAGTGTATGTAGGAAACACTCATCATATTTGCCTCTGTAGTTCCCCCAGACCTGACTAATATATTAGGGATAACAGAGAATGCTCCTAAGAGCGTTTAATCTAAGTTAGACAAAAATCTAATTGAAATAATATTCATTACATATATCCTATGCTTATAAAGGGAATGATCGCCAAATCAGTAGCAAATTCACAACGCTATCTCTTTATTAGTAGAATAGGAGACATTAACTAGAAGGAAAACAAATGTGTAGTGGTCGAGCTACTGTAGTATATCGCGTTTTATTAAGCCTGCTTACTCAGGTCACTCCTCTCTAGACGAGCTTACAGTAGTAAGTAAACCGGGATGCTCACCTAGGTCAGGCTTAGTGAGCAAATCGGGATACTCAGATCAGACTCAGTGAGTAAATCAGGTCGATTACTTCATAATCATTGAGTAGCTCAGGTTGATCAGGGACGTAGTGAGCAAAAGCGGTGAGGGGGCGAGCACGAGATCGGAAGGAGACCACCAAGAGTTGCCAGACGTGATCCGGTGTACATGCTTGTAGAAAATGTGAGCGTGGGGGCTAATGATGGTACCTCGGCACAGCCAAATCTATAACAATCCCAACTACAGGCGCGAAAAAGCAAAATCGAACGCCCAACATCCAATCAACAATGAGATTGAAAATTCGAACAATAGAGCTCTCCCTCATCCCTCACTATTTATCTTCAGGCAGTACGGAGTACGAGTACAAATTATACTTGAACCGTCTAGATCCACATCACCCCCACGCCCCACCAATGTGCACGCCAACCCCCTCACCGCCCCACGACCCAGCCATGTCATCTCCAAGCCCGACCGTCTCTCCGACTCATCGACGCGACGCCCGGCAATGACGACCCTCACCCCCCGTGAGCCCTACTCCCCTGAGGAGCTCGAGCGGCTATATCCGAAAAACCTGAAGCTGCAATTGGTGCAGGTGGTGAGTCACGGAATCCGCAATCTCTCGGGCGGAGCTGCAGTAGCTAACTATCACATCCCGGCAGTTCTTGCGTCATGGTATGGTTTGACCCAAGCATGCCCCAATGGAGTTTGAGAAGGGTCTAATTTTGGTGGCAGGCGAACGTACCCCCGTTTCATCGCGATTTCAAAATGTATGTCCTTCCGTCTTCTCTCGAGCTACTTCTAATTTGTTGAGTGATTGCTAATACGCTGTGAAGACAGGCCTGAGTCCATGTACGCCCTCTCTATCCTATCCTAACCTTATAATCGATCAATGAACTGATTTGACGGGTATAGATTGGCCTTATTGCGGGGTGGCTAGACGCATGGTCCAGATGGCTGCTAGCAACAAAGAGCTCTCCTCATGGAATGGGTTCCAATGGCGCCGGAAGATGGAGGCGTTTGGAAACAACGACGAGTCAGTTGTTGCCGCGGGTCCCGGCAATGAAATCGAGGCGATGTGGTCAGTTTCATAGCGCGAGAGCGGGCTCCAAGTGCAGCTGGAAATAGACTAACGGCCGTAAAGCCAGCATGGCGAACTCACTGATAAGGGGCGCGAAACAACTTATGCGCTGGGAACTCGCCTGCGCCACCTCTACGTCGACCAGCTCGGCTTTATGCCCAAGATCAAGTCCGATACGGAGGACATGTACCTGCGTGCGACGCCGATCCCCCGCGCTCTCGAGTCTCTACAGCAGGCTTTCTGGGGCATGTACCCGACTAGTGCGCGCACACAGGATTTCCCACCGCCAGTGATCGTCGCCCGCTCTGTGTCAGAGGAGACATTGTTCCCTAATGAGGGTAACTGTCGTCGTTTCCGACAGCTTGCACGCCTCTTTGCCGACCGCGCTGCAGCTCGATGTAAGCTAGATGTCTCGTCGGGTCATTTTTGTGTCATAGCTAATGATTTAATTCATATTAGGGAATGACTCTGAGCAGATGGACTACCTGAACAAACTCTGGTCCAAGTATATGCCCGAAGCCTCGCCCAGGGTGGCCGTGGATGCTCATCCCCGTCTCTCGGGTATCATGGACACTATCAACGCTACTGACGCCCACGGCCCAGCTACTAAGCTCCCTTCAGAGTTCTACGACAAGAAGGGCCGTCTTATCGTTGACCGGATTGCTGTTGAAGAATGGTTTGCCGGCTACAATGAGAGCAGCGAATACCGGAAGCTCGGTATCGGTGCTTTGATGGGTGACGTTATCGACCGTATGGTGAGCACCGCTGTGGATGGTGGCTGGCGTAGCGAGAGCTCCGCATCTGGGTCTGGCATTCCGGAAGCTGGTAAGCCTATCAAATTTGCCATGAGCGGATGCCACGATACCACTCTTGCAGCTATCTTGTCCAGCGTCGGCGGTTTCCAAGATGAGTCGTGGCCGCCTTTCACCTCCTCCATCGCCATTGAGCTGTTCTCGCAGGCTCCCAGCACCACTGTTGATGCCGGCAACATGCTTGAGGAATTCTCTAACCCGCCCGTTGCCGCGAGGAAGCCCGGTGTCCTCTCGTCCCTCTTTAGTGGTGGCAAGTCTGCGCCCAAGCAACCGGCCCCGTCTGAGACTGCTCGCACCCCCGTCCTGTCTTTCCCCGAGGAGACTCGCGATGTTTTGCGCAAGCACTACGTCCGTATCCGCTACAACGACCGGCCCGTGCGCATCCCCGGCTGCGCAGTCAAGGCTGAGAATCACCTCCCCGGCGACGACAGCTTCTGCACGCTAGACGCCTTCAAGGAGATCGTTGACAAGTTCACCCCGAAAAATTGGCAAACCGAGTGCGTTGAGAATTTGGGCAAGGGTTTGCACGGCCCTAATGACCAGGCACGGGCCCCGGCTGGCTTCTAGACTATTAATACTGTATCCTCATTCTTTTCTGCTGTCACTTCTGTTTATTTTTTGTTCTTGCAGATAAAGTGAGCTAATGCTTGGTTGGGAGTGTAAATTGGGAAAAACCGCTCGTAGAAATACAAATATCATTATCAGGCTTCCTCACTGGCTCTTGAACGCCTTCTCCTCTTTCTTTTTCAGGGCCATCAGCTTCTTCGAAGTGATGTGCATCAACATCCACCGCGGCAGGATGTCGAAAGAAATCCCCTGCACCCAATGCCAGAAATATGCCCACACGATGACCTTTCCGCATCCAACCCGGTCCAAACCTGCTTTTGCAAATGGGCGCGCAAGCGGCACGAATAGGTTAGTCTCAACATCAAATCTGGCTGTCTTCACTTGTCTCGCCCGCAGACCAATTACATCCACGCCGCGCTGCTCGGCGTTGCATTCTGCCTCCAGCGCGCGCGTAAACGAGTCCACGAACCCCTTCGTCGCAGAATAAACACTAATATACGGCATCCCGTACTGGGAAATAGCCGAGACATTCAGCACGAGTCCAGACCTGCCCGGTCCCTCCGACAAAAGCGGCAGTAGCGCCCGTGTGATATGCGTCATGAACCTCGCATTTCTGTCGATCGTCGCATCCACCTCTGCATACGTGTATGCATCTAGGGTCGTAGGCGACCTCATCTCTCCACCAACATTGTTGACCAGCACAGTCAACTTGCCCTGGGCGCCAATAATGCCACGGGCCTGCTGTGCAACACCGTCAACCGGCTTCGCTCGCGCCCACAACATCAAGGACGACAATCCCTGTCTTGTACTCTGGGAATGCGGTGCCTAACTCTCGCATGCGCCTCTCGAGCTTCTCACGGTTGCGTCCGTGTAAGATCACGTTGAATCCGCGCGCGCAGAGCTCCTCACAGAAGCCGAATCCGATTCCGTCTGTGGCGCCCGTGACCAGAGCCCAGTTCGCACCGCTGCGGTTGTATCGTGATAATCTGCAAGGGAGGAGGTAGACGGTTGCTTGACGGGTGATATTGAACCCCAGATAGGAAAGAGCGGCGAGGCCGACCCAGCTCAGGCCAGTGGTCCATTTTGAGATGTCCATCCTTGTTGGTTTGATAGTCTGCGGGTGGGGGTATAAGAGATTTAAGGGGTATAGACGTGTCTGCTTTGACTTGGCGGAGAAAGGTGAAATCGATCGGTTACTGGCAACATCCGAAGAACTGATAAGGTAGATGAATGAGGATCGATTAAATCTACTCAACGAACTAAAGTAAGAAGGGGGGTGCTGGTCAGCTGAAAGCCGCTAAACTAACGTGCTCCCGCTTACGCCGCCCCACCCCAAAATGCATAGTAAGTGCAACAAATTACAATATCATATCTCAATAATCACATCTTCCTTAGAGAAGATATCAGAAAGGCATATTTGAAATGGGGCTCCTAATACATTATGTCAGAACAAGAAATAACTGTATAGACTAAGAATGCCGCCCATGGTGCTTTTTTGGTCTAGCGGTATTATGCCCCATATTTTGTGCGACACATATCTATAGTCCTAGTTAATTTATAATAGATATCTAGGCGGCTCTTAAGGAGAAGGGCGTAGGAGCCGATCGTATTAAGATAGAACTTTTCGGTACTAGTAGTATAAACCAGGCGAGAATCTTGTACTTTTTAGCATTTTTATTAACTAGATATAGCGTTTATATAATACCTCCCTACTCTATATAAATAATCTATAAGTTATAGCTTTAGGGACGTAATATACTACCTCTTTAGGCTAGTTCTACTTATTCAGGCCGTCTTCAGCAGTATCAGAATAGGCCTAACTATATAAGTATACCTACACTTCACCCGCGATACTAAGGGATTATCGCCTCCGCTAGAGGTCTTCACGAGCGTATTATAACTTCCGGAGGCTATTTAGGATCTCTACCCAAGCTTAATTGTAGCGCCTACGACTAGACTACATCAAAAACCACAATTAGGAGCAAACCTTAGGGGCAAACCTTGCCCCTAAAAACCAAAGCGCAACTAAACCACTAACCACTACAATTCCCTATTCTCAACAAAAACCATTCTTGCATGAAATTAAGGTCTTGGTATACACAAACCTGCTTATTCATACTTTTAGATTAACTATAGTTACGATAAGAGAGTATAGGAGCCAGCCAAAAGTTACTACCGCCTACATCAGTCCTCCTAATTAATTTTTTAGGCTCCCTACACTGTTAGCTAGGTAGCTCACCCCCGAAGAGGGTAACCCATAAACTACAGTCGTAAGCGCTAGAGAAATACTTGATGCCCCTGTCGCATTTAACTATGCCGTATACGGGTTCGGACGATACGTCGGAGACATCGGCGCTACAACCGCACATGTAGTCACAGAATCCTTGCCCTCGGGTTATCCGGACTCATTACAGATACTTTTTCAAGCCCCGTAACGTTAAAGGTAAAGCCCTCTGCGCTACCACAGACATCATCGGCCGTAGCAGTAACGAGATCAGGCGCTTGCGCGCCGTTCTTGGTTGTGAAGATAATGCGGTTTCCTTGGGTGTAGTCAGGCACGGAATTTTATGATTGTTTTTGTACTGAACCATCGATGGCCACTTACAACTTTAGGCTATTAAGAGCCAGCCAGCCAGCCAACTTGTTATACCCAAAGCAGAATAAGACTCTTGCCTACAATTCTATCTGCTTGATATATCCGACGGAATTTCTATATCAAGCGTCTTGCATTTGTGCCACTATTCCAGAATATGCTAGCTAGCTAGCTACCACAAACGAGAAAGAAATCGAAAACAGATATGGTCTCAAAACATGAGTGGCATAAGGGAGTGAGATGTTCGAGCGTTCGCGAGCTTAGTGCTCAGGGCTTTCACAGCTCAACTCTACAAGAGGCATACGTGCTATGTTTAGTCCAGCACGTCGGACACAGAGTGGAAGTACTGCTTCGCAGCCTCGGGGTCACGCTTATCGAGCACGTCAGACACAGAGTGGAAGTACTGCTTCGCAGCCTCGGGGTCGCGCTTGTCGAGCACGTCAGACACAGAGTGGAAGTACTGCTTCGCAGCCTCGGGGTCGCGCTTGTCGAGCACGTCAGACACAGAGTGGAAGTACTGCTTCGCAGCCTCGGGGTCACGCTTGTCGAGCACGTCAGACACGGAGTGGAAGTACTGCTTGGCAGCCTCGGGGTCACGCTTATCGAGCACGTCAGACAGAGTGGAAGTACTGCTTCGCAGCCTCGGGGTCGCGCTTGTCGAGCACGTCAGACACGGAGTGGAAGTACTGCTTCGCAGCATCACGGGCAACGACTTCACTACCGGCCGGGCGCGCGAGCGCGGTCGACACCAGCAGGGCAAGAGCGCCGATCAGGATCTTGCTGTGATACATCTTGGATGATAGATGAGATGGTCTTCAACTTGATGAACGCGGTGTGGGAGTGGAGTGGAGAGTTGTTCCCTCAAAGGAGGATCTTGAGATGAGAATAGATAGTAGAGAGAACTGGATTGTTGTTGATTTTGGAGAAAAGAGAACTGCACGGTGGGATGCAGGCGCCCTTTTATAGAGGAGAGATCCGTATGTGTCCGGTAAGAACCTACCCCAAACTACCAAAACACCTACTCTTCCACTTGTCAATGGTTTGAATAATCACTTATCATACTAGTGCTAACTATGTCATGTATTTAATAGTCTCTTATGGAGTCTGTTGATAGTGTTTTGGGGGCCACTGTAGCCATGCATGAGCGAAAAAAGGTCGGGCTTCAAGCATACAGGTGCCCCCGAGCCCCTCCCCTCAGCAGGTCTAATCCTAATAGGTGTATGTGGCCGAACTCAACGGATCTTAGTGGTAATATAGCGAAAGATAACTGAAATGGCACACTCGGTACTTTTGGAGGCGTGGCCTAATCCAGGATTGGGAAGCCATGTTTGGCCCTGAGCAGAAACCCTGTAAAGCATGGTCCACAAAGGAGGAAATACATCCTGTGCTCCGTAATTGCGTGATTGCTAGCATCTAGTTGGAAAATGTGGGTGGAGGGAGTTTTTGCAATCACAATTTCTACGACGGACGTTTTTCTCCGATAATCGGATCGGCTTAAGGATGAAGCTGAGTGTAGTATTCGGGAAAATTAACCAACTCGCAAGAGAGACTATAGACAGTGGACCGACAGAATATGTGTTGGGTCGTGCTTTGCGTAGCTGACCCTTACAGTAACAAAACTATATGAGATCAAAAACAAAATAAAAAATGAAATGAAAAAAAAAGAGAAGAAGCCACTCTAAATGACAGGTTTGATAGACTTGTGGCAACCTCGTAGTCCCCTACTCTAGGGACGAATGCTTGTCTTCCGGAAGATTTCGAATCCAAGTGCTATAGGGCGCACATTTGGTGTATCCCGGATGAATCTCCACTGCCACGGTCTTGTCATATTCCATGGGCAGCAAGCCAGCCATCCGACAGTGCATGACGTGGTCGTAGGAAATCATCTCCTCCATGATCGGGCTGTGGTTGCGGAGGGCGCGCACCAGCACCTCCCAGGTATAGTAGCAGTGCGATCGATGGTAGTTGTCCGCCGCAAATGCGACCTGATGGTCGCCGCGGCTCAGCACCTCATAGGGGATAGGATGCTGGGCCTTTTTGTCGGCGTACCATGTCCAATTGCCCTCGGCCACAAATCGCTCGGTGAGCTTGGAATCCAGGCACGCTGGGGGCACCCAGAGTTGCAGCATAGTGTCAAAGATGCACCCTTGGGCTCGCGCCTTGGCCGGGGTGTCGCCGCAGTCGAGCATGAAATCCGCCGCTTCAACGCTGACGGGTTCTACCACCGATGAAGGAGACAGGTCGGATGCGTGGGCGTCGTTGACGTTGACATGGAAATGACTGACCGCTGAGGTGGTCAATGTCGAGGAGATGGACCCAAAAACTGCACCCGTCAGGGCACTCGCGAGACAGGATAAGAGGAGGATATTCCGGGCCCAGGGCCGCAGTCTTTGAGGCTCGGGGCGCTTCTTGGGCTCATCGAGCCCATCTTCACTCGAGGACACTCGGTCGTAGCTCGGTTCCATTCTGTACATTGAAAAGATGGGAGATTTTGGGGGCGTTGTCAGGGAATGATCAGGAGAAATCAGAGATTAGGGAAGAATCAATGGAGGGTGAATGAAGGCGTTGACTTTGTTACTGGAAAATTGGGAAAGGTAACAAACGATGTTGATAAGTGTCGGAGCAGGCTGCGACAATAATAGCCAGTAATCCTAGTAGGCAAATTGGATCGAGGATAGGACCATGCGGAACCAATCTTGGATGCAAAAGGTTGATTGATTAAGGAAAAACGAATATCATAGGGCAGGTTGAAATACCCTATGGATGGCTAAGGTACACGGTGCATATACTGCATGGGGGTCAGATTTGCTGCGTAAGTGCGTTATTATGGCGAAACCTCTCCACCCTCAGTACATAGAATAGGGCCAAATCCTAGGCAAAATAACCACTAGACCAAAAATTCACTATAGGCAACATTCTTAGTCTATACCGTCATTTGTTGCTCTGACACCATGGTACTGTAGGGGGTCAGATTCCCTGTAATGGCCATGTCAAGAGACTCTATAATTTACTACCATTATCATACCGAACGCTCCCCTAACGCCCCTCTTCTTTTTCTTCGCACCCCTAGCATCACTTCAACCAGACGTCCTAATTTCTACCCTACCGCCTATTATATTCAGTATATTATCTTACGTACTTCCCCGAGTGCAGGATCTGCCACTTCAGGTAGGATGTCTTAGCGGACAGGGATTGAACTAGCCCAAATAATTACCTGGAATCCTTCGATGAGTCACTCCATACACTATTTGTCCGAGACTCTACCTGAATTCATGCAGCAGTAGTAGTATTAGACCTTGCCTTAATCGGAAACAGCAGACATTCCTATTGTGACGATTAAGTGATCAGGACCCAGGATAGCCGACAACGCATGTAGGGAACTAGTGTGTGAAGGGCTGTAGCAGAATTGATTCAATTGTACTAGGCCAACATGCTGTTTACAACAATCTTTGGGGAAGGAAAGGAAAGTGGGCCGTTCCCGCAAGATAACATACTATCAGATAGAGCGGAAGGCCGTGGAACCAATAGGTCGATCAATTAGCCGTGCCCATCCTACTGCGGCACCCCCACATAGACCTCGATACGGCCACATGCCGCCCAAAATGGGCTAGCCCCGACCGCCCATAGCGGGTTATAAGCGCGGGCCACGCGGCCCAGGTGGTCGGCCCATGGTCGGGCCGTGGGCTAAGGTCTTCGGCCCATGGGCGGGCCGTGTCGAGGTCTACCTCCACATCGCTTCCCCCCTGATCCAGGATGGTTGACTGCAATGCATGCATGGGAGCTAGTGGAAGCATACTAACCAGATTTGGATAGGAAGAGGCGCCAGGCTTTCCTTAGCAACTGGACACCGTTGGTGCACCAGAAAATCGGTTGGGGTAGTGGTAATCCACTTTAGCTTATATACTCTGCACGAGGCTTATCTACGATTGCCCAATCAACGAGTTCATTCAATGGGTATGCGTGATATAAACAAAACATCTCATGTCAGCTATATCGAGTGGGTTAGGCATACTATCCTTGCCCCAAAAGAGGCGTGAATCAATGAACCCCTCCCAAAAGTGGTAAATAGACACGAATAATTCTATCATGTATGAGACAAATCCAACTCCAGCACCGCCCAGAAGACATCCATGGTCTCCCACTGGGTGACTCCCCTCGCTCGCAATTCCTGGGTGGATTGCTCGACTTCCCGGATGGCGGCACTCATAGACTCCTCGTTGGCTAAGTCTTCCTCCTGGATCCATTGCTGGAAGAGCCGTGAGGAGACAAACTGCACCTCCCACTGCCCATCCCTTATCTGCGGATCAGGTTGCATGTAGCCGGACCGTTTCTCTCGCCACCCAGACTGGCCCGCAGCGTCGAGCAGCTCAGTCGGGGTCAGAGCGGAGCGTACGTTGGGCTCCCTCGTCCCCGTAGCGACAGACTTACGCAGCGAATGGAACTGGGCCTGCGCCCGCGCCGCGAGCACATGCGGGCGCTGTTCTGGTCGGGACGCGCGAAACCCGTACTCCGCCAAACACAGATAGCGTACATTGGCGTTGGCCAGAAGCTGGAAAACATGGGCAATGCTTGCCGGGTCCGGGAAATACCACAACGAGTGGCACAAGACGGCCGCATCGAACGGACCAGTGCTCGCATAGTGGAGAAACAGACTGGCCGTGTCAGCGCGGAGGAACTCGATACGCTCCCCTAGTGCGGACTCTTGGATGTGCTTCTGCGATTGCTCGATAGTGTACGGTCCACCATAATCCGGCGGAGCCGTGTCAATTCCCGCAATCCGGCCATGGGGGCCGTTGATTAGGGCAAGAACTAGGCTCGATTCGCCTTGCCCACATCCGATATCAAGCACTCGAGAGCCTGGCTGGATATCCCAGGTGCGAGTCAGTGCAAGCCGGTGCCGGAAGCTCGGTTCGACGGTGGAAGCCCGCGCTTTCTCGTCATGTAGATAGCTAGACAAAAGAATATCCATAATTTGGTGTGGGATAATGTTGACGGCACACGGTCTCCAAGGTGTATGATGCTTTTCCTTTCGTTTCTCAACACATGAAGAAGTCGGTCATACAATAGTCGTGCATGCGGGAAGATAAACGAGGTAAGACAGGGGGGATGATATAGTTTATCTTCCCAGCCTCGCACGCGGTCTTCTTATTCCCAGATCTCAGTTATCTTGGACACGCATTTACGTAAACCCTCCAGCAATCGATATCTATGGTCCATGGGGGTTAAAGTCAGGATATGCGGTGGCGCCTCCTAGGGGAGGATGTGCTCAAAGGATTACGGAGACATGGATGTATCAGTGATGGTCGAATTCAAGCGATCCAATGAGCTACAGGGTTGTTTATCTCAGCCTAGGTATGACAGCTGCCGCTTTACAGATAAGCACGTAGTACTGTATGTACTACTCGTGGATAGTAGGGTTTGAGATAGAGATCTACCGGCCAGTAACGTAAATCACGGTCGAGCCGCTCACCCCGAATCACATAGTAGATGCGATAAATTACAGCTTCATCTTTCAACGCTCAAGGCTTAGAATAAGGCCTTGGTATATCCTAGTACTTCGTACGTCATATTAAGTATGTTTATCAGGTCAAGAACTGTTTTGGGTATTACCATATCAACATATATTTTGGTATCACTAGATCGGAGCATGTACTTGGTAATGCAAGTAAATAATCATTTACCCTATATTTTAGCTAACTGTACACTATTTCTTGCGCTAAGAAACAATATCTTTCCAAAAATCATGTAAAATGAACGTCTCAGTGTTGATATATAGTGACCTGAAAAATCCCATTTACTACTTTTGTTTTTGGGGTGACCAGCTCGACCATGTGAGCGGCTGGGCCCTGGATTGCGTTAGTTAGCCAGTATAAAATAAAATTAAAAAAACCCCAAAAAAATAAAGGGAGATCCTCCAACCTTTCCCGTTACCGTAGCTATACTGTAATTCCAAAACCACGATCTGTGTATTTGGATCAACCCTTTTCCCCCTCCAAACTGACTTCCACTGCGATCTACCGTACCTTCTGTCTCCACCTGACGGCATCTTGGTCTCAACTAAGTTTCCTTACTCTCTGACTTCTTGCATCGACTGCTTTTTCAACCACCATGCCAGACCTCCGAGCTAACATCATGAACCATCTGATAGCTACGCCCCCTCGTGGCTCGTCTGATTCGGGCGAGAACCAGCGGTTTTTGCCCGAGGAACCGGAGGCCAAAAAGGACCCCAAGGCCCATCAAACTCGCAGCATCATCTCGCGGTGCTGGCGGATAGCCACCACCATCAACCTCATATTCTTCTTCATCTCAGTGTGGATCTTATTCAAATCCCACCGATTGTTGCAGGACATCCGCGAGAACAAGGACAATGGATTGATAAAAGAATTGGATTTCTTCTGTAGGTGCAGTTACCTATGCCCCTTTGATTTCGCAAAGCCGAACCCCCCTCCACCCAAAACAAAAACCCCCTCAAACCCCTTTTTTTCCCCCCATGAGCACGGCCGACCGACCAACTTCCAAATGTGAATATAGCTCCCTATCTGGATCAACTGCACATCCCCCTCCGCGATGTCAAAATCAATGGGAGCCTCCTAGACATGGACTCGTCGATCTTCCGCGCCCCGCCGTCGCCCGAAGTGGATAAGGCCTGGGCGCGCATTGGCAGTCTGGTGCCGCACGTCATGAGGGGCGCCGACGTGGTGAAGCTGGGCAAGGACCCGTCCAAGACCGCCCGGTTCACCGAGGACTTTGGTTTTGGTTCAGACGCCCACATCGCCGAGCTCGACATCCTGCACACCATCCACTGCCTGAATGCCATCCGCCGCGATGTCCACTGGCGATACTACTACCTCGACAAGTATCCGACGGGGGAGTTCCCGGAGCTGCATCGCATCCACACCGATCACTGCGTCTACGTGGTGCTGCAAAACCTGATGTGCGCCGCGACGCTGGACATCGTCACGCAGCCCTGGGTGCGCGGTCAGCTTCACCCCTTCCCGGACTTTAGTATCAACAAGAAGTGCAGGGACTTTGGCGCCATCCTGGAGTGGCACGAGGAGACCATGATCACCGATATAGAGGGGTACAAGGCGCTGCGGATGCCGGAGGGCCATATCCCATACGAGATGTCTGACGAGTTTTACCGCGCGTTTGGAGTCGGCGAGGAGGACCATCACCATTAAACGAGATTCGCTTGTACTTGTCGATTATTTGTCACGATATTCTGGTCGATGTGTTCCTTTCGTTAGCCCATTGATTTCGTGCCAGTAAATGTCGATTGATTGATCGATTGATTAGATGATTGATTTTGTGTCTTATGCCTGTAGACAGTCCTCTTGCCGAGGCTCTTTCCCGAGTCACTGGCAGCTGTACATATGACCGGATAGCTATCTCCACCAGCATTTTTGTTTAGGCGTATTGTATGGCCCGAAGTAGTAACAGGAGAGGAGAAGAATATGAGTTGAGTTAACAGCTACGCTGGGTCTCTTTGTTTGCTTTTCTTCGTACTGGATATCTGCTTCTATTAATGTATGTTTTTTACCTACTCTTTCATACCCTCCTCGGAGTAAGAGAACTATAGTAGTTCGGGTAGTCCAGGAAAAGTAATAATACACTATGAGTAAATATATACTGGCTCTACTCACTGAGTCAAGATAGCTATAATCTTGATCTATGCTGGCACACGCAACATATTTTCCTCGTCAAGATAGTCCACAGCAGAACAAAATCTCTACCTACTTATCACGGGAATTGCATCCAAGAACAGGACCTCACACCAAATACATCTCTATCAATACTAAAACCTAAAATATGATTGAAGTAGATCCCGACAATTGTGTAATAGTTTGTAGTGATGCACTTTTTTTTCATAATTTCCTAAAACGAGATCACGTGTTTTCGTCTAACCGCACTACTTCGCGCGGGTCGCAGGATTGATTATTTACTGGATAGCCGACCGCCCATTATCTTCGAGAACAAAGATCGGCAAGATGACAAGATGACAAGATGGAGATGCAAATCCTGAATTTCATAACAAAGTGCTTGCAAGGTATCTTAGGATAGCCCAGAGTGTCCGAGAACTGAAGAGGAAGCACTTTCGGAACTGCTCGAAGGGTTCCATCATGCAAAAAGAGAACGCACAAGTCGATGGCTGGTTCTGAGCGCAACACCTTGGGCCATCGCTATTTACGATCTATATACAAACTACCTGCTCGATGCCCTATCTCATTACCCAATGGAATTGATCCCGCTTATCTCACCCGGATCAAAAATATGATCCCTGTCATCAAGGAACATAAGCCCGCGGAGATCAGGTACGGCATCCCCAACCAAGCGCCGCCCATGTTCATACCCCATCGAAAAGCCGAGGACATCAGTGGGCCGGCTAGGAGAGACCCGATCGTGTCCATGATGGCAAGGGTGCTGTACAGTGCTCCCATCATGGTTGGAGGCATAAGGGAGCTGATGAGACTCCGGGCAAACGTACTGAACCCGGACCCGGCCGTATATATAACGATTCCTTTTGATTGCACAAGACATTATCGTTAGCCGAGGTATAATCTCACAGAAACTTCTGTGTGGGACGGTTGGGGAACCCAAATTACCAAACATTGACAAACCAACTACAGGTGCAATACCCATGATGGCAAATCCTATAGTGATGGCCCCGATACTGATCCGGGAAAGGTAGAGGTCTTTCTCCCGGGGCCGTCCCTCAAAGCGCCTGCCCATTCTGCGATCAATCCACGGTAAAATTATCATGAACTGTAGTAACTGGGCTGCGGCACGAAACGACAGAAGCCAGCTGGTCTAATATCGAAAAAAAAACTGCATCAATATCTGGTTTCCTTTTCCTTCAACTGAGAAACATGCTAGCGGACTGACCTTTGCGATCGACCACGAATAGCGGTTGGAGACATACTGCAGGAGAAAGGCCATGGAATCCCGCGCAAATGTTGCAATCAGAAAGGAAAGCACAAGGAGCAAGACATTCTTTTGGGTCATAATGGCATACATGCTGTCCTTCAGGCTAACCAACAGGCCCTCAAGGCTACCATTTCCTTCGATTGCTGGGGAACACGGAAGTTGCTCGTCGTCGGACGAGGTTGAGATTCCAGTATAATCATTCTTGTATCCCGCGGCAGCATGGGGATTAGTCTCGGGCATGTACCAGGAGAGCAGGATGGAGACAGCACCGCAAGCGGAGTTCAACAGTAGCGGAACCCATAAGCTCCGCTGCATCAGGAACGAGCCGATAGGCGGCGAGATGATTTCAGCTATAATCACGGCCGCATTGAAATACATAAATATCTGGGATCTGTGTTTCCATCATGCGTTCATACGTTATTTTCGCGATTCATATCCTTTTAGGGAAGAAAAGCTTGCCTTTTGATCTCCGGGGTGGAGTCTGTAATGATCATCATACTCACCGAGGCGGCTACATTGCTTCCGCCCCCGATAATCAGAAACGCCGACGACAACCATATAGCTCGGATCGGCAAGCCTAGCCAGCCTGTGCGGGAAGATGTCAATAAATCACTTGGTTCTTTTTTGTGCAAGAGCATCACCCTACAATGGGGTCTTACAAACGACCATTACCCATGACATGCCCGCGAATTGGCCAACAAAACTCAAGGTCATGACCAGCCGCCGTCCGTATCTGTCGGCCAGAATGCCGTAAGGTAAGGCGAGGAAGAGTCCAGGAATGTTATCGAAAAAGGATTGCCATCCGAGCAACTGCGCCAGAGCTGCCTGAACGGGGCCATCCTTGCAGAGATGTTCCGGGATGCCATTCCCTTTCCCTGCCGAAAAGGCGTCGGAGTCTTTATAGTACTGCTGGCAGATGATCGACTCAAACAGACGCAGTTGCGGTGCGGCACTTACAAAGTAGCCAATGCCCATGAGAAGATATATCAACGTGCAAAAGATGGCAGGACGCCAATAGACTGCAGTACTGCCATCTTGATCTGGCTCCTGGTCCGTTGTTGGCTGCTCTGCCAACAGAGGTCGTGGTTCTTCGATGGTTTCGTGATTGTGCATTGTGCTGGCCAATTCTAAGGTGCTTAGAGTGATATGGATCAAATATCTGAGGAAGGAAGGACGAAATGCGAAAGATTCGCAAGTGCTGGGAAGGACTAGGAAATCAGCTTCCAGTGCAGTAGTAGACCAACCAGCGCATAACATATCGTAGCGATACGATACACATCAATTCATTTATTTACAATACATTACAGCGCACAGTCCACCCCATTGATAGCACCGAACATTAGCCGTGCCCTCCTACTCCGGCGCCCCCACATCGCTTCCTGTGCGCCACGAACTCAACGGATTAAGCTTCCGGGAAGCCCGTCCCGTCCCGGTCCCAAGTTGGTGCGCTGGCATGTTATTTCAGGGCGCCGCTAATGGATCGACCGAGTTTCCGGCGCACCGACGGTCTCCATTTGCTAAAGGAAGCCCGGCACATCTTCCTATCCCGATTTGGTTAGTATGCTTCCACTAGCTCCCATACATATAGATAAGGGGGAAGAGATGTGGGCGTAGTTTGATCTATTCTATTTCTGATCTAGCGCTTCACCCCCTCCTCGAAGACTGGATTTAGAACTCAACTTTTGCAGTCTCTTATCAAGATAATCAACCACTTGCCACTCCTGTCGGGTCAGTCCCGGCTCGAGAGGACAGGTAACTACTGTACTGCGTCCTGTACTGTCCTGTGACTGACCTTAACCCTTGTCAAAGCTAAGGATCCCTCTATTGCCTTCAGGGCTGCCTTCTGCTGACTAGGATACTGTGTCCATTCGACCACCAAGCTTAGCGAATTCATAAGTCTACAGTACTGTATGTACATCGATCAAGAGACTGAAATCAGTTTATTATATGTCTAATCCCTTACCAAACTCCATATTCAGAGCCCTTTTGGATGCGCACCAACCAGCCATGGACCGCAAGAAGGCGACAACCACCCTCCTGTACGCGAAATACGAAGAGAACAAAGACTGGCTGCTAGTCCTTCTGTCGCAGCTGCTTGCTGTTTTCATGAACGGGGTGGCCAAATTCCTTCAGACCGAAGGGATTTACACGGTTCATCCTCTGCAGATCATCGGCCTTCGAATGTCCCTAACGATTCTGACCATCGCGTGCTATTGGGCGTGGAGAGTCGTCTCGTCTTCGCGTCCGCCTTCTGAGCAGAACATAGCGAGAGAGGAGAGGACTTCTCTCCAGGCCTTGCTACTGGTGCGAGGAGTAGCTGGAGCATTTGGGGTCATTGGGTTCTACTGCAAGTATTTGAACAACTTCCCCGAGAAAGAAAGAAAAAAAAAGAGGAAAGAGAACGTATGAATACTGACAAAGTCTAACAGTCTCTTTGATCTATCTCCCCCTGTCGGAAGCCACGGTGCTCAACTTCCTGGCTCCGGTGGGAGCCTGCGCGACCATGGGAATAATTTCCTCACGCTCAGTCTCGTGGGTTGAGATTACGGCCGGGCTCATATGCTTGACCGGGGTTGTACTTATCACTCATCCAGCGGAACTGGCATCTATCTCGCCAGAGGCCTTGGCACAAAGGCCGTCAGCCATTGTTTCCCAAAGTCTGGGACTGGGATTTGCCATCTTGGGAGCATTAGGGGGGATGGTAGGTTGAACCTCACCAGGGGAGAACCCAAGACAGCCGCGGAATTAGTAACAACTTAACCCAGGCTGGCATCATATCCCTTCGATACGTCAGGGACAGGGCTCATGTATTGGCCAGCGTCAACTATTTTGCTGTGACGACCTTGGTACTCGCCGGGATCATCTCCGTCGTGACGGATTCGGGTTTAATAAGATGGGCCAATGTATGGCACTTGGCTTCGTCGCAATGGATCTTGCTCATCTCCACAGGCATCCTTGGGCTCCTAATGGTACGCAACCCCCGGAATATTACTTGACTCTTTCCGGAGTGTGGCTGATACCCTTATCGCTACCAGGATGTTACAATGGCAGCCGGTTTGTCGGGGTCCAGGTCTCATCGCGGAACTTGCATGATTTATTCCCAGGCCGTTCTCTCCTTGATCGTCGACTTTTTGTTCTGGCGTAGAGTCCCGAGCGTTGGGTCGGTCTTGGGGTGTCTCTGCATAGTACTGTCTCTGGCCATCTCGATTCCTTTACCCCAAGACCGAGGAACGGAATTTATGCGGGAGGGGAAAGATGATGAGGACTTGTTTTGACAAAACGTCCATAGTACCAAGTTTACACCTCGTGCACCAATTGTTCTTGCTCTTCTTCTTTTTCACCCTTTGTTTCTCTTCCTTCTTCTTTTGGTCTTGAGTTTATTTATTCATTTCTAAAGATTTCCCCCTTTCCGGTGTGTGCTTTTCCTAGGCTTCATAGAAAGCAACGGAAATTAGAGAAGTCCTATCGGATTACCGATCCCACAGAGACGGGGCCGGGGAATGTTTGTTTTTCATATGTTGAACATACGTAAAGTACTTACTCAGCTGTATGTTAACTAGTTAACTAGTTAACTAGTTGGTTGACTACGAATTAGTTAGTTTATCTAAGCATAACTAAACCCCTTCCAATTTCATGTGATCTGGCCTACATCAATGCGATTGGACCAACAGGATCTCGATTAGCGGGCATGCAGTGCCATCACTCAGTTTCGTTATCGGTCTGGTCCAGACTAACAATGACTTATGGTCAGAATGGTTGTCAGCCGCCCTGAAGTGTGACTTGGACGTAAAGTCTTGGATTCTCTAAGATCATTCTACGGGCCGCTCTACTAGTAATGTGTCGGAACATAGACTATCTCCCGCATAGATTAGTCATGTATTTGAGCCCATCCAAATTGCCAGTTAGGGGCCGTATAGCAGGTTTAGACTAGTCATGTATCTTATTGGTGCACCCAAAATCACCCCTGTTCCTTTATAATGAGGGGGTCACGTCTGTCACGTGTACCACATCAAGGCCCCTATGTTTTTAAAGTCTGCCTCCGCCGCCGAGGAAGAGAGAGAGAACGACATGAGAGACGGAGACTCCCACCTTCGTCCGGGCTCCATTCTCAGGGCTCTTGCCACGCAACCTTCCAACAATCAGGATGATCCCACACGGTTGTCCTGTGAAAAGCGATAATCATTTTGAGATTCGCGTGAACTCTGGTTGTCGTGCTTTCGATTTCACCCTGCTCTTCGAGGACGCCATCTTTAGTATTTTACCGTCGATCGCTTTCTTACTTCTGCTACTTCCCCGACTCGCGATTTTGAAGTGTTCATCGTTGAAATCGAAATCCTTCCAACTTGCAATCTACAAATCGGTGAGAAAGTGCCATATACCGGAAATGAGACCCTTTCTTGACTGGTTAACTGATCAAGACTCTCAGATTCTATTGTCTGTTCTTTTTGTGTTGCAGGTTGTGTTCACGGCGTACCAAGTTCGAACATCCGCGTTGCAAACAAAGCTCTCGACTGCCGCGGCAGCACTTAATATGGTTACGACTCTCGCAGCAATCATTCTATCATTTCTCGAGGATCAAAGATCCATCAAGCCATCGGACATTCTGATCTTATATTTTTCAGCCTTGGCCGCTCTCTACATACCTCGGTTACGCACGCTATGGTTGATTCCGTCCATCCTGATCCCTCGAATCCTGTTCACCGTCATGTACATTCTCATCGTCCTCGCCGTTATCCTGGAATCTGCACAGAAAACCCAGATGATCAGACCCACTCACAAGAATCTGTCCGTGGAGCAGCTGCATGGGTTCTGGGGGCGCAACCTCTTCACCTGGACTCTTCCCATGTTCCGGAACGCTTACAGTCACGTCATCTCAGTGGATGATCTGCCCGACATCGACCCCACATTGCTGGGGGAAATGGCGCAAGAGCGCCTGAATCGCACCTGGAAAAGCTCTCGCGGCAAATACAGACTGATCAAAGCAACCTTTCGAGCTTATTATGCGCATATTTTATGGGCCATAATCCCTCGAATCATGCTGGCTGGATTCACCTTCTGTCAGCCGTTTCTGCTTGCGACAACCATCGACTACATCACTCGACCTACTGCTGCGGAGAACAACAAACATGGACAAGCACTCGTGGGCGCGTACGCGATCGTATATTCCGGCTTAGCTGTCTCCTCGGCTATTTACTACCGCCAGGCCAGTCGACTGGCGACCGTCGTACGGTCGGGTCTGATCGCTATGATACACGAGCAGACTCTCATTCGGAAGACTACACACCTCAAGCCGGGGGAAGCGGTGACACTGATGGGAACGGACACGGAACGAATTGTAACGAGTATGAGGACTTTGCATGAGATATGGGCCTCCCTCGCCTCGGTCGCCGTGGCCATTTGGCTGCTGGAAATCCAGGTTCATATAGCATGCATCATGCCTGCCATCATTGCGGTGGGGTGTATTCTTGCAACCACCCCCCTTTCTGCCAAATGTGCCGAGGCACAGAAAAGCTGGGTGGGACATGTCCAAGAGAGGCTAGCTGTCACAACGTCTATGCTGCGGCATATGAAAGCTGTAAAAATGCTAGGCCTCGAGCATGTCCTATGTGCGATCATCACCGACCATCGGAAGGTCGAGCTAAATGTCTCCAAAAGGTTTCGAAAGCTAATTGTGGGGGTGGTCATGCTGTGTAAGTGGTTGCATCCAGAGGCTCGAAGACTGTCGCGCTGACAGCTACGATCATTTCTTAGCAACTATCCCCCAAGATGTTACGCCATATGCAGTGTTCCTAGTCTACACAATCATTGCAGTAGCCAAGCACGATATGCAACTCCTTACGACACAGGCATTTACCACTTTGTCTGTGATTTCGGTCCTCACCACGCCCTTAATGGGATTCATTCAGTCACTCCCCCAAATTAGCCAGTCGATAGGCTGCTTTGACCGGATTCAGACATTTTGTTCAAGGGACGGGGCAAGTGGTCTGCCTCATCTCTTGACCAACACATCTAAACAATCGACAAACAATCCTATCGAGTTGACACAACTATCCTCTGCTGTCAAACAAGCCGAGCCATCGGTAATGCACAATTCCTTGGTGGATCTCCAAAAAGCGTCCATTTCCTGGACTTCCGACAGCCCTATTGTGATCCACGATCTAACACTGTCAATCCCCACGAGCAAATTCATTATCATCATGGGCCCGGTCGGAGGCGGCAAATCGGCTCTATTAGAGACGATCATGGGCCAGACTCACGTCAGAAATGGCGCAATGCAGCCAACTTGCTCAGCGATAGCCTACTGTCCTCAGACCCCATGGATTATGAACAGTTCTATTCAAGACAATATCACCGGTGGAACACTTATGGATCAGAAATGGTATGATCTGACAATCTCGGCTTGTGCTCTTACGGATGACTTGGAGAAGCTTCCTGGGGGAAGTATGTACATGGCCGGTAGTGATGGTATGGCTCTCAGTGGAGGGCAGAAACAGCGAGTTGTGAGTTGCTCTGTGCCCAAGTCTCCGAAGTTTACGCTAACTTCACTTCCACCATGAGGCTCTTGCGCGCGCAGTATATTCACGACTGCCGAACCTGGTTCTCGACGACCCCTTCAGTGGGCTTGACTCTCGTACTACTCGCATTATCGGTGAGAGCCTGCTTGGTCGTAATGGTCTCTTTCGTAGGACAAATGCAACATTGGTTCTCTCAACACATAACCGTCAGCATACCACCTTATCCTACGTCTGCCGTTTTCGCTGACACGAGAAGCCAGGATACGTGCTACCTTATGCGGATGAAGTGATTCTCCTGGAGCATGGTCGGAAGGTCCTTCAATGCACTTATTCAAAGTTGATTGACAATTATCCGCAGTATACCCAGCCTGACCAAGATGATAACGATGAGATCGTACCAGACAACGACGAACCGCAGGGTAATGCTGACAAGAAGACAAAACACACTTCACTGCGAGAAACCCTAGATAGTGTCGAATCCATGAATGAGAAAGAAGATCTCACCCGACGAGATGGGAGCTGGGCGATATACAGCTACTATTTCCGCAAAGCAGGGTTTTTTCAAGTGATCTTCTTCGCCGCTTGTTTGCTTGCCTACGGATTCGTCACCCAGTTCTCTAGTAAGCCTCCGCCGCCGCTTTCCTCGTCTCCCAAACTATAGGAAGCTAATTTTCTAGCAATCTGGCTGCAATGGTGGTCCGATGCAGAGAAGCGTCATGCAGGTTCTGATCTCGGCAAATACCTTGGTGTATATACAGTTATTTCCCTGGCGTCAGTTTTCTCGCTGGGGGCTGGATGTTGGTAAGATATGGCTTCTGTCGGCGACCAGTGATGGTGTTACTGCATAAATCAATCAGCGCTGAGTCTGTAACAGGTTGCTTATCGTCGAAATTGTGGGCAATACTTCCCTCGGTCTCCATTCGGACTTGTTGCAAGCCGTATCGAGGTACACTGCAACCTGCTATCTGGTACAAGAACGACTTACTGAGTCCTCACAGTGCTCCCTTCAGATATATCCAGCAAGCAGATACAGGTTCATTATTGAACCGATTTAGCCAGGACATGGAGCTTATAGATTTCTCGCTGCCAATCGTCGCGTTGAACTTCGTGGAAGGCAAGAGTTCTATACTTCAGGAAAGATCATTATATACTGACACCAGCCAACTAGCCCTCAGCCTCTGCATTGTAGGTCTTGTGATTCTCTGCATCATCGGCAGATATATCACCATCGGGCTCCCGTTCATGCTACTGGCTTTTTGGACCCTTCAGCGTGCATACCTTCGCACCTCACGCCAAGTGCGCCTCCTCGACATTGAAGCCAAAGCGCCGCTGTATTCCCACTTTCAGGAAACTGTCCGCGGCCTGAGCGTACTTCAAAGCCTGCATTGGCAGCCGCACTTCCACCGGCAGTGTATCTCCAAGCTCAATGTGACGCAAAAGCCCTTCTATATGCTGTACTGCATCCGGCAAGGGTTGAAACTAGCCTTGGATCTGGTGGTGATGCTTTTTGTGGTCGCTCTTGTGGCGATTGTCACCTCCCTCAAGGACAGATTCAGTGCAGGCAGCATCGGGGTGGCGCTGAACCTTATCATCTCGTTCAGTTCGACCTTGAACACCGCAATTGAGTCGTGGACGCAGATGGAGATCTCCCTTGGGGCGGTAGCGAGGGTGCAGAACTTCGTGGAAGAGGTTACAGTCGAAGAGGAGCCGGGGTTGATAGAGGAGGGTTGGCTGAGAAAGGCGGAGATCACATTTCAGAATGTCATTGCGGGACATAGGTAAGACTTTTGGATGGCTTTGTGCCTCAAAATATTTACCCTGCCCCATACTGACAGAGTTAAGCCCTGATGACCGTCCCATCCTTGACGGCGTCTCCATGCACATCAATCCCGGTCAGAAAGTGGCCGTCTGCGGACCGTCCGGCAGTGGCAAAACCTCTCTCATTATGGCTCTACTTCGGATGATGGAGCTCCACCACGGCCACATCACCATCGATGGGACCGATCTGTCGACCATCCTGCCCACGGCTCTGCGTGCACAGATCACAGTGATCCCACAGGATCCGTTCTTCGTGCCTGGCTCGACGCTTCGCTTTAACTTTGACCCCACCGGCACCACCGTGACTGATGATTTGATTATCTCCGCCCTCCAGAAAGTGGGGTTATGGGACTTTACCTCTGCCAAGGGAGGTCTGGATGCTGTCATCGACTCTCTTGATTTATCGCATGGTTCGAAGCAACTGTTAGCTCTGGCCCGGGCCTTGACCGCCAAAAGTCCGCTGGTTATTTTAGACGAGGCGACGAGCAGGTGAGTCTGCTCTACCCTGGCATGTCTCCTTATTTAGTTTGGTGGAAGCGCTGACTAATTTTGGTGATTTGCGGGACATTGTAGTGTAGATTGGGAGACAGAAGCTCGCATGCTCGAGATCATTGAAGAAGAGTGCTCGACGCAGACGGTCATCGCCGTGGTTCATCGGCTGCGGTACATTGAGTGGTTTGATCGGGTTGCGTTCCTTCAGCATGGGCGGTTGGTCGAGTTCGATGCCCCTGATACGTTGCTGGCGCGGGAGTCACATTTTAGGGAGTTATATTTGGCCATGCAAGGGAAGATGACGGAAAGAATGGGTAATTGGTATCTAAACTCTTGCTTTTCTCTTATTCCTGACGATTGCTGATCTATTTGGTTTTCAGATCGAGACCTTGATTAGGCCTTTGGGAGTATATAGCATGTCCACGCTGGTGCTATTTGGTATTGAGGTTCACCCGCTAACACTGCATGGATCCCGGAGACTAAAAGCTTAGGAATATTGACTATGAACTTGCGGATATGTATATATTCTATAGATTTTATCACTAATCTTCTAGAGATTATTTTTTAAGGGAAAGATTATAGATTTAATTGTTACGATGATGGAAAAGAGCTAACTGGAAGAAACCAGGTGCATTTAACGAGATACCGAAGGTAAAGAAGAAAGAAACTACAGAGGCCCTATCAACTATTTTATAGAGGGCTTCTACATAAATAGGCCTTATTAGGTTAGTCATCTACTATGAGCTCCCATACGACGCGCGGTTCGCCTACAGTAAGGTGGAATAGCGACAAGCCCCCGCAGTGACAGCCTACGAGTTGGCCATAGTCGCTGTTATGAACCAACTCACCGACCGGCCGAACTGGTATCTCGATATATTCAACGAGCAGGTTGTCGCGGACGACTGGCGAAAAGAGGCCTTCGCCATGACGCCCCTGATAGGCGAAAGGGCGTGGGCTTGGTGTGTAAAGGAGCTACGGGATAAAGCGGTCTATTTCCGCGAAAAAAATCCACATATTCGGTTGTTGGATACGGGTTCCTACGTTGTAAATCTGATACGGCAACCCTAAGCGCTCTCAGCGAGGCGTTTAGGCGGGAGGTTCTTTCTATTCTTTAGCAGCGGCAGCAGCAGCACAAGGACGAGGAGGAGGAGCAGGAGCACGGGAATCTGGATCGGCGGTGGTCAAGCTAGATATTACACCTCGTCGATCCGTTATTATACCCTTTGGTTTACGGGAAAAATCTGGTCTTAAGCGACGGAGGGAAAGTAGACCTACGCAACATCTTGGGCTCCTATAACAATGCGATAGTCGCACCAAAACATTTCGACAGACGGGTAAACGCCCAGGATTTGCAGAAGCAAATAGATGACAATCGCGATTTCCCGATAGGGATTTCTGCCTATAATCCTAGAGGGTCAAGGTCCGAGTTTTATTACTAGAGCTCGAACTACCAATGTCTTCCGTACGAGGTAGAGTTCCTCTAGGGCTCCGGGACGGAGGTGCATATTACCTCGTACATTAATAACTTACATCCAGCCCATAAGGGGTTATACTAGGCCATCGAGAAACTCGTGTCCCTAGCAATCAAGCCGTGGAATGATTGTCTGGTAAAGGGATAGCGTAGTTAGGATAATCAATAGAATCAGGGGCAATTAGGCCGGTTCCCCTACGAATCATCACCTACGGGGTCGAATAGGAGAATAAGCTTCCCGAATGGGCGCTCGCGTTTAGAATACCCACCGAATCCAGGAAAAGAATATATCGCAAATTCCAAGAAGCGCTACACAGCAGCAAGGATGACCAAACGAGGGAGGGTAGGAAAAAGCACCGCGAGGCGCAAAATCACCTCCGCTAGCGGCTACGAGATATTGCAGACAACCAAGCCAAGGAGTTGCCTCCGCCGGACTCGGACCTCTGGCAACGAGCCAAGGAGTATCTAGAACTCCCAGAGCACGGCTCAAATACCCCCGTCGCAGCCCTAGACGACTGGATGGAGGGCGAGCTCAAGCCGTGGTGGAATATTGCACGGAAATTAGAGCGTCTATTGCGCTTCAAACATCCGGAACCGGGAACCGCTTTTTCGTACAAGGAGTGGAAGACCAATCGACACAACGACAAAGCCATTATGGACATCGCCCGTCACCCGGAATGACTAGGACCCTATTAAGCCGCCTTTTGAGCCTCTCACCCCACCCCCCCGCACAACCCCTACACGATCTCGCTCCCAGACACATTCCGCAAGCAAGGCCTACAAATCATCGTAAAGATGGAGAACATCGAACTCACCCCCCAACAGCCCACCTACACCAACGACGCTTGGCAGCTCGACGGCCGACTAAACGAGCACATCGCCCCAAATTTCATTCCGACAGTACACTACCCTCCATGGAGTCTACTACCAGTACGCTAAGGAACGATATACTACGAGGGACTGCAATATCCGCAATTTACGAGCCTACCGATGTGGTAAAACGGTCGGGACAGAATTAGCGGCATTCGCAAATATTCTGGGATTCAGCGACCCTCTTTACCTTTCGATTGATTATCACGGCACTCGGTCGTACCAGGAGATCGGTTCCGTCGCGACCCCGCAGGGGCGACTGGTCACCTTTCCCGGCGTCCTGGAGCACCGGTTCGAACCATTCCAGCTGGCCGATCCGACTCGCCCGGGACATTATCGGTATATCAAGCTGTACCTGGTCGACCCGCACTACCGGGTGTGCTCCACTCGCAATGTTCCGCCGCAACAGCATGACTGGTGGGCACAAGTGGTGGGTAGCGACCTTGCCTCCTCGGCTGGATTGCCCCGTGAACTAGTGGATGGGATTCTCCAGGAAACGGACAGTTGGCCGATGGGGGTACAAGAAGCGAGACAGCACCGACGGGAACTCATCAAGGAGCACCTTTGGAATGAGGTAACTAAGCTGGCTAGGATGTCCGGGCCTGGGTTCGAATAATATGATGACAGGTTCCGCCTTTCCCCGATTAGTTGTAAAGCGGGAAAAATTGCGCACGTTTATGACGGACATAGACATACTAGATTATATAATATTAGACTATCTTCCACCCAGAGGAAGCGCCTGCATAGCCATACGACACTAGTTAGGCTGCATCAGGTTAATAGAGTATCATCATCATCATAGAGGTTCCGAGCCGAGATATGGTCATAGCCTTCATATATTTCAAATATATATTATCTCTTGAAAGGAACTTCCTCGGATCACGAAACCCAAGTAGCCAATTTTTCAATTCAACCACGAGTACTTGGTTATCAAAACAAGATTGTGCACAAATTATGATCTGACCGCCAGTGTCCTAACCACGAGAAATTCCAACAAATATTGCAATTTCTATATGAACTATACCCTGGCGCGAGTATACATTCGCAGACCGCGGTCGGAGTTTAGCTCAAACGAGTGGATGAGAAACTCTGAGGAGCAAAGTATTTCCCGGAGATTAGTATCACCACAGCCGCTCTTAGATCGGTTCTCGAACCCTAATGTCAAGATCTACCAATCGGTAGAACAAGAATCCGGAATATTAATATCCCTGTATCGTCAACTATACACGTTTTTAATACTCTCCCATTTACCTGGCCAGCCTAGATGACTAACTCAAATAGATCACGCGACGAAATAATCACGTCATACAAATCTGGTCTGGGCATGAAAGCGATTCCAATTCGAATTCAGTTGCCACCGCATGCAGGAAATTCCTCTAATGACCCAAGACTGATCTCTCAGAATGCAATCGGGAGGCAACGGACAGGGTCCTGAAGTGGGGCCTTCCTATTCCTACCTGGACGGAAAAGCGCTAGTTAACCACATTTTCTTAGTCATTATCGAGAATTGAGAAAGGTCTCTCCAGCAAGTACGGAAAGCTACTACGTGGAGGCTTAATCGGTCCAAAGCACAAGGTACTTGGAATATAGCCTACTACAGCGCGTGCTCTAGCTAACAACCGAAAGGAACGAACGTACTTTGACTCTGGCGACTTTGCTCTTTCCGCTGCTGATCGTGTGACCGACAACGGCGCTATTCAAACAGGAAAAGCGCATCCAAATCGGGATAGCGTTTCGCATCCTTATGCCCCTATCCCAGCCGCTAGTAACGTTGACAATGATGCCAATGAAGATTCATTTAGGAGAAGTGCGAGTCTCGAGAGGAGCCCACTCCTTCAAGAAACCAATATAAAGGGTGAAGAACCCACCAAAAATGAGGTACAGGATAACCCTACCTCTCGCGAATTTTAAGGTCAAATCATCGCATTGGAGTGAAAAAATCAACATGCCATTCGGCATACAATGGCCCGTGGGTATCATAGCCCTCTGTTACGAGGGTTATGAGGTGAAAGCTGGTAATGGAATCCTCTCGGATTTATGATATCAGCCCAGGAAATTGTGGGGCTTGGTTATGTAATTTTAAAAGCAACTTCTAGCTAGCGTCCCTTGGCATGAAGGTTGGGGAATCAATCAAAGTGTAGGCGGTGACACCTGTTTTCGAAGGAATATAGTCGTTTCTGGTGTATGCTCATTAGTATATTCTTTATCAAGCCCTTGCTGACGTGAATATGCTTTCTCGAGATCACTTGTCTGTGATTTCCATTTCTAAGTAGATTGATATAAAAGCTGCTCGGAAAGTTCAAGATTCGTGCATACAGTTAGTTGGATGAAGAGCCTATTTTTTTGCAGATAATTTATTATCCGAGTTTATCGGCTTACAGCTTAAATAGGATCCGCAAATTCACTTTTATAGTGATACATACATGTACCCGGCCTTTTCCGCTTAAATAATGGTAAACTGGAGACTATTGCTGCTCTTATGAACCTGTCTATTTATGATGGACTTGACGTTAGAGAAGGCTTGAAACATCGGATAAAATTCATGAAATATGAGAACTGATCGCCGCTATTTGGGTCGCACAAAATGGCCTGGCACACTTGTTGAGCTACTTTATGAACAAGAAGACTATCAATGATGGGGGTCAAGGGGGTCGAACACTAATTATATAGGGCGTAAGCAAAGGTCAGGAGACGTGTTAAGGGAAGTACTTGCAGGGTGGAAGCCCTGTCAATCAGGCAAGGAAGAAGCGGGTTGACTAAATCTAATACAAGACTTATTGATTCTTGGTAATCAGGAAAAACCGGGACTAGATAGGGTGCTCGAAGGAAGGGCTCTACAGATGAATGCATTGAATAGGTGGTGGGTCGGCAGAGGGTCGAGTGTCGACACATAGTTGAGCCGTGCTGCCCTAACTTATGGGAATAGCCTTATCCAACAACAGGGAAGAACAGCGTAATAAGGCAAGAGTAAAATCTTCATAAATTACAAAAAGACAGCCACCCCAGAAAAAGAGGTTACTAGAAGGTTTAACTTACTAGAGCTATTTTTCTTTAACCTATTTTAGAAAAGAGGTAGTATCATTACTATAATCTTCGTTCGTGTAGATTCTATTATCAGTTACTACGTAACTTCTTTCCGGTGAAAATCTAGAGTCTACCTCTCCAGATGTGAAACTTTCACTAAGCAATTTTCAATGCATGAGCATTTTGAATCATAAATAATCCGCCTCCCGGTTTGCCTTGACATGCTTGAGAGTTTTCCTTGATCTCATTGGCGCTTTTCGCCTACATGCAGTAGTCCACATGACTTCGACTTTGGTAATGGTAGTTGGAGCTGGCTTGGGGGTCGATACTGGTTGTAGTTTCCTGTCGTGAAACGCAGCTTCCTCGCCGCAAGCAGCCAATTCCTCGGCCAGCGTGCGCTTGGAGTGCCGAGGGGTCTTGTTAATTGCCTTCCAAGTAATCACTTCACCCCTTAGGTTCTCCCTCCACAGTATTGGAGATGACTCCTCCCACCGAATGTCGTAGGTGGTGTCCCAGATCATTTGGATTTTTGTGAACCGGATATTGTGTTCAGTGTACGTTAGGCGGTTTGCTGTGGATGGAGAGGGTTGCAGCTAAAGGCTGTTTTGATCCCCTCTGAGAGATAATAAGAGGAAAGCCTTATTTCATGGGTAAATTTCCTTTGTATGTGCTTCAATGGTATTTTAGCCGTAGATGAAACGGCACGACAAACAAAAAATGGTCAACATGTCCATTGTCTTTCACCCGACAATTAACGAAAATCTCAAGACCATTCTGTTCTTCACTATATGAAGCATTTCAACAGAGCAACAATAGCCCGTGCGGGCTTCCAAGACAACAGGTCGATCTATTCTTCTCCATGGGTCTACCACCGAACTTGAGCTTACGGCGAACCCATACCCCATCAGCACAACATCAAATCCACGAAGTTAGATATGAAACAGATTATAAACTTCTTCAGCCAATGAAAGGTCCTGTAGACCAGAATTACTGACCCATCGTTGTTGGGGACCGTGGAAGTCAGCGGCGCGAGCCAAGTACCTTGGGGACCAGCACCGCCAGCCACACAAAACGCCGCATTTATCAGCATCATGGGACGGCTCAAGCTCCATTGGCTTGGCCCTGGCTCCACTGCATACCTATCAACCTTGGAGGGCGTATGGGGTGGTTGTGTCGCACAGAGCCGCCACAAGGGACGCGCGACGGTGAGGAACTTGGAGACGATGGACTGCAAGAGATAAAAGGTATTTCCCGCAAGGTGATTCGGGAGCAGAAGAGGTCTTGATTTTTCAACCTTTGCAGCTTTCTTAGCATACTCTAGCTAGCTTCAGAGAGTCACAATGGTCATCGATTCGGGCCGAGAGTCAGTGGCTTATCACATCCCGGCGCCTACGCAGGATCAGCCCAAGACCAAGCCGTTGCCCGTGACCTTGCTCTCGGGGTTCCTGGTCAGTTTTTCCCATTGAGAGTGACAAAGCAAGTACTAATTCCTTTATGTAGGGAAGTGGAAAGACCACTCTTCTGAAACACATTCTCAAGTCGCCCGATCATGGCCTGCGCGTTGCTGTCATTGTCAATGACATGAGTCAGTGAGTGGTGTACAGCCTGTCAATGAAATGACGGTATACTGAATTCATTTTCTGAAATCAGGCTCAATATTGATGCTGCCCTTATCAAGAACCACAAGGTCTCCCAAACGACAGAGAAGATCATCCAGCTGCAGAACGGCTGTATCTGTTGTACCCTTCGTGGGGACCTACTCTCCGAATTAGCACATCTCACAAAGCAAAACGAAATCCAGTATGTCATAATCGAGAGCACAGGCATTAGTGAGCCGATGCAGGTTGCCGAAACATTTACCGCGGAGTTCAGCGCCGCCATGCTAGAGGCGGAGGATCAAATTGCAGACGCTGATGAGGACACAAAAAGGGTCTTGAAAGAGATGTAAGGGCGCTTTTACTAGACGTTCTCTGCCACAGTCCTGACTGTTCCTAGCGTTGAAATGGGTGGCCTTCACACAATGGCTCGCCTCGACACCACAGTGACAGTGATCGATGCTTTCAACCTCCTCTCCAACTTTGACACCACAGAGTTTCTCTCTGACCGATATGGACAAGACGAGATCGTGCCTGAGGATGAGCGCACGATCTCTGATCTCATGGTCGACCAGATTGAGTTTGCCGATGTGCTCATCATCAACAAGATTGAATCTATTGATCACGCAACAAGGGACAAAATCTCGCAATTAGTCAAGCTGCTCAATCCAGACGCTAAGGTCCTCATGTCCAGCTATTCTCAGGTCGACGTACGTGAGATTGTTGCAACGAACAGATTTGATTTCGTACGTGCTGCCTCAGGCGCGGGGTGGTTGCGCAGCTTGCACGAGATGACGGTTCGGCAGACGGGTAACGGAGAGCGTATAGCTCCCAAGCCAGAGACTCTCGAGTACTTTTGTCCAGCCTGAAGAGTATGAATGAAAGAGAAAAAGCGCTGACGTCGGCACAGGTACGGAATTAACAACTTCGTTTATTCCGCTCGGCGCCCCTTCCACCCACGTCGTCTCTTCTCTCTCCTCCACGACAAGTTCATTCTTCTTCAGAACAATGAAGTGGATGAAGAGGAGGGAGACGACAGTATGGAGGAAGACGATGATGATCAAGACGATGAGATGGACACCGAGGCCGACTCCGTGCAGGACTTCGACCAGCCAGATCCCGAGGATATTCTAAAAAACAAGCGACAACACCCTGCTTTCGGGCCTGTGCTGCGTTCCAAGGGCTTCTTCTGGTTATCCACTCGGTCATTCCAGTTCGGTGAGTGGAGCCAAGCGGGCGGTATGTTGACAGTTGGCTGTGGGGGCCCTTGGTTCTCCGAGGTACCCGAGGAGGCCTGGCCGGAAGACGAAGATGTCATCAAGTCAATTCATAATGACTTCCAAGGCCTCTGGGGAGACCGGCGCCAGGAATTAGTGTTCATTGGCGAGGGAATTGACCAAGCTGCCATCTCTGCCATTCTGGATGAGTGTCTGCTGGATGATGAGGACATGGAGCAGTGGGAGAAAGTCATGAAGAGCAAGAAGCTCAGCCGAGAGGCTAAAACGAAAAAGCTTGCCAGTATCTGGGAAGACGGGTGGGAGGAATGGCCTGCCTTTGAGATCGAGGGTGAGAAGGAGCTGGGCACGCACCGCATCAGCGAGTATTTGGGCCATCAAAATGACCATAGGAAGGGTCATAAGCACAGTCATCGCTAGAATGATTGTTAGTTCCTAGAAAAATTCCAATACAGTTAGAATCAACAAAAGTAGGGAATAGATGATAAATCAGGGAATCAAAAGTAGCCAGAGAACTGATGCTTGTTCCATGGTTTCCCATTCATAGGCTGTTGTAGTTGTCAACGCCTTTTTCCCCACTGGAGAGCCGGCTTATCGCGAATGCCGCGCTAGGCCGATAACGATGCGCGATAACGAGGATCCCCCAGCAGCTCTCCGCCTTTCCTCACTGACATCCCCTCGGCTGTGCAACATTCTCAATCAACCTCCCGTTCGCTAGAATCTTTGACTGACTTTGTGCGCTGAAAGCTGTGCAACGGCAACATCAGCCCTGCTCCCGTCTCTCTGCCCCGATTCTGCCAACAACGCTGAGGGAGGATGCCTCCGGTCTAACTGCCGCCGTCCGCTCCCCGTACAACACTGCATTCGGGCCCAGTCCAGCTATCCGCGAATGTTCGCATTACACTGATCTCAACTGTTCTTTTCTTCGCCGGCTCTTCTAGGTGACTGCGGTCGCCTGCCACTCTTGTATGTTCTGTCCGGGCCGAACGTGACGTGCAATGGCTGACAGCCTCTCAGAAGTTTCCAAGGCCTAGTCTCTGACCATCTGTATGCCCATGGAGGTAAGAAGATATTCGTCTCTTGTTGATTTACATCATCCCTGTGCCTTCTACTTGCTGTTTAATTGCATGTGTTCTTTTGCGATGTGGCTGAGCTGTCCCGGGTGGCTCTCGGTTGGTTACTGCACTGTTGCTGCTTATGGTTCTCACCGATGGTGAGACAAGAAGCGCCTGGTTCCGAGCCCTGTTTTACCGTCGGTCGAAACAGACCTCGATTGCTTCTACGCATGTCATGTTCTTGCTTCTAGAAAGGCCAGCGCGGAATGCAAACTCATCACCCTGAAGCTGTGATGGCATCGGGTCTGCCCAGGGGAAGATGCTCGGGGTATATCGCCTGTCAGCCTTGATGTCATTCAGTTCCTTCATCGTTGCTTAGTCGGTGTTGTCGTCGCTGGCTCCCCACACTATTGTGGACGTGGACATGTGACGTCCCTGTTTATTCCTTTGTGGGATCCCGACCTTTCACTTCCCCCAGTCCAGGCGCCTCCCTGTCTGTCCAACATGGCTTTCCCGCATGTCCGCAGAGCCCGGTCCATGGAGCTGGACAAGAAGGATCGGCTGTCAAACCCCTTTCATCTGCGTCACAGCAACTCCACTAAATCCGTCAAGACCTGTGCCCAGCTAAGCCTTGAGGATATCTTACAGGGAACCACCAATGCTGCGGTCTCGGCGCAGGCGAGAGCGCTCCTGGAGCCCAGCGTCAAACCTCGTGATGCTAAACCACGTCTACTCCTCATGGGACTTCGCCGGTATGTACTAAGTTTGAATTTGAAGCTGCTCTGGTCTGGTCTGGCCTCATCTGAGCAAGCAGGATACTGACATGACTTCAGGAGTGGCAAGTCATCCATTGCCAGTGTGGTCTTCCACAAGATGCCACCAAATGAAACTCTCTTCCTCGAATCCACCACACGCATTCAGAAAGACTCGATCCAGTAAGTGTGCCTGACCCACCAAGTCAAGAGGCATATCGCTAAGTGGTCCTCAGCTCTTTCATGGATTTCCAAGTGTGGGACTTCCCCGGGCAGCTTGAATACCTTGAGCCATCTTTTGACCTCGAAGATATTTTCGGGAGCCTGGGCGCACTGGTGTGGGTGATCGATGCCCAAGATGATTACCTCGACTCAGTAGCCCGTCTGAACCGCACGATCCTGACCGTCCAACAGTATTACCCTGGAATTAACGTCGAGGTTTTCATTCATAAGGTTGATGGACTCTCTGATGAATACAGGACGGACGCATATCAGGATATCATTCAGCGGATCACCGATGAGCTTAATGACGCCGGGTATGAGAACGCGCCCGTACATTTCTACCTCACCTCCATCTACGACTACTCCGTTTTCGAAGCCTTCAGCAAGGTCATCCAGAAGCTTATTCCCAACCTCTCTACACTCGAGAACCTCATCACCACCCTGGGAAACAACTGCGGCTTCGAAAAAACCTACCTCTTCGACGTTTTGAGCAAGATCTACATTGCCTCAGACACACGCCCCGTCGACATGGCGTCCTACGAGATGTGCTCCGACTACATCGATGTCATTGTCGACATCTCCGAACTGTACTCATGGGATCACCCTCTTCGCAAGCACAAAGGTGACCAGGTGCAGGAGGCTGAGAGCCACGTCGTCCTGCACGACGAGACAATGATTCATCTTATGGAAATGAATAAGTACGCCTCACTCCCTTCCATATGTTTCTCTCGCGCTGACTTTGCTTTTTAGGTATCTGTGCCTCGTCTCGGTGATTCGAAACCCGGAGGCCCGGGAGAAAAAGGGCCTCATCGACATGAATTGCCGGACCTTTCAGGAGGCCCTAAACGACGTTTTCTCGCGGAGCTGGGAGCACCCAGAGGACCATGCGACCAATTAAACATCTTCGAAGTCTCGCGAGAGGGACGAGAGAGATCGAACTTGGAGTCAGGCCATCCAGATGGGATGAGCTGAACGACTCGAATGAAGGGAATGAATGGTTACAAAAAAAGCCCGTATTATTAGATGAAAATACATATTTCTAGCACGCAGCTATATCAACCAAACGACAATTTGATCCCACTCTGGTTGCGCTGGCTGCATAGATGTATTGTAGATCACACGGTCAATGTGGCTTTCCCCGGATCTCTGACCTCATCCGCTTTGCCAAACACCACCTTTTTTCCAAAGGGCCGACCCTGACTGACATCCACCCTCTTCCACCACCCAACAAGCACTCGACCATGTCGGAACTCCGCCAGAGACAGCCTGTATCGTCCTCGGGGCCCAGTCAAAATACAGACTCAACACCGTCGCGCAGCCAACAGCGACGTGCCGACACGGAAGACAGCCATGGCATCAGCGTCCTCGACATCATTCGCGTTCTAGCCACGCTAGTCCTTGCTTCGTGCGGTCTCTCCTACTACATAACCAATTCCGAGTCCCTATTATGGGGCTACCGGCCCTGGTTTACTCGGTGGCCCGTCGTCAAGAACTACCTGGTAACTTCCTCCGCAGCCCCCGCGGCCACGTCCTAAATCCAAGAACCTTCAAGCAACTACTAACACTGCCATCCTTCCAGACCGGCCCAGTGAACCTGACACCTGTCGAACTTTCCCTTTACAACGGCTCTGACCCCTCCCTGCCCATCTACCTAGCTGTCAACGGCTCCATTTTTGACGTTTCTGCAAACCCGCTCGTCTACGGGCCCGGCGGGAGCTACAATTTCTTTGCCGGGCGCGACGCAACCCGCGCATTCGTGACCGGTTGTTTCGAGGAGGACCTGACGCCGGATCTGATCGGGGCCGAGGAGATGTTCATGCCCGTGGAGGACGTCGAGGAGGCGGGGATTACAAATGCCCAGAAGAAGTTGCGCCTTGAGCGGGAGATCCGCTCTGCGCGGACAGCGGTAGGGAAGACGGTAAGCCGGTGGGAGGGTTTCTTCCGGAATCATAAGAAGTATTTCCAAGTTGGGAAAGTATTGGACGATGGAGTCGTGGATCCAGAGAAGGGGAAGAGGGTGCTATGTGAGGGGGCGCAGAAGCAGAGGCAGAAAAGGAGTGAGATGAAAGAGGGGTCATGAGACTGGAGCTACAAGGGAGCATATCTCCCGGATAGTGTAAAGCATAGGATATAGCATATTGCGGGGTTTTGCCAAATTAGCATGGAGACAGATCCCACTAATTTACTGCGAGTACAAATATACTCCGGGTTTATTCCAAAGAAAAGTGGAAGTTTTGTAACTTTTTATTGCATTCATTCTACCTGAGACGAGTCCCAGAGCGCGAATGGTCCACACTGCCGAGAGTAGGCATCACATCCAACCGATTTTCCATCTGAAATGATATCATTCGTAGCAAAGGAAATAAGAGAACCGCGAGAAAAGACGAGAGGAAACGAGACGTTTACTCGGCGGCGACGGCGCGGGCTAGGAGAGCAGTTAGTACTTGTGCTGCGGATGTGGAAGGATCACTCGGAAACGTACTGTAGATGCTCAGCTTGGAGTGGCTGACGACCTTCTTGATCTGACCCTGCTCCTCGAGGTCGGCAAGGGCCTTGCGGGCAAGGCTGCCGTTGATCTTCAGGCGATCGACGAGGGTGGCAACGGTGATCAGGCGGTAGGTCTGAACATCCTTGTTGAGCTTCTCAAGGGTGGACTTCTCGAAGACAACGGCGTGCTGGGCCTTGTCCTTGACTACAGGCAGGAGACAAGTTAGTTATAGTTTCTTTCTTCCGGTCCGTAGTCCGTTCCACCGGTGTTTGTTGGGTTTGCGATCGAACGATTCCATTTCTGGGCGGTTGGTTTGGTGAAAGGTCCCGGCGAGAGTTGGATATCGTTGTCACGGTCGGGTGGATGGTGCTGGAGATGGAGATGGAGATGGAAATTGCGATAGCGTACCCTTGCCCTTGGACCACTTCTTCTTTTGCTTCTTGCCACCGGTTGCTGCGGGCGCCTGTCACGAATGCATGTTAGTGTGTCTGGCGCCGAAACGGAGGATCGTGGGGTGGGCGCTCACCATTTTGTCTGTTGGTGTGGATGGTTCGAAGAGAAGAGGCGACGGTCGGCTGAGGAGATACGAAAATGGCCGTGGGGTGTGACTAAGCAGCGCTAACCCTAAGCCCCAGTTGCCTCTTTGTGGACTCGGTTAGTTTAGTTTGGATCACATGACTAGGATGATGTTTGGCTTAGATAATAGGTTGAGTGGACCCTCGTGTTTTCATACTTTTTAAAGGCCGCAAATAGTATGAACTAGAATGATAGTCTCGTACCCCTTCATGAACGAGCCAATAAAGATAGTCGTTGCATGTTTCATTCATCCTCAATCTCATGGTAGCCTCCTCAAACCATCACATCAGCGGGACCCACTACTGTCCCCATACCCTTACTATCGACTCATCAGACCTCCTGTATGACTGCCATATCCTCGACTAGTCACCGAGTTTAGCACCTCAAACTGGACCGAGCCATCCTCAGCAGACAAATATCCCACCACATATTCCTCCGTGGATGCAAACCAAAATGCCGAGTCAGGCTCGGATTCGGCTAGCCACTTCACGTCGTACTTGCCACTCTCGCTCTTCTGGGTAGGCACCCGAGCGATCACCGGGTGACTATTTGGTGACCACCACCGCACGGTAGGCAATGTATTGGCGATAGTGTTGATGAGCAGCTGTGGTGTTGAAGGGTGCCAGACAAGCTGCCGAACTGCTTGCTCGTGCACAAGAGCCGAAGCCAGTCTAGGAGGGCCATCTAAAGCCCATATCCAAACAACATTAGATCGCATCGAGTCCACGGTCGCTAGAAGGTTTCTGTCGGAGCTGAATGTCATATTTGTAACGCCTCGTAGTGATCCTGATGACTCGGGGCTCATGCTGAAGGCGGATGAGCTCGATGCCTCGGCGTATTCTGCGTCGCCGAGGGCACTTGTGAAACGCTCACGCCAAATAGTACATGAATGCTGGTCGATTTCGAAGACATGTGAGAGGGTAGTAGAAGATGAAAACTGCTGCAGTTAGCTAGGAAGGAACTGTGCAGAGAAAAGCGACTTCGGTGCATACCGTGCGAGTCTGTAGCAGGTCAATATTTCCGTTAACCTTCCCAACGGCCAGAATCTCAGAGACGCCCTTGTCACCAGTCGCAGGACTCCATTCGATCTGCTTCACCCCCAGATCAAACGCATCGTCAACGTCCGGTGGCCCTGTGTAGGTCCTGAAAAGCTGTCCATCAGCTGTGAAAATCAGCACTCTGGTGCCTGCGCCAGCAACATCCCAGACGGCAATCCACTTCCCGTCCGGACTCCATTTCAATCCCTGGGCATCGATAGTCGGAAGTACTGTGCGATTGACTAGCTCATAGGACCGCGGCTTGTGAATAGTCAATAGATCAGACGTTTCAGGTTTCAGTAAGATGGCCAGATGTCTTGTTTGTGGGCGATATCCAAACCCAAGATGGTGGGCAAATTTTGGCGTCTTGATTACCGAGCTTCGACGTGAGTCGAGTGAGTGGATTATCAGTTTTGTGTTCCAGGCATGAAACACGAGAACTTCATTGCCGTCGCTGCCGAAGTCAATATTCAGTGCTCCGGGCTCGACATTCTCGATTTCAGCGAGAATTTCCAACGGTTCCAGCTGCCATACTGAAATGCAAGAGTCGTTGGCGCTAAGAAGCCATCGTCCTGAATCCTCATCAAATTCCCCAGGTGGGCTTTGAGTGAGACAGAATTTCAAATATTTGACACCGTTCTCTTTCACTCTAGCGATTTGAACTTCCTTGTTTTCTGAAGCAGGGTTGGTATAGACGACTAGATCCTTTCCATTCATGTGGGCAGCGTAGAGTCCATCATCAGAAAGGGCCAACGTCAAAGGAGCTATAGTATCATGAGAGTCCATTCCCTTGGAGCATCTCGGGGAGACTTACCTCCAGTCCCAGTAGAGGCGTCCATTGTTGATGCGCCTATCAATTAGGCTTGCGTGCGTGGACAGTCATATGCCGTCGGAACCTTGTGATATTGTAGCGCCGTCAAATTTATGCCGCTCAAATCAATGTACACTTATGGTTCAGCATCTAGCTCTACTGTGCCGTGTTTTTGGTTCCAATGGGAGAGTGTCGTTCCGATGGGACGCGATCATTGGACGTTTTGACGTGTTTGGTTATTCAGGCCTGAAATTTCAGGATCTGATACACTTTCAATGCAAATCAAGTCATTCTTGCGTTTCGGTATTCCTCTTGACTCCTTCAAGACCGTGTTTCTTGAGATGATGGAACTAAATTATTAATTTCGAAATTTTTCAAAAAAGGTCCACAGATAATCTCTCTAGACTTTACTCTTGAACAAACGCTTCGTACCAATCCTAACCAGACACCACCCGACGACGTAGCGGCATATGCGATAAGATAAGACGGATAATCCTTGTCCCGTCCCGAGATAAGGAGTGAGGCGCAAAAAAAGTTGAAGACTGCGCGGTTGTTATTCTTTACCAATTTTGGGTCTCTGCTCCAGCTGTCAAAATAGGTCTTGTGAAGCGATTATCCCCGTGGCTGGGGCAATACCTCCAAATCACGCCCAGAATACACTTCAGAATGGGGTCCAACAGTGCCCCGCAAAATGGCGCCGAGCAGTCCTCCGCTGCTGCACCCCACAAGAAACTACAGGGACGCCAATTCTACGAGAGCATAGGGAGTCCTAAGTATATTGTGGCACCTATGGTCGATCGGTCCGAGTTTGTGAGTCCCCTTAGATTTTAAATATTCAAACAGCACCCAAACTAACACGATCTTCCGCTCCAGGCATGGCGCATGCTCACTCGGTCCTTCATGCCCGCAGACGAGCCGAAACCTCTCCTTGCGTACTCCCCTATGTACCATGCACGTCTTTTTGGCGAACACGCTAAAATGCGTACGCAACACTTCCAGCCAACCCGCGAGGCGAACGGCGACACAGCGAGAAAGGACGACTTGTTTCTCGACGGAAACCCGAAGTTTGACCGACCCCTCTTCGTCCAGTTCTGTGCAAATAACCCCGACGAATTCTTGGAGGCCGCGCAACATGTGGCTCCATACTGCGATGCTGTCGACCTCAACCTGGGTTGTCCGCAGGGAATCGCGAAAAAGGGACACTATGGAGCTTTCCTCCAAGAAGACTGGGACTTGATCTACAAACTTATCAATCGACTTCATACGGAGCTTTCAGTACCGATCACAGCCAAATTCCGCATCCAGGAGAGCAAAGAGAAAACCTTGGAGTATGCGAAAATGATTCTATCTGCTGGTGCGAACATTATTGCGGTACATGGGCGCAGGCGAGAACAGAAAGGTCACGAAACAGGAGTGGCGGACTGGAGCTACATTCGGTACTTACGAGATAACCTGCCCCCGGAGACTGTGATTTTTGCCAACGGTAATATTCTGAATCACGACGATATTGAGCGCTGTATCGAAGCGACTGGTGCGGACGGCGTGATGAGCGCGGAGGGGAACCTCTCTGATCCTACCATTTTCAGCAAGCCGCCACCAATTGGCAGTGAAGGGCGAGAGTACTGGCGCGGACGAGATGGCAAAGGCGGTTACCGAATTGATGCAATCCTCCGAAAGTATCTCGACATTGTGTACGAATACGTTCTCGAGCAACCAGTCCCAGAGCGGAAACCGCTTTACCTCCCATCTGACCCTGTTAATGAGGCAGAGGAGAAGGAAGAAGGGCAAGATGCGGAAGCTGAAGAAGGCCCACCCAAAAAGAAGCAAAAGCGTGACAGGGTCAAGCGGACAAATTCCCCCAGTCTCGGTGTCATGCAGGGCCACCTCTTCCAGGTGCTCCGGCCAATGATTGCTAGCCATACGAACGTCCGCGATGCGCTCGCGCGCACGCGGCCCGGGGATATGCCTGCTTTTGAGCACGTCCTCGCCCTCGTGGAACAAGCCGTGAAGTCAGGACTAAAAGAATATGAGGCATCGCCCGACAAATTTGAGAGACAGCCCGATGAAACTCTGACGGGGTCGAAGGCTACCATTGCCGAGTACGGCCGGCCTTGGTGGATTTGCCAGCCTCATGTTCGCCCTCTTCCAGAAGAGGCTATGGAGAACGGAGCCCTCACTGCTAAGGGGAAGGCGACTGTTCAGAAGAAGGAAGAAAAGAAAGAGTCTACAGAGACCGATACACCGGCTTCTGAAGGTACTAGCACTTCTACCGATGGCACTGTAACAAATGATGCTAGTGCAACCACACCGGATAACCTTGTGAGTGGATAAGTAGATCAGGCATCCCATCCACCCTAGACGCCGCCATAAAGAGAGACCCACGGCCTTACTCAAATAGATCAATATTTTCGCATAGCGCAGCTTCTATTTCACATGAAGAAACTTTCCATACATTCAGAAATATCAACTAACAAAAATGGAAATGAATAACTTGGATGAAGATTTTTGTCTGACTGTCAGTGTTGATAAACAAGTGGTTTATACAACAGGAACGATACGCTCTTTCACACCAGATATTGATTCATTCGTAATAATGAGCCGGCTTTTTGTATCGGTTAGATCGACGGTAAACAAATCCACCCTCCAAGCGGTCTTGCATGATAAGTCCAACCGCCCCTTCTTCGTCCTGTATTGCCTTCCATCCACTCCAGTCATCATCATCTGCATAATCCTTGCGAAAATTGCAGAGCGCAAAGTCAATCATGACCACCTTGTATCCACTTTCCGCCCGTGTGGCCTTCTTCACGATAAAGCTTCTCGTCTTAACATCCTCGTTTAATATCCCTCGGTCACCTATCCGATGAAGTATTTGAATAGCTTCTTCACAGATGCTTTGCCAGCGCTCTCTTGGTGTGTGATCGGCAATATCGGTTAAAGGAAAACCTTCGATATACTGTAAAAGGATTCCAGAAACACCGATATACTGACTGACTGGATCTAGTTCTGCCAAGCTAAAGCCAGGCATTTTGACGCAGGCAAGTAGTTGAGGGACATCATTTCCTTGCATATCCTTCAAGGTATCATATACCTGAACCTCTGTTTCATACAGATCCGATAAACGATCATGAAGATAGGCTTCATCCTGGGAGGTATTCCATGTTTCGCCTTGCTGTGCTATGTCGCCGTTGTTGTTGAGCTCATTGATGAATTTAGATGCACCACCATCAAGGACGAATTGATGATAATCCATCTCAATATCTGAAGTCCAGGGACTGAATTTTTTCATCTTTCCGGAGCTGTGTTGCAAAGCGTCGATCAAAAAGCTTTAACACCATATCGCCTTCTAATGCCAAAGTAGAACAGGCTATTCGAACGACCATCACGGAGGAAGGAGTGAATGGTTCGAATAACTTGATAATTCTGGCATCGGTCGTTACCTCGTTATTTTTCATTTTGAGGTATAGTTTGATCGTATTGCCGACCACATAAGGATATCTAGAATCATCAGTATAGGTCTAATACTCCGTAGCCAGGTCACTTGCTGGATTTCTTCCCGGTCCATTATGATCGTATTCTAAAGAGAGAGGCTTAAGATAATCTCAAGGCTCGTTCAAGATCTTCGAAGTAGATGTCTATCAGTGGAGACGAAGAGTTTGCAAGATGCAGTTGACGTCGATTTGGCAATAATATTGGGCGGTTCAACTCCACATGTAGGCATGTAGCTAGCAGGAGCTACTTGCTGTGATCATGCACGAACACGTGGGCTGGTACACCACCCTATGCCATTTACGTCAACACGCCTATACGACTTTCTGCAAATCATCTCCCAGATTCGGACCATGGGGACAGAGCGGATTGGCCCTAAGGGCATAACTGATCAATTAAACCGAGAGGAGAGACAGTCTACAGAATCTCTGCAACATGAACATGGAGGGAAAGTCGTGTACAGACGATGACGAGCCACACAGGCAAAAGGGGGGTGGCGGAGCTTAGGAGCTCGGTGGTTCGAATCAATATCATAAATGCTTCACCTGCAGAGTCCAGGGAGGAGGAGGGCGAAATAGAAAATGTGAGATGTTGGGCTGGGGGGAGGACAGCGTACTATCTACCAGCACGCACGGCGAGGTGAAGGGCCCCTAACTCTAATGCATAATTGATAGAGCCAAAATATCGCGTAATCTTCAACAAGATCCGATATGGTGTAGTGGCTAACATCGCCGTCTCTCACACGGCAGCCGGGGGTTCGATTCCCCCTATCGGAGTTCTTTTTGTTTAACTCGTTTCTCCTCCCTCCGCTGTTGGATGGGGGGAAACTCTAGGTAGCAAGCAATCAATGATGCTCAGCCTTTTTTTTAGAGAAATTATTACATTCGTAGGGGATCCATCCATCTTGAGACTCCGTGCCAATTCGATCTCGGCCCGGTGTGAGTCATGGGGGGAGGCTGCTGAACATCAGCCACGATCCTGCGGCTCCGCCCCATTGACTCATCATGGTGAGAGTCATCCAGCCATCGTGACTACCATGCACTCCGTTATCAATGTCATGTTAGATGTTTGTGCCTATGCACGTACCTAGGAGGCGGGGTTTGGGGAGCTGATTCCTGGGTCCAGTTTGCCAATTGGGGGGTCCATTTATAAAATTTCCAGTCGCATCACAGAGCTATCAAATATATATAGTTGACCCTCAGCGCAGTTTTTTATTGCGCCAGGTGGTCACCAGAAACCAGTAGCATCGCAACGACAATCAAACATTGGTGATGGCGTCGGATACCATCTCCCTTGGATCAATCGATCAAGAACGTCAATGCGTCGACCTGCCTGATAAGATCGAGGAAAAATCCCCGTCGAGCTCACCTAGCCCGCCTCCTCGGGGCGAATCCAGAAGACCACCGAGGATTCCTTCTCCACCGAAGTCCGGGGAGAACAGGCTGAGACCAGCTGGAGGTATTTGCGCAGTCTATTGATCGTTTCAGTTGAGTCTCTCCAAGAGCAATGTGTTGATGGGGTGGACAGATATCATCAATCGCATCAATTGGGATCCCACGTTTCAACGCGACGATTATATTATTGGGTTTGTGGATCGATTCGAGGGGCAACTGGAAGTCAGCATGAATGCCTGGAAGAAGGACTCGACTGACGAGGAGTTCATTCCACAACATCGCGTGTTATATATTCGACATGTGGACGGGGAGGTTGTGTGGGACAGACGACGACGCATCGACAAGATCTTTCTTAGTGGGAACTCGGCGTTCAGCGAGCTGGCCTTTCTTACTTGAGGGCTTATGAGACAAGGGTGGATATGAAGGTTGAAGGCGGTTCATAGCAGATGGTCAGTGAGAGTTCCATTGACCGTGCCTGCGGCTTTGTACTATCCTCGAGTTGCACTTTCCGTGATACCAAACAGCGCTGTCTCTCGCTCTTTCTTCCTTTTTCCCTGTAAAGCCGCACTTGCTGTTGTTCTGTTGTTCTATTGTTCTGCCCCCCAACTAGTTCGCCGATTGCCCTCCAAGCCTCCAGGGCCAGTCCTCTTCTCTTACCACCCCCATCTACCACCCCGTTCTACCCGGCCCCAAGAGTCAAATCGCAATCCACAATGAATCTTTCCAAGCAGAAAAAGCCATCTCTCCCACGCCTTGCCACCAATATCCCTCTGGAGCGTCACTCTTCGACCTCGCTCCCAGTGCTGGCACCCAAGATCCCGCCAGAGATCAACATGCAGCAGCGTCCCAGGTCCGAGAGGCAGGCCATTGCACCCTTCCTGTTTGCAGAGGACAGAATAGATGATGAGAACATCGCGCCCACCGCACGATATGCCCCAGATGCCAAACCAGTCTATGTGACCCGAAAGAGCATTGAAGAAGATTCACCAGTGACCCAGAAGACAATGTACTACGAAGATGCGTTCGCTCTTCAAGCCGCCTACAATCCGCCCAAGGACCGTGTTGTTCAGGATTCCGCGGTAATTGCTGAGCTGGCAACCAACCGCAAGGTACGTTACCGCACAAAAGGAGTCTACCTCCGTATCTAATGCTCCAGACTACAGGCCAAAGAGGAAGACTCCAGGCTGGTCTCGGATATCGCCTCTCGTCTGGCTCAAATTTACCAGCGCCCAGAGTCAGCCGTACAGGTGGCGATGCACCCAGATATCTCAATCGTCTTTGCAAACGTGTTCCTCCCTTCATACCTGCTAAAAATCTACGCGCTTCCCGCATCTATCGCGCCCGTCACCAATCTTCGCAATACAGGTCTTATCCAGAGAGCTCTCCAGGACCTGCTCGGTATCCCACCAGAGCAAGGAGTCGTCCTCTACCTGCCGGTCCCTGAAGAGAATCTGGCGACAAACGGATCGACGGCCCAACGTGAGATCTCTCGGCTCGACCACACCGAGGCAGATAGTCCCGGACTGATCAAGTCAATCTCCCGCACCATGAGCCGACGTTTGAAGTCCAGCAGCGGTGGGAGTGCCCCTCTGTCCCTGCCATCGACTGTGATGACCACCTCGCCATCGACCCTGACCAACTCCAACCAATCCCCTCTGAGAGAGACAGCGCAGGGTGAGGACAAACCACGAGGACGCACCCTCAAGAAGAGAGAATCCCTGAGAAGCATTGTGCGTCGTCGTTTGATGGATATCAAGCCTAGAAAGGAGGGTGATATCAAGTAGAAGATGGAAGAGTAGATGCATGAGCAATGAAACGGAGGAGAGCTTATCTTGTTACTGGCGTTCAAGTGCGTTACATCCAAGGAATGAATTATGAAATACATACTTTCAAGCGATTGTTCCCCTCCAGAGTCTAGGTTGATTCGTTCATATTCGTAGGTCAGTTATGTAGGACACACCCATGGTGGGGTTTTGTAGAAGCTCGAAGCTTCCAAAGCAGGCGACACCTGGGCCCCACTTCCGCTGCCTAGCACACCTTTCTTAACTATCCTGTCCTCGATTCAGCTGATCATGAATCTCATCATGGGAATGATGAAGTGATCTAAGCCAGAACGAGAGAAAGAGAAGAAGAGAGAGAGAGTTGGACACCTTTCAGCGGCTCTTGCCAGCCTCCCTTCGGCCTCTCCAAACCTCGTATTCTAAACAGTCTGCTTGACTCACCGAACGCAACCAGCCCCGAACTTTATTTGCTTCGCGTCTGACGCGTAACTTAAATTCCTTTTCGGGATTGAACACGTTCCTTTTAATCTGTCACGTTTACCTCACAACGCCGGTTCAAGCACGGCAAGCCACGCTTTTGAACCCATCATTAACAATCTCCCAACACTATCATTTGCTATTTTTATTAGCATCTTATCGAATTATTTGCGGGTGAACCTACGACCACCACGGGTACCAACCCCACCGCGATGCCTGGTGCAGATACTAGCACAGTCAATGAGATCCCTGGTGATCTATTCGATGCCCCTGAGGGTTCGGGATTGATCCGTAAGCCAAAGCTCTTTCATGACTCTATCTGATGCTTTCAAGCCTAACTTTTCCCAGATGCATGCAATACTCAAGGTAATTGGGGAGCAGGCATAGCACGAGCTTTCAAACAGCGGGTATGTGTTGAGAAATATACCGCTATATGGATTATGTCCAATCTGACTGAATATTCTATGTGTAGTACCCTGCTGCGTTCCAGTACTATCGCGACCATTGCCTACAATTTGTTCGCAGTAGAGCCACTCATGATATTATTGACCTCCAAGATCCCAATGAGAGTACCGTCTCCGTGCGCCTCCCCGTCGGCACGACTTTGATCATTCCACCCCAGCCAGCAGATATTCGCTCTGGCCAGAAGAAGCAATGGGTTATCTGCCTTTTCACCTCCCAGGGATTTGGCCGCCGAGTTGATTCGCCTGATCTCATCACAAACTGCACCTATTCCGCGCTCAAAGACTTAAAAGACCAGATTGCTCGCCTCCGCCAGCAATTATGGGTGCCTATGCCCGATGAATTGTACTCTTGTCGATTTAATTCAGGCTTGTTTGCAGTTCCTTGGGAGCAAACTCGGCAGCTCGTAGAGGATGTGGGCTTGCCCATGACTGTCGTGTACCCGCCAGAAGAATTTGAGGCTGAGTGAATGGGTCGAGGATACTCAAGAACAAGAGATGTGCCAATTTAACCATGAAGGATCTACGTAGTTCCTGCCTTGCCTTTAGTCTCGAGTTCTGTGATGAATGTGCCAACGCGCTGCAAGATTTTCAAATTTAACACGAATGGATTTTCTATTGTTATCGGAAGCTTCAAAAGACAAGCACATGCATGGAACCTATTTTGATCTTATGAAAGATGCAAGATTGGCGAAATGTACTATGTAGAAGTATAGATTCGAATCACCTGACAACGCGTTTCCAGAGCGCGTCCCGTGTCGTATCCCGATAACCGCCTGGGCAGCCCACCGATCCCGGTCCCGGTCCTCCAACCTCAACCATTACCAGCAATCTGACAGCCAGCTGTCTTGTCGCAATGGCCGGCGAACCATCCGCACAAAAGAAGCGCCGACTTCCCTTCAAGCCACCAAGTCGGGCCTCAAGTACCGCGGGCCCGTCCTCCGCCGCCGCACCTAAACCCAAAAGCAAATCCAAACAGACTACCACCAAATCATTGTCATCAGCATCCGCTTCCAAATCCACAAGCCGCAAATCCTCTTCCACAAAACGACCGCGTGTCGAATCCCCGCCCGCTCTAGGCTCTGACGTGGGATCAGACGGTGCCTCCGACACATCCAGCGACAGCCGCGAGCGCTCTCTCTCACAAGAACCGGACTATATCCTTGCGGAGATTATCACGCACAATGAGACTGAGGACGTGGCATCGAGCGACCCAAAGATACCGCCAAAGTTGCTGACGCGCCTTCTGCACCACCATTTCAAGAATGAGAAGACCAAGGTTGCGAAAGATGCCAATGCGGTTGTCGCGAAGTATGTGGATGTCTTTGTGAGGGAGGCTATCGCGCGTGCAGCATACGAGAGGGTGGAGACGGATGGTGCTGGGGATAGGAGAGGTGCTGGGGATGGTTTCCTCGAGGTTGGTTGCAATCCCGCCCGCGGGGTTCTGGCCGTTCAGATGCTAATGCAATGCCACAGGTGGAAGATCTCGAGAAAATGGCGCCACAGCTTACGATGGACTTTTAGCAGGCATTTTCTCAATGAAGCGAAATGGACGGGGGCAATCATGGCGTTGGGGGTCGTATTATTTTTGTTTTAGTCGACATTCGGTTGCTTCGAGATACCAAATACACTGAACCACAAACACATTCTCATATAATCTGAGCATGACCCCATCATCTAAGTATACGTGACCTGCAACATAGAGAATCCCTTGGACTATGTTACGCTGGCGGTTTTCCAAGAGCATGGTCTTCCAGTAAAAGGCGGCGCGGTGTCGAAGCCGTTGGCATTATGCTGCATCGCGACGTCATATTTAACTCGCAGAGATACCCAAGCTAACTTCTTTTTGCTGAAGTGGGCTATGGCCACAGACTGCTGCTTTTGCTGGGGAAGATGGCCCTAGTCTCGCATTGTATCCTGCATTGGCTATGTCGAAGACGAGGAATTTGCGGCTTCGCCATTTTTGAACTGCGAGAAGTTTCGTTTCGGCGACAAGGTTTGACATTTTCCATATATTGTGCCTTCGGAGTAATTGAGTAGCCAGTGGGACAAGATCCCAGGCGCGTTATAAGTTTTGGAGCATAACAAACTCCGCTGTGAGACGATGACACACACTCGATGAGGCCTTGACTGTGCCAAGATGACCTATGAATCTCAATCATTGGCCATGTCAATATCGAGAGCATATATTATAGATTCAGGAACTGCAGATGAGCAACAAAATGAGAATGTTTGCGTATCTGAGATGCGAAAGCCGTGTTTACATAGTGCCTGAACATGGACAAGTCTCAGCTATGTGGCAAGAGACTTGGGACCTGCAGGTTTCGAGACCACGCCAGCTGGATGGAATTCAAAGTTTTGTTACCTGGTGTGTACAATCGCACAGCATGCTGTTAGGCGCTGATCCATGCCCACTGCAGGTGACGTTTTCGTGTGGTTGTGGTAGTCAAACCCCGAAGCTTGTGTGACCATAAGGCATCCATATCAATTTCAAGAGAAGGAGATAGAAAAATAATAACAAAGTAACCCCGTGATTTAAAGCCGACTCGAGATGAACCTCTCTGCACAGTCAGACCTGAAAGAAGAAGCTCGTCTTTGCGCCGCTCAGGAATGCTGCTGAGTACTGGCAGCCGAGCCGTTAATAACCCAAGGCGGTCTGTTGTCCCCCGCCCCAGCGCGTCTTTTCCTCCACAACGCGCGTGTCAAGCCGAACCTCATACCGACGCGGGCCCTCTAGTTCGCAATGAATGATGCGACGACTTCCCTGCTCACAGAGCACTTCAGTTACACACCTTTGGTGAGTCTGCTCTAGCCTCTAGGCGCACTGGGCGCCCCACGCTGCATCTAGGCCCTGCGCAATTGCGCGACATTCGGAGACCCGCCCTTTGGGAAACCAGCTTGCTGACCTGTTTGCGTTCAGTCTCTCATAGATGACATTATCAACTCGATCAATAATCTGATTTATCAGGCAATTTCAAGTTTAGAGTCCGGGTTGCTTGCGACACCACCTGAGCGCTTGGGATTCGGACATTCGAGTAACGGCTCGACTATCCCAGACACCGACGAGGATGGCAATATTATTTATCCGGAGGCAAAACTGGAGATTGAGAATGGGCTACATCAGCTGGAGACTCTGCTCGAAGCCAATGTCGACAAGGCGTTCGACAAGTTTGAGATTTACGTGCTGAGGAACATTCTCACTGTGCCGGAGGATCTGCTGTCCTGGGTGCGGCTCAAACACTATGAGGTACGTGGCGACTTGCAGTGCTACTAATTAATATCCGTGCTCAACTAACGTGCCCATTTACAGGGTCTATCCTTCGAAGCCTCCCTTGACATGCCCACACCCGAGACTATCCATGCGCAGCGCAAGAAACTCCTCGAGACTCGGAAGCTTAATCGGTTTTTGAAAGACGAATGCGCCCAAAATGCCGCGGTTATTTCCCAGTTGAAGTCTATTTTATCTACAGTGGAAAGTGCAAAGACAAGCGACACTACCGACGAATCGAAGACAATACCAGCGAAGCCTCTGGACCTGTCCTTTTTGACATCCAGCTCAGCTGCGCGCCAGCTTCGCGTCGGTGTCGATGCCGGTACAAATCCCAAGCATGCCCCTCTTACGACAAATACAACTTTTATTCTATCGCAGCTTCCGGCATTGCAAGCTACTCTTGAGCAGCTTCGGCCAAAGTTGGCCAGTTTGCCGAACTCAGTGGATAATATGGAGACTAAGTCCAAACGGGACGAACGGAAAGAATATATCGAGAGCCGGATCAGACTACACCTCGAGCGAGCTGGACAACTGGCCATGGGTGACGACAGTAATCCCGTGGTTGCGGGACGCCGGATTGATATATCCGAGGCCCATGCTCTGGAGAAGGTGGCCAACTTGCTTACACAGGAGCACAAATCGTCATGAGGTGATAAACTGCACAGACGGAAACAGCCTTATACGGTCTGGGACCCTTTATTTGGTATTTGAGGTCGAGTTTGCGCTTCTTTACGACCAAGACACGCTCCAGGTGTCCTGGGTTTTGCGGAAGGGAACCACATCAGTCTGGTCTGACTTGAGGATCTCCGAAATCTTTTCACCCTTCTTCTCGAGGGTGATAAACTCCTTCTGCTCCTCACCGATGCCATAGAAGGCCCGACCGAACTTGCTCATAAATCCCTCCACAATCTCCGGCGTGATCTCTTCATCCTTGAGAACACCGTTCTCAACCGCCTGCTCCAACGAATCGAGGACGACCTGTGTGGTATAGGGCTGGGTGAATACCCCGGCAGCAATCTTCTCGCCGCCACGCTTGGAAGCCGCCGGGTGGGGAGCGCTGTCGGAGCCGAAGAAGAACTTGGGGTTTCCGGAGGTGGCAGCGCGGAGGAGTGCGTCGCGGTCGGCGGGGGTCTTCGCAACGGGCTTGCAGAAGCAGAATGGGTCGCCGGCCCACGAGTCAATGATGATGGACAGGTGGTGGGCGGTGATAGTTCCGGCGACTGTGGGTCCGCACTTCTTGACAGCCTCGACAGCGGCCGCGGTAGTGCAGTGCTCCAGGATGATGCGGAGCTTGGGGAACTGGGAGTGCAGCTCAAACAGTTTGGGCAGGAACCGCTCCTCTGCCGACAGGACCGTCACATCACCCTGAGAGGGGACTTCGCCGTGCAAGTTCAGGATCAGGCCTTGGCGCTCCATCTCGGCGAAGACCGGATAGAAGGAAGTGTAGTCGACGACTCCGGAGCTCGAGTTGGTGGTCACGCCAGCCGGATAGCTCTTGACACCCGTGATGCCGCGCTTCTTGGCCTCAATGATGGTCTCGGGAGTGATGGTCTCGTGCAGATAGAGTGACATGAGGTAGTTGACGTTCGGCTCAATGGCCTGCAGACGCTTCTTGTAGTCGAGGGCATGATCAACGGTCGTGATGGGCGGGACCAAGTTGGGCTATTGAGGCAAATGTGTTAAATAGGTGCGCCAATTGACATATTTTTCAAGACAGCTTCTCTCTTACCATGACAAACACTGTGTTCACACCACCCTGCCGGATGGTAGGGGTCACCAGCTCCATCATTGGCCCATCACGCAGGTGAACTGTCTTGGGTCAGTGTGTCGCCACTACGACCTTCGCCCCCGGCCCCCTCCAGTGCGCACAACACATACCGTGAAAGTCGGCCGAGGCCGGGAGCTTGACTCCCTGCAGCTTGGACAATGGCATTGTGTATGGGTATAAGTGTCTATTGGCTTGAAATTTGCACCCGCGCGACGATTAAATCAACGACTGCCCCGCCATATCGTATTTTCTGCCGGGCGGTGGTCCCTGGCCGGGTTTCCCCGCGGAGGCCATCCATGGAAACGAAGTATATTAGGAGTATACCACGCGAGTATCAGAGGTCTAGAGGTACAAAGCATGGAAAGTATCATCAGGAAGTTCATGCCAACAATGGAGGACAGGAAGTGTTTCGATTTGGACTAAAAAAGCATTTCCGTATTTATCGTAGTTGTTCCTCAGAATAGCAACCACCCCAGCTCAGTCCCCTCATCGACATCATCTACTCCTGACAATGTTCAAGCCACGAGCTCCTGGGGTTGATTACGTTGATTACCGCCTGCCCGGACCCAGCGAGATTCTAGGGACCAACAGGAACACCCTGCAGGAACACTGGACTACCAGCCTACGATTCGTGAGGCTGAAACCATCTTAACCGCTGGTGTTCTCACGTCGCAATGCCCGGCGCTTCGCCTCCGCCTATCACCATCCTCGCCCAGACATGGTGAACATGGCACTTCAGGGGGCGCGAATAAGAAACTCCAATCGGGCCCCCACCCTCACCCCCCAGTCGCTGATCGTCCACTCCTGACTCTAAATTTAGCCAGCCCACCCTCTACCATCCCGGCCCAGTCTGCACGCTGGCGCCCGCATGCCTACTAAGACCCCCATACGCAAAACACTCCTGCAAGCCGCATGTTTGCGGTGATGGCCTTGCAGTCCTGAAAAATCTAAATTCTGCTATCGGTCAAATCAGAGCTCGTAAAACTCTCGAGTCGTCTGTGCAGGAGGACCCCGTCTGGTCTTGTCTGGTTGAGTAAGCGCCCGAGTGATGGGCTTGTGTGATAGCGACGCATTCCCCATGAACTTTCTGTGACGAGCGACAATGATCGGCGAGGTCTCTGTGGTGCACTACATATTCTATCGCATTTTCCCCGGCCGCTTGGCTGGACCCTGAGATTTTATTTTTTCTATATCCGGTTCACCTCGAGCCTTTTTCTTTTACGGGACTGCCCTGTCTTTCTTTCATCCCTCAGTGAGGGTCTTTCGTTTCGCTCTTTTCTACTTGATCCATACCTACTCCTGAGGGTTGTCCTGTTCTAAAGCCTTGCTGGCAAGGTTACGTGTTGTATAATCCCGTTGTATACTCTCCTCTCATCGCCGTTCTTTCAATTGCTACGACATCTACTCTTCCGGCTTCATCTTTTTTCAACATGAGTTCCAACTCATCGACAGCTGGCTCTTTGGAGGAGGCGAACTTCCTCAAACGCACCCGTTCTCTTCACTGGGCTCGATTGGCTCTATCTGTTTTGATTACCGGCGGGGCTATTGCTGTCGTCGCTTGTGAGGCCGTGCCACTGCAGCACTATAAGACTACCGCTAAATGGGCGAGTGCTGGTCTTGCCTTATGGCCACTGAATTTTGACCTGCGACCGACGATCGCAGCCCTGGCGTGTGGCGGTGTGATTGCTGCCCTGAACGTGGTATATGCGATCGCTGCTCTACTCCCATTCGTAAGGACTCCGGCCGCTATAGTTCTATAACACTATTCATTAACATCGATCTAGCCCCGCTCCCGTATCAAGCTTCTCAACTCCTATGCCTCAGCATCGGCCCTCTCCGGCTTTATCACCGCCCTCATTGGCATCACCTTCACTATTTACCGGCCCTCTGCGTCTTACCCAAGCGGCTTCACCGAGAACGAGACCCTGCGCAGCTGGACGTGCAAGTGGACGGTATCTAATGAGACTACTTCTACTCCGATTGACTTTTCCCGCGACTGCCACGACACCCGCGCGGGATTCGCGCTGCTGTGTGTTCTCCTGGGATTGGAGATTCTGATGGGGCTTGCTGCTGCTGCCGGCACTTGGTTCCAGCGGGATGTATCTCGTCTCCGGGACGAACAGGTCCAGTTGGAAAAGCTGGAGCTCACGACCAAGCAGGTGTATCGGGGTTAAGTGAGAATCCCGAGGGTGTTCTAAAGGGGAGGGGGAATTGATTTTGGCATCGTGGATCAGTTGAGGTGAATTGAGGTCGGAGGGCATTTTGTGTAGATGGCTGGGTGAATTGACTACGCGGACAGCAGGCTATTGATCGAGGTGATCCATGCAGGTCATAGGTTAGAGAGTTGAATTGAAATAAGTGGCTAGGACCACTGGATTGGACTAGGCTGTACATTTCCCCAGTAGAGCAGTGAAGCAGGGATATCAAGGTTTTCCATTTCCTAACTGTCTGATTATGGCAACTACGAGGCTAGGAGTCGAGGGCCGCGGGCGAGTTTTGCAACAGCGTTAACGGTACCCGTGGGTATAGGAGATATTCTATACGATGGGTATAAGGCATGGGTGTATGAGGGGTATTTGTCTTGACAGAAATGTCTTTAGAATTCGGAACGTCAAGCATTATTGATGTTGATGTATACATTTATGAATTTATGAATTTCATGCGACTCCAGGGCCAGGATCCACGGATTCACTCTGCCCCGGAAATCTAGATAATTACATAATCTAGATAATTACATAATTCTTATCAGCACCGCCTTCGGCAGAATAGCCATGGCGCGTTTCTTGCTTCGCCTTTCTTCTCAGTGCAAGCAGCCCTTCAACGCCAAATGTCTGCCGACCCAACTGCACCGTCAGCTGTCGACCTGGATGATGAGCCGTATGATTCGGCCGAGGATGAAGATTTTCAGCTCGACGCGGCGCAAGACGGATCTGAGCTGTCCTCGTCCGACGATGAACCTGCCGAACCCGCGAAGAAGAAGCGCAAGACTGAGAAGCAGGATGAGATCACTGCAGAAGACCTAGACTCTGGCGACGAAGCTACGATTCAGAAGGCACGGGACAGGCTGAATAAGAAAAAGAAGACGAAGAAGCAGGGCAAGGGGAAAACTGCTGCCAATGATGAAGATGTTGATTTCGACGAAGATGAAGGGGGAACCGGAGGCTTTGTGCGGACACGCGCGATGAAAAAGCATATGTAAGATATCTCTTTATGTTTCACGTTTCTATACGCCCATTTGGGGTTCTCACTCTTGGAACAGACGGGAGGAGGAGGAGGAGCGCAAACCGTTGGCCCGAATTGACGGCGCGACCGTGGATGTCGACGCCCTGTGGGCGCAGATGAACGCTCCCGACAGTCATATGGGCTTGCAGCCGCCCCAGACCGAGCTCGACGACGACATGACCCCAGACGAACCCGAGCACGCCACCGATACGAACAGGCAGAACCAGGCTGCCCCAGAGCCGGAGGATAGCGCGCGCCATGGCCAGCACGGCGAGCAGATGATCAAGATCAAGCGCACGTACAAGTTTGCGGGTGAGATGATCACTGAGGAGAAACTCGTGCCCAAGGACTCTGCCGAAGCCCAGGCGTTCCAATCCAGCGGCGAAACCGTGGAGTTCGCGGAGGTGGAAAATGCCAATGGCGCAGTCAGTGCTCGCAACTTGCGCCGGCCGCTCCGCAAGGTCTCGCGGTTTGACCCTAACCCAACCGGGTTGATCAAAAAGAGCTGGGAGAAGCAGGCTGCTGCAGAGCTTGCGACGGACGCAACCGGGCCCAAGATCAACACCGTGGAGAAATCCAGACTCGATTGGGCCCAGTATGTGGATCAGGCGGGGATCAAGGACGAATTGCGAACACACAGCAAGGCCAAGGAGGGCTATATGGGCCGTATGGACTTCCTGGGACGTGTGGATGCCAAGAGGGACGAAGAAGCTCGACAGGCCCGTCTCAAGGGCATTTGAGTTCTACTATCTATTTGTCCAGACCCTCTGTCTACCTATGCGGGAAACCAGATTCCCACCAAACAAAAACACTATTCCATTACTGTTTGGTCATTGGACCAAACATCCTTGCCGCAGAGCGCATGCCGCCCGGGGTCGCACTACGGGAGTTCCGTGTGCACGCCTTGATGATTTTCGTCGCGGGCTCCGCTGGACGGCGGGCAGCGCCCGCCTCTTTCAAGAAACCCGTCAGTCGATCCCGATCTAAACGGGGAACTCCCGAGCGCGCATCTCCACTGCTTCCAAACCGAGTGGGCTCTCGATTGCCCGCGACTGCCACTACATTTACAGGGGCGAGGGCCCGTTGCTGATCACCGGCGGTGCTGCGGATATCTGGTCATGTCTATATTCTCGGCCATAGGACCGTGGATGGATGGAGATGCTTTCCATATTATGAGTGTTTCTTCGCTGTCAGTGGAGAATATGTATTTTTACTCGTGACATACAGCGTGCTTGGCTTTTGCTTATCGTGTGTAAAGGCAATCCATCCCTGGCTTGGGCTATGTACTAAAAAGTCTCGAGGTACCCATCCCGATACCCCGACAGCATCAGATCATATGCAGCGCAGTCATTCGTAAAAACAACTCAATTATTACTGTCCGGGCCAGATACAGACCTCGCCCTTTATGCCTCTACATTTAAGAGCTGCTTTTGGGCACATACTTGATACCGCTGCTCGGGCAGCTCGACGTGGTGACTGCACAACATTAGCTCTCGGATCCTCCCCTGTGATTGAGAATCATTTGTAGGGTTTGGCCACTTACGAGTGTCGGAAGCCACATACTGGCCATCAATAGCATTGCCGGCCACATTGAAGAAGTACCACACCTCGTTCAGCGAGCCATTGTCGCAGCCAAGGTAGACCTCCGCGCCATCGTGCAGTGTGCTCAGGGCGGACTGGATCTTGCTCAGGCTGTAAGTCTTGGAGCTGCTGGGGGTGATGCCAGCATCGGAGAGGGCCTGGGCGAGTATGAGAAAACATGCGAGCGAAAATGAGTGTACTATGGGCATACCTTGTACGTATCGAGGCCCTTGAACAGGTCCACCACCTTCTGGAAGAAGTCACCGACTTCCTCCTGCGGTGTGTAGCTGGTGTAGCAGCTGGGCGTGATGGTGTTGATGCAAGTGCCGTGCTTGCCCCACTCATGCGCCCAGAAGGACTCATCGTCGCCGTTGATGTCCAGCCAGTACTGTTGCATGTACGACAGCAGCTCGGTGCGGTCCTGCGCCTCCAGGATATCCGTGATGTTGGTATATGCGCGGGAGGAGTCGCAGCTGGACTGATAGGTGCCGTCGCAATTATCGGGCCTGGGATATGGGTTAACAGTGATTCAAGAGGGACAGCTAGTGGGTGCTTTTGAGAGAATTGAGTAGCCATTGAAGTGATTTAGAGGTCGAATAGTACTTACCACAGTCCGTGGATAGTCCAGGAGTCCGTCGGGCCAGTGGATGGGTCAGTATCCCAGAATTGGGTCTGCAAAAGGGCACCGCCAGGGTAATTGTAGCAGCATGTGGGACTTGTGGACGAGCTCTGGCAGCTTAGGGCGCTGTTGCTGGCGCAGGTTTCCAGGCTGGCGGAGATGCCAGTGACCAGCGAAGTCACCGCCAGAACCAGCGTCGAAGTGCGAGAGAAAGCCATTGTTGGAGAAAATAGATGGGAAATCCTTCAGGCGGGATTCTCGAAGGAATAAGAGAAACAAAATGTAACCGACAAAAAGAAATAGCCAGGGGCATCGTGACATGAATAAATAGGACGGACACACTCCTTGTTAGCGGGTGAGGTATGGACCGCCGTGCAGAAGCGGGTGCATTGTCAGGGACGCGGCGATCGCAGCTGATAGCAGCACATGTGCCGATAAGATGAAGCTGATTCGCACCGGACAGATCGGATATCCCCGTACCACTAAACAACCCTCTTCCTGGGCACAGCATTGGCGACCTGCTTGGCAGACTCCGGACGACCGGGTTGGTCTTTCGCCTGACGAAAGACGGCCGATCCCGACGGAGCGGGGAATGGAAACCAAATGAAATGGCCAATGGGGGCGCCGAACACGAGTTGAATCCGGCGACGCCTGGGCGAGGCCTCCGTCGGACGTCCTGGGGATTCAATTTAGACGAATGGCAGCTAGTGTTTTGGGAGTATCTGGGGAGGGGAACGGGCGAATTGACGTTGCATCGTCTCCTGCGGATCGGCCAACGAGCCCCCGCGAGATTAAAGAGACCGCTGATCCGCAGTACCCCGACGAACCAGCGTCGACGGAAGCCATCTGGAAGACGCTGGCCGTGCCGATTGCCTGGTCCCTCTGTTACGTTTCGCCTCATAAGGTATGGCGGTCGGGCAACTCTGTGCCACCTGGGATCGGCATTGGAGGGTACGGGTTCTGGGTTCTGGGTTCTACGGGATGACCCCGGACCCCGTTCTTGGCTTGTCTGGGCTGGAAAACTCGTACCGAGGATGTTAAAATGCGGATCCACAGCAATGGTCTATGAGTTATGAGAACAATGGCTCTTCTCCATCGCTGTCGTCTGGCGCGGCTGGAGGGACTCGAATGTACCCCACAGCGATGGTGGCAATGGCATAGAAGAGCCCGGCCTGCAAGAAGGGCAGTCCCATCCAAGTACCGCCAAAATGTAGGCCGGCTCGGAAGAGGTAGGCAAATAATGGGCCCGCAATAAGAACGCCCAGCGACTGAGAGATTGCAATCGCCGAGTAAAGCGTGCCAACAAGGTCTGGAGGGACAAGACCGGTCGCTAGACTGCGTAGAGTGATGTCGAACGCAGAGCCCAGGGAAAGAATGACCAGTCCGCAAATCAACAGCGCCGGGACGGGTGCGAGTCCAATCGCCATGAAGCCGATGACGGAGACTAGTCCGCTTCCCTGGCTCAGGCGATGGTCGCGATGTTTACCGTGCAGGTTGAGATAGTTGGCTGCGAGGAAGGACACAACTGGCATGATGATGAGATAGTTGGCGAGAGAGAAGACCCCGCGTAACGAGACTAGAAGGCTGGCCTATAGCAGTGTTAGCAGATCCCCATATCCAGCCAGCGAGAATGACATACTCGGGCAATAGTCCAAATGAACTTCTTCGATGCATACTGCAGGAGCACACCGGTGGACTGCCGACTGATTTCCGTCACCAACATGCACAGAATCACCAGGCAGACGCTCCAATTCTGCCAGATGAACCGGGTGGATTCTTTGAATTCACGGGCCTCGCGAATAAGCTCTTGCAGTGCTGGTTGCTTGCCAGCTGGTTCGACTCGTCCACTCGAGTCATCAGATATGTCGGCAGCATCCGTCCCTGGTGCGTGTCGGGATTTTGCTTTACTTGCCTTGGCTTCTTCGAGGGTTTCTTGGAGGAACAACAGCGGGGTGCTTCCCACAATCATAATCACCACACCCAGGATGTAGGGAACCCAGAGGTCATGTTGCATCAGCCAGGCACCGATAGGAGCGCCCACTATATCGGAGAGGATGATACAGGACTGGAGGCTGAAGAGAGCTGTTGACCTGTCTTGGAATTAAATCAGGGACACAAAAGGAGAACAAGTGCGGGATATACCTTTCTTCTTCGGAAAAGATATCAGCAACCATTACCAGCACAATGGAGACGATCACCTTGTCACCGCCACCAATGACTCTGAACAGCCCGGTCAACCAGACCAGCCGAAGGGGCAGTACATTTGCCCACAGCGCTAGAAGATGGATCTGATCAGCATTCACGCGTAACCATCGGTGATGTTCGATCTCCGCTCTCCACTTACCCACCAACCGGACCCACACCTCTCCAAGCAGCATCCCCGCCATTCCCAGATAAACCACGGGCTTGCGCCCCCAGTGATCTGCCAATACACCATACGGCAGCGACAACAGGATACCGGGAAGCACCTCAAACATATCCTTGTACCCCAGCACCAGCGCCAGCTCACCCTGCACGGCCTCCGACTTGCATGGATCACCGTTAGAGGGACCGTTAGATGGAGCTCCCGCTCCACTACTCGAACGGGCCCCATGGTTGCGGCAGATAATCTGTTCGAAGATGGCAGTCTGCGGCGCGATCGCCATGTTGTTGCCAAAGTCTACGGCCAACACGATAATCCCGCATATGAGCAGCATCATGAGTTTCTTCGATTTGGAGCGGTTGGTGATGGCGCCCTTGGGGACGTCGGCCAGCAGAGGCTGCGATTCGCCATTGTCGGCGTACTGAAGGACCATTTTGGCAGTGGGGGCAGGAAACGTTCAAAGATGCCCTCCAGGATAAACAGACGAGGATATAAGGATATGAGGTATCCCGTCCTCAGGACGTCGGGGCTGAATCCGTGGGAACCCCGTTATTGCGCTGCCTTGGCTCGGAGCTCGGAGTGAGTGCTTATCGCACCTGTTGGGGCCTGGCGGCGTTGGCGTGCTGGCTAGGGTCGCGACACCAACAAAGCCCCCTGATTTGCTCTGGCCGTGGAGCTATCAGGGATGTCCAAGATTCCCCGCGGTCGTAAGGCGAGTTGGCCTCGATGGCCCCCACCGGGGCTAGACCAAGACAAGGCAGCGGCTTCTTTACGGTTGGGCAGGGGCGGCGCTCGGCGTTCGAGAACAACGCTCACCGTCGATTTATCAATGCTGAACTCCGGGCGGAGCGCGAGGAGCCTCAGCCCGGACAAGGCTCCCGTCATAACCGATGTGGTGATTGGATGTGTCGCCATCTTTGGGATTCCTGACTCGTGCAAGGACAACAATCAAGTGTTGGGAATTTTTGTGTTGATTGGACGGGTTGCATCGAGCATTCTTTTCCGCCGTCATCAGGCCCCGTCGAGCCATCTTTCTGGAGCGACCTTGGCTGCCCAGTGCCCAAGATCCTGCAACCGCCCGTTTCTCGCCCAGCCCTTCCAGACTGCGAGAAACCGCATGTATAAGCGCTTCCCGCGCACCTTCTGAGCCTTGAAAATCTAACCAGCTGGTTTGATAATCCCTCATACTGCTCTCCACTGTCGATGAAGTGATTGTCCGTTCGACTGGCTCTTTCGGGCGGTCATGTCCGGTATTGCTCCGACGGTCGGGTAGATGCTTCCTCCACCGACGAGCTGGGGGCTTTAGGTCGAAGATCCGCTGTTTTGTGGCGATGGGATTATCCAGATTGGACGAGAGAGGCAGAGGCCGTCGGACGTGTGCTTGGAGGAATCCTTCGAGGTGATCGGTCGGGTGCTTTGGCATTGATCAGGCCGGTGATGGCTGTACACTCCCGGTCGGTTGTGATGAAACTCCCTACCTATGGCAAGCGAGATTTTTTGAATTGCAGCCGCATGGCTTGAGCATGTGTCTGAGGGAATGACTGGATTAGAAGTTAGATTTCTCATATACTCGTGGTGGCAACACACCTGATGGTTCCCAGCGGGCATACCTTAAATGTGCGGATGTAAACGTTTGGGAGCAGAAGAGATTGCGAACACCATCGAGACAGTTCCGTGAATAACCAGTAGGGACCCCTTGTCTCGGTACGAAAATTCCTTATTAAGGTAATGGATAATACTAGAAGCATTGTTGGACTGTAGGATAGTTTTGTTGGGTGCTTGTAACAATATTCTTGAGATCGATATCAATGCTTATGCTGTTGTTCTAATCATAAGCCCTGATATATATCCACAACCAACTAACTACCTTAACATGGTGAGCACCTCCTCCACCACGCTAGATATACGGAAAGGGTGAGATTTCCGAAAGGCTCTTGCTTTCACTATCCTAGGTACATCTACTTGGGTGTTATATTCGCAATTAGTATCATGACTGTGCCATTTGCCAACATTCGCCTGCTTCCTCTTCTACTCTATCTTCCCAGCAACATCCATCCATGCATACGGATGGCCCAGGAGCCAATGTTTCGATTCGATATACTTCCAAGGTCTCGGACCACGGTGGAAGTAAATCCCGTCGCCACCGAAACTTGCTGGAAATCTTGTATGAGGACCCCCAATTGATCGCCGATCATCTAGACTTCTACACTATTACCATCACCCACTTGATCGGATGCGCTATTTCCCATCCATGTACCGTAGTATTGAGGAATGACCCGCGCATACATTCACCAATTTGCGTTCAAGAGTCCGAGCCCAATATTCGATATTGTTCCCGACACTCGATCCCGCACAGGTTGCCTGCCAAGAACGACCCTCTGGCTCAAACATACATGAATCTAGACGCACTGATCCGCATTGCAAGGCGTCCTCCATCCAGTGGATCTGGAATTCCCTTATCTCTTCCTTACAACGCTTCTCCACTTTCCTTGATAAGCGCGTGCAATATATTGAACACGACTCATACGCCGCAGCCCGAGCAGAGGGGTTATATGGTTTCCCTTGATATGAAACCGCGTAGCGCGATGCGTGTTGACAAAACAGGGGACCCTGGCTCATCTCGTCTGAGGCAAGGGCATTCGATGATGTCACCTGGATTCTCCCTTGGGCAGGCACAAAGTCGCGAATCGTCCAAGCCCAAGCCCAAGTTCAAGCCCAGGCCCGGCCCTCCTTCCCTCTCCTCGCCCACGACCACCTATAGTGCGTGCCATGCACGGGGGTTGGCCTTGGCCCTCGGTCGACCTTGGGAATGTCTGGCATGCTGTATGTAATGTGCAGCAGGGTCGTTCAATGCAGTAGGTGAGAGATTGCCCGTCGGTAAGGCCGGGTAAGATTCTCTAACTGACGGTGCTATTGAGATGTGTGCATTGCCGGCCAGCCCGACCTGCACTATCGAGTTGACTGGCATGCGCATTGAACTACGGTACTGGCGAGCGCTATGACTGGTGGGTGATCGCGTACTCTGTGCTCGGACGCAGGATTGCCAGTAAGGCCTTGCGGCTCCGGAGGGTCCCTTTCAGGGTCCATCGAGGATCTCCCCGGATCGGATCTACCACTGTCCAAGCATCCTTCTTCCCCTTCATCACGACCCTTCGAAATGGGGTATCACGAGGGGCAAAGATAGGAACGGACTCCTGGAAAGGCCAAGATTGTTCACCAACGTGATGCACAGTCTCTTCGCTAGAAGGGCCAGGAGGAGAAGCCGGTAGGGCGCCGAAGCATAAACGGTCGCCACCAAGCGTGCTATCCTGGAGACCGGGACTCGACGCAAGGTGATGCGACGCGCTGCAATGCAAGTCAACCGAAATGGATGGGCACGAAAGGTACCAGCCAAGCGAAGAAGCAACACGACCCTTTTTTGTTGGCTGAATGCTGTCTTTGTTTTAGATGGGCTCAGGGCCGTTGGGTGGAAAAAGCACGATCTGCAAGGGGGTGGCGGGTTGGAAAAAAGGGCGGCCAAGCGGTTTGATTCAGGAACCAAGCACCTCGCCAAAAAGCCACCTCGTTACTTTGCCTTTTGCATGATTTGCCCACAATACTATTGATTGTCCCGGGGGATTAATGGGGGTTGGTGCTTCCGGTCTTTCTCATAGGACAGATTACGAGCCTCCTGATGACCCCCAGATGATCTTCGATGCAGTAACCGACGAGATCACTCTATCTTTGCAAGGGTTCCCAATCCTTATTTCCTTTGCGGGGCCTATCTATTATCTCGTAGCTGGACATCGTCCGCCTCGGTTATCTCCGTACCGCGAATAGGCCCCTTTTCCGGATCCCATCGATCGCATGAACTTGTCTACATCCCGGAAGTGCGCTGGCGATGGAGAAAGGGACGTGCGGAGACCACTGCGCGAACCAAAGCTTGGAACCGTGGATTACAGTGGTGCGAGTATGCTCTTATCGCTTCGAGGGTCCCAGCACTGGCATTCACCGACGTCAGTGCTGCCTCCCCCCGCGAGGCGCTGGGCAAAACGGACCTGCAGTACGCCCAAACGCCCGCCCGGGGCTCTGGTACTATCGGATCAGGCTGAACGCTATCCCGAGGAATGTGCAGCCAGAGGCTCGCAATAGTACGGTGTCACACGGTATGCTAGAGGACGCTCGGCCGTCTGCATGCGCCGGCCACTCTGGATCTCCCCCACAAAATGATCGACCACCAGGCTTGCCATCCTCTGCTCTGGTGGCGTCGAGAGGTGCTGTGGTGGCGTCGAGAGGCTTGCATGTCAGGTGGACCCGGTGTTGGAATCTGTCTCTTTTGGGATTGTATTGAACTCATGTCTTTCTTTTGGGGACAGTGCGGCGCTCCTCGGCAATTACGGTGGACAGGGGCCTGATAAAGATCTAAAATCGATAGTGTTCTTCGTGCTGCTCCGCGAACCTGGGTCTGAACTGCGAGAATCGTGCTAATGCAAGTACCTCTTTTCTGCTGACTCGATAAGGTTTACGAGCTGGGGGAATGCCCGAGGTTCCCCCCTGCGACTATTTTTAATCCGAGCTTATGATGGTCGAATCGGAGAGGATGTGACCTGAAAGTTGAATATGAGATATGAGATGTCATGGTGACTATCCGAGGGACTACTGTTGGTACTGGCGTAGTTGAGTCGGAATCCCCGTCAAAGGGTGGTTCGTGCCAGCTTAGGACAGGAGTCTCCCACCAAATGATCTTCGTGATCCCGGTTCATCACACGAGCAGTCCACAGGCATCGCACATACAGAGGAATCCCCGCCCGATCAGTCGGTGGTGGCGAGGGGATGGGGGGATGGAACGTGAAAGGTTCCCCTGAGAATAAGGAGGCTGAAGCACAGACAGCGTTGAGGTATTTGCACCGATGCAATGAATGGCTCGATTGCCTGAACGAGCCCCCAGTCGCCACCGGGCGGGCGGTCGAAGTCATGCAATGGCTGGAGGAGAAGGCTGCTTCGTATGGCATGACTCAATGCGACCGCACAGCTCAGATTTCCGAAGACACTATTGAAGTCCTCAACCGGCGCTTGCCACATCGGCATCGATAGGGTAGCCACTTCGGAATCGAGACATGCTAGTCAGGTCTCAGGCCTCGTTCTTGGTTCCCGGGGGTCGCCTTGGCGAGCTTCGATTTGCCCAAAATGAACCACGTAATGCCAAGCGAAGTCTTGGCAGCTTCCGACAAGATGAGAGTCGAGGAAGATCCAAGCAAGTCATCCCTTTGGCCTTTGGACGCAGGGGCTCCCGAGATATCTGGGGAACAGACCCTGACTGCCGGCGGGCCCTTGCGGCCCAACCAGGCCTGTGCTTTCAGGGCCTCTGATCTGAGATTCCCCATCAGTCACGGTCTGTCGAGCCGAAGATGGGGAAAAGATGGAGATGCTGCCCGGAATTGAGGGTGCATCCTTTACGGCCTCTCGCATCGTATCATATCAATTGGACCGACCGCGGTGCCAGCTCTCAAGACGGAGCTAAATATGGAGACCGTAAAAACGGCATTTAGAATCGGCAGAGGATTTCCCGTCGGGACTGCTGAAAGTACAATATTGTCGTTGGGTGCAGACCGGCTGACACATCTTGTAGATCATTGAATAGTATCCATTCGCGAGAGACACGAAACTTGTTTTTGAAGCCATTCTGCATGAAACATTGCAGCCAGTATTCCTCGTGGTGTAGTCTCAGGGGGCCAGAGCGAGAACGAGATGGACTGTGGAATGGAGGTGGGGAAGGAGAGGAAGGGGGGGGGGAGTGCCACCGGCCGGATTAACCAGCGCCGGCTGGATCTGACAGTGAGGGATCGACAGGCCCCGGGTCTTGTACCCGCCCACGGACGTTGGAAGAGACCCAAAGATCGCCGCCTATCGCTTGCTGCATTGACCAGCGAGCCGGGTCCTTCTCCGAGCGCTAGGCCCCCCAATCCAAACCAAAACACAAGAACCGAAGCTAATTTGCGCCAGAGAGGGCATGGATCCGGTCCCCCCCACTGTGGCTCAGCCCATGGGCCGTAGAGTTTCCCTACTCCAGCGGCGCCACGAATCAGCGCCTCCAAGAGCCCTCTGAGACTAGTGAGAGCTGTCAGAACTTGGCTATCCGCTCATAGGGCTCGCGGAGCAAGCGTCTATTGAAGGCTAACGGGGCTCGTCGGGGCTCGTCGTTTGGGCCTCGTCGCTTGGCCCCAGACTGGTAAGAGGATCTTTTGGCGGAAGATTTCTCCATGCTATCTCGTCCCGACCCACTGTGAATAGTCCACTGCCCGGTCGGGCGATGTGATACCCTCAACCGCAGAGGCGGACCCCGTGGGCGGCACATCCTGGGGCATGGAACCTGTGCACCTCTCCATTGCCGTCCGCAAGCCGCCACGGGGAGACCAGAGCAGGTACGTCGGAATGAGGGGAATGGGCTGGATGTGTGTCCCGCATGACGAAGACCGGAGGCTCGTCTCCGCTGACTGTGTGGCGGGCGGGATCGAGGCCGCTGCTCGAGGCGTGAAGAATGCGAAATGCAGGCAAGGCCGGGAGGAGCTGGTGGCTACCACGCAGTGAGCCCAGCATGTTAGCGATAAAGAAACGTCCTCAAATCATGACCATCGCAAGGAAGCGATCTCGTCTGCTCCAACCAGAGCGGATTCCCTGAAGTCGGGTCTCAACTGACGCGTGATGGGTCACAACGATCCCCTGGCTCCCGACGCAGGTCCACAACTAGCTCCCTGGATAGTGTGGTTCTGATCCCTACGCGATGTGGTGCATGCAATCGGTGGCTATTTGTCCAGGCGGGCGAGGAGGCTCGCGGTACTAGAGGTCGGCCTTGCCGACCATGCCTGACGCCGTTAGGGCTATCATTCAGTGAACGGGACGCTGGATCTCGGGGGTTGTCTCCTCCGGCGTGGCTTGCCGAGCCCTTCCCAGACTGGATCTTGCCTGCAGCTTGCACATTCCAATCATGCCGGATGACGCTGGTGGGCGACTGGGTCTTTGGGTGGCTTATTTGTCATGGGAGGGAACGGGCTTATTGTATGCTAGTAATCGTGAATACCGTCATGATCATCACTATCATCCCGCTCCTGATCATCATCGTGTCGGGACTTGGGGGCAAATGGCCTTATGGCGGACGATCCATACCCCGAAGCCCGCGGAGGAGAGGTTGATTGTTCTTGCGATGGGAACTATGCAAGCTACGGATGAGATTGGAGCATGGTGCGGAGAAAAGTCGAGAATGAACGGCTGGAATTTACGATGTTACCTCCCCACGGGTCAGAGCCTGCCGATGATCGGCAGGCCAGAGGGCCCGACTAGGCCAAGTCGGGGCTGCAAGTGCAACGTCTGACCTGTCGACTGTCCGTTCCAGCCTGGGCAAATCCCCAACTGTGTCAGAATGAGATCGATCAAGCCCCCCCGTCCGCCACGTCGGAGCTCAGATGGGGGTTTCTGATTCCTATACTGAAATTCCCTGGCCCAGATGACTTTCGGGTCATGCCTGTCTCATGGACGAGAAATGGAATGAGACCATTCCTCGAACCAAGCCTGGGTGGGGCGATGGGTCGATCTGGTGCAGGTCCGCCAAGGTACGACACTGCGACCCCGTCCCGCGAAGGATCGACGCCCCATAAAAAAAACCACAAACCAAAAGCCGAACCACTAAGCCGAAACGGGTCAAAATGATACAAATGGAAATAATCAGAAACAAATAATCCCCAAATCCGAGCTGCATGTCAACCCCGACTTTAGACTCTACTCACATTGCGCGGAATGCATGAGGTACAGCCGGGCATTCCAGCGCCCACGGCCAGCGCGTTAGCTCTGATCTCCCGCCCCACCGCAGTCAGTGAGATCCGAGGAAATATCGGATTATCCAGCATATCCAGCAGATCCAGCATATCCGGCAGATCCAGATTATCCAGAATTAGATTTAGAGCCCAACAAAAATCAAATGCAAAGAAATAAAAGTTAGGGACGAGGCAAATCCTGTCGATCCGCTCAGAAGCAGGAACAAGCTTCCACGCCCTGGCTGGCAAGTATAAACCCGCCCCTGCTCGTCCTCCTCGTCCATCCTACCATCCTCCTTGCCGCTTTTGTCTCTGAGTATCTTATAACACCCAGCCCTTCACCCCTGCGATCCACTACCCCAGTCTATCAAGTCCCATCAAATCAATCAATCTGAGACCCAACCTCCCCTCCATTTGCCCCCCCCCCCCCCCCTCTTCTCTCCGCTAGACTCTCCCCGGTACGCCAACCACCGCGTCTCAGGGCGGTTCTCCAGCAACCGTCGCGCTTGTACCGAGATATTGAACCCCTCGGTCCCTGAGTCGGCCCTGCCAGCCACGGTCCTGAACTCTCTCGCGTCCTGATTCGTCCCATTCGTCCCATTCTGGGAACCCGATCCCAAACGGAGTCGCGCAGAGCCGGGTCCCACGAACCACTTCACCCTTCACGCTGAACCTATCGCCCGGCCGCGGATCCTTTGCCGCGGTAACAGAGGATCTCACTGCATTCTTGGCCTTGCTTAGGGTTTTCAGGCACGCGTCGCGCACCGGCGCTTTGGATCCCATCCGAGTCATGGCGTATAGCTGTAAGTTCGATCCCCACCCGCGATTCTATGCTGGGCCGATTTGTTTATTTCTGCTCGTTTGTCCCTCTGTTCCCTTCCTCTCTTCCTTTTTCTTCCCCCCCAAGGCTTTCGACATTCTTTCCCTGTCCTTCGTTCCCTCTCGTGCACCGGTTCCTCCTCGTGCCGCTCCTGTCTCTTCTGTCCTCGTTCCGTCTTGACCTTCATTCCCTCTGCACCCTCACTCCTTCTTCACCCTCGTTACCTCCCATCCACCACATCCAACCCCATCCAATCCATCCAGCTTGCGCATACTGCCTTCCGTCATCCACGACCAATTTCCATTGTGACCTTCTTTCATACTCCACGCTGTGGACTAAAACCCGTCCGTATACAGGTGATAGCATCGACCGTGTCACCCCACGAGACCTAAAGGCTGAAGACCTCGACGACATGAGACCACAGGGCCAGCAGATCTCCGATCGCTTGACCGTGGAGGTTGACTGCCACTCCTTGGGCCCCAGCGACTGCCCCTCGATGACCTCCAGTTTCTCTCCTTTGGAATCTCCTACTCCGACCCCCACCAGTCTTTATAGCCAGGGTTCTCTGGCCTCGCCCAGCTGGCACGAAGCCGGCCACTATCATAGTCTTCCCATGGAACGAAGAACCTCGGCCACGCCGCTGCGCAGCGCCTTCAGAATGGCGGATTTAGCATCGGGTGAGGGCATGGGCATGTCCGTGGGCAACATGGATCGCCAGGACCAGATGCCCATGTCCGCGGACTACCTCTCTGGCTACGACGAGAATGTCGACCAGTTCTGGATCCCCCAGGAGTCGATCCCCAAGACCTACGAACAACCCACCTTCCCTTATCAAGCGCCCATGCCACAATATCAAACCATGGGGCGCAACCACTACTATCGCCCGCAAGCTCAGACGGCCTATCTGCCCGAGTCTGCATCCAATCCGTGTCTGTCCCGTCCGATGTTCAATCAGCCGGAGCGCATTTCCAACTCCATGTCCATGTCCAACATGCTCCCCTGGATGCCATCCACCGAATCGATGGCTCCCCAAACCATCACGCCCGCCCAAGCATTCCCGGGTGCCGCGCCGCCGGTGACGCCTCCTCCTTCTAATTATTCCGAGTTCCCTGCCAGCCTTCGCACCTTCAAGCCACATACCCCGTCCACCCCGGTGCGCTCCGTGTCTCTGGGAACCCCGGGTAGTGATACCCCTAATAGCCGCATGTCCGGCCACAATGACTACCACGAAGACTTCCCCGTCTCGCCAGTCTACCGGGACGGTATGATGCGCACCCACCGCCAGCCGTCTCGCAAGTCTTCCAAAAAGCAGCTTCTGCGCTCCAACTTGAGTTTGGAGAACCTGCCCTCGATTATCAAGCAGGTTCAGTTCAAGTGCAAGGAACCGGGCTGCAAGGGCCGCTTCAAGCGCCAGGAGCATCTAAAGCGCCACATGAAGAGTCATTCCAAGGAAAAGCCCCATGTCTGCTGGGTCCCTGGCTGTCACCGTGCTTTCTCTCGCAGTGACAACCTCAATGCCCACTACACCAAGACCCACAGCAAGCGGGGTGGCCGCAACCGATATGTGGCAACCCTCGATGACACTAGCCCAGATTATGATCCCGACTTCCGCGGCCAGCTGACACCAGATGGGCGTCCTATATATGGTTCCAAGCTAGAGGACATCCCTGACTGTGACATCAGTGTTGATGGCTGGGATGACTAGATGCGCACACAACCGCGCCACAATCCAAAAGAGGATCCTTGGGAAGGACAAAAAAAAAAAAAAAAAAAAACCACCAAAACACATCCAACCGAATACGCTGTCGTTGATGTCAACCTAACCCCCACCCCCACCACCCACACCCCAAAAAACCACAACAATCCACTGAACTTGTGGCCCCAAGAGCCGGACATTGATACCCATGGAGGACGATCCATTGTCACACATCTGGCACAGGCATTTACCCGGTCTACTCCACTGGCCGTGCGGCGTTGTATATGGTCTTCTGGTCTGGCGAAGACTCTGTGTGATTTTATTATTTGTTGTTTTTTTTATATTATTCTTGCATAATTTGTCGGTGCGAAAAGGACTTGGAGTGGCTCTGTGATTTTTCCCCTTTTTTATTTTCCTTCTTTTTCCTTATTCTTTTTTTAAATGGCGTTTGCATATTATACTGTTGCGTCGATCGCCTATGGGATAATCACTTGGGAGGAAGGACGATCCTGTACAATCCGCTACAACGTGTTCTTTTCTTGACTGTTCTATCTACCGCGTGTACCACGACCGCTATCACCTTGTGGCATAATACAAAAAACTGAAAATGACATCTCATTCCCTCGCCCCACTCTCTTACTTCTATTTTTTACACCATTCAACCTTCCAGTCCGCCACCCACAAAGTACCCCATCGTCCCAATCTGTGTTCTATGCTATTCTTAACATCCTTTCCGTGGAATACTTGACTTATCGACATTGTTCTCACCAGGCCCCAGGCTAACTCTTTGACGACCCCTTCCGCTGTTGCACTCCACTCCCCCACTTTCCCACCAACCACGACTCCACGCCATCACCGGGTTTAGACCCGTTTGGCATGCCTCCCAATCTGACACTATCGCCTCTCGACGATTCCAACTGACACGGCCTTTTGGCACATCCTCGCCCAGAACCCATTGCATCTTGCTCGGCCCATGTTCCACGGTTCCTGGGGCCTCTGAGCGCAAATGTTACACATCACAACCGGCTCTCGCCAGCCGCGATCTGGGTCCAGCCCAGGCCTTTTTCAGTTCCTGGATCTCTCCATCCGGTCTATTTGGTTCCTTCTCACCTGCCAGCCGAGTCTGTCATTGGCTGCCCGTCGATCGGCTCATTGTCCTGTGCCTCGGTGCACATCCGGTTTAGACCATGCGCTAGGTTGGATTTTTCTGGGCCCTCTTTGCCTGCGCCTGCTCGTCCGCCACTTTGATCGGCCCTGTACAGTGCTTCCTCCACATTCCGGTCCCAACGGACTGGCTCCTATGCGTGATGCTTTGTTTCAGACGCTGGGCATGCCATCAGTGCGATCGTAGGAGCTCGAACTGTCCACCATTTTCTTACTGACTTTTGTCCCCCCTCGTTCGCGCCCATAGTGGGCGTGCTGTCCTCCTGAACACCCATAACCCATAGCAGCTTAATGCGAAGAATGGGGAGGAACGGGAGACGGCGAGCATTGGCTGGGTCTTAGCTTCTGGCTTGCCGGGCTTGCGCCACGCAACTCTGTCTCCAACTTGGCTGTGGCTGCGGCGAACTATGTGGGGTCGTCCGATAGCCCCAGTTTGACGGCCTACAGCGGTAGGTGTCGTGCTACGCTGGACAGACACAGGCTACATGCGCCTGCCAAGCACTCGGGAAGGCCGCTCGGACTTGCCCAGCCTGAGAGCCGCGCAGTTTCTGAGTTTGGGGCTGTTGGGGCTCGGGTGTATTCACCTCGCCCCCCCAGATCGGGCCTCTTGCATACTACCATCCTCCATGGCTTGGACCATAGCTTGGACCTCTGGGCAGCGGGATAAATAGGCTGACCCCCTGATGCACCCGGGTTTATGAGAGAAATGTCTGTTTGCTGAGTCTAGAACGATTCTGACAGGATCTTTGTGCTTTCCCTGATCCGCCATGCATATGAGATGCTCCAAAGTACTGGGCTGGACCTTGACATGTTCGCGCGTTCGAGCATGCCGGTTCCCCCAACAGGCCCCAGCGCTGTCGAGGCCCCAGCACATTGTCCCTCTCATGATGTTACCTCGAGTTCGTCCATTTTCCTTCCCCTCCCCCCAGAATTATTCACGTCCATTGGCCGTCATTTGAATTATGTGCACCACTCCATATCTCAAATTGCGTGGCGCGAAAAGTCGTTGGATTCACCCAAACGCGGTTACACGGCATCGGCATCGACTACCTATCTTTATTGTCCTGTAGGTACTTTGTGCATTCCGGCCGCTGGATAGATAGGCTCTAGACGCGGTGCGTATTTACACTTTTGTTTTTTCTGCTCTTCTGGAATCCTCTTGGAATCAGGCTCCAGCCGCGCTATTGATAGATTTTCTTTTGCACGGTGGCTGGCCCGGCCACTTTTTTCTCCATTCGTCAGTTGAGGACGTGGTAGTCATGTTCGGAACGGATGCATCTGTACATCCCGTGGACCCATGGAGATTTGTATAGCGTCAAACATGGACCAGTCATTCATCTATTCATCTAACTCGTACTTTGTACCCAACGAGGCCCGCTATTGCAGCCTACACCAAGTACGTTGCATCCTCACCGCGATTAGCCACGCTGCAATAGAACATATACAGTAATTCATTTCCTGAATAGTGTTCTTCAGCATTCCTGAGCAGAGCCCGACCAGTTGGATCACTGCCGCGTGTTGTGTTGGCATGTCTGTGCGCCTTTGTGGTGATGCATGGAGCCCGCTTCTTGGAAAATACTATCCGCAATGCTGTTGTCATGCGAAATTCTGCAGGCTGTGGCGCTCTGTTGAATCACTCTCTCATATTCTACTTTATGTCCTGGACGGGAAGGTATTTGGGGGGGGGGTGCAGTATGTATTCTTCTCCGCCAATGCAACGTTTGAGTGACGAATGCTTGCTGCAGCGTCGGCTCATGGCTCTGCAGTGCGCTGAGCGGCATGCAATGGAATGTGGATTTCGCGGTTTGAGACCCCTGTTGTTCATCGTGTCGGTCTGAACCTTGGGCAAATAAAACCTAACCTTGGTCATGGCAGGTGAAAGACGATGGCCGCGTATGCAGCACATTCGGAATGCTTGTAAGACAAAATTCTTTTCTCAAACACCTCGAGAAGATCTTCCCATGCGTAATTCCGTGCGTGGGTTTGCGCGTGCTACGATCACTATCCCTCGCTTCGGCATGTGTGTCCGTGGCAGTGAATGAGGTGATCAGATACTTGCTAAAGTCAACAATGGAAATGTCTTGAACGATGAACTTACTCTTACATTTGCGTGATTTTCAAAAAGCGAAAAGCGAAAAGCGAACACAGTGCATCTCGTTGCAGCTCTCGTCGGTGTAGTTCCCAGAATTCGATGCCTGACCATCCAGCGGTGAAGATGATCAGCCCTGTCGGGTGTACTGCCCGAGGCACCCACATCGCTTCTTTTGCTCTTCGAAGAGTAATCCAGAGTGGATCATAACCACGCAACCTCGTTCTCTCCATCTTGTATACCCCAGGTTCAACCTTGTATTTACTATCCCAAATATGGTAATCACATGTTGCCAAGGATCAGGGTTGAGACCAATTATTACGTCATCACGCATTATTTAAGCCCGACTGGGACGCGCACGCCTCCTCCGCCAGAGACCCCCTTTCATCCGAGACCCGATCGATTCTACCTCATGATGTTCAGGCAGAAGATAGATGGGTTTCTCGGGGTCACGCTAAGGCCAATGTAGTCAACCGAAATAGGACTCCTTCGTGGCGGACCCTCACTATGATGACATCTTTTATTGGCATAACATGTCCCGTGGATGCTCCAATAACAAATTTCAAGCTCAACAGTCTGAGTGAAGGGTGCATGAAAGTGCTATCTTGATATGTATCTATTGCATGAATCTATCTTGTGAAATAGAATGGACCGGACACGATAGCCGAAAGATCCATTACTTTACTCCCCCCGAGCTTCTGCAGTCCCTGAGGCATGGAGCACTGGTATGTCCGGAATGCCTTAGTGCTGACCTTCTCACTGAACATCTCATCCAGGTCCTCGAATGATCGTCCCTTGGTCTCAGGGACCTCACAGTAGATGATAACAAGAGTGATCGCACCCAGGCCCGCGAAGATCCATCCCATCTTGCCGCCCAGATTTGCCTCGTCTGTGTTGTACAGGTATGGGATGACAACGTTCCATATGGTTGAAAAGAAGTAGTTAAATGTGAAGCCAATGGCCATCGACTTGGCACGAAGACGCACCGCGGAGACTTCTCCGGCGATGGACATTGCCGGTCCGATAGCTGGGCCATAGACCCACCACGTCAGTTCGAGGAAAATACCGACGACCCTATAGTTTATGGTAAGCGTGGGCTCATAAATGACCGGAAAAGCTCGAGACAATGTCAAGCGAGATAACTGAGAGGGACTTACCACAGCGCCGTGGGTGAGGAGGGGAAACACCCTGCAATTCCCATGACAATATAGAGCACGGTCGACAGCGAGATGCCAAAAATGATAATGCTTCGGCGTCCACACTTCGCCATAAGATAGGCAGTCAGGATCGAGCTGGCAATACCAAAGGCAATCCCAATCTCGGTCATCATGCCAACCTTAGACGAGGACATGCCCGCCTGGACAAGGAAATACGGTCCATTCGACATGAAACTGGAACCGATGACCTGCGACAGGGCATTGCAAATAATGATGATTCTAGTACGCCGCCAATTAGTGCCACGAAAGCATTCAAGGAAGCTGGCACCCTTTGCCGCAGCGCTCCGTGCCTTTTCCTCCTCATTGATCCGAACAATTTGATCCAAGAGCGGCATCACCTGCGATGGACTGTTTCCCAGTTGCGAAAGAGACTTTTGGGCTTTCTCGAGGCGGTCTTTCATGACGAGGAAGTAGGGGGATTCGGGGAGTACGGGAAGGAAGAGAACGATAACCCCCGGCCAAGCCCATGCGGCGGCGAACAGGACCTGCAAGACATGAAATTAGGAGCTGATTTTTTTGGGGGTTTGCAAGACCAGAAATAGTCTCGCAGATAGGAAGGGGAGGGCGAACTTTGTATGAATCCGTGGAGAGCATCGACATGCGGGGCAGGGCAACAGAGGCAGCAATCATATACCCAACGTTCTAATCATGGTCAGTTCTTGACGGAAAAGACCGATCATCCAGCCCAGAAATCTCTTACCATGCAGAATGTGAAGGCAGATAAGGCGATACCACGTATTTGCAGTGGCGTCACCTCTGAGATGTATGTCTGGCCGGTTGTCAAGCAAATCCCCAGCGACAGACCATTGACAATCTTGCCCGCGAGGAACACTCCCGGTGTTGATGCTGTATACACGATGGCTACACCAGCCGCGGACAAAATCGCACCGAGCAAGAACGAAGCACGGCGGCCAAAGCTGTCCTGCACCGGTCCAGCCGTAGTGGCGCCCAGCATCGTGGCAACTTGCGACATGGCATTCCATAACGACTGCCAATACGCCGGGATCACATATGATCCGCTGGTCAACTGCCCGAATTGCATCCTGGTGCCGTGTCAGCATCATGAATGACAAAAGTAAACAAGTAGACGGCAGAGGGTCATGCTCACTCGAACCCGGGCATCGAGAGCGCCAGCGACAACACCAGGTTGTCAAACCCATACATGAGCGCTCCCAGATTCCCATACAGACAAAACAGAATGATCCACGGGTTCTGAGCCAGACATCTCCACGGCGTCGAATTTGAACGCGTCGGGTTCTCAGGCACAGCCTCTTGCACGCTCGCGACATCCTCCAGATGTGAGGTATTGTACTTGGGGTCTTGAGTGTTCATCCTGTCTTGCTGCTCTTTGGGATACAGATGACATCGGGGGTTTTGGGGAACTCGAGGGCTCCGCACTTCCAGTCACTGGGGTCTTCCCCGGCTGTGGGGAGTGTCGTCGGCCGACCCACCATGAAGCCAAACTCGGGGGGTGATGGGCCGACGCTTCCTCGGATATCCCGCGGTGTGGGTCGGCCATCTTGCTCCTCGAAGCCTTCTTCTCTGCACAGCGTCGAACTTCACTAGTTCTGTCTCTGGAGGCTGAGTGATCTGGTGTACAATGAGTAGATATGATGACCATTTCTGGGCAATGTATCAGTTGTCCCACTGCTCATTACTCCAAGCACACACACAAGCGGTATTAAGGCTTCAAGTCTGAAGTGTGTTTTACCATATCTGGCGAACACGGCTTGTAGAGACATATAGCAATGGAACATGACTACCATGGGGCTGAATGAAAAAAAAGGGAAAAGAGAATTGCAGAAACTCATGAGAGAGATGGAAGCCAATTTCTTCAACGTTGAGTCTACACTCCTGGCTTTTCAAGACCTGGACCTCGTCTTTCGTTTAATATTCTGTATCGCCCTGGCATATTACTTTCTTTAATCAAGTGTGATGAGGTCTATGCTCTTGTCATGCGTTAGATGGACATCTTTCATGCGGCTGACAGATTTTCTGGAGAGGTATAAGACAGCGGGGAGATATATGACGATGGAAGATGGAAGGAACAAAAGAAAACGAGCTCAATCTGTAGAACTGTGATATACTATACATATTAAGTGCCACTAGAGCATGCATTCATTTTGATCTAGATCAGTCGGTAGTATAGTCGTAAGAGTTAATAATAGGCCCATCGCGATATGTATCTTAACGGAGGTTAGTTCTAGAATCAGCCTCTCCTTTGAGGGAAAGTAACTGCCTGGCCACCCTTCAGCTGTTGGGCCGACACAAACCCGTTGATAATAACTTCAGCCTCAACGTCCGCAGTAGACTTGACTTCCAGGCCGCTATCCTTCGACCACGATATAGAGACATCCCCTGCTGGAGTGGAGAAGTTCCCCCAAGCATTCTGTAGAAGCTCCATTCGAGGTGCGATCCGCAGCTTCTTGAACCCTGGGAGTGATGGCGACACACCAAATACCTGGGTGACGATTTCATGCACGGGGCTCGCACTCCAGCCATGACAATCACTTCGGGCGTTTTGCTCGAATTCAGCCCATGTGGTAAGATTATCTTTGATCATGCGTGTCCACGGATCAATGAGAATGGGGAACAATTGTGTGTACAGACAGACTTTTTCGACAGCGCGGAAGAGATAGAATTTCATGGAGTATGAGCACTGTGACAACGATGTGTCATCCAAAGTGCGTGACATAAGCTCCTTGGCTGCAACCCCTGTTATGCTTTCAGATAGGATGGCGAAGACTTGGCTGTGTTGGCTATACTCTTTGGATGAGGGTCCGTCCAAGTAAAGCCCATCTTCATAGCAGTGGTGGTTGACAGCACTCCGAAGGGTATCTGCGCGTGCAATGTACTCGGAGGCAGTATCTTTCCTGCCAGCGAAGGTACACACTTCAGCTGCTTGCATTAATGCCACAATGTATAGAAGACTGTTGAAGGTGGCAGCTCCTGTGCGCGCATAGGTCCGCGGCATACATGAATCGAAGATCTTCCCAGGCACAACCCACTCCGGCACCCAGTCAATGAATGGCCAGGTATCATGATCGAAGCGACCAACAAGACCAAGCTCATTGATTCTCTCATCAAAATGGTTCAAAATACCGTCAATTGTGCTCAAATATTGACGAACGACCGAAATATCAGCGAAATAATGCATATGGTCGTACACCATAGCAACAAAGTACAGAGAGAACTGAGGAATCTGAGTGCTGCGGAAACCAGCTGGAAATTGTGCTTTAATCAATCCATCTGGGCCCTGGCTTGCGTGAAACTCCTGCAAAGTCTTACGAGCGAGTCGATCATCAGATGAAAGTTGATAGGAGAAGAGCATTTGCAGCCGTGAGTCCGATGCAAATTGACTCTGCTCATAGAATGGGCAGTCCTCATAGGTTTCATGCCGGCAATTTTGCAAAGTCCGCAGGCTAATATCCCAGATCTTGTCTAGCTCGGTGCCCGCTTGGACCCGAGTAGAGATATCGAGCGGGTAGTATGTCTCACGCAAGGTGAAGCTCTGAAGAGTCAGTGGCTGCTCACCGGCTGCGATGTGGAGTTGGACGTATCGAAATACTCTGAACCAAAACGGTTCAAACGTGTGCCCTGACCGGCCATCGGCCACAGTGTAGATATCCTTGATTCCATACAACCGGCCGCCAGAGTCGGCCCGGTTGGATTTGGTTCGAGGCTTGGGGAATGGCGCGGTTTCCACCCCGAGATCCTTCTCGTAGCATTCAGCGTAATGGAGAGTGGCCACGGCACCTTTACCACCACTGCATTGCAGGGCAATAAAGCCGGTTGTCAAAGAATTGACTTCGAGATCAACAGTGACGTCCTCACCCGCTGGGATAAGAACGGGGCTGTCATCCTTAATGAAACCCTTCCACTGATCCTGTGAGATTGAGCCTTGACATTTGACCACTCCGTCAAACCTTCCAGGAATCTCAGGAAGTGCTGGAATAGGACGGGGAGCTAGTTTCCAGGGGCTCGTCATTGGAAGCATTTTGGCTGGGCGAAATGCAAAGACGGCGCACTCCCATGTTGAGTCGTCATACCCTGGCAGCTCCCAACCGGCGAGCTGTTGGGCCTCCGTCACCCTCTCGTGGTTGGAAAGAAATGGAGGGCCAAGGATAAAGTTCCACTCGGAGGGAGGGATAATTTGCCGACTGGTTTCTTCTACACATCTCCATGATTCATCGGTTGAAATTGACAGGCCCTATTACACCAGTCAACTAAACGGGACAATCTTTGTTACACGCCTCGACCGGAACTAACCTCAGTCTCACTATGCACCACTAGTCCGGGCAACTCTGTTCGGACGATGGACGATGAACCAGCCTCGACGGAGGAATAACGCAGCACGCGCGCACTGATGACATTCTCCCCCTCCTTCATGAACGGCAGAATGTCGACTGTTTCATAATGCCATCGCTCCGCATAGCTCTTGCAAGGCCCGAAACTTGCACGTTGGCCATTCACAAAAAGCCGATAGCGACTATCAGCAGAAACATGAATAGGGACCTCGCCCTGCCCCGCAAGGGCAGTCCACTGGAAGCTCTTCCGGAAGAGGAAGTAGCGGCCAGGCTGGTTGTCCTCTTCGCGGTACTTCGGCGTCCAGATCCACTGCGCTGTCTTTGTCCAGGAGGACGCCATGTTGCAGGATGATGGTTAGAGATACCAAAGGCGTTGAAGCCCATTCATCCCCTGCGATGGCAAAATAGAAAAGATCGGGCTATCCGCGGCGTGCGGGATTCGGGCTCGGATATCCCGCTCGGCGCATTTTACCCCGACGTTGGTAGCCGTCGGCTCCACTGCTGGCAATCTCAGCCGACGTGGAGGAGCCGAACAGAGCATTTCGACATTTCAACAATTCAGGACTGAACACTGGAAAAGGTAAATGAAATGGGTATTCAAGTCTTGAATTGAAGCGATAACGTATTGAACATAACTGGTGCCTTGCATTCTGGGCCAATTCCAAGCACCGCTTGCCAAATCCGCCGAACGAAGAAGCCAAATGACCAACCTGTCGGGGAAGAAAATCGACGAAAAGAACTCCTGTACAGAATGGTATCGAATCTGAACCCTTTGCCCCCACCGAAAACGAAAAGAAAAAAAAAAGAAAAAGCAAAGAAAGGACCGGTCCCCAGATAGTACAATCAACAAGAAGGACAAAATAAAAACAAGGGAGAAACAACCACGGCAAGATTTCGCAGTAACGCCGGCCGCTGGATCTCACGATGTCTGGACCCTATACAATTCAATGAAAAAAGCAAAAGGGAAGACAAAAACCAGGGAGAACAAAAATTGATAAGACCAGGGGCCCAAAGCTTCCGATTCTCTCACGCAAGCCCCGTCCTGAATGCTCCTCCTGCCAATCGAACCCCCCGGCAAACCCCGCGTATGATATCGTAAATAAATTGAAGTGCTCCCCCTATAAGGCAAATGGGTATGTGTTAAGTATTAGCGCTGCCGTTTTTTTTTTTTGCGATCAATTGCCCATCCCGTTGTGCATCATGTTTTGCTGAGCCTGCATCTGCTGCGCCTGCATAGCGGCCGCTTGGCTCGCTCGCTGCTGCTGGGCAGCTTCTCGTTCACGTCGCATCAGATCCTGGATCCATGCCTTGGCGTTCTTCTCTAACCCGGCACCGTATTGCTGAGCGATCTGAGGCGGATACTGGGTCGGTGGTCCGTACTGTGTCATGTACCGCTGTGACATTTCATGTCGCAGCTGGAGCAAACGTTGTTGGTAAAGTCTGTTGTACCGTTGGGCGATATTAACACCCTGCATGTTTGGCATCTGGCCACCATTGGCCTGAGCGGCAGCCATCAGCATTTGTTGTTGCTGCTGTTGTTGTTGTTGAGCTGTCATTTGTGGGCTGCCATGGTGGTGCTGTTGCTGTTGCTGATTCGGCTGACCCTGTATCTGACCGCCCTGCTGCTTAACCATCTGCATCTGCGCGAACTGGGCACGCATGAGCTGCGCCTGATATGCTTGCTGGTTGTGTTGAGGGATGTTCTGCATGTTGGGCTGCTGCTGCTGTTGATGTTGAGCCTGCTGAGCTTGCTGAGCCTGTTGAGCCTGTTGTGCTTGCTGGGCCTGCAACATCTGCTGCTGTTGATGCGACTTGATGTTTTGAGCAGCATGCGCGTTGGCCGCCTGCAACTGAGCAAGCTGCTGAGGAGTGAGCTGGGCGCCACCCATTTGTCCACCCTGATGAGCAAGAAGCTGCTGTCTCTGCTGTAATAGCATTTGCTGCTGAGGCGTGAGGCCCATACCAGCACCATTCATCTGCGGAGGTTGAGCCATGGCTTGGTTCATCATCGGAGTTTGGGCCATAGTGTGGCTAGGGCTACCGTGACCCATTCGCTGAGTAGGAGTGACATTGCGCATAATCGGCGTGGCATGTGACATTGCCGGTGTGGCTTGCGTCATCTGTGGAGTTCCATGCCGGCTGGGTCCTTGCTGACTTCTGGAAGGCGCCATGGGATGGCCCATCATGTTGGGGTGCGCATGCTGCATAGAGGATGGAGGTCGTGGTGGGCTTCCTGATTGCTGAGATGCGCTGATGCTCATTGGAACCGCCTGTGTTGTCATAGTGTTACCAACCAGCGGCGATGAGGTGCTGTGGGGGGTTTGATTGCGTACAATGGGGGATGACTGTTGCCCTTGGGGGACGCCGTTCGACTGAGCCATGACATGACGATTCTGTGCTGCAAGCTGAGCTTGCGCCTGCTGGGCTGCAATTTGCTGTCTGCGTGCCTCATCCTTGGCGTGTTGCTCTGCCTGTTGTTGCTCCAACGCACGGCGTCGTTCCTTCTCCTGTTCCTGCTGCTGTCTCTTGGCGAGCTCCTGCTTCAGCTTCATCTCGTGCTCACGCTTAGCCTTCTCCTCGTGCTGCATGCGGATTGTCTCCAGAGTCTTGAAGCGAGAGAAGCGAGGTTCGAATGCTGCCACACCGGCTATATCATCCACAGTAGCAGCCTTGGAGCCACCAGCTGCACCGGAGGCGGTAGGCTCGAGGCGCTCGTCCATGATAAGCATGAATCTCTCTTCTTCGGCTGCGAGTGCCTCGTCCGCAGCAAGTTCCGCAACAGTTCTCTTGCGGCGCTTAGGTGATGGTGGCGGGTCGCTGTGCAATGGGCTCTCCAGGCATTTCAGCAGACGTTGTGAAGCTGCAAAACTGTTCACGGTATCTAGATAGAGAGGCGGAGCTAAAGCTCGCACGAGTAGTGATTCGCATTCAGTAAGATCTTGCGGCTCGACAAGCGTCTTCTGTCTCTTTGCAGGGTGACCGCGGTCAAGTTGTGTAGTGGCGGGTGACTGAGGGACGACCGAGGAGGAGTGGGTACGGGAAAGTTGGTTTGACACGGCAGCTTTGGGATCCGGAGTGGTGACGAGAAGAGTCAATTCCGCCTGCAACACGCGAGCTGTAGGATGGAGGACAGTAGTGAAGACCCGAGGTTTGGGAGGAAGTGATTTATTCCCCGATCCATTCACTGAGCTCTGAGACTCGGCAGTCTCGCCATTTGCCTGGTTCTCAGTCTGGTTCTGGCCAGGAGTTGGTGTCTCTACCGGTTTAGAGCTTTGTATATCGGTGGTGAGCTGGTTCTGCTTCGGGTATGGAACAAATGCCGAGGGAGTAACATGTTCATTGTAGTTGTGGAGAGAGAACGGTGTGTTGTTCTCATTGGTCGTTAACACGGAAGTCTTTCTTGCTTGTGCCGAAACAGACTTGTGGTCGACAACGCGAACAATGAGGCAACCTGGAGCAAATTATCGTCAGCATGAATTTCGACCACTCTGCCACAAAGGACGAGTTCTACCTTCATAGAACTTCACGCCCGCGCGCAGTAGCTCCTCGATCAGATCGTGAGGTACAGTGCCGGCGCGAATATGTTCAATGACCACCTTCATCTCCGAATTGTATGGGAAGCTTCCATCTTGCTGCTCGAATCGAAAGTGGGTGGGGTGAAGATGCACGATGAGAGATGGAGGGGACTTCGAGTATTTCTTAAGAATGTAGGATGTGGTTTTCACTGTGACGGTAAGGAACTGTGAGTATTCACCGAACGGCGATTGGGTGGTATTGGCCAATTGTGCGCAAATCAAGGACTCACCATAGGGCTCAGGACACCTTTTGCCAACCCGATGGCCATTGCCCGTAGACAAAGTCCGCGTCACCGGCCGGGTCGGTCGCGAACCTGCGTCACCGGGTCGTTGCGCCTGGGTCCTAGTTCGGTTCAGGTGGCCCTTGGAGGTGCTTGCCATGTTGATCAAGCCATTGGTAATGTTGGGGCTCGATCCAGCAGAAAGATTACCAGGAAGACGTTTGGAGGTGGTGGGTGGAGAAGAGGAGGGTTGCTGGACCTTGACTCCGTTCACCCCGGTCTGGGGGAAAGGCGGGGGCGGCCGCTTCATCTTCGGCGGGTGGGAGGTTGGCTTTGAGACCGCGGTCGCCATGATTGTCGGCGCAGAGAGCGCAACGCAGGAGTTTCCAGTGGTGGAAAATGCGCTTTATCGGGAAACTGATTCGACGATGTTGGACGAAAGCCGGGATCCGAGAAAGAATGGGATGGCAGAGTCGCGAGACATGTGGGGATCGGTCGGTCGGTCCTGGTCACCAACGCGGCGAAATCGAAGGGGAAAATGTGGCACTAGCCAGAGACGACTTAGAGAAGAGAGCGGAGGCGGCCATCAACGGATGTCGCTTGGGGAAGGGGTCCGGGGAGGCGCTGGAGGGCGGAAGCCTTGCAGAGTGAGGTGATGATGCCAAGCCGCGGGCGAGACGTGACGATATCACATGATTTCCCGCATTAGGGCTAGCGCGTTTATGCCATTATCCTACACCCGTAGGCGCTGTTCTATACAACTCCAGAAAGATTGTCTCCTTTCAAAGAATCCCGCAGATTTATTCAGATAAGAAGTAGACTATGGTCAGAGCAAGGTGGTTGCATTATGGGAGCTATCTCGGCAGTGTTCAGGCACCATTCCATTGCTAGGCCACAAGACCCGGCGTTTCTGAATTACTATCGAGGAGTCGCGCATGACCAAACATGAGAGAAAAAAATAAGACAAAGGGGAATCGAAGGCACATAATCATCAAATGGGGGACTCGCAACAAATATGAACATGCGGATGATCAAATATAAACATTAACATCATGGGGCTTGGATAAACCATGCCGGGGGGGGGGGGGGGGTGTTAGTCCAACCCGCGCACGCGACGACGCCAATCATCTCCTACACGGAGAACGTCTACCACGTCAATCCGCTTGCCGATGCCAATTGTGCCCTCCTTTTGCCACCATTTTTCTCCCTTCTCAGCAAGAGCGGACTCATCGTCACTGTCGATGAGGCCGCCGCGGCCACCCTCATCTCCAACCACAACAATGACCTGGCGGACCCAGCCCGAGATGTGCTGGACAGCATCACCCCCGTTACCAGTAAGAGATTCCTGGACGTACACCAGATCGGGCGACAGATGACGTACAAGGTGCACATAGCCGGTGGCTGTATTAAACGGCATGATCATAGTCTCCTTTTCGACAATTGCCTGGCCCTGTGTGTACAGGGTCTTGAAGAAGGGGCCTGTGCCATCAATATCGCCCTCTTGGTGTGGTTCCACATTGGCCAGGTCTCCAGCTAATTCGCCAGAGGAAGCCGCCTCCTCGGTTGCGATGTTTGAGTAGGAGGAAGCGATGGAGGTTGTCTGATGAGATGCGCTACCTTGTCCAAGCGCATGCTTAAGATCAGGAGCGTAGATCAACACAAAGATTCGAGAGGTTTCTAGGTCAACGTGTTCAGGAAGGTGAGACAGTATGGACTGTGATTGTCAGTAAAGAACAAGTACGGACAAGACAGTGTATGTAGAATACTTACAGCATGTTCCGAAGCAAATTCATCAGAGTCCGCGGGGGAGACGGAGGATACAACAATGGCGATGGTCTTCTTCCTCTTCTTATCGGATGAGTGCTGTCCAGCACCAGGTGCACGAATCGGTAGCGCACCGCTCATAGTGGGCGCAGCAGCAGTTTGTCCATCTCTCTCGCTAGCCCTAGTCTGGGCCTCCTCAGACCATCTGGTATGGTCTTCAAAGTCGCCGCGGTTTTCTTCTCGGATCGAAGTGAGTGCACCGCCAACATAGGCACCAGCAGCAGTCACTCCAGCCATGACCTTCCGGCTCGCGCCATCAAAGAGCTGCTGCGGGCTAGGCGTTCGGCGCAAAGCACCCTGCATACGTCCCATGAAGCTGGGATCATAGGGGCTATCTCCAGGGATTGCGTCCGTTCCTGTGCCTCTCGCATAGCCTCCCGTACCGTAGGCAGGAGGGGGATGTCGCTGCCGACAGTTCCAGGGGGTGGAGGGGGATAGTGGCCGCCTTCTCCATCGTGGGGGCGATCATCTTCGTCGTCTTCGTCACGTTCGCTCCAAATCCAGGCAGCAATGCTGAGTGTCGCGACTCCCACAGTGAGAGCCAAGGGAATCCAGTAGCCCATGGCAGTCCGCCTGCCTGTCGAGCTGAAGCCAGTGCCGGCTCCACCGCGACGGCGGCGAGAATCCTGGGGGAAAGACATTGCGATCGCGGGGGGTGTTATTTAGAAATAGTGCATGAGAGGTGTTCAATCGCGGTCGCAATGACTTGCCAGTCACATCTCACGCCTCTTTGAGGAAAGAGAAAAGGTGGAGAAAGCGCAGGAGATGCAGGAGGGAAGATGGATCTCGACCTCGGGGCAGGATAACATGTGGCTGGTGAACCTCCATGGTAACCGCGGTGTTTACGGGTCATCCGCTGTTTGCACTGTTTGGTGCCAATAAATCTGGAGGCGGGTCGGGGGCTGACTCATCGTTATCATCACGTGAATTATCCAAAAAATGACATTCCGCTTTATGCATCAGAGCAACATTCATTGTCTGGAGGGGTCGCGGCCAATTCCAGAGACTTCGAGGAGAGCGACGACCAACGAACACTCGAGGAAGCTACGCTGAAGATTTTCACTCAACAAAGCCTCTGGCCTGCGCTTTTCAGCTTGGCGACCCGCCATCCCACTCTGCCGCGGGGCTCAGTCATTCGATCAAGCTTATAACCAGTCAGCTAGCTGATTTTGTCTCAACCAGAGCGCACGATTCATTCCTACCAATTCTAAAAGCCCATAACCACCTCGTTGAAGCAAAATGCCGTCTCCCTCAGCAGTCGTCCCTGGGGTTGGCATCCAGGCCTTGATTCTGTGCGGGCCTGGTGTTTCTCTGAATACCTTCACAGCCAATGAAGAATTCCTCAAGGCATTGATTCCCTTGGCCAACCGGCCGCTGATCTATTTTCAACTATCATGGTTGAAGAAATCAGGAATCACGGGTAAGCACTTTTTTGTCAATCAATGGTTTCTTATGAGACTAGGAGCTAATAGATGAAACCCCGAAGACATCACTTTGATCACGCCTCCTTCAACCGTCGCTCCTCTCCAGGCCGCACTACAACAAAACCCCCACCTGACCTCTCTACCCTCGCCGTCACCATCTGTCCTTGCGCCGAAAGGTCTCGACCTAAATATGGGAACGGCAGAGTTGCTACGTTTGCCTGAAGTTCAAGCCTGCATCAAGACCGACTTCCTTCTCCTTCCTTGCGACTTGGTCTGCGAAATTCCCGGCGAATCGCTTCTTGAGGCTTGGATGGTCTCCCAAAGTGCGCTGGGTGGTTCTTCTACTGTCTCCGAAGGACGTAATGCTCACGGCCCGACCTCTTCTGGGCCTGGCGGTGAGCAGGGAGGTCGTCGCGGTGGTCTCAGCGTATACTATCAAACACAGGGGAGGGAGGAAAGCGTTAAGGGCGAAGGCACTGATTTTGTGGCCATCGCACCCCTTGGTGAGGACGAGGCGCCTGCTGTGTCGCATGCCGTTGACGGTCCTGCGGCGCTGAGACACAATTTGTCCAAGGTGGTGCTGTCTATGCCTATGGCAACCGTAAAGGGAAAAATGGAAGGCGATAAGGGCCTGCTTCTTAGGCATTCCCTTACAGATAAGCACCCTCGCGTCAAGATGCTTAGCACTTTCAGGGATGCACACCTTTATATCTTCCCATACTGGGTTAAGGAGCTGGCCCTGCGTCAGGAAAGGTTCCAGTCAGTCAGCGAAGATTTGGTCGGCTTCTGGGCCAAGGCGGAATGGCAGCAGGGGCTGGGCGAAAAGTTGGGTATGGACGAGATCTTCCACCGGGAGTACGACCATCACGCCGAGAGCGGAAGTCATGACGGTGAATCCATCGAGGAAGAAATCGATTTGCTTGCCATGTCCACCACGAAGTCAAGGTTGAACGTCAACGTGGCTAGCTCTGACCCTATCTCTTTTGCAAGCAGAGTCAAGATCTCGGATGCCACTGAGAAGCCAGGGCTGAAGATCCCCCCTCTGTTGGCTTATGTGCAGCGCGGATCAGCTCCGTTTGTCCGGCGCGTCGACAGTTCGGCTATCCTGCTGTCCACCTCCCTCCGGCTGGCAAAGCTCGAATCCATTGAAGAAGCTGGTGCGGCCGCTTCGCCCTTCGCCCACCCTCAGAAGATTGCCCACCCGGAGGGCATCGCTCAGCGATGCACCATTACGAAGTCGGACTGTCTGATTGGTCAGAATACCACCGTCGAGTCCAAGTGCGTTATCAAGGAAAGTGTGATTGGAGCGAACGTGAAGATCTGTTCCGGCGCACGATTGCAAAGGTGCTTGATTATGGATGGCGCTACTGTGAACAGCTCTTGCACGCTTACAGGATGCATCATCGGTCGTAGAGCAGTGATTGGCAAAGACTCGGTTCTCAAGGACAGCGAAGTTGGAGATGGATATCTTGTTGAGGACGAGACAGATGCCAAAAATGAGAAATTCATGATCTTTGAGGGTCTGGAGGATGACGAAGATATGGATGGCTCGGAGGATTTTGATTCGGAGGACGAATGAGATTTTGAGAGAGGATCACTCTCCGCTTGTTTTATATCGCTGCTATGTCTTGACGAAATACCGATAGAGCTCATGATGCCCAAAAAGAATCAACATAGAGACGCACATCACCAACATCACTCGGTGATCATTCTTGGCAAGGTCGCTTTATGCGTGAAGTTTGTTATAGGACTTCCCATAGATTCCATTCCGATTCCATCCTCTAGCCCATATCATAATAGATCGATCATTCGGTACTTCCACGAAAGGTCCTTGCCGGCCTAACCAAAACCTATCTTCAGCCCTGCAGCGCTGCAGCCCCCTGGTCCCGATCATAATCCCCCTCACGAGTACTTGGGGTGCAGTGTATACCTCCCCAGATCATGGGAACTACCAGCGGGATTAACAACACAGCCAGATCCAGTCAGCCAGCCTCGAGGGCCCGGGTCACTCGTACAAGTACACTGTGCTAGGTCTAGGGCCACCTGGCTGCACTGTCATAGAATGCCGTGAGACTCGAGTGTTCTACAGGCTACAAGATTCGTTGCTGCCCGCTCCGCGCGGGCCGGCGCTTGGGTCCAAGTGCGTGCGGCCGATCGACCTGGGCTTCATCTATCCGCTTGGTCTGTGCTGCATATGGGACGGCGCCGGAGAATTGTAAGGTCAGATTACAGGGTGCTTCCTGGAGTGATGGAAGTGGCGGGGTCTTAGCCTGCGCATATTAATTGAGTTCTGCTGTGCGTCGACCGTGGTAAGCCGGTGAGATACACTCTGGGCGGTGCTGTCAGCTGATTGTCCGCTATACACCGTGTGTGCTATATTGTGCTATATCAGCCGCTGTCGTGCCACCCTCAGTCCCAGTGTCGCTCGATAGCTGCTAGCATGGATTGGGTGTGCAAGCTCATGACTCCAGCGTACGTGGACGTCCATTTGAATTCCAAGTGTGTGACGGCGTCGATCTTCAGATCAGTCCTCCACTGAGAGGTGCCAATTGCTGTTCCGAGGTATATCCAAGTCAGTAACGGAGAAGCACGTACTTGTCGCACTTGTCATGTCGCTCAGCGCATATGCTACTCTTCCGAAAGTCCAGAGGTCAACTACCTACTGGAGGCGAACGCGTTGTGGGACGTTCGAGCGCCTGTTGTGGGTCTATCCGGCCCATGGTCGTCTGATAAATCGGCTAATGCAAATGTGATTTGGAAGAGGAGGGGCAGAAACGAAGAGAACGAGAAGCAATGGAGAGGTCGTTTTGGGTTAGGGGCGGATTTGTAGGTGAAGGATGACCGGGTTGCAATTTGCGATTGTGGGTGGGAGGCGAGCTGGGGGGTTGATGAGGCCTGAGCGAGATTAAATCAGGGCTTTTGGCCTGCGAACGGCCCGATGACTTCTCATCAACGTCGAACAGTGCTCATCTGCACGGTATGAATTAAGATTGCACTTTAGGTTAGAACATCACGGAATGGACGCACAGTACAATTGTCGGGATCCGGGTGCACAGTATCGTACGAATGGGAGGGAGACGCGGGATTTGAGAAACCCACCCATTTGCTAGTCGGGATTTTGACCTGCGCATGATTAGGACGGTACGGTCTCATAGTGGAGCGACATGCAAATTGCCCCATATCATTGATTGGCAACCGAACACGACGCGGCGCGCACGTTCTCGGATCCGCGACCGGAGAGGGAGAAGTGCACAACGGCGCTGGGATGGATCACCGCGAGTGACCTCCACATCTGTGCTTCCCCAGACGTCGCGTTTAGTTTGCTAGTCACGGAGTGGGGATGTGCCCCTGCAAGCTCAGGCATGATGTACAAGAGGAACATGTTTATTGACAAGACGAGAATATACAGAGGACGGACTAGGACGCGAATCCTTCGGGCCGGAAAGATCGTGAGATTTGGGGAGGGCCCCTCATTGGGTTTTGAGGATCTCTCTGTCTCTTGTGCTCCGCCTGTGTCCTCAATTCTATTAGTAGAGTGGTTTCCTCCACGAGTCGCTGCAGCAGCATGCATATTCCGGTTGCTGGCGCGATGCCTCTTCAGGCAATTCAAAGCGGCACGGCTGGAGCAAACCCGAAGAAATCCTCGAGAGCACATATGCCTAGCGCTCTGCACACCAGATTGGTGCATTCTTCCAGTCGCCTTCTGTGGCATGGTAGGGCCGAAGGGTGCGGTCCCTCCTCGTCCTAATATGATGGTCATGACGAGAGTCGATGCAGGAAGGAAATCGTCCGCTTGGAGTACGGAGGAGATTGACCGTTCTCCACTCGCAGGGGGCGGAATGGGGCGTGAAGGGCGACGGAGGATGCTCCATGATTTGCGGTTCCAAACGCCCCTCCTTGACTCTCAGCCGCGCTAAAATGCTCGGCAGGGTAAAATGATCGGTGCCAACCCGGATGGAGCAGGAGCTAAGGAAGTGGGCGAGGCGGCGCAATATGATGGGAGACGGACAAGACTGCGGGTTGGCGAGCCAGTGAGGCTGCGCTTGAGGGGGGCCCTTGCTCCATGTTCAATGCTATTGCGTGGCAGGGCAATATAAAGAAACCAGACCGGAGCGGTACACAAACTATTCCGCTGGACGGCGACCATACCCGAGATGGGCAGTGCGCTCCGTGCTTGTTGGATGGGTTTTGGGCCATGTCGATCACGCGGGACGCGGTCAATCTCTCCGGGTTTGGCGGGCTGGTTAGGGGCTATGGATATGCGGATCGACGAAATCAGTGGTTTGCGAGTGGAGATGCGACGGGAGGAAGGATGGAGAGGAGAGCGATAAGAGCGGGAGAAGCGAGAAAAAGAGCGAGAGAACCATCTCCTCAAATAGCCTTAGCTCAATACCCTAAAGTATAGTTTATAGTTCAGTTGACTCCGTCTTATGCCCCCGGAACGTCCTTATCCTCGCCTCGTCGCACGGGAGTCAGTGGAGGCCAAGGCTCGGGACTCGGCCCCTCCTCCCCTGATAAGCCTGCCGGTCGTGCCCTAGTGGTGGCGCTTCACGAACACCCCCATCATGTCTGCACTGTCCAATCTCCTTGGCTCGAGCATCGGTCCTCGTGCTGTGCTGTGATACGTCATGGGGGAACTCCGCGACGATAGGCAGATCTAGTCGGCTATCCACGTCCCCTACGGAGGCTCGGGTAAATCTATCATGTCAACCGGACCCAATGGGACTCATGAGACAACCCACTCCCAATCCACTCTTCCAAACTCTCGTCCCGCTGGGTTCCAAACTTCCCAACCCGGCGACGCGAACCACACGCTGTCCAGCGCCCGGCACGACGGAGCGATGGGACCCTTCAGCCTCATCCGAAGTCCCATCTTCCTTCACGTCTACGCGGTGGAATATTCCCCGTCGATCGTGCTGTGGCCTGTCCCGGCGCGACACGGCGTCCCCCCATTGCCGGCCAGCCCGTCCGCTGCAGTTTCACCGGGCGGGTTGCAGCCTGCAAAGGTAACGGTCCGGAGATATGCATCGATGGGGTCGAATGGATCGATTGGATCGATTGGGTCAACTTGGATCGATTAGCCCGAGGAGCACAGCTATCCACGGCCATCCATGGAACAAGACACTCCGCACGCTGGAATGTCCCGGACGTCTCGGTGTGGAGAATGTTTTTCCTCGAAAGGAAGAAAGAAAGACGGAGAGGAAGGTGGTGGTGCTATGAGAATAAAGAACCAAAAACCCCCCAACAACGACTCTATATGAATCGTAGAGACGGACGATCCGCACATCCACTCATCGTGCACCGAGTCGCGACTCGTCCGACTCAGGACTCTGAGGTCGATCCCCAAAGCACGTGCGGTGCACGGAGCCGCCCTCTGTTTCGCCGAACGCCTGTGGATTCGCTGTAGCCGTGGAGAAGACGAGGGGATAGCGTTGCACTTCGCCTTAGTGCCCCGTCGCCCGCAGGACGCTTAAGCCGGAGCGAGAGCGAGCTGAGGGTCAAGACCAGGGCCGGATGGTGACGGAGCAAACTGACCGTAGGAAAAAAATACATTCGAGAGGCCCTTCCCATCCATTAACCTCTCAGGTACTGTGTCGTGCATACTTCCAGCACCGCACATCCCTGTTGTCCCGACCTTTCCGGGACTTTGGGTCGTGACAGTTCAGCGCGAGCCACCTCGAATTATCAGCCCGAGGAGCAACAGAGGAGCTAGGGGGTTCCGCCATGCTGATTGGTGGGTGGGTGCGCCCTCCAGCAGTCTCCATGATTCTCAGGGGTGGAGATGCGCGCCCGGGCAGTCAGCGACCGAATCCTCCTCTGCGGAGTACTCTATACTGGATACTGGGACTCCATAGTGATCCATAACCTGTCATCGTCAGGAACATCCGCCAAATCCGTTCCCGAGGGGATTCCGGCTGATTAGTATTCGTCCCATACCCCCACGGTCACAACTTCCCTGGGACAGAGTACAGTCCTGTCTACTGGGGGAGTATTATACTTTCTACCTTTTGCTTTTCCCTAGTTCTTTTGTAATTTCTGGGGGTTTAGACGTGCAATCTCCCCCTTAATCAGTAGGCGATCGAACAGTAAAACCCCTCCGATTACTGCCAACAACGGGGGAGTTCACCAAACCGCCAAACCGCCAAACCGCCTAACCGCCAAACGTGCCGCCCCCCTTCTTCCCTTCCCTTCTTTTCTTCCCCTTCCCCCCTCCCCATTCATTCAATCCGCTCCCCCCTCCCCCAGTCCTGCGAACGGCACTTGTCGGCTGTGCCATTCCATCTGGATCTGGTCCTTCTTATTCTTCGGGGCTTTTCTTTTTTCCTTTTTTCTTGTACATGCGTCTCCTCCCGGCCCTATCCCCCGTCTCCCGTTAGACACCTCTCTCCCCATCCGACCACCTTTCGTTTCTTCCACTCGCCTGGTTTCGAGTTCTTCTGCATTCTTGTCGGCATCCAGCGTCCTTCGTCACTTTCTCTTAATCGTTGTACCACTATAGTTTATGTTCACGCGACTTAGATCAGGTATGGTCCCCCCTACCCCTGGCTGACGCGTTGCCTGTTCAATCCCTCCCACCTCCCCAACTGTCAAGCAACCCCCAAAAAATTACAACAATCCATTCACCTGCCATCCGGCCCCCTCTTCCCTCCCTGATCTATCGACCCGGCTCTCCCGCCATACCGCGGTGACGACGAGACAAAAGATCGCTCGGATCGGGGAACTCAAGGCTGACTGTTCCTCCCCGGGCTCACTAGCACTCCGTTTCGCTCCTCGACCTCATCTGTCCTGACAACGAACACTCGTGGTCCCGTACCGTCGTCTCCAATCCAACCGCGAGTTGCCTTGTCGAGATCCTGACCGACCCGGACCTTCGGCAATCTGTCCTGTGCACTCTGGCGGAGAGCAACAATATGGCCGCGCTGGTTCAAACGATCCCCCAACAGAGTGGCACGGTACCGGTGCTCCAGACGCGTCCTTCCTCCTCCTCGGGCACCTTTGCCTCCCCTTCCACCCAGTCCCCTGTCTCCCGCTACCAGAACATGTCGTGGAGCTCCTTCAATGCCGGCAATTCGGGGAGCTATCGAGCAGGCCACCCGGTTGTGGCTCCCTATGCCTACACTCCTAATTTGGGTCCCTCTGCTCCCTCTCCGACAAGCCAACATCGCCAGTCGTGGTCGCCCCATCTTCGACCGGAGCACCGCACCTTCTCCGCCCCTGTCACCCACCAGGGTTCCTTGAATCCGTCCTACACGGGCCACTCGCGCGTCGTCCATCCTGCAGCTGGTTCTGTATCCAATTCCTCCTCATCCACCTCTTCTTTCCGATCCCATATTTCCAAGGACGACAGTGCACTCCCCTCCCGGCAATTGAGGACGGAGCAACCGCTCCGTCCTTTGTCGACCGCCAACCTCCCCCCTCCCAACGTCATGAACATCTCCTCTCCGGCCGGCTCCGCCAAGCCTTCTCCCAATCGGTACCGTCGTGCGAATCAACAGCGGACGGAGGGTGCTCGGCCGCAGTCACCCGCTCCGGCATCCACTCCCCCTGCGGCGGAGGACCAGACGGCCGCCGGTCCCCGAATCATTTTGCGGTCGAATGGCCACAACCGTGTCTCCAGTGTAGATGACTCCTCTCACCTGGAGAGGCCACAGCCAGAACTTGCCAAGCGGTACCGCCGCCGCAGTCTGGGGAATATGGATCCCTCCACATACCCTAATATGGAGCTTCAAATGCCACTATCGTCTTCTTCCCAGTATGGCTCGTACGACTTTATCGCGTTCGATACCAAGGAACGGCCGCGATCGGCACACTCGCACCGGGATAGCTCGGTGAGCGTCCACTCCGCACACTCGTCCACTTCTTCGGTAAGACTACCTTCGAATTTGAGCTTTCCGGAATGATCGAGACTAACATCGGACTTACCGATAGGTACGAGAAGGGGCTGCCCCAGAATCGAGCCCGGTGACCAGCAAGACCAGCAAGCCCGAAGAGAAGCGAGCGAGCAAATCCTCGCCTTTGTCTCAGCCTTCAACCTCGCCCGATTCCCCGACGACCGGACCGACAGAAAGCCAGACCACTACGGCTTCGTCGCCCCCAGTGGACTCACCGGCTGCCAGGCGCCTGGCGGAGCTGAAGAACGAGTCCAAGCGCCCTGGAAAATCACGCCTGCGACGTGCGTTCTCTTTCGGCAGCGCCTCCGAGTTGCTGAAGGCATCCTCCGCACAGAACGCTGCTAACAAGCGCGAGGCTGCAGCTGCCGAGCAGGCTCGCCGGGAGGCCCTCCGGGAGGAGCTTGGAGAAGAACAAGCCGCCATTGCCGAGCAGCAAGAAGCCAGTGGGCTCGGTGAGAGCATTTATTCCCACCAAGGCAATTTATTCCGTGGCTCGACCGATGCCCTCTCCGTCTCCTCGACCGCTTCTTCGGCCTCGATGATGCTTCGCAAGATGGGCAAGGGTATGAAGCGAGGCGGCCGATCTCTTGTCGGCCTGTTTCGTCCTAAGTCGGTTGCTAGCATCAACTCGATTGAGGGAGGGGTGCCAGAGCAGCCCATGGCTGCCCCCAAGATCTCAGTGGTCAACGTGGAAGGAGAGCGTGCGGAGGTGGAGAGCGTAACGGTGAACCCCGATGTACAGGACATGCCCCGTGGTGGCACGGTATTTCCCAAGGCGGAGAGTGGCTCGGAACCTCGGCGATCTGGCTCCCTCCATGAACGTCCTGTTCAACAGCGAAGCCTCTCCGATAACACCGGCGACAGCCGCAAGAGCATCGTGGGGGGTGACCGAGAACGTGCGGAGGTCCTGGCGACTCTCCACCGGGGTATTCTCAAGAAGACTCACTCCGATCTTGGAGTCTCGGCCCCAGCGCGCGCACAGAACGGCAGTGACTCGCCGCACTCCAGTGCTCCAACCACTCCCGATGAGTCGATCCGAGCTACCCGCTCGGGCGACCAGGTCAAGATCGCAGGCGAAGACTACTTCATGTCGGAAGGTGGACGGTATGCGGGCGGTGACGCCAAGAGCGCCCCCATCACTCCCCAGCCCGGCGGGCGGAACATCGTGTTCAGCCCTCGCATTCAATTCCACGAGACGTGGCCGAGTGGCGAATATGACCGTCGCGGAGAGATTGCGACTTGCAACCGTTTGACGCCGTTGCTCGCTCAGCAGATCCGGGAGGAGATCAACAACTTCAAGATGGTAAGCATCCACCCTAACTGCATGTGCGCACGTCTGATTTATCTGTGCATACTAACCATGACGACAGGAGATGGAGGTTCACGAGAACTCCAAGATTTACACACACTTCATTTGATTTCACTGGTGGGGATTGGCTTCATGGGTTGCACCGCAAACCATGTATCCTTGTCCATAGATCTGCATCCACTTCGGCGATTGGGGGGTGGGGGGTGTTTTGAATTTCTTTTTGTCCCTTCTTATTCTCGCGTCCATTGCGACCTCGAAAAACCCTGGATCTGTCCGTTTCCCGGCTTTATCTCTCTTCGAGTCTCGACAGCTCTCCATACTGTGTCCACTCTCGTTGCGGTCTTTCCTTTCCCCTTCTATGGCCCTCCCATCCGTGGAGGGTTCGTGCGTTGAACAAAATGGAGCGGCTTGTCTCTAAAATTTCCACTTGGTTCTGTCGCCGCCGACGCTTGGTCGTGTGTCCTCTGCCTCGGGCGTTGTTCCGTTGATCTAATGAATGTTGCCTCCCCCATGCCATCTACTACTTATCAGGCGCAGCGGTCTAGTCTCTTGTCAACCGACTTTTTTCCCCCACGGCCCCTCTCTTTACACTCCTCCTGCCTTCTGTCTTTTCCGCATGCATTTGAACTGAACCATTGTCATTGTCATCAAATATTGGGAGCGTGGGCAACCTGGGCTTGTTTTCCATTTTTCATTGTCTGGCTCTTCCGCGCCTTTCTTTTTGTTTTCTAGCACATCACTCTGCCATGGTCATGTCGGGACCTCTTTTCTAACTTAACCTTTTCTCTTAACATCTCATCAGCTCGTCGGAATGCAATTCGAGCCTCTGCTGCATTGACTCTTATTCTCTGCTTTTTGACTCCCTGCGCCGTTGATCTCCTTTCTCTTTGGTCGCTTGCACCGTGAACCCTTGTTGCTTGCAAGCAAAGTAGTAATTGTGCTTGGGTGGAAGATGCGTTGAGCATAATGAGTTCTGTTCTCTTTCTGCGTCTTCTTTAGTTTAGGGATTGGCTTTTTACATGCGTCGACGGTGATAATGGATTGGTTCGTTTCCTGATCAGTGGTTGTTGCCTGTCGTGGATCATCTACAAGATGATCCACTGTTTTCATTCAGAGCGCAAGACCGAATCCCTACATCCGCCATCGCCTTCTACGGTGCCTGCATGCACCAGTAACTCCCGCCCCCTGGGCTGTGTGATCAGTGCGCTGCCAGATATTGGCTTGTGCGGCCGTGCGGTACGGACAATGCCTCCATGCGGGCGACCGGGGGCAGGTAACGTCTCGCACGATCACGTTGAGACAATCTCGGCCAAGACCCAGGCCCAGCACGTGTCCGCTAGATGCCGAGACTCTTCCCGGCCGCAACCCCTTGCCGCGATCTTGACGGGGGTTGGCGCCAGCACATTCCGGCTCGAGAAGGCTCCAAGGCTCGTCTCTGCCACAGCGTTGAGCGTATGCGACCCCCACGCCTCGGAGAAAATCCGATTCTCCCGTGCAACCAAGGCCTGGCGGCCCAGCGCCGAGAACGTCGGGATGGATCCCCGTATTTGGCTTCCCCGGAACCCCCCGCCTTCCCCCACGCCGGGCCCGTTTTGGGGTCATTGGCCGAGCCCCGTCTCCCCGTGGGGTTGGCCCATGCCGGACGACCGCATTTGGGTTGGGTTACAGTCGCGGCCATGCCGACTCCATCGACCCCGTTGGGTTCGATCTCTGTTTATCTTGTCGCGGCATTCTTCTACTCCGCACACGCCACCGTTCCCCGGCTTCCCACAAGAAGCTACTGTCATCCCGGATCCTGGCTCTCTTGTCCCCGACTGGCCCGATTCTTTTAGTAGTTTTTAGGGGGATTCGTATTTCCTTCCCTGCGCTCCCTGTTAGCTTCCACTTTCTTCTCGCCCCGCGTGCTGGGATATTCTCTGATCTTTCTCATTTGAGCACCTGTGCAAGCTGGACTGCTTCTTAGGATCGATCCCCTCCCTCTCTCCCACGGAGGATTTGAGTAATCTTCAAAATGTCCCCTCACGCTTCGCCAGATCTGGAGGTGGCCGATATCGACAAGTCGTATGTGGACAATGTCGAAGTCATTGCCAATGCCGACAAGCCCAATGCGAGGAAAGAGGCACCGGCCTATGTCGCCGGCCTGTCGCCTGAGGAGCGTGAGAAGGCCGAAAAGGCCCTCGTTCGCAAGATCGACATCCGCCTGCTGCCCATGATCATCGTCATGTACATTCTCAACTACTTGGACCGAAACAATATTGTCAGACTCCGTGGACCGCCTGCATTCCATCCCCGAAACTAACTTGATTCCAGGCCGCGGCTCGTTTGGCAGGTCTAGAGAAGGATCTTGGTCTCGTCGGCAACCAGTACTTGGTATGTACGGCTCGATAGCATCTTGATGGGCGAGAGTATATTGATTGGGGCACCAGACCTGCGTGAGCATTCTGTTTGTGGGTTACCTCTTGATGCAGAGTCAGTACTTCACGCACCCGCGCATCAGCATACTTTCCGCCGAAGCTGATGAATGGTCTAGTTCCCTCCAATCTGCTCCTCAATAAGTTCGGCAAGCCGGCGATCTACCTGCCAACCGCCATGATTCTGTGGGGTATCATCTCGACTGCCACTGCAGCTGCACAGAACTTTGCGGGTCTCGTGGTGACTCGATTCTTCCTCGGTTTCATTGAGGCTGCTTACTTCGTACGTCTTCCTCCCTGTCTTCTGAGCTGGGGCTTTGGGCCTGATGTGATTCCAGCCCGGCTGCCTCTATTTCCTAAGTGCCTGGTACACCCGCAAGGAACTTGGTTTCCGCACAGCAGCCTTGTACTCCGGTTCTCTCCTTTCCGGTGCTTTTTCTGGTCTCATTGCGGCGGGGATTACTAGCGGCATGGACTACAAGATGGGTCTCCGTGCCTGGTAAGTAGGCCCTTACTGCTTGTCTCAAGACGCTCGTTTTAACCTTTCTTCAGGCGTTGGCTGTTCATCATCGAAGGCGCGATCACCATTGTCGTTGCCGTGATTGCCATCTTCATCCTGCCTAACTTCCCTCGTACCACCAGCTGGCTCACCGAAGAGGAGAAGGCCCTGGCGACCTGGCGTCTCGAAGAAGATATTGGTGAGGACGACTGGGTCGACAGTGAGCACCAGTCATTCCTGCATGGTGCCAAGCTTGCCTTTACTGATCCCAAGACCTACCTTCTGGTATGTGCCCCCCCCCAACCCCTAACTTCTATCGTAGTCCCCAACTGACCGCTGTTTTTGCTTCTCTTTTTTTATGTAGATGCTCATGATCCTGTGCATCGTATCCTCCGCCTCGGTGACAAACTTTTTCCCTACTGTCGTCAAAACCTTGAAGTACGGCAACATTGAGACTCTCCTCCTTACCGCTCCTCCCTACTGTCTCGCCGTTATCTGCGCCTTTGCTAATGCCTGGCATGCCGATCGTACCGGCGAACGTTACTTCCACGTCACTCTGCCATTATACGTCTCCGTTGCAGCGTTCATCCTTGCCGCTGCAACCACTGGTACCGCGCCTCGCTACGTTTCCATGATGCTCATGGTGCCATCGTTCTACTCTGGTTACGTCGTGGCTTTGGGCTGGATCTCGAACACCTTGCCCCGTCCGGCGTCCAAGCGTGCTGCGGCTCTCGCCGGTATCAACTGCGTTAGTAATGCTAGCAGTATTTACGCCAGTTACATGTACCCCGACAGTGATGCGCCGCGATTCAGTGAGTTCAACCCCAACGCAATATTATGGGTTTGTGTGAGTAAAGCTAAAGATTGTGAAGTTCCTGCCATGTCCGTGGACTGCGCTACAGCCTTTGTCGCCATCCTGTCTGCTACTGCGTTGCGCTTCCTCCTTGTCCGTCTGAACCAGAAGCTCGACCGTGGTGAGGCCGTTGAGGGCTCTGTTCCGGGCCAGGCCAGCAGTCGTGGTTTCCGGTTCTTGGTTTAAGCATGATGGACCGCCTTTAGCGTTGGTGCGGATCGATCATGCTTGCATGGGTATATTTCTTCGACTTAAGAGAACCCCGCTGAGTGTTGGCCCCCGATCAGGACTGTATTTGTGTTTTACAATGAATTGCTGTAGCCCTTACTTGTATGAGTGATTTTACCTCGACTGGTTGGACTAGGTCTAGAGAAGAAGATGACATAACAGCAAGCAAAGGACCTTTGTTATGTGCATTGGCACCACCACAGGGGAGTAAATTTAGATGAAGACTGGACCAAAGTATATGAGCCGCTTTTTCTTGCACTTCAACAAGAATCGATCCGCGAAAACCCCCTCAGACCGGACCGAATCTCATCTAGCCGACCCATCACGCGAACTTCTTCCGCTCCTCTGTCCACCGAGTCCTCAATTCTTCTGCGTCCTTGCTAATATCCACGGTATCCAATGAACTATCAGCAGCATAGTTAACTCGCCAGTCAACTTCTAGACTTGCCCCGTCCTCTGTCTGAGCCCAGACAGCAAAAGCCACCGTATTCTCCCCACTATAGTTCAGTATACCTGCCGGAACGGGATATACAACTTGATTTCCAATGTACGGGTTGTACCGACCGTACTGGTACCCGTTCACGAAGAGTTGGGCACGATAAGCGAGTGAGCTACTGGAGGGCGTAGAGAGAACAAAAGAGATGGAGATATCCGTGTTGGAGGGGAGGTCGAGGGCGATGGTGGTGCGGAAGAAGCGGACTGTTGCTCCTTGGACGCTTAAAGTCGAGCTGCTGGACCAGGCCAAGTCGTCGTAGCCAGGGAGGTGCCATCCAACACGCTCGCCGTAGAGACCGTCTTCGTTGAATACCCCGCGCACGGGGTCGAGGTTAGAATCGCTGCCTGCTGTGCCTGCTAGACGCCAGTGCGAGAAGCCAGACGAGGAGCCGAGCAGCCGGGCGTCGAGAATGCCGCGGGGGTTGAGAGCACCCGTTTTTTCGTCGTGACCCGTGTCGTCGTGGACGACTAAGAGGACGTTCGGCTTGCTGGTGTTGAGAGTGGTGTTTGAGAAGGAGAGTGTCAGGTTGCCTTGCTCGTCCAAGGCATCGCCGAGGTAGGAGCCTATGAATTGGCCATTAAGCCAGGCAGACCAGCCGCTATATCAGACATGAGTGGGAGGGACAATTGAGATCAGCTTGAGGGCACCTACAAGGCATATCCTCCCTGCACGTTGAGGTAGGCTCCAGTTGCAGAGCCATTGAAGTATCCCCGCCAAAGGCGGACCCCATTGTGGAATCCTGAATGGCTGTTTAGATCAGGAACATCAATCCTGCAAAAGGAGTCTGCTTACCGTATTCGTCTGCATACATGACGGGCAAGGTCGTGGGAGTTCGGGGGTTCAACGTGGTCATATGGTTCGCATCTGGTATCATTGATTAACCTTGGTGTTGGATAGAATAGTGTCTTCATTTGAGCAGTCGCACTCACCAACCCATGCAGCTCCAGAGTCATCGTATGTCGCCAAACGCTCCGGTAGACTGTCTTTTGACTTCCAGGACCCGAAGGAAGGCAGAGTAACAGTCTGCGGCGCCGAAATGGACCCCTTGAGACTGCCGTACTTCGTACGCTGTGTTCGGAGGGGCTTTCCATTCCAGGTGATAGACTTGACAGCCTTGGGAGCAAAGACTTCCAGGGTCGTGGCATTGACAATATCACCCGTCACGGCAAGTTTCGAGCCCGACAGACTAGCTCCGCGGACGAGATAGGGTCCCTGAACAAGCACTGCCAGATAATTAGTACCTCACAGAGTCACTTTCGATCTGAAACATACCACTTTCAGTCTCCGGTACAAGCGGATCATTCGTAAGTGCAGGAGCCCAGAACGTATACGCAGCTGTTCTATCGAGAAGGATGACGCGGAAGTCATCAATATCCAGCACACTCATGCCTGAGGACTGTGTAAAGGTAGCAGTTAATCCGCCATGTTCCTTGATGAATGTCACGTCCGAACATCGCTGGCACCGCTCAATCGATCCCTTCTTTGCTCCCTTCACATTAAACTCGCCTGATTCGCCAGTCGGTACCCAAAGGACCAGCGTGGGAGTCTGGTCGAACACGGCATAGCTTAGAACTTCGACAGTGGAATACAGCAATGTCTTTGATCCAAAGGTGAAATCCGTAACGAGAATCTTGGACTGATGTCCGTTAAGCCGGACTACACCACCGTGCTTGGGAACGGTCAAGGCCCCAGCGGAAGTGTTGACCTTGAGGTGGAATGCTTCGTTCGTAGATACAGAGGTGTTGGTGTGGAATGTTGCGTAGAACCCAGCGTTTGTGTCTGGATTCCGAAGCTCATAGGCCCGGACGAGCGAATTATCAGTGTACTGTGTGCCATTACCGATCAAATTGGTCATTGTCAAATCTTTCGCAGAGCGAGTGAACAAGGCCAGCAGCTTCGTCTCGTAGTATTTCGACCCAATCGATCGATCCTCCGAGATAGGCGCCGAGTAGTCATAACTACTTGAGGTGACTGGTGCCGCAATCGCACCCCAGTTCGTTCCACCAAACAGCATGTACAGGCTCATGGCTGTCACCCGTTGACCGATGTTCCATCTGTAGAATAGATTTGCAAAGTCTTGGTCCGAGTTCTCGGAGCATCCGCCCTCTGGTCCACCCCAGGGGTTATACGAACCGCCCTGGAACTCGGGCATGAATTCTGGCATGGTGGGCTGTGACTCTTGGAAGTAATCATAGTAGTCCATGACCGAGAATGCGACATATTCGCCATTTGTCGAGGTGCATTGGCTGAGGTCGCAGGTCCAGCACTATATAGCGCCCTTATGTTAGCTCCGAAACAACGATCTGTCGAGAGGATGGAACCTACCGATGGGTATGAGTCTACACCGGCAACGTCAACATTTCCGCCCTCGTTGGACCAATCACTACCCCAAGAATGGGAGTTCATGTTCGGATCGTTGGACGTCAAAGGCACGGTAATCCCATTGGCGCGGGCGTTCGCCTCAAGAAGCTCCATATACGCAATGGCTGTTTCATTCGGCACCCGCTCCGACGCAGAGCCAATCCACTGGTTCCCATACTCATTTTCAATCTGGTAGACAATCGCATTCTCCCCATCGGTGACCTGGTACTTGCTGGTGATTTGGGACATCCTGGTGAAATACGGCGTCCATGCTTTCGTATACCGCGTGTCGTTGTTCCGCAGGGTGCCGTATTCACCAGTGGTCAGCCACAGCGGGAACCCGCCCGCATTCGCTTCGGCATTGACATACGGGCCAGGGCGCACGATGATATAGAGTCCTAGCTCTTTGGCGAGCTCAAACAGGGGTGTGATATCATGCGCGCCAGTCGTGAAGTCGAGCGTCTGGTTGTTGGGGGCGTGGTAGGCCCAGCTCGAGTAGAAGGCGAAGGCTGTGAAGCCGGCGGCTTTAATCTTCTCGAGGATGTCACGCCATAGACCAGGGACGGGGATACGCCAGTAATGGAATTCGCCAGAGAAGATGAAAATGCGTTGGCTATTTATCTGGAAGCTATAGTGGTCCCATTGGACGACTTCATTTAAACCATCGTCATGCAGGGGCCATTCGGTGGCTGTTTGGTTCTCCGCAGCCCAAGTGACACCCAGGAAGGAGAGGATCATCCAAAGCCCGTAGAGAAGCCGTGTTGGTCGCGCCATCTTGCAGTGACTCGGACAGCTGCCGAGGACCAGGGTGCCGGGCGATCGATTCGAGCGGCCATTGTGGACAAAGGGTCCGTTTTATCCTGCATTGGTCTCATGCCGGCCTGGGTTTTGTGCGGAGAAAACTGTGGGGGTGAAATACACGGCAATCACCGTCAGTCTGCCGACGGGCTCCTGAGCGAGATCCAAGCGAAGCCCGGACGTGGTTTTAAGTCTCCTCCGCGCGGGCTATTACGGAAGTTAGATTTTCCTCCATTCAGATCGCTGGAAGATGTGGAGATTATGGAGAAATTCATGGGGAAGGAGTCTCATGTAAAAAGGGTACTTTTTCTCCTCAATAATATACATCCCGTGTCTGTACTGTAGTCTAGCAAAGCAAAGCCGGGAGACCAGAAAACAGCTATGATCATAGAGCCAGTCACGGTTCTTCCCGTCCCGAGGGAGAACCGAACCCTGGTAAACAAGCCAAACAAGCTCCCCTGGGAGCTCTCGCCAATGACAGCAATTGGCGCATCGGCCACTTGGTCCGGTCCGGAAGAAAGCTTCTCCGTCGGGCGGAGGTGATGCCTGAGCGAGGCCAATTACCAGCTACCGGAGGACTTGTATAGGCGATGGGGGAGATGGCGAATCAGGAGAGAGCCTATCAGCCCATATCCGCCACGAATCAAGTGGTATTGCGCTGAACCCCAAGACTCCAAAAATTCTATGCCGCAAATCGATGTCACACGTCCACTCAGTCAAATCACGCATTGTTATCGAGAACGCCAAAAGGGTTCTGCCCCTTCACCTCTGGCCCATTCGATGCGCGCTCACGCTCGTTCTTGCTCTGTTTCTTGGCACCCTTCTTCGCGGGCACGGGCGAGAAGCCTTCATCCGAGGCTGACTGGCTCGCGGCGGCGGCCTTGGCCTTGTTGGCTGCAGACGAGCGTGTCCGGATGGGGGAGTCCTGAGTCACGATCTGCTCGACAATTTGCTGTACGTGAGCTCTGAATCCCTCCTCATCGGTGTTCTCGCTGTTCTCCCCCTCGATAGCAGCCTTCTGGATCTCGCGGCTCAGACCCTTGAGGGCGTCCATACCGGCCTTCTCAGCAGCCTCCATGTGGGTCGGCTGCTGGGGGTCCTTGCGATTCAGGTAGGAGCGGACGAAGAAGCGAACGAACAGGTAGGTCAGGGGAAGCAGATAGGAAACGTTGAGCCAGATGGCAAATGCCTGGCCGGTGGTGTCCATGCAGGTGACCATCTGTTGGGTGTATCCCGAGGCAGGAGCAGCGACGGCCCCACCAACGTTCTCCGCAATGCCTTCCGCACCAGCGGCGCGGAGGGCCAGCTTCTTCAGCCAAGGGACGACACCAGCCTCCGCGGTCGCAGTAGCAACGGCGGCGGTCTTGGACAGGTGCTGCAGGGCGGTGCTGCCCACAGGGTAGGGGATGGTATAGTGAACGAAGAGATAGGCGGCGGCCAGGTTGGTGCCGAGGACGAACTGGGTGATTTGCATGGTTGTCAGGCTACGTTTGATCGCATTGGGAACACGAATGCGCAGAGCCGTGAGGGTATAATAGGTGTACTAGAAGCAACGGAGTCAATGATATAAAGCCAAAGCGTTGCATATCCAGAGGAAACATACCATCATCGCGTGGATGGCGGAGTTGACCAGGGCAAAGATCCAAATGGGAGCGGCCATGTAGCGAATACCGGCCCACATGCACATCATTGCACCAGCGTGGTGGTAGGTCTGCAGCGTAGAGCTTTTCTTGCCCTTGGCGAGGATGATCGCAGTGTCAACAACCTCGTAGAACTTGGAGAGGTAGAAGATCCAGCCAAAGTAGGCGAGACCGCCGTTCCAGAGACGGCCGACGTCGGACGAATCGGGTAGGCCATCCGTCAGCTTAATCGCAGGGTTGGGGATCGACCACTGGTCGGTGATAGGGCTATAGGTAGCGGCATTGCCGTAGCCGCGGGGTCCATTGATTTTGCAAAGCGAGTCCACAACACCGACCAGACCGTTAGGCTGGTCACGGTCTGCCCAAGAGTTACCAAAGGCTTGAAACATGCCGACAAAGGTCCATGCGGAGTAGACGGCTAGGAAGACATTGTGCAGCACGACAAACAGCTTGAACAGAGGCGTGTGGCTGAAAGCGTATGGTTTATAGCCACGGCTCTTGTTGATACGGTTGATGAGAACAACAGTGATCGCATAGACGCTGGCAATGGTGATGGGGACGCGCACGTCCAACACCTTTGTATAGAGATCATCGGGGATGTTGAAAGGCTGCTTCCATGTGGCCTCCGCAACGTGCGGCGCTGGGACGGTCTCGGGAAGCTCGGCAGGAGGAAATCTGAGCAGCGAGGCCGGCGGCAGGGCAATACGAACGGTGGCCGGGCCAAACTGGGTGGGCACGTTAAGGTCATACATGGTGATTCCCAAGGCCAGAGACGACCACAGAAGCACCAACCGGCGGGTTTTTTGGGGGGATGAGAATAAGAATGCGGAGAAAGCTGGCGACACAGAGGGAAAAAAGAACAGAGGAAAAAAAGGCTGGCCAGCCAAATCAGTAGCAGCGAAGGACAGAGGGCTCCACTGGGCAGATAAAGAACGCCCCAGCGTGTCTGATCGAACTTATCAGCAGGCGCGCCTTGCCCAACTAGCTCAACTGGCAGTGGTGGAGCCTGCGTTTGTTGGGAATTGGGGGAGCCGAGGTTAAGGCACGCCCAAAAAAATCAGGACTGGGGTCGATTTGGAAAATGTGGTCATTGAATGGTTGGTATTGCGTAGTCTCTTATTTTAATCAACTACCCACTGTTATGACTGGTCAATTGGTCTCAAGAATTATCTCCAGTCTATATCCGCCATATACTCCGTGCTTTTTTATGCAAGGTTGAACAAACGGCCCTCACGCGACCGGCACACGCGATAGATTGCCCGTGCAATGTTGCAAACACAACAAAATGGGCTACACCCGGCCCCACAGCTTTTTGCGGTTTGCCCTTTTTGAGTGTTTTCCAGAAACAACGCACGGCGGACCTCTACTGACTCAGTCACGACCTGATTCAGGCAAGATCAGGCAGGATTCAGGCCAGCACTTCGGCCAGGACAACATCATCCACATGCGCAGGAAAGACACGAGGGGTTTCATGCGCACACTATCAAGCCGATGATCGTCTATTGTTGGGACCAATAGCTCACATTACACAGCCAGTAGATCTCCCCAACGCTTCGAGAACGCAGTCGATCAGATTACACAAATCCGCCCAACCGGAACCTTTCACATCACATGCGGCCGAGGCCTTGGCGCAGGAAAACTGCAGGTGAATTCATGCAATGATGTCATTTCGAAATAGCTATGTAGGACAACAAGGGGGGGGGGGCATGGATTAATCACCACGTTCCTGATATCTCCAATTTGCGCCGGTCGTTGAACAAAGTGGTACAATCGTGGTACAAGTACAAGGTCCCGCTCAGCGAGGTCTGGTGTCGTGTGGGATGGGCGGCGGTGTTGCCGACGCTGATGATACTGGCGAGGCATTCGCAGGAGCCCCGCGCATTTCCGCTCGCTTTGGGGGCGGGGGAGGTGGTTTCTTGCGTTGGGCTTGAGCTTCCAGTGTGCTGTTCGACGTCGACTCAGTTGGGGGATTAATAGCGGCATTGGTCCTAGTGTTAGTGCTGGGGGAGTTGGGACCGGGTGGGCGAGGGATACGCTTGTTTGCATTGGCTGAGAACTTGCGATCCTCGACAAAGGTATTGAACCGCGACGTCATGCCGCCCAGTTTCTCCTTGCCCATATCGATCTTATCTGCATGGCGCTCTCGGAAGGTTCGAGCAGGAGGAAGAGCATCCTCCCGATTCGCACTGGGCAGCGGGGCCGGAGATGGCGGGTTGGGTGCTGCAGACGCAGACCCCGGGTTGGTCCGCATCTGCGAGAATCGGGATTGCAGCTCGTTGACATCAGCACCGCGGGTGCCGGACGGTGCCGGCGAGGAAGCATTCACCTCGCCGATCCCGAGGGCGGGGACCGAGAGACCAGCGTCAGCGAGGCGCGATGTAGCCTCTTGGTTGATGTATCCCTGCGATGCAGGGGGCGGCGTTGCGGTGTATGCCGGCGGCGGGGAGGGGGAATATGATACGGCAGTGTCGTTCCGGTGAGGGACTCGAGGAGGGATCATTGGTTTTGGCTTCATGCTTGCCGGCACCGGGCCGGAAGGCGAAGCAGAGGAACCAGTTGGTGAATCTAGGCGCCGGACGGGTGGCGGTGGGAGATTGCTCGTAGAGAGGCCAGAGGTGTTCACTCGATAGGGGACCGGCGGCGGTTTAGGCTTCCGGGCTGCTTCCTCTTCTTCCTCCAACGCCTGTTGTTTGAGTGCATTCTGCTCGTTGATCTGGGTTTGGGATAACGGAGCCCCTAGACCACGACGGTCTGGTGTAAGCTCGTTCGGGAGGGCCCCGGGACCATGGTAATTGATGTGTTTGGGTGGTGGGCCAAAGGATGCCGGGTCCTTCAGAGATGACAGCGGTTTGGATACATGCTCAGAATCCTCGGAGCTTGAGTCTTTGCCCTTGCCCATCCATCCCGCCTGTCACATTCTGTTAGCGGCGGAGCCTTGCAGATGCCCAGCCATGAACAAAGAGAAGCTTACCACTTGATTGATGCCCTTGAAGTCCCCACGCCAACTTTCCTTCTTTCCATCCTTACCCTTAGACTGCCAGCCATCTTTCATGACATTTTTGAACCCACTCATGATGATCAGTGAGGTGGATGAGCTGTCAAGCAGACCGGTGACGATGAAGGCCCCGCTTACTCCGCAGTCACGTGGCAGTATTTCCCAATCGGGTAATATGCTGGGCTCCCCAAGTACGTTAGTTGGGTTGTGAGTTGCCTGGAAGGGTCCCGAGGGAGCATCGAGAAAAGAATTCCAAAAATAACGCATCCAGGTGTTGACAGATCAATCGCTTCCTGCTGTATGACTTGGACATATATCGAATAGACGCACAACAGATATTGGTTTTGGCCGACCATGATAGTCAATTGATGTGAAAGAAAGGTGAGAGATAATAGAGTGCCAGAACGGATATAGTGTGCAATACCTATCTAGATAGAATAGCAGACTTAGTCGGATCCTGCATTCAGGTACACTGCTGAAAACGAGGTTTAATCCAAATCTAGATAGCTCATGTGTAGACTGTAATTATCACGGGTCTTGTTATTGAGATAGTCAAGGGAATGAAGGCAGGAGTGGTGGTTAGTATAAGAGACCGACTTAGACTAGTTTGTTTTAATGTGTCTTTTTAAGAATTGTAGTTTTATAGGTATATATTCATCAACTACCCTCCATCAATCAGTCTGGATCCTCTCCTAGTAGATCTTGCACTTGCTAGCTAATATCTGTGCAGAGACCTTATATCTTTCCAAAAATGGAGGCTCCAGGGATGCTTTCAGACTGACCTTTCTGGGTTTGTTCCAGATGGCGGAAATGTTATAATGTTTCGCTAGTAGCCTCGCTAGGAATGTACCTAAAGTATATTGATGAGGGGGTGGGAAATCTAGTCGTCGTGGTAAGCCAAACGTAATCGAGACCTTCGATCCGAGTTAAGTTTACAATAATGACTATATTTTTACAGTCCTTCCGGAAATTGGTGTCACCACTTACACTCTTCGATTGTTTCTTGAACCCCAATGTCAAGACCCACTTGTGCACACTATATTACAGTAAGAATAACCCCGGGATATCCATATTCCTGTATAGCCACATATCTACAGGATGTTATAGTATTTTACTCCATTAAATACTGTACATGACTCGTGTCTCGTCACTGTAATTTGGATACCAGTGTGGCTGTGCTGCATTGGGCACTGCCTATCGCACGAGCCCCCCCCCCCCCCCATCCTTTGACTTGCTTCTGCCTCAGAGCCTTTTACCTGTCCATCAGCTACCCACTTTTGAAAGTTACCAACACAAAACGTTGGTAATGGATCCTTTGTCTCTGTCCCTTGGCCTTGCGAGCATTCTGCCTCTAATTGCCAGTGCGATCACAACATCAAAAGAGTACATAGACAATGTGAGATCCGCGAGGAAGTCAATCACGACATTGGTAATCGAGCTTGAAGCCCTGCAATCCAACGTGGCAAATCTGCACGATCTCCTGAAGGACGATTTGTTCAACCATAGTGCTGTGCGATTCCACGAAAGTTCGGTTCTCTTGACCTGCTCCGCTGCGTGCGAAGCGAAGCTGCGATCGCTCGGCAAGACCCTGGCCCAAGAAGCAAAGGGGACGAGGAGTCGCCTTTTGTGGCCTTTCACTGAGAAGGAGTACCAGAAGACGATACAGGAATTACGTAATTTCACCAACTGGATGCAGTTTGCTTTGTCGGTCGATGGCTGCCGGCTTTTATCGCGGACGTCGGATGACGTATTGAAGTTGATGGGACAGCAGCTAGAGCAGTTCAGGGCAGTCCAGACACTTGAAGTAGATACGCTTCAAATCCTCGACATTGTCCAAGACCAGAAGCGCGCGATCGAGGTCAATATCGAGCGGGAGACTAGAAGCAGCATTCTGAACTGGATATCGACTTCAAAGTACTATCAGAAGCACCAGCTCATCCAAGCATCAAGGGCACAAAATACTGGGACTTGGATTCTCGAAAGAGATGAATTTATTCAGTGGCGAGACGATAGCTCGCCGTCAAATGTTCTTGTCTGTCATGGCATTCAAGGCTCGGGCAAAACAAACCTTGCGTAAGGCTATCCATCTCTGCTCTCGGAGCCCCACTGATGTTCCAGCTCGATCATTATCGATGAACTTCTTAACTCTAGCTCCAGCGAGACTTCACCCGTTGCGTACTTCTACTTTGACCACCAGGACCAATCTACCCAAAATACGTCGGTAGTTCTATGCTGTATCCTTAGACAGCTTCTCGAGCAGTTACCGGCAATCCCTAGTCCCGTGGCTGAGCTATATGAGAAGGGCGGCCACCAGGGCCGAATTCCTCTCCACGAATGCGAACGACTACTCACTGACCTTGGTTCGACCGTGAGGTGTGCATATCTAGTGTTTGATGGACTCGACGAATCGGAACATCGAAGAACCTTCCTTCAGAGCATTCAGAATGTGGTTCGAAGAAGCCAAATTCGATTGCTGGTTACAAGTCGGCCTCATATCCAAGATCTCATAGATCTATTCCAGCAGCATCTGAACCTCAGGATCGAGGCTCACGAAGAAGATCTCAAGATGTACCTCTACCAGGAGCTCGATCAAGGAGGAATATATGACATCGCAGATCAAAGCTTTGTGAACAGACTGGTTTGGAAGCTGACGCAGAGGGCAGAGGGAATGTATGTCACTTTTCCCAATGTCACCGTATCTGTCCACATGCTTCGAGATTAGAAGTCCTGACAAATGTACCCTATGCATATTAGGTTTCTTCTTCCAGTTCTACAGCTTCGCACCATTCTCAAGGAGCCTACTATCGGCGAGATGGAGGACAGAATAACAGACTTGTCCTACAGTCTCAGCGACGCCTTTGCGGATACCATTTCTCGCATCCAACGGCTCCCCCAGAGCCGCAGCCGACTCGGAATGGGTGCTCTTATGTGGCTTTGCCACACAACCGGGGCATTGACAGCATTGGAATTGAGCGATGCTTTGGCTGTCCACAGTGTGCGAAATGCGGTCAATGTTAAGTATCGCCCAGCTACAAAGATCATTCTCGAATGTTGTCAAGGTCTTGCGACCGTAGACGTGGAGGGTTATGTGCGGATTGCACATTACGCAATCAGGGAGTATTTAAGAGACCATTCGAAAGATCTCTTTCCAAGAGCCGAATCCACGATTGCGGTAACTTGCCTTCGTTACCTTGTGTTTGAGAACTTCCATGATGGGCCTTGGCCGACTGAGAGTGAAATTAAGTCTAGGATGGAAGTATACCCTTTTCTCTCCTGGGCCGCCAGGTACTGGGGACAATTCGCCCGGCGGACCGAAACCGATGCGGAAGTTTGGTCTGCACTATTCGCTTTTTTCTCCTCCCCCGCCGCCATGGCCGTGGCGAACCAAGTGCGACAGTATTCGATGGATCGTGTACCCAACTATTGGGATGTAGACGAATGCAGCAGCTTTTCAGCGCTCCACCATGCGTCGCGCCACGGCCTCGAGCGGGCGGTTAGTCGGCTCCTCGACAGCGGCGCATACGATGTCAACGAGTTGACGCGAATGGGCGGTACGCCCGTGATCCACGCTGCCGCGGGAGGACATGTGCTGACGACCCGGGGTCTGCTGGAACACGGGGCTAATCCACACTTGCGCAACTGGTACGGTGACGCGCTGCACTGCGCCATGGAGTCGGACAAGGTGGCCACCGTGCGCGAACTGGTCCGCTGGGGGATGGACCCCAACGCCGTCGGGAACGACAAGCGCACGTACCTCGCCTGCGCACTGGAAGGGGATTCAGCCGGTGCGTTTGCGGCGCTGGTCGAGCTCGGCGCCGACATTGGGTCGCAGAGTGCGATGGGAGCCCACAGCCATATCTTCTTCACCGCGGCACTCTGGGGCTGCGACAAGATAGTCGCACTGATACTGGAGCGGGGATGGGTCGATATTGAGATGAGGAACCCTGGGGGCCTCACAGCAGTGCACTGTGCTGCTCTAGCTGCCAATCCGACGACGGTGAGGACACTCCTTGATGCAGGGGCCAATATCGATGCGATGGATAACAAGGGTCGTACGGCTCTGGATTATGCGGAGACTGAGAGCAACAAGACTATGGTAAGTCTGTTGCTAGACTTAGGGGCGATTAGGGGCGACGCCTCCTCCGCATCTAAGCCGAGCCCGGGATTCTCATAATCCTCAGGTGCATGCGATACAGGGTTAGAATGCGGAGTCGAAGTCTCTATACTCTTTGCCAATTGGAATCAGCTCCTAAGTCCAATTCTGATTCGCCCCCTGTATGCGCCACGCCCCTAATGGGTCGTGCCCCTGTGCTGACTCCCTATCAAAAACTGCGTCGTTCCTACCCCCTCGCCGCTTTAGCGCTCGAGATGTGTACGATGCAGGGCAAAACCACACAAAACCACGCGAATGAAACCCGCTCAAAGAAGATAGTCCATAAACGTATTTCAGGTCTGAAGTCGGCTTTCGAATGCCGAAGCTCAGCGAATCAGAATGTAGAATTTTGTAGAGAAGAGATGTATTTGTTGTGCTGTGAAAGGATGATGCTCTCTAGTATAGTGCTGCGAAGCGTCAATACAAGTTAACGTATTTCCACAAGCGAGCTGGGCATAGCGCCTAAAAACGCCCATCTACGCGTACTCTTCATTTTCAAACACCCACTATGCTACCAAAACGGGATCAACCAAGACAAAAATCTACCAAATAGGAGGGTAGGATCCTATTGGGTAAGAGAAGGTTGGTACGTATAGCTTTGTAGAGAATGATGGATTCAGGAACTTCACTATTAGGTTGAGAGTTGTCGGGATCTCTAAGTGGACCTACTCCTTGCTAGGGTATATGTATTATTCACCATACTTTCAGACCTTCCCGCCTAACGAATACCAAGAAGCCTAAATCGTAATGACGACGCACAGGAAGCAATAATAACACTAATCATAACAAAGTACTTTATCCAAACTCCTGCTCCAATGAAAAACTTGGGGCGAGCGGAGGAGCCTCACGAGCGGCGGACTATACGCAAACGAGTTTAGGGCAAACGCCGATCCTACGTGTTCGCCCCCAAAGGATGCGTGGCTCGAGCATCCCGGATGGGTTAAATATAGAACAACACAATGTCAGATTCAGTGAAAATAAAAGACATTGGAGAAGTCTTCACAAAGCACATAACGAGAGAGCATGCTTAAGATAGAGTAGTCTATGACCTTTGAACGCACCGTCTAAAGATCGATCATATTAGAGGATTCCATTTGCAGCTTCGAAGCATTCTTTTTTTGGCCCCAACCCCAGTCAGGGCAGTGCTGCTACCGAGCTGACCCCTCCCCACCAGCGCGTGATCCAACTTTGCAATTTTTGGTTTTGCATCGTTGGTGGTGAGGGGGCAGTGGTGGGAATGAGCCTGTGAACGGGGGCGTCTTGTTAGGCGCTTGCCTGCCGCGCGAACTACTTCATTTCTTCCGTTCCACGTCCACTTCTCGACAACCTTTTATGCCAACAGCAGGAGCTGGATGATCGAAAGCGAACGCCAAATACAAGAGATACGGGGCGATGAGAGCCACCCGTAATCGCCAACGCCCCATTCAAAAGCGCCCATTTTCCATTTCGGCCCCCGGTCGCCCTTTGTGTCTTCCCTGGATTCCGGCTGCTTTGTCTAATCGCACCACGAGGGCGTATCCTACAGGGCTTCGATTTCCATGGCCTGGCCATGACCTCAAGAATGACTCTCGCTGGAGACACGATGGACGACTCCTTGGACCCTCTCAAGAGAGATAAGAAAGAGTATCGATGGGAGAATCCACTAGCTTTCAACTCAGATCCACCAGAGACATCTGGCACAGATGGACTGGCGATGGTTGTGACCTCCGATTTCTCTCAGATAGATGCCGCTTTATCCTCCGATAGTCTGCTTGCGAGTCGGAGCGCGAGTGCGTCGGTAACGCCTGGCTCATCAACAGCTTCATGGACCTATAGCTCAAGCGATATTGCCTCAACAACGGTTCTCTCAACTAGCAGTTCGCTTTCGGTGTCTGAATCCTCAACTCCATCGACCACAACGTTGGCAATCTCGACTACGGCAGCAGCCATGACTCTCTCCGGCACGAGCGCAAGCACAACCAGCGCCCCCGAAACAGCAGCCCCTGGCGCTTACTCGGGCGGAGGAGAGTCGGTCAAAAACAAATTGGCCATCGCACTTCCGATCGCTATCGTTGGCCTTCTCATAATCCTAGCCCTGGTCTTCTTCTTTCTACGCCGCCGAAGACGTCGTCACGGCCGGCCCCCATACGAGATGACAGCCAACGAGACTCCGGGTGTCTCAACTGCAGCTCTCATGGCTGTGCCCAAAATTGTGACCCCAGACCCTGCGGCAGCAAGTCTGCCTCGCTCACCCGTCCGCGATGTTAGTAGTCAGGATCATGCAACTGCACCTGTCTCTGCGTCTGCACGATCTGACAACGACTCGCATACGGAACTCGGACTTGCCGTAGCCGTGCCGATGGATCAACGATTCAGCGCAACAGAGCATACTCTCCGCGGGTTTAGTCGGCCTCCATCGACGGTAGTAAATCGTGCAAGCGCAGGGCCCTCTCGTGCTGGCCTGGCTAGCGTATGCATGCCGTTCCAGAATCAGAGCAGCGACGACAACGATTCCGTGTCGATTATTTCGGGCGAGTACACCCGAAGAGATCATGCGCATGACTTCGATGATATGTCCTCGGTGTCATCCCTTAATGACGATCACCTGGAGTCCCACAATCATGGCCAGTCCTTTAGGTGACGAGGTATCTAGATGGGCTCGTACCATACGAGGAAAATGACTCGATACGGGCTCGGTTTCAACAGGCAGGAGTTCCCTATACATCCATTTTGGTTTCCCTTTTTTGGAGCACTGGCGTTGATCGAAAGGGTTTCCTATCTGTGCTTAATATCCTATTCGCGGAATGCTACAACTTTCTATAATACGGAAATTGAAGGATTGGATGAATGTAGTAGAGACTCGCGGAACTACTCATGATAGAACCTAAGCTCGTGCCTTCCTTTTTAGGATGTTCCAGGCCTCGCATGGAATGCCCCACATGGCCTGTGGTGCGTTCCTTCCCTGTTCTTCCTCTCTCTTTCTGTTTAGTGAAGATTCTCGATCAGCACACTGCACACTAAGTTCTCTCGCTTGTTTCCTACGCTTCCTCTGTGCGCAGCAGCGTGGCGCTACCGTCACGATTAAGATGATCTCAAATGTTCAATTGAAATGCCCAGGCAGCAGAAGGTGTATATCTTTCTACGACTGGTCGTTGGTCCATATTCCTTAGTGTTTCTTTCTATTTATAGAAGGCGGGAAAGGGCTATGTACAATAAAAGTAGTTGGGCCACCCGTTTCCATCATAACATGCCTATCAAGTCGCTTAACGACCCCCAGTAAGATCAGGCTTATATTCCCTGACCTTGCCCTTGGTCAGTTCGCGGAGAGCCATGGTTGCGTACTGGCTGGAGCCCAACTGGAACTTCAACACGACGGCCAACTTATCCCCAGTCTGGGACCCCACCGCACTGTCACCCGTTTTGCTGCCATTGAGCCTCTCTAGGTCCGTTTGCACGAACTGCTCGTTGTCCTCCGAGTAGAGCTTTATCTCATGGGAGAAGTTGGGACCCATCCGGCTGAAAACTTTGCGGTAGCTGCCACTTAGACTGGTGTCCTTATTTTTCCGGCGCATGTTAAACGGGTCAAGACCGCCCCCCTGCTCGCTGCTCATGAACCGCTTATAGAAGTCGGTCATCTGGTTGGCTGGGTACAGAACGTCGAAGCCAGGCTGGGGTAGCACCACGTCGAAGATTGAATACTTGCCACTCGTGGCCTCGTCAGCGGTCAAAGCACGGGCCCGAAGGAACGAGTCTTCCGCAATATATGCGCTGTCATCGGCCTGGGGGAGAACAACGACTTCGCCATCTTCGTCAACGCCACTATTGGGCGCCGCAGCCTCCGTGGCTAGCTTATCCCGGTGCTCGCTGACGAGGACCAGGTCGCCCTCAACCACCTTGTCGCCGTAGAGTCGCCAGCGCTCACTGGCGGCAAAGTTCCACACAAGAGACTGATAAGCATGCACATACATCAGCCGCAGATTGCGGGGGATGGACTGCATGGCGCCGAGATAGTCGTTCTTGACTCGACCTAGGTGGCGGATGATGTTGAGCTCGGCAGAGAATTTCCGCGGGAGCTTGGCGAGAGCGTCACTAATATTGCCTGTGGTCTGGAAGATATGGATGGCTTCAGCGCGAGCCTTGTCATCAGTGCTAATCAGTGCCGTAGATGATTCGCCCTCAAGGGCGGCGGCGAGAACGTGCGGGCCGTAGTGAAGGATAGCCTCGACGGCTCCCTTGAAATCATCCTGCAGCATCTTGACACCAATAGTGTCGGTACGGGTCGTGAAGGTACCAAATCGCTGAAGACCGTAGTAGTTGAAGTAACCACGATCGTGAAGGTTCTTCAACGAGGCACCGACAAGCTCGGATGCCTTGGTGACAGCAGCTTGAGGATCCTTCAAGTCCACCCCGGGGATTTCACAATCGCGCAGTGTGATGACAAACTCATTACCACCGAGATCACCGAGCTCGAGACCATGCTTGCGGTACTCGAAATCTCCAAGATAGGCATTTCGAAGAGTCTTATTCATGTTCGCAAGTCGCTCCGCTTGAACGCGAAGGACACAGGCGCGCTGGGCGGTCGCACCGCGTCTATCCTTGGTGCCGGCAAATTGGAAGCTTTTTGGGTTCATCTTCATTGTGCGTGCTAGGAATGAGATGACTTCCATTGTATCCTTGTTTTCCTTGTAGATCGTGAAATGCAGGTATGGACCACCCAATTCTTCCCAGTTCGTACGGCCGCCGCCGCTGCCACGGCCACCTCCCCCACGGTGACCTTGAGCTTGACGCTTAAAGCGGTTGCTGGCGGCTGTGATGGCAAGGTTTCCCTCGCCATCGGTGCTTGATTCCAGCTGCGAGTTAAAAATGCGACGGATGGCTTGGTGGATCTTGGTGCGGGTATCACGGTCGGTGACAACAACAGTAACCTTGCCCAGATCACTTGGTCGAGCCTTCGGTGATGCCATAGCTCTCTGGTGCAGATCAATGATTGCGGTCGCATTCTCAATGCCGAAAAACTCCGCAAGCAAGACGTTGTCCTCTTCCGACACTTTGAACTCGGGTGTCGCGGCATCTTCCTTTGGAGCGGGCTGCTCCGGCGCCTGCGCCGCAGCTTGCTGTGCGCCATTTGTAGTGGCTTCCTCGTCGTTTGAAGAGTGGGGGCCGCTGAGGTTTTGAAGGTGAACGACCTCGCCGGAGGGTGTGATCTCATTGACCAAAAAGTCTGTATATCTGCACAGGGGTCATTAGTATACTCAAAGGCTGCGTCAAGCGCGAGAACCCTCTCTCACCTCTTTTTCAAAATACCCGAGAAGCCCTCGTTATCGGCAGTTACGATCTCCGTGATGCCAACATCTAGCTCCTTCATGGCTTGGGCGTCTGGCGCCGCGGCGCTGCCATTCCCTGGGAGCACATCGGCTGTACCCTCGGTTGCGGGTACATCTTCGGTCTTCTGCCGCTTGCGCGGAGACTCCACAAGCTCTGGTCGTTCCATTGTCAGCAGATCTGGTTTGAAGCTAAGTTGTATCTCAACGGAGCAGGAAACTTTTGATAACAGATTGGGACTAGCGCATCGGGACTAGCGCATCAGGGCTAGCCCTGATTGCCGGATCGGGAAGAAACATATCCAAACTCTGGCGACTATAGTACATAGTCCAGTCGAATGCATTCATTCTTTTCAATTACGCTTTATTCAAATGCAGGTACGCGCTATTGTGGATCCAAGCGCATCAATTTGCCATATTCTTGCCCCTTGCTGAGCGTCGAGTCTCATTCTCAGTCCCAACTCAGTCCTGTGCAAAGCTCCATCTGACTCTTGTTTTGGAAAGTTTCAATTAACGCCCCAAACTAGTTTTCATGTCCTTCAGTTCGGCGGGGACATTTTCTTCGCCACTAAGACACTATTCATGGATAGCATTCTCTACAGTTATGCTTTTCTAGGCTGTTGTGAAAGGCTGAAAGAATATACCACCAGTTGGCAGAGACCCTGGTTGGATGGAGTGAATAGATTCTAGCAAGTGTGACGCCGATGGTTCCTACAAGTAGAAGGTAGTATGGCAGATTGGGATTAGCATGCGACGGAGACGATAATCGAACGGCTCTATATTTGGGATCTCCGTCGGTGTCCAGCGGTTCTCGGTCAAAGTGGAGACTGTGATTTCACGAGGTAGAGAATTGCTGGAGAACTGCCAGATTGGCGTTGGAGCCCCCACTATTGTTGCTTCGCTTCGTTTGAATTCAAATGCATACATATATGTACAATCTATCAGAGAAAGATACCTGGAACAGGACCTTGAGAGCCCCATGTATGGATACTCGCTTTTGTTCACCCAAAGAGATACTTCTTCCAACTCTGCTTCCACGGCTTCCACGTCCCACCAAACCGATGGTTGACGCAGGCATGGGAGCTCTGAAAATTTTCCGATCCGCTGTGTCTCTGCCCATTGCCCCAGGCATTCACTGGCAGAACACATAGCCCACCAAGTTGTTTGCCTGGCCTGGCCTCGGAGCCCTCGACACATAGCGGTTTCTTGAGTCTGTAGAACGGTGCCCATGTCACGCGTTCTAGAGGGTTCGCTGATGATGGTGGGATAAGGTCTCCTAGGTCTGCGTCCGCTTCGACCGATCCTGAGACCAATGGGTGGATGGCGGGCAATGTGTCAGAAAGAACGTCCAGAATGGCGTCCGTGAAGACCCCCGGCCCGGTGATTTCGAGAGTAGTGAGTTCGTTATATCTTGCGCCAAGGAATATGTTGCTTTCATCCAGATGGCGTTGGGTATGCGACAGTACCCGCACAATCACCTCTCTAAGCAGCGGACTGAACCGCCGCGGTGCGTACATGGTGTACTGAATGAAGCCGTAGCTTCGGACCCAGTGCCAGTCGCGCATTTTCCGAGACGAAGCGAAAGGCTCGTCGATCTCAATGCCCACGACCAGGGAAACGTCAGGATTCTCTGTCTGGAACACCGACTCTCTTAGTGATGGACATTGCTTGATCGACGTAGCGGGGAAGATGTCTGTGTCCGCATAGTAGCCACCAAAATACCACAAGATCAGATAGCGCAGCAAGTCCGCTCGGAGGACGTGATGCGGGTATGAATAGTATAAACTCGCGAGGCCTGGGATGGAGGAGAGGGTGATGGTCACGAACTCTTCGGCCCATTCGGTTGTCACAAGCTGGAGAGTTACCACAATCAGCAACTGCGTCCGCCGCAAGGGGGGTGGTCTATAGATCTTACCGAATACTTCCATTCTGAGTTCTTCTCCTCAAAATCCAGCGAGTCGTCCCCGCGTTTCTCCGCACTAGGATCTTGCCCCAGCATGATCTGCCATAGCGTGTCCGCCGTGTCCTCATGGCCGTTGAGCGACAATTGCTGATGCTCGAGGTCTTGCAGGGCAATTGACAGTTGCTCTTCGTAAAACAGGTCAGGATTCTCACGAAATGCGGAGTGATAGAGGTAGTGCGGCCGGTCCTCTGTGTTTGCAGCACCCGCACGGCTGTCCAGCTCGCTTTTCAGCGACGGCAGACTCCTGAGCAGCACGAACAAGGCCAGCACGGCGACCAGCACGACGGATCGGTACCGGCCTGGCCACCTCCGGACGGGCAGGTATCGCCTCAACATGCTGGACGGCGAGGGAACATGACGAAGGGGGAATTCGGAGAGCTGGCCGAATGCTGGGGGGGAGGGGGACAGCAAAGGAAGAGCTTCGCGCCAATCACCAGGCTGACTGTGTTTGAGACGAGTGGATTTGGACCCTTGGGGTGGTGGGTGGTCGGTGGGGGTCTGAGGATCCACTGCCCAGCGCTGATTGATGCTTAACTGCTCCTGGCCCTGGGGGCGCCTTTCCTAATGGGGTTAATGGTTGTGCTTATCATGGACGTGGATTGAGAATCAACGGGCTGGGGCCAAGGTATTACTATCATTATCCCGCATGTAATTTCATTCGTCATTCGTCAGCCCAAGGCATTTAAAATGTCAGTCAGTATCGTAAATCATGGTCAACATGCTAGCTCCCCGTCCGGTAAAACTCCTGTCTCATGCAGAGTACCATGCTTCACGCCATTGATTCACAAGGAATTTCGTCTTATGCCAGACGAAGAGTTAAGCACTCGTCTTTCTTCGCCCCATCACCTTCCCAGGCCTTTCGGATTGCCTGCACGGTATCCCAGACTTTTTTGCGTGCTAGGGAACGATCCAGACCGCTTTCAAGCATGCTTTCATAGGGGGTGTATTTGTGTCGAACATGTGCCTCGACGGCTAGCTGGGCCTTGTGCTTATCAGACATGGTGGAGGTGCGTCCAACCCTTCCCGAGCCCTTGAGGAATGCGTGCTCTAGAATGATGTCGAGTGTATCCTTGGGCATGAGTGGAAACTGCTCCTGCAAGAGCTCACGGCCCTGAGCGAGAAACTTGGAGTCACGGGATTTGACAGCGGTGGCGCGGGAACTGGCCGTTGCCTTGGACATGGTCAGGACTTCTCGGTGGATATCAGAGGGCACCCGAATGCCAAGGGAACGCTTGCCCGTTTTGTTCTAGAGACCGCGTTAGGATGCGGCGGCTGGCGGTAGGGGATGGAAGTCATTGGGGAGAGCGAACTCACGAAGACCATGTAGACGGTCTGGTTAGACTCCTTCGTCTTGACCCGACACTTACGAGTCACATAGACATCACCTTTGGGAACAAACGTGTAGCCCTCTGGCAAAGGCGTGCGTTCAAACACGCTCTGCGAAGGATTAGATCCTGCCAGAAACAACAGGCCCCTGGCAAACTCGACTTACATCTTCCAGAAGATCATCCGCCTCAGGCACTCTAGGCTTGGAGGGCTGCTTTGCCTTGCGAGCTGCTTGGGGACTCTCACCTTGCTTACTAGCAAGAATGGCGGTGCGAGCAGTCGGCTTGCGTACTCCTCCCTGACGACGGCGCACCACTTTCCTGCGGCGATGGACTTTGCGCAGCGCAGAGGGTGCCATTGCGTGCGGATGTGTGGAGGTGGTTTGGAAGGGAACGATCAAAGTGAGTCAACAAAAGACACAAAAGGTGGGAAGGAAAGGGTTTCAAGCAAACATAAAAAAGAGTACTGTGGCCCCGCTCAGTTGCCTTCACTGAGTTGGACGCGATCGACCGTCGCTCATTCATTCACTTTTGATCATGTTTGCGGACGTTGATGCCGTTGATGCCTTGATCTCGATTGATTGGGAATGCCGTGGAATGTGGCATGGAAATGTGGCTGTGGTGGATGTATGGATTTGTGGCGCACCAGGGGTAAAGGTTGCCTGGCAGCCTGAAAGGCCAGGCCCCGACAGGTCTTCCGCTCATCGGCCAGGGGATTCCAAGGTTTATGTTTTTTTTCCAATTTGCAGCCGATATACACGTTTTACGAAGTCTAATTGGGGATAGAACCAATGGTGTCAAGACTTATGGCCTGCAAGAATTCGAGAATGCATGTCCTGTCTGGTGTTCATTCAAGGTCACCAAGACCGCCTTGGATCCGGTACGAGGTAGTCACTCTGACGAGGTGACATCGGTGGAGATGAAATTGCTATGAATCCTAATATAGTCTCCAATAGCGTGGAGCCCTGAACGGGCAGACAACCGGGAGGGAGAGTTTATGCGGGCGGGGGAGGTGGGGGCGCGCGCGGCAGAAGAGAGTAGTTACGGACGTACACGAGTAACTACAGTAACTACATGGGTACTTCGTCAATCGCTGTCGTGCGGCAAGCAATGCAGCTTTGGCTTCCCTTGAGCCTGTTGCCACGTACGGTGCCTCTCCCCACATGCAGCGCAGGATGCAGGTACCATGCAAGATGCAGACCCTCACGGGAACCCACTCTTAGAGTGGACCACCAGGCGAGAGCGCGGCGATCACTCTTGGATTTGGGAGAGAAGATTGAGCAGTCCGGGCCGACTGTGCGGCTCAGATCGGATGGGAAGGAGGTCAATCGTGTTCATGGGGAGGGCCGAGATTGGGATCAGCCAGATCTTGCGGGAGAGGAGGATAGCGTGGGGAACTCGGGTTGGGCCCGGAAATTAGACGGGCTAGTTGCCCGGGGACAAGATGAAGTGGGCCGGACAAGAGTTGAAAGGAGAAGCGAAGTGTATCTGCCATCTGCCATCTGCCATCTGCATTTTGACATATGTAATCTGACTTCTGAAATGCCGTGTTCAATTCGCGAATACGTGGGCGGAAGAGAGTCGAGGACTGCCTAGAAGCGTTCGCAACTGGCCCACGGTGGTGGAGAGGCCCGGAGCAATTGAGGAGTAAGGGGAAGCGACGCGTAAAGCCGAACGTGAATGGTCGGCCAAGAGGAGGGCCTAGCGGTCGTCAACCGATGCGCCGGATATGCGAGGGGCCGCGAGTTGCAGGAGGGCCTCGGCGAGAGCTGAGGGGGGGAAGTATCGGAGTCTGTACTCTCTATGGACGAGAGACTAGCAGTGGCCGTGAAACGGATAAAAGCTCGTGGCAGAGGAGTCTCCCCCAGAGTTGGCGAGACCAGGCGAGTTCCCCGTGAACGCTTGACCCAGCTTCGGGAGGATGGCGAGCTGAACAACCCCTGCACCTGCAGCTGGACAATGAGCGGCATACTGATCAGCCTCGTGTCCTCTCTCACATCCTGCCAGCAACTGCCCCGGACAAACCAGCGCATCTCCGTACCCCATCCTCCCTTTCCCGCTTCTTCCAAGACAACTCCACTTCCATCTCTCGCCATGTCGTCATCGGTCCAGGTCCCCATTCACTAGCAACGCCTCCGTCCGTAGTGAGTCAATCTCGCTCCGACGAACAAAGCGTGAGCCCGCGGCTGTTGGGGCGACGGGTTCCCCGACGTCGAGGAGCGTTGTGCTCAAGCTGATTGACGGCAGCCGAGGACCCAAACGCAGGAACAAGGCGCGATCTCGTCCTAATGGGGTCAGGGCGGGTCCTTTGGGGCTTGGAAGCCTGGGAAAGGCCCTAAAGGGAGGAGATTGGGCCGGCCCTTGATAGGCGCCCTTTTTTCAGCTGGCCTGTCGGACCGAGCATCCTTCAAAGGCGAATCAAGGAGTCAGCCGTCCACAGTTCTGGCTATTTTCCCATGGAGGTCAAACTGGAGGGCCGATCGGTCAAGAGGGGAATTCACCGCATATCGAAGGACCCTCTAGGCCCTCTCTGTAGTACTCTATAGTACTCTGTAGTACTCTGTAGTGAAGGCTGTAAGTGGCCCAGTTAAAACCGGGATCGCAAGCTTCATAGTGGATAGTGGATCGGTGGAGGCCGTCCAGGCAATCAAGGGCAAAAAAAATAGTCCCCACGGAAAAACAGAAAGGTCATAACCAACTGAGAAAAAGAAAAACACTCCCACTCCGTCTTCTCTCCTCCCGTCTACGTCGTATACTGGGCGACATTCCCCTCTCTTGGCTCTCCCAACCAGCCCAAAGTATACCGTCCGCGGCAATCGCCCAGCTACAAGCAGACGACGCTACTGCCACGACTCCTCCTTTCCTGACAGAGCCGCTTCGAACGATCCACGAGCCTCACCCTCTTCAGTTCAACGCAGACCCAACCAGTCCGATCAAATGCTGTAACGACCTGCGCAAACCTTCCCTCGCACCGGCCACCACCACCCCCCTCCCTGCCGAGCATTCCTCGTCGCTCTCCCCCTTCAACTCCACCCATACTCGTCCATATCTGCCGTGAAGGTTGCCTGGCAGCTCGACCTTCGATGGTTGCTGGGTCCGTGTTGCTGACATGAGTTGGGATCACCCTGTCCACAGGTATGTGCCCTCTCCCTCCTTCCCACCACGACGATCACCCTCCCCTTCCTCCCTTTCGTGCGGGGTGCTGTGCTCGGTGCTCGCTGCTCGATAGGGCTTGTGCCTTCTTCCTGTCGTTTCCCACTGCGCCCACTGCTGCTGCTGCCCACTTCCCCGGTCAAGATGATGCTAATGCACCCGGCCATGTTCAGCTTCAGCTACCCCAACGGCGAACCTCAAACCCCAACAAGGACTCCCACCACGGCCGCCTTTGACTCCTTCACCACCCCGAAACTCGAATCTAGTTTCTTTGATCCGCGCGTCACCTGGGATACCGCCGACCCGTATGCCTCCAGCCCGGAGTTCCTCCGCTCGCCGCACAAGTTCGGCCTCAACACCCCATCCAACCCGTTGAGGGCCGACGCCGCCGATACCAAGGATGGAAGGGGGTCGGAGCAAACCGATACCGCCAGGAGAATTCGGCCGATGAAACCGTTGCCGACGGTGAGCGAAGATGGACCCCGGACGGTGGATTCAGCCAAATCTGCAGCTTCAATGCAAACGCCGCCGCCGACCAGTGCCTCTAGACGGAAGATCCCCGACTTTGAATCAATGGGCAGTGTTGGCCGAGGTACGACACCGCGGGGAGGCAATCATCTCGAGACCCCAAGTCGTCTGCTGGGGTCATCCCCTCGATTGTTCGGCCATTTGCAGTCTTCCCCGGACCTTTTCCAGCTGGCCTCATTGGATCAGACGGGATCTCCCTTCTTTCCACAACAGCGGCTGTTCTGGGATCAAGACCAGGAGACGGCGGTCAATGGTGTTCCAGTGTCAGGTCCTGGTCGAAGCAATGGTCATGCCGACAGACTACCTACCCACTCCTCGATCAACATGAATATACCACAACTGCCCACCATTGATGGCTCAATGGATCTACCAGACTTTACCAGCAGTGGATTTGGAATCTCCGCCGCTCCTCCTACCGATGCGGCCCTGTTTCCTGCTCCCTTTTCGACCTCTCCCCGCGTCCCCGTCACCAAAGCCGAAGACCCGGCTTTGTTTTTGAGCTCCCCGGCTCGACGCTTTGGGGGGCCTCCGATGACGCCCGAGAGGAGGCCTCTCCATGGGATGAGACAGCCCTATCATCACCAAATCGAAGAGTCAAAACGAGAAGAGCTTCGTCGTGCCTACGGTCATGAAGTACAGCGCCCCGGTTCGTTTTCAAGTTTCTCCGGTGATGATGAAGATAATGATTTCACACCACGAGGTGGTCGACCGGGACTCACTCGTAGTGTAACTCATACTGCGATCACGAGCTCTTCTCATCGGCCGCTCAGTCGATCTAGCGGCATCATGGCGTCCACGGGTGGAATCCGCAAAAGTCCTTCCAAAGGTCGCGCATCCCCTGTCAAAGGGATGCGACCTGCTCCCTTGGGACGGTCCAATTCAGTTGCAACGGGCTTGCCAACTCGCTCGCGGTCAGTGGTGCTGAAAATTGGCAAGGATGGCCGGGCCAAGGCCGAACCGCTGCCTGCCGACGCGGGTCCGTCGGGGTTGACGGATCCCCTGACGGGCATGGACCTTGATGGTTCTGCCACCGAGAGTGAAGTCGACCCTGCGGAGTTCTCGGACTATCCCGTTCTGCCTCGTCCTCGGTCCTCATTTGGCCTGTTTGACGGCGGCCCGCCCCCGTTCTCCCGGAGTGATTCTGGCTCCCGACCTCCGTCCAAAGGATCATATGCTTCCACCGTTGACTCGTCCCACTCCGGGCGTATGTCCCCCTGGGCTGGCTCCTCTCGGGGCGTCTCCAGCCGATCCACCCATCGCGGCTCTCCGGAGGCTGTGAAGCGGACACCCAGCAAGCGGCATTCGTCCCTACTTCACTCGGACGCCACCTATACCCGGGGCAGTGTTGCATCGCAAACATTACCTGGTGAGGAGGATGACAGTGGCGATGCCACCCATGCACTTCGGCAGGTGCTCAAAGAGCGCGGTCGGGGCCCTAGACCTTCCACTGGTGGCTATGGGGCTCGTCTTCCCCGGTCTGCGACTTTCGCCCACCTGCGATCATCCCCTCCTCGACTCCATAGCGATTTTGATATCCCCCCGCATCACTCTCATAACTCTCCCACCACCTTGACCGACCCCGACCTAGCCACCCCCAGCACTGACCGCCATAGCAATCCTAGCAACGGCACGCGTTGTGTTTGCAATTCGATGGACAATGGCGGCCATCTCATGATCCAATGGTGAGTCTTTGTGTTGTTGGCCTATTTGCAGCTTGTATCCAAAAAAATACTTACTTCCTGATCAGCGAATCTTGTACTCACTGGCTCCATACGAAATGTGTCGGGCTCGAGCGCTCGAACCTGCCTTCATTCTATATCTGCATATTTTGCGCCCAAAGCCCCTCTCGCGTCCGGTCGGGCTACGGAGCTGGCGGTGGCCCTCCTTCACCGTTGGCGCATAAATCCTTTCGGCTCCGGTAGAGCTGCCGGGAGGGCTCCCAGTCCCGAAAGGATGTGTCTTCACGACCTTGTTTTTCCTTTGTTTTCATTATTCCCGAGCGCCGGGTTTCTATACCTTTTTGCATCACCCGGGACGCTTCCCGCCATTGTGTTTCTTAATTACCCCCTCTTCCTCCTCGATGATACCTCTGTACTATTGTACTATTGCCACCTGTTATACTTTTGCCCGCCACCGGGACCCAATAGAAATTCCCTTGTGCGCGTACACTCGGAAGCCCGCCCGATAGTTCCTGCATTGCCCGCCGTTGATTGGCCCGTAGATCACTTATCGCCTCACCGCCTTTTTATCGCGAAAAGAAATCCGCTCCCCGCAAAAGAGTCATTTCTCCTCGGTGTCGCGTGGTTCCGTTTCGTTTTGTTCCATTTCGTTCATTTCACTCCTTGTCGTTCTTTTGGCCCTTCTCTTCTAGCCATGTCTGCCTCACTCCCTGGTCCTCGCGACTTACCTGCCTCTCAATATGATCTGACCACCTACTGGGGCCGTGTGCGCCATGCTGTAGACATCTCCGATCCCAGGTAAGCCCACTCGAGGGTACCCTTACCCGGCGCGATTGTGTGTTAATTGACCGACCAGGACGCTGCTCGTTTCGCCCGCAGGTCTGGAGCAGGCGAAGGGCCTCATCTCCTCGTACAAACAGAACAAGATCCCCACCATGACGCCGGATCTGTGGAAAGCGAAGAAGGTGGTCGACTCGACGCTGCACCCGGGTAGGGACTTGAACAATAAGCAAAGAACGAGCCAGGTGCTGACAAGATGTGTCTCAGATACCGGCGAGCCGGTCCTGCTCCCCTTCCGCATGTCGTGCTACGTTCTTTCGAACTTGGTCGTCACGGCGGGCATGCTTACTCCCGGCCTCCAGGTAAATATTCGACCCCCGTTCTTGGCTTTTGTCACACGAGCAATCCAACCCATTAACTTTGACCATCTCAGACCGCCGGCACCCTCCTCTGGCAAATCGGCAACCAGTCGTTGAACGTCGCCATTAACAATGCCAACGCCAACAAGTCTACCCCCCTCTCCACCTCCCAGATCGCCAAGTCCTACCTCATGGCCGTCTCGGCCTCTTGCTCTGTGGCCCTGGGCCTGAACGCCCTCGTCCCCCGCCTCAAGGGCATCTCTCCCAACGCCCGCCTCATTCTCTCCCGCCTCGTCCCCTTCGCCGCCGTCGCTAGTGCTTCCGCCCTGAATGTCTTCCTCATGCGCGGCGAGGAGATCCGCCGCGGCATTGACGTCTACCCAGTCCTCTCGGCTGCAGACCGCGCCAAGCGCGAGGCCACTGGCGACGACGCTGAGCCTCTGCAGAGCCTGGGCAAGAGCAAGAAGGCCGCAACCCTCGCTGTCGGCGAGACCGCCATCTCCCGTGTCCTGAACGCGACCCCGATCATGGTCCTCCCTCCACTGATCCTGGTCCGCCTCGAGAAGACCGCCTGGCTGCGCGCCAACCCGCGCATGGTTCTGCCTGTGAATCTGGGTCTGGTTCTGACTACCTCGCTCTTTGCCCTGCCGCTTGCGCTGGCTGCGTTCCCGCAGCGCCAGGCCATCAGCGCTGCTACACTTGAGGAGGAGTTCCATGGTCGGGGTGGCTATGAGGGCATGGTCGAGTTTAACCGTGGCATGTAACGGGTATTTGTTTTGGGCGTTTTGCTGTAGCGTGTGCATTCTGCATTTGCATGTGCATAAATAGAATCTTTATCTCTGGGCTTGCGCTGCATGACTCTGTCATTTTTGGGGGGTCTCGAGTTTGTGGTATAGGTTTTGAATATATGCATTTTCTGTGTATGCTATGTTGGTCATTTGTATGGTTGTAGGCTGTGCGGGCAGCAAGCATTTATGCCGATTGTAATCGGGGAAATGAAGCTCGGGTACTTCCGCTGTTGTGGTTTGCTAGCAAAGGCACTTCGGAGTATATCGCAGGCGATATCTCCCCTCAGATCGCCCCTTCAAAGACTCATCCTATCACCCCTCCACCCAGCCGCGTCAAACAACACAACACCAGACGTCAGCCAGAGAAGATGGGCTCCACTTGCGGTCCAATTGACGTAACGGAGCTTACTATCTCCGCTTTCCACGCTGCGCTACTCAATGAAACCACCACCTGCGCGGCGGTAGTCCACGCCTACCTCGACCGCATCGCGCGATATGACAACACTCTCAGGTCTCTTATCTGCGTCAATGAGGACGCGCTCCGCACAGCCACAATAAAGGATGAAGAAACCCGCACCTTGATCAAGAAGAACAAGCCATTGCCGTCCCTACACGGCGTCCCAGTTATTCTAAAGGACAACTTCACCACCGCAGACCTCCCCACCAGCGCAGGCGTGAAGGCCCTGCAGAAGCTGCGTACCACCGAGGACAGCGAGGTCGTATCTCGCCTTCGCGAGGCAGGCGCAATTATCCTTGCAAAAGCCAATCTGCATGAATTTGCGCTGCACGGTACGACGACGTCCTCTCTCGGCGGGCAGACTCTGAACCCGTACGATCTCACTCGCACGCCTGGCGGTTCATCGGGTGGAACCGGCGCCGCACTAGCTGCCAATCTGGGGCTCGTGGGCTGTGGCACTGATACGGTGAACTCGCTGCGCTCACCGGCATCTGCGTGCTCGATTGTGGGCTTTCGCCCGTCGTTGGGGCGGGTGTCTGGTCAGGGGATCGTGCCTGTGACTGACATGCAGGATACTGCCGGCCCGATGGGACGAACAGTACGAGATGTGAGGGTGTTGTACGACGCGATGAAGAGAGATGCCATTGAACCTCGTCGGGGCCCGAACCCCGATACGGGGGGTACAAGCAGCTTCGAATTGGGATCTTGGATGCATTCTTTGGACTGGAGGATCCCAAGTCCGATCAGTCTGAAGAACTCATTGCTGAAAATGCGCTTGTTCAACGGGTGGTTCATGAAGCTATAGCGTCTATCGAGGATGGATCGGATATCAATTTGATCCATATCGATCCTGCCAGTCATGCGGACTGGCGCTACGCGACTCTCCGCGCCAATGCTGATACACAGGACTTTGAGTTCCGAGAACGCTTGGATACGTTTCTCCAGTCACCATTTATATCATACACCCCGCATCAGTCTTTGAAGTCGATAGCGGAGAGTGGGGAATATGATAAAACAGCAGTGACAGAGACGTTCACGGCATCCCTGGAGGATCCGGACACATTCTCGCTTGAGAGCAAGGCGTACCGCGCTCGTTTAGACGGCGTGCAGGCTCATAAGATGTCAGTCCAGGACTGCTTCGACAAGAACGAGATCGATGCGCTGTTGTATCCTCATCAGCGGCAGCTTGCTGCACCGGTTGGGACCACCGTACAGCCGAGACGCAATGGAGTGTTGGCCGCGTTGGCGGGGACGCCTGCGATATGTATACCCGGTAAATGCTTTCAATTCAGAACCTATTCTGAGAGGATATAGTATCATGCTAATTCAACACAGCTGGCTTTAGTCCTCCGACATCATCTGCAGCTCAGGGCGTGCCAATTGGGCTGGAGTTGATGGGCCCAGCGGGGAATGATGAGGAGCTATTAGATCTTGCAGAGCGTATTGAAGGCATCCTTCAGCGGAGGAAAGCTCCAAACATGAATGAAATGGATGGCCCTTAGTATCTTGTTACAAAGATTCGCACCCTTCATGTCTTCAATTGGTGTTGTCGGTAGAAATAAAAACATGGTCCCCCTGGGCTGTTTGGATGAACTGGTTTCTTTTCCCGAAGTATTGAAGAGGCTTGAAGCCATAGAGTTGTACCCAAGCTGGCCTTGAATCATCTCATCTACAGAAGACAACCTTAATTGTGCTTGTGCAAGCCTTGAGTTTGTCGAAAATCTACGTATTGTTTTGTTGTTGCCCATCTTGCTATAACGTTTCCCACCCGCCATTTCTTCAATTGGTGTTATAGGTTAATCTATCAAGACATCAGAACGTCTCAGTTCACCGACAGGTTCTCCATCGCGTTAGTGGTGCCCTTCTCCTCGGTAGCACCCTTCTCCTCAGGCTTAACGGCAGGGCGTCTGTTGCCCCTGTCCTTTACCTTCTTCACCTTCTTCTCCTTGGGTTGCTCGGCGGGGTACGCCTTCTTCGTGGTCTCCTGCCATTCTTGCGAGGCTTGGTACTCGGCTTGGATGGGAGCCAAAAGGCGGTTCAGAGATTCGGTGACGGCGGGTTTCAGCTACATCGTATGTTAGTCAGGTTGCAGGTCAGGTAAGCGCATTGAATCAGGTTCCAGGTGTATCTAGCCCAGGATTCAAGCATAACCATCAGTGTATACTCGGTATATACGTACCGCTTGGGGGGAGAGCTATCATAGGGGTCAGCTAATTGAATCCGTTGAATGAGCAATGTGTCGGATTTCCATAGATAGACTTACCACATCCGCTTCATAATCCTTCTTCAGAGCTTCGATATCCTTGTACACAAGGGTCTCGCCGTCCTTCTCAACCTTGAAACATCGCTCTCCGTCCAACAGCTCACTAGCCGGAAGCAGCACATACTCAACGAAAGAGATTAGGCCGTTCTCGTGCACCTGCTTCGGGGCGGCGTTTGCCTTCTTGACCTTCCGAGCCACCACATCGGGTGTATCAAGGAGATCAATCTTGGAGTTAGGCTCACTGCTGCTCATCTTACCAGCAGAAAGCGAAGGCACGAGAGGGTTCATGAGGTGAGCACGCTCCTTGTAGCCGAGGCGGGGAAGAACCTATGTCTCAATCAGTATTTTATTCACTCGAGAAAGCACGACTGGGAAAGCCGTACGTCTTTAGCAAGAGCAAAGATCTTTCGCTGATCAACGCCGCCGAATTGAGCATGGACCTAAACCCGTATATGTCAATACTGCAAAGGAATCAGTGACAGAATGCATGACTGTACCCCCAGGTATTCCTCATCTGTAAAAATATGCATGGTTAATTACGTCAAACTCGAGAACAAGGCAATAGATGGTGACTAACCGATAGCTTGGAGCAACGGGTAGATGAGTCCAGAAATAGGAGGGTTATCCGTTTGCTTGACAACCTCTGCACCCGCCTTACGCGCGTCGTGGCTGGATGTGATGGAGCACAACTTGTAGACATCCATGGTATCTTGAGCTAATTTAGTATAGACTTCCAATGAGACAGTTGTCATGATTCACGCACATTTCTAGAAGTAAGTAAGCAATCTAGTTTCTCAAAGCGTTGGGAGTATCCCAAAATTCTGGATGTACACTTACCGGAGTCAGCTGGTAGGAGCTACCTTGCACAAACTCGAGTTTCTCGACCGGCACATTTACGGCGCGGAGAAGGGCAGTAATACAGAAACGGTAGTACTTAGCGCGCTCCTCGACCAGCTCGATCGGCGCCTTCACTATAAGAGGATCCATGTTAGAATGGGTAAGCTGGGACTCTCAACAGAGTGGAGACCAACGGTTGTCAAGGAAGGCGTGCACATCTGCAAGCAACACTTTCACTGCTGCTCCGGCTTGAAGGAACTGTGCGATCTTCATAATCTGTAATTTATGTCAGTCAGAAGAGCTGGTCCCCATGATCACTCTAACTTGGAGGGGGTGGGGCGCGGAGAGGCCAGAATTCGCCTCCAGTCGCATCAGGCCGTCGGCATTGAGCGAGAGCCACTCCCTGAACAGCGAGGCCTTCGCGATTGCAGCATCTTTTCACGTACAGGCACAAAATATCCACAATGAGGGGCACCCTTGGATGCATAGTTAGCAAGAGGTCGGCGAAGGCGAGCCGAGAAGGGGACCCGAGACGGAGACCCGAGAAGAAGATCCTCGGGACTCACACCACTTCAGGCGTCAAGAAGGAGGGACGGCACATACTGTCGTCGCAGTACCCCAGTAGATCTTCAGGGTCTCCCCACGGTCCAAAACATCCTCGATGATCTCGGGGTTCAGAACTTCGGCCAAGTTCTCGTTGATGCTGCGCCACGGGTTAGTCGGCGATCGGCTCTTGTTCAAGGCGGAAATGTGGATTCGAGGAGGCGAGGAGATGCTAGGGAATGACACTCACAGAGCCAGACGCTCTTCCTTCGTCAATGCCATGGTTGCGAGGCTGCCAGCGCGATATCAAAATTGAAAAGTGGCGTGGATGGATCTTATCGATAGCGGGGAGAAAAAAGTGGGATGTCTTCCGCCCAGTCGGTGCCTGGCAGGACCGCAGAACCGCAGGACCGCCTTTATTTCGCGCCACCGTCGGAAAAATTCAGGTGCTCTGAGTCACCCACTGGCATAGTTTAGGATCCATCCTAGCCACGGTGCCACGAGTCACTATGTAACACGACGGGATCTTCTCATATTGAAATTGATCCCCAGTCACTTACTGGAGGGACTCGGGCAGCTGGAACCGGCCAGCGTTGCGAATTTCTTTTTATCGATTGGTTCCTCCTATGGCTTGTTCTACTGGGTTCGGATGCACGAAGAGACCAAAAATTGCAACAGTCCAGGGATGAATGGAGTCGAGTCAGACAGGACCGGCCAATGCCTATGTACATCTCCCCTACTCCCACACAGGACACCCTGAATTCAAAGCCGACCATTTGGTATAAGAATCGCAATCACAGCCTATGGATCTCCCAAAGCCCCCGCGGGGACGCAAAAAGAAAAAACGTCGCGCAGCAGATGCAACAGCGTAGAAGCCTTTAACATATAACCAACCACCGGCGCCGGAAGGAATGGTAAGAAGGATAAATAAAACATAATATATCACGATCGAACCCTCATCGCGCAATTTGCGGATACCGAAGAAACATGCGGAGACGAGAGAACAGTGTGACCTCTGTCGGACCAGAGGCTGCAGCCCGGTAGCCCTCTCGGCTTCAGTCAGGGCTGACCCTGTCTGGCAGGCCAGGATAAGGGGCCACCTTCGCCGAGGTTGAGTGGTGCAGGTAGTGCATGTTCATGCTCATGTTCATGATAAGTCCAAAGAGAGAGAGGAAAACCACCGCTGGAATGTAAAAGCAGAAGAAAGAAAGAGAAACCAGGACCCATCGTAATCATCATTTTCCAGCCAATGTGAACGAAAAAACACCGATCCATCCTATCCATGATTGATAATAATTACCCTAAAAAAATAACCGTCTATCCACGGACCTTGAAGACGCCAGATGCGGGGGAGGAGAAAGCCAGAGAGTGACCCATGAGCGATGACGAATGCCACCCTGGCTAACTCCGCCCTGGGCGATGGAGTCCCATTCCGATCCGGTATGCTTCGGTGCCGTCGTCGATAAGACTCTCTTTGAACCACGGGTGCTTGAGTGCTTGCTTGGCTGTGATCCGCTGCTTGGGGTCGTAGACGAAGATCTTCTGCAGTAGGTCCAGGAACGCACGGTTGAAGGGGGTGTTGATGGGTATGAACTCCTACACGCAAACAAAACGGTCAGTTCGTCTGCTGTGCTGAAGATGAGAATGTGGACACGACTTACAGTGAGTGCCTTCATAGCACGGACGTACTTGCGGGACGCCCGGGTTGTTTCGGTGTTCGGGTAGTCCAGCTTGTTCCGATTGAAGTACCTGACAGATAGGTTAAGGCTTGTTCAGGGAGCGATTGAGAGAGGTAGCTTACTTGGCTGCAGAATTGTGGTTACCAGCTCGGCCTTGCACCACTTGGCGGACCAAACGTGAATCAATTCGCGTGCCGATAACCGCCTCCATCATCGCCAGGTGTTCGAGGTTGTCGTGAGTCTGGAAAAGAGCATCACCTGTGAAAAACTCCACTAGGATACACCCGATACTCCAGATGTCACAGGGGAAACTCCAGCCCAGATTCAAGATGATTTCGGGGGCGCGGTAGTGGCGTGTAGAAACCACGGAAGAATGGTATTCATCATCGAATGTGGCAGAGCCAAAGTCGATGAGGCGGATCTCACTGTCGAGGAGGACTCGTCGTTGGCGAGCATTGCGGGGGTTCGCGTGGGAAGAAGAGGGGATGGTGCGGTTATAGGTAAAGGTCTGGTAGGCGCTGCTGACAAGAAGGATGTTTTCAGGTTTGAGATCGGTATGGATGAGATTCAAGTCGTGAAGGACTGAAATAAGATCAGTAAGCAAACCAACCTTTTCCTCCCTTTCAACAATCTGGACTTGGGATGGAAAAAAAACTCACAGGCCACACTGGTGAACAGCTGACGCGCAAAATTCTGGATCTGGCTGCTGGGAAAGGGCACAAAGCCGTTCCCCTTCAAGAAATCAAACACGCTCTGTCCTAACAAATCGGTGACAATGCAAATATGGTTACGGAAATCGAAACAATCCCGAAGGTGGATGCATTTGTTGCGGTTGGCCTTGTCGTTTGAAGCCAGCGTTGACAACACGCGTAACTCGATGCGCGACGCATCCCGGTATTTTTGGATAGAACGGATAATCTTGACAGCACAACGGGCCTTCCGCTGTTTGTCGTATGCTTCGACGACCTTGCCAAAGGTGCCCTGGCCGAGGAGTTTGATAATAGAATCTAGAGTTAATCGGGTCAGCCAAGTCAATAGGCACACCCTTCCTGGACATTTCCAACTTACATCGTTCTGTGAGAGGTGTGTCGGGGGTCACAATGTAGTGACCGTCGTCGTCGTCGAACTTCTCGTGGCGACCACCGATGAACTATCATATCCAATTTAGCTCCAGTCTCGCTGGATGTCGAAGAATCCGAAGCCAAGACCACTTACATCGCGAATCACGGGCACTGGCACGTCCTTTGCCTTGACAATGGGTTTGGAGGGAGGAACGTAGCTGGGAAACGCTTCTGGCGCGTTCTCCAACTCTCGACGCTTCTGCTCATCGCGAGTTGATTTCCGGGTGGTACGCTTGCGCTTCTGGCCCACCGTGCCCTCGTCGTAGTACACCCCGTTGCTGGCGCCCGAACTACCTTGCGACCCGAGTGAGGTTGGGGCCGTGGTGTGCAAGGATGTGGTTCGGTCGGTTGATAAGGAGTGTCCCGAAGAATCTTCACCATATTGTTGTGGATTAATCGAGAAGGACGGTCGGTCATAGTATCCCAGGTCGTAGGCGGTCTCGAGCCCCGTGCGGCGCCGTTTGCCTGCTGGTTGAGCCACTGGGGGCTGACCCGCGGAGGCAGCGCCATGGGGAGGCGGCAGAGGAGCCGCTTTGGACGCTTCAGGAGCCGGGCTATCGTCGATTACAATGACCTCCTTAGGGATGCCATTCTTGTAGAATTCGCCCCAGTCGGGTTTCTTTCTCCGGCCAGCTTGTGAGGGAGCCGCGCTGGAGGCGCTCGGCTGCGACGCCATGCCCGAGGGGGTCGATGTCGCCGGAGCAACTCGCGAAGGTTGAGCGTAGGGAAGGGTGGCTGCTGTGGGCGAGGAAATGGAGTAGGCGTAGGGATTTGCAAGGCGAGCCCCTGCGGCAGCGGTCGGCGTTGGGTAGGATGTCGTCGCCTGGTAGGAGGAATGAGGATAACCGTAGTGCTGGTGTGTGGGATGGGTTGCAGTGGCCGTGGAGGGCGTGGACATTGTGGACGGAGGAATCCCGTCCGTCACACGAACGGTACTGGACGTGAAGAGGGAGTTGATACGGCCGATTGTCGGCGGCGGATGCGAAGCAGTGTTCGCGACCGAAGATTGAATTTCCGGCCTGAGCGACCAGCCTGACAAGAGCAGGCCGACTGAGCAGGACGAGACAAGAGGGATGTGTCGGAAGGGATTCGCTTGGGGCTTTTGGGGGGGAGGGACGTGACAATGACGAGGCGGTCGGTCGTAGACAGTGGATCAAGCGAGATGCATGTCCTCGGGGCGAGTATCACGGCTCAGCAGGAAGGGGGCTGAAAAGAAGAAAGCATTGGCGGAGATTTCAGCGACATTTGCGAGGGCAGTGAGGAGGAGGGAGGAGGAGGGTGGAAAGCGAAGTGATGATGATGGGAGAGGAGAGGGAGTGTCGAGTTGGCGGACGTAAGAGTGCCGATCCGCCTTCGCCTTCCCTGCACTTCACCACACTCTCCACCCTCGAGCACGATTATCTATAGACTCCGAAGACTACAACAGGAGAGGCCTATCCTTCGATCTAACTTGACTTGGGACTATACTGTAGACACTCGACCGATTGAACATTCCCCCCTTTCCCTCCGGCCGGTTTGATGACCACTCTACCGCTCAGACGCGTTGATCTCCGCACACTTCGGGGCCCGAGGGGACGCAAACACTGCGCTGAACCCTCACGCCCATTCCAGTGGAAAGGATAAGTAGCCCGCGCCATCGGACAGGCCTGTCTGCGGTCTCTGCGGTCTCTGCGGGCTCGACGGAGGACAGGACGGGCCTGGTTGGTGTGGTGGCCCGCCACCGGCAACGATGGAGCATCGCGTCCAAGCCCTGGCTTAGCCGACCCATGCAACCCACCCCTGGCACCAAAAACATGGCATCCGAAAACACAGCCCAGAGTCTCCATAGTCTCCATCGGACTCTCCGTTTATTCCTAATTCCAAAAGGCCTGAAGAGCCTCGGACCTGTCTTGAATTCTGCTCGTGGATCACCTGACATGCCAGCTGACTCAGCAGCGCTCCAGGAACCCACCAGACAAGAGAGAGAAACACGGATGAGCTCGAAGACTAGCCGACTAGACAGAAGAGGAAACTAGGACCAGGCGGCGCTACGTTCTTTTGGGGCAGATATAACAAAAGGGGAAGAGCTAAGTGATAGACAGGACGAACATAGCTGAGTCGGTCCATTAAGCTTAAGCCGAGAGAAGATCGTCAACTCGGCCGTCAGATGCCTCCGTGCCGCACGCGACGCATCTTTTGATCTCTCAGTCTGCAAAGGGGCCCTCGCGACGTGCGAGCTGCCATTGAGTGCCAGTCTTGCCTTTTAGGTTGCGAGAATGGCGCCCTGGAAAAATATCCTGCCGTTTCCTCCACAAGGACGACCCGCCGCGGCAAGGTCCTGGTTAGTCTGAACTCTAGAACTCGGATTGCTAAATTGTCCGGAGAATGAAAGGATCAGATCACGTCACGTCAGGGATGTCAGACTGCACTCGTCGAGTGGACTCTTAATCCAGCCCGTGCTCCTGTGGACCGGGGCATGGTCCATTTACCCTGACATCTCTTTGCAAATATACCAGCATTTAGGTTATGTGGACCAGCGCAGATGAGGCCTAGACAGGGGATACAAATTTCTAGCCAGGAGACAGAGAACTGTCGCGGTCCACCTAAGTACCTAATGCCCGGAGATAATTGTCAGTAGATAGATTTCGAAGGCAAACTCCGTACCTTCTCTCTTCATAGCGGCCTGCGAATTCCATCATTGCCCACCATTCTCGCTCCGCACCTGCACGGGTTTCTGCGGGGTCCTCGGGGAACAAAACGGGTGGTGGCCGAGACCAATCACTGCCGCCACTCCGCAGGAACGCGCCCACCATCGCCTAGTGGTGCCCCGGGCAACATATGCATTGGGGCCGCAGGTGCCGAACGCTCAAGATGATGCAAACTCCGAAAATTGTCCAGGGTGCAGCCCATCTGCCACAAAAGCGTGCGGCAGTGATCGGGGGAGTCGGCCGCATGAGAAAGGTAAATCAATCGGTTCTTCACCAGGCACAAACACCGACACTGCTCTTGAAAGACGCGATATGATGGGTGACAAGCTTCGCACAAGACATGCGACGGAGATATACCAAGATGGACGCCGCTGTGAGAAACCTTCGTCCATACAGCAAATTATTGCCATGTCAATAAGATCCCAAGAAGGTAGACTACAGGGATCTACGGAAGAGACACGACTGTCCAGCCTGAGTTTGATGCCAATGGAGAGCAAGACTCGCGACTATCTGTGATGCGAGAGAGACCTATTGACTGGGGTGATGGGACGTGGCGATCGGGAATGCGGCAATACGGACATTCCACGGCATCAACAGAGTAATTTCGAGGCTTTGACGGGTACTTTGGATGTGGCCTCATTTGGCTTTCGCCAGAATGGCCATATACAACCTTCTCCCGGGATATGTGTCTCGCCTGAGAGCGCCCGCCAAAAGAATTTTGACCTCTGCAGTTCCACTGTGGATTTATATGCACCAATCTGAGGCGTCCTAGTCACATTATCCAACCCCCAGGAGTCCTGAGGAGGCATCCAGTGTGGGAGGCTCCGCCTCACTGGTGTCGAGATTGGTGCCCCAGATGCGATGTTGCTTCGTGTCGAAGCGCGTATGGATGGACCAGCTCTCCGCGAGCGGTGATCAACATAGCATGGTCGTAAATGAGAGCCACTTCGGTCGCTCCATTTCCCCCTTGCCAGGTTGGTTTTCGAGAATCGCCTGGTACAACCCTGTCCGGCGTGGGGGTTGCCTGGAGGAGGTTGATAGCATCTTGATGGTCGCGGTCTAGGATGAAGACCGTCGTGGGCACCATGGGGTTGCCACAGCATTACGAGCATGATCGTGAACTTGTTGGTACGGCCTACACGGTTCAGTATATGTCGTTGGAGGACCTGGCGCCGAAGTACCCCAGGCAGGAGGTTCTTGGCAGATTTACCTTCAAAATAGTTCATATACTTTCAATACACTGACTCTATTCCCGAGGGTTCCGTTATATTTGTATCGTGGCCTCCAGGAAATCCACTCATGTCGGAGAAAGCAACGCAGCTGGAGCTGTGATCGACGCCTCAGAGGTCCAGGGAGCCGACAATCCAAATATTTTTCCGAAAGTCCTCCCGCCATCAGCTCCATCTACCCGAGCAGCATCCGGAGACTGCCTCGGAATTTGCCGATTTGAGTGGGATTGTTGTCCTTCCCGCGAATCTAGCCGTGCAGGCGTTGGCCTGGATGGAGAAACAAGCCAAAGGGATTTCGCAAATGGTTGCAACGATCGAGAAAAGGCAAGCAATTCTCCGAAGCAAGCAAGATGTTCCGGCCCTAATATCTGGAGTTGGCAGTTGCGAGGGACGGGTATAGCTCGGTCGGAGTGTGGGGGGGAAAGATATCTGGTTAATATAGTGGGAGTGCGCAGACGCTCCTCGAGTAAGACCTTACGAGCGGTGTGAGCTACGTGTATAAGCCTTCGTCGATGACGGCAAAGGCAACCATGATCCTTCACCATCACGGTATGGACAGGGAGAGAAGGGTACCCGTGATGCTTACATGCAGCCCCAGTGGGTCCAATCGCAACCACTCAAATGCACGCGCATCCAATATAACTCAACTTAGTTAGAGCGGGCCGAACTGCTATCCCAGTCGGGATTAGCCAGTGGCTGCGCGCCTGAAACCAGCACGGCTTAACTTTGCTTCTTTTCCACTCCCAGCCAATCAGCTTCGCCTATAGCCACCCTTCGGTCGCAGACATCGGCGATGCGCCACAGCCTCATCTGACATGCTTTTAGGCATTCTGGGGCGATGAAACTATGAAACAGCTTTATGCAACGCACTTGGTTTTCATGCTTCACTTCATGCCGCATCGAGTATTCTTCGCGAAGGGTGAGGGGCCCCGTCAAGCTATAAAGGCCATCACATTCCCACAGCCGCAATGACTACTGGATCGATTCCAACCACAAGTTTCTTGTTTCTGTTTCCCTGTTCACTTCCTGACTCTAATATCGGATCCCGATTGACCTGGACCTATGGCGTCAGTGATTGGCCGGAAAGCCGTGCAAGGCATTGCTGCAGGGATTGGTCTTGTCTCTGAAGTCCGATCGGCTCATAAAGCAAAGAAGCAGAACCACCAAGGACAAACAGGCGAAGAAGCAGACTTTCAAACCGAAAGGAGACTCGATGACGAGCAAGAACGGCACGACGAGCCTCCATTGTATTCGGTGGACGGCGAGGGAGCGATTTGCCCGGGGAGCGCGGCCACTGCATCTCTAGAGGAGCAATGGGCACTTGATGAGGCACAGGAAGAGCTACTGCACTCCACGAAAGGCCATCTCGTCGCCTCGGAGAGTAAGAAATCTCAGGACCGCATTGATGAAGCCGGTCTTGCCCATAGATTCGCGTCAGCATATCCTGCACCACCGCCATATTCACTCATCCAAGATGCGCCCCTCCCCCAGCTACCTGCGCCCGTTGTGCTGCCGCAGCGCAGACCCAAGAATCGCGAACGCGGCTTCATCCGTGCGTATGCACCCGTTTTGAATGACTGCGGCATCGACCAGGACATGTTCATCGACTTCCTCAATACCGCGGAGAAGGCCTGTCAAGCCTCCCCCTGGCTGAATGCGATCAACTTGGCTTCGATTGGAACCATGTGGCTGCCATCGATCACTGGAATTGCCGTTTCCATCGCCATTCAGATTGCCACCGATGTTGCGATTGCCGTCGAAGGCCGTCGAAAGTGAGTAGTATATCGGGACATGAAACACTTTGTAAGAGCCATAGCACTGACTATGATTGGTCAGGACCAATACCTTTTTTAACAAGATCAACAAAGAGTTTTTTCAGCCCCGAGGCCTCTACTGCCTGATCATGACCTGGAATCCAGAATTGCCAGATGCCCCATCGACTACCATCGACCTCAACTCGCTCCTTTCCAAAGCTGCGGGTGGTGGGGGCTCTGACATGCTGGGCCGCCTTCGCCATAGGTTCAAATCCTCGGATGGGGAAGCCTATGGTAATATCTTCCCGGAGGTGGCCCCGCTGATCTTCCCTGAGATTGATCAGTTAGCATCCGACCAAGACGCGGAGAAGAAGCTGGCCAAGATGAAGAAGAAAAAGGAGTTCGTGGCTGGCTATATGGACAAGAGAGCCCAAGCTAGATTTGTACGAATTCATTTAGCCTGTTTTGTTCACGCCAACTAACTCGTTCTCGAGGCCGCCAAAAACCCCGATAGTTATTTGAGCCAAGGTCCCAAACCGACCTTTACCTCCCGATACGCCGACCCCAATCATCCGGCAAGCAGCGGCGACCCTCTCGCTCTGGTCACAGGCGGCCATTTCACCATGGGCAAGCTGAACAGTATGAACGGCCGAGGCTCACGGGAGGCACTAGATCCATACTCAGCACGCCGAGATCTGGGTTCAAATCCACCAGCTCCTCATCAACGGCCGTTTGGCCTGTTTGATGCCATCAGTACCATTCGAGATCTACGCAAACCCCAAAACAGTGCTTCGCTGGGCGGCTCTGGCGTGGATACGGGTGGCAGGGGATTGGACCGAATCGCTTCGCGCCGCGCGGAAAAAGACAACATTGGACCTTTAACACCCCTTGCAAAATTGTTGAAGAAGGTATTTGATCCTGACTCCCCTAGCTGTGGAATGCGCGGTACTAAGCTATAATATAGAAAGTCTTATATTTGGCGATTGTGAACATGCCCTCGGAGGATGAAATGAGTCGGGCCCGCGAGGCCTTGGGACAGGCGCCATGATATAAGACACCAACCGTGGCGAATACCCTTTAAATAGATAAAGCAGAGCGTCCAGCATCTTTAAGGCGAAAAGCAAAGTGACTTGGCTTACCATGCTGTAGAGTGTCATTTGAGCAGTACGCCGTATGAATTAAGATTACAAGTGTCTCGGCCGGGTCAAACTCCACGATCCTCCTTCGGGTCCCTTGAGTAGCCCTTTTGAACATGCTTGCTAGCTCGACCGTCTGCCTCGACAGCAAACAAGATGTCCCGAACTTGAATCCCTCGCCCCTTCTCCTGATCCTCTCGCCATGTCCCAAGCCGTCGCTTTGATTGGCCGGCCCCGTTTTCTCCCGAACGATTGGGCTTCTCGGGCCCAGTGGTTGGAGTCGGAGGAGCGGGTCGAGACGGGGTTGAGAACCCACTGGAGGAGCCTCCGGGTTTTAACCATGAATAGGACTTTTTGGCTCCAAACATGCGGCCAGAAAGCATGGAGTTCGTGGCAAGTCGCGCCGTTTCCACAGACTGCTGGTGCTGTTGAACCTCGTTGGCCTTGGTGTCCATCAATTTCTTTGCCTCCTTCTTTGTCATCGACTTTTTGCTGTCGAAGCTGGGCGCCCTCTCCCCGATCGGGGTAGAGGGGGCTGAGCCCATAATGTCGGCAGAGTCGGATCGATTGCCTGTGCTTTCACCGACGATTGCACTGGCGCTTCTCTTGGTTCTTTTCGCTGCGCGCTTATTCTCCTGCGAGTTTTCTTTTGTGATGAGCCCCCGGTAACTCTCTGCCACGGGTTTCTTGGCAGCTTCCACGGTATCTGGATTAGGTCCTAGAATGTACATTAGTATGCCAATAAGCCTAAACGCATTCGAATGGTGGCTGTCCTTACTTTTTGAAGGGGTTACGGTATTTCCTGCGATTGGACCCAGAGGCTGCGCAACATCAACCCACGCGTCAGGAACCACTCCGTGGGAGTGCGCTCTTCGGCTACGCGCCAGCGTAGAAGAATAGTCAATCACCCCCCTTAGACGCTCCTCGCACGACAAAGACATGAGATTCAGGATGTCCACAAGAGGAGCGCCCTCCTGATTGAGAATGGTCTGACCGGTTCGCACAACCGATGACCCATCCGGACCAGTAACTTCGATCGGAGCCTGTCGGCCGGGCACGGGATGAAACAAGCCTTCTGAAGGAATGCGTACTCCAAGGTCAAACCCACGCTTCTGAATTTTCTGTTCCAGAAGCTTTGCGAAGAGGAATGGTTCTTGGAGATGGTATTGCGCTCTTCGCGCAGCCTCTGTATCTGCACGGCTCGGAGGATTGCTGAGAAATGAGGTTTGTGAAGCTGGCTCAGATGAGAATGAGCCCTGTGCGATGGCTGCCTTGGCGTGGGGCAGTTCACCGAAACTGCTGGAAGCAGAAAGAGTCCCTGTTGCGGACGCCTGCGAGGCAAAAGAGGTGTTGATAGGCGGTGGCTGTTGCGACTGCTGAGCTCTATTGGGCGCCTGCGCCTGCGCATTCGGCCCGGAGAAGCTGCGCGTGAGAAACGCCTCTTCTTCCCTAACATCAATACCGGACGATGCCAGCACATCCGTCAGCTCAGCCGCATCAGTCGTCTTGTCGACAGGACGTGAAGGAGGCCCCATCGTCCCTTGGGCGGGCGGTGCGTGGGTGGGGGTGGATGTCATGATATTCGCGCCGACTCCGTTCATTGGAGGTTGGCTTGGAGGAAGTTGCATTGCGCCGAAGCTGGGGGAGGCATACGGCGACTGCGATTGTGACGAGGGAAGTGGCGACAGTCGTGGCTTCTTTTGAGGCGGAGGTGCGGCGCCTCCATTGATGGGCGATGTGGCGTTGTGGGGTGAGGGCGAGGAGACTGGAGGAGAGAAGGGATGGGTAGAGAACTGGGGCGGAGGCTGCTGCTGCTGCTGCTGCTGCCCCTGCTGTTGCGGAAGGCGTGTCTGCGCCATAGTGAAAGTGATTTGGGCGTGAGGTGAGATGCAAGATATGGCAGGTTGCTATTGCGCAGTCCGAGCGAGATGAAAGCACGTCCGCGCGAGGTTATTCAAGTGAGCGAGTTGCTCGCACCACCAGATGTCACCAGACGTGACCATCTCAGAATACCAGCTGTATCATGGATTTAACACGTAGCACAAACAGGAGGGATGCACGAGGTCGAAATGGCAGCGAGGTTGAAGATGGAGATGCTGGACGAGGGGGTGTCAGGGAGCTTCTGGCGTGTCTAGAGGTTTTGCTCCGCGCATCGCGCCGGGCACGTGACACAGCTTAGTTAATGCCTGCGGGTCTTTGGGAGTTGGTCCTTCTTCGACCCCATCGGCATTCGTTTCTCTATTCTTTGCGCTTACGACAATTCTCTGTCGTGTCCGTTATGGTACTGCTTTCCACTCTGAATTGAGTGGCAGCCTTTCCTGATCACGCGACCAGGGCAGTGGTGCCCTTGGATCGAGTGCTTCTGACGCCAAAATTGACCGCGACACAGCTCCTACTTGGACTTCATTGCAGGCGCCAGTCTTCTCGCCACCATGGCGACTAAGCGCAAAGCCTCGGCAATGGGCATGGGGATGGATGATGAACCGGCTGATCCATCGGATGAGCTGGCATTCTATTGCCTAGGTGGAGGAAACGAGGTCGGCCGATCATGTCATATTATTCAGTACAAGGGCAAGACAGTCATGGTATGTTTGACTCCGCGTACGCTATAATTGAATCTTCACTTATGTGTAACCATTATAGCTTGATGCTGGTATGCACCCCGCCAAAGAAGGCTTCTCTGCCCTTCCGTTCTTTGATGAGTTCGATTTGAGCACGGTCGATATCCTCTTGATCAGCCAGTACGTGGAAAGCCCTTATCCTTCCTTCAGGCTTGAATTAGTGGAGCCCGGGACAAAGTGGGAGCTGTGTTGTCCTCTGCTTGTATATGATGAGAAGCCCGATACAGTTCAATGCCATGCACCTTTCCATTCATTGCCTATCCTGTTGTGATTTCCTTAGATATTCTCCAGTGCTTTCTTTCACTATGTACACTCTCCATGCATTAAGATACCGACTAATTTGTTGCGTCAATAGTTTCCATGTCGACCATTCCTCTGCTCTCCCATATGTCCTCAGCAAGACAAACTTCAAGGGTCGTGTTTTCATGACCCACGCGACCAAGGCCATCTACAAATGGCTGATCCAAGATAACGTTCGAGTCAGCAATACGTCTTCCTCCTCAGACCAGCGCACTACACTTTATACTGAGCGTGATCACCTTTCAACTCTTCCCCTCATCGAAACAATCGATTTTAACACTACACATACAATCAATAGTATCAGGATCACACCATTCCCGGCAGGCCATGTTCTGGGTGCCGCTATGTTCTTGGTATCTATCGCTGGGTTGAACATTCTTTTCACCGGTGACTACTCTCGTGAAGAAGACCGGCATTTGATTCCTGCGGGGGTCCCCAGGGGTATCAAGATCGATGTCCTGATCACCGAATCCACATTCGGCATATCGTCCAACCCACCACGGCTGGAACGTGAGGCAGCGCTTATGAAGTCCATCACAAGTATTTTGAACCGTGGAGGACGTGTTCTGATGCCCGTGTTTGCTCTTGGCCGTGCGCAGGAGCTGCTTCTTATCCTCGAGGAGTACTGGGAGCGGCACCCCGAGTTGCAAAAAGTTCCAATCTATTACATCGGTAACATGGCTAGACGATGTATGGTCGTTTACCAGACATATATTGGTGCCATGAATGACAATATCAAACGGCTCTTCCGGCAACGCATGGCCGAGGCTGAGGCGAGTGGAGATAAGAGCGTGAGCGCAGGCCCATGGGATTTCCGCTTCGTCCGAAGCTTGCGCAGCCTGGAGCGCTTTGATGATGTAGGGGGCTGTGTCATGATTGCCTCACCTGGTATGCTCCAGACAGGGACAAGTCGTGAGCTTCTTGAGAGATGGGCGCCAAGTGAGCGCAACGGTGTTGTCATGACAGGCTACAGCGTGGAAGGTACTATGGCCAAGCAGCTGCTTAACGAACCTGACCAGATTCCTGCCGTTATGTCGAAAGTATCAACTGTCCAAGGCCGTGGTCGTGTACCGGGGGGCAACGACGAAGACCAAAAAGTCATGATCCCACGTCGGTGCACTATTGATGAGATTAGTTTTGCTGCACACGTCGATGGGGTAGAGAACCGTAACTTCATCGAAGAGGTGGCTGCTCCGGTAGTGGTATGCGATTGTGCCCCCTTTCTTTGTCCTGTTGAGTACTGACGGCTTTTGTAGATTCTCGTGCACGGTGAGAAACACCAGATGATGCGACTGAAGTCTAAGCTGCTTTCTCTCAACGCCCAGAAAGCGATTGCGACCAAGGTCTTCACCCCAGCCAACTGCTCTGAGCTCCGTATACCCTTTAAGAAAGACAAGTTTGCCAAGGTTGTTGGCAAGCTTGCAGAGATCGCACCCCCTTCTGAGCAAGACGACGGGCAACTAATGGCCGGCGTCCTGGTTCAGAATGGTTTCGATTTGTCCCTCATGGCTCCAGATGATCTTCGTGAATATGCTGGGTTGACCACAACTACTATCACTTGCAAGCAGCATCTCACTCTCAGCTCTGCAAGCATGGACCTCATCCGATGGGCCCTTGAAGGTACTTTCGGGGCTATCGAGGAGGTTGGCTCGAAGACAGAGACAAAAATCAAGAAGGAGACAAATGGCGCTACGATTGATTCCAGCACCGAGGAGGCTGCGGACGAGGAGATACCCATGGAGGAAACCCAAACATTCCTGGTCATGGGCTGCGTTACTCTACGTTACCACCCGCGAACTCGTGAGATTGAACTCGAGTGGGAAGGGAATATGATGAACGATGGTGTTGCTGATGCTGTCATGGCCGTGCTACTCACGGTTGAGAGCAGTCCAGCCTCTGTGAAGCGTAAGCAAGTCCATACAATGTGGTCATCTCATCTAAGCTAACAACAGCCGGTTCCACAGAATCTGCCAAAAATAAGCACCACCACCATCATCACGGCGATGATCACATTGACACCTTCCGTAACCCTCATGCTCACCGTGGACCCGAAGACCGGCTAGCCCGCCTCCTCATGATGCTGGAAGCGCAATTCGGCTCGGAAATCGCGCCCATCGAACGCCCTCGTGTCCCAGCTGATCTTGTCAACGGTACTACGGAAGCTGCAGAGGATATCAAGGAAGAACGCCTCGCGGATATTGAATCCGCGGAACTCGACCGCCTCCACGCCCTCGGAATCCCTGTTCCCGGCCTTGAAATCAAGGTGGACAAGCATGTTGCTCGCGTGTGGCTTGAGAATCTGGAGGTTGAGTGCGCCAATGCCGTGTTGCGCGATCGCGTGCGCGTGGTCGTTGAAAGGGCAATCGAGACTGTCGCTGGTCTCTGGGCGCCTACCTCTATGCCCAAGGAGGTTGTGGTCTCCAATGGCTCTGCGAAAGCGCAGATGGAGGTTGATGCTGCCGCAAAGAAGGCGGCTGCCATTGAGACTCAGGTTTGACCTATCTTGAGTTTTCATACCTGTACAATAACGAGATATCTTTACAACATGAACCATTTTAGTGATCAACAACTTTTTGTACTATCCTCGGCTTAGTATCCACAAAAATTGCTTCTATTCTAAGCGCTTAGTTAGAAAATACGGCTATGGCCGCGGAGTTAATGCTCCAACTCCGCAAGGACGTCCGTCAAAACCCTGGCAAAGACATCCACCAGAGTATCGATTTCTTCCCTAGACACAATGTAGGGTGGTGCTAACACCACATGGTCCCCACGGATGCCGTCCACTGTACCCGAACATCCATAGAGCGAGACGGCATAGTCTGGCTGCAGGCCCTTTTCTTGGATGTGAAATGATAGGCGGGTATTCGGGTCGAATGGCTGTTTGGTAGCTCTATCTTTGACAAATTCAACCTGTAAGCACAGAGGAGTCAGCAAAGATGTTTTCCCATGGTAGTAATTCGAGCACCTACCCCCCAAAACAGTCCTTTGCCACGAATATCCCCCACATTGGGGTGATTCTGAAACTGCTGACGAAGCCGTTCCTCAAGGTAAGCACCCATCTTGCGCACATTCTCCAGCAGAGACTGCTCCTTGATGGTCTTTTGAACAGCAAGGGCTGCAGCACAAGCAATTGGGTGACCCTGGTAAGTCTGTCCATGACGAAATTGGCCGGTGCCCTTGTCTATAGTCTGAACAATTGAGTCATGGATCAGGACCCCTGAGACAGGAGCGTAGCCGCCCCCGAGACCTTTTCCGATCGTCTGGATATCGGGGACGACGTCCTCCTGCTCCCAAGCATGCAGAGTTCCACAGCGCCCCATACCACTCATGATCTCATCGAGGATGAGAAGAGCGCCATATTTCTCGCAGACAGCTTTCATAGCCGGGAAATAACCTGGTACTGCAGGTACACATCCGAGCGCCTGTGATAGGGGACTGTCAGCGAGCGTCTCCATTTCGAGGGAGTGGTCGTTTTACATACCGCACCAACTACTGGCTCGGCAATAAACGCACACACGGTCTGGGGTCCAACACGCTGGAATTCTGCATCGAGCTCCCCTGCAAGACGAGCAACATAACCCGCATCAGACTCACCCTCCTTCTTGCCACGGTATGCATAGCAAGGAGAAACATGAGACGTGTTTTTGGCCAGGAGAGGCTCAAATGGTTGCCGGCGGAGCACATGTCCACCGGCGCCAAGTGCACCGAGGGTGGTGCCGTGATAAGAGGGCAGACGAGCGATGAATCTGGTGCGCTCAGGCTGTGGAGTAGGCAGCTCGAGGAAGTACTGGCGAGCCAATTTCAACGCTGCCTCAACGGCCTCAGATCCTAAATGTACGCATAAGTGATGATGCTAAAAAGCCCGAGGTCGTGCGCTGGGATGCCATACCGGAGCTAACAACAAAAAGTCTCGACAGTTTAGAGCCAGTAGATTCGGTGAGAAATTGAGCCAGGTCTTCTGTCACTTGAGTGCCGAAGAATGCAGAATGGCAGTATGAAATTTGATCCATCTGGTCCTTGATGGCTTGATTGATCTGCTCATGGCCGTGGCCCAAACACGAAACGGCTGCGCCGCCGGTGGAGTCGAGGAATTTAGTTCCATCCTCGAGAAAGATGTAGCTTCCCTTTCCGCCAATGGCCTTTCGGGGAATGAAGTGGGTGTCTCTATGCAAGACAGCACTGGACGTACCGGAGTGGGCGTCTGGCTCACGTCAGAAAGGGGCTCATATCAGGTGTCTCTTGTACCTACTAGTCGCGGTCATACTGAACCAATCGAAAGAGGCACTACTAGGAAAGAGTAGAAGACTGAAGCATCAGTGAAACCCATCAGGGTGGCAAGCTATCCCCTTATACCGTCGGTCGTTTCACCCGAGGCAATTGATGCCTGCGGGGGAGAGTGGGTTCGGCATGCCGAGCGGGAAGAAGCCGAGTGGCCTATTGGCTTCAAGTGCCGAACTGCCACTCCTCAGGGCTATCGTTGCAAGATGATTGATGGATGTTCAGCGGGGTTGCAAGAAGAAGTGGGGGATTAGTCTCCGCGGGCATGCCTGTCTAGGCTGGTGAAGCGCTCAGGGCGCTGCGGCAGACCGTGGACGCCTTCGGCATTGCCGTCCATGACTCAATTACAGAGGTCGTGCCAGGCTCGAGAGATAATAGGAAGGAACAACGATTAGGAGGTGATATGCAGTCATTATACTTTAGTGTCCGCGGAGACTGCTTATAGGCTAGATAAAGACATTCTTGCCTGCTGGCCTGGACTGATCTTCGACAGTCTGTTCCCATACTAAGACTATCTCCTTTCGAAACTCCCACGTTGAGCTTTAGGAACAGCCAATTGAGAGATACGAGGAGTATTAAATGTATGGGATCTGTTTGACCATAGTCTGTGTCTAACAACAAGCAAAGACAAATAGAGCAATGTGGGTGTTGTGGGTGTATACTTTGGTTGTTGTATGCATATTTGTTGATGGCGGCAACTGGCCAGTCTGGCCAACTCCGCCCGCACAGAACGGCAAAGACCACCTCCCGCACTTTCTTCCTTTCAACTCCACCACCTCCCAAACCACCCATCATGTCGCACTACGCCCGCGTCGAAGAGCTGTCTGACTCCGATCCCGATGAGGTCGCTCCCTCCGACTCGCTGGACCTCGACTCCATTATCCAGCCCGCAGTAATTCCAACCCGGCCGAGTCCACCACCTACGACCACTCCGATGGCTCAGCAGATGGCTCAGCAGATGGCTCAGCAGATGCCAGAGCCGCAGCGCGAGATCCCCAAACACTTCCAATGCCTCTATCCAGTATATTTTGACAAGACCCGCTCGCGCGCGGAGGGCCGCAAGGTCGGCTCGGAGCTTGCTGTGGAGAATCCTCTGGCTAGAGATATCGTGGATGCTGTGCAGATGTTGGGGTTGCAGGCCGGCCTGGAACCGGAGAAGCTTCACCCCAAGGATTGGGCTAACCCTGGCCGAGTACGGGTACTCCTCAAGAACGAAGATGGACGATTGGTGAACTCGAAAATCAAGAATAGTAAGTGTCCGCCTGAATGCTCTGGTTGGAGTGGTCTGCGCAGCACCTCCGGGGCGTCCAATGCTTGCATCAATCTTGACTGACCTGTACTCTTCGCAGAGCATCACCTCCATATTCTCGTTGCCCAGTACCTGAAAGCTCACCCGACCACGGAGCAATCACCATACCGCTTGCGAATTCGTGGTCTGCCCATGCCCGAGAAGCTTCCTCCCGCTCCTTCCGCTCCGCGTGGGTGGAAAGTTGGCAAGATCCTACCCATTCACTCGCCTGCCTACAGCGGCGGCGGTGTCAGCGATAACCCGTTCAAGGAAGCCATGGCCGAAATGCAGAGCATGCAGGGTATGCCCGGGATGCCATCCATTCCAGGAATGCCTGGTATGCCGGGAATTGGTGAGCCTTCGGGGACTGGCGCTTCAGAAAAGAAGAAGAAGGACAAGAAGAAGGGTAAGGCCTGATGGGTCTCATAGCTGGCATTTCCGTGTGCCTTCCACTTGCATTGCACGGCGACAGGCGTTCCTTTTCTTTTGCTTCCGATACGACAGGGGATAGAGGATATACGATTCCTTGATACCTTGACCGGCTAGTGTCCTAGGGAGCTGGCTGTGAGTATGTCACATATCTGCAGGGCTGGGCAGGGCTCATCTAGAATCATGTACAGTTAAAATTATATCAATATCACACTATGATGAAGGCCGAAAGACGAGCTCTACAATATAGTTGACTGATGGCTCTTAGTTAATGGTTTTCCGCAAGGGATGCGTTTTAGTTCCTTTTACTCTCTTTTTGCCCTTAGCAAATGAAGCCCAATTGTGCGACAATGAGAGTGGCGTACAGACTATGATTACAGTACAAACTCTCTGTCGTTTCCCAGCGCCCCGACTAGTCATCACGGGACCTATCACCCCTAGACATTCAACACTTTCCATCTCCCAACTCCGCTGGCAACTCTTCCACCCCTAAGCTCTCTGCAGTGCGAGTCCTGCAGAAAAGGAGGTTCGCTCAGTAAACGGCAAGACTGAATAGGGCTCTTTCAATAACCAAGTCTCGAGGCAGTCTGGCTAAAATGGATGAGGATTCTGGCAACAGTGAACCAGTAAGTGCATCCTTCTTCAGAGTGAATCTTCTAAGCTTCTGATAGCCCTCAAAATGGGACTTGTTCAACTATATCCCCTATATTCTCTCGTCTCATATCGACATATGTTTTGCTCCCTCAATGAGACACCAACCTTCTATTGTCACCATGGAAGAAATCCGAAGTGCGAAAGACCTATGCCTGTACAGTATGGGCGGCTGCAAAATCCTGGAGATCAACGCATCAACTATACTGAAAGTGGGACCTGTGGTTCAGATGGGAGAAGCAGAGGCCCTCTGCCTTCTGAAAAAAAGGACATCAGTCCCTGTTCCTGAAGTCTTCAATGCTTACACAATCGCGGATTGCGGGTTTATTTTGATGTCAAAAATACCTGGTCTCCCTTTAGAACAATGCTGGACAGGCTTAACTCAGGATGCCAAGAGTTCTATTGTCCGACAGCTTGGCGGTTTTATTCGGGAATGGCGCCAGATTAAAGGGCCGCTCTTCGGATCTATTGATGGTGGTCCATGCGAAGATATCATCTTCCAACATCCATGGGATGCAAAGCCCCGTCGCTATGGACCTTTCTTGACAAGAAAGGAATTTAATCAAGGAGTAGTAGAGGCTCTCCGCAACTCCAGACCCAATGCGCAGCTCACGAGAAGAGATGAGCCTCTGGTAGAGAGAATTCTCGCATCGGGTGACCAGGATGAAACAAAGGTGCTCACGCATGGTGACTTGCATCAAAGCAACATTATTGTGGAGGGTAATGTCGTGACCGGAATCATAGACTGGGGCGCAGCTGGCTATAGTGTATCGGCAAGGGAGTATTTTTGCTTGCGGTGGCAAGCGTTAGATCTAGACTGGAGGGATCTTATATCTACTATACTTGACGTCGACGAGTATGAGTTTTGGGCTGAAATTAATCAGTCCATGGTGGACTATACTGGGGTTTGAGCTATCCAGGCAGTGATGCTCTACTAGGAGATGGATAAGATCGAAGATTTTATATTTGAGGGCTCGCCTTGGGTTGGGTCTGGAGCAAGTTGTATATACGAGGAATCTTTTCATGCACGATTTTCTTTTATGTCCGTCTACCAACAACTGGTTTACCGTCCTTCTCTAAATGTAGTTGAATCCTTTGTGCTTCGATTCTATGGGTAACCATCGCCTACCACACAGCCTCTTGTGTCTCCGGAGATCTCCCGTCTCTGTATCGCCAGAGGCGGCTGAAGTCTTTAACACGTAAGACTTGATGGACAACATCTTGGACAACAATCCGCTTTTGAGTATGGCCCACGGATCCTGCAATAGGAGATAATGTCTCCTCTTTATGACCGCTGGTGTTGCCCAGAGACTTTTTACTGCTCTCAAGTAGGACGTCTGGTTTTGTCTCTACTTCCATGTCCATGAATGGATTAGACTCCAGCACCCTTCCATCAGCCCCAAGGGTAAACATGCTGTCTAAATAGTGCTGATTCATCAGATGGCCTGACCCGGGTCGAATGAACAATCGGCCAAGGTATCGATTTGGAAGGTAGGCGAATCGCAGTACACCCACGCGGGACACCGTATCCCTTGAGTTGGCATAATGCTCAATGTAGCGAATCGATCTTCTAACTGACGGCGCACACCCGGAATGGTTGGTTTCAACTGGCCCTTGAAATGTGCATTGAGGGTTGTTGAAGTGATTAGCGGCATTCCCAAACGTATACACCTCCAGCTGGTGAAGGAGGTCTTGGGGCAATTCATCTAATAGCCAGTCGATGACTAGACCTCCTTCAATACCCCCTTGGCTATGGAGTATAAGAACCACCTTTTCCACGGCAGGATCGAGCAGTGCTTCTTTAAGAAGGACATATGATCTTCGTATATCACCAGTAGCGTAGGTAAGGTCGCGTTGAATCAAACATTCGATGAGATCGAAAGGAAGACCGACACTCAAAAAGTAACTCAAATCAGCCTGATAGGTCCAGCCTCCTACATCGAACCTAGATTTCCAAGCAAGACATACGTGCGATTATGTATACCCGTGATTTTCCGTCCGAATGTGTAGGATAGTTGGTTGACAGTATTTTGCGTCCAGTATCGACTACTTTTCGTTAGTTGGATAGGAGGATTGATATGACATGTTGGGCTCACCCGCTGGCTATGCCGTTGATGAAGAACCATCGTTCTTTTCCATGGTGGGGCTGTTCAGCTACTGGGACATTGGATACCAGTACTCGCTGGAACCCATTGAGAACAAACAAGCAGATTGTATAGTTGATGATGATCGCAGCGGCGATGTAAAATAGCATCCAGAGAGCGGGGGTCAAGAAAAGAATTACAAACGGCAGCGAGAGGAGGAAGAGCAGCTGATAGATGGTGAGGAATGCCTGCATTATTAGGGATAGCACACCCTGGAATGACGGATAAAGCTCATCCAGCACATCCGTTTGACCCAGACGAAGGGGAAACAAGAGAGCCGGAAGAACCCATGCATACCGGATGAAAAGGCAGATGTCGCTCCATAGCAAGGAGAGCGGGGCCGCGGTGTATGGTAGCGGAGTAGTGTTTGGGTCCCGCTGCGTGAGGCGGATCTGGGGAGCCATGACCGTCCTGGAATTACGAGAGCGTAGTACAACAGGGAGGTGCGAAACTCCAGGGGCGGAGGTTGGGTAGATCGGCTTCAATTATACTTCGGTTGAACTTCATTGAGACTTGTAAATGTGACAAACGACCGCAGGCGGCAAAGCCAGCTGCAGCTGTCATGTGATGGTCGCTCTGTTGGACCTCGCCTGGTCGTGGGCAGCTAGTCGCATTCCGGGCTTCCCTCCTTTCATGCACGCACCGCGCAGGCAGCTCCACCATGATCACAATCATGACGGCCTTGAACGATATACTACATGTTCCCTTTTCGAGCTCTCGACTAAGCACTACGCTAGGTCTCCAGGAAGATGCTTAGGCCCCAGATTCAACTAACAGGGCCCATGCGTCCACTCTTATCGTGCTGACTCACGGTCCCTGGAGTTCTCCCAATGGCATGACACCTTGACCTTCAGGCAGAGTTCGGCTGTTTCTGTCGTCCAATATTAGCAGGCCATTCTTCAAACGACGTCAGATCGCTGCCAAGTTCGACTGTTCATCCCAACTCGGCCCAGTGAGGTTTGCATTATAGGAATGTACCGATTCGGTCAGCAGCTATGGCCATGCAATCAATCATCAGCGAGCTAGAGCAACCGTAGGATCGGGATAAACTAGTAGAAGTGCGCACCGGCAACGCAAATCCGGTCTTTGGCCTGCCGGTTCAATCAGCTATCTTTAAGTCTGTCCGATATGGCTCAGTGTCAGTCGACAAACTTGGCCTGCCGAGGCGAGGGGCATGTTTACGAATTTCATGGCGGCCCAGATAAGGCACTACTCCAATACGGTGTCCGGCATTATGATTCATGGAGTAGGGAGCTGCCACGTAGCGCACACCTATTCCGGGTGGGGCGAGAATCTGGGAATGTGGTAACTCAACGAGCAAATAAGCGTTATACCTGCATTGGCGACATGGTTCGTATCGGAACCAATGTTAGACAAGTAGCTTATTGATTAATTTCACCAAAAACAACACCTTTATTATTGTCAGCATTTACTGTAGTGTACGTCTCTGTTCGATACCAGTATTCGCAATAGTAGCAACGAGATTGTCAACAAGAGCTTCGACGATGTCTCGGGCCATGTCGATCACTAGGTCTATGTAGAGCTTTCTGAAATGACTCAAAAAGGAAATTTTAGCGGCGACGAGATAGAGCAGCTTATTATCGCATGCAACGTCAAAAGATATATCCATGATCAGACCAGAGGACCACATCAATAAGAATTTGATATAAAAATGGCGGGTTCCTTGTGTACAGGGGAAGAGTGACAAGGTGAAAATGCCAGGTAACTCCGGCAATCAACAAAGGCGATGACTTTGTGTGCCTTCCTGAGAAGACACTCAACTGGAATTTTGGGGTTTCAAGTGGTACAAACCATCGGCGATTTCATAGGACCCCCCCAGTGTCTATTTCCATCGAGATGATGATCTCTCCCCAAAAGAATGGTCCCTTCCTTCTCAGACATATCATCATCGCCCGCAGATCTCGGGTGACAAAGACACACCCCAAATTAGCAACGAGACAAAGCTCGGTTGCAAGCACGAATAAAGACTCGACACAATGCGCTCTCAGGGGTTTGTGCAAAAATAACAACAGCTACAATGGTCGGCTTTGGGATAGCATGGAAAGAACGATGTCTAGAAAGACTGATTACATTTGAACGGGTTCCAAGCGAAGTATAAGAACTTTGCTCCACCCTTATGTTCGCTGCAACACCAAGCCCTAACAAGAACCCAAGGCTCTCATCATCTCCTACCAAAATTAACCAAGCTCCTGTCGATATTCTCTTCGATCATTCAAGCTAGCTGCTTTTGAGAAACATGTCCCATCCTTGCAGTGGGCCCGAGCAGCCACGTCCAGCAAGGGACTCCGTAAGTGCATCACAATTTCCTATGAATGCCGCTTTTGCAGCCCGTGAGACTTATCCCCGATCAATTCATAAGCTGATTCGAACCGACATAAAGATGATAGCCGAAATTCTGCATCTAGACAACACGCGCGACCTCGGATCCTCCCTCCAGACTCAGGTCCAGCAGCTGATCCAAAATTTGCCAAAACGTCTGCGAAAACAGCCAGTCTCTCTTAGATGGAAGAAGACGCCTGGAGGGCTCTGTGACCTGCACCGGCCATTAAACGCTGATTTGATCCATGATCTGCTACGGCTGGTTCAGCATGAGGTCACAACACATTTCCGCCAGCTGGATGCATACCCTAATCTGATTCAGCCGGCGGAGGCCCTAGTCCTGGCCCACCTGCGTTCGCTGAAGGGATTGTGGACAAAGCCAAGTGCTGACAGCTCGCTCGCTCCAAGCGCTCACAGCTCGGTCGCTCCAGGCGCATGGGCATACCAGATCAACGGGTGCGCGGCCTGTATTCTGGCACGCATTGCGTCAGACAAGGAGATCATCTGTAACTTGCGAGTAGTCCTTCAAAGCCGCACTCGAACTCGTAAGAAGCATCGCCCGCGCCGGCTGAGCCTGTTTATCGACGAGTGTATTAACCAATTCACGCCCGATGAAGCAGAGGTGCTCCATAGCACTGCTAGCCAGCTTGCATACCGCATGAAGAATGTTCGGAAGGCCTGCGTCAAGACCTGGATGTCTGATCCAAACCAAAAACATACAGGCCATTCACAGCGGAGACACCGTCGTCACCGTGGCAAACAGCAGGATATTTCGGCTCAAACGCATCGCATTGAGAAGCACCAAATGCCGAGCATCACCTTGACTGATCTTTCAGAAGATGATCTTGCCACCTCATCGAAATCAACGCATCCCAACAGCAACCTGCTTGACGACAGCGCATTTCATCGTGAAGGCAGCAGTCTGTCGCGCACGGGGCAGTTATGGAATGAGCATGACCCCGAGCGCCGTCGACGATCAAGGAATCCAAGTCCAGAGTCGCATCGCTCCAGCCACTGGTCAAATCTCAACGGGCCGGCAAGGTTGGAGCGTCCAAGTCTCGTCCCCGGTCGGGTGCTTCAACAATCACGCTATGATGGCCATTCACTGGCTATTTCGGAGCATAGACGGGGGGATCTGGCCGAAAAATCCGAGACGATGACGATGTACCAGAAACTCGCGGAAGACAACCCTTATTCTCGAGCCACACCGGTTCCAGAGGCGATGGTCGACCCCCTGGGGATTCACAGTACTGGACAGGCATTCGATGGTGACGGTGTCCAGCAACAGGACGAGATGGAGGTTCCCTTCATATACCAGTATTCGCCGTCTGATTATTCCAGCAGCGACTGGACGGATGACGAGTGTGAGGACTGGGATGGGAAACCCTCGACAACCACGGGCCCATCCCCGGCAGGGACTACCTGGAGTTTGCTCTGTGAGCATCACAATTTCATTTGAAAGCTTTGAAGTGCGTTTTGGACATATTTGCTGGATGAATGATGGGCTGCATTAGGCGGGGTCCTGAGTGTGGGATGTTTTGTTTGAGCTTCACCGATGTTGCGATTGAACTGTACGACCAGTGGAGGTAACCCGGAATCAAGATAGACATTATTGACAGTAAGTTGCGACAAGTCGTAGAGAATATCATGTACAAAGAAACGACTGGCGCATTCTCAAATTATTAATACACGGGGACCAAAAAATCCCATATACATGAATCGATAGACAGTCCCACACAACCTCTCGGAGATGGCCCGCATCTCCAGGGACTGGCGAGGAATGCAATGCATAGACAGTTGGCACATATTCGAAGTTTCATCACAGCAGTTCGCCTCAATTGTGGAGTACGCTGCCGGGGACACCGTGACTGGGGCCTTTGAGGCTGTCGACAGTCTTTCGGCGAAGGCGGGTCCGCGTTGCCGGCCCCTCAGGCGAGATTACGACTGTTTCGTGCTCGCGCTCCTCGGTGACAGACACAGTCGGAACCGTCACCTTAGCTTGGGTAGCATCTATGTCGACTTGTTTCTGAGCGCTCTCTCGAGCCCGTTCGTAGCGCAGCTTAACTTCACCCTTCCACTGTGTACTGAGTAGACGGTCCCAAAAGATAAAGAAGGGCTGGGAGAAATTGGTCTTGATACCCCAGCTTTGGTGGTGAATATCGTGGTAGGCGGCGTTGTTGGCCGTGAAATGCTGAAGGGGATCCCAAGGGAAGGCGTATCCACAGTGGTCATCGACGGTCTTGATGGTCGAACAAGTGAAGAACCACATGGCTTGGCGGTTGGTCATGCCGGAAACCATGAACCCAATGCCTGTACCGGCAGTATCCAAGAGGAACCCTTCGACGGGGTGATTGTAGAGGGCGCCGAAAGCATACGGCACGTAGAGGCGGTGGTGGCGAGAGTGGAACGTCACTGGTAAAATGTTAGTTAGATACATTATTGTTTCCGAAGCTAAAGTGTTTTGGCTTACCATAGAGCCAGCGGTTCAAATGCATCGCTCGGTGCAAGAAATACTGCCAAGTATCGACGATGGACACTGCAAGCATGAACTGAAGGGCCGGAACAAAGTACCAGTAGATGAAGCTGGCCACCGAGAGCTCCCAGCTAGTGAAGGCAGGTGCGATGACCTCCGCACCGCTATCGAGGATCAGGGACTGCACCGCGCCGGGATAGGAACCGCCAGCCAGCGCCCCGGCCAGCATCACATGTCCGTTCTGGGACACCGACTTGGCCAGGCCAGCCGCGTCGACCCCGACCAGAGCCAACATCGGGGGAATGGCTTTCTGGAGAATGCGAACGCGTGTGGCCCAAACGGCCACATCATACTCCTCGCGGCCAACTGTTTCCACCGGGTCGAACTGTGACATCGCCAGACCCGCGATGGTCTGGATCACCTGTTGTAAGATCACGTCGCGTACCACTTCCCACCGGGTGACTTTGTTTCGCTTCAGTACTTCGGCCGGGGTATGAAGACGGTACTCCTCGAAGTATCCATAGACATCGATGAAGTGATAGATCATGGACATGCCCCAATAGGCGATAATGGGCAGGATCAGCGCGAGAACAGCATCGGGGATAGGCGGAAGTAGCGGCTCTCGCACGGACAAGGTGTAGGTCGGCAGCGGAGGAAGGTCGAAGGCGACCGAGGCATTGACGGCCATGGTGGGCGAGTCGAATGAGGTTTGTGCCACTGCTGGGCCAATCTGAGTCAAGTGAAACCAATATAAAGGAGATTCGAGAAACTAGGTCGGTCGCGGAGAAGAGGAATTCGAGGACGAAAGTGAGTGGCAGTCGTCAGCAAGTGCCCGGAAGGGGTCGGAAGCTGACGGGATGGGATGCAGCAGGCGCGGTCAGCAGAGCAAAGGACCTGTCAAGCGAAGATACAAGGGGAGCAAGGAATGGCGATAAGAATAAATTGAAGGAGGGGGCAAGGTCCAGAGGAGAGATAAAAGGAACCACGCGGGAACAGGAGGGCAGGAGGCGAAAAGGCGAAAGGCGACCGACAGGGCCGAATCGAGTGGCGCCAGTCGGATGCGGGCTTGCGAAGATCTTGGTACGGACGGTACGGCCGGCACCGCATTTGGATGGCCATTCGACGGCGACGAGAATCTGACGGTTATTTACCGTCTGCACTGGTATTGGCCTGCTCACCTGCATCCGCTGACTACGCAGGGCCAATAGGGTGGAGCTAGCTAGATTGTTTACTTCCCACCCCAAGAGGAATTGTGGACGCCAATCCATCCGTAGCACAGAACAGAACGAATGGTCAACGCAAATATTGCATCAGCCAAGGGGGCTCTTTCGATACCTGCTGGGACTTGAATCCGTATACAGTGGCCTGACACCCGCCGAGATGGGGAGATCTCAGTGGCTGGTTGCACTAATTTTAGACGCCGATAGCCAATACGAAGGGCGGCTTGGATGCAGCCCTGAAGCAAAGCGAGCCGGAGTGACCTGTGTGATTTTGTTGCGTTTTGCTATGACAACCATGCACTACTAATGGACTGGGAGCAGTGCCACTGGCTCTATTTGGAAGCAGTCATTGTTCATTGTGATGTATAGGTAAGGTTGAAATCTCCACCGTGATCTCCTGTTTACACTTTTATTGTTAACGACCAGGAACGATATCATTCTTTCCTCTAGGAGATATTAAAGCAATCTCCCGGTCTGCTTCTGCTCATGATGTATTGTAGGGATCATTGATACTCACCTAACGGCCAATGCGGGGTCATGAACAGATGTTTCAATATTGAATTGTGTGCTATCACAGGACAGAATCCTCACTTAATCATTGCTTTGGCTCAGTACAGGGGTCCCATTGTATTTGCCTCTATGTAGACCGAGTAATTAAAAACGCGTATCTTATAGCGTGCTGACAGACTGCTAAATATAGTAGTATTGGCGATAGGGAAAACTTTACATTCAGAGTAAGTTTTGGTGCCTCTTCGTCCAAGCTTATTGGATGCTGTTTGGTGCTGTGCATATAATAAGCCCCTTCGCAAGATTTGAGTCGCCTGTTATACAAATCCACAACTCATGAAGGTAGGGGCATAGTGTATGGTCTCCCGCCTCATCACCACTGCCCGAAGGACATCGTTAATAAAGTCTGGATGGAGTTCCGTATGCCGACCCACACAGCGCACACCCCACAACGTTAACAGGGCATTACTGAAACAATGATGTCCAATGATGGGAAGTGGAATTGAGTTCGATATCGAGAACTAATTGGAAACAACTAATTGGAAACAAACAAGCGTAAGCGAATCGAAGACGAACCAGAAGTGAAAATAGGCGATAATAGAGCGCCGGTCCCGTGACCACAATAAGCAAACAGAGCAAACTCCCCCACCAACGTGGAATTAAAAAAACTTCATTTCCCCTCCTTTTCTGTTTTTCTCATCCCCTACCCCTCCACCTTGTCAATTTCCTTTTGTGAGCCATAACTTCTTAACCGCCGCCATGCTTATCTACCAGGTATGTCGGAACCTACCTGTGCCGAAAATTGCGCAACCTTCTCGCCATATAAGATCTGCAAACAGGGGACAGAAAACTGACGATCCCAGGACATTGTCTCCGGAGACGAGATTCTCTCCGATACCTTCAAGATTAACCCGGCCAAGGACTGCCCCATCTTGTGGGAGGCCGACTGCCGCAAGTACCTCAAGAAGAAGAACGAGGACTTCGCGCTCGAGGGTGCCAACCCTTCCGCCGAGGAGGGCGAGGAGGGTGGCGATGACGATGAGGCCGTCATGGTCCACGACATCGAGGAACAGTTCCGTCTGGTCTGGCTCAAGACCGAGGAGGGCCTGAAGCCTTCCAAGGACTCCTTCAAATCTCACCTCAAGAGTTCGTGCACCCCAGCCCCCGCTCTTCCTAGACGACCTGTCTAACTTTCGCTATAATTTAGGCTACGTCAAGAAGATCCTCAAGCATCTCACGGAGAGTGGCGCCAGCGACGAGACCATTGCTGAGTTCAAGGCCGGCGCCGCCGGTGCTGTCAAGAAGATCCTTGGCAACTACGACAACTACGATGTTCTGATGGGCCAGAAGATGGACGGTGATGCCATGTGAGTATTCATTGTTGTTGACGTTGTTCTTCATATACTAACCAATCTTCCCAGGCACGTCCTGATTGACTTCCGCGAGGACGGCGTTACACCCTTCGCTACTATCTGGAAGCACGGCGTCAAGGAGATCAAGGTCTAAACGTCTGATCCCAACGGGCGACCACAAAATGCACTTGACATGAAGAAAGAGAAACTTATGAAGAAACGCGGGCTCTCTGCATCCATGCCCAGATCGGACGTGGGGATTGCCCATTCCCTTTCGCCGGGCCGTTTGTCTGTTCCTGGCTTTACACGCCGCATCTTCGTATCCTAATTGACTGATCGATCTGATCGTCAAGAGTTACGCCTCATGAATCAATAAACTGTTAACGTTTTCATTACAAAAATTCCACTAATATTATGTACATGCTACGAAGTGCGTTTGATTTGCCGTTCTTCGAGCGCGTGTTATAGTAGGTGGTATAATCAGCGCATGCAGCTGCATCTTTGCGAGATGACATGAGCTCAGCTCCGGGGCATTGCATGTATAACTCAGCCAGTAAAAGCACTTCATGAATTTTTAACAGGTATCATAAATGTTTTCTATTACCACCAACTTTCTAGTAATAATCCGTCCAATCACTGGATGGAACTCCGACATTCCCCGAGACATTGTCTGTCCAAGCTGGCGGAATGTTTACATCAACAGGTGAAGGTGCCCCCAGCTGGCCATTGTAAAGAATGCCATCGTCGGCGTTAGCAGCAGGAACCCTAAGGTTGGCAAATTCCAGCCCGGAAACAGGGTCCAATTCCATGAGCTCATCAGCAACTGGGAGGTGCTGTCCAAAGACAGCATCCCATTGATCCCAATCAAAGTTCAGATTAGGATCGACCATAGATGGCGGAGTGGGAACGCCCATTGAGGGTGAATTGGGAGTAACTGGATCCATAAAAGACATGCCTGGAGATGCAGCGATATGGGAGAGGATTTGTTGAGGTCGAGCGACTGGAGCTGCAGAAGGGGCAGCTGCAGAGTGAGTCGAGGAGGGGGTTGACTCGAGAGATGATGCCACTTCGGGAGAAGTTACCATGGTGGCGGACGTAGCTAGAGTGTTGGCAGCTGGGAGAGTGACGGCTGCGGGCGTGGGGTCGTATTGTGGAGTTGGAAGTGGGTCGGAAGTTTGGTATGGTGGGGGCAGTTGGTATGAGTATCGAAGGGGACTGGGCCTGACAGAGGCGGCGGATACTGCAGGGTTAGGACGAATGTGAGAACGAGTCATGCTGTAGAACATGCGGTTGAACTCGGCTAGTTGGCGATCGGGAGCAGAGGGTTGACGTGGAGGCATGGCTGAGATCATGGGTGATCCAGGCACAGAAGATGTCCCTGAGTAGCATGAACCGCGATTTTCCCCTGCTGGCGATGCTATGCCCGCCTGGATTTGATCTTGCTCGGTCCAAAGCAGTTGCGGGTTCAAACCAGCCTTTTGCCATGCCTTCTGGCGTAAGCGGCGGATCATGTCCCAAGCTTCACGACCGCCATCTTTAAGCGGCCGTTGGGTGGATATACCATCTTCGCCACCCACGACACCTCCATCTGGCCCAGACAGAGCCAATATTCGGTCGATAAAGGCACGCGATTTGGAAGCTTCAGGGCTGTACGGCCGTTCGTACAGATCAATGAGCATGATCCTGTTGAAGATCAGCCGCTGTAAATAGGAATGGGCCTATAGGGAGAGGAATGGATAAAAATAAAGTATTGGGGAGCTTCCAAGCAGAGAACACTCACATTGTCGCGTGCATGGGTTGATGATTGCTGGAGCAGGTCAGTTCAATCTCTATTTCTTGATGTCAATGTCGTGTGACGTACCCAGGCCAACTCCATTGGAATGGTTGGAAGTCAGGGTCGGTCGCAAGCTGAATGAACTTCTCCATGAACCCGTGGCAGTGGCGAAGTGCACTGTGGTGGTTGGATATTAGATAGAACTTGCGGAGGCGGTTCGTGGGCCGCTTACCTTTGTCGTGCCGCCGGCCAGATACGGCTGCGCGCATTCTTGAGAAAGGGTTGATATGCAACACAAAATGCCTAATGTCACAGGGAAGTCAGAAGAAACATCCAATGAGAGAAACTAATATCACCAACCTTATCAATATACAAGGACAGAATGATTCGCGCCCACTTGTGGAAAGAAACAAGTACTGGTGTATGATATTGTTCGGGACAGCCATTCGGACCCTCCCCTGGAAGCTCTATTTCGGTAGATCGAGCTTCGACAGGAGACTTGGACATAGATAATGCCCGGCCCAATGATACTGAAGCATTATTAGTAGGTTGGCCTTCGGGAATCCTGTTCACTATCGAGTTCAGTTTCAGTTGGAGTTCGAGAAGAATTGCTCGCAGTTCCTCCATATCTCTACGGGTGACGGGTTTTGTGCCGAGCTGAATCTTCAAAATTCGCCGAACCGCGCCTGATATTTTTTGTCAGAGTGTGAAACAGCTTCGATCCCTCGACGAAAAACCTACGAGCCATGGTGTATTTCCCCTTGGTCGTCAAGTAGAAGACATTCACCATCGACGGACCACCGCAGACGGATGGATCATCGGGATTATCTGGTAGCCGTTGGTTGGTGGCAAGGAGTTGCTCGTATCGCTCCGCCGCTGGAGTCCCTAGTAATGTGTCCTTGATCTCGCTGGTCTCTCCCACGTCCCAGTAATTCTCGTCGCCAACAAGTGGGGGGAGCCCGCTCGACATTGCAACCACTCCGTCCATATGCATGATGTGCCACCAGAGTCGTCGTCGGTACTCTGCCTCGCAGGGCTCGATCCCGAACTTGGCTGGATCTCGATGCAAGCCCATCGTCTGAGCCACTCTCATGGCGAGGCTCACAAACAGACTACTCGTCAGAGGCTCTTCCTCTTTTGACAATATAGTTTGCACAATGAGATAGGCCGCTAGTCCCTGAAGGGAGGGGCTGCGAGGAAAGGAGATCTTGGTCAACCAGCGGGTTACCTCTTCGCTATACATTGTAGACAGTGAAAAGCGTGAGGGTGCATTGAATTCCGCCTTGATAGTCCGGATGGAGATGGTCACAGAACCGCCGTACCAGATAGCATACAGCAGGGGTATGAATGAAGGGTTAGGGCACGGCTCTCCAGAGTAGCTGGTGTAGTCATACCAGTCCCAAAATGCATTGTAGAGCTTCAGGATAGTGGGAGGGTGAACGACAGGGCTTATGGCGTGGACGCCAGACATAAACCCCTTGTATAAAATATGGCTTTGGCGCCGTGTAGGAACATGCTCAAGCATCTCTGGCTCAACAACTTTCTCATTGACCGACGGAGAATCACCAGAGGGGAGAATGATGGATTGCTGGAAAGCTCCACCTCGAGACCGAGAGGTAGCCGAGTATACAGAGCTATCAATCGGTTCCTTCCACGGCCTCTGCGACCCGTTAGCAGGGTCATTGGGGCCGTCATTCGCATTTTCTGATGATACGTCGTGCGACCGATTTTGATCTCTCAGTAACTGATTGAGATCATTGATCTACATCTTGGATTAGAACTTCTTTTCGGATGAATGTGGGCTCGACGGATACCGACATACCTCGTGGGAGATATAAGCCCAATATGTTGTTCCGACATATCTGATACTGTCAGGCGATTTGACCTAACACAGGGTTGTTCTTCCACTCACCTGGACCTTCCGCCATCTTCCAAGCTTAAATGCCCCAGGTTCAAGCTCCCAATTGGATCAACAAGATCTGTCGCTTGACCCGATGGGATTGGAAACTCATCCCCACTCGATTCCGCTGCAACCCGGCGTGGACTTGATGGCCGAGAGGAGACTGGTTGTCCGTTCCGAATGCTACCACTCTGGCGCAGTTCCTCCAGGTGAGCAGACTCCACGCCGCTGGGCGGAGCTACACCCTGCCTCTCTGCTTCCTCAAGGGCTTGTGTATTACCGCCGAGTCGTTCGATCATCGACATCAGCTTGTCCAACCGAGCCTCAATGGCGCGCGGATCCGCCTTCTGGCTACCTGGTGAACCTTCCCGTTTCAAGTGTCCGTACATCGATTGCAATTCATCCACGTCCTCCTCAAGTGTTCGGGGCGTCTCTCTCCTCCGTTTCACACCATATCCAAATCGAGTGGGTCCTTCGTGCGCGCTCTCAGCCTTTTGCGATATTGACGATGCATCATAGAGGCACTGGGCGCCGGTCTTCGCGCAGTTGCCGCATACTGGGTGGACCTAAGGAGAGCTGAGTGTCAGTTGGACCATGCACCATGGATATAGATGGGAGGGCCGGCCTATGATACCTTATCGCACTTGACCTTCCGCCGGCGACATGTGTGACAACTGTAGCTCGCTCGGTTCCGAGTAATCTGACGACCTCCGGCGGACGGTCCCCGCGCCGATGACGGAGCACGTCCGGAGGGGGATGCGCTCGGCGGCGGCTGGACATTTGGCGGACTGGGGTCCATAGTCCCTGGCACGCTCGGAGGGGCGAAAGGGGGTGGAAGAAGCGCACTGGGGACTGCGAACTGCACAACCTGCGGGATGCGGATTGCGAATTGCGAATTGCGGGGAATGACTGGGTGCTCGCCGGTGCCGAATCGGCGAATGACCGCATCGACATTAACTTTAAGATAGGCGCCTGAGCAATCGGGCATCGATCCGCGCCCTATACGAAATATACGAAGCCATGTGTAAAAACTTTGCAAAGAACGGCAATTGCAGTCTATCACTAGCTCGGGAGATCATTTGTACCTGGCATCTAGCATTGGGTCGCGTATCAGCAGGCCGCATGGCGCTTAAATGCGGCTTAAATGCACCCTGGCGCCTTTCTAACACATACTTTAGCCGTGCGAACTTGCCAAGCTTGATCACACTGCTTTTAGCATTCTACTTCGCGCTCCACACAGAGTGAGAGAGGAAATAGTTACAATACCATGCTCTTTTAGTCTCTCAGTATGGGCTCGAGGCCTTCTTGAGTGGCCATTCATCGGTGGTGAAACCGAACAACGGTCTGTCAGATTCGATATTTAAAGACAGCCAGCATCAAATCTATCCAGCCGAACAGGTTCATGTTATGTGTATGATCTAGGCGCCCAGTCCGAAACAAAATCCCTCTCCGCCTGGAGATGAAGGATTGCCTGTTCCGAAGCCGACTCATCATTCACACGCAGTTTGCAAAGCCGCGGACTTGGCACGGATGCGCGGCCGGCGGGGCTAGCACTAAACGTACGCGTCCAGAGCATCCGCCGCTCATTGCCAAGCCGGCCAAGTCTAAGCTATTCGCATTTCGTCGCCGTATCAGGCACCGGAATATGGCTTTGGGATCGTTTCAGGGGCAGTTTACGGATTCTCGGCGTCTCGGCGGTGGCTATGCGAGTGAGTAGCCAACCAGGACTGCGTACTTCCTTTCACCAAGTCTGTTGTTTGGAGACTGAACCACCCGTATTCTTGCTCTTTTCTAATTCCGCCGACGCCAAGCTGTATAATGGATCTTGGAACAGCTTTCGTCATGCCCAGATGTGGGCATTTTTAGAAGTTGGTCAAACCAGAGTTCTATTATTACTCTCAACAGCCCAGTTGAGCCGAGAATGTCGCGAAGGAAGATTTTTTCTCTCTTCACTGACAGATTCTATCAGTCAGTACGTTAAAACAATCAACATTCTGAGCACGCTTCAAGCTTGAAGCCCCATTTGGCTTTTCTTGCCCGGGAATTTTGAACCTGACCGACCATCTTCCGCTCATACAACACTCATGACTCGCCAATGGCTCAATGCAAGACCATGGCTTTTGCTCTCAATAGGACTTTCAAGCCTCAGCTCACCTGTCATGGCAAGGGGCATCTCTCTTGACCTGGATAGCTCTGGTCAGTATATTCACGACTTAGACGTATGAAAAAGTCAAACTCCATTGCTAAAGCCGGGAAGCAGACTCCATCAAATCCGCAGCCAGCAGGGTAGCCTACGATTTAGCAACTTTCTATACAGGTAACAATACAGGAGATGTGCCGGGTAATCTTCCAGATCCATACTACTGGTGGGAAGCAGGGGCCTTTTTTGGGGCTCTGATCAATTACTGGGCTTATACTGGGGATACAACCTACAACAAAATCACTCTCCAAGCGATGGAACACCAGTCTGGCACAAACGGCGACTTCATGCCCATCAACCAGACGTATACGGAGGGTAATGATGACCAATGCTTTTGGGCAGTCAGTGCAATGATGGCTGCCGAGCGAAACTTCACCAACCCATCTTCTTCCCTGCCCGGCTGGTTAGCTATGGTGCAAGCCGTCTTCAACCAGCAAGCCCATCGGTGGGATAATTCTAGCTGTGCCGGTGGTCTACGTTGGCAGATTTATACCTGGAATGCTGGATACAATTACAAAAACACCATTTCCAACGGCTGCTTTTTCGACATCGCAGCGCGACTGGCGCGGTATACAGGCAATGCAACCTACGCTGAGTGGGCTAACAAATCCTGGAACTGGGCGAAGCGTGTCGGATTGATTACTTCCGACTACCAGGTGTATGATGGTACTACTGATATATCCAACTGTACCTCGTACGACCACACTCGATGGTCTTATACTGCTGGCGTCTACCTTCATGGAGCTTCCGTGATGTACAACTACGTAAGTCGGCTGATATGTGAAGTTGCTATGGCTCAACAAACTAATTATCTAACTCACCCTCCAGACTTCCTCTCTCTCCACCAACTCATCATCCAACTCCTCTTCCACGTGGAAGACACGAGTAAATGGGCTACTTGCCAACGCTAATCACTTTTTCTCCACGAATGAGTCCAGCACGAATGTCATGTATCAACCACCCTGTGAGTTGACTGGCAGGTGTAACACCGACCAGTTGTCCTTCAAGGCATACATGGCCCGCTGGCTAGCTGAAGCCATCCAGCTGGCGCCATATACCTACGACACTGTTATGATAAAGCTCCGTGCCACTGCAAAGGCCGCTGTCGCTCAGTGCCAGGGTGGGTCTACCGGTACCTATTGCGGGCATCGCTGGTCAAGCGGTAGCTATGACGGTACTACTGGAGTTGGACAACAAATGGGCGTCCTTGAAGTTCTGCAAGGACTCCTGGCTCCTGACAACAGTGGGCCATTGACTTCGTCCACTGGTGGGACAAGTGAGGGAGACAGTGCGGCTGGAACTGGCTCTGATGAAGACGAAACTACCATTCATTACTCGGCCATCACGGCTGGTGATACCGCTGGTGCAGCAATCTTGACTGCAATTGTTATCGGGTTAACACTTTCTGCCGTTTATATGATGCTTGTTTGATATCTCTCTGTCTATGGTGTTGATCAAGAAGCAGAAATTTCCCCGATACCCATGATTCGGGCTTGGATTTCTGTGCTGTTGATTGACCAGGTGCAACTTGCTAGTTCCAGCGCTATTCAATGCTTATAAATGCTTCATTGCCGGTCGTTCATAGGTATAACTTCTGATTTCCGCGCAGTCACCACTTCCTTCGGTTTCTTATTGTCCAATTGGAGGCATCTTTCCGCAGTAACTCGGCGTTCTACACGGTATCTTTGGAGCAAGATTGCTCCAAACTATGTGTCAAGTTTTGTCGCAAGATTCTGACTCCACTCCTCCGCCAATAAATTTCTCTGCATCTCTACGCCTCCTATTTTACTCCATCTCGTTGATTCGACTTAGTTGCCAGCCACTTGGCGGGATAGGGGTCCCAACACCTTTCAGCTACCACCAGAATATCCGGTATGTATGAGAGCATAGGGATACAACATTCGAATTTTGGTCGGTGAAGGCAATCATCCATGATTAGGCTAATCGTCCCTTGTCTCGGCGGAAGCTGTCGTGAGTCTCTTCCATAGTGGGAAACCAAACATCAGGCATGAGAAAAGGCCCGAGCTGATCAGCAATCAATGGGACAGCAAGTCCAAGAATGATGAGAACTTCTGCAGTTCAGCCTGAGCTGGCCAGTGGAGGCGTCTGGCTAAAGCTCGATGTGTTGGGTTGTTAGCGTCACAGCGATGTGACGCTGGGATGCAAGATTTTGGAGAAGGCAGCCTTCCTAATACATTGCCGATAATTTCCCGAAGCAAGGCATTGCGAATGCCGATCAGCGGCATCTTAGCTGTTCAGGCTAAATATACCTGTTCATTGCAACTGTTCTGCAACACCGGAAAATCCCCCCAAGCAACTCCCCGGCAAAGCGTCGGGATCGACTGCGGGGCCTGCCGCCTTTGGGAGCAATGTGGAGACGAAGCTGTTGGGCCCAGCTATGGACCTTCTTCTACAGCCGACATGCAGCCGCCTGCAGGGGCCATGGGCGACGAGGGGGCACTCATTTGGAGGGGAATGGGGAATTTGAATTCCGGAATGTATAAATTGTGACGACCCGCGAGGACTGGCAGGACCTAGCTGGTGATTGCAAAGTTGCAGAGTGCCGCCGCCATCCTTCTTCATGATGCCAGCTTCTACTGCTGCAGTGCTCGCTGCACTGGCAGTATTGGTGCCGTCCACCCTGGCCCAAGCCAGTACGAGTTATGTCGACTATTCAACAGAGCCCCAGCCAAATCTCGATGCCCAAACCCTAGCGACGATCGACCTTGGATTTCCCGACTGCACCCAAGGGCCGCTGAGCAAGAGCCTGGTGTGCGACTCATCCGCAAGCCCTCATGACCGAGCGGCCGCCTTGGTTTCCATGTTTACATTCGAGGAGCTGGTGAACAGCACCGGGAACACCATCCCCGCCATTCCACGTCTTGGGCTTCCGCCCTACCAAGTATGGAGTGAGGCCCTGCACGGATTGGATCGCGCAAACTTCTCCGACTCGGGCGACTATAGCTGGGCGACATCATTCCCGTCCCCAATTCTCTCCATGGCCGCCCTGAATCGCACGTTGATCAACCAAATCGGTGGTATCATCTCGACGCAAGGGAGAGCGTTCAACAACGTTGGGCGATACGGTCTCGACGTCTATGCGCCAAATATCAATGCCTTCCGCCACCCTGTCTGGGGTCGCGGTCAGGAGACCCCTGGGGAGGATGCCTACTGCCTGTGCGCCACGTATGCGTATGATTATATCACCGGCATCCAAGGTGGTGTGGACCCCGAGCATCTGAAATTGGTGGCGACCGCCAAGCACTATGCCGGCTACGATATCGAGAACTGGGACGGTCATTCCCGGCTGGGTAATGACTTGAACATCACTCAGCAAGACCTGGCCGAGTATTTTACTCCGCAATTCCTGACGGCAGTGCGCGATGCCAGAGTGCATAGTATCATGTCCTCGTACAACTCCGTCAACGGTGTACCCAGCTCTGCCAGTTCCTTTTTCCTCCAAACCCTGCTCCGGGATTCTTGGAGCTTTGTTGACGATGGATATGTCTCCTCTGACTGTGATGCCGTTTACAACGTCTTCAACCCCCATGGGTACGCTGCGAACATATCGAGTGCGGCTGCCGACACCATGCGAGCCGGGACTGACATTGACTGTGGAACATCCTATCAAAATCATTTGAACGAGTCCTTCTTCCACGGCGAAATCTCACGCAGTGAGATTGAGCGCGGAGTCATCCGGCTTTACTCCAATCTGGCAAGTCTGGGATACTTCGATGGGAAGGACAGCCCGTATCGCAACCTTGCGTGGTCGGATGTCCTTGCGACTGACGCGTGGAATATCTCCTATGAGGCCGCGGTCGAGGGAATTGTTCTACTCAAGAATGACGGCTCCCTACCACTGTCTAAAAACATTAGAAGCGTGGCCTTGATTGGGCCCTGGGCCAATGCCACCGAACAGATGCAGGGCAACTATTACGGAGCCGCTCCATATCTGACCAGTCCATTGGATGCGATTAAAGCGTCCAGTCTTGATGTTACCTATGCCGTCGGTACAGGCATCTCCTCGCAGACGACTGATGGTTTTGCCGCTGCGCTTTCTGCAGCGAAGAACTCCGATGCGATCATTTTTGCTGGTGGTATTGACAACACGATTGAGGCGGAGGGAATGGACCGACAGAACATCACTTGGCCGGGCAATCAGCTTCAGCTCATTACAGAGCTGAGTGGCCTGGGCAAGCCGTTGATTGTGCTTCAGATGGGTGGTGGGCAGGTTGATTCATCATCGCTGAAAACCAACAAGAACGTCAACGCTCTCATTTGGGGAGGCTACCCGGGCCAATCGGGTGGTCAAGCCCTTTTCGATATTATCACTGGCAAGCGCGCCCCTGCTGGCCGCCTCACAACCACCCAGTACCCGGCTAAGTATGCACTGCAGTTCCCGGCCACAGATATGGGGATGCGTCCTAGCGGTAGCAACCCGGGTCAGACATACATGTGGTATAGCGGAACACCAGTCTATGAGTTTGGTCACGGACTGTTCTATACGACATTTAAAACATCACTTGGTGGTTCGAGGGGTACTGGCAATGAAACTTCCTTTGACATTGTCGACCTTCTGTCTCGGTCACACGATGGCTACAAAATAGTTGAGCAGCTCCCATTCCTCAACTTCACCGTGAGTGTCACCAACACCGGACGCGTGCTCTCCGACTACTCCGCGATGCTGTTTGCCAACACAACTGCGGGGCCTCAGCCATATCCCAACAAGTGGCTAGTGGGCTTCGATCGCCTCGGTGCCCTCAAGCCACACACCTCCCAGATTATGACTATTCCAATCACTCTTGACAATGTTGCTCGCACGGACGCAGAGGGTAACCGGATTATCTATCCGGGCATGTATGAGTTGGCATTGAACAACGAACGGTCGGCTGTCTTGTCATTTACACTGACAGGCAATGCGACTACCCTTTCAAAGTGGCCATTAGATGAACAGCAAATTCCCCCCGCTTGATGGAATGGCCTCTACTTTGGTATGCGCTTTAACGATATTGGCTCGAGCCATTAATTTGATTTTCTAGATAGACTCCTGTTCTATATTCAAGATCACGGCGGCTCCGATATACTAAGATCAAATTTTGCACATATTGAATCTCAAGGAAAAGGCATATCTGTCTAGCTAGAGTTCTTGTACGGATTCCATGGGGCCTTCGACAATCTGGTAGCAATCTTGCTTGGAATTCCTTAATTTTTTAATGGGGATATGGGATTACTTTAGAACTAAAACACAGCATACATGCCTATGATTTACCCACAATGTCTTTTTTTTTGACTGCTCATTTTCAACACCCTATGGATCCTGATAACCCCATCAATATGTTATCTTGAACACCCATGCAAATTGATCGGCGGCTGCTATTTCGTTGCTCACGGACAGAGCGACGGAACCGTTGTCGAATTTTTGGGTTGGCACAACAGTGCCATGCATTTCCCCACCGACCACCGTAACTTGGTCGCCATCCACCCAAGGGATCGGACTTGACAATATCAGAGTACTGTTGGGCTTTGCAAGTGTATGGATGTAGAAAGCATCTTGCGAAATGGTAAACCGAACATGATCACCTTCTTCGGGCGTCACAAACCAGTACGTCGTATTGAAAATAGCTTCTGCATGACCCTTAATCCACGTACCAGCTTGGCGAAGATGCTGTTGCTCAATATCCACAATCGTTCCGTTGGCGGTAGGCCCCACATCCAGGAGGAAATTCCCGTTTTTGCTGATAATGTCAATTAGGCCGGTGACAATGCCACTGGCATTCATGTAGCTTGCGAGGGGTGTCGCTCGATTATAGCCGTAACTATAAGGATCCATTCCCAGACTACTCTCCCACTTGCGGACTTGAACACCGTCGTAACGGGCATATTCAGGGGTATCAAAATCACCAGGGAGGCCACAACGAGCGTTCATAACCACCTGTCGATTTTGCTCTGCGGCGCGATTAAACCATTCTGATGCAAACTCGATCGTGCGGTTGGGACCACCAATGTCACACCACATGATTTCAGTCCCCATGTCGGCCAAGGTATTCATCTCCGGCAGGATCTTATCTTTGACATAGTCGGCGACAGGAACATAGCCAGTGTAAGGTAGCGTCTCGTTCGTGAACGGATTGGTTGCATTCCCTTGCCCCTGTCAGTATGTGTTTGAAGCTGTGAGTATAGTATAATGATACCTCCGGGCCATGACGAAAACCCATATTCCTTGTAATCAGGATTGAACCATTCGGGCAACGAGTAGTACACGGCGCGATGGAGATGAGGTTGATACTTCTTCGACGCATCAAACAGTTCCTAATGGGAAAAGCTGTCAGTCGGCTGAGCACAATAATGCTGCAAATATAGATTTGGTGGCTTGCCTGGACAAGGTTGCGATGTGGTGTTAACGCTACTGACGTTCTCTTCGTCACATTCTCCGGGAGGTCAAACAAAGCGTATCCTTCATGATGCTTGCTGACCTGAACAAAGTAGTTGGCACCAGCATCTGCAAACAAATCGACCCACTCCTTTGGATCCCATGCATCTGCAGTGAAGTTTTGAATGAAATCATCGTAAACGACATCCGGGCCGTATGTCTGCAAGTGGTAATCATATACATCGGTTGGGTTGCTTGGCCCCTGACCCAGCCACCACCAGTACCTAACACTTCTGTTAGCAAGACTGTCGGGATGAGATTCGGTAAGAGCTGACCATTCGGCGTAGTTTTCCTTGGAGCCCACGTTTCCCCACCCAGGGACTGAGTAAATCCCCCAATGAATGAAGATACCATATTTGGCATTGTTGTACCAGCTCGGTGCTTCATGGCTGTAGACCGATTCGTACGTCGCTTCATACTGGCTGATTCCGTAGGTTGCATTGAACGTGTACTTTGAGGATTCCACATGCTGTCCTTGGATGGCCACCGTCGCTGGGCCTGATTCTCCCGCTTTGACCCCTTTGCGATTCCGTACTCCAATCTCCACAATAGCCTGATCACCCGGTCCAAGTCGTTTGATGACACCCTCTGTCACGGTCTCAAGACCTGGTGAGTCAACGTGGACGTGTACCCTATTGTTTCGCAATACGAAGGACGACCCGACGTTGTTGATGAGAACTTCAATGATCTGCACCTTATCTGTTCCCTCTATCCATTTCTGTGTAGAGCGGGCATATTGTGTTTCCAACAAAACAGAATCGGTGCTCTCCTTGGTCACGGGAAGCATTGAGAGGGCAAAAATGTGGAGCTTGGTGTCGACCGATGCTCCTCCGGGCGAAGTCGATGACCCGGTCGAGCTGGTGGGGAATGTTAGCGAGATCAGCTCTTTGGACGAATCTAGCCAATTGGTTGTCTGGAAAATGTTGGACCGGTTGTAATTTGTATTGTTTTCAGTCAGATAGTAAGAGAATATCAGATCTCCTCCGGCCGGATAGGGCCAGTTCCACCAAGCTGGAACTAGGAGTGGACAAATGGAGAAGCTGCCGTCGATGTATGTGGCCGTCACGGATCCAGAGGCCATTCCAGACTCGGAAGCGGCAAGCATCTGATAGCTGAAATATCTCGACCGAGGAACCTCGATTGTTTGCCCTTTCACGAGGATATTGTCATAGCCCGAGGCATTATATGCCGCGAAACGGTAGTTGAATCCTCCATAAGCGAATGTCTCGGGTGGCATTTGCCCGGCTGGGTATGAATCTACGAAGCGTTATTTCACATTCAATTTTCTGAATCCATGGAGAGTTTTGAATTTAAAACAAGACTCACTTCCTTGGCCGTCAAAACTCGAGTCATTCGGCTTCATGCCAAATGCCCGATTGTTGAACCATGGTTGCAAGTTGATGGGGAAAGAAGCATTTTCTGCAGAAATTGCTTTGAATTCATTCTGTGGTTTGAAAATAACCGCCACACTGGTAGTCAAGTACGCTAAAAACACACAGGTAGTTTCCTTAAGCCTGACCATAGTGACGTTAGGCAAGAAGATTGAGTGGCTTGGGTGGACCTTGTTTAGGCGAACATCGACTGACTATATATGTTACCTATCGGCTGCCGACAGCTACAGTGCCATTTCCCCGCAAATGCCAGGTGTGGAATCAAGGCAGAGCTACAACCTTGAACATCAATTCCCCTTGAATCGGATATTTTCATAGCCTTCGGAAAATTCCCCTTTATCGGGTAAATCGAACGGATCGGCGTGCGGAGACGGCGGTCTTCTCGCCGAAGCAACTCCGGCTAACGCCGACTTATCTACATCCTAACCTAAAAGACTTAATAAAAATAATTACTAAATGAGTTCAACAATGTGCTCTGTCAAAATCTGTAGAAAAGATAATTCCATACTCAACAGGAAAATGCCCTCCTCATTCAAATTTTCAATCAATACCTTTCTGCCCTCCGGCCAGGCAGCGGTCACCCGAGAAGAGAATATCCAGTTGTTCGAGATGACGGTTGGCAGCCTCTGTGCAGAACGAGTAACATCGTAATAGTAAAATGGAAAAAGACAAGAAAAAAGCCAAAAATCCATTACTCACCGACGTAGAAGATAGACTGGGGCCAATAAAGACAGGTTAATCAGCGCAAACATGAAAAACACCCAGAAGTCGATGGCATCGATGAGATACGGAATGAGGTTAATGGTCACTCCAGCTATAGAAAAGGCAATGGTCGCCAAAGCAGCCTCTTTGCTTCGGCTCGCCAGAGGGAATACCTCGGTAGAATACACCCAACTGACGGAGAGTGAGTCCTAAATTTGAAAGAAATCGTTGAGCGCATCAACATACTACGTTGTTAGCCAGGTACTGCCCTAGATAAAGGTGTAAATATATAAGATAACTGCAACGCACCTGGATATAACGTGCAAATGCGGGCTCCGCAAGCTATTTCATCAGTATGGAGTATGTGACCGGGGAGCGGGTCTGGGGCAAGTACGCCGACAGATCGACCGGTTCCCCATGAGAGACAATACTGTCTTTCTTCTCCGTAGCCGACCTTTATTGTGCGCCAAGCAGCCAAGCAGGTGACGAGTTGAGCTTAAATCGCCCGGGGCGATGGAGGAGAAATCAACTCGCATCAGCCTCGCTGCAACCTGGACTTACTCCGACCCACACGCCCCGGATTTGCCTTTCCCCAGAGTGGCCCACCACCGCCCATTTCTCCACTCGGTGGGCTCGGGCGACTGTAGCCCGGATTACCGTTTACTTGCACGACGGGGTACTCCCCGGTTCCAAACTCGAGTAGCAAGGTACGGAGGAAGGTCGAGTTTAGGATAATCATGATGATATCAGGGGGAATTGCTTTTGCTCATGGGGTACGTTTGGATTATAGTGTACAGTATAGCAGTAGGAATGTTAGAGACGCTATGCATGGAGAGGATCACGTAAAGCATTCATGACGAACAGTTGTTGGCTTGTTTTAGGCCCGCTTGGATGGACGAGCCCTGTCCACTTTCACCTCCTTTTCCAGCTTGTCCAACGCTGTCGCATACTTCAGCTGGAGTGACTTCAGATCATCCAGCTTCACATGGACTCGGTCAATGCTGGTAGTGCGGGTGATGCGTCCGTCAACACTAGCCGCGATTTCATTGGAGAACCATCGTCCTTCGCGGTGGGCGACCAGAGACCATGCAGAGCCCTCGCGACCTGCACGGGCAGTACGGCCAACGCGATGCACGTAGGTAGTGACACTGGGCGGAATATCGTAGTTGACGACATGAGTCAAAGATTGTAGGTCAAGACCACGCGAAGCACGGTCAGTAGCGACAATTACCGAAATACGGCCGCGGCGGTAGGCTGCCAGCGTCTTGCGGGATGCAGACGATTTGTTCGATTTTATGATAGTTCCCACGCGGTTCGCAAGTGGGGGGTGAAGAATCGAAATGAGTCGAGACAGACGTGATGCGGACTCGGAGGATTTGGTGAAAATGAGGACAGTCGTACGGGGAGAACCAGCTGAAAGGACAAGACCGATAGATTTATCCTCGGAATCAGACGATTCGTCTGAAGAAGAATCGCTAGAAGATTCGGAATCAGAAGTCGACGAGTCTGATTCTGAATCCGAGTCGGAGCCAGATGACGAAGTTGCATCCTCATCAGAAGACTCATCTGAGCTACTATCATCCGAGCTAGTGTCATCCGAGCTGCTGCTTTCGGAGTCGGACTCCTTGGAAGCGCCTAGGCTTGCACGCGCAGGATTCTCCACACCGACCTTGATATGTGATAGCAGGAGGCGGAGGAGATAAAGCGGCTTCTGGGATGCATCACCCACAGCAACAATATGCTCCTGCAATGTCGGCGGCAGAGTGAAATGTGCATCAGGATGGGTAGCAGACAGATTCGCGGCATCCGCGGCATCCTCAGCACCAATGATGACCATCTTGGGGTTGTTCAGACGCAAGGAATTGAGTTTGGTGATGTCCCGAGTCATGGTCGCACTCAGGATCACCTTTCGGGGGGGTAGGGTATCGATCGGAAGTCCGAGGTCAGAGAGAAGTTTACCTCCGGGGCCAAAGGTCTCTGGTGCTTGTCGTGAGTTCAGCGATCTAATTACCACATCCACCCATTCCTGAAAACTCTCATTCAGCAGACGATCAGCCTCGTCAATCACCAGCCACTCGAGATGGGTAAGAGTAAATCCTTTAGTGTAGCGGATGTGGTCCACCAGTCGGCCGGGAGTACAGATAAGAATATCGACATTTGGCTGTGCTTGCTGAATATAGCCAGGCAAAGATTCGTTGGAGTCGATCGCTTCGCCCACACAGTCTTCGAGGCTGAAATCCATCCAGTCGTTTCCCTGCAACCCGGCCTTCTCCCGTTGCGCGACAGTTGCGGGATTGTATATTTGATCGACTCTCATCAGAAGTTTCTGCTCTTCTTTGATGGCCACATTACCCACGGCACTTCCGATATGAAGACGTGATCCAGAGGCACAGAGCTCGCAGGCTTCGCGTGCCTGCTTGACCAGTTCTCTCGTGGGCACAACGATAAGGCCCCGCAGTCTTGACGCGGGTCTGGGAGTCAGAGATGTGACCAGTGGCAGCACGTAGGAAAGCGTTTTTCCAGAGCCTGTCGCAGCACTGATACACAGGTCACCTGGATGGTTTTTGCTACCGTCCAGAAGGAGAGGAATAACCGTCGACTGTACAGCGAATGCCTCCTTGTAGTTGTTTTGTTCGAGGATGCGTTGAAGATCGGGTTTGATGCCCATGTCCGCGAAATTGGCTCGCTCGCTTGCCGAAGTACGCAGAGGATTCGCTAGCCAGGTAGGCAGGGAAGAGTAGGCAGGCGTTTCCTGCACCTCAGGCGGGTTCTCTGGCTGCGGCAATGGTTCCAGGCCCTGTGCGATCACTGGAGCGACAGTCATCTCAGCGGGCTCTTCGGCTTCTCCAGTCTCAGGTTTCGCTTTCTTCGCCTTCGCGCTTGCCGCCGTCTTCGTCCGCTCGAACTTGGACAGGATCCCCGCATGTTTGTTTTTCGAGGACTTGCGCTGGTCCTCGTCCTCGGAAGACTCATTCGCTCCCTTAAGGTCCTCGGACTCAGCGTTCACGGGTGCGGACTCATCAGTTGATTGAGTCTTTTTCCCAGAACCCTTTCGCTTGCCATCCTTCAACTTCCTTCCAGCTTTACCGACTGGGTCGTTCGGGTCTGCAGCAGCCTGTTTGCGGCGTTCTGGCGAGCCAGCACCTTCCTTCCGAGACGAACCCTCGGAATTACCACCTTGAAGTGCATCCTTCAGTCGTTTCCGCTTCTTGCTGCTCCCATCATCGGTAGGCGACACAGCGGAGAGGCTCTCGCGCTTCTTGTGTTTCTTGGTTGGTGTTGGGGTGATCGCATTCGAGCCGTCGATATCTCTCTTTCGCTTGTGAGATGTTGATGAGGTGGGGGTGGAATCCATCTTCTTCGAAGACCCGAGCGCAGTTTTGGAGCCAACCATTGTTTCGCGGTGGTCCATTCCTTGGGTGTTGCTGCTGAAAGCTTTCGTGGGGAGCAGATTGGTTTTTTTTAAGGCGTTGTGCCGGCAGTAATAGTCAAATCCCACCGCCCCCCTGACCGCTCGTTGTTATCGCGAAGCGTGCAGCTTCGCCTTCGCCGCGAGTCGGCGATTACAGACGTGTCTCGCTGATGATCAACACAGCAGGGCAGCGTGGTCGCCATGGATAGCGCGCAAAGCACCAGAGATAGCTATTTGTTGTCTCGGACTAATTTACCCGGGCGTCAAAATCATCATGCCTTATAACATTGCGTGAGTGCCTCCCAACCGCAGAGAAGGAGATGTTTCAATCGCTAACGTTGAATCCAATTGTGTTAGTATGGTCAGTGACTTCTTTTTCCCCCAGTCGGGTAAGTTTGTTAAACCGTTCTACTGGATTCGACCATTTTACTGAAGTTCCCAGGGGGAATTGAAAGTCATATCTACCAGCTGTCCTCGGTATGCACTTGCGAAGCCCCAGTTCCCCCACGTCCTTCAATCCCATCCTGACAGCCCTCTAGAAACTTATTGATCGTGGACACAAAGTCATCATAATCACCCACGCATACAAAGGTCGGACAGGAGTCCGATACCTGACCAATGGCCTAAAGATCTACCACGTCCCCTTCTTCGTCATCTACCGTGAAACCACCTTCCCCACTGTCTTCTCATTCTTTCCCATATTTCGCAACATTGTCATTCGCGAACAGATTGAGATTGTGCACGGCCATGCAAGTCTTAGTAGTTTCTGTGGCGAAGCTATTCTTCACGCGCGGACAATGGGCCTGAGAACCGTCTTCACCGACCACTCTCTATTCGGATTCGCCGATGCCGCTTCTATTCTAACCAACAAACTCCTGAAATTCACACTGAGCGATGTGGACCATGCAATCTGTGTCAGCCATACTTGGTAGGCGTGCTCCTGCGGTTGGGGTCGAATGTCGACTAACAGGTCATAGTAAGGAGAATACTGTCCTGCGAGCCTCCTTGGACCCCTTGATGGTCTCAGTTATTCCGAATGCCGTTGTTGCAGAGAACTTTCGCCCCTTATCATATACTCCTTCCCCCTTCGACCAGATCCCGACCTCTCCCCTGCGGACCCACGGCTATCCCGGACACCCATTGGTCCCAATGATACAATCACGATAGTGGTCATCTCTCGCCTCTTTTACAACAAGGGCACCGATCTTCTGATCGCAGCCATTCCACGTATTCTGGCCTTAAATCCAAACACCCGTTTCATCATTGCCGGCTCGGGCCCCAAGGCTATCGACCTGGAACAGATGCTGGAACGCAACGTGCTTCAGGATAAGGTGGAGATGCTTGGCTCAGTCCGACACGAAGAGGTGCGGGATGTCATGGTACGAGGTCATATCTACCTTCATCCCAGTTTGACAGAAGCTTTCGGCACTGTCATTGTTGAAGCCGCCAGCTGTGGTTTATACGTTGTTTGCACTCGGGTCGGCGGTATTCCTGAGGTGTTGCCACAGCATATGACAACCTTTGCGAAGCCCGAGGAAGACGATCTCGTTGTTGCAACCAGCAAGGCAATCGCAGCTTTGCGCTCCAATAAAGTCCGAACTGACCGTTTCCACGATCAAGTGAAGATGATGTATTCTTGGCGGGATGTTGCTGAACGCACCGAGCGAGTCTACCAAGGCATTACAGGTGAGATTAGCTCTGAGGAGTTCTACGGCTACTATCCCGGCCAAGGATGGGAAGCTAGTGGAGATCGCGTACGCAGTTTCGCACTCATCGATCGCTTGAAACGGTACTATGGCTGCGGCGTTTGGGCCGGAAAGCTGTTCTGTCTCTGTGTTGTCATTGACTTCCTAATCTACGTCTTTCTCGAGATGTGGTTTCCACGGGCAAATATAGATATCGCCCGAAGCTGGCCGAAGAAGCAGCCGGCAGAGAAATCTCGTCCGCCCACTTCTGCTCGCAGCATTCGGTGAAGGCTTGAAGTTATGCTGATATTTTGTCCCCCCCCCCCCCCCCCGGGGCCCGCCACCCAACACGGTGATGGAACAACCTGTACATAATCGTCCACGGCAACCTTGCCACATAATACCGATGAAGAAGTTGATCTTCTACTATCTCCAGTTCTTCCACAGTTTCGCTGTATACTCAATGTTCTTGTCGAATAACGAGTGTCATAATGCTTGAATACTCGCAGCCCCGAAACACTCATTTCTCCGCAAATCACGGTTATATCGGAATTCCTTCCTTCTTTATATACAGCCACTGGCTTATTTATTGCGCTTTGTGGTAGGCTCATAATTCCACTCCTTATCCAGGGTCTCAGCAGGCTCCGGCTCCATATCCTCCGCGGCACGCTCGCCCTTGTTGCCTCGGCGGCCGCTCTGAGTCTGTTCTTTCTCATAACCGCGCTGATCAGGCAACTTGCGCTCCATACCATGGTCTTCGCGGGAGGCGCCAACGCCCTCCAGACCTGCAGGTTGCTTTTTACGACCGTGGGCACCATCGTGGGCCAGTTCAACGTTTGTCTGGCCCTGGAGGGGCTTCCCCATTCCCGTATGCACATCGGCTGAGGTAGCACCCATTAAAGTGTCTGCGGCCGTTGTTTGAACAGACTCCTTGCCGTGTCCCCGAAGCACATTTGGGTTGTTGGCTTGGCCACCCACCTCGTGAACTGTATTGGGAGTATAAGAGCTGCTGGCGGGCGCAGTGCCGGGAGGGTGGGATTCCAGGTGAAACTCAGGGCGCTGGTCGGCTTCGTTAACCTTACGGCCAGGCTGGTGCTGATGAAGATGTTAGTTTGTCACATAGTTCTTGGAACTATTAGAGATACAGACATACACCCTTCTCAGTCATAGGCCCATCGGGTGCCACCGAGGGTTTGAAGCTGCCCTGTTTCGGGTTGAGTGAATCGGCGTTCTTCAGATGGCTCATGATGAATTATGGTGGAAGGGATATTTCTGCAGAGTAAGTGGACTTGGAAGATGCGATTCTTTTGGGTACCATCACTTTATGTAAATTTGCTTGCACTAGGATAGCAGTCAGCCGCTGATGGGTGTGACGTCAAATGTACTGCGACTGACTTCATAGCCGTGCGCATAGATTGGTCAACTGGAGCTGAAAGAGGCAGTGGAGCAGACAGAGCCTGGTTTTGGAGATCGCTTCATTTGACTTTCTCCCTTCACAGTCGCGTTCCGGAAGCAGGTCGGCTGGGGCGATCAGGGTCATCCATGGGCCGTGACATCAAGGTGTGGCGACCCAGGGATGGGATGGAATGAGTTCAGAATTAGGAGCCCACCGACCGGTAAAGGGTATCTCCCTGATTTTGCCAGCCAAGTCATTGGAACGGAGTATCTGCCTGTCGCTCATACATTTGGTTACCCTATTGGAGGAACCTCAGGCCGAGGCCAACTGTGGGTCCCGATGACAGCTATTTTCTATATGCAGTACAGAGTAGCGATCAGCCGCTTGAGAATCTACTAGTGGTCTGCGTAACTGTAGGATAATAGGACCGACTTTCCCAGGCTACGGGGATTCTATCTGTTAATTTGGCTTGTTGAACGGAAGTCGAAATCTTCTTTATCCGGAGCGCTAGGCTCGGTAGGAACCATGCCTGTCATCAGTCGACTCCCTTTCATTATGTGGATCATTTGCACGAGCTTGTGTAGACTCTTATATGTAATAGAACATGCAAAGACCTCCAAAGCTGTCCTTGCTTCTCCGATATGAAATCCATTCAAATTAAAGCTGGATTAGTGTACGAGAATCTCGCTCACTAATTGAGGCTCCGGTTTGAACTTACCCATAATCTATCTTGATCTCTAGCGGCAACCTTAACCTGTCGCCATCCTTTAAAAGGTTAAATCGACCATACTACGCTGCCGACGCTCCGCTACAAAGAGCATCAGGCGTTGTCTATCATCTTTGTCCACCATGCTGGGTTCTGTCGCATGTGGCAATAGCAAGAGAACGACATGCACATGGGCCCTCCTGGCATGTACACCCGCCTGTGGATTTTATGGCTAGCAGGCGGCGGAAATATGCATTTGTTTGAACCATCAATGCTAGGCAGAGGATTCGAAAGAGTTTCAGGAAGACAGCTAGAAGAGCTATAAAACGCTATGTTGTTCAACAAACATCCGGCCATATCCACGGATATTAGGTATAAATACCACATTGTATGTCATTCACAATATTGGCTTGGTATCAAACCAATAATGACTGCTGAAAGTCCAATGGTATATCCATGAGAAAACATAGGTTGACCAAATAATCATTAACGCCATGATGCAATCGAACGCATATTCCTGTACAGATTGCGCCCAGTCCGATCTCCAATCGCTAATCGGCCAACACCACCAGCGGGCACCACATCACCGCATCACTGGTGGGCGACCTTCCTTGTTCCATCTCACACGACTCTGCACCCACTCGACGGCTGCCTGCACACCAGACCCGAGCAGCGCGCTGACCGGCAGCACGCGGCTATCACGGACGCCGCTTCCCGTTTCTCCCTCGAACACCTTCCGCACAAACCCCTCCTTGATGCGAACCACTTCGACGCAATCTTCACGATCCTGCTTGTTCGCCAACACTAGGATGGGAACCCCTGCCACGTCGGCATTCTGCAGCACCGATTCCAGGACTTGCCTGCACTCGTCGAGGCGCCCGAAATCACTCCCCATCGCATTGATCCCCACCGTCTGTTCTGTGAAGTGATCGCTTGCGCCAACACTCCCATGGGTGGGAACCGTGATGGAGCTGGGGCGGCGGCCGGGTGCGGAGGGAAGCCGGGTAATATCTGCATCTTGGCCGACGTCGGCACTGTCCACGACGAAGATAATCGCATGGCAGCTCGCATAGTAGCTTTGCCAAAGACCGCGCATCGAGATCTGTCCGCCCACGTCCCAGATCTTCAAGTTCATGTCTGATAAGGAGATGGTCGCAACATTCTGGCCGACGGTGGGGACCGTCTTGCCTGGGTTGGGTGCGGGGGCGCCCTCTGGCCGGGGTTGATAGAGGGCTTTGATCTGAGACAGGAGAGTCGTCTTGCCGGCATTGTCCAGGCCGAGGAGAAGGACGGAGTACTCTGCCGTTGCCATTGTTAGTGATGAGCTGCGGGAAGTAGTTGCGCGGCGCGGGGGGCGGCTTGCCTTCTTTGCTGGTCGCGTACGTGTACAGGGACTTGGCCAGGTGATACATGATCGGAAGATCAATACCGGCGCGACCAAGTGAGGCAAGCCAGGACGATCATGGAATCACCGTCATGGACAGCGAGGGAGCATGAAGTTCTGGGCGCAGTCGGAGCCGCGATCTGCGACGCAATCGCCCTCCGCATCGGGCATGTAGGGCTTAGGGCTGGCCGAGGGGGCTGACGGGGACGACGGGGTAATGCCCGTCCCTGCGTTTGGGCCAGGCCGGTCGAGTTAATTGCCTACAGTGCCCACGGGGTTTTTGCGGAGGGTCTGCGAGACATGCCCTGCAGCGACGATGAACTTCACCTTCACCAACTCCTCTTGACGTGGTAGTGACGGTGACAGTGGCCCCGTTGCCTCGGAACGCTATTCCCACACCCACCCAAGGTTGAAGCTACCGCTCAATCCCGCGCATCCGTCAATCACCTCGCCGCTCGAATGGAGTCCCCCCCACCGCGGAAAGGCAGTTTGTCAGCGTGATTATTGATCCATCTCCGCCTCTAGTGGAATCTTTGGGAGACCTCGAGTCGAAAAAATTGAACTCTCGCTGCATTGGTGATGCACAGCATTCTCCCCCTCCATGGCCGTTCCTGGTTCTGTTGGTTCTCGCCTTCGACTGTGTGAACCCCGCGGATCCCGTCCTGATTTGCATCGGATGAGGCTGCCGTGAAATTCTTCCCCGCCCGTCGCATGTCTCCAGAATGCCCCGCGCGGGTTGAAATGACCTTGGATGCTCCGTCGTCCTCAATGGAAACCGACACCGTCATCGTCGGTATGTTTCCCATACGGCAGCCTAGCTCCAATACACCACCGTCGCTCTCTCTCTGTGTGTGTGCAGGTTTGCTCGACTCTTTAACGCCATGCTAATCTGCATCCTTTCCTGGAAACAGGCAATGGGCCGTCGGCCATGATCCTCTCATACATGCTGCATGGCCACATCCCGTTTTACTCGCGCAATCCCCCACACCCAGATTATTTACTCGATATCAAGTTGAAAAACACACCTAATCTTCTGGATGCCGACGTCGAGGCGCTTACCGCGCATTTCGCGGCTTCCCGTTTATCATATTCCACCCAAGCTCTACCGGTGAATGTGCTATTGGATACTCTGGTGCGACCGAGCGTCGACGTGGATGTATCAGGCAGCATTTCGAATGTCGAGTGGCGCGAGACACCCGCCAAGGCCGTCTCCCATCTCGTATTCGGGAACGCCTCTCACCCGGGGGGTCAATGGACCGAAGATCCCATCGGGACGAGCTGGGATATCCAGACATTGAGTTATGCGGCGATGTTGTCTTTGCCTGGCTACTCATTCCCCGATCACCATAGACAGATATCCGGCCAAGATCTTCCGCCTTTTACGCGACCGACGAGACGCGAGATCGCCGACTACTTCCAAAGCTACCCGGCAGCTGTCCACATTGATGATGTATTCCGATGCGGAGAACACCTGAGTGGCATCTCCCGAACTACGAATGGTTTTTTTATCCAATCCCATAACCTTCATTGCAAGCGACTGGTACTGGCAAGTGGGATTTTCTCTGAGATTCTGCCGCCCACACCTATTCTACAGCCACTGCTCCAAACCCAGTCCACTCCGACCGTACCCCTCCTAGTCATTGGCTCCGGCTTCTCTGCGGCAGATGCTATCATTTCTGCCTCTCGTGACCAAAAGATATTGCACGTCTTCAAATGGTCTCCCGAGGATCGCCCTTCTCCCCTCCGGGGCTGTCATCAACAAGCATACCCAGAATACGCGGGTGTCTATCGATTAATGAAGAGGGCCGCCCTTGCGACTGAATCGGAGGGTAAAGGCCCACGTCCAAAATACCGCCGCGGCACCTCGACAGCTTTTATGGAAAGCCGAAAATGGGATGATTTGTACGAAGGTGTATCCAACGTTGAAATCCTCGCGGTGGAGGTGAAAGACGGACTGGCCGAGGTCACCTTCGCTCGACCGGATGGATCCACGTTTTCGCGGTCCGCCCGTGGCCTCGTCTATGCCGCTGGCCGGCGAGGTACCCTGGGCTACCTTGAACCCAAGCTCCGAGCGGAGGTGCTAGGACATAACGAGGCAGATGACGCGGTAATTTCGGGACAGACACTTCGTGCGAAAGCTATTGAAGATTTAGAAGTTGCCCCGGGTGTCTATATCATTGGTAGTCTGACCGGGGACTCATTGGTCCGTTTCGCATATGGTGGCTGCGTCTCGACTGCGGGGCACCTTCTGGGCGACAAGGCGGGCGAGCAGGAGTCGCAGAGCGGGTGTAGCAGTGTCGTCTCAACACGGGCGCCATCATCACCTCTACAGGTGATGAATGGGATGGATGGTCATCATATCTACCCCGCGAATGGGTCTGACCTGACACGAGAGGATACCAAAGTCTCCTCAGTGACGTCGCCCACTATTGTACAAAGCTGGTGGAAGACATTGGCTCATATGTGGAAAGACCTGACACGGTAGCGTGCCTAAATGTTCATATATCTTATCCGTGTACCTTTTATCTATACATTGCATTACGTGTTCGTCGCATTGGAGCGCGATTGGTTATCTTGAGCAGACGGGCGTCGAATGACAGCCCAGTGCGCTTTCTCTTGCTATTAATATTTCCATCATCATCCAAGAGATTCCCTAGAGACCGGCACCAAGGCAATTACCGTCCATCACCTTCACTCGTGCTGACGCCGAGCTGGGCTTCCTTCAGCAGGTCGGAGAGAGTGACAACGCTGTATCCTCTGCGCCGTAGCTCGGGCAAGACTATGGCTAGCATCGGCACTGTCCATTCTCTTCGATCATGGCAAACGATCACGCTTCCTGGCCTCACCATGCTAAGGATATGCTTTGCGTTCAGCTTGGCGAAAGGCACCTGAGGATCATGGGGGTACACGTCCCCTAGCGCGAGTCGATACCCCAGCCCCCTGACCAAGCTTCGCATCCGCGAGCTGAAGAACCCCGAGCCGGGCCGGAAGAACCAGTTCTCAGGTCCTGGCACCCCAGCCGCATGATAGGCTTCTTGGATCATTTCCTGCACGGCTGATATCTGTTCTGCAAGCACCGCATCACTTAACGCGCGCGACGGCTCGTCGTACATGGCATGATTGGCGAGCTCATTTCCGCCGCGAACAAGCTCGGAGAGAGCTCTTTCATGGCCCCCCACCTGGGACCCAATCACGAAAAAGGTGGCTGTGGCATCGTGCGACCGTAAGAGGTCGAGGATGGTCAGCGTGAATGTCGCGGGAGCATCGTCGATGGTCAGCGCAACGACCTTCTTGTCAATGGGATAGTGGAAGAGCACGTCGGGCCAGCGCCGTTGCAAATATCGGATCAGCGCGCCTGGGGGTTTGTAGATGAGGTATAGCGGGCACAAAAGACAGCCAGCGTAGAATATGCCGGACATCATGGCGCGTGGTGGCGGCGAGAGGAAGCGAGTTCGCCCACCTCAACCAACAAAACGTGTGGCTACGCACGGAGTCGATAGATCAGCCTGGCCCCCTACTCGAGCTGCATCGGCTCCGAAGCAGCCGTGAATATCAACTGATTCTGAACGACCATTTGCACGCAACGCTGGCGAGGTGTCACACGTTCAATTGCGTGCCCGCGTGGGGGATTCACGCACTTAATTGTGTTGTTGGAGGCGGGCGGGACAAAAATCCAGTTGGGGAAGAGTTGGTGATGCAAACGTGGGAGAGCCAAGAAAGGGAGCAGATATTGGGACGCCACTCTTGCCAGGAAAACAACAGGAAGGCAATTGGGTGCAACACTTCATCATAGTGGAGATCGCGTAGCCAGACTAGAGGCCAAACTAGTTAGGATAGCATCAAGCACTAACTCGGCAAACTAGGCGCTTACATAGGAGGGAAGTTGGTTATCTAGGTGATTCTAAGTAAAATATAGGTAATAGATCTAGCCAGCGTGGTGCGATTCCTTGTCGGTGTGTCTATTGCGCAATTTTAGGTAATATAACCGCTAGACCAAAAATGCACTATAGGCAACATTCTTAGTGTATATGGTCAATTTCTATGTCGACAGCATCTCATAGCGCGCAAGCTTCTCGACCTCATACAATAGTGATCAGTCCCACAGGAAGCACCGAATCAGAAAGATAGAGAACAACTATAAGAAGAAAAGATGAAAATGAATGAAGCAACCGACAGGATCATCGCCAGTGTCAACTAGGTTGAAAAGGTTCTGTGATATGTCGGGATCCTCATCCATTGTGGATCTCATTCTTGACTTCCCTCGCGATGTCCTACTCATACAGGCTCACGGAGAGGGTGTCTCCGTCCATCGATGCGCCGCAAGATACTATACGTCTCAAAGAAGTCGTCGACACACATCTCATCATGGATATTGCATACGAAGGATCGGTGAGTTCATCTTGACAACGACTAGGGTATATACAGGTTATAGCAATCGCAACAGAATTCAAAGCAGCCCTAGCCCATGACCTGCAACTGATCCTCCGGGGGCCAGCGCACCTGCGCAAAGCTCAAGCATCGTTTAATGCTCTGTAGGTATTTGCGCGTAGCCTCGTCGCTGAGGATATGGGCCTGTTGATCGCTTTGGTGTAGTTTCTCGCGGGCGGACCGTTCATGAATACCAACCATGGTCACACCGATGGGCCACGCACTAAGAGCCCGTTAGAATTTCTAGTCCTGATTCATAAAGAGTGTGGAAAATTAACTTACGCTTTTCCAATGCTCACCCGAAGATATGCGTCGTTGGCGTCGACATATCTCCGCTGCTGAGCCTTGTGGACAATTTCCACAATCGGCTCCAAGAGTCCGTCTTCTAGGTCTGCCTTCTCGAACCGGCGGAAGAGCGGCTTCAGGTTCTCTCGAGACTGAACCATGGCATTGTATGCCTGCTTGCCTTGGAAGCTTTCTCGGACGGTCACATCACGCTTGGCCAGTGCAAGCTCCCACTCGGACAGGACCATGTTGAAGTAAGATGCCAGCTGCCGGAACAGGAACAGCCGGCGATCCTGTTCCTTCGGTATTTTGGCCTCGATGATCATCTGTCCACCAGGCACAGGCTCCAGAATGGTGGGAATGGGTCCATCCGTCATCTTCTGCAAAGTAGCGGACCGTTTCACTAAGCGACGGTAACGGCGGAGTCGCGCTCGATGGTTCTCGCCAAACAGTCGAGCGGGCTCATCCAGTGCCCGCAACTTCTCTGTGAGCTCCTCCTCCTCCATATCCTCCGCTTCGGCTCCCTCGCTGGCTGGTGTCTCATCACGGTCGTTCTTGGCAGGCAATTCAGGAAGCCCGAGTCTGCGTCGCCTCTCACGTTCCTTTGCATCTTCTTCCTCTTCCCTCCGTTTCTTTGACTGCTCCGCAATCTTTCGTTTCTTTTCCTCCCGGTCGCGATTTCGGTCCGCTTCCTCCTCCTCGAGCTTGCGTTTGTTGGCTAGGCGCTCTTCGCGTTCCCGTTGTAATCGCTCCTGCTCCTCATTATATGCTGCAATGCGCGCAGCCTCGACTTCTCCTCGGCGCAAGTATTTCTTCGGCGGCTCAACGGGCGCCTCTTTTTCTTTGGTTGGACCGGACGCCTTGGGGGTGACGGAGCCTTTAGCCTTGGAGATCTCCTTGGACATGAGAGCGGCGAAATCCATGATGGCGGTAGCTGCGGCGCCGGCTTTCCCTCAATCTGTCGTCGAGGCCCGGGCGTAGTCGATCCGACAGATAAACGAGTACAGAAGTGTAGATCTCGACGAGGGCGAGCGTGGAGCGTAGGGAGGGAAGGGTGGCAGGAGAAAAAGAATGTTTGGGGGAAGCAAAAGCCAGGAATTCGACCAGCTTCGACGCCCGCATTTGGGGATTTCTCCATCCACCTCCACCTCCGCCTCCAAACTGCCGCCTCCGCCGCAACCAACCACTGTATCTGCATCCTGGTCCCTCCAGAATTCGCCTCGCGAAAGATCAACCCAAACCAATCCCTTTTTTTGCGACAGCGGACCTCTGATCCTGTCCGATCCCTCGCTGCGTTGACCCTGCACGCGACGTGGCCGCCCAGTCCTCATGGCTACATCCGCGCGAGAAGGCTCCAAGCCCTCAATCAATCGCCAAACAACAACTCCCTTTCACCTCAAACTATTCTACCGGGTCAATAACTACCATCCTATCTCCGACTACAGCATCCCCAGCCCGCCGCGCCGCAGTGGTCCCGTCAGCGGACCCAATGCCATTCGCGCGCCGTCTCCTCCACCGGCAGCTGCACCACTTCCTCCACACCTCGAGATTTACACATGGCAGTCATGCACACTGCGCGAGCTCTCCCAGCTTCTCACCTCCGCTCTTCCATCATTACTCCCTGATCCACCTGTGGGTACCCGCCTCTGCTTCCGCCTGATCTACCCAGACGCACGAGGTGCAGCTATGATGGGCGGCGATGCGCGTGGCCGATACTTGAGCCGAGACTTGGGAAGTGTGATTGTTGGACCAAGAGATAGTCCATACCGTGGGGAAGAGGATGCAGAGGATCGCACCGAACCACGGTCTCGGGCGGGCCCCATGCGATTCCAGGGCGCTGATGCAGACAAAGCCTTGCAAGATGCCCGATTCATTATTGGAGACTACGTTGAATGCGCGATCTTGCCACCCCTCGAGGATGGGTCGGTAGCGCCTGCGCTCCGCAGTGCATCTGGTCCGCCTCCGATGGGAAGTGGCATGCGCGCATTTCGGGAAAACGGGTTTGCAGGACGGGGCCGTGGTGGCTACCGTGGAGGTGATCGTGGGGTTGATCGTGGAGGGCCTCCTGCGCTTCCTGCTGGGGATTGGAAACGGGGGGAGAGGCTACCCGAGGGAGGCTCTCGAGGCGGAGGTCGCCGGGGATGGGCGCCGTATTGAATCTGGGCCGAAGAAAACATGGAGATGGAGTTTGAATGGATTGAAACGCTACGGTCTCTGAGATTCGGGATACCCGCTTCGCGGCAATGTACGATTGGTCTGCTTTGAGTGAATGGAATACCAACACGTCGGTCCTGGTTGTGGTGCTTCCTCGGATTGTTTATGCATCTTCGTAGGTTGTCTTAATGGGCCGTGTCCAACTTAAGAGGCGTGCATGGCAAGGTCACATGCTGGCTGACCGGAATCGAAACAGAAGAAAATCAATGCGGTATATGCTCGTAGTAAGTACATAGCCCGAGTGCAGCGGGCGCCAGCAAAAGAAAAAGACGCAGGCTTTGGCCCAATCCCCTCACAATCTCGTATGGTAGACCACCCAGGTCGTGGTAAATAGCCTGCCTGGGATCGCCATTGCGTCTCGGCGATTGCTATCCAGCCAATTCAAATCATCAATCAATCGACCATCAGCCTCTAGCCTCTACCACTCGGCAATTGTGTCTCCCTTCCGCTTGCCGCGGAGCTCGTATTTGCCCTGTGAACTGTCAGCAGCGTTCTTATCGTATCCAGATGCTTTTGCCCCAGCAAACGCCGGATGTCCGCTTCACATACCTCAGTGTTGTAGGCGAGATAGGTCAGGGCACCAGGGATAATCGCCATATAGATAATAGACATCCAGGCATGGCGCGGGGTCCAGCGGAAGTACTTGTAGCGGTTGGCGTTGAGTTCTGTCAGGCGAGTCAGTCATGGGTCATGGAAGCCCCCGTTTCGGGGCACAGAAGGATGTGAGCAAAATCGTCTCCTCATGGATGGCCTCGTCATCATGCAGCACAAGTATTGCTTCACTTCGTCTCTTGTCTGGTTTGTGGCGCAGGAATTGAGGATGGTGGGTTGGGAGGGATCATGTACCATAGTATTTCTGGAGGGCCGGGTCAAGGACCAGGGCTGGTCAATTGATTAGCGATTGATATAGCACAGGTCATGGAGCCGGAGAGACTTACACTTGCTGGGACCAGCCATGGTTGCGATGGAACTCGAAACGTTAGACACAGGGCCATCCTGTCGTGAGGCGGAAGCTGAAGTGAGGTGTAGTGTCATGTGACATCCTGACTCAGCTTCTCTGGGTCACGTGCAATAACCCTATGGAGCAGGGTGAATCTTCGTGGCGTTTCACAATGGAGTGGATTCATGCTGAGTGTGAGCTTCGAATTGCCTTTGCTACGGTTTGCAATCAACCGGGCTTGGTTCCCGACTGCAGTCCTCGCCTCCTCTTTCCATGGAGATCTCCACCCGCCGATCGGAGGGTGGCAATTTCTATCTTTTACTGATTGTTTTGGTTGTTTTTGTTGTTTCGAGTATTTTTGTTGATTTTGTTTGTGTTATTTGATTTGTTTGATGCATTGTTTTGCACCTTCCACCCAGATGGGCGTTTGTCTGCATGCAAAAACCAGCAATTGTCAACAATATGGCCAGTTTTCTTGCAGTTGCTGGTTGTTGCATGCTGACAAATGCCCATCTGGATGGAAGGTGCGAAACAACGCATCAAACAGACCAAACGATCAAATAACCAAATCAAAATCAATAAAAATACTCGAAACAACAACAACAACCAAAACAATCAGAAAAAATCAGATGCCTTTGTGGCCATGATTGAATCAGCCTCAGAATATGTGGTCAAATTAAAGCTCATATATTCACAATCGATTTCAAACCCATCTTATCCCGTATATCATTACATGGAGGCTGAGAAATGTCCGTCGACCTGTTCAATCTTTGTGACGGCCTTCTTGTAGCCGTCAGCCTCCTCCAACCGCTTGGCGTAGGCCACCAGGAGAGGATACTTGTCCCGCTGGGTCTCGTCCTTCAGGATCCGACCACTGGCCGCGATAATTGGGAAACTCATCAGAATGTCCGCCGCAGTCAGCTCCTTTCCGCAAAGGAAGGGACCACCTCCGGGAGCAGTCTGTAGCTGGTGCTCCAGGAAAGCGAGATTCCCCTGAATGTTGCGCGTCAGGAACCCCGACTCGACCTGCGAGGCCACGATGGCGGTGATCGGGCGGAGAAAGAAAGGAGGCGAGTTGCGCACGGCTATGCAACAAGTGTCAGCACGAGACGCAAACACGGCGTCTAGGCCGAGAAACACTCACTGTCATTGACTAGGCTCATCACTAAATATGGCATCAGGCTGCCCTCCGCGTAGTGCATGAAGTAGCGATACCGCATCCACTCCTCGCGCTCGCCACCGACCTGGCCCTCACGGCCCGCCTGGTAGCGCTCCGGCACCAGCGTCGGTTGCCCACTGCTGAAGTGATCGCAGAGATACTCAATGATTGCACCAGACTCGGCCAGGACCAGAGGCTTCTCAGTCCCCGGAGCTTCGATGGTAATGATGGGGGACTTGCCCAGCTGGTGCACCTGCTTCAGCTCGGGAGGAGCCAGCCTGTCGCGACGCTTGAAGGTCTTGAGCTCATATTTCAGCTGGAGCTCTTCCAACAGCCACAGGATGCGATGGCTTCGAGATTGTTCGAGCCTGCGATACGTTAGTGTCGCCGTGGAGGAAATTCCGATGCATCGCGACAAACCAATAAAGCGTAATCTTGCAGCCTTGATTGTTGTCGGTCATTTTCGCGTCAGTTAATATCGGGAAAAATCGAGGGGTATAAATGTATGAAAGGAAACGGGGAACCGGCTGGTATTTAAAGCCCAAGTGATTTTGGTGGTGCTCGGATGATGTCAATGGCCCGAGGCACGTTTTCCAACTGGGGCTCGATCGAGATCGATAAGGATAAAACGCCGAGATCTGCAGATCGCCCCGTTCATGTGAAGCGCGTTTGTTGGGACTCGGAGTTTTCCCTTTTCGTGGATCGTTTTGGCCCTGGGCCGGAATACATCCTGGATTTGTCAACGCTATGGTACCTACCTCGTACCGGCTCCTTACTTTGATGTTGTGGCTCTATGGTTCACAACTGTGGGTGCAACTTTAACTCATTTTCCCGAGGTGCCTTCTGATCGTTGCCTCTCTCCCGCACTATTAGTCCTCCGAGTAAACTCTAGATATTCTTATTTCTAATTATAAGGCGATCGCATAGGGCTAAAATTTACCTACCATTCAGTCTCGCTTGCAAAACCAACTTGGTCGCACATTCTAGGATTTCACGGCTTTATTACGTGTAAGTTTGTCCTGAGTCAGGGGCTTCTCCCTCAAGGAAAACCTCCTATTAGCTCGTTAGTCCCCCCATCGGTTTCTAGGAATTGCTCTCACGCTCAGAACTTACGGGGGCGAGAAAGGGCTTCTATTCCCCTTTATGCCAAAAATGCCAGTATCTTGCTCCAAAGGAGGGATAGAAGATACAATTTGGACAAGACTAAGCGAACGTGATATCTCCAGGTCAAGGGTAGCTTCGCTTTATAACTACGGAATATGTGCTTTCTGATACTATTCTAGACTGCCACAATTGGATAGAGACCAGAGTTGCCAATCGGGTTATTAGATCCGCGGTCCAGAGTCTGACAATTGACAGTTCTCCAGTTAGGACATAATCCAGTATCTCATTATTTATCTCAACAAGAAATCTGACTGAACAAAATGACACCTCTATCTAACAACCTCATTGGGTTGGCCGTAGCAGGGGTGACGCAAAGGTAACAGATGGCTACGGCATCCCAAGGAGAACATCAATGGCAGTCAATCAACGACAAAGTTGCCATGTAATTGAAAGAGCCGTGTCAATCTCAACCATTTTCCCAAACATTCCAGCCAAGACTTTTCTCTTCATCCAACCTCCGACTGCAATATGCCTTAAATCGTCGCGACGCCCTTGCCAGCGGTAGCTCGCCGGAGTAGATCCTCGAGATTCTCTATCGCGGGCGGTTGTGATCAAGAACTTGCTTCTTTGAGGCTATCTCTCAGATCAACCACGCTATTTGGCAAGAACGTATATAGCGCGGAATAAATCAGTTCCTCGCGGTATCACAAGAGCAGGCAAAGAATCTATATCACGATGTGCAAGATTGATTGGGCTGGAAGGGTAGTGCACCGTTCTGTGGCCGGCATGATCGAGGACATATCGACTCATCAGAGACGTGAATGAAGTACTCCAAGATCTGTTTTGAACCAATGTTCATGCCAACAGCTGCTGGGAACTAGGTACGATGACTCCTATGAAAACTATACATTTATATTTAACATCTCTCTTGAGCCCAAGGGTCGTGAAGGGGCTCCAGTGATAATATCCAGTCTTGCATCCAGATGTACACCATCACCAGCTACTGTAGGTGGAGCGAATATGAACAGAAAAAAAAAAAAAGGAGAAAAGGATAAGGAAAAGGATATCCCCCAACCCAATGCCATCCGTTGTATGTAAGGTGTCTCGCCTCAGCAGTCAGAGACACAAGCCATATATTAAAAACCAAAATCAATGAAGGAACCGTCGATGAATCAGACCCCAGGTCTCGTGTATCGAATAACAGATGAGATCTCACATAAAAAGAAAAGAAAAAAACAGAATCATGTCACAAGGGTATCGCTATATCCGACCGAGCAGGGGACGAAATACAAAGCATCTACGCCCACTCGTCGAGTGCCCGCCGGCCGACCGCGTCCACCCGCACACCGAGCCTTTCCAGCTCCGCCGCGTCCAACAATCCCCGCCCGTCAAACACCCACTTCGGCTCCACCATATTGTACGCGATGCGTGGCCATTCGATCGTCTCGGTGGCCGTCGGCCGGGTCGACATCGAACGGCAGTCCCCACAGTCCGCGGTACAGTCGGCTTGGGGGGCTAGTTGATAGGACACGCCCGCGTGGGTCCAGGTGTCGCGACCCTGTCGGCCGCAGGCTCCCTTGGAGAGCTCATTGCCCCCTTCCGTCGCAGCGGTGCGCGCCAGCCCATTCTGAATTGGAGAGCTCATGGATGGGTTGGATGACGCTTTGGCTGGCGTGTGGCGGAATTGGTCGCAGTCGGTGACGACGAGCACGGCGTGTGCCTGGGCGCAGGCCAGGTAGGCGTCTGGGTGAACTTTCACGATCTGCTCCAGGGCCGTGCTGGGACACACCGCGGCCAACTCACGCAAAATATCTTCTTCGCGGCAGTATGGGTCGAAAATGGCAATTTCGGCCGGTCGCTCTTCCAGCAAGGTGCGCATGATTTCCACGGCCAAGGACTCGCGTGTGTCACCGGTGTTCTTCTTAAAGGCGAATCCGAGCATCGCCAGCTTGCGGCCGACCAGATTTCCCTCGAAGCGATCGATGATCTTACGAGAAAATCGATCCCGCTGTCGCTCATTCATTACATTCACCTGTCGCCAGTAATGGGCCACATCGTCCAGGCCCAGGGATTCGGCCAGATATGCGAGACTGGCAATATCCTTGCGGAAACAGGACCCGCCAAACCCTAGACCCGCCTTGAGGAACTGTGGGCCGATGCGCATATCCATGCCTATGGCCTTGGCCACCTGGTCCACCTCTGCTCCGGTTCCCTCGCAGATGGCACTGATCGAGTTGATGCTACTGATGCGCTGGGCAAGCATGGCGTTGGCCACGAGCTTGGCCAGTTCCGAAGACCATGCATTGGTCTTGAGGATTCGCGACGGAGAGACCCAGGCCGCATAGAGGTTGGCTAGGGTTTGAGCCGCCTGGCGCCCCGAGGGGGTCGCCGCCGATCCGATCAGGACCCGGTCTGGGGCTGTGAGGTTCTCGACCGCCGAACCCTCCGCGAGGAACTCGGGGTTGGAAAGCACCTCAAAGGGCACCCCCGGCCGATGAATTGCCAGCTGGACAAATGGTTAGAGGGCATGATCTCATTGCGAAGGGGGATTTGTGGCAGAAGCTACCATTTTGCGAACCCGCTCCGCCGTCCCTCCCGGGACGGTGCTCTTCTCCACGATGATGGCGCCCGGCTTCGCGTGGGCCGCGACATCGCGCATGGCCCCATCGAACGCCGTCATGTTGGTGGCGCACCCGGCACCCACGCCGAACATCTTGGTCGGGGTGTTGACTGCCATGAGGATGATGTCGGCCCGAGAAATGGCCTGGGCGGACTTACACGTGAAAAACAGGTTCTGGGGTCGCCTGGAGGCGGGTGAAGCGGCCTCGATGCCTGCCTCCTGGTTGATCTGCGCCCCGTCACGTCCAATGCGGACGACGGTGTCCAGACCGGGCTCATGGACGGGCAGATGCTGGGACTGCCATCGTTGAATGCGACTTGGGTCTCTGTCTAGCACTTCGACCGAGATGGACGGGTGGTAGAGGGCCAGAACCGCTGCCGTGGGACCACCTGTAGCAAATTTGGGTCAACTCGGGCTGCATCGAACGGGCGCCGCTTCCCCTCCCGGGGGAGATGAAGCCTACCGACGTATCCTGCGCCGACGACGCAGATATTCTTCACCGCTGTCCGGGCCATCATAGTCTCGCTCAGGACGCGCGACTGCGGTACTGCGCCCAGCTTGAGGTCGTCGATCTCCGAGGGCCGAAACAGCGGGCTGGAGCTCGGGGTGGTTGGCCCCGTCGAGCAGGACAAGCTGCTCTCGGAGGAGGGGGAGAAATCGTCCATGGGGATCTCGTCGCCAGACATGCTGGCGTTGGGCTATGGCGATTGCTGCGAATGACAGGGAAGACACGAGAGACGACAATGGGGTCAGGTCATACGTCTCGTAGGTCACTGATCATTGAACGCTGAGTCCCAGATCACCGGTGAAGAAAGAGCGAGAACAATGAATGAAGTATGGGTTGGCGCGCAAACTCAAAAAAACCCCCCACGGAGAATCTCGCGTTCCCCTCCTCTTGCCTCCTGGGAATCCTCGTGCTCCTCGCTCTCCTCATGACCCTTGCCACTTCTCCAAGATAAGGTCAGCGTGAGATATGGGGGGGATGTCCTCAGAGCGCAGCGTTGGGGCACGCGGGGAATGGCGCGTTCCCACTGGCCGCCAAGTCGTCTCCGCCCGTTAAGCAACTGCCCACAACTCCCGCCAAACGTCCCCCAAAGCTGCACGCTCCAAACCGCGCGCGGCCCTTGCCAGCGGGCGGATGCGGCACGTGCAGAGCCCATCCCGCCTTAAACCAAACAGAAGCCGCCGATGCGCCTCACGCTCCTCAAGCTACCGCCAGACCACCCCCTCCAGTATGACCCATTTCGGTCCAGAATGGGACTAAAGAAAATTGCATCCGAACCGGGACCTGCGCCTGAACCACCTGAACCACCCGGGACCCGCGCGATCAGCCCGCGCGCCCGCCTGTATTCAAAGGGACTTATCTCCCCCGTCTCCCGCCTCGCCGACCTGCTCGCCATGTCTATGCGTCGGCATCATGGCCGAATCTTCGCCCTTGCTCGCCTCCATTCAGGGCGATAACGAGGAGTTTCCCAGCATCCTCCACGGCAAGAAGGTGCTGCTGGCCACTGAATCATGGGGCCCCGTCAACGGCGTCAGTCGGACCACCCGCAGTCTTGTCGAGTACCTGCGTGATCACGGCGTGGAGTTGATTCTTGTCGCGCCCCATTTCAAAGGTGACCTCTCCAAACAGAGCACGCCCTGGGAGTACCGCCTGCCCGGCTGCGCGTTGCCTTACAACCCGGACTTGACGGTCGTTTACCCCTTCCAGATCAACGATGTCTTCCAGCAGACTTTCCAGCCAGACATCGTCTACCTGGCCAGTCCTGCCTCGCTGGGCTTCCAGATGCTCCTGCAGATCCGCCAGCTCCGGTCTCCCCCACCGGTGCTGCTCAACTTCCAGACCGATCTGTCGGCCTATGCGGAGATCATGCTCCCCACCCCCTGGACCAATTTGGCGTCTGGCTGCTGGCAACCGTCCAGGGCTTCCTGTTCCGCACTCGTGCCGTGCACACCATCTTCTACCCATGCTCGGCCATTCGGGGCTACCTGGAACGCGCAGGCGCACCCGTCGACCGGTTGGTCCAGCTGGGTCGTGGCGTCGACACCGTCATGTTCACCCCCTCGCAACGTGATGAGGCCTACCGCAGGGGAGATCGCCCCCGCAGGGGAAATCATTCTCATCTGCGTCTGCCGTATCGCGCCAGAGAAAGGCTTCGAGTTCCTCGCGCAGGTCGCGACGCGCCTGGCCGCGGACAAAGTGCCCTTCAAGCTGTTGATCGTGGGCGGGAACCGCAATCCCGTCGTAGAAAACAAGGTCAAGCGTCTGTTTGACGGGATCCGCAACCATGTGGTCTTTACCGGCTTCCTCACGGGGTCCGCGCTGGCTCGTGCCTATGCCTCGGCCGATCTTTTCTTGCACTGCTCCATTACCGAAACCTTTGGGCTGGTCGTTCTCGAGGCGATGGCCAGCGGACTGCCCGTGATTGCACGCGATCAGGGCGGACCCTCCGACATTATTCGTCATGGTCAGACCGGCTATCTGGTTCCGCCGCATGACCTCAACCGATTCACTGACTGGACGCGCGAGGTGTCCCAAGACTCGACCCGACGAAGAGCTCTCGCGACTGCCGCCCGTCAATACGCCGACGATACCACCTGGGAGAAGATTAACCGCCGAGCGGCCTGGCAGATAGCCGATGCATTGACCCATACCGACCAGGAATCGCATGGTCGTCGGCCTCCGGTTCGACCCGGTATCATGGGATCGACCATGGAGTATGTTCGTCTCGCGTTTGCCGTGGGGATCGTATACGCGATGTGGTTGATTGCCGTGGTCCCGTTGATTGTTCACGGGCACCGCTTTATCCCTCGGGCCTGGCAGGCGCTGCGAGATCAATTCCAGTGTGCTTGGCCGCTCCGCAGCTGAACCCTCCCCTTTTCTCTTTTTACCTTTTTCATGTGATGTCTTTCTTTGTCTTGTCGAATTGTGAATGGCCGTCCCTAGAATCTACGAAGCGATCAGTTTGATTCATCACGAATACCATGTCCCATTATTGTTTCTATGATCTGATCCGATTCATTCAATGCAGACTTATCCCTAATAACAACGTACCCTTCAATTAATGGATGTTTTCCCCCAATTGGACTGCTTATAGTCGCACAGGGGCCGTATCCCGGCGGACCAGAACATGTCCTTCGGTGACCAGGGAGTTTGGACAAGAGCGTCCGCTGATAAAGTCGGAAAGATTCCCTAGTGTGACGCCAGCAATCTCCGTCAGGGCCTCGCGCGTGAAGAAGCCCTGATGGCCGCAGATCAGGACGTTGGGGAAGGTCATCAGGCGCATCAGGATGTCGTCGTCGATGATTTCCCCAGAATGGTCATTGTAGAACAGCTCCCCCTCGGCCTCGTAGACATCCAATGCCAGTCCACCCAAGCGACGTGACTTGAGGGCCTGGATGACCGAGGCACTCTCAATCAACCCTCCGCGTGAGGTGTTGACCAGCATCGCACCGGGCTTCATCCGCGCCAGCGTCGCTTCATTAATGAGATGCCGCGTGTCCGCCGTCAGCGGGCAATGCAAGCTAACAATATTGCTCTCCTGCAGCAGGCGGTCCAAGTCGACCAACGTGCCATACTGGCCAAACTCCGGTCCCGCAAACGGATCATACGCCAACAGTCGACACCCGAAGCCATGGAAGATGCGCGCCGCGGCCAGGCCAATGCGCCCGACGCCCACGATGCCCACGGTCTGCCCATGCAGGGTGGTGCCCAGCAACCCCTCGATATTGAAGTTCCCCTCGCGCACGCGGTTATAGGCGCGGTGCGTCTTGCGGTTGAGAGTCTGGATCAGGGCGACCGCAAACTCAGCCACCGCCTCGGGCGAATAGGCGGGGACATTGGCGACGAAGAGGCCCAGCGTCTCGGCCGTCGTCAGATCGACGTGGTTGAAGCCGGCGCAGCGCAGTAAGATGGCACGGATCCCGCCGGCATGCAGAGCGCCCAGCACGCGCTCATCGAGGGTATCGTTGACGAAGACGCAGACGGCATCAGAGCCTTGGGCCAGCGGCACGGTCTCCTCCGAGAGGGCGAAGGCATGGTACTCGATGGAGCACAGCTGAGGAAAGCGCTGGCCCAGAACCTCGTCGAGGTAGGTGCGATCGTAGGATTTGGCGCTGAATACGGCGAGCTTCATGATTGGGGCGCGAGTTGATGGCATTCCTCGACGGGATCACCTTCTCCCATTGATCGTGGAACCGCGGGGAGGGTGGGCACAATGCTCGAATCCTCCGAGGGTGTCGTGCGGAGTATGTACGCGTGCGTACAAAAGCACCGAGTCATGACGCCATGTCGTCCGGGGTAAGATACGGGGGAGGTACATGGGTACATTGAAGCTGGAGCTGGAGCTGTCCGGGGACAAACCGGCCGCTGCAAGCGGACTGCCGGACCCTCGGAGCACGCTGGTCATTGGGTGTCCATGGGATGGGATGTGAGAATCCGAAATCTCTGGCCCCGAGATCTGGGACTTCCCCACAGATCTAAAACTTCCCCAGAGAGCCCTATCTGGACGATTGGAAGATGATGGGGGCTGGTGGGTTCGATCGAGAGGTGTAACAGCAACATTCCTGATCCGTGCGTATCGCTGGCCGTCACGGAGGTCACTGTTAAGGTTATCGCCGTCTGTGCTTTCTTCCCACCTGCACGCGCAAAGCTTGTCCTGCATGTTGCTGATGGGGGATCCATAAATCCATGATGTCGAGAGTATATGTCCTCGGTCGAAATTATAGTGTATAGTGTATAGTGTATAGTGTATAGTGTATAGTGTATATTGTATATCGCATAAGTACGCCTGTATATCGTAGATCGTCGATGCTCCGGATACAGATTAGATCATGTTTAGTCGTTAGTCGGGTGGTTCTCAGGGGATGCAAGCGGCGTATTCCCGGCGGGTGCAACCCCCGAGACCCCGTCCTGTGCGAGGCGTACGTACAGTAGTAGTAGTAGTAGTAGTAGCAGAACTGCGCAGTTTGAGTACGGAGTACGGAGAGTAGTATGATTCTGGAGAAGACGGGGATGGGAGGAATGTGCATTGAGGCGGAATTTACTGGAGGATTGGGCAATCAGTTTCTGAGTTCCTTGGCCATTCACGCAAGGCCCAAAAATGAGGACCATCGTCAATTAGAATTCATCATCGTCATGAAAGGGGATTGGCACTGGGCTGCCTGCCGAACAGCGCGCTAGTGCGAAAAGCCCTTCTAGAATCCCTGAAATGATTGCCCAGAGCTCGGGCATCGACCGAGGGAGTCGAGGTCATCGAGGGCGCCTCTTCGAAAGCTTCGAAACATTCCACACAGCTACCGCATTCAGGAGATCGAGCTCCACTGCTTCTGATTGGTTGCTTTGCCCAAGCAGGCGCGGGGCGTGGCGGTTCGTTGCGGTACCATCCGCAGCCAATCACCGCCCACCCAGTGGCGATGGCCTTCCCGAGAGTCCGACCCGAGGTGTTGGGAACCAATCAACACTCTCTGATAAGCCAGAAACGCCACCAGCTGCCTGATTGGTCATCTATCGGCACTAGTAAACCTTCTGATTTAGGCAGGCGCTGATTGGTGGCGGCATTGTTCGCTTGGCTTTCGGGGGGAGGCCGACGAAATTCCGGACGGGGCAGAGTTGGGAAGGACCATAACATTCATCATCGTCATCATCTTTCATCATCATCCTCCTCCTCCTCCTCCTCCTCCTTCTCCTCCTCTCCCGAGCATTAAAAGTACCGTTACTAGTGTGTTGACATACTCTGCAGGGAAGGGCGCATCGCATAGGGTAGTGTCCGGATCGAGAAGGGGCGGCACGAGCTGCTCCGCGGAGCACTTTGGCGGGGCTGGGCGGAGCAGTCCCCGGAGGAGGGTGGAGAGCGGTCTCGAAAGGGAAGGCCATCATGCTAGCAGGACTTTAGGGCGGAGGTTTCATCCTCAGTATGCATACTCCCCCAGCATGCAGCAGGTCTGGCTTGTCCAGGAAAACCAAATCGATCTAGGCACATATCTAGAATGGCGATAAGTCTCGAAGATGCTACCGAAAGAGCGGTCAGGGAGACGAGCAGAAACCGGTGTATCTAAAGTACGGAGCACGGAGTACGGAGTACACAATGTCTTCTTCCTCTTTTCAAGTTCACTAGTGGATTCACAGAGGGGACCATTCTGGGGAGGTCGAGTCCGTAGAGAACGAGAACTATCGAAGCCGTGCGCGGCCCTGGCCGCGTTGTACCGGGTCCATCGTTACATACGATAGGCACGGCTACAGTATACAGGAGAGTGCTACGGTCTCCCGTCTTCCGTCGTCCGTACGTACCTCCGTAGGGCCTCGTCTGCCAGGGTTATTCTACATCGAGGCTGGTATTCATCTGGGCCGCATTTCTCCCCCCTTTCTAGTCCTCACGCTCCCTTGATATCCCCCGATTCACCGCGACGCTACCACCTCTCTTCTCCCAACTTCATCGTCTCCACCCTCGTCCGTCTAACCCAAACTCCCCTCCCAAAAGTTCGCCTCCGATCAACGACTCCAACTCTCCACTTTTCCTCTTCCCAAAATCTCCACTAGCTTCAACGCTCCCTTCGCCCGTCTCCACCCGACCATTCACCGCGGTCCCGTTCGCCTCTCTCTCCTCACCTTCTCCACGGGCCCCGGCCTGTCGTGTGCGCGCTGTTAGTACACCACCCGAGGACCTACTCCCGTCCTAGTCCTCCCTCTATTATCCCGCCCTTTGCCCCTCGACATCATCGGGATCTGCGTCGTTTTCGGTTCATGGCGCTTTGCCTCCTTCCCCTTTATTATTATCGTCTGCGACCGTAACGGGCGCACAACTTTAAACTCCCCCTCCTCTCAACCTTTCGGCTCTCGACTCTCGACTCTCGACTCTCGACTCTCCCACGCCTCTTCGACCTTCCCTGTCCTCCTCGCTCCCGCCTCTGTCGGTCCCTAGAACCCTCTTCCCTTCTCCCATCGCCTCGCCATCAACCACTTCCCAAATGGCCACTCATGTCCTGACGGCCACCACGGCCGGGCCCGGTACCGCCGTCGCCGGCAACAATCAGATCTCAGTGTACGGCCAACCCTCGCCGACCAACTCGACCACCACCACTCCCACCAACAACTCGCCCACCTCGCCCCGCCTCACCAACAGCACTCTGCACCAGCTGCCGCTCCAGTCGCGCCAGCTGCGCCCGCTGAAGGGTCCTCTCTATGTCCCCGCGGCTCTGCGGCCCACCGAACGCCCCCAGAAGTCCTCTCCCATCACCCCACCGCGCAGCGTGCACGGGTCTCTGGACAGTCTGAACGAAGATACGGAACCCATCAGCCGTCGCTTTACTATGGAGAGCAAGTCCAGCGGAATCAGCAAGGTCGCCGAGCACGAGTGGATGAAGACCGAGCACTTGGGGCTGGTGACGGGTCTGCCGACTCGCGATCACTGGAAAGTGAGTTGATTCCTGTTCTCTTCCCCCCTCCCTCTCCCTCCTTCCCTCCCTGCCTTTATATGATGGGCACGGGCCGGGATGGCGCCATTCGCAGTAGTCGATGTCGTCGAGGTCGGATCTGCGCTCGTCATTCTCATGGGATGGCGTGCTCACCTGCCCTCTTGGCTGGCCTTGACGCCTGGTTGCCTGCGCGATCCTGGATGCTTCGGGTCACTGGACTGGTCCTGGATGACACAAAAATAAGAACAATCTTTGCTAACTCCCTTCCCCTCCGGTAGGCCGACGCTGCTTCCTCCAACTGTGACTCGCCTACCTGCCGCTCTTCATTCGGCCTGTTCGTGCGCCGCCACCACTGCCGCCACTGTGGTCATGTCTTCTGCTACAACCACACCCCTCATGCCGTTCCTCTCGACCAGAATGCTCGCTTCCACCCCGACGGCGTCCTCTCCCGCGCTTGCGACCTCTGCTGGAGCGCCTACCAGCGCTGGGAAGAGACCCGCACCGACCGCCTGAACAGGATCCAGAACTCCATCGACGCCAAGAACACCGAGGGGGAGACCACTCCGTTAGCCGAGGATCTCGAGGCCAGTGAGAACTCGGGCCGTACGGCTCTCAAGGCCAATCTGGGTCAGACTCCCGACGTGGCCGCCAGCGTGCCCCGTGACTGGAATTGGAGCACATTCTGAGCGATCAATAGAACTCTCGGGGTCGTGATCTCGGGTCTCGGTCTACTTGTGGCCAGCGGGTCTGGCAGCGGCTTTCTCGGCTTCTACTTCACTTCTCACCCTCTTCTTTTCTACCCCCTCTTTTCCTCGCTACGCGTCATTCTGATTTGCGACCATCGTTATGGAGTTTTCTGGGCTCTAGGGCCCCTGGGCATCGTGTGCTTTCTGTTTCCCTTTCCACTGGCTTTATTATCTGTCGACACCTGCCCCCTTACGGTAGCCGTGTCTGGTGTTTTGCATGCTGTTATAGAGGATCTTCACGATCGCTGGTTTTCCCTGCGTGACTGATTCGATCCGGCGAGAGACCGGCAGCCTTTTTTTTCTGTTTTTTTTTCTGTGGCTTTTTGTGTTTTGATCAGGATACCCCGTCATTTCTATCGGCAATTTCGTTTCTTCGTCTTTACACTGGTGCCTGATCCTGATCTGCAACGCTGGAGGGATGAAATGGCGCGGGGCTGTACATTCTTCGATGTGCCCCCGAGATGAAATCCAGTCTTGTTTTACAATTGCATCTCTCCACCTTAGTAGCCCTAGAATCTTGGAATCGCGCATTCCCGCCCATCTCTCGATCTGCAGATCTTATCTGACATGCCCCTCCTCTGCATGCACACGGCACGTAATCCACCTTGTACTCTAGTGGAATCCCTCACCGCACTTCCACCCGGCGAAACATGCCGACGTGCGCAATCCCTTCCTCATCCCACTGGCCCAACCTCTCGTCGGTCACGAATCCTAGCCCACTGTACATCCGCTCTACATCCACTTGCGCATGCACGAGCACTAACCCCCGCCATTGGCCCGGGGACCCAACCAATTCGGTCTGTGCCGCCACCTGCGCGGCCGCTGCATCAATCTCCGCCGCGTGTTCCGCCGCCCAGGCCAGCGCCGTCTCCATCAGTCGCCGCCCCAGGCCCAACCCCCGGTACTCGGGCAGGACCGCGACGCGGGTTAGTTTGATGCATGGCTCGTGTGTCCAGTCATACGGGGGCAGATGCTTTGTCGAAGGGTCTTCGGCATGTGTGAGGACGGCGTGTGGTGGTTGTGGGGGGGGGACAAGGCGAATCACCGCGACTGGGCGTGGTGTGCTGGACTCGGGGGAGGGCGAGGGGTCGTACATCACCCATTGCCAGCTCCGCGCATCGTCTTCGTCGATCTCGGCATCCGCGGAGCAGTGCTGCTCGTCCACAAAGACGCGCATTCGCACGATCATCGCATCGTTGAAGACCGGTGGGTTGACTCCGGACTCGTCGGGGAGGGCCAGTTTTGCCGCAGGGCCTGGAGGGGGCTGGATGGCCGTTGTAAGGATAGGCTTGGTTGCCATGGATCATGTGAATGGTAGGTGGTTTCAGAGGGTATATTCCAGTCGTTGTCGTTAGAGTAATCCACTAATCCCGGAAGGCTCCGGTTTAGTGGTGTTTGGTTCTATGAAGTGGAAGTGTACCTAGAGGGGCTTAGGTACCTAGGAAAAAATATATATATATATACATCAAGAAGGTCCGAGCCACAACATATGCTTGCTATATGCTCGAGATTGATCTCACAACTTGGAAATTTCAAAGTCTCAGGAAGGACGTTGACTGGGCCCTAGCCTCAAGGATATGACTCTCAGCCTCAAAGAACAACAAGCAATCGCATAATGGATGCTGCCAACGTGGTGATGGGCCAATCTCCATCTCTGCGGTTTACCACCGCCGACCCACTTCGGTGCAAACAAGCCAAACGTGGTCATGGTCCTGTCCATCGCGAAAATCCTCGTCGTTGACGAAACTTGTATCGCTCTCAATGTCCCTCTACTTCGATGCGGTCGCTATCCTGACCGCGCCATCGACAGGTGGCTCTTTCAAGTCCCGCATTTACAGCGCCCGGAACTTGCGTGCCTCGCCCGCCCAGATCTATGCATTGATCACCGAGGCTTCCAAATGGGATATTGTTCTTGCGGATGTGATTGAAAAGGCGGATATCTTGAGCCTCGAGCGCAAGGTGAGTTGTTTGGAGATTTCCACCAGGTGATACCTGCTGACTGACCAAGTAATCATTGACCTTGATAGCTTTCTCCGGCCCTTGCGCTCCTCCTGGTCTATGACCACCTCCTCTCGAAGAAGGGCATTGCAGCCCCAGCAGCCCACCCACTTCGCCAAGCAGTTGAGCGGCATAAAGTCCGCTTAAAGGCTGAGTTCACGAAAGCCCGGGTGCGCCGGGGATGCGCTTCGGTGGAACAGCTGAAGGCAGCCGTCCTGCGCGAGAAGCGGGAGGCCGATGGCACCAATCAATTTGTCTATCCGCGTTGGGTGCGGGTGAACAATATCCGCAGCACCCTCGAGGACCAGCTGCGCACGACCTTTGCGCAATACGAGCGGGTGGACACTCTGGCCGGCCTCGCACCCGAGGTTGACGACCGGACCAAGCAAAAGCTGTTGTATATGGATCCCAACATCCCCGATCTCGTGGCGGTGCCCTTCGGCGCGGATTTCACATCATCGCCGGCATACAAGAACGGCGAGATCATCCTACAGGATAAGGCATCATGCTTTCCCGCGTATCTCTTGCTGGGTGATCGTGGTCCCAAGGATCCCTGGGAGGGGGACTTGGTGGACGGCTGCGCCGCCCCAGGAAACAAAACTACGCACATGGCATCTTTACTAGCCAAGCAACAGAAGCAGAAGAAGCCCCGGAAGCAGATCATTTCTATGGATGCGTCTAGAGTGCGTTCCAAAACGCTGCAGAAGATGGTCTCGTTGGCCGGCGCGGATCCTACCGTCACCGTGCTACAGGGGCAGGATTTTCTGGCACTTGATCCGATGGATTCTCAGTTTGAGAATGTAACGGGTCTGCTACTCGATCCCAGTTGTTCGGGTAGTGGCATTGTTGGCCGAGATGATGTTCCGCAGCTCACATTACCCCAACCCAAAGTACCCAAGTCCTCCAAGCCACAAGGGAAGAAGAGGAAACGCGGCACCGATGACCGCGACCACCCAGAAGAACCCCAATCAAAGGTGACAGTGGGAGAAACAAGCGCTGCGCCCTCCGATGAGAATGACATCCCTAGCGGAACGGTCGACCACGATCGGCTCACCAAGCTGTCGAATTTACAGGCGCGCATCGTGGAGCATGCCTTGAAGTTTCCCAGCGCAACTCATGTGACCTATAGCACCTGCTCCATTCACCTGATTGAGAACGAGGCCGTGGTGGCCCGCCTCCTGGCATCGGATGTCGCCAAAGAGCGTGGTTGGCGGCTTTTGCGACGCGACGAGCAACCCGAGGGCCTGCGCCGGTGGAAACATCGTGGCGTCCGGCGTGACCGAGATATCGAGACGGGCGTGGAATCTGATGAGAGCGAAGCCGTCGCCGCCCTCTCAGAGGACGACCTCGAGGCTTGCTTGCGTTGTTGGTCTGGCGATTCAGAAGGTCTGGGGGGCTTCTTTGTCGTTGGTTTTGTGCGCGACTCGCAAGAGGATAGAGTTCTTGTGAAGGAGGACTCGGACGCTGGTGAAGGTGGAGATCACACTGTCGAAGACGACGACGATGAAGGTGAAGAGTGGGAGGGCTTTTCCGAGTAGATCCAATATCGCCAGAGCGGACGGGTTCAGCCGTCTCAGCCTGATCATATCAAATTTCCCCTTCATAGCTGCCCAAAACCCCTTCCAGAGCTTCCAAGATCTTAAAGAAAATTTTGATGCCGGTTTCGCACCCGTGCAGCCGTCCACACGTCCAACTTGACCGCGAGCAAGACCGCCTCGTACGCGCCGTTGTTGTCTGGCTGTACCTGCAGCCGCCATTGCCCAGTTCGAACGACCCAGGCCTCATTGTGAGATTCATCTGACCGCTGACGCTTGGCCGGAGGCAAATCATCGTCTGTTTCCATCCCCCCATGAGATTCACAGCACATGGGTGGTTCGATTCACCATCGATCATGATGTCCGTCGCTGGTCCCCAGAGAATCTTCGTTGGGATGTTGCCCAGCTGCGTATCAGAGAGATTCATCTTTTTACCCACCACTTGTAGCAAGCTGGCCATGCGGGACTTGGCTAGCCCGATGAAATCCGCCCGATGGGTTGTACCGTTGATCAGTGTAGACTCGTCTGCGATCTCCAGAACCAGGTCGACCGGATTATCGTCGACAAAGGGGCGAGCGTACAGGACCGACCCCACCCCCGTTCGAGAGGTAGGATCAGGAGCGAAATGAATGCCTGACGGCCGTACGTCTTCCAGGCGAATGATAATCTCTGAGCGCTGGCGGAAGGGATTGAAGCTGATGTGGTGGGGAATCAACTTTTGCTCCAGCCCTCGGAGGTGGAAATAGCGACAATCACGGAGCAGCTCTGCGCGATGGTCCGCATTACGAATATGCAGCGGGTATCCACGCAGAAGGTGAAGGAGTTCTGCAAACACATCGGCGGACCGGTTGGGGACGCTGGGAGGGACGATCGCCGGAGGTCGAAGAAGCCCAACGCGATCTAGGCCGGGGAAGACCTCGGATGGAGAGGCAAAGAAGGCGCCAAAGCCGAGGGTAAAGAAGTTCGGGGAGTCACCGGGGCTGGAGAAGATGCTACGGGGGATCTGGAAGTGGCGGTCGCCGATCTGAATGACGATCTCGGACTCGAATAGTTGGGACATTAATCGGGGTACTGTCGTGGCTCGTTGGTCAGCGGGCAGCCCGCGCTTGGTCGCAAGGTTGGAAACCCAGGGGGAAACTAACAGGTGTAGAACTGCGCGTCGGCGAATAGCTTGACGAACTCGGCGCCATCTCGAGGTCGAACATGATAGCCTGCACTTCATCAGCAGCCAGATTTTGGTCGCCGAGAGTCCAGCATGTAGGGTGTGCGCGTGGGGATGGAGGTTCTGTCTCCTACCTTGGAGGTGGCGGGCGATCTCCTGGAAGATGGCCGGGTCGCGATCAATGTAGAGAGTTCGAACATTGGAGGGATCGGACACGCGCAATTGCTCTTCGAAGAAGCGCGAGAAGTAGGAGGGTGCTGCGGGGGCACGTTAGCTTTGCGATCCGCGGGGAGAAGAGAGCTGCATCCCCACCGTCCGAGGCAATCGAGGCTCCGGAAAGACGAAACAGCTCGGAGCCAATCTGGATGGAGAAGACCTTCTCTGGCGGTAGAGAACAGGCTGATGCTTTGCCGGAGCTGCTGGGGGTGGATGAATTGGAATCCCCGGCCATGCTGTGGGGGGCGGAGGTTGGGTGGTGTTGGGTCGTGTGTGGTGGTATTTGGTTGTTTGGGTTTGTCTGGTGGTGGTTGGCGTTGCTGCGAGTTGTCCGCGCGCCGCCCAAGCTGCTCGAGGCTCGACCGCGCAGGTCGAGCGGTTGATCGATTGATGCATTGCTGGACCGTTCTTTCGTGGTCTCTGCGTATAATTATTTGATTCCATTCCTCTCTACTCCGTACTCTCTCTTCCAATCTTACGTAGCCAATCTCTGGGAGTTCCCGTTCGTGTGTCTCTGTGGGGCATTCCATCATGATAATGAAATCCATAGTAGGGAAGGCGAGGTGCTCTCGAGCTCCCAGTATTCATCCGCGTCATGTCATACATCATACAACCAATCTATTGGGGCATCTGGTACGACTTCGCCATTCCAGGGGGAGGCAATTTTGCTGGGACCTTCACTGTCTCACCCCCCGCCAATTCTTCCCCTATGTATACTCCTCGTCCTCACTTCGCACAGCTGATGAGACTTCCGTGCTGCTCATCTCCAGCTTGACCGGTTCATTCGGGCAGCTCCCGATGAATTCACATGGCGCTGGATCTCGGCTTACCCAGGGCCGCACGAGCTTCTCCGAGAACCTGACGATCGCCCGCGCCACAGGAGCATCTTCAGTGGCCCAACGTCGGCGAAAGACCCACTCGGAGAAAGGGACTAAGCTATGAAACCATGCGACATGCTGCCGAGGCCCCCATCCCTATTCACCCCTCCCCATCTTCACCGGGGCTGGTTCTTCGCTTGTTGGGAGGGGCCGAGCTGCTGCTCGCTCAACCGCTAACCACCGCCCCGGCCTGTGCACGACCAGCATCACTGTGGGGAACGACCAGCGTCCGGGATCCGGGGTGTATATCTGTGCTCTCCACACCCGAACACTTCCACCCCCTCCCCTACTTCGGGATTTCGTCAGCCTTTGACGTATGAGCGCGTTGGACCCTGTATATCGTGGCTAGTCGGCTGTGGATCGATTCGCCCCCCATGACGGATCATATTACTTCATATACTCCGCTGGAGGTTCCCCTGCCTCCAGCTCCGGACCTTTCGTTCTTTACAGATGCGCAGTGGAAGACCCTCTTCGCGTTAACCGATGCCATAGTGCCGTCGATTCGCACGGCTGCCACTGTCAACTCATCGACGGATAAGGTGATTTCGACTGCGGAGTGGGACTCGGCGGTCACCAAGCTATCCTCGTTGATTCCGGGCCCTGATGCTGCAAAGATCGCGACCGTTTATCTGGAAGAGGATGTTTCGTCAAATCCCGTCTTTCGCGCGTGCGTGGGTCGGATATTCGGAGACTATGTGCATGAGGAGGGGAGGAGTGGCTTTGGGTTGATAATGAATGCGCTCAAGTAGGTGTTCCCGACTTCTTTCCCCCCGGCCGCGGTCCATGTTGAAATCGCCCACTGACATCGATGATAGCACTCGAGCGGGCTCACTGATTTTGACCGGGTCAACCAGACTGATTCATCAGCAGCCGATTGCCTTGCGCGAAAAGGTTTTCCGGGGATGGGACTCTTCCCGCCTGCCCCCCCTCCGTGCGGTCTACCGCGGCCTGACGGCCATTGTCAAGAAGTCCTGGGTGATGACAAGCCCAACGATAAATCAGGTGCTCGGGTTTCCCCGTATTCCGGTCCATGGGAAGCCTACCGATGGATTACCGTATGAGTTCCTGCAGTTCCCCGCCGGGGGTGAGCCCGAGACCATCGAGACCGACGTGGTGATTGTTGGGAGCGGCTGCGGTGGTAGTGTGACCGCGAAGAACTTGGCTGAGGCGGGCCTCCGCGTGGTCGTGGTTGAGAAGTCATACTCATATTCCAGCAGATCATTCCCCATGACCCCGAATGAGGCATACATCAACATGTTCGAGAATGCGGGCGCCACCATCAGCGAGGATGGCTCAATGGCGGTCCTGGCGGGCTCAACCTGGGGCGGTGGTGGCACGGTCAACTGGTCTGCCGCTCTGCAGACCCAGGCTTATGTTCGTCAGGAGTGGGCGGATACTGGCCTGCCCTTCTTCACATCCCTTGAGTTTCAGCGAAGTCTGGACCGCGTCTGTGACCGAATGGGAGTCAACACAGAGCACGTCGAGCACAACCGCCAGAATAACGTGATCTTAGAGGGTGCGCGCAAGCTAGGCTATGCCGCCAAAGCAGTGCCGCAGAACACCGGGAATGGCGAGCATTACTGTGGCTACTGCATGTTGGGCTGCCATTCAGCCGGCAAGAAAGGCCCCACGGAAACGTTCTTGGCCGACGCAGGCAAGGCGGGAGCCGTCTTCATTGAAGGCTTCAAGGCCGATAAGGTGATATTTGACGGAAAGACTCAGAATGGCAGGCGGGTCGCGATTGGCGTGGAAGGCACTTGGACATCGCGCGATTCGTATCTTGGCATCAATGGAAATGGGGCCGTGAAGCGCAAGATAATTATCAAGGCCAAGAAGGTGGTTGTTTCGTCAGGAACCTTGCAAAGCCCTCTTTTGCTGCTGCGGAGTGGCATCAAGAATTCTCAGGTTGGAAAGAATCTGCATCTGCACCCAGGTAAGCTCTCATTTTCTCACTTGGATTTGGATTTGAATTTGGATATCCGGAGGACCTGTACTTATCCCCATACCTTTGGACAGTCATGGGTGGCGGCGCGGTGTTCGACGAGTCGGTTCGCCCGTGGGAAGGCGCGGCGCTGACGACAGTGGTGAATGAGTTCGAGGACCTGGATGGACATGGACACGGCGTCAAGATCGAGGCCGTGTCGATGATGCCGTCCGTGTATATTCCGGTCTTCCCGTGGCGAAATGGCCTGGACTATAAGCTGTGGGCGGCGGGGATGAGTCGCAGCACGAGCTTCATCACGCTGACCAAAGACCGCGATGGCGGACGGGTCTTCCCCGACCCGGCGGATGGTCGTCCTAGGATTGATTATACCGTCTCCAACTTCGACCGGCGCCACATCGTGGAGGGCTTGATTGCTGCCGCGAAGATCGCGTACATATCTGGCGCGAAGGAGTTCCATACGACCTATCGTGACATTCCGCCCTTCGTCCGTCCAGATGCGTCCAACCCCGATGCCCCAGAGGGGACCAACGATGCTGCTCTGCAGAATTGGATTGCTGAGCTGCGCCGCAAATCCCCCCCTCAACCCCGAACGGGGCCTGTTCGCCAGTGCACACCAGATGGGGACGTGCCGGATGGGCTCGTCCCCCAAATCCAGCGTGGTAGACCCGCACTGCCAGGTCTGGGGTACTGATGGATTGTACGTTGTGGATGCATCGGTGTTTCCTAGTGCCAGCGGCGTGAACCCGATGGTCACCAACATGGCCATTGCTGATTGGGCTAGCCGAAACGTCGCCCTGGCGTTGGGCAAGCCCCGAGGCGACCGGAACGGCATGGCCCGCCTCTAAAGACAAGCTGTATATACATACTCCTATATACCCATCTCTCCTCATGTTTGTTGAAAGACTCGGTACCAAACTATCGCAAGCTCTGCCATGTCTTTTCCTTATGATATCCCAACACCGATCACACTGCTACAAACTACAACGAATTTTAACGTTTATTTACCTTGCTAAAGTCTCAGCGCTGGCTGGTGTTCTTTGAGTCATCATCATCATTATCAGTGTTTCTCATTATCTTTTCATTTCGGGTGTTTTGAACTAATCTAGAATCCTCGGTGGGGACTAGGAGTTTAACCCTGATACGGCTGGCGCTTCTCAATGAAGTTCTTCTCTCCGAAGGCCTGCTTCACACCATCGAGCTCGATGGTACGCTCGTACCAGGCCACGGTGATGGGGTACTTCTGGCGCATCTCGGCGTCGATAACCATGGAGAATCCCCAGACCAGGGCGGAGGCGACGGTGATATCGGCCATGCTGACCTTGTCGTTGCTGACGAACCAGGTGCGGCCCTTCAGATAGGTCTCGAGGCAGGCTAGCGAGCGCTCCAGGCGCTGCAGGTTGTTGGTCTCGGTGGTCTCGTCGTAGGGCCGGATCTTGAGACGCCACAGGGCCAGCTGAGTGACCGGGTCCAGGATCTCGCCCTGGGCATAGCAGATCCACTGGCGGATGGTCGCGCGCTCGGCGACGGTGGCGCCGAGCAGCTGGGCGGCGGCGGGGCCACTGTCGGCGATGTACTGGGCGATGGCGTCGGACTCGAACAGGGTGGTGCCGTCGGCGGCCTCAAAGGCCGGGACCTTGCCGAGGGGGAACTTGGACAGGAACTCCTCGGTCTTGTTGGTCTTGCCCATGGCGAAGTCCGGGAAGATGGCCAGCTCCAGGCCATTGATGTTGGCCGCAGCCTGGGCCTGTCAAACCGCGCATGCGCTGTTAGCAGGGAAGTGGGGAGGGGGCCGAAGAGAGGGAGGAGCGGGAGCGTACCTTCATGACCCGCGGGCTGGGCGTGTACGAGTAGATCGTGCCGAATGGTGCCATTGTGGAGGAGGATGAGGTGAGAGGTGAGAGCTTGTAGAGAATCTCAGACTATGCTCATTTCGCGGGAATTGGAGTTAAAAAGGCCGGCGCTTTCGTCACACCGTGTTCCCCCTCGCTCTCCTGCGCTTAATAATGGCGGAGAGTGGGGTGGAAACGGGTGGAAAGTGATTGCTAACCGCAAGGTAAGAATCCCGTGCCGAGTGGATTTTGGCCTTGCGGCGTCATGAACATCTTGGAGGGGAGGAAGTGAGTTAAGGGTTGGATAGAAGTATGGAAGTATGGAAGTATGGAAGTATGGAAGCATCGAAGCGAGGCACAATCGACAGGGGTCCATGGCGTGATCTGTAGTCAGCATTGTAACTACCATACCCAAGGCTGATAGGTTGATAAGCTATCCTAGCGATACTGTAGAGATATCTATGTACTGTACCATACAGAGAGCATCAGTGGATGCTCCGTCGCTGTAGCCAGGGTTCGAACACGCTGGAGGCGACGTCGTTCCTTCACGTTCCAGGACTGCAGCACCTCCGGGAACCTCCAACCTCCACCGTTGAATATTCGACCTTCAGCCTCCCTTCAACGTTCACCCTTTTCATAATACAACCTAACCTTTGGATATCAGTCCCTTTTCATGCCAAATTTCCTCCATCTCCCACCCGAACTTCATGTCCTGATCGCCTCCTTTCTACCCATCGGTGACCGGCTTCAGTTCAGGCTGACGTGTGCCTACTTGTACGAACTGATTACCCGACCCTCGCACGAGGAGCTACTGCTGACCGAGTCCACCGACTGGGCCCGTAACCGCGATGTCTACGCATGTCGCTATTGCCTCCGGCTGCGCCCGGCAGGTCTGTTTGCGGACCGGATGTTACGACGGCGCCGTGGCCGATCGGGGCGTGATAGCGACAAGCGCTTCTGCATCGAGTGTGGTCTACAACCCCGCGAGGGCACGGCACGATACGGCCCGGGCGCGCAACTCACCATCCAGGGCCACTTTTATGTGTTCTGCCTCTCTTGTCGGCGCTTCCAACCAGGGGCAGTCGATCGCCTCGGGCGACACACCTCCGAGTGTGTAGAATGCTGGCGGCAGCCTTACTCATGATGATTCAGCAAGATGTTGATGGTTTAGAATCTTGGTGCATTCAGCTCAGACTCAACACATATCTATCACCTTGCATCACGTACAGCACCACTGCACCGTGATCTAAGGGCCTGGCCAACACGGCTCGCAGGCCCAATCGTGCACTCATCATGGTTCTCGGGACCCCACTCAACTTGCTCGAGAACCAAGGACGTCAACTCCTGAGATACCCAAGTATGAAGCAAACGACGAAATTGGCGCATGGAATATCAATCTTGCCAAACAGATAGGAACGGCATTTCATGCCTGGCACGCCTCCGATAATTTCAAATAATTCCGGCAGTCTGGGATTCAAGTCAGCCATTCTGGTCTGCGTGTCTCACCCCGGACTCTACTATACTCACTGCTATTCCCCATATCGTCTCCGAATAGGCTGGTCAGGAGATCCTCGCCATCGCGAGTGCCCTCATCAGGTGTATAGGTGACGGCCTTCTTTCCCAGGGCCAGTCCAATCACGGAGGGGAAGGGGTTGAGGGTCTTTAAGCTGGGCTTGTCGCCACGGACCTCAGCTAACATTTGTTGGTGAATGTTCATGGCTGCATAGTGGCCCATGTGCATTGCGCCTCCGCAGCGTTTGATCCCGGGCCAGGCGGCGAGATCCCCGACAGCATAATGGTGCTCTGCGTTGGGAATATTTCCAGAGAATTGCAACCTCATGGGATGTCAGACGACGATCCCAGAAGAGCATTATACAGGGAGGGAGGGACTTACGATGGGTGTACTTTCACATAACCTGTCTCGTCCAGCGCCTGAGGAGCCAGATACGTGGATGTGGGAATGCATCGCGAGATGGCACTCAGCACATGTCCCGTCGTGATCTGCCGTCCATCACCCAGTGTCAAGCGCCATGTTGGCTGGTTGCTTTCAGTATCAACCACGGTAGTGTCCACCACACGCTGCCCTAAGATAACTTTGACACCTCCCTCCCGCAGGATGGAATCGACCCGCTCCGCAAAGTCATTGGGCAACGGCTCCGATGAGAGTAATCGATCCCTCGAATGGACCAGGGTGACCCTCTGCTGTGGTTCGAGCATCTTCAACTCGGCGGCCATCTCCACCCCAACCGCACCTACGGTCCCCCGATTCAAGTGTTAGATCCAAGAAACCAAAAATTCCGTTTGATATCAAAGGTGTATGCGTACCGCCGCCGACGACTACTACACCGTGGGCATTGCGTACATTTTCCGTATGTTTTCTGGTCTCCCCGAGAAAATCATCTCGCCGCAGGGATTCAGGAACCGTGGGAAACACTCGCCGCAGCCCGGAACTCACGATGAGGAAGTCATAGGACTCGGTCGTGGTTAATTTGGTGGCTGTATCCAAGATATGGGCGGTCTGAGCTGCACAGTCTACTTTGGTGACGGTGCCCTGAATGATTTTGAAGTCGGCAGATTTGAGAGCAGGGATGTCCTGGAATCGAGTCCAGGATTCTGAGGCCAACTTCTCGCAAGCTAAGGATTTGGGAGACCCGATGAGATGGACTGGACGGAGCGTGTTAGCGGGGCACCACGGCTTCCAGTTATACCCAAATACCTACAATATCCGTCGCGCTCATCGACGATGGTGGTTTGAATGGGAATCCGATGTGCCGGGGGCGGGCCATCATAGGCATAGTTGAAACGAGGCAGACGGCCCCGTGAGAGATCCCAGAGGTTCAATGCGGCAGAGAGACCCCCGTAGGAGCCGCCGATGACAAGAACCCGAAAGGAGCGGGCGACTGCCAGCACGCCGTCGTTGGAAGGCATTGTGAGATGTTGAGAACTGACGAGATGTCAAAGAGAAACACAAAAAACTAAGGAAAGGAAAGGAGAGAGAAAAAAAAATGGAAAGGCCCCGAGGCGTGGAAATCATGGTGGCTTAGCATCATCAACTCTGCTCTGAGCTAATCCTGGACTCGGCACCACTCTAACTCGGATCGATCTTATCAGATGCGATATCGGTGCTGTTCTACGGTTCTGACCCACTGAGGGTTTGAATGTCTTGTAAGGTTTGAGTCATGGAACATACAGTAGCATTTTGATAAATTGTTTTCCAGCGCCCGTACGAAATTATCAGATCCGATCCGATCCCAGCCGGAGTGACACGAGCCATACGCCCAGAAAAGATCAACGCTCGGCTGGGCTCGCAAAGTGCGGAGTGGGGCTATACATACTGTACTTGGATTACGTCCAGTATACTGTGCATGGCTACTGTACTGTGGATCCAGCGCCGTACAATGACTGACCACAAGTATTCAAACTCTACTGTAAGTACTGTAGTACCCCTATTTGTAACCATTTTAGCTACACCGCCTACTAATAGATGATACTAGACCGGAGCCCTTACGATGATAGTTACTATGCCGCATAGAGTAGACTAGACCCCCAGGGACGAAGGGTGGCATACAAGAAAGTAGGTAGCGATGAATGGAGAAAAATGAGATTCTGCTAGCAGACAGATCAGTAGCCTCGTGGGGCCGAAGTATCAGGGTTTCAATACTGATGGACCGCCGCTATATGTCCTCTTCCACTGTGCACGAATCATAATGTACTGTAGTGTATACGCACGGGCCTGTACACGGCAGTAATCAGCCGCACTAGAACTTTCCGGAGAAGAGTTCTCTCTAACTGAATGGATTCCGAGGAAAATTTGTGTTCCCATGCAGCAGTTTCTAGTCGGGAACTGGCCCACTCTTTCGAGATCCACCGATTTGGGCGGCAGAAGTGGAAGGTCTAACGCCCTCTAATTATCCCCGCAAGACAGACGGCGCTTGTCAAAGCTGTTGAATACAACTTGACTCTGATAGTGAGGATTAAATCCCCGTTGGGGCGACCCGTGCATGCACCGCGTCCAGTGCCTCTTCTTGAGCTTTTTGAGACGCGCATTTACCGCCACCGCAAACAGATGCATGGACATTTTAAGCAGTTGGATCTCTTGCGGAATGATCTCCAAACACCTAAGAGTTGGAGTGTGAATAACTGCATTCGCTTTACCAAGATTCACATCTGCTAGATATCTTCTCCGGGCCCATGAATACGTAACATGGGTATACAAAGCGGGGTTGTTATTTCCTCCTCTTTTGCGAACTATGGATGAGATATTAATGAAGTATCTCGCACTACTCCGTGCTGAAGGCACTGTAGACTGTAGGCTGAAGCCAAGCTATATTTCGCAATACATATGGAATGCAGTAGTAGGACTTCGGACCTGACTGCGAGCCAGGCCGTTGGGCAGATGTAATTACACGTGGAGAGGCATCGTGAGAGATGGCCCCGCCCGTTCACCGGTACGGTATTATTCCTATTATTCCCTAGCGTAGTATGGTTAATCGATAAGGCGCGCATGCGTAGGATCCTGAGTCAAATGAACTCGCAACAACCAGTGGTGCCGGCTAGCTCTTCCCTGTGCCTTGCTTTTCCCTGCTCATGTTGCAGTGGAAGCTGCCCGATTGCTTTAGGTCGGTAAATAAGGGCAGGGTCGGTGTACCGAGAGTACGAAGCGCAGCTAAGATGAAATAACTATAACTGGGTTGGGACTTGAGCCATGGGACGTGAGCAGGTGGTGGGTAGGGTGGTATTGGCGGATTACCACACAATACCGGGCGGGCTGGCCTGTCCAATCACGTAGGGCTCGTCGATCAGACAAGATTGTCATCTAATCTGATTGCGCTGAACCCAATTTCCCCCTCACCCCTCCCAAACGACCAAAACCGGAAAACCCGACAAAAAGAAACCCAGCGGCTGGGCCCGCCAACTCGCTCAGGAAATCGCGCAATTTGCCCAGCTTTCGTCAACGTTACTAGTGGCTTTCGCAGTCCCCATTTTACAGTACTTGATAGCCGAAAGTTCCGAACTTGGATCATGACATCTGATAAGATTTTCCGCGGAGCTGCTATCAACAAGTAAAAAGATTTTTTGGCCCTCCATGCGACAAAAGAGCAATTCATAAATAGGACAAACACGACACTCAGATCGAAGGGGGGTATTCGCAGAACCAGACACTTCCAATGACCGCCGTGGGTGGATGATTATGCCTAGTGTCCTCGCTGCGTCAGCGCTGCGGTCGCCATCTGCCGCAAATCCACCTTTCGGACTTTGCCGCTCCCTGTCACCGGCACCACGCTGGACACACCCTCCTCACCAAAGACAAACACATGCTGCGGTGCCTTGTGTCGACCGAGCGTCTCCCGTGTCCAGGCGCGTAGCTCGTCATCGGTTGGTCGGCTCTGACCGGAAGTGAGCTGGATGAAGGCTCCGACCACCTCGCCGTATTTCTGGTCAGGAATGCCGATAACGGAGGCCAGATCGATGTGTGGGTGCGCCGCCAAGCGCTCCTCGATTTCAAGGGGGTAGATGTTCTCGCCGCCGCGAATGATGATATCTTTGAACCGACCGGTAATGCTGCAGTAGCCCAGCTCGTTGAATGAAGCCTCGTCGCCCGTCTTCAGCCACGTTACTCCGTCGGCGTCAGTGACCATGGCCTCGGCGGTTTTCTCCGGGTTGTGCCAGTAACCTTTGGTGAGTTGATACCCGGAGATGCAGAGCTCGCCCCGCTGGCCAACGGGCACGATGGTACCCTCTGCATCGATAATTTTGGCGCGAGCGTGGGGCAAGACCTTGCCGACGGTAGTCAACCGGGTGTGGATGCTATCGGTGGTGAATGCATTGAAACAAGTGGGCGAAGCTTCGGTTAGACCTAACCAGAGGATCAGCATGGTCGATTTGGATTTCACTCAAGGAAGTGACACCGGAGCGGTTGGTACCATAGCTGCTAGTATACTCCGTCATGTTCAGTTCGTCCAAAAGTCGCTTCATCAATGGCCGTGGCACTGGTGCGCCGGCGATAATCCCTGTGCGCAAGTTGGAGGTATCGAAATTCGCAGGCTTGGGGATGCTGAGAATGGCCTCGAACATGGTGGGGACACCATGTAGCGCCGTACACTTTTCGTCGGAGATGGCGTGTAGTACGGCCTTGGGGTCGAAGGTCTCGCTCGGGAAGATGATTTTGGAACCGTGGGTGACCACTGCCAGCATGCCCAGGACCAGCCCGAAGCAATGGAAGAGCGGAGGCGGGCAGCACAGAATGTCGAAGGAGGAAAGATTCATGCGGTCGCCAATAAATCGCGAGTTGTTCACAAGGTTACTGCAGAAAATTGGTAAGCATGTTGGGTATTTTGATTCCATGTAAAGTCATCCAAGCATACTGGTGTGTCAACATGGCCGCCTTTGGATTGCCGGTCGAGCCGCTGGTGAATTGCAAGTTACAGACGTCGTCGGGCCGCAGTTCGGCTTCGCGGTCCTGCAACAGATGGGTCTCTTGGGACCGGCCGCGGCCAATCACTTCACTGTAAGTGGTGAAGTTGGGGTAGCTGCCACGGAGGATAACGATTTCGTCGAGGCATTTTGATGTCGCATTCTGCTTGGGCTTGGGGCCGAGCTCCGCTAGGACCTCCTCGAGGTTGTGACGGCCAATATGCGGTGTCATAAACAACAGACGACAGTCTGTATATCAATTGCACGTCACGCAGATCAGTAAACAATCCTCGATGGCAAGTGCGGGGCATCGGGGGATTTACCGGTGTGATTGAGAGCATAGTAGAGCTCCGAGGGCGTATATGTGTTGTTCAAGACAACCAAAATGGCGCCGACTCGCGCAGCCGCAAAGAAGACGGAGATATACTGCTCGCAGTTGCCTGCCATAATGCCAATGCGGTCACCCTTTTGGATGCCCATGGCGAGCATGCCCCGTGCAAGGCGATCGGCCTCATCCTTCAATTCGGCATAGGTCCATCGCGCCCCGGTCCACGGAAACACTAAGCATTCGTAATCGCCATACTGCAGTGCTTGCAAAGTCAGCAGCTCTCCGAGAGTGATGTCCAATAGCTCCGGTTGAGTTGGTCCCGCGACAATTGACCACTGCAGCGGCGCTGGGACGGGCTGGATATGGGACAGCGTCTGCTGCAGGCGTTGAACACTCCGGGGGACAGCCATGGCCGAGATACAGCTGGACGAGGGCCCAGAAAAGCGAAGGTGAGGAAGACAATGTGCGGGAACAGATGGAGCGTATCTGTGGGCTTATAGCAGGAGCCGATGATACCGCGGCAATAATTTTCAAATCAGATCAGATAGCCATCGATCAATCAGATAGGCTCCTGTGGTTCTGTGGTGGAGCGGCGTATTTGGGTGGATGCGTACCGGGCGTGACCCGTATAGAACGGAAGAGCCCGTAACAAGCAAAGCTGCAGTCATTCTGGAACCTCTTGGCATGCTGGTCCACTCCATGGCACGGACGCGCAGAAGCGAGATCCCCGTCTCCCATGGCGCCCATCGCTCATCCTGCTCAGCATTCTTACCACAGGACGCCTTGGTAGTGGCCCTCGAGGCAAGATATCGGCGATGGCCCTCAAGCCTTTTTCGCATGGACGGACCCGACGGCTTGTGGGCTGAGCAGGAAACCTGGTGATCACCCATTCATCTCAGCAACTGGCTGCTCAGTGGATATTGCTCGCATTCTGCTCAGCTGGTGGCGGCGATCGTCCACGGAAATTTCCTAGCATGGATATGCTCTCCGGATCTTTTCGTCACGGTGTGTACGGCGTCAAACCGGGTAGGGAGCATGAGAGTGGAGCACAGCCTGTTTCGCTTCCAGCTGGTCCACTTTGATTCCGTCGGCGGGCCTCGTGGCGCCCCGCTCGGATCAGATAATTTCTGTTTCGGATGGCATGAAGACTCCACGTTTGTATTGCTGTTAGTTTGATGATTATAATGTATCATGATGACTGACGGGTCTGTTGTCTGGCTCACTCTCCACTGTACTATGGTACCTCGTCTGTATTCTGCTTTGTCTTTTCAGCCCGGTATCGGCGCGTCGGTCCCGGATTTCTGCTCAACCTTGCCCGCTGGGTCCGCCGTACAGATTGTTCGACGATCTTTGTGCTCCATTCCTTCGGCATGCAGGGGCGTCGTCCACTTGACCGACTGCTCCCGGGAGGTCAATTGGACTGGCTAGCCAGGACCCGCTCTCTCAGGCCTTTGCACTGATTCTTGAAAACATAGTGCAAATATCGGCATCTATCAGGGAAAGGCAGGTCAACTCTTTCTCACGTACGGGACCAATCCATGAAGATCGTTAGATAGAATGTAAGCAAGGGCCTTCAATTAAAAAGTGTTTAATTACATTAATTGACCGTCCCAGAAAGACAACAAACGAAAGTGGAACGAATGACTGGCACACGAGAGGTCAGCGGACGAATAGGAAGTCCAACTTCTCTCAGGGCACCAGAACAGAAGACCCTTGCCCGTGCGTTCAAGTGTACATGTATGTACGTGATGGCTTTGTATACTCCTCCCCGGGGCAGCGATCGCCGTTGCACATAGTCGGCCTCATGACTTTTTTCAATGGGGTGTAGAGGAGATCAGTGTCGAATTTACAGCAGCGAGCCCAGGGCAACACAAGGAACAGCGAGACCAACCACGTTGTTGTTCTAATCAGATTAGCTGGCTGTTTCTTGCTCCAGGTTGAGAGAAATGCACATACCGCCTCGGCGTGGTTGTTCTGGCAGCAAGCAATGTTCTGCTTGCACTTCTGCTCCACCAGACCTTGCAGGTTGGTGGGAACGAGGTTCACAACGGGGACTAGAGATGGAAGTCAGGAAATGTCACGCAGGTTGGCCGAAGCAAGCGTACCGTTCAGGTTGAGGTCATTGCACTGGCCGAAGAGGCCAAGGCCATCACCACCGGGGCCACCACCGAGGGCAGTTTGAAGGACACCCGCGAGGGGACCGGAGTTCTCGGTGACGATGTCATGGGTGTAGGTAGCCTTGTTGCAGCAGGAGACCTTGGCATCATTGCCGCACTTGGCATTGGCCTGCTCGAAGGTGGTCCCCTGCTTCACGGGGAACTTGATGTTGTCACCCTGGCTGGCAACACCGTCGCCAGACTGGGGGAGAGCCATGGCGGCAGCAGCGAAGAGGAGAGCGGAAGTGAAGAACTGCATTTTGGTGGATGATTGGCTTTGAAAAACACAAAGTGATCTGTCAGAGAGAATGAGCGACTGAAGGTCTGCAAAGGTTGAAGTTGATTGGAAAAGTGAATGTGCTTGGGGATGAAGAATGAGAAACGAAGCCGGAATCCTCGTCGCTTTTATAGCCGCTGTTCCTCGTGCCTAACCTCTTCGAGCTTTTTGAAGCTGGGGTATTTTGGGCTCCGACACACACATGTTGTTGTCCAGCTTGAGATGCCCTGCGTCGCACATGGTGGGCCCTTGAAACCAATAGTCTGGACGACCCTGCTGGCGGCGACCGCAGATTCTTGCTTATTGCGGAATTATAGAAAACCGGGGTTTCAGAGAGCGTCCTAGCCACAACAGCGTAGGACACGTTCAACCTTGAGGCTGCAGCTGCAGGAACCGGTGTGGAAGGTACCTGTCGATCCTTAAAACCCCAGTTTAACTAGCTGCACGCAGGACGGAACATACAGCAGTATGTACGACAGAGTAGCAGATACGAACATGGCTGAGACCCGCATCCCAGAGTGGATGCCAGGCTGCCAGAATACGAACCGCGGGGACGTGAGCCGGCTGGGCTCTATTGAAAGGGGGTCTTGGTTGAGATTGAGATCAGCTTGCAGGATGCAATACTTGCTTTTTTGCCTTTGAGCTATGGCGTTGTGTTCCCCGGAGAGATCGGCAAAGTGATCTATCAAACGTTCCACTAGTCGACTAGCCCCATCCGGGGGGCGCTCGTCCACTAAAACCAAGAAAGAGAATATCACACAACAAAGTGCCGACCGATGCGACCGGGTAGTATGGCCTCTGTTGCGACTCAGAGATTTCCAGCCATATGCGGTTCCTGTTTCTTTTTGCTTTTCTTTCGAGAGCTGGCGTCCAGATCCACTCGACTGCGACACCGCCTTCGGGCATGCAGTTACTTGATAATCAATAATCTTCATGCAGGGAGGTGTAGGGTTAGCCTCCTGCATCACGCAGAATCACAAGAATTACCTGCCCCTGCTGTAAATCCCTCCTCAACCAGGCTTATACGAAGTCGATCTCTCAACTACAGGGGTAATGATTGAGTAAACTGAGAAGATCCAGCCATTGATCAGGTAGCAACCCACGGGTCCTTGGACTATTTGGACAATTTCTTTTTCCAAGGGGCTCGCTGATGCCCAAGGCTCAGTTCTATTCTGTCTTACGCGATGGAAATATCTAAGCATATCCAAACAGATCGTCACAACAAAAACCAGGTTCGTCCATCACATATTCTGCTCGTGACCGATCAACGCGTTTGCTCACCAGGTGAAGGACTCCTCCACATATTTGATCGACTGGTAGCCTTGTCGCATCGCACGGTGGGTTGCTGCACGCGCCTCGTCGGCCATCCCAGATGGACCACAAACCAGGATGGCAAGCTTGATTCCTGCCATTGATGCGTCGCAAGCCCGGCTCGTAATGAGAGATTGCAGATGCGGTCGGCCCATCTGGACACTATATCCGAGATCATCCAAATCTGCACAAGATCTCTCTGAGGGCCGTGTGGTATAGAAAGAGGCATGGAAGTCTTCGCGGCTAAGCAACGGTCTCAGTTCTCGATGGGCAATGTCACAAAGAAAGGCTGACTGTCTCGCGGTCCAAACCAACTCGATATCCCGGGTTTGTGATGTCTCCTCCGAGATTCCATCCATACCATTGGCACACCTCCGAATGTGGTCCTGGAGATATGGTATGGCCGAAGCAATCCCAGTGCCTCCCATGATCATCAACACTGACTCGTATCTCCACATCGGGAAGCTGTACCCGTACGGCCCTTCGAGAAGAAGAGTGGTATGGACAGGCTGGTTAGACGCGCGCAGACATTGCCGGCGCAATTGCTGGGTCCAACCATGATAAGGACGAACCCAGAAGATCAGCTTCAGGATCATTGACTCCGTGCCTTCTGATGACGGTTCTGTATCATTCAACCTTTCATGTTCGGGAACGGTCTCGGACAGAAGCGGCAGCTGGGAAACATCCAAGGACTCATCGGGCTTGCCAGGTACTTGTAACAGGGTCTCTCGTGACCCTACTTCGTAAGTCCAAGCCCCAACAGTGAAGGGATGGTTTTCCCAGCCAAAGAAGCGGAATGGTTGATATAGGAAATAGTAGCTGCCTGGCGTGGGCTGTAATAGTTGCATCCCAGGAGTCACTTCTAATCGAATGACATCAGCTGCTTCGTCATATGCCATGCGGGTCTCTGTAGTATGAATCAATCTGCGCCTGGACAGTTTGACGTGGATGTTGCAATAGAATAGTCGAATGACCCTCAAACAACGGTCAAGCGCCCATACTAGGATCGAAGGCCACAGATACTGCCAGTACTCATGCCCTTCGAATACAATCGTATGGCTCCTGGGTGTCAGTCGGTGCAAAGTGCTTGGCCGTGAATGTGGGGGAGGGGGAAACTCACTAAAAGCATCCCACAAGCGTGATAACAGAAAACAGAATGTGTGCAACCAAGAATATCTCGTAGGATACGACACGGATCCGATCCAAAGACGTGACAATCACTAGAGTTATAGCAAAGAGGGCCTGGTATCCGATTGGTATCCGGTCAGGCTTTCAGTGTCGCCGATTGAGGTCTTACCAGAATCCCCCAAAGAATATAAACCTTAGAGAGTTCCTTCCATATTTTATTGCCTGTTTTGGTCGCACTGCTTAGCATATTGTGTTACGCTATGTGCGGCGCATGGTCCGGTACTCACTTTGGATGTATATCACAAGGTAGAGAAATGAATGTACCACGGCCTGCAGGGTAGCTATTCGGGCTACATGGCGATGGAAAATAGTGAACGTCGGGAAACTCCATCCGGTGGCCCAGATCAATACGTTGTTGCGCCCAGAAAAGAGCCACAGCAAAGGGAGATTGGCAAACGACATAATGCCAGTTCGATCTGCTGAATAGCGTAAAACCTGACTCTTGACGTCAGGCCAACTACATGCAATGAGTTAAAAAATCTTCTCCGCAAGGCCAGACTTCACATACTAGATATTTCCTGGGAAGGTTCGGTAGCCCACCACTGTAAAAATGATGCCGAGAAACCAAAAGCCCAATACCGCGAGCGCCTCCACCCGTGATGAGAATGTAAAACCGAGTAAATATCTCCCCTGACCAACAATTGGAGCTGGGGTAATCAGATACGTTTGCATCCAACGGCAGGCGTCTCTCACTAACGGCAATCCATACCAAATGTCAGTTGAGGGAGGGATGTTGGACTCTGGACTGGGTCCAAATTGATGCTGTCGTCTATAGAACATCCACTCGCATAGGCGGCACAAGATTCCAAGTAAACATATCCCACCCCAATAGGCGTACCCCATATAGCTATGACATGATATTAGTATCTATTTGCCATTTCTAGACTCATTCAACATGAAAAGACCATACCCGAATGCATGGTGAGACCATGTTTCAAATTGCCAAGAGTCCTATTTGCATCAAAAATTAGCTTTCGACCACTCAGCCTGTCATGGTCATGATGTGCATTCAACGTACGATAGTATTGAACATGCGATTGAAATAGGACGCGGAAAGAAGGACCGGAGTATGCGCATAGTCCGCCCGCGATAGCTCTAAATAGTCTACAGTTCTCATGCTGTGGATGGCCTCCTCGGTTAAATTCTCGGCGACAACATCTCTTGGAAGCAGCTCGTGATGGCCGAACTCCCGGCAAATGGCCGCCAGCTGTGCCAGGCCGGCTGTACGCTCTCCATCACTGCAGTAAATCTCAGAGGCTGCGTATATAGACGTGACCTTGAGCGGGTTTTGACATCGCGTATCCCACATGCCTTTTGCCGGGACCCCGGCGAAAGAGATGTAATTATACGCCGAGTAAACGGCGGTAACACAGAGCGCATCTTGCGGAAGGACATCACTCCGTGCACTTTGAGCACTGAGCACGATGATCAGCCATCTTAGAGCTCGCATAGTAGTGAATGGTGCCTATATTTGACTGGAGAATGAGCGGCGTGAACGAGGGTGAGGAGAAGGCGGAGCGCCGATGATCGCACAAGCCGATCGAGCCGGACCCACCTAGTGGCCACGAAAAGAATTCCGTGAGCCAAGATTCATTTCAACGAGCATCTGTATGGGAGAGCAGGGCAAAGTAAAAGCTTGGGCAGAGTCAGAATTGCCTCTGCTAAGCAGATCCCCCTAGATAATGAAGAACCCCTGCAGACAAGTTGGTAACAAACCTACCTCGTGGCGCAATTGAATCTTATCTGATCGAAAATCACCACGTGATTTACAACGGGGCAAAGAGGTCCGATGGTGAATTGAGGCAGTGCGGTGGATTACTTATTTCCTACGTCAGGCTGTCACCTCCCCAGCATGTTCAAGGAAAAATGAAGTCTAAATAGTAGTAGCATGGAAATTCCTCTATGTTTCCTATAGCTGTAGCGCGGCTACTTACCCCCAGCTGTCGCCTTTGGTGGAAAGCGGTATTTGTGCCTGACCCACACGAAGAAAATATATATTTTGGGAAGTGCTAGGTGGGATGTTCAACATCACCTAAGGGACTAGGTTCCAAGAGCTACCTAACTGCAGGTACAACCAAGAGTTCCCTATATTGGTATATCGGAAATAGCAGATGCTGATAAGTAGGTAGGCACCTAATCCAGAACGTGTATGTATTAAAAGACCCGTTATCTATCGCGCGTGCATGTAGTAAACGACGACCAACTTAGTTAAACCTCGAATTATGAGATTGGATAGAAATAACTATTTACTACTGCCAGTCATTAAGGCGGCCGCCTCTCTTCCATCCGTTTATGCCTAGGATTTGCTCCAGTTACCTGTCTATTATGCGCACAGTCCAATTTTGATGCTAGGTCCTCGCTGGTGCGGCGTGAATTTTTCACAACCGTTCACACCCCAGAATTGCCCCCCTCCCCAATTAGGGAGCCATGTAGATGAGAAGGGGCCAAATATACAATCTTTGCTCGAATCATATGTATTGTCCTTTCCATTTAAAGTCGGTGCCTTGAATAACGAAAATAATACAGAGTTAGTTGGTCCATTACGAAGCTGATGTCTGCCGGGCGCAAGACCTGCGGCCGGTTCCACATAGCTTGCTCGCGCAAAAGAATACAAGAACGGGTGAGACAAGCAACACAGCAAAGAAGACAGGAAACAAGAATATACAACAGTAATCCTCTGTAGGTGGCATACAGTACGCGACCACGCCCCAGGCAGGCCGCAGTCGGGAGGTTACGCACTCGAAAGGGTCTGGGTTTAATGGATGGCCAGTAAATCCTCTTCTTCCACAGACACCTGGACTTTGAGACCCCAGCCATCCTTGCCACCAATCCAATTCTTGCGTTTCCCTACCTTCTGGAGCTTCTGTGATTCTCGCTCTAATTCCTCTTTGAGGTGGGTTGGGTCGTAGGCGACGTTTTGAATTGCAATTTTCAACTCGAGCCCATCTTTCTTCCCTTTCTTCCCTAGTCCTGTAACCCACCGTGCAGAGGGTACAATGCGAGGCTTGGAGGTATCAATCGACCCAATTGGGTACAGTTGACCAAGGATAAGGCCAAACTTGCCGAGATACCGTGTCCACCAGACTTCTTCTGGAGTAAGAATTCCTTGCAAATGGGACTTCAGGTCCACATCGCGCGGTGGCAGTTCTCCACCGTAACGCTCTTGGAGCATCAGGGCCAAAAGAGCGCGATGAGAATGGGGGATTCCATGTGTCGAAGCGAGAATTCCCGTGCTGGTACTGTATAGGGCTGCACTGGAGGACAGCTCTTTGGCCATGGAGGCATGCACATAGAGGGCATTGGCAAATGCCTGGACCACATGCAGACTGATGGCGGACGGAACCGAGCGTCCGCCGGCCGGTCGGGGCAAGGCGGCCAACATCAACGCAGCAATTGCTTGGGCCGAGGAAGGCGCGTACCGGGCGGTCGCAACTTCGAGTGGATCTTGTTGACGGACCACCGGCAGCATATCGCGAAACAAAACTCCTTCTCGCACGCCACCTTGGCAAAAATGGGCTTCTTTGATCCCATGCGGCAATGATTCAGCGAGCACGTTGACCAGGAACGCGACCGAAGGGACCTGTTTGCGGCGCCGGTCAGACACGCGGAAAATTTCGTGTGCTGTGCGAGCAACTTCCTCCAGCGCCTCGGTGTTTTCAAAATCCGCCTTAGGCGCGGTGTACCCGTTGATGATGGAGATAGGATAATTTTGACCCCGGGTTTGATGCAGGTATAGCAGTAGATAGCCCCATCCACGGAAGCCGCCGCCAGAAAGATATAGGGGAAACCCACCCTCCTCGCGTGCTTTCTTCACCAGGCTGTCGGGAACCTCGAGACGGTCGAAGGCGGCGCGGAAGTTCTTCGCCATCTGGTGGCGGAACTCCGCCTTTGCCTTTTGAGCTTCGTCTTTGCTCTTCCCTCGTTTCAGATCGGCCAGTTTTTGAGTTAGGGCGGCTGCCCCGTAGGGGAAGCTCACCGCGCCTTGCGGGCTGATGTGCACATTGCCTGCATGCGAGAAGATCCAGGTCATCTGCATACTCCCGCCCCCAAGATCCAGGGCCAGTCCCTCCACATCGGAGAAACTACTGGCGATGCCCCATGCGCCGATGATGCCTTCCTCCTCCTTCCGCAACAGCTCGACCTTGATCCCTGTCGTGTGGTGAACCGCGTCGGTAAACGCGGCAGAATTAATCGCCGTCCGGGTTGCTTCCGTGGCGATAATCCGGACATTTGATGCAGGTACACTGAGCTCGACACATATGATTTGGAACCGGATGATAGCGCTGACGACTCGGTCGATCACATGTTGTGAAATGGGAATGCGAGTGCCGGTCTCGGGATCGATCTGTGCCTCGTAGAGTGAGAGGTTGACACGATGGAAGTGCACTGTCGGAATGACGCGAGTGGTTGGAGAGGAGAGATCGGAAATTGAGCATCGGATGCCATTACTGTAAGAGAGGAGAGAGAGAGGAGTCAACAAAGGGGCTTGGTGTTGGTCCTGCGTCTCAAGTGACAGTACCTGCCCATATCTACCACCGCATGTAGATGGTGGTTCTGGCCCGGTTCGAGGGACTTGGGCCTTTCCTCAGAGCCGAAATCCGGGGGAATCTGGCTGCCACCTCCCATGCTGAATACTGGAGGCAATTGTGTCAGCTTTTTTTCCATCTGATGCCATCTCGCGGGGTGCGTGTTAGTGACATCACTGGCTTCACCGCCGTGATAGATTAATTCTGCCGGCAACAGCGTGCGTGCCTGAGGCGGTAGATTTGCTGCCTGGCGATGCGGCCAAAACACAGGTTTGCGGGCAGCTTACCTCGATCCTTGCACCACTATGGGTTTGCGAATTGCCATTCCTTAATGCCGCCGAAGCTACTCATACTATCATCCCATTCCAGTGTAGTAAAAAGAAGATCTCTACGTTGTATAGGACCCAACAAGAGTAAATATGTGTTGCAAAAGACTCCTTACGTCGATGATACCAGGAGATAAATACGGAGCGAATGTGAGAACCCACTGTTTGATTATCTGACGAATACTATGTGTTTCTTGTGTATTTCTCGAGGAGCTAAATGGCCTCGAAATCATGAACGCACCAAGATTTGTAATGCAGGGAATAGCTTAGCTAGTGGATCATATTTCACTCCACTACTTTGCTATCCGATACGACCGGCTGATTTTGAATACCCCACTCAATGTTCGTATACCCGTTGGCCGCCAGGTACTCCTTCCATTCTTGATCGCCATGATCCAAGATCGTATTGCTATCCTGGAGTACAAACCACGCAAGACAAGCCCCGATGACTGCAAATCCTGATCCAATTAGAAACACCGCCTGAGTACCGCGGAGTTCATCATCTCCCCAACTGGCTAGAATGGGCTTGAACACCTGCGTCCCAATGGCAGCGCCAGCTTTACTCCATGCGGCTGCCAAACCAACACCGTGGCCGCGGACAGCCGTGGGAAAGCTCTCACTGGCAGCGAGCACAATGGTGGCACCTGGGCCAACCTCACCGAGGGTAAGAAAGATGCCATACAGGACAATGAACAGCGGTAGCTTAGTTTGGATTGGTCCCAGGGCCCCACCCAGGACGAAACCAAGGATTGCTTGAAGAAAGAACCCCAATGCCATGGTGCGTCTACGACCAATGCGATCAGATAAAAAGCCACCGATGAAAGCTCCGGGGATATAGAAGCAGTTGATCAATGTCCCCCACGCCATTGTGAGGGCAAGCGACGAGGAAGGATTCACTCGGCCCACAATAGTCGAGGAGAAAAGTCCGAAGGGATACGATATGTAGTTATAGCTAAGCCGTCATAGTGGTCAGCGTCGTGTCTTCGTACTTGGGGCCAAAACACGTACATGAACCAAGAACCGCAAACCCCAATCAATGGTCGCCAATACTTCTTAGCCACGAGACGGTACGGAATCGTTTGCTTCTTCATCGAACTTTTTCGATATGCCGAACTCATGACCATTCGATAACGGAACCAAAAGATCGAGAGGGGGGCAATGGCACCCATCGCTAGAGAGACCCGCCATACGGCCTCATAACGTTGCACTTGTTGGTGAAAGCATAGTAGCAGTATCAACGGAACGAGAGCACCAAATGCAAATCCCAGAGAGGCTGATAGGTCACCAATCATGGCAAAAATGAAACCTCTTCGCTTGCGAACCCCGGAGCTTCGTCGGTGGCTTCTGCAGCACCCGCCCCAGCAACCGGATACTCTCTAATGGAACGTTAGGTGATGGCCACCTGGAGTTTAAATTTTTTGTGAAATTTGAGCTTACCCGCCTGCACCAACCCCTGCAATACCCCTTGCAATGATCAGCATCCAGAACATGCCGTCATCGGTGAGGCCGCTAGCCCCGGCACTAAGGGCGATTCCGAGAACCAAAATGGTTGTTGTAAGAACAGCGCCCGTTTTGCGCCCCAGCTTGTCGGAGATATAGCCAAAGGACAGCATGCCGATGATCATGCCGACCATGAAGGCATTTGATAGACGAGCGGCGACAGCAGTAGTTAAGGATTGCGGATAGATGACTTCCATTAGCAATTCTATGTTACCGATGATCGATGCATTAAAGCCATCTGACCCAATTGCCAGGCCACTGAAGAGGATCATCGTGACCACTGAGAGCCGGGAATTGCCCCCACCGGTTTCCTCATTTGTCGCCTCTGGATGCATCACGTCTGGAGTTTTTGCATTTGGGGTGTTAGCATGTGGAGAGCTTGGATTGGATGATAAGGTTGTTGTGGGCTCAGTTATCTCTGTTGTCGCGAATTTCGGTTCGTGCGAGGGACGCATTTCCACTACCGGATACTCGCTCATATTGTTGGCGCAGAATTTCTTCTAGTGTTTGTCCATCAGTGAGGGGGAAGAAGGGGGCAGGCGGGTGTTGGCCCCGGTTCGCACTTTATACCGATGCATGGTATCGTCACGCTCCGCGCAGACTACGAGGCACTGCGATAGAGGCGAGATTTGCTCGAGATTGTTCATGACAATCCAACCAATCAGTCCGCATGTGGGGATGGAATCTGCGGGATATCTAATAATTGCAGGGATCCTTAGATGGTTCAGCGCCTCGGACAGGCGGAAATTCGACGCTAGCCAGCCCACCAAGTCACTAAGAAGCCACTAAGGAAGTCAGCCCGCCCCAGACGGGACAGCGGGGAAGGTCAAAACGAGATAGCACCGCGTAGGCTCCGATTTCCCAAGTAAGCTCGCTAGTGGTTCCGGAAAGTTCTCCGAATGATCAAGGAGACCGGAATGTTGCATTGCAACTCCCTGATTTGTTAACTTCACCAATCGCGAACTCAACGAGCCGTTGACGAACCACGCAGGACACCATGTTGAAACAATTGTCCAACACCCCAGGTGATGTGGAGGCTCTGACTCCCCGCTTCAAACGTATCAAGCGAAATCCGTTTTCCATTCGGAACCTGGCCTTAGTAGTCGCCAGTGCCGGTCTACTAGTCGCCGGGTACGGATACACCTGCCACACGAAGTTATTTCTGACCGACCAATCTCTCGCTGCTGGGGAGAACGAGGCTACTGCTAGTGAGCATGTCCATGCATCCGACCCGAAAGCCTTTCAGCAGTGTGCCATTGAAAATATTCTGGATACTGGCCTGCCATTCCTGAAAAATGCACTGCCTATCGAGATTGCAGATTTTCAGGACCGGCGAGATCGATTAGCGGCGGCCCTGGTGGCGGAAGATGTCGACGCTTTTGTCGTGGAGCCGGGTTACACATTCAAGTATTATGGGAACGTGAGCCAACCAGAATGGGAGGTGTGGGAGGTAGGCTATGCGTCGTTTCTAAAAGTACGAGTAGTTCAACAGCCCATGCTAATCCCACAAAGCCCGAAGAGCGCCCATTCTTGATGGTCGTCCGCCCCGCGTGGGACCAGACTACGGGTCAAATCAGAGAAAATACAACATTTCTCTGTCCATCTTTTGAAGCGGAGCGAGCCCGTCTTTTAGGGATGCCCTTCACCGAAGAGATTCAAATTGTCCCGTGGGAGGAACATTGGAATCCATACACTACCCTTCAGCAGTCAGATGTCTTTATGGGCTTGAGTCGTACGCCACGTTTGATGGTCGATGAAGAGATGCGAGATTTCATCCAGCGAGGACTGGGATCGGTGGGCTTTGATGTGGTTGGCCTGCGAGGACGAGTCGAAGAAGTTCGACAGATCAAATCTGCTCGTGAGGTCGAGATTTTGCGTGCGGTCAACACGGGCACGGTTGAGGCGGTGCGGCAGATGAGGAAGTGTAAGCTACCTGTGATGCAGGAAGACTGATGCATCTTTAACAATTACAACAGGCCTCTATCCTGGGTTGACGGAGAGTGAAATAGCCACAGTGCTTGACAATACCCTGCGTGCAGCCGGCATGGATCCCTTCTTTGACATAGTGCTTTTCGGTTTGTATCTGTTTGGCCCGCAAAAAAAGCAATTCAGGGAAACACATAACTGATCTGCGATAGATGAGAATGCGTCGAATCCGCACGGCGGAACCAATGGGACGAAGGTTCTGGACGCTGAGACGTTTATTTTGATTGATGTCGGGTTAGTATCTTCCGCAATCATCATTCAACATTGTATCTAAACCCGAGCAGTGCCCATCTATATGGATACTCGTCCGATATCTGTCGTACCTTTTTCCCGCCATTCTTAGAGAAGCCGTCCAGGGATGAAGCCCCATCGCCGCGCTTGGCTGAGAAACTGAAGGCAGGTCAGACGCTATGTAAGCTTGATCGGGGCTGACTGGAAGCTCCCTAGGTGTGGGATATTGTGTTCGACGCTCAAACGCAATCAATTCGTCAGATGCGAGAGAACATGACAGCAGCAAGCGTGGACCTTGCGGCCCGTGAGGTTATTACGACAGCTGGGTACGGTCGAACCTTCACACACCGGGTTGGTCATGGAATTGGCATTAAAGGTATTTGCCCTTCTCATCAATTATGTCGTGGATCTTTATTCATGTGTTCGGTTTGCTAAGCCAACTTGTAGCTCATGAAAGCCCTTATCTAAATAAAGGAAACTTCAATACCCTGCTAAAAACAGGTATGACCTTCACATCTGAGCCCGGCATATACCTGATTGATAAATTTGGTGTGCGGCATGAGGATATTTTACTTGTACAAGGCGATGAAGAGCCACATCTCTTGACAGGAAGCAGAGCTAACGGACCTTGGGATCCTTGAAGTTATGAAGATAGCCAATGGTGGATTTCTGGGACATGAGAGACCATATGTCTGCAATCCAACTAATTCTGCTCCACTGGCCTGGGAGTTAAAAGCTAGACAAACCTTTGGAGCCTTAGGATGGACCGAAGGGGTGCAGAGATCATCCTTTTGTATAAGGGCGGACACGATGTAGAGACCGAAATAATCATTTGACCTCCAGGCGTAGCGCATCGTATTGCACATACACCGTCCCAGGCAAGACGGCCGTTTCCACATCGGTTGCATTGTAGGGTAGATGTAGTCGCAGCACATTGTCTCCTGCGTGGAGCCAATTGGCGGGGAAGGTCATACGGGAGCTGATTTGGTAGCAACTCACAGCCGACCGCACAATGCAGCTGCTAGATTGGTTGAATCCAATCACAAGTGTCAGAGGGTCGGGGTGGTCGTTGATATAACTCTGAAGAGAGAGGTTGTTGTACATTTCATTCACATTCCATACATCCGTGTTCCCAGCTGCGGTCTTGGCGCCAGCCAGCTGCACGGTAAGAGAGGCGGTCTTGCGTTGATGCAACGCAGTTGCATCCAGCGCAAAGTGAATGTTCCAGTCATGGGTGGTGTTGTACTCGACATGTGAGTTTGACGGCGTTGGTCCAAAAACGGACCAATGGACTGTATTCCAGTCTGCAGCTGGACTGCTAGTGCCAATCGTGTAGTTGATGCCCTGAGGAAAGTCCATGGACCAATCATACGCACCCCAGTAGATCAGATACTCTGGTGGGTGGAGAGGATGCGTCGTGTCTCTGGCATTGCCGTGTCGGAACTCACCAGAAGACTTGTCGGGGATGCCCAGTCGCCAGATCTCGGTGCCAAAGGATTCCTCCTCCCAGGTATCACGGAATATTGTTTGTTTCCCGGCGTGTACAACAATGTCGTCACGAATGAAGTCCCCGAAAATACCCTCTGCATAAATGGTGAGTCGATATTTCCCTGCCTTGACATGGCCCATGGTGAAGCTCCCATCAGATTCAATATCGATCCAGTACTGATACGAGTCTGAAACTGCACTGTTGTCTTGAAAATAAACGCCATTGGCCGTAAGAATCGCAATCGGCCGGGCAGCGCCCTTTGGAAGCTTCACTTTCCCCCGCACACTTCCTCGCTGTCCCGAAGGAGCGTACCCCACAACATGCTTGGCGATCGAGTCGTAGAACGCGGCGTTCCAGGCTGGGTTGGCCAGCTCTTCCGCTTCCGCCCGCAATTCCGACAGCGATTGGGAGCCTTTGCCACCATTGAAAAAGTAGTATTGGGGCCCAAAGGTGCGATCAAATCCATTCGTGATATTTGGTGTGCCTTCTCCATGGTGATTGGAAACAAGATAGTTGTACACAATGCCGTCCACCGTTAAGTCTGAATGAATTGGTCCCTGTTCCTTGTTAGCTTTGCCGGCGCCCTGAAAGGCACAAAGAGTCACATACTCCATAATAAGTATCCTGTCCGGACAGCGTTAGTCTAAGCCCTGGGGGCCGATGTCATGAGGAAGGCACTGACCTTAGTGTTCATTACCAGCCACGCCCCAAAGGTAGTCCCAGACGAGGTCGAGCCATCTGCGTAAAGCCCGTGAACACTATTGTTTCGCCACGCTAGAGTCTCATTAGCGGGGTTCCAATTCGATTGTGTAGCAGATCTTCTTACGGTTTGAAAAGGTGTACTTTGTAAAATAATCGGCGAATTGCGTATAGTAGGCATCGGTTGGAGTGTTGTTCAAGGTCCAGGTTGCATCTTGGACGACCACTTCGTGTTTGACCGCGTCCTTGCTCGGCAAGGGGGCCGTTTGAACCTCGCTTGAGGTCAAATGGGTCCAGAGATCGGTGTTTGGACGGAACAATGTTCGGAGCTCCTGCAGATTTCGAAGGAATGGTGTCGTCTCGTTATGATAGGCGAGCCGAGTAAACATATGCAAGCCAGTTTCCCCATCCCGCAAAAACCAGTATTGCTGGAATTCCTGGCCGGTCGGGGTGTATGTGTCGGTGAGGATCATGCCTGCGTATTCCGTGCCAGTTGCATCTTCTCCTTGCACCACCTGCATGGTCGGAGTAGTCGCCCCCGCCGTGTAGAATCCAGAGGGGATGCAGTAGCAGTCCAGATAGGGCCCAATGCCCGATGACCCGGACTGGGGACCCAGCAGATCCTGGCCATCGAGGAACAGGTCCACGACCTGGCCGGCATCCTTTTGAAGCACTGCGGTGAGGCGATTGTTGGAGAGAATGATGGTCGAGTCGTTTTGAGAAACGTGGAGAGCGGCCGAGGCCAGCGTGAGTCCCGTCACAAACCAAGTCAAAAAGGTCGCCATGGTATCTCCTTAACATCCGTGTACGAAAGGGCTCTGCATGCAGCCTAGGGGCATGAATCTCAACATTTGGCCGGAGCCATGTCCTATGTACGCCATCACCCCGGGGCCCAATACGCCGAATGACCTGCTTGTTTCCAGCACGTCGACGGGCGAGTGCCCTGGTGTTTTGACCGGAGGCTCACTGCGAAAACTGCTCTCGACAAATCCACCAATGACCGCCTCTGGATGGACTGAAAATGCGGAGGCAGACAATTCTTGGCATGCGGGGGGTTCACTCCAGGATGGCGGAGATGGAGCAGTTCGAGAGGAGAACGGAGAAATGAGATGCTCGGCCCTCGTTCGCCCGACTTGCGAAGCCAGACGGAGTATATTGGTATATTCTCCTAGGCACGTGCGGCCCCCCACTCGGTAAACATGGTCCACTAGTTAGACCGGTGGGATTGCAGGTCTTCTCACAAACCCTTTACTTCGCGTCTCAACCTCCTCCAGAAAAAGTCAGAGCTCAAGTGGCGGCTCCCGATTTACCTCTCCTAGGGGTCCTTTGCGTGTGAGGCGCGTGTAATGTACATTCATTACATTGCCCCTTCTGACTGTACCTCGCAGGATAGGATCCCTCCGGTTCTCGTGCGATGCGACCCAGTGGGGATGCTGATGGTTCAATTGATGCAAAGGCGCGACCGGAGCGCATCCGGCGGAGTGGCCGGGGGTCGCTCCGAACATGTCTTGCCGAGCAACACCCAACCTTGGGATGCGTACGAATCAGCGATGCCAATCGGCAATGACAGTCGTGGGGCCGGCACTTGGATCGCGGATTTGGGAGGTGGAGCCGCGGGTGTCATGGCCACCGTTGTTGGCGGATGCGCTATGATTCCGATCATTGGTATTCAATTCGTGGCCGTCAGTTCTGAGAAATACTAAGGACGTGCCCATATAATAGGCGAGGACACATATCGGAGCCGCTGCCTCTCAGTTCTGCTCCCGATGGTGAATAGACGGCGGTGAATACAGCTCTAGAGACGTAGTGACGGTTTCTAAGGTCATATAGAGCGTCGCCATGGTCGTCATCCTCGTTCCAGTGGTTCCCGTTTCCCGTCTACAGTCCAGGAAAAACTCTTATGATTTGGGATCAAACCAGATTCACAGCTTCATTAGAAGAGATTACTTGGTACGCTGTTCAACCATGACATGTTTTGAAAGTCGTGCAGTTCAAAGCCTTCCAGTATTGCTGCACCTATTCCTTCCCCGAAAGCGATCTCATTCAGTGAATTTGAGCGGCCGGAGGCAAGGCCATGGCTGGAAACCGTCTCGGTCAGGAGCTGTCCGTCGGAGACAACCTGCTCATAGAGAATCTCAAGTGCTGCTACACATCGCCTAGCAGAAGTGCTATAGCTTTGATACTTGCGTAGTATCTCGAGTGCGCAGTCCCATGAACGCGTGATTGAAGAATCTGGAATCTCTGCCAATATTGCAGAGCACAGACGCCCAGCAATAAGAACAGTGGCGGCCGTGTAGATATCTAAATGGTCAGATGCGCCATTTGTAAACTACATTTCTGTAGACGAATAATTACTCACAAAGTATGTTGTACCACCACGCAGGAAGGGGACCACCAGTACCGTCCGCAGGGACATTATTATGAATGAGTTCAATCATTTCCTGGGCTACTTTGACGCAGATAATAGAGCACTGTAGTGCGACCCGACGAGGTAATGAATCGTTGATCGAGACCACCGAGTGTGCTCCTAAGCTATCGCGCTCGGCGCAATATTTTGAGAGGAGTGGGCAAAAGAGCAGAATTCTTACGTGCAAAAACCTGTGAATCAATTCCAATCAGCAATTTTACGGTATGTGGCAGAATACGCAGTGGGTACCTGGCTTGTAAAACAATCCCTTGACGAAAGAAGATGGGCTTATTTGGGACACCTGCTGATGATTCACCGCGTAGATGAGATGGAAGACCTCGAGTCCACTGCGTAAGGGAGCGGTCTAGCTCAAATATTGTTTTCCCCCTCCGCTAGCGGTATTGTTGAAGTAAAACTCGTGAATCTCATCTGCTCTTTCATCTGAAATTGGCTTGTATAAACTGAGAAGCACGTCGTTCATGATCTCGTACAACTCCAGTGATTTTGCGTAGAATGCCATTATGGATGGTTGTTCCACAGGCTGAACCGGCTCAGAAGTTGTGTCCGTGGAAATGAATTCATCGTCTACCGTAAATGGCAATGGGACCGCAGTGCTGGACACTTTTGATATCATCGCCGGCCGTCCAAAGGTCATAGATATAACACTGTTTGAGGAAAAGCTTAGCTCTGGGCCTTGAAAGGCGATGTAAGTAACGTACCGGTCCATTAAAACGCAGCCATGCCAGATTTTGCTAGCCAACTGCTGCTCGCTAGCGCTACAAAAATGGGCCATACTCCGTGGAAGATGAAGCCCTAGACTCTGTGCATTGCGAATTGCAAGTCCGGTAACGATCCAACATTGGTGGGCGGAGTCGGTACTCTGCAAATACTGCGCCATGAGGAGTAGACATTGAATCAGTCCGACAGAGCCTGTCTCCCACAGATTAAACTGAAAAAGCCCCTTAGCACGTGAGAAGTACTCATCTGCCGAAGTTCCTCGCTTTTCTGGTGCTATGAAGTCGGCCAATTGACTCGCCAGGGCAAATATGACGTTGAATGTGCACATCACCATGTTCTCGTCATAATGCAAGGTGTCTCCCTGCCATATCTGAACGTATTCCGCTTTCATACGCGCACTATCGATGAAGGGGTATAGAGGGAATACATAATCCCAATATATATCCATCAAACTGTCCGCCATTCTTCGCGGGGGTAAAACATAGTTTGTTACCGCTGACTGGGCTCGCTCACTGCGCCCTGTTAACAGGCTAGAGTGAAGAGCAACATCAGGGGCCGAGGGGCGCCTGTCAGGCGACGATACCCTTCTGTCAATGGCAGTCTTGATCTGACGCATGAAACCAGCAGCGCTGGAGCTACCAAAAAATCCTTGACTTGCACGCCCTTCGTCGACTGCGCCCATCATGGCATTGACACCGTCTCTCATACTACCCCCGCTGCCACCGTCGCCATCACTTCTTCCTGTAGCACCGCCACTCGTGGAGCGAAGAAACGGATTTTGGCATTGAGCTGCTCTTGAGTGCTCAATCGGAGTGCCAGGATATATGGTAATTGGCGAGGGAGAGGGGGGAGCGGTGTGCTATCAAAGTATGAGATAATTGCACGACTAGAGGTAGGTATTAGCGCACCGATGTCTGGTTTGATAGAGATGCTCTCCCTAAAACCGTAGGGCTCTCCAGGAGCTTGATTCGATCCTCCAGGCTGGTGATATATCTGTCCCCCAAAACATCCAAAGTATCCCCCGATTAGTTACGCAAATGATAGTATTCTGGGGATCGATTGAGATACGTTTGCGTTGCCCGCTTCTTCTCCAATTCCCCCGTATAAACACATTGTTTCCCTCGATCGAGTTTTCTGCTGCAAGGTCCACATACTTGCTTCGGATCAGCGCGGGTTTAATCCCGGACTTCTGTTCTTGGCACATACCGGGCTGTACACCGTCACAGCGCACTTTTTTAACACGACACTCATCACAAGCGACAGAGATTTTCCGGCGCTTTACTCTTTTGTCCGAATCGGTTGCCATGGATTTCATTTTCCACCGTTCCGAAGACGTGGAGCAGAGTGTTGGAAGAGATACTGAGTCCAGCGCAACATCCGGCTGGTCCCGGGATTTGATCCGAGCCGAACAGACTAGGCAATTTTCGGGAGCCAGCCTCGGGAGATCTGGGTGGGGAGTACAGCAAAATCTAGGCACAACCGAGGGGAATGTAAACCGCAGAGGGGCAAAAGATATGAATAGCAACTGCTAAGGCTGCTTAGTCCTCAAGCAAATGGGCGGAAGGACTCCGCCAAAATGGACTGGGCGGTGTCTGGTCCCCCTTACGAACTGAGGCCCGCCGAGGAAAGACTGACACCCATCGCCAGGTAATTTCTACGGCTGCGGCTGCGGCTGCGACATTAGCTCCTGTACTCCTATTTTGAGTGGCTTTCGAGCAGCACAGTGATGTTTTCCTTCCTATAATAGAAACGCAGTTTATTTAGATTTACCGACGAGTCTCTACTACCCTGTCCCTTATCTCAATTTTTTCTCCATATCTAAAGATACCTGAGCACCGGCTAAGCAGAGGGCAATGGCTGGGCTGTGATTTAGTTGAATTGTTCATGGGCAAACATATGCACACGAACCGGCATCATGGGAGGGACGGTCTTCAGGACAGCATGTTCTTCCGAGCCCATTTCGCTCATCTTGCTTCGGGAGTAATTTACGTTAGGTTTACCGGAATTACAGTAATGGATACTGTACAAACGGAAACGTGGGCTCCAAGATTGGTTTAGCGGGTACAAGCTTAAGCAAATATTGTCCAATCAGATGCCCAAGTTCGATCCATCGAATTCTGTCTGCTCCGGCCATTTTCCACAAGAGACGTGTCCGATTTTCTTTTTCATTGTACTTCACAGCGAGTCAATCAATCTTCCAGCGTGGTTTGGTAGAATTTCGAACCCAATACCACATGCGTATCATCAAAGTCATCAATGGAGTTACCGTGTCAGCCCGTCTATGTGAATATCCCGTCTTCCAACAACTTCGCCGAAAGCGAGCGCCTGCTGCTTCGGCCAATCTGTGACTCTGATGCCGCTGCACTGTTAGCTATTCCTTCTCGACCGGAATTGGCGAAGACAAAGTACGCGTTTCCTGTCTACCATAATCAGATAAGCCATTTTCTCAAAAAGATTACTAATTGAATTAGCCACCCCAAGGAGCCATTCAAATCTATCGAAGAAACTCGTCAATGGATGTCAAGTAAAACTTTTGCCGAGGGTCCCTTAGATATCATTGGATGCTCCTTTACTTTTGCGATTCTGGACAAGTCTATCCCCAAATCACAGGAGCAGCTAGTTGGCTATGTTAGCGTCAATACGCTAGATCCGTGCCCTGAGATTGGATACTCTCTACTTCCTGAATCATGGGGGAAGGGCTTCGCGACGGAGGCACTACGAATGATGCTAAAGATGTGGTGGGACCTCCCGAGGAGAAGTGTTGATGATTGTAATGGAAATGAAGAAAAGGTTTATGCTATTTGTGAGAAGGCAAATGAAGCAAGCTGTAAGGTTCTTAGGAAATGTGGGTTCGAGGTTGTTTCTGAGTTCTGCTTTGAGGGAGATAAGCTATTAATTTGGGCCTTACAGAAGTGTTAACAGAAATATATGTGGTCCTCTTTTACGTTGCTTTGCTTTTGGAAGCATGGGTTGTAGCGTATGGTGGTGGCATTGGCCAAGTACAGCTAGAAAAGCTTGTGTTTGAGATAATTCTGTCGCACCAAAATATGGGGCATAATACCGCTAGACCAAAAATGCTCCATGGGCGGGATTCTTAGCCTATAAGGTTATTTCTTGTTCTGATAACTTCTCTAGTCCAACACGGGTCCACAATTCCCATTTCCAGTGAAGATCACATCATCAATCCAGACATGGCCTGTAACTGAAGAATCCTCAGGGTCGCAGCTTGCGATGATGTTCAAAGTATCCTCTGTCCTTTTCGGCGAATAGCTTCCGGTGATGGATTTACATTCGCCAATTGTGAACAATTGCGAGGAGGTAATCCTCCCCACAGTCGCATTGCGTCCCGTGTAGGCGTAAATAGCGGAATGTTCGGAGCCGGAGGCAGATGGGACTTGGACTTATACGCCGAACATATATTCTGTGCGAGGCTCGAGATGTTTCAAAGATTGAGATATAGTATTGCCACGGTTGCCAACGGCGGTCTGTAGATCGCTGTATATGCGTCAGCTCAACCCTCAATTCTAATAAGTAGATTTGAATTAGGTATGTACACGTAATAGTCTCCGCTAGACGCGCTTGTGCCATTGTTGACTTTGGCGACGTTCATGGCAGATGGAATCCAGGGGAACAGCACACCCGACTCGAAAGGCGGGTTCACCACGGCATCGCACTTAGAAAGCGCCATTTTGCGATCGCAGAAATGGTCCTCACACTCTAAATCAGATTCAAAGAGAGGGTAGACAAGAAAGAAATCGAAAAGCGGGAAAATAAACCTTTAATGATTACCAAGTCTGAGACATATTGCAAATAGGGGCGTGGGATCTGCACACATGGAGCGTCTTTTGCTTTGAAGTGGCTCCTAAGCCCTAACCACTTTTGCTCATTGAAACCGACAATGCACCAAATTAAGCAAGAAAAAATTGGCCCTTGGTGGAATCTATCTGTCTTGCTCGGCCTTGAGCTGGATATGACTTCGTATTTCACAAGTCGGTCTTACTCTAATCGCCAGACCACTTGCACTCTTGGCCATCCTGAAAAGCACCCTGTGTTTTGTTTCCACTCATTGGCGAGGCTACACTGGGACATTGACTTGTTGACCTTCAAGAAAAGGATGTTGCGGTTTTTCTATAGGCTGTAATGAAGGGGCCCAAGAATCTCAATATATCACGGCGCCTAGGGGTTTCTGGGATTGATGATTGTTGCTTTGGCTAGATTGTGCCCTCCAGCGGGGAAGTCCCGACGAGGCGAGCCCCTGCGAGTTACAGGGACAGGCAGAAATTATACTGCAATTTGTGGGTGATCGACTGAGCCGGGTGAGCATCACTGCAATTTCATCTCTCCAGCTCACCGGCCGAAAACCATACCAGTGACGTGAAACTCGCTGCAATTCCAAGTCTTGTGGGGGCTGCAGGTGCATGTGTTTTCCCGTTGGTTGGCCTGCGACCGAGGGCCCGAGGCCTCCGAACGACGGCAGTTCACTGGCAAAATCCGGGGAACCAGTGGGCGGGACAGTTGATCATTGCCCACGATCGGGCGATCGCCACGGCAAAACCACCAGGAGGGGTGCATGGACCTTGTTTCCCCCACTATTTGGGCGATCTGGGGACCGAGGCAGACCCAGGATGCGACGAGGGTGAGGGGTTTCATGTGGATTAGCGACGATCTCAGGGGGAATTGACGAGGCCTATATTATCTGGCGAAGCCTACCCTCGTCCAGACGGCTTTCTCGGACAGTTCGCCATTCAATTGAAACCCGTGACTCCTTCCGCAGTACGAATCGTCATTCCCATCGCGCTCAGCTCCGATACGTTCGATACGTGGTTCGTTGACCCGAAACTGAGACACCGCGCAACAATGGCTGCGGATGGACCGAAACCTGGCTTCCTGGGCAACATCAACCAGGACCAGGAAGTCAAGCTTCAAAAGCTATGGTCAGTGCTGCTGAAGGCAGCCGATCTGCCCTCGGGTGACGAATCGCCCAGGGGCTGCGCCGAAGAGCCCGCTAGCCCGTCTCAGCCTCAGCGACGACATTCCCTGCTCAGTCGCACCCAAAGCAATGTCTCTGAAATGACCACTGCCAGTGTGGCCAAATCACCGCACCAGCAGAAGCTCATTGCGCAACTAAAACAGATCGGCATCGGCGCCCAGGACACCAGAACGATCCAGAAAGCCCTGTCGGCAATTAGCCCCCCCGAGCTTCGCACGGGCGTCATGAACTTGCTCAAGCATGATCACCCCGATGCCATGTTGCTCCGATTTCTTCGCGCCCGCAAATGGGATGTTTCCAAAGCCTTTGCGATGATGATGGAAGCGATTGTTTGGCGAGTCAAGGAGATGCACGTAGACGATGACGTGATGGCCAAGGGCGAGCTTCATGCATTGCAGCAAGAGAGAAACAGTGCCAATGTGGGCGAGCAGAAGGCTGGGAAAGATTTTCTCGCACAGATGCGCATGGGAAAAGCCTATGTTCATGGAACAGACAAGCTGGGCCGACCAATCGTGGTGATCAAGGTTCGCCTGCACAAACCGGGAGCTCAAAGCGAGGAAACACTCGAGAGGTACATTGTCCATGTCATCGAGTCTGTTAGACTAACCCTTTCTCCTCCTGTTGAGACTGCTGTAAGTCAAGGCATGCTCTGTCCTGATATTCGCCACCCTCTTATTGACACCCAGTTATAGGCGGTGGTATTCGACATGACTGGATTCGGACTCTCCAACATGGTATGCATAGCCAACATTCATAATCGCACTAGAGACACTACATCAAAGGTGACATACTGAGAAGGCGAATTTTGCATTTTTTAGGAATACCCACCCGTGAAGTTTATTCTCAAGTGTTTCGAAGCCAACTACCCAGAATCTCTAGGTGTCCTGTTGATCCATAATGCTCCTTGGGTATTTTCAGGTGCGTCTACTGCCGTGCCTATGCAATGCTTCAGCTTCCAAATGAAGAACTGGAAAGTTCGCGAAATAACATATGCTTACTGACCACCAGGCATTTGGCGAATCATTCGAGGCTGGATGGACCCTGATATCGCTGCAAAAGTGAATTTTACAAACAGCACGGACGATCTTGCTAAGTTCATCTCTCGGGACCAGCTTGTTGAGGAGCTTGGTGGCTCTGAGAAATGGGAATACGAGTATATGGAGCCACAAGAGAATGAGAACCACAAAATGGAGGATACTACCACCCGGGATGCGCTGACTCGCGAACGTCAGCAAATCGGCGAGGAGTTCCTGGCAGCTACGTCGGAATGGATTCAAGCGGCCAACGCAAAGGATAAGGCTAAAATTCAAACCGCGGAGAGCCAACGAGCATACCTGGCAGAGCGACTCCGAGTCAATCACTGGAAACTTGATCCATATACCCGGGCCCGTCTCTGTCTTGACCGGATGCGAGTCATTCAGGAGGGCGGGAAAATCGATTTCTATCCGAAGAATGAAGAGATTATGGAGATCATGCCCCACGAGACAACCAAGGCATCGGAAGTTGAATATTTAGAAGCCGTGAATGGTAACGCGGCACAGACAGCTGTTGCATAGATGCTTGTAACGTGAAGAATGTGTTATATCCATGTGCTAGACAGGTTGGAATTTGCTCTACAACAATATATATGATGCAACCTTTCACGCTGGTCGAGCACACAAAACAGACATGTCTAGCACTTTTAATACAATACTAACCAGATATGAGCTAAATAAGAGCCCGCCAAGAAAGATTTCACAGACTAAATAGATCGATCAAGACACGCCGGTTATCAGGTTACGGCATGCGACATGTTTGAAAAAAACGAGCAAATTCCTTGCTCGCATGTGATCGAGGCAAAAACCCCTAGTTCAGGTTGGGAGATGGGTGTTGTTTCATACGATTCATAAGGTTCATAACAAATATCGATGCTCCAACAGTGGCAACTTAGTGGCTGTATCCTTTATTCTGCAAGTCACCAAATTCCAAATGTGGTGGGTGAGACTTGATGCAGACATGATCATATTCGAGATATGGCCGATGTCATTGCTGTTGATGGTCAGTATGTTGCACCTGGTTTCATTCCAACGACTATTCTTACTGTACCGTTCCTTTTCCAAGGAAAGTAGATTCATATCTATAACCTTTCCAGTGGATTCCGATGCTTCATCTGCCAACTTCGGGGAGGACAGTAATGCCTGCCTATCCGTACTGGGTGGTGATGTAGCCTGTATCTCCAAGAGAGTTAGCTCCTAGCATGAGAATAACTAGACCATCGGTGCTGACCCCGGAGAACTTTAACTTTGAAAGATAGTTGCGGAGGGAAAACGACATGATTATTAGGCTTGGAGTTGGACAATTGATACAGCTGCTTTAGTTTTTGGCCCCGTACTTATAGTCAAGAACCAAACCGGGGCATATGGCCCGGTGATGGAAAGCAAAATCAAAATGAGCACCACAATACCGACTGCTTTCTATTTGTGATCACCAGCTGCACGTTTCAACTTTGTTTGCCCCGGAGCTCGGAGTCAATTTGGTTCGAAGGGTGGGGGATGAGTCATCATAGTTGAACTCCGAGCTCCGATGCTACCATTTTGTGATGGCGGTTCACTGTCATCTGCTACACATTCCCCGCGCCGCAGCAATGACGAGCACTCGCCGGAACGGTCAGTTATCATCCTGTGAGCCATGTCGTAAGGCAAAGCTACGATGTGACCAAACCGTCCCTATTTGCGGCCGATGTGACCGCCGAGGCTTGCAAGACCAGTGTCTTTATCATCCGGCACCTCTGACACGACCTGATATTCCGCGAACTCGCAGGACGAGGCAGATCACGCATCGCTTGCATCGAGGACAGAGTGTGAGCGTACAGGCTGCAGGTGTGACCTGGGATCAAAAGAAGCTGTCCCTTTCGGCCCCGGGGTTCTTAGGGCACACGAGCTATTCGGACGCTCTCACGGACACGAACAGTGGAAATTTGCTTTCAATTGACGAGGCTGCTCATAATCAAACGAACTCTATAGTCATCGACTCAGAGAGAGTCCATTTGGGTGCACAAATTCTGATGCTCCTGAGGGATCTCCCATTCTACAGAAAGGTCGTCACTGCTCGATTCAAGATCTGGGAGGGGTGGTTTTTGGGTTGGCAGATTACAGACGCGATTTTCAAAATTGTGGAAGATAAATGGGGCTCACTGGAGAAGGAATTCGATGACGAAAGTGATCGTGCGTTGCTAATGTCTCGACAATTGTTTCAGGCCAATACTCGTCCATTCCTTGTCCACCCAGGGATGTCATGGCCGGACTTTGTCTTTGCAGCATCGGTGCGATGGGAAGTAGTCGGATTGTTATTCTGCATTGCGGGCCTTGCAACTCAATGGATATCTGATGCTGACCCAATATTCAAGCAGCCTGGCTCATTGGACTCAAAGAGCTTGGCCACAACGGCCAGTACCGTCAGTGATATCTGTCTTCAGTTCTGTGACAGTGCTGGAATCCTCAATGATCTTGTAAGCTGGCTCCTGGTGCACCACACTGTGCTCTTGACGGTCGTGTATGGGGAAAGTGGTGAGCAGTTCCAATCCTATGCCTTTCTCCCGGACCTAAAGAATCAACATGCTAGATAACCGACCGTGGCGAAAGCTAGGCGAGCTTTCGACGACCGTTTTCGCACTTGGTCTTCATCAGGATTCTAGCAGCGATGTGCCATTCTTTCTTACCGAGCTACGAAAGCGGACCATGGTCGCAGCGTTCATAATGGATAAAATCTTAGCAACATTCTTGGGTCGACCGCCACTTATTAGCTGGCGATATTGTGACATTGCAATGCCACTGGACCTTAGCTTCGAGGAAATTTTCGCATCAGCAGAAGTTCGTGCAGCTGCACTTGCGCGTCTAGAGAAGAATGGCGGGTGGAATCATGAGGGGACACTGACAAAGGGTGCTTGGGCGCGCATCAATCTTTTTAGATCTATTCAACGCGAGAAGATTCTGGAGCTGTCACTGAGTTGCCGAATCGAGAATATACAGCGGAGAGTCGAGTGAGTTGTCGATGAAATATCTTACCCCCTTCTTTAGCACTCGGTAAATCGCAGTATTTGCCCTTCCCCACTGACTTTGATAAGGCGGCTCTCGGAGGAAAATCGCCGAATGCGATTAGACCTTCCTGAATTCCTTCACTGGAATCCGACCAGAGGCACTATAAACGCACCCGCTGTAGAAGATGGGCTACTGTTTTCTTTACATTTGGACTTTCTCTACGACGACCTACTTCTTTATCGAATTCTGCAAAAGCGGACTCAGGCCCAGCCTAGCGGGATAATCACTACATCTCGGGAGATTTTAAGCACATTGCTAACAATGGTGGGAAAGTCGACGCTATCCGGATATCCTCTACTAGATTTAGGGTGGAATGTATGTATCCTGACACCGTTTGGTATTTGAAAACTACTTTGATTGAGAAGTAATATTTTCCTCAGATGTGCTATGTTGGATTACCCGCAGCTGGTATTCTTTCCGCGGAGCTTCTTCGGCGGTCTCGGTCCACTTTGTCAGCCATTGAAACGGCCTTTCCCCGGTCGGAAATCATTCAGAATCTCAGCATCTTTGCGTCCTATCTTGATCATGTTATTCAAAGTAATGAGGGAAATTATCAAGTCTCTCAGCAGGGCCAGAGAATTATTCGTCACGTGCTTGATCAAGTGCTGTCGGTCGATATTTCTTCCCCCATGTTGAACTCATTAGAGACACCCCCAGATACATCGGCCATCGAAAATCTTCTCGAAGATGTTGATATAGCGGACAGACAGGCTTTCCTGGGGTGGTTAGATGGGTCCGTGGAGCAGCGACAGGATTCATGGCTGGGCTGGGTTAATTTCAGTTAGATATGCCATTGATTTGATAACCAAGACCGCCAACCGCTAGTTCTGTTTTCGAACCTAGTTCCCCCAGCACTGTTATAGGTGCCCTTACAATGTCAGCGGAGGCATTTGCCCGTCCAGCGCCTACTACTTTGGCAGTTCCAGCTTTGACTTAGAACCATATTCGGCGGACATCACATTCTGGGCGTCAACTTAATCTATAGACTAGAGCTTGGCCTTGGCAAGGACCGGGACCGGACTATCCAGTCTTAAGGCTTCCTTAATAGTAGCTAGGACCACACTATACTTCCTTATAGTCCTTTATGGTCCCCTGGGCGTTGCCCCATAGTTATATAACTCTACTAAGACTGTTACGAAGGAGCCAAGCTGGAAAAGAACCAGGTGCATTCAACGGAACAACTAAAGTGAAGAAGGAAGAAACTATTGGGGGGTTGTCCGCTATTATGAAGAGGGCTCCCTCGCAAACAGGCCCAATCCGGTTAGTCAAGTCAGCTGCTTCCTTTAGTCACACGTCCCTCAGGTGATCTCTAAGTCTATCGTTCGGTCATGCGTCAAAAAGACCCTCCTTTTCTAGGTAAATAAATTAATTATAACCTAAAGCTGGTTCATACCTGCAGGGCAGCATGAAGAGTCCCCGAATCTGTAGAGATATTATTATGTTCCATTTCTTGTAGAATGCTGCGGATAGGTTTAGGTGGCCCTCTATCGCAATTACTATGGCTAAGAATCAATTTGTAGTGGTGCGTATACGGGCGCACCTAATGATCCCGAATCAAAGCTTGTAAGGTCTAGACTATACGGCTAAGCTTAATCCTAGACTTATATGTAGACCTGGCCAAATTATTTTATAACTCATTTTCTTCAGCTATGCCGGCGTAGGCTGAAGTATAGCAGTTTTTGGTTCGAGGGTTCCTGTTAGGTAAAGGAGAAGACCAATCATTTAGTTCAGGGTGCTTTGTGAAGGCTTGGACTTCGGGATCGAACACTGGCGATGATACATAGAATTGTTCCCCATTATGGTGAGTACCATTGTGACCTACATATCTGGGATTTTTATAATATAGTCGTAGAGACAGCGTTATTGTAATATAGCTGTTCGGAGGACGCAGCCTTGAGCTTTGTTTAGACAGGTCAAAGGGGATCGGAAGGCAATTACAGGTGGCTTTGGGGAACGATAGGTAGACTGAGTACCAAAGTCCGTCGAGAACGAGCATCAGTGATATTTGGCCTATAGTCCACCTTGGCGTAGTAATCAAGCCCTTAACTTGAATCTATGTTGGGAAATTTCGCGGACGCGATGATGAATTGGCGTTTATATATCCATGCTCCATGTGTGTGGCATTTGGCGTTTCCCAAATCATCGATTTCTCTCGTATATATTAAGCAACACATATCGTCCAAGTGCACATCGTTATCTCAACACCAACGCAAATAAAATATTTCGCCCAAAGTCCACTGCAATTGGAACGAATATTAAGATCCTAGGACAAGGAGTTTGCTGCCAAAATACTATAGGATGTCTCAATAGAGTAATAGCTATCGTGGCTCTTAACTAAATAGTAGAAAAGTACAACCAATGGTCATGTTCGGCAGTAGCTCGGTATCTAGTGTGGCAACACAGTTGTAGTATCCACTCAGGATAGAGTAGCTTGGTCCTACAACAGTATTCCACTCGATGAGAAGTGTCTCGTAGGGGTATTTGTTATTGTCGATGGACCAGCAACTGTTACTGCTTTAGGCTTCATAGTATAATACATAGTTAGAGCCAATGCCTATCTAGGTTGGAATGATAATGTGCTGGCACTATGAAATTTGCATACAAATGTAATAGGAGGCTTAGCTAGGCTAAGGAATTATCTATACCCAATTCCATTGCGATAGAGAGGAAATATGACTACGCAAGATTCAAACCTATTTGAGTTGACATTAGCTTACCCCTTATAGGAAATTTTTTCACGAAGTCAATACAATCATCACGCGGTCCTAACCATATCAGCAAGTCCATGAAGCTTAACGTTCATTCTGGGATCCGATTAGCTAATAATTATATTTGTGGTTGAAATGTGGGATATGGTGTTCACCAGGTCGCCCGTGACTACATAACTCCCGTACTCGGGTCGCGCTAGTAGTCCAATTTGTCATCTTCGCGAGCTAGTAGGTAGTTAACTTACAATGGTTATCTAAGAGAGAAAATCTGTATATAGAATAAGTATAATGACCACTGTAGAATCCGAGCCTAGGAAGTGAGAACGCATCGTTCTTCTTCTTTTCTTCTTTACCACCGCCTATGTTGAAGTCGAATTCGCTTTTCCAAATACAATGAGTACTTGCTTGGCCTTTTGAAGATCATGAAGCTCTTCACTCCAGCCTTCCTCCTTGCAACAGCTACAAGATCCCTTGCATACCATGTAGATGGAACGTGTAGCAAAGACGTGGAAAATAAAGCAGGAAGTGGCGCCAAGCATGTTGCACATATGAAAGCGAGAATGGAAGAAGCGGTGCTGGTTTTACAAAATACTGCGAAGACCGCAGCAATTTGTGCATCACCTGATAATTTCGACTCAGGGCCTGACTCTGGGTGTGACTGCAAGCAATCGGATGATGGATTGCAACAATGGTGCGATCAAAATGGAAAAGAAAGGGTGGTAAATATTGTGAAGGGACTGCTTGGCAATGTCGACACAACGACGTGGGAGGCAATTTACTGTAAGTTGTTTCAATATTATATATATTTATTGACCGTCTCTTTCTAATCAAGGATAGGAGGATGGGGCTCAACGTAATTGGATATAGCTGCTACGGGCGATGTGGCTAATGCCACGGGACAATTCGCAGATCCAGATGCAGAAGATACAAAACATTTAAGAGTCTATTATGGAGACGAACAGTTTCAGAACCCACCATCAGACCAATTTAATTTGTGGCAAGACACATCTACAGGACGAGAGTTTATGCTTGGCGCGGGGGATGCCAAAGGAAAAAAGCAGAAACCATGGTAAAGTAATTGGACTTTCGTTTGGCACCAGCGATAAGAAACGAGTCCTTCTTTGCAAGAACTCAATTCCCACACTATTCAAAACTCCAAATTTCAGTGAGAGAAACAAGAATGGCGAGCAGAGCCTCACGATTGGTGTTACCGGGTTGGCTATCAGCTCAGTGTTTGTGCATGAGCTCATTCATACAGATAACCAGCAACAATGTAAGTATTTTCAGTATATAACACCTTTTTAGTTCATCACCTAATCCGAGTTTTCAGTTCCGGGCCAAATTGCCAAGGGAATACCTGAGCAATACAGGTATACCGATTGCACAAAACTTGCCAACAACCATAACCCTGCGAGATGGAAGAATTGTGACACATTCGCGATGATCGCACGAGGTGAGTTTCCTACTTTAATACTGCTAAATATCTAGCTTCTAATTATCCTGCTATGTAGCGATCTATATGAACAACTATGAGAGTAATGGCGAAACGTTGGCAAAATTGCTGGACAAACTTCCCGACGAGGTCAATACTCCAACCGGTCCAGAGGAACAACCCACGTGAATTCAACAAGGCCGTGTACTGTCACTTGAGATGTGAACTCTGATTTGCCAGCTCCTGTTATAGTACTTTTTGAATTCAATTTGAACTCAAAGCTCTTAGGCTTGATGCGCGGAAAATATTGCGATATGTGTGAGCTGAGTTTGAATTGAATACTATATTTAACCCACGATACTAGAACGCTCTTTATAATAGTCTGTTTATGTTTTAGTACGTCTTTAGCTCCATAAGAGGTATATTTAACATGAAACTATGATACTGTATATGCACCACCGTACCTCGTTCCCTTTTCAATTTCTATGTGTCGGTGAAAAAGCGATGAGCAGGTCTCTTTCCACCTTCAATCTACTATGTTAGATCAAAATGCTTTAATATTGTATGTAATCAGGCGGGACGGTTCTTGGGTCACGCGCACTCCTACTTACATACTTAAGTGCACTGCTGCCCTCGGGGGCCCATTATTTCTCCTCCCTTGTTTTCTTCCCACCACGCCTTATTTGCAAATCCTCCATAATTTTTTTGACATACCTCCACGCTCTTTTTATACCATAATGAAGCTTTTTCCTCCGGGCAAGGATGTCAAACTGGCATTAGTCGGCGATGCACGTGTTGGCAAGGTATAGAGCTGGTTATGGTTATATTGCTCCAAGATATTGACAGTCTTGAAGAGTAGCTTGGTATCTCGAATCATTAGAGGCTCATATGAGCCGGTTTACACGCCGACCATAAATTGTGAATGCACTCCATGCATATACACGACGGTATGTTTCGACAAGCTTGGCGGAACAGGTATTGAAAATGATGTCATATACTAAGAATATCGGTGCATTTCTAGTCTTGCAGTTTTTTTGCCCCAGTTTCCGAACAACCAGACCTGCTAGAACCTCATCTCATAAATATAAATAATAGAACATCGGTACTATCACCATTGATGTCTGGGATATCTCGGGAAGTCGTAGCACACCCTATGACCGAGCTGAGTGGCTTCAATTTAACGATGCTGCAACAATCATGGTTAATCCGGCACAAAAGTCCACTTTTGACAACGCTGCCTCTCGGTACCGTATATGTTCCCTTTCCTTTATACCTGCCTATCTAATTGCCCGTTTAGGAGAGATCCTATCAGCCCAGCGAGATGCAACCAAGCTCCCTGTTCTAGTCTACGCAGGAAAGGCATACCCAAGGGATGAGCAATCTGAAGTAGATCTCGAAAAGATCACGTGGCCCGATGAGATAGGCGCTGTGCAGTTCTACCACAATCCATACCTTGATGAACCTCAATCAGTAGGAGCAATGATGGAGGCGGATCACTGTTATAATCGACCGTTCGAGTGGATCCACAAGAGATTACGGGAGATCCCGATGTGGTATGTCTTTACACGATCTGTCTCTTCTTTGATACTAAAATTCACCTTTCTAGCATATCGTAAGACACTACTTTATGGACATTTTCACGTCTTTTGCAGCAGATATGCGCGATTTCCAACGCCATGAGGGGGAAAGACTTAAAGAGACTGCCCCTTAGGAAGTTGAGCTGTGAAATTCCGCCAATGGATTTTTGGTCATGTTCACCTCCCACAGCCTACCAAGAGCTCTAGATACATGGGGTTAAAGACAGGTTTATATTTTCGCGTATCCATATGAGTCTCAAGATTGAGTGATTGCTAGAATACAAAGAATGCTTCTTCATATGTAAGGTTAGCAATTCAAGAACGGATTCTGCCAATTCAAATTTTGCTGATTCAGCATTTTGGCGCTCTGATGACTGTGGTACACGTGCACGTACAGTGGCGTTGCAATATATTTGCACTGGGGTACTTCCCGCATACACCGCCTTATTTTATTAATCATACCTTCCTTTATCGATAAGATTAACCCACGCTCCTCCCCTTTATTCTCTATCCTCTACCTAATAACGCCTTATGGTATATAGAGCGCAGGGTATTGGATACGAAAGCTAGCACCCTATTAATTGGGAACCTCCTACGGGAAATGATGTGGAGGAACTTAAACGGCAGTAAAAATAGTGGGCCCCTTGGCATACCAAGGTACTACAGTGCAAATACCATGTGCCGGCATACTCAACCTTAAGCCAGGAAAACTTGTCGAAATATGTAGAGTGGTAACTTACCACTAAGAATGGGCTTATTCATCAAGTGCCCATGTTTCTTATGTTTTTGTATACAATTCTAGCTTACAGGGAAACTCTGGCTTTGTAATAGCCGAGTATCGGCCATATTGACACGTGGCGCAGGGGGGTCGCTTTCAGCAGCTGCCCCCTGATTTCTGCCGAAAATCATCAACCTCGTTCATCTGATTGTGGTTCTGTTTGATCTTACTCGTTATGATTGCATACTAGGCTATACTTTCTGAGCTTGTTACGACAATTCCCCAAAAGCTCATTGGCGTCTACAATTCTCCTTTCTCTCTGTCGCGGTCGCCACAAGGCAATTCTGCCCTTTGCGCAGAACATGGCGCAACTGTTAGACCTTCCGGATGAGCTTATTTTTCTCGTCGTCGACTATCTACAAGCGGACGCCACGCAGACAGCATTGCCATTCTATGAATGGGGAGATGCGTATAGACGCTCGCTTGAACAGAATTTACCAAAACGAATCAAAGACCTGCGCTCCCTTCGCCTCGTATCCGCTCGCCTGAACAATCTGTTAAAACCAATCTTCTACCGTCATATTTGCATCCGCGGAAATAGACTGCCCAGTAAACCACAGGACCAGCTGAACTGGAGTCTCGAGAATGATCCAACGCTCGAAGAATTTATTGTCTCTGCAATTGTTGGCTGCAACGACTCGATTTATGACCTTTATCGATTCTTTTGGTTCCCTAACATCCAAGCACTCAGCATTCTCCGGTTTAATGATTGGGAGCCTATGGAGTTCGAAGACGATTCGCATGTTGGCACATCGCCGGTCACAGCGCTGAATTTGATAGACTGTGGGGCGCATGAGGAGGCATTAGCCGCTGTACTGAGCTGGCCAGCCGCATTGGAAGTGCTCCATTACGACGTCGAACAAGCCGAGTGGGAGGGTCACTATGGCGATGGGCCTGCGAAAAGCTGGACATGCGCTGCGTTTGTACGAACCCTGCAACCGCAAAAGGCTACTCTACGGGAATTGACTCTCACTCGACCATGGCTCGTACATGAGGGATTGGGTAACGGACCACGCATAGATTTGAGCGATTTTACGGCTCTGACCACACTTCGCATCTTTCAAGTCTTTCTATGCGGAGAGGAAGACCCTCTCGAGGCCCGGAGAAGCCTTCCACGCAGCCTTGAGGAGTTAGAGGTCTTTTACGATGACTGGGAACTCACCCGTTTTGACGAAGATGAATTTCTGCGGGGCCTGCTGGCGCATAAAAAAGAGCATCTCCCCTATTTACGTACGGTGTCTATCAACTCGCCCGAGCAGACCTGGGATAGCGACACAGAAGAGCGCAAGCCCGCCGGACCATGGACGCCGCCGTCTCCTCTGGCGCGAGCATTTAAAACTGCAGACGTGAATCTAGAGATATGGCTGGGCCCTGTGGAACATCCAAAGTTTGAGGAACTGGACATTCCCCAGCTTCTTAAGCCACCGAGAAAAAGGCGCCGACTTGATTGATTTTGATCAGACCTCGCCAAACGCGGGTTCAGTGGTTTTGCACTCCACACGCTACAGCCGGTAGGACAGCTTACAGCGGCTGATAGTGGCAACTTCAAGGAAATATAGAATCGTGCGAGTAATTAGCGTCATTAAGCCCCCGGGCCCATGGACACGGATACAGTGGCTGTCAAATGCCTTGGTAATGGCTAGTTTCTCTATAAAAATGTGTTCTATCATTATAAGGTCAATTAATCCATAATATTTTTCCTGATGGAGCTTCCTTAGATATAGGTGCTATGCGCGGATTTGCTGAGATTTTCGCCTTCCGGTGAGCAGCCTGATACGCATACGAAGCTGCCTGTAGCGAGGTCTGGGCCAACAGAAAAGTGGAGAATAGCAACAAGAAACATATCAACTCTGCATCGCAGTCTTCACTTCGCATTACACTTCTTGTTGTAGCATGCTCCATCAATGACGTCTCCGTCGTCAATCTCCATCATTTTCAGCTCGCCGTACCAGCCATGATTTCCTGTATAAGTCCAGCATGAGCAACGCTGCTTGTCGTTTGACATATTTGTCAACTGTGTATCGATTCCACTCCTTAGCTGGGCCGGCGTCGACCGGGTTTTGCAAACACCGGCCCGGGAATGGTACTCGAATTCAACCTTCTTATGGGCCCAGGTAGTGCGTTTCTGAAGATCACTTGAAGTTTTGTCGCCAATGAGACTCGACCAATGGTATGGTTAGCGGAAACAGAAAAGTTGTCCAAGAGGATTTCGCCATTCGTGAAAAAAACCATCGAACGCTTGAGTTCCATTGTCGTAGAGACGCCATTCGCCATAGGACCCATAGCCTTCGGATCCGAGATTAGAGGACAAAGCATCAACCCCAACGACCTCGATCGAGCGTTTGGCACTCGAGACAATAATAACTGTTGTCATGCAAGAGTCTGAGCTAGACATTGATGATACGACAGACTGAATCAAAGCCCCCATAGCGGCGACGCCGGTCAGAAAGTCATCACCACTGACAGCCCAGTTCTGTCAGTATGTCATTTCAACGCGAGCCTGAATCAACTGTGAGGCCTCGGTGATGTCTGGAGGCTCTTGAGAAAGAGCCTCGGGGGCAAAGGGCAGAACCGCCAGGAGCAAAAGCCACTTCATTTTGACTTATTTCGCCGAGTGGTCCAGATCTGCCCGTGTCCAGAAATCAGCGATATCCACAATATGTTGACATCAATGGAAACTGACCTTAACAAGTAGGAAGCGATTGAGAGATGATATCGATTCTGAAAGACACACGATGCCTCGGTAGGTGGCAGCAGGTATTTATACGTGGCTAGACCTCGCCAAAGACCGGGTCCGGTCCTAAATCTTAGGACCGGGACCGGACCATACTAAAAAACTAAGGACCGCGGTCCGGTCCTTAGTCCTTTACGGTCCCCCGTGGTCCCCCGGAATTTCATAATTCTGCCAAGATCTGCCAAGACCTTCCTATTTAGGCTAGTTAAATTAATATTAAAGTGATTAGTTAGCTAAAATTGCTAACTATATTTTCTACATAAATTATACATAAATCACGTGTTTGGTCTTTTTTCGGTCCTTGGTGCGGTCCGGTCCTAAGCGGTCTTTGGCGAGGTCTATACGTGGCTTCACTTCGCAAACGTCGATACTCATTTTTCAGCCGTCAGTATTTCAAAATACGCATACAAAAAACAGGTGGACTACTAACGGGATTGGTCTTCGCTAGCTCCAAAAGCTATCTACTATAATGGCAATTTCGCTCATATGTAGGAGATGTCAGCTAATAATCCCTGGCGGACACTCTAGCCATCTTGCCTGCATATTGCCACGGTCGGCTACAAGTATATAGATAAACTCGATTCCTCGCAAATTGCGCTCGGGCGCGTATAGGCCTATCAACCACACGCCATTCGATATAGCTTCGCTGCTGGTCTTCCATTTCACTTGCACCAGAATGAGCGTTTGAAGCTTCATCCTTCGCTTCGAACGCGTTCATCACCAACTAGTGGACCACGCGGCTGGCTAAACTAATTCAGCCCTAAGATGCGTCCCATAGGTAGGTCAGCCAGTTGAACGCGATGAGCTAGTATCGCCATCGCTAGCGCAGAGTGATCTGCCCATTCAGTTAGATCAGCCGGCCAAGAGCACTCTTGCCAAGGTGTAGTGGATATAGGGAGATAACCCACAAAATCAATCAAAATGTCTTAGTATAGCTTAGATGAATTTGGGTTTTGAGTTGGAAGAGCTCTATCTAAAAAAGTGGTATAGGTAGGGTGTTTAACTCGCTTATCTGTTTCATGCGCTTGTGGAATATGTTACGATCATGTTAGATAGATATCCCCCAAACGATGAGTACCTAACCATCGGTTTCTTCAACGCTATCTGCGCTGCATATACTAGCGTGAAGTTCTGAAAAGAAGAGCGGCCACAGGCAGAAATTATCGTATCCAAGAAGTAATGATACACATATATATGTAGCACGATTTTCAGGGGTCAAGAACTGTTACACCCAGAAGGAAATCGGAATAATCCTGTGCATTCAACGAAGGTAGCGAAACTGGAGAGAAAGGGAAAAGAAGAAAGTCCCAGGATTGTGGGTTCCTGATAACCACATGCCACGTTTTGCCTTGTTTGCCTTCCACATCAGGTCTCTCACTGGTATCCCAGATCATAGATTTCGTCCAGATCGTCACAAGAACCATAATAAGAGGCTACGTGTGTGAAATTACTGTTCCCATCACGCAAGAGTTGATCAAGTTCGTGGCAATAGTCTACCTTCAAGAGCCTGAGAACGAAATCAGCGCCAGCGTACTTTTTGCATCCTTGCATTTGATTTTGCTGGGCAGATGTTCTCGAACGAAATCGGTCCGTGGTGAATTGCCAACACCAGCCTCCCAGGCTACAGTAATTTTCTATAGCAAATGGGCTCTTGCCGTATTATTCCATGATCACAGGACCTGTGCATTAGTGGGGTCGATGGACTGAAGCAACTAAGTCAAAGCACAGTCGCTCAATCTCGACCATAGGTCAGTTAGCTTAAAGCTAAGCGTTAGCTAAGCTTTATGTAGGCTGTACTATCCGCAAATTTTTGCACACTATACCCGCTTTGGCTCTGATCAGCATCCCAGGTACGCGGCCTCTGTTCGAAACTGACTGCGCTTATCTATCCAAAGTTTGGGTCTGGGTCCGCATAGCCCCATTCGCCTTAAGCAATTATAGACCGGAATTCGTAACTCATGCGTACGCGGCCTCTAGTCAGAATCGAGAATAATCATCTCCCAACGAATAACCCCGGCAAATAACTAGGGATATTTTTACTAGAGTAGGTCATTGAAGCTACAACTTGTAATATTATTTCAGCTCCAAGAAATTACGCAACCCAGAACTTTGTACGGGTATGTTGATAGATTGTGCTAATTCCCTTTGCGATTCATTGTTGATAGAAACTCACGTAATATAGTAAACACCATTTTGAGCCTGAGAACAACATGCACGAAATGGATTCCCTCGTTTTCATATATTTACTTATGGCCACACCTCTAATCTGGGTTTCACGGAACTTCCAGTCGGGATTCAGCAGAGGACAAAAGATTGTTTACGAGACTGGTGTGTTGACATACCTTGTGGCTTTATCCGGCTTTTCAATGAAACTCTTATGGCAAAGTAGGTATATATTGGTCTCTATACTCTCTCATCTTTGATACCGGATTCTCATTCTACAGAGCCCAAATTAGACTCGACAGGTGACAATCTGCGAACTATGTTTGTCGATATGCAAGACTTTTATTCCAGCCTTGGATTGATGCCCAGGTACTTTTTCACACTCTTAGTGGCCTTCTATTCTCTTGCTCTTCTTATAAACACCGGACGTGGTTTATGGAGAGGTGTGTTATCGTTTCTCTTTCTTTCTCTTCTGTCTTCTGTTTGTTCACTTAAGCTATATAGTATTTGTACAAAAGGTCATGAAGAGGAATGTTACCGAGCAAAATCTTGAGGAATGTAAGTAGCGATTATGCGTCGAATGATGCTATCAAAATCTCGATAACGCAGCTATTCATGTCTTCCGATTTCCAGCAGGACCCCGTTTCGAAGGTGCGAAGTGACTCGCTGATCTCGAATGGTGTATTGTGTTAGAGTGAGAGAAGAAAGTCCTCGGGCCATTCTGCACATCTGTCTGAGCTTTAAGTATTTAGAGGATTGATACTACGGTTTACACTCTGTTCTACGATAAATCAATATTCGAATTGAGCTTCACGTTATATACAAAGTATAAGTGCCATCGGGAAGTCACGCGAACAGGGAGGAGCGTTGCCACAAGTGGAGCATCTTACAGTCACCCATATTTACCAGAGGCGCCTACCGATCGTGATGGTGAGAGAACAGAAAATAATTCAGTACATTGATACCGGATGCGACTCTTTGGATCCATGACTGGCCTCGACCAGCTTTATTGAGTATCTGATCGAGCAAATCGACTCTATACAGGATAACTGCTCCACACCATTACCGTCCTCATATACCCTGTATCGTGACCTAGAGACAGCCGCAATTGTGACAAGTACGGGTGCTGTCACGACAACAAAATATTTTTGGCCACCCGCAACTTGCCTTGGACAATTGGTGCAGCCGATCAGCAACTGGCTAACCTGCAATAATCTATGTGATACATAGGTAGCCAGAGATCGATTTATCAGGATCCAACAGGGAAAAGGATTAAAATTTGATAAAAGTTAGCGGAAGATCTCAGTTGATAGATTCAATGTCTCTACAGGAGATGCCCATCAGAAGAAAGGGAAATTTGATTGCTATTTTGATACTCCTTTCTGTCTACCACTACCTTGCCCGATAACTACTCTTTGAAGGACATCTTCTATGCAATCAAACTTCCAATCTTCCAAGGGGGGAATATGGACTTGCTGATGTTCTGCACTAACTGATCAGTGCATCTCTCGCCGAGCTCGCCTCAAACTCAACCTATAATGTCTCCGTGTCCCAGTTCCTGGCATGGAGTTCCAATATCCAAGGAAGCTGTGACGGGGTATCTAACGGCCAGCGCGTTTGTTTAAAAGCCCCCGGCGGTATATGGACTACGCTAGTAGTGACCATTATTGCGTCCTTGGGAACTGCTGCCTACTATATAACCGTAATAGCGGCCTACGCGATAGAGTCTAGTATAACTGAGAGCTGTAGTAAGTGTATGAGGTAGTTTTAGGTGACGACTGGCTATAATTGATATGCGGCTTGGGTAAATTTCACGTACCTCTAGTCTCTGAAAAAGCTGTCTAAATATAAATTGCTCTAACCTCTGGCTCAACTAGGATATTTGCGTGGCGCCAGTCTCCACACCAACTGTCTCCACTGTTGGATTTTGTGGGGTGGGTGTCACTTGTACCAGAAGTGGATTTGGAGAGCAAGTACATGTGTTCATTTTTTTTGCAAAGGAATCACGGGGGAGTAACAAGCCAGGATATATAATCCAACATAAATTCTTCCTGCTATCTACGGTTCATCGACAGGTAAATACATGAATAATTATGGCTCGGCTATAAATAACACACCTAGCAATAAATGGCTCTATGGACCGGATAATGGCTACCTTGTTCAGACTCTAATTTGGTGACGGTTGTAGCATTGAGTATCTTCTCTTATATACCCCTATGATATTTGAAACCACTTGTATCTATCACAAAAAGCAACGTTGGTATCCATGAAGACTAATTAATTAGTCTTCTCGTACTCCTAGCCTACGGGTACTGTGTCATGGAAACTCAGGCTTTGTAACAGCCGAGTATCGGCCGAACAGGCAGGAAACGCCCGTCCGGTCAAGGGTTGACCTTCAACAGGCCTTCCCCCCTGATTTTTACTATTACCCTCAATCAATTCGATCAATCCATCATCCTATTGGATATCTCTCTTACTAGCATATACAAATAATGCATAGTCTGTTAGTCGACTCTGGACTCAAAAGCACGCTATATAAAATAGATGACAGTAACGACAACTCATTACTTATATGTAGACATGATTGTGCGATCTTGATAATTACAACTAGAACTTAGTTATTTAATTTCACTTTGCTATTGGTCTTTCATGGGTCTAGGTTTAGTCTGGAAAATGCAATGTAGCGAGATTGTTAAATTTGTTAGTAACAACCTGTCGAAACATGGAGCGATAACTTACCGCTAGCAATTGATAGGTCACACAGGAGACCATACAGGCTAGGTAATTAGTTAGATAATTATAAGTTAGGTTAACTAACTTGTAATTTAGGATTAGTCATGAACCCAGACGCTGTAACAAATAGCTGAGTATAACTAACTCATAAATTCGACAAAGTGATATGCCAACTTTTCTTGCTTTTGTGTTATACAGGGTACCCATTTGGGTCTTGTATTGACGAACCCAGATGACAACCCGACCACGGGTCTGCTGACCATAACCCAACCCAACCCAACCCATGGGCTGGGGCTTTTGTGGGCGGGTTTGGGTGGTCGGCGGGGTTTGGCGAGGCCTAGCCGAGACCTTTTAGAAACATAGCCAAAGGTCACGTGGTTATTTCGAACCAGAGTGCTGCACTGGCATGTGCGTCTATCCTGTCTTTTAACAGGTAGGGACGTTTCCTGGTTTACTTTAGTAGTAAAGGGAACGTGTTGCGTCAGTCCAACGTCAGAGGCGTAAGGCCAACAAATGCAGTACTAATAAGAGTCGTAGCGACCCTTTACTTCACAGGATGAATAGTATGTAGTGCTCACTCTATGCTTGACGATCGCCGCAAAGCAGTATGAATGTTTTCGACCAACAACCAGGACATATTGCTCTATATACATTGGCAGGATCAAAAGATGGCGCAACAATGGCGATGATCCTTGAATTTCTACGGTATGTGCGGCCTACACTCGTTAAAGCGCTGTCCTAACCTAATCCACCGTATTAGAAAGCCATACTCTGTATACAAAGTCGACAGAGTTGAGGCCATAGAAGATTTGAGCGCCAGGAAAGCTACGTCTCTACCTGTAATCGTTGACACAACAGGTACTGGCGTTAAGACTTGTGTTGATGGATTCGTGGCTGCTGAATACCTGCTCAGTCATTACGATGAGCATCATGCCATGTCTACCGTTAACGCCTCAGAGTCTAAGGCTGTTAATGACTGGTTATCTTTCCTTACTAAAACCATGAATCACCCAGACACTCCGGAGGCTAGGCCATTTGTCCGAAATTTATTGACATTATACCTGCACCTTGAGCAACATCTTCAAAAAGTACAAACACAGTATCTTGTTGGTAAAAAATTGCAAGCTATAGCCCTCTTATTAATATGTGGACCATATCTAACTCAAAGTCGCATAGGACGCTGGCGGACTTAGTTTTTTTTCCCTTTGCTGCGAGTGCAGAGTTGGTTGGGATTGATATAGAGCGTTTTCCTGAGGTCACTACGTGGTATAACCATTTAATAAGCCAGAAACCCGTGCGAAGAGGTATGGCTGCAGTGCCTCTGGCTTAGGGAAATCTGTAGTATTAATATTTATTTGTAATACTGAGGTTATTTTATTAGTCGACACCTAAAATATCAAGTATACTATCTCGCTCAGGTGGGAGAGCGGGCCCCAGCTGAGCGGTATTCAGGAAAAGGTCACTGCTAGAAGTCCATTGCAACTAGAATGCTCTATGTAAGTTGCGAGCCCTTCGTACCCAGATCAAAAACCCCTACAGGCTAATAGTGGTAACCCGTCTGTTAAGCCGAATCACCAGCACCTAGATATGGATTAGGACGACACCTGAATTAGTACGAAGCGATTATTCGTGAATCAGAGAGGCAATGATGACAGCGATGGAAACACCTTCGATCGATACCTCCCCACGGACACCGCCAACACCTACGTCCGAATGGCGCCGCTGATCGCACCACCTAGGTAGCGTTTTTGGAACTAAAAAGGCCGAATATACAACCCGCTTCAATAACTAAGCATCGGCCGATGCGGCCTGCCACAAGCCCGAATGGCTAAACGAAGTAGGTGGTAACAGAAGACTGGTCACACTCAAATACGTCGTGCACTACGCTAATGGAAGATTTCGACCTAGAAAGTGTAAACGCGCAAGTCGCCAGGGAAATCATGATTACAGCACCGACGAATAAATAGAGGACGGGACGAGACATTGACGAAACTGCATTATAAATATAAGTAAGAGTAAACAGATTATCTAAAGTTAGTTAGGCTGAGTGGATAATAACTCTCCTCAGCCAAGGATATCATGCTGACCACTTATATCCATAGAGTCCGATAATGGCTCGAGCAGGATCGCGAGGAGGTTGAAGCCAAGTCATGGCGTACTGAAATCTTTTGTCTACGCTGTCAATAGGGAACGAAATTTTCGCAGTGAAAAGATCTTACTCCACATTTCTTTTGTTCGGCTTGATTGAGAGCGAATAGAGGGGCGGCGGGGAGGCTGATTGGATGAACCCGCGCCCCGGCGAGCGGGGTTTCGTCGGCTTTCGGGCTATCTCATACAGGCTTCGGAGGAGTCACGATGGAAGAATAAAGGATCTCCCCGCACTGTATGCACCCCAGGTTTGCTACATCGCACCCAGACCAGGTACAAAAGACCTGCTCAACAGGATGTCGAGATCTGCGACCAATCATATCCTCTATACCAAGGAAAACAGCAAGCTGCCAGAGCTCACGGTCGCCTGTAGTAGCTGTCGCAACCGCAAATTGCGCTGCTCCCGGGAAGCACCCGCATGCCAACACTGCCGCAAAACCGGTCAGCCAGACATCCATACTTCCTCTGTCTCCCAGGACAGAACCACTTCATACAATGTCGCTAATTCGACTCCGGCATAGGGGGTGACTGCGTGTACGATCCCAAACGGTCGAAGCCGGGGATTAAATCTGGAGCTATTGAAAATATACACCGACGGCTAGGTATGATAGTGAAGAGTGATTCCCGGTGAACTTGAAAATACGTCCACTCGGTATACTTGTTGGAATTGCAGACAGCGCTCACGTGTCCACCGGTAGATCGTCTAGAAGACTTTGTTCTTGATCGGCTGGGAGACGATGCGCCAGACGAGTCCAATCGACAAACACAGCTGGGTGGGAACGAGTCCACGGCATGTTCTATTTTGTCCGTGCTGGCACGGGAGCTTCAGAAATCCAGCGACAAGCCGGTAGCCAGGGCTGATGATCGCCAAGGTAAACGACAGCGGGTGGACGACCACGTCGGCCCTTCTCAGTCCGCGCTGCCAGACGTCGACCTCCGTTTAGTACTTGCTTTCCTCAAACAAAACACGATTGAAGATGTTTTGCAGACATACTTCAAGCATATCCACCCCTGGATCCCTCTGGTACACGAGACTAGTTTGCGTCGACGGCTTCTCGATCCAAGACACAGATCAAAACTTGACGTCCTGCTGCGAGCCATGATCCTAGTATCTACGAGATTCATACAGCGGCACGAGACCGTATCGGATATCTCCCTGGCTGGCCTGATCACGGAGCAGGCCAGAAGTCTGGTTGTCTCGACTTCGATGGATTGCCTAAGCGTTGAAAATCTTCAGGCACTCGTAATTTGCGTGTTTAATGATGTGAGCTTTTCTATCCCAATCCTGGGCACGTGTTACGAGTTATAAGAAATTTTGAATTATGTTAGTTAACTGGGTCTTTAGATTGGAAATGGATGGGGGGAAAGGGCATGGTCCCTAGTCGGATCGCTGACTCGGACTGTCGAGTATCTAAAATTGACAGTCGAAGACAAGGTGGATCCAGGCCGTACGACAATTTCAAGACCGTTTATATCTCTCTCCCCTCCGGAGAGCTGGGTCGAGGAAGAGGAGCGACGCCGTGTGTTCTGGAACGTATTCAACCTCGACCGGTTTTGCTCCGTGGCAATGGGCTGGAACACTAGCCTCACCTCGGACGATGTGCACCGTCGCCTTCCTTGCGATGGAGTCTACTGGCGCAGAGACAAGCCCAATGTTACAGCCTTTTTGGGCATCTGGGACAAGTCAGCAGGGCGGATGGGGAATCCGATTGCCTTCCCTCCGCCCCATCATGTTTCTCCGCAAGGTACAGTCACCGATAACGCCTCTGCACAGAGTGCGGACCAAGCCAGTGGTGCTGCTTTATCACCGGAAGATCCCCTGATGGCTACTGTTGGGGCTTTCGCCTACCGCATTGAGGCAACCGAGTCGCTGAGCCGCGTGATGACTTACTTCCTTCAGCAAAAGGTCGACATGGGCTGTCCAGAGGACATCACCAGCTGGCTCACACGGTTTAAGGAACTGGACCTGCGCCTTGTGCACTGGAAGATGCTCCTACCAAAGAAGTGGAAGGCCGCCAACCCTACCAACACCGCCAACACCGCCAACACCGCTGTCCTTCCTCAAGAGACAGCTAATCGGGACGGTTCGCTTAGTCGCGGCGGAGGAGCAATGGGACTTGAGGTCGATCCCAAAGACCAGACAGTAGTGATGGACCCAAATCTCACACTGGCACACATCACCCACAATGCTTCCATGATACTCTTACATCAACCTATCGCGTTTCCACCCCATAACTGGAGTTTCCGCTGCCGCCTGCCTAGCAGTTGCTCTGCGGAGACTTGCCAACAGGCGGCCGTTGAAATCGCCACTATCACTGAACAATATCTTAAAGTGTCTCCACCAACCTTCCCCGTCTATCCCCAGTTTTCATTCTGCGTCTATGTGGCAGCTCGACTCCTACTAGCCTACGGGACCTACTACAGTGGAGAGAGCGCCGCTCTGCACTTCAGATCGGTCGTCGATGACAGATTCCCGGTGCTAGTTCGCAGTCTAGATGAGATGTCGCGTCGATGGAACGGCAATGGTATGACGATGCCAGTGACCATGGCATTGGGCGAGGATCTGGCCGCAAAGTATGCAACAAAGCTGAGGGAGATGAACAATGTGTGCATGCAGGATTTGGGCTACAGAATAAATGTCTTGGATTATACGCAAGATATCGACCATTCCAGCAGGAGGACCGACCCCACTGTAGGGCATCCAATTCCTGTATCAATTCTAAATGGACCGACCCGACAGCCTATTCAACATATGGAGGCACAGGCAAAGCACAAACCCCGTTGTGGTGGAAGGACCGTGGAGAACCAGCGGAACGGGGACTTCGTCAATGCTGCACCGGCCATGACAATGTCCTGGCCTTCACCCACATTAGAGCTCCCAAGAAACCCTAACGACCAGTATCAGACAATGTACGGGCAAGCAACATATCCTCTAGGGACAGATCCAGCGCCCTGCGACCTGGGTGCTATTTCGCAAGTATTGCTGGGCAATCAATTCATGGATTTGGACCGGATCATCAGTTTCGACAACGGAATGTTCAGCGCTAATCCAGACCAATCTTGGTGAAGGGTATGTATATATCTCTATTGTGGGCTGGTACAATGGGCTATGTGTAATTATAATACCTAATTATGCACCCGTTCCTTGGCAATACTTCATAGTTCTATACTAAGCCCATGCGCATCAGCTCGTTCCCAAACTTCACCAGGTAGTAATCCCCATACACCAGTCCATGATTTGCATAACGCCTCCTCGCATTCTCATTGTTGTTAGCGGTTCCATGCTTAAGGATCGCATCAAACCGCTTTCCCTGCGCAACGTCTTCAACAGTCAGACCCTCTTCCAACTCCCCTCCTTCTCCACCAGGAACAAACAGAAACCGGGCAGTCTCCCTCGCCAGTGAATAGTCCAGCGTACCTCTCATCAAATCCACCGCCGCGTCAAAGAACCTTGCTGCAAGCGTCTTCTCTCCTTCCGAAATTAGGGCCTGCGACAGCACGAGCAACCCATTCGCCGCAATGGCTGCCGCGCTGGAATCCCGCACGACCTCCTCGCCCTCACCCTTCTTCTCCATCGGAGCGTCAAAGTCCCATGGTGGGGAAGTGTACCGCAACTTCTCATCTCCGGTACCCTGCGCAACAGGGTGCGTCTCCAGCCTATGCAGAAAATACTCTGCCGTCCCGCATGCCACCTCCAAAAACTCCCTCTCCCCGGTCCACAAGTAAGTCTGCGAATACCCCAGTATTGCCCACGCCTGGCCACGAGCCCAGGTGGACCCATCCGCGTACCCCTGCGCTGTCATGCGATTTTTGATGGCGCCAGTCTTCGGGTCGATACATGTCACATGGTTGGTAGAGTATAGCTGTCCATTATATCTTCCGAATGTGGTTTGTGGGAGCTGCGGCTCCGGACGTAGGTGGGTGCGTATCACGGTGCGGGCATGGGCGACGGCGATCTCCCCGAGATAGGGGGACGAATTATGGGCGGCGGCATAGAAGAGGAGGTCAAGATTGCACAAGGAATCGATGATCACGATGAGGTTGGTACTCATATCCGTGATCTGCGTGTCCTTCCTGATCAAAAGATCCCAGCTGCGGATAGCCTTCGCGGAGGCAACGTACCTCGTTGCCAGGCTATTGGCCGCCCGAACAATTGATGCCAGGCTGCGAGGGTTTCCAAGAAGCTCCCAATCTTTGCGCAGGGCAGGCATGACAATGAAGCCTATGTCATGTGTGTCCGTCCTGCCGGCCATGTCATGCAACGGCTCTGACCATTTTTCACACATGGCGCGGAGCTGGTGTCGTCTCTCCTCTGGCGATGAACGAAACAAGTAAACAGCTGACTGTGGATAGCGGACTGTCCGCTCAAGCAGCTCATAGAGGATCCCGGGAAAGAAGCCACAGGTCCAAAAGGCTGCCTCACGGAGATGGTACCGGCTTGCCTTCTCGCCGTGCTGGCGGTTTTGGGGCACGTATTCGGGAAATGCGCGAGGGAACTTCATCGCACGTTCCTCGGCCGTCGCCCCGGCGCTAGGAAGCGACTCGCATGCGACCCGCCAGACCTTCGCCATGATATTCTCGGCAAAGAGTTCTGCAAGTTGCTCCATTAAATTTGGGACTGCTCGCGAGAGATCCACGTCTAGCTGAGGTGCCTCGACGAGTTTATGAACAGAAATGTTCTCATTGCATAAGGCTGCGCGAGCTGAAGAAGATGATTTTGATAAGAAAGCTCCAGATGCCTCTGGGGTGGACATCGACCCATGGGGGGTTTTGATGGTTCCTGTAACAGACATCCTTGCGCGGCCGGTTTTCCGAAGAAAGGAACCTTGCAGTTACTCTTGCCAGGGGAATCTATATATAAATGTGGCTGGCGTGTCAGTCGTGTCGATGTAGTGCTAGCTCCGGGGCTTTATGGAATCCACAAATGCGACTCTCCGTCCTGCCGCTGTACATTGACCGACATTTAGAATGATTTAGGTAAGCCTAACGCTCCACACTGTACTTGTATCAATCTCCATCCCCGATGCCAATCATCCGACGAATGCCGCTAATGCAGCACGACTGTCTGCCTTCTGTGGCGTCATCATTGAGTCCTCACAGTCCTCAACCCAGTTTGCGGGGTAAAATTCTCCGCAAAATATGGTATTAGATCGCCCGAAGTCCGCGAATCTTCTCCCGAGGCACTAAGCAGCAAGAACCCCACCCGTGTCTTTCTCCACACCACTAGCCGAGCAATTTGATATCTCTGTCAGCCGTGAAGTTGTCACTATACTTTAATCTCGTATCGCTTTCCCCCGAACGCTGGCGTCTATATAGAGGGTGCAGCATCCAGATCGCGGTCTAGCTACGATCCAGTTTCCTCTGGCCATAGGTATTCTTTCATTGGAGTCTGGACCTAGCCTCGGAAACAATACGCCTTCAGTATAATATGGCCAGTGGAATCAGGGCAGCCCTGCCGCCTGCCGCAGAGGAGCCCCTTGACGCAGAAAAAGGCCCTGTCGTGAGCTCCACAACCCATCGGCCAGCGGCGCCCTCGTTGTGGAAGGCATGGAAATATATCTTCGATTGGTACCCATGTCATTACTCAGATGAGGAGCGCAGGCTTCTGCGCAAGCTAGACTGCTTCATCATGCCACTGTGCTGCCTGATGTGTGAGCGTTCCCCTTGTCACGATCACCACCCCGAAGAAGCCGGCCGCGAAAGAGAATGGATGTACTCAGCGAATAAATGGGGCAGATGGCACAGAAGATGAACTGGCCCGAACTTGAACATACGTCTTCGGACAGAAGACCTAGCAAAGAATTACGCAAAGCCCGACTGACACAAAAATTATATAGTTTTCATCAAGTGGCTTGATCAAGGCAACACCAACAACGCCTATGTTTCAGGCATGAAGGAGGAGCTCCATCTGAACGGGAACCAGTACTCTCTGTTTGGGACGTTCTACAATATCGGCTATCTCCTCTTTGAAATCCCATCGATGATGCTGATCTCTCGCCCGAGCCTGTCCCGCTACTACCCGCCGACCATGGAGCTCCTCTGGGGCATTGTGACCTTTTGCCAGGCACGAATGCGCAACGAGCACGATATCTTCGGCATCCGGTTTCTCCTGGGCGTGCTCGAGACTCCGGCCTCCTCGGGCTGCATCTACATTCTAACCTCATGGTACCGGGCCGACGAGGTTTTTAAAAGAGCGGGGGTGTGGTACGTGAGTAGCAATGCCGGCTCTATGTTCGGAGGATACCTGCAAGCCGCCGCGTACACCAATCTCAACGGTGTCTTGGGCATGGCTGGCTGGCGCTGGTTGTTCATCATAGTGAGTATTCAATGATTCCATTCACTGGTAACAAAATAGCGATGGGGACTTATATGCCGCCCAGGATGGCAGTATTAGCATTCCAATCGCGATTGCTGGATTTTTTCTTTTCCCCGGCATCCCGCAAAGCCCTCGGGTCTGGTGGCTCACTGAGCGGGACCAGCAGCTGGCGCGCGCCCGGATGGGCGATGACGGCGTCAAGGAGAGCACGCAGATAGGAAAGCGCATGCTCAAGCGCGTGTTTACGCACTGGCATTTCTACATTGCTATCGCTACTTACGCCTGGTAAGCCTATAATTGTACTATTAGGCGGGGCCAAACTGACTCTTGAGGCGATCTCTAGCTTCCAGTGTACAAGCTATGTTAGCGGACAAATGGCTCTGTGGCTGAAATATGAGGCTAAACAACACGGCACTTACACCATTCCGCAGATCAATACAATCCCAACTGGTGTCCAGGGAGTCGCTATAGTGACCGGCATCCTTTCGACCTCTCTTTGCATGGTCTACCCAATCTGGACCACCTTCACAGCCGCATCCGCAGTTCTTCTCTTCTGCAATGTCGTTCTTCTTGTGTGGGACATTCCAGTCGGGCTTCATTTCACGGCATACTATCTTTTGGGGATGACCTCGTGCATTACTCCAATCCTGTTTCCTTGGGTTAACATGATCATGAAGGACGACGCTGAAGCTCGAGCTTTCACGACGGGAGCGATGGTGAGTTTAGAGTTTTCTTTCCTTTCTTTTTCGGATTTTCTCGCCCCTTGATATCTCCAGTAGTTAGCACTATCTTGAATTTTCTCTCACTACTGATAGATGACTTTTGGTTGGATCTTCTTCTCCTTCTACCCAATCACGACCTTCCCCGTTCTCGAAGCGCCCAAGTGGCGCAAGGGCTTTACGGTTAACACAGTTTTGACTGTCACTTACTGGTGCCTGTTCATGTTGGGCCAGTATTTGTGGACGCGAGAGCTGAAGCGGCGTCAAAGCCAGGAGGTTTTCAATGGAGACAAGGTTGAGACAGAGAAGGAGACCGAACTCGGCGCTTCAAGCAACCATCTGGAAACCACAAGCAAGGAGGAGATCAAGGGTTGAGAGACTGCGAGCAGAGGAAGTCATTGTAGAAATGAAGTTAATGGATAGGGTGGAGAAAAGAGGACTAGAACGGTTAGTGAGCCTTCTAGTGAATATCTTTTATCCTCAATTGCCATCAATTACTGTACTACTGTAGCCGTCTCCAGAGTTTATTTTCAGTCGCGTAAATTGAGAGTGGAGCATGAATGTTGCAATCACCCGCAATCCACACATTAGCCCGAAGACCGGGAGTAGACTTGGCACCAAACGGATATAAGAGCTCTGAGATCCCACCTGCCTTGAACCTCTAACTTCCCCTGCGAATATCCAACTCTCAATCTAGCCCTGCACTTAGGGGACAACGCAGAGCTCCAACCATGCCCGCCCTCCCAGGCTTCACGGACAACCCATTCCAGACCCGCTCTGACCTCGTACGGGCTAGCATTGCCCTGCTCCAGCCTCTAGAGCAGCACATGTCCCCCCAAAAGGCCTTTGTCAAACTCTCCACAGAAACCGCAGCGGGGTTTGATGAGGTTGCCGCCCAACTCGAGGGCTTTGCGCGGCCTCTTTGGGCCATAGCAAGCCTCCTTGCCCCCGGAAGTAGCACAGATGGCCTTGGCCTTGACGTAGACTCATGGGTATGCGGTCTCCGAGCCGGCACAAACCCAGCATCCTCGGAGTACTGGGGTGACCTTGGCGACTTCGACCAGCGCATGGTGGAAATGGAGAGCATCGCGTATGCGCTGCTGACAGCCCCTGCAGCATTCCTGTCTGGGATGGACGCCCTGGCCCGGGAGAACCTAGAAAGGTGGCTGCGCCAGATCAATGGGCGGAAAATGCCCCAGAACAACTGGCGCTGGTTTCGCGTGCTGGTCAATCTAGCGCTGGGGTCCCAGGATGAGGATGTTGTGGCCCAGGATTTGAGCGTGCTTGACTCGTTCGATCTTGGTGAGGGATGGAGTAGCGATGGGATCTGGGGCGATGAGAGGAAACAGGTCGATTATTACTCGGGAAGCTTTGCAATCCAATTTGCCCGAATGCTCTATGTGAGGTTTATGGAAGATAGAGGCTTGGCTTCTGACAATCGGGAAAGGATTGAGAGGTTTAAGCTGGAGGCGCGGCAGTTTGCGTCAGCGTTCTGGAGATACTTTGATGTGAATGGTATGCTGGCCTATAAAGCACTCCCATCTCTCTGCCATCTACATCCATGCCACGCGGTTCTCTCTATCTGGATCTGAGAGGGAAGGTTGGACTGACTTTGCAACTTCTAGGAAGTGCTATCCCGTTTGGGCGGAGTCTGACCTACCGGTTCGCGTTCGCGGCATTCTGGTCCGCAGTCGCCATCGCTAGGGTACAGCTCGATGCCCCACTCGACAACATCGGCGTGGTCAAGGGTCTCCTCCTTCGCCATCTACGCTGGTGGAGAAAGCATCCTGGCATCTTCAACACTGACGGTACTATGAACATCGGCTATGCCTATCCAAACATGTTCCTTAGCGAGAATTACAACTCACCGCAGTCCGTATACTGGTGTTTGAAATCGTTCACTGTTCTTTGCCTACCAAAGAGCCACCCCTTCTGGACAGCGAAAGAATTACCGCACCCACTCGCTGTCCCGCTTTTGCCTGCCCCGCCGCTACCCGATGAGGTCAAACTCCTCTGGCCGCCGCGACATATTCTATGCAGCGGACGCAGCCACCACTTTCTGCTCTCGTCGGGTCAAGGGACTACAAAGGCCCACCGCGCTAGAGAGGCAAAGTATGGTAAGATGGCGTACTCGTCCTTCTTTGGATTCAGCATCCCTAGTGGCGCACTGTTGGGGCAGATGGCCCCGGACAGCACGCTGACAGTCAGCTTCGATGACGGCGAGGCATGGATTGTTCGCGCAAATCCTTTCAATGTACGGGATCGACAGATCCCGATTCTCACTTCCCACGCGACTGCTGGGATCGACGCGGTGATGAGAACCGTACCGGCTCTTGCTAGTACCTGGAGACCCAAAAAGGCCATCGAATTCGAAGTCCAAACTCTTCTAATTCCCGCATTGGAGCTATGGTCAGGGTGGCACTTCCGTATACATAGGGTGAAGTGGTCACCGGCGGCCATCGCACCCGGGCCAATAAAATTAGTTGACGCTGGTTTTGCTGGTTTTGGTGCTACAAGAACAGGCATGTTGTGCACCGAAAGCGAATTAGAGCGACTGTTGTATCAGGATGCTGCTGGGTTGGAGGCATGGGGAAAAGACGAGCAGAGCTGTTTGGTCTTCTCGGATGGTAGCGCTAGTGGTGTTGTCGATCTACAAAGGGACTTGATGTCTGCGCTGTGTTCAGGATGTGGCAGGCTCGCGACCGAAAGCCCGGCATTGGTGGTGCGAGCGGATCCAAATACTAATTTAGTCTCGCAAAGGACCTTGATACCTACGGTTCAACACACGCTGGTCGCGGAGATTGGAACCAAAACTGCGGCAGAGATGTGGCTAGCGACGGGAATATTCGCAGTTTCGAAGACTTCAGGTATTGGCATGGGGGAGGTTCAGAAGTTGTGGTTGAAAAGACCAAAAATACAGGTGACAGCAAAGCCAGGGGAGGAAGAGGAGATCCGGATAATGCTACCGTGAGATTGGGTGCTTCTTTTTCAAAAGCATTAGGATGATTCCTGCTTAGCCCTTAAGCAATGAAAGGCGGCCAGCGAATAGTATCTTTCTATATCAAAGGGTTTATGATACTGTGCCTTCAATATTCTCTTTCAGTGGCGCATTGGAAGGCAATCAATGGATGGATACCCACTCAACAGAGTTGCAAACACCTTTTCTTGTCCTTCCATCTACGAACCCAAGCATTGCATTGAGCAATATGCAACGACCTCGAAGGCTGGTCTCCTTTGACTAAACGGCTGTCTGTAAACCAACTAATTGCCACCACTGGTTGTGCTCGAATAAACTAACAACCTCTTCACACCAATTTGGTAGATGAGTGAATTTCCTGTACATTAGAGCTTGCACCTAGATTGTCGTATCCAGGCCAAGGCTTTCCAAAAGCCGCTCTTGGCTCAAGTTTCGCGCACGTGCATTAGCTTTTCCACCCTGTGGTCTACGCAACCCCGCGCGCCAAGGTCTACCAAGAAGCAACCAACCACTTTGAGCCAGGAGTTGCGCATTTGGAGCAGTAATTTCGGCACGCAATACCTCTGACCCCGACATTTTTCCCGACGTTCTTCCCCCTCCCGAGAGCGGGGTAATCAAATGCGACGTCGTCAATGTCAGGGACCGGAGCAAGAGCTACGGGTCGCGGGCCAAGCGACCCGGAGAGATATCTCATCTTGCATCGGTAAAACATTCGATTGGCCTTGCCCACCAATTGCAGAGGGTGGCTCTTGGTCTCTCACGTACATCTAGTGGGGCTTCAGGGTCATTACCGCGGTCGCTTTAACCCGATGACAGGCACGATGGTGCCATTTCCACCGCACGCCGTGTCCAACTTCCCAACTTCGGGGGCCGTCGCGTCCTCATAGCTCCGGCGAACTGCGGCAGCGTGTATTTAAGAAAATGAGTGCTTCCCTTCCATTTTGTGTCTCAAGGGATAGATTGGTCTTCTCATCCGCCTGCGCAGTTGCAAAAACCGCATCATGGCGAGACTTGGCGCCCGACTCCTGGCTCTCGCCGCAATTTTGTGTTCGTCCGCCTCTGCTGCTTCTAAAAACTACACCTCCTCGTCTGCGACAGTCCATTGGCTCGGAGACACCCCGTCGTACCACTCCGGTGTGACCTTTGGCTTGCCATGGCCGCAGGGGAAATATTGGCCCGGGAAGACCACATTTAGTGCTGTGAGCGACACCGGGAACATTCAGGATTTACAGTCGTGGACGACTGGTCAGTGGGCCGATGGCTCGCTCAAATGGACTGGCCACGCCATCGCGGGATCGGACCACATCGATGACCAGTACACCATCACAGCGTCGTCTCTAGGGTACACCAGCCACTCTCCTTCATCGGTACGGCGTGGAAAGAGCACCAACACTATTGCAGTGACGGAAAGTTTGGATGCAACAACTGTCAACACCGGCCAACTTACCGTTTCGTTTCCCAAGGAAGGCAATATCGTTGTCAGTGCCATCAAGACCGCGAAGGGAAAGACAATTGCAGAGAACGGAAGACTTGTCCTTCAATCACAGAATTGGGCTCCGGACAGCTCTGATAGCCGGGGGAATGCGTCAATCCAATACTCTAACTTTGGCAGCAGCATCGATGAGGTCACTGTGAACCAAAGCTCGGTCCGGGCCCTCGTCACCGTCCGCGGCAAACACAAACTCACCGACGGTGCTGCCCACAACCCGTGGCTACAATTTGTTCTCCGATTCTATCTCTATGCCAACTCGAGCTCAGTCAAGGTGTTGCACAGCATCGTTTTTGATGGAGACGCCGACAAGGATTTCATCACTGGGCTCGGTATTCGATTCGATGTTCCCTTCAAAGGTGAAGAGCAGTATAACAGGCACGTCAGGATTGCCGGTGTAGACGGCGGCATCTTCACCGAAGCCGTCCAGGGAATCACCGGGCTGCGGAGAGATCCCGGCGAAGAGGTTAGGACCGCTCAGTACGAAGGTCGCGAGCTGCCAGACGCAGACACTTGGGACACCCGGGTTACCACCCGGCTCAAGTGGATTCCCACCTGGGGAGATTACAGCCTAACTCAACTTACGGCTGATGGATTTACCTTGAAAAAACGGACCAAGCCGGGTCAGTCGTGGGTTAAGGTTCCCAGCGGAGCACGTGCTGAAGGTCTCGCCTATCTTGGCGGTGCTACGCAGGGAGGTTTCGCTATCGGATTGCGCGACTTCTGGAAACGCTACCCGTCCGGTCTTGATATTTCCAACGCTGCATCTGCTACGGGGGATATTACCCTATGGCTTTACAGCCCTGCCGCAGAGCCGCTGGATCTCCGGCCCTTCCATGATGGCTTGGGTGAGGACGGATATGAGGATCAATTGGATGCTCTCGAGATCACCTACGAGGACTATGAACCCGGCTTCAATACCCCCTACGGAATCGCCAGAACCAGCGAAATTTACCTGTTCGCATTTGACGAGACTCCGACCAGTGCATTACTCGCCGACCTCACGACTTATATCAACAGCCCTCCCGTTCTAGTACCCGAGCCGGAATATATCCAGGAAACCCAAGGTCTGGGTGGGTACTGGACCGTCGCCAATATTGACAGCGACGCCTCAAAATTACTTGAAGAACGGTTGAAGTTCATTCTTGACTTCTACCGCACCCAGATCGAGCAGAGACGCTGGTACGGTTTTTTAGACTACGGCGACTTCATGCACACGTACGATACTGACCGACACACCTGGCGGTACGATGTCGGAGGCTACGCCTGGGACAACTCTGAGCTTTCCCCAGACCTCTTCTTCTGGATGTACTTCCTTCGTACAGGCCGTGAAGATGCATACCGTTTCGCAGAGGCCCTGACACGGCACACGGGCGAAGCCGATGTGTACCACATCGGCGACTGGAAAGGTCTGGGCACGCGCCATGGTGTCCAGCACTGGGGCGATAGTGCTAAGCAGGCGCGCATCTCCCAGCCGCAATACAGGAAGTATTTATTTTACCTCTCTGGCGGAGACGAGCGAATTGGGGAGTTGCTGGAGGAGTTACTGGACACGGATAAGACATACGGGATTCTCGATCCAGACAGGAAGGTCCGCACCGACGGCTGGTCACCGAGCCCTAATTCGACAGTGGCATTCAGCCTCGGGACCGACTGGTCGAGTCTCGCTGCAGGGTGGTTAATTGAGTGGGAGCGACGCGGCCCGAGATGGCAAGAAGCCAAAAAGAAACTGACGAACACAATCTCAGGAATTGCAAACCTGACGAACGGCTTCGTGACCGGGTCAGGGCTGTACGACCCGGAGACTTGGACGCTGGGTCCTCCCCCGGCGGACCCCAAAAACCTTGGCAACGTATCCGTATCGCATCTCTCCGCTGTGTTCGGACTTCCGGAGGTGGTTTCAGAAGCTATCGCGTATTTGGGTGACAATCTACCGGATGGGTTCAAGGATGCCTGGCTGGACTACTGCTACTACTACCATGCTTCGGCAGCTGAGCAGAAAGCCCGGTATGGAGTCAGTTTCGGGTCGCAAAGCCTTTACCAGGCCCATTCCCGGCTGGCAGCGTATGCGGCGTACGAGACACGGAATACAAGTCTCGCGCTACGGGCTTGGAAGGACTTTTACACGGGTGATGGAATTGCTGCCAATGCATCGTGGAGTGTCACGCACGTTAATGGAAGCGCTTCTTTAGTGGCCGTCGATGAGGTGGAATGGTTGGCGACAAATGATATCGCGCAGTATGGGCTTGCGGTCATTCAAAACCTGGCGTATATCCCGAGTGCGCTTGATGAATATGGATCGTGAATGATTAGGATGAAGAGATGGCAATGGTTGTCAGCTCAGTGACGAGTGATTTGGACTTGGGGAGGGCGGCCGGCGGCTAAACAGCCAACCGGCTTCTCTTTTAGCTTCGCCATTTCGGCCATTTCCAAGATGGTACAAACTTATCTGCCTCACATACCTAGCGCTAACCCTGTAAAAGTTATCTTTTGACCAGATATTTTCGCTCTACTATGATACTAATGCTTGAGCTTCCGGCCTCGGGAAAGTGGGGCGATTTATGAGCGTCGTCGATGACATCTCAGAGTACGTTTCTAATGATGGTGAGTTGTTATTTTGTAGCTTCGGATTCGCGAGTGATGCCTCAGTCGTCTAAATAGAAACCCAAATTGCTTCTGATTTATGTTGATCGCTGCCATGAATAATTCTGGAAATAATCGATCTCCCATTGGGTTGTCTGATCTAGTACAGTAATGTCAGTGGATGAAGGGATAACTTACTACTAGCAACTGATTGGTTGCTGATGGGCCTATATTCGTTTAGTATTTCCTATGTAATTAGGGAACCGAGCTATAATGTAGCTATTGTTATAGCTGAGTACCGGAGACATTAGATATATCGAATAGCGGTGTATTTGAGTGTGTGCTTTTAAAATAGCGCTTCTCTGCCTATCTTTCTACTAAATTAATCAATATTATTTATCTATATTAGTTTCGCTTGATATTATTCGTCGTCTTTGTATACTAGGCTATATAGTATTAGCGTACGCTAATAGTTATAAGCCCGATAGCCTGTTAATATTACTAAGAAAGATACGTATTAAAACGCCTAGATCTTTCTGTTAATATAAGCTTCCTAAATTAGTATTGAACTATTACCTAGTAGTAGTTTAACTAATACCGAAGGACTATAGGTCTTATTTACAGACCCTATAGATTAGCCTAATTTGTATATAAATATAATAACTTTTGAGATAATTTAAGTGTTAAATATAATCCCCTAGGACTAATAACTCCGGTCGGAGGCTTAGTAAAGAGTATAGATAAGCTATATCGAATTAGTAGCGATAGCTATAAAAGTATAGGGATATATTAACCCTAAACTATTAGACGATAAGGTTAAGAAGCTACCTATTAAACTAAGGGATACCTTCCTTAGGCTAAATAAAATTAATAGCGAGGTTAATAACTCTATCTAGTTTACTAATACTAAATACCTTTATTATATCTATTTTATTATACTATTTAAAGAGGAGAGAGTATTTTACTATATAATTAAAAAGAACCTTACCTAGATAAATACCTATATTTTTATAATAACCTATCCCGAAAAATATTATATCCTAGCTAATAAGAAGACTATAAGAGAGAAGATAGTTAGATTAGTATAGGAATTTAAGCTAAAAAGGGCTATATAGAAATAAAACCTTCGAAATATATAGAGATACTAAGTATCTACTCTAATAGGTAAGATATCGATAAATAAGTAACTAATAAACTAATCTATCTTATATAATAAGGCCTATATAGCTAAAGTACTAGATATCTAGTATTATATCTATATAATTAATAATCCTAGGGATAATTTAGCTATTAGAGACTTCCTCTAAGCTATCCCTAGCTAGGATAGCTATTTTAGTAATTAATATAGAGAGAAGCTAGAGAGAGAGACCCTATATTTCTAGGATATCTTAGTAGAATACTAGATATACTAAGAAATATAAGACTAGAATAAGAAGGGCTATTTAGGTACTATAGTCTTTATAATAATACTATATAGTTATTAATAGTCTAATTAAGGATAGTTATTATTAAATATAAAGAAGCTATACTATATATATAGTAGCTAGAGGTATTAATAGAAAGATTACTACTATATTAATCTATCTAAGAGACCTTAGAACTAGTAGTAATATAAGATTTTATATAAAAGGGTTAAAAATAGTATTAAGAAACTAAACCTTACTAATTAGTAAGAAATAGCTAAAATAATAAATACTAATATTTTACTATTATCTAAGAAGACTATTTAGATAGCTTAGCTTACTATTACTAATAGAGATAATAGCTTTAATAAAATACTAACTAAATCTATACGCTTCTTTAGCTTTAATATTACTCTAGTAATATATAATATAGCTATATCCTTTTTACTTAAAAATAGCTAGATTATCGACTCCGGAGCTAATATCTATATATATAACTATCTAGATCGATTTAAAAAAGGTCTTAAAGAGGAATAGGGATAGTAATACTTAGTAATAGTAAAATTACTATATATAGTAAGAGAATTATAAAGATTATTATCTAGGACCCTATAGATAAGATCTTATAGGTAACCTTACTAGATATATAGTATATCCTAAGTTTTAAGACTAATATCCTATCTATCTTAGAGATTATAAAGAATAGTTTCTTCTTTAATAGCCGCTTCCTAGCTATTACTAAAGGTAATAAACTAGTAGCTATATATAGTAGAAAATTTAGGCTCTATCTCCTAGAGTATTACTAGGGTAATAAATATATCCTAATAGTAAAAGGCCCTCTAATAGTCTTTCCTATACTTAGAATATCTTAGAAATTACTTATATCTATTATTTTACTATAGATCTAGTATTAAATGGTTAGCTATATATATAATTAGTATATTAAGACCTTTATAAAGATAGTTAATAGTATAATTATTAAAAGAGATTTTAAAGATAACTAACTCTATAATTCTAAATATTATATAGTCTATTAGCTTACTAAAGTAAAGAAGTAGATCTTTTAGAGATTAGTAGATAGATTAAAGACCTATAGTAAGTTTAGGAGGATTTATTTTAATATAATATAGCTAGAGGAAGTATATAATAATTATAAATAGGTCTCTTACTTATTATTTAAGGGTATTTATCTCTATATAGTCTAGATATATAAAAAGAAGAGTAGTTATATCTATACTATTACTATATTTATTACTATCTATTAAAATTAGTCTAATATAGAGATTAGAGTATTTATTAGTAATAATAAATAGACCTTTAGCTATATATTCTAAGAATAGTATAACTAAAAGGATATCTTAGTTAAATTTAGTATTATTAGAATATCTAAATAGAATAGCTTTATTAAGAGAGCTAGAGATATTATTATTATTATTATTAGAGCCCTAATATAAGATATAGGCTTACTAAAGAAGCTTTAGCTAGAGATAGTAAATATAGTAGTCTATTTAATTAGCTAGACCCCTATAATACTATTAGATAATAAAGAGATTATCCTATAGGTTAAAACTATATAGAAACTTTATAACTAGGATTAACTATATTTTAATCTCTTAAATCTTTAGATATATAGCTATAGAGTATATATATATTATTAGGGGATCCCCTAAAAGGATAAGATAGTACTATATATAGAGATAGGGTATTTAGTTAGATATATTATATTAAATATCTAGAAGATATAGTTACTATATCTTAATACTATTAAAACTATTAGAGATATTATATTTAATAAGAATATCTAATTCGACCTAAAAGAGTTAGAGAGATTACTACTAATCGATATCTTAGATAAGATACTATAGATAGTAGGCGAAGAACTAATAGAAATACCTATTATTAATAATAAGGGCCTTAAAATAGCTCTTATAATACTAGAAAGGTAAGAAGAATAAAGAGAGGTAGAGTAATATTTAAAGAAAGAGACCCTATTAAATATCTTAGTTTCTATAATAATAATACTATCGCCGATATCCTCCTATTAACTAATAGTATTAGAGAGGTTATTAGAAATTCTAGGAAGCTTTCCTATAGAGCTAGAGCTACTTATATTATCTCTAGAGACCTTAAACCACCTTAAAACTAAAAGGATAAAAAGGTTAGGGCCTAATAAATAGCTTTAAGAAGAGCTTTAAGAAGTATTAGAATTACTAGAAAGATTACTAGAAAGATTACTAGAAAGATTACTAGAAAGATTATAGATATTACTATTATCTCTACTACTAGGATATTATATATATAGATCTCTTATACTAAGAGATATTAGTATATTATTTTCGGAAGATAATATTATTAAGGGTAAGTATATCTATAGATAGGTATATTTTATATTAATAGAGGAAGATATTATAATAATAAATAATTAGAAAGACTATTATAAAGGTATTTTATTAGTATTCTCTATAGAAATAAGCTTACTATAGACCTACTAATATCTTTATTATAATAATCTACCCTCTAAATTAATAAACTAGAAAGAGATAATATAATACTCTTACTAAAAAGGCTTTACTAAAACTATAATATAGGAGATTAAGATATTAGATAGGAAGGATATCTATTAAGAGATTAATAGACTAATAGACTATAGTATCTAGGTCTTACTATTAATATAGATATTTATCTATAAATTTAATAGTAATAGCCTATTAGTTAAATATAAAACTAGGATATATATAAAAAGAGATCTCTAGAAGATATTAACTAAAAAGAAATATTTAGCTATACTAACTATTTAGATAGCTAGAGCTATCTTCGCTCTTATAGTAGTTTTTAATCTTAATATTATTTAATATAATACTATTAATATATTTCTTAATAGCTAGATTAATAAAGATGTAACGATTTTACTACTTGTCAGGATAGAAAGCCTATCGATCAGGTAAAGAATCGATGGCGAATAGATAACGAAACAATTGTGATGCAGTTTAACCGTTCTTTTTTTCAAAGACTGAATCTTGACGATTCAGATTGAAAGGAACAGGGCACTCTCTTTTATTAGGGAATAACGATACAGAGTGATGATAAAGAATGACATAACCACTTCTAATATCAACGCTTCCCCATATCAGACTAATACGCAATCCTTCACAAAAGAAGTATATATAGAACTTCCTTCTAGTCTCTTCTTACTAGGATAAAAGATAAGATATTAGAAGCTCTTAAAAATACTATATAGTCTAAAGAAATTACTAAGATTCTAGTAATAAGAAATATTAAGAGTCCTAATAGTACTAGGCTTTAGGGTTATTTATAAAGATATCTATCTATTTACTATAAATAGAATTATTATTATCTTCTATATCGATAATATCTTTATCTTTAACTATCTATCTATATATTAGGAAGCTATAAATATAGCTAAAAGCCTTAGAAAGACCTAGGAGCTTCGCTTAATAGATAAAGTATAGTAATTTCTAGGTATCTATATTATAAGAGATTATTAATAAAGTAAATTATAGCTCTACTAGGATACCTATATCTTTATAATAGCCTATAAATATTATTTAATAACTAGAAAATATCTTAAAATCTCTCCTATTTCTATAGCTAACCTATAACTATATAGTAAAGTAGCTACTAATAAGTAAAAATATAAATTCTTTACTAAAATTAGCTTAGTATAATATACTATAATAATTACCTAGCTAGATATAGTAAAAGCTATCTTATATCTAATTTAGTTCCTATTAAACCCTTCTCTTAATTATATTAATATAATTAACTAGGTTATTACTTATCTCTATTATATATAGATAAAGGTAGTTTACTATCGAAAACTACCTAATTTAGACCTAATAACTATATAGTTCTTTAGTAATATATTATATAGGGATAACTATAATTAGAGGAGCTTATTAGGATATATCTATTTAATATATAGAGGACTAGTAGATTAGAAGGCTATAAAATAGAAGACTATAATAATAAATACTACTAAGACTAAATTACTAGTAATATTAGATACTAGTAAGTCTCTATATATATAGAATTATCTATTTATAGCTATTATATTTATTCCTAGTTACCCTATTATCCTATAATATAATAACTAGTAGACTATTAACCTATTAATAGGTAAATTATCTTAGCTATATACTAACCTCTAATATATTAATATCTACTAGTACTAGCTATAGTAGGAGGTTTAAGCTAAATATATACTAATATAGTAGATTAAGATATTAGATATAGTAGCTAACGGCCTTACGAAGCTATTACCTTACTAGAAATATACTAAATTTATTAGGTAACTAGGTATAGAAGATATTAGATATCTATTAGAAGATTAAATAAATACCTAAGGTTATTAGATAAAGTAATATAGTAAATTACCTATAGATAGTTTACTAAAGGGATATATTAGTAGATAAAAGGATAACTTATTACTAGTAACTAATTAGTTACTAATAGGCCTATATTTATTTAGTATTTCCTATATAATTAGGGAACCGAGCTATAATATAGCTATTATCATAGCTAAGTACCGGAGATATCAGACATATCGAATAGCGGTATATCTAAGTATATACTTTTAAAATAGCGCTTCTCCGCCCATCTTTCTACTGAATCAATCAATATTATTCATCTATATTGGTTCCGCTTGATATCATTCGTTATCTTCGCATACTAGGCTATACAGTATCAGCGTGCGCTGATAAGTAACCATGCCTTCCCGTAACCCCCCTACTCGCATCTCAGCACAGTTTCTGTCAAATGACCCTTCAATCCAGGTCAAAGCCTATTCTTAGTGATCCTATCAATTAGACAACCCTCTTTAAAAAAGCCACTAAGTACTTGTCGAAACAGGGAGCAGTAACTTACCTCTAGCAACTCATTGGCTCTTCATGGGCCCACGTTTGTTAGGTTTTTGTATGTACTCAGGGTACCGTCATGAGCTCAAGCTTTGTAATAGCCGAGTATCGAATGCACACAGGGTGATATTCAACATTCCCCTGATGGTTTTTCTTCAATCAATCAACATTATTCATCCAAATTGGTCTCCTTTGCATACTAGGCTATACAGCATCAGCTTGTTTCGATAGTACTGTTCAGACTGCTTTACAGATATCCAAGTGGTCATTCGAGTGAGGAAAGCCAGGCAAATTTGCACCTTGACATCCACTTATTTCCCGCAGATCAAGTATAGTCCCCCGAATCAATCATATACCTATTCCACCACCTATAGCTACCGCCTACTAAATGCTACAGCAAAAGTCGAAAATGGATTCCCCTCTGGATATACATCCTCGCCTTGTACCCGAGACCACGCTAGTCCGCAACAGGTTACAGTATAAACAACCCCTGCGTAACTGTATCGCGGTTTTTCACGTATCGGATTTCGTCACTCAATGGGTCATTGTAAAATACAGTACTGTAAATATCCATGGTGCTGTACTGTATATACCAAGAGAGTTCGAATGCTGCCGCAGGTGCTGAGTCATGCGCCTATTGCGCGTCTTTGGGTGTTGGTTGCCATGGTGTCGGTTCGGTGGTTGATTACGTTAGCTACGTCCCATCATACGTCAGGGCGGCCCGAAACTCCACCAAGCCCTCCATCGGCTGTCCCACTTCGATGCGATCCTGGCTTTATTAGTTACGACACACCGCTTGATCAGATTCACAAGAAAAGCTCAGTCCTGGGGCTTCACAATAGCGCTTATCTGCCTTGATAGTGTGGAATTGGTTCAAAGAGGCCAGGGGTTCGAAATGAAATCCCAACTTGCCCAACTTGGACGACCAATTCTCTCCCACAACCAACCATGAAGCTCCTCGACCTCGTTACATTGTTCTATCTTGTCACTCCCTCCACTTGCTGGCCTAAAATCAAAGACCAAGTCAGTCTGCAATGGTCGATCTGTGATAGGAATCCTTACGCTGTGTTAACAAAGTTGGGCGCCGTCGCCCACGATCCAGATAAACTGGACCCGATAACTTACTATGATACCTCTCCCCCACTGTACACGCCCCAGGGACTCATGTTCCGGACCAAAGTTCGTGGTGGCCAAGAGATCTCGATTGTTAAGGTGCAGCTAGCGACACCAAAATCTCATATGCGCCACCACGCGAAAGTGTGTCGGTGGGATCGATACGGCAATAAGACGACCTTTGTTTGCAAGAGACAAGCTCCCATAAAGGGAACTAACCTCTGGAATGCAAAGCAAAGGCAGTTAGTGGATGACTTTCAGCGTGATGTCACCTGGGAGAAGCTCATTGGATACGGTCCGTACCTAAATCCTAAATGGAAGGCGCTACGTGTGGAGGGATACGGGGCTGTCTTAGACGATGTGGCCGTCCAGTCCCTACACCTTATGGAGCTAGAAGTCAAGGTACATCGGGCGGAGAAGGATAGAGTCTATCAGGTCATTATGGAGCATCTTAGCGCACGAGGAGTGGTGATATGTGCCCGACAGGAGTCCAAGACCATGCGGTTATTCCGCGCAATGGGCTACGTTGCTACACAAAACAAGTCTCAGGATGTATATCCTCACGATCTCTAAATAGGGAAAGTCATAAAACCAAAGAGGTCTTGCTATTGCGCTAGAGTGTGAACTTCTGAATTACTAAATATACACTGTTGACGCAGCCACTGGCTCAGTATAGGGAGTCAGACCAGTACACCCCTAGAAGGGACTAGTCCTTGTTCCTTTTTCATATATTCAAGACTATACTAGACCACGCCAAAACCACAAAACCACAAAATGAAACTAAACCAACCTGTAAATAGTTTAGTTTTTTGGGCTAATTGTAGAAACTATTATAATCAATCTGTAACAAGCCATGAGATCAGAATGGTATAATTGATTATCCTTCCCATTAGACCTCGGCAAAGACCGGGACCAGGCCCTCCGGTCCTTGGTCTTTTTTCAAAGTAGTCAGGACCGGACCACGGTCCCCCATGCGGTCCCCCGCATATTCATAATTCTACCAAGACCTTCTTATTTAGGCTATTAGTCAGCCAAATCTTATATAATCTCTACATTAACTAGAAACTATACATAAATTACATAAATTCCTATGTTTATCTTGTTTACAAGACCGCACGGGGGACCAAGCCCTACATAGTGCGGTCCGGTCCCAGTCCTGGTCCGGTCTAGACTGCGCCAAAAACCGTAATTAGGGGCAAACCTTGCCCCTAAAAACTAAACCGCAATAGTTGCGGTTTTTAAAACTAAAAACTAAACCAAACTACAAACCATTGTAGTTCCCTATTAGGGAACCATTAAAAACCATTTTTGCATAAAATCTAGGTCTTAGTATATATAAACCTGCTGATTTATACGTTTACATTACTAATATCGCCTAAAATACTAGTAAAAGCCTATTTTATTAGTAAATATTATCTAAAAAGAATATAGTAAAACTTATAGGAATATATATTAAGTTCCTAGTATAATATTAGTAATATAAGATAGAGGCTATAGTATCTAGGATATAGTTAATCTCTATTAGCTAATTACTAATTAGGTTATACTAGCTAATTATAGTATATAGATAATATATATACTATAGTACTTTAGCCCTAATTAGTATATTAAAGATAGTATAGCTCTTAGCCTTAATCTTAGGAGATATAGTAAGAGGATATTACCTAGCGAAAAATAAGTAAGGATATAGTAAATAGAAATAGGGGAGTAATAGAAAAAGAGGATAATATAACTACTATAAAATAAGAGATAGAGAGATAATAAAGAAAAGAGAAAGCCTAGGAAGTCTAGGGGATTATACTAATTTAAAAACTAAGACTCTCTTTTATTAATATATATAATCTTTATTAGGTATCGTAACCTTTAATCTAGGTAGTCTTTATTAATACCTATAATCCTAGGTATATAATCTCGGTTACTAGACCTAATCTTTAATATATATTAATATCTATAAACTTAGTTAGATATTATAACCTTTAATCTAGATAGTCTTTATTAATACCTATAATCCTAGGGGTATAATCTTAGTTACTAGACCTAATCTTTAATATATATTAATATATATAATCTCGGTTAAGTATCGCTATCTCTAATCTATATAATCCTTATTAATATCTATAGTCTTAATATATAGTAATATAGGTAATCTTAGATAATATAATCTTTAGTATACCTAGGGATATATATTACTAGAGAAGGTATAATTATTATAAAATAAGTACCCTTACTCGAGCGAGATTATATAGCCTAGTATCTAATATACTAACTCCTTTAGTAAGACCTCTACCTTCTACCTAAGTAGCCCTAAGTTACCCTACTTCGGGAAGGTAGTATACCTCGGCTTACTATATACTAATAATATAGCGAGACACTACTACTACTCTATACTAGAGTAACTACTCTAGTATAAAAGTCCTATATCTTTCTATATTCCTCTAATTCCTTAAGAATTAGTCTTTATTTTAATCTGACTATACTAGTTCCTCCTTACCTAATCGATAGGCCTTCTACCCTATAAGTAGACCCCGTAATAAAAAGATTAATATAGTATATAGAGGAAAAGGGATAGGGGATTAGCGTAGGGCTTAGAGGGGATCGAGTACGAGAGAGGTAGAGATATATATCTCCCCCGATATAGTCTATATATAATAGTTAAATACGATCCTCCGGTGTAGACTAAATCATCTAAGGCGGATCGTTCACGGATTACGCTCGGAGGATATATAATCTAGCGGCGTCTAGGCGCCTTAAGGATCTCGACTAAGCTATTCCGATTAACGTCGTCGGCGGTATACCTAGCCTCGGTCGCCGACGGGGGCGATCCCGACGGATATAACGGGGTTAGCGGCCGCCCCCGGCGGCGGATCGGGCGGTCCGATAGACGATTCGAGAGCGTCGAGAGCGACGAATACGCCGGGCGTTCTCCGGTCGCGACCCGAGCGGCGGTCGTGGCGGGAGGGCCGGCGGCGGTCGCGGGCGCGGGGGGTACTCACACGGTATAGTAGGGGGTCCGGCGGGAGCTAGGGCAGCGTGCGTATAGGTCCCGAATTTAAGTCCGAGATTCAAGAGTAGAGTATCGGGGATAATATTTAACTATGAGTACCTCACGGAGCTGCACTTACTTCATCGAAAGAGACCTCCGAGTCTTCTAATAAGGTCTTTTATGCCTCGATGCTTTAAATGTGTCTCGGTTCATCGTATCAAAGATGTGGGTTTCATTCCTCAAAAGTTGCTGGCAACAGTTTTTATTATTAACAAACCTGCCCACCCGATGATAATCGTCGACAACCTTTGGTCTCTGGCCGTCGCCTCTGGGTTACTGGCCATATTCCTCAATATACTGTGGGGCCAATTCAAAGAATACCAAGGACGCAAAGCCCATGGCTGCGGCGTTATCCCATCCTATCCTCAATGGGATCGCATTTTCGGCCTCGATCTCGCCTTGAGCCAAATGAAGGCCCTCCGTGGAGACACTTTTATCCCATGGCTGGCAGCTATGCATGAAGGCCAACCGAGCACATTCAAGGTCCGTTTCCTCGGAAAACGGCAAATCTACACCACCGAGACGAAGAACCTTAAGGCTATGACAGCGATCAACTGGAAGGATTTTGGCATCAGTCCTCTCCGACGCAGTACGAAAGCTTTCCACCCGTTCGCCGACAAAGGTGTCAACACCGTTGACGGGGACGACTGGGTGTTCAGCCGTTTCCTCATCAAGCCGTTCTTCAATCGCGATGTTTATACGAACACTGATCGGATCAGGCCGTATGTGGACTCGTTATTGTCTCTACTGCCGCCAGATGGAGAGACATTCAACATCCAGCCCCTGCTCCAGCGATGGGTAAGTCGCGCTTGCAAAAAAAGCAATTTGAACGTTTCATTACAATGCTCATACGAACATAGTTCCTGGATTTGACCACTGATTTCATCCTTGGCGAGCCTATGGGGGCCCTCAATCATCCAGCCAAGGCCAAAATCACATGGGCCATGCTGGATGTTCTTCGTGGCAGTCGCCAGCGTATGCAGGTCGTTCGCATGATCAAGTGGTTCAACTGGGACTGGTGGCTCAAGGCAGTATACGAGGTTCATGCCTTTGTCGACACACATATCACAGCGACTTACAAAGAAATCGAAACCCGCAAGGCACGCATCGCTGCTGGAGAGAAAGTAGGCCCTGAGCGGGAAGACCTGCTATGGTACATGGCATCACACGACTCCGACTACGAAGACCTGCGGTCTCAATTGGCCCTGCTGCTGGTCCCGAACAACGACACAACTTCGATCTTCATCAGTAATGCCCTCTGGCACTTGGCTCGTCACCCGGATGCGTGGGCAAGATGTCGTGAGGAGGTACTGACATCAGTTCAAGGGGGTGAGGACGAAGCGGTTGGTCAACTCAGCTTCTCCACTCTCAGAGGCATGAAGTTTCTCAATTCTTGTCTTGATGAGACTCTGCGACTAAACCCAAACAACGTCACCCAAGTCCGTATCTGCATGAACGACACGACCCTCCCACGTGGCGGAGGCAAAGACGGCCAGTACCCCATCTTCGTCCGCAAAGGTGACATGGTCCAAGTCACCAAGACAGTACAGCAGCGCAATCGAGAATACTGGGGTGAAGACGCAGACGATTTTCGTCCTGAGCGCTTCCTTGAGCTGAAGCCCTTCTGGGAGTTCGTGCCTTTCAGCGGTGGTCCTAGAAGGTGCCCAGCACAGATGATGGTCATGACGGAGGCTGCATACATGTTGGCTCGTTTGGTAATGCGCTACGAGCGAATCGATTCCAGAGATGCGAATCCATATCATGCTATTATGCGGATTGGACCAAGTAACAAGACTGGTGTTTTGGTTGCCCTCCACAAAGCACGCGAAGGAAATTAGTTTCGATGAACGACAGTCGGCATGAGAATTACGTTAGCTGAAACTTTAGAACATTAGCTTGACTGTTAGATGCCAAACTGATCCATGCCTTGCAACTCTTTATTGTTCATATATCCGCGTTTCACTCGTTTCTAAATTCCTGCAACGGACCAGCACAACCTGGAAATCGAACGAAGAAGGAGACGATGCATTGACGCCTAGGAGCGAAGGCTATGTCCGACGATCGAAAGCGACGACATTGTGTCATCAATGATCGGCAAGGGATTCGTAGCCTAGCTGTTGACACCAATAAGGGCTGTATGAAAATACCTGTACTGAGGAGGTTGAATTGGTCGGTGGGTGGCGAACGTTTAGAGGAGTGGGCTTTATGTCCGAGCCCCGAGCCCGGACCCGGGCCCGAGTCCGAAGATGGAACAGCACCTCACTTCAGCAGCTTGCCGACCCCGAGCGTTCCCTCCGACCTTTCCAACATCATTGATGTCCGTTGACCGCGCATTCAATACCTGCAATTTGGACTGTCGTCAAGATGGCTGAGGACCAGAGCTTTGGCAGTACCCGGTCAGCATCTTCACCCGCTCGTCGGAGCCGCCGACCTGTGCAATCCTGCGACCCGTGCCGCCGCCGAAAAGTACGTTGCGATCTCAAATCGCCATGTTCAGCCTGTCAAGTCTCCAGAAACTCGGTGACGTGCACATATCAAGGAGATCAGCAGCAACCCAGTCTCGCCCTGGAAGACCGTGGAAGCGAGGGCAATACTGTCCAACAACAAGTTCCTCGCTCGCTCAGCATTGCCCCAAACAACATCGATCACCCTGCAAAGAGGCAACGAACAACGAATGAAACGGAGCGAATTCGGAGCGTAGAGCGACGTGTACAGCAGCTTGAGCACTCGGTTGTACCAGAAGTAGATCCCCAGCAGCACAGCCTCAGTAGCAGCAGCAACAATCATCTCACGCTGCTGGCATTGTCTGATCGCCTCCAACACGTCGAGCAGCGGCTTGCTGAGCTCTCCCAAGCTCGTCCTGCGCCTTCAGCTGTCACGGGCGATAAGTCTCTAACAATTCCGTCTGTCATCCCTCGACTTCGTCACAACCAGAAGAAGGTAAAACTGTTTCCTTCAAGCCACTGGCTGCACACTGCTGAGAAGGTATCGTTGAAGCTCCTTTCTAATGAGCACCTTGACTGATTGAACATTGGCTGACGTGTCAATAGTTCAGAGTCAGCCATGTTGGAGACAGTGACGTTGAATTGACCTTCGTGGATACCAAGGCCGAGCTGGCCGATTCGGTGAATGAGATACGCAACTTGCGACTCACGATGAAAAATGAGCAGACACCGCAGATGGATGACCCCGTTCCTCAACTTCTGAGTACAATGCCGGCTCGTTCCATCTGTGACCGACTAGTGAATCACTACATGCGGACTTTCGAGTTGATCTATCGTTGTTTTCACATTCCCACATTCTGGGCAGAATACGAACAATACTTCAGCCAGCCGCAGCCTGTAGTTACAAACTTTGCAATCAAGTTGGGTTTGGTGTTGGCCATTGGAAGCGTCTTCAGCAACGACGACGACAAAGTTCTGCAGCGCTCGCGGCGTACTTGGATACAAGCTGCTCAATACTGGATGGTTGGACCGTCAGAGAAAACTACCAACAATCTTGATGGAATTCAAATTTTCTGTCTTCTATTGGTTTCGCGGCAGATAACATTAGTCGGCCGTTCACCGTGGCTGTCGGAAAGTGGTCTACTTCGGGTGGCTATGGCTATGGGCCTGCACCGAGATCCACAACTGTTTTCTCTGTCTCCTTTTCAAGCCGGGATACGAAGGAGGCTTTGGACAACAGTCCTAGAGCTCGTAATCCATGGTTCCATGGACTGTTCCATCCCTTTGCTTCTTTCTTCAAACGACTTTGACGATCATATGCCTCTTAATGTCAGCGATGCTGATTTAGATTCAGCCAGCGAACAGTCTCCGTCTCCACAACCGTTGACAAGCTATACGGAATCGTCGATACAAATTCTCATGCGTCAGTCCCTGCCGATACGACTTGAAGTTGTCAGGGCGGTCCAAAACGAGCGATTAGAGCACTCATACGAAATGGCCATTGAGCTAGCTACGAAACTTCAGACAGTTTGCCGTACTCTTGCAAGCTATTGTCGGTCGCATTGGTCGCAATTTCTAAGCATGCATCACGCTTTCCTTGATATGCAGATTCGTCGGTATATTCTGGTTCTGCATCGGCCTTTCATGCTACAAGCGCAAAAGGATCCCCGCTTCTATTTTTCCCGGAGGGTTTGTCAGGAGTCTGCAATGATTATCGCCACTTATGCCGAGCGACTTCGGCTACCTGCAGACTCTCTTGACGATCTGTCCAAGTTGATGGTGATGAGCACAGGGTCATTTCGCGGACCTTTGAGCCTGGACGTAATTTCAGTCTTGGGCTTGGAGGTTGTGTCTCAGCTGGAGGAAACGGGTTCCGGTCCGTCATCTGCTTCGATTGGTCTCAACCACACATTGGTCCTTGATCCTCTCGCTGAACTGGCGCGCGGCCAGCGAGCGCCCATCATTCGACTTTTGGAACACATCAACGAACAATTACTGCAGATCGTAAAGTTGGGCCATCCTACGTTGAAACGCTACATCTTTCTTGCTGGCATTCTTTCCCAGATATACGCCATGGAACGCGGCCAACCCATTTTGTCTGCTGTGCTGAACACTGCAAAAGCCAGCCTGAAGGAGTGTTACGATGTACTACAGTCCTACAGGGCCGCCAACACTCCTCGAGAAGTGTCGCAAGACGTGATCGATAATGGGCTTCTTGACGGCCTGGATTTTGGCGCAATGGTGAGTACAAATTACCAAATATGCGCCTCTTACATAGCACTACTGACTGAAGTCAGGACTCCAACTACCTGGACTTTTCGGCCTTTTTGGTTCCAACTATTTGATAGAGCAAGTTCACAGGACGATTTACGTTGCGAAATGAAGATCGTGATTAATTGAGGTTAATTCTTTCCATTCTGTTCTATGTTCGATCGTCTCTGTCTCGGAAGGGTTTGCTTACAAAGGTGAGGTATGCCCTGTTGCTTGAAGCAACACATGTGATGCATTGTGCACCTTGTCCAGACTATCTGAGCGCCACGCTGAAAATCCATCAGGCCGCACGAGGACAAGACAAGCATCCCAAATTCGGAACGCATGAGTCTCATTCATCAAACAAAGGCTCTTTAAAGGAATACTGTGCTGGCGTGCCGCTTCTTCAAAACTGGCCAGTGCGATGGGCACCTGAAATTGGTCTCCGGCTGCTACTGCTTCTTTCTGCAGAAACGCGACCATGGTGAAGCCTTTCCCGAATCCATCGGAAATGGCGCTGCCGTCCGACAAAGCCACGTGCGGTACCCGCGAACCAGGAAAGGTAGTTGGGATGTAGTTTCGTGAGTCGAACTGTGGTGCTGCCTTTTCAACATCCACCTGCTCGTTCAGTACTGCCAGACTCGACTCGTAGCGGTGACCCATTTCAACGCCGAAGCTCTGGTTATGGTCATCGTTTTGCTGAATGTACTGATCGATTTCCTCACGCAGGGCTATGCCGCGCTCATCCATGGATTCGATGACGACCGGATCCAATTTCACAGCTGTTGAAAGCCCCATGAGTTTCATCATGTGGATTTTGCTCCAGTGTTGCATCAGCGCTGCCACAGGACGACGTTCCTGTTCGTATGTCTTCATCAAGTGAGTGCCACCCCAGCCTTGAACAGTGGCTGCGAGCTTCCAGCCAAGATCCCAAGCATCAGCAAGGCCCATATTCATTCCGTAGCCGCCCGAAGGAATTGTCTGATGACAAGCATCTCCGGCAAGGAAGACGCGCTGATGATTTCCGCTCCACGTTTCGGCGAGAGCTACTGTCGGCGTGAAGATGGAGGTTGCAGTGACTTCATCAATAGAAATCGGGTAGGGTGAGCCCATACCGCCAAGGACCCGGGCGATTGTCTTCTCGGCGGTCACATCGTCTGCATTGTAGTCTGAGCCTAAATAATCGTGGACTGTCCAGGTCTCCTTTCCGTCTTGCGCGATGATGGCGCCGCCGACAGAGCCGTTATTGGTTGTAGGGTCCGTGGGAAAAAAGGTATGCCAAAATCGGCCCTGGCGATAGAGTCGCTCGAGATCCTTTGACTTGAAATGGGTCAAGGCCACGGCTCGATGCCTATCGTTGTTGGAGTTAGCTTTCGAGGAGTCTTATTGTCTCTTTGAGCACATGGGCCACCGGAATACATAGCAGAACTCACATAGGCCCGCCTTCTAGCTCCGCGCCCAAACCTTTCCGCACCGCACTCCATGCGCCATCACATCCGACAACGTATGGGGAGCGAATCGTCTTGCGAATATTCGATGCTCGGTCATGGACATGAACCTCGACTGTATCCTCGTACCCCACTAGGCCTTCCACGGCCCACCCATAGCGAGTATCGATCAGTGGGTTCGCATCGCATTTCTCTCGAAGCCATGGCTCCATGATATTGCTTGGAATACGTGCCCAAGGCTCACGAGGCATCGTACCGTCGTTATTCAACGAGATATTTTGCCTGAACGCCTCGACGCTGGGCAGATCCCAGGTGGACAAAGACCCAGCTGAACCAAAGCCACTTGAGAAACGGACTGTGAAAGGCTCATCTTCTGCCACACCTACACAACCGTGCATTAGCGAATGAAATCTTCAATGTAGTGCAAATCGGGTTTAGAACCTTTGGATCGTAGCTCATCTGCAATGCCTAGTTGACGGAAAATCTCCATCGTTCTAGCAATGACCAAATGCATCTTGGGGTACCTGTTGAATGTGGTTAGCACTCTGCAAGAGAAATGCCAGGCCCTTTCAAAGCTTGAAAGGTGTACCGTACCTTGTGGCTTCGATGTTCTGCTCGATCAGAACACTACGCTGGCCATGGTGAGCCAACACCAAAGCCAGAACGAGGCCTACAGGCCCGCCTCCCGATATGAGAATAGTGCCCTTGGGCAGGATCTCGATTGATCGGATCTCTTCCATGGTGCTGCGTTTGCTCGTTTGTCGGAAAAAATCCGTTGGTCGCAAGCAACAGAATATTTTAAACGTAGACTTGTCGTTTTCGCAATGATAACGACATGCTTGTTGCAAGATGCCACGGATCTCCTTGAATACCTATTATCTTGCTCCGAGGCGGGTGTCGGGCCGAACAGCTTATATCCGATTCTGCAATTCTGCTCCGAGCTGATCGACAGAGTCGTCGGACACACACCGTCGGACCAGATCTAACACTGTCACATCTCGCGGATTGTAAGTGATTTTTCTGCTTCTCCGATGAGAATATCCGACGAATGGTGTACGTCTGTTTAATTTATAGTCGTCGCTCAGTCGGTCGTCTTCACATCCAGCCCCCCGCCCCCCGCTGTCTTAGATAATCCGGTCACAACTGGTGGGTTTTTACTGTCAACATTCGTCAATACAATCATGGACGCCATTTTCGGCAACATAGTCCTGGACAGACTGCTTTCACAGCCATTGGTATTTGGCCTAGGAGTCCTCGGCGTTGTGCTTGTTGTCCTGAGCATCAGTGTTCGTGGTCTTCAGCGGAGGTACGCCTTCTGTAACGACCAGGCCAAACTCATCAAAGAGCTCAAGATCACTGATCTTCGTCTCAAACTGCTACAAAGGTTAGAATCGATTTGGCTCGAACATAATCGATGATTTTGAAACGCTGATGCCAGCTATTGGACTATAGTGCACACATCTCGCAGCAGGGTCGAGCCTTAGCAGGCACCGAACCGTACCTCATCACCTGTGGAAAATACCAGGAACTGGTCATTAGTCAACCAGCACACGTTCACGACTTTTACCGCAGCGACTACAAAGGTGCGTTTAGACCATGTTGCGCCATTATGAGGAGTATGGATACCTGACGATCGATGTGGAGCAACAGTTCATGGAAAACCGCGCAACTTCAATTTTGGCGGCTTGTTCGGCCGGTGAGTGGTCTCTGACAGCTCGATCTTGTGCATTGAACATCGTCGTTGACAGGAAATCAGATTTATGGGGACAGCCGTAGGACTTCGATTCGGCGATGGGTGGCGAAAGATCCGCCTGCATTTCGATCCCCCGTTCAAGTTTCACGAAGCAGTACGCCGCCTTGGAATTTTTCAACGAGAGACTGTACTCTGGGTCGGAGAGCTGTCCACCTCATCATCCACCGATCTCAATGCTAGATCAGAATTCAAGTTCCTGGTTTTCCGGCTCGTCGCGCACCATCTATATCGAGACGCTTTTGATGATCGAGTTGCGTCTGACCCCAACATTTTCTCGTGGCTATGTTCAAGATTACTGACCTGCATAACAGCTCTATTGGCAGTTGCTCGAGCTCAGCCACTTGCACGATCAAGCTGTCCATGAAATTCTGATCTGTAAGAGCCATGAATCAAGATATTGGACCTTATTTCCGACATCAGTCCGCAAATCTGTGGACAAGTTCCTGTCGGACTGGCGGGGTCTCAATCGAGCCGTCATTCACAACGCTCGGGGTGTACGTATTTCCATCTTCTATCATTGGTGATTGTTCGGACTGACGCGAGTTCATAGGGCAAGTGGGATTGCCCGGTTGAAGAAATCGCTCGCGGCTTCGATCCGTCGAAGGATATGACGGAGGAAGATGTAAGTGCCGTTCTCACTTCACACGTCAGGCCACTTCACTCTGTTAGATTAAATCACTGACACAATGAGCCTCCCAGTTCCTGTCAACACTTGGCGAGGTGCTTTTTGCCAACGTCGATGTCAGCGCCTCCGTCTTGAGCACGACCATGACAAACCTCGCCGCGAACCCGTCAATCCAGACTGAACTTCGATCTGAGATCAGTAAATGGAAGTCACAAGGCGAGGGAGGTTTCTCCAAGTACCTGACCAACAGCGGCACCCTCCTGCACCGGGTCATCATGGAAAGCATGCGACTGAGCCCGGCGTTTTGTAAGTCGGCCCAAGATCGCTCAAATCGATTGGCAATACGTCAACGACCTTGCTAACGACCAGATAATAGGGTTCTCCATGCCCGAAACCACAGGCGAAGCCAAACAGATCGGCGGATACCACGTCCCGGCCAACACAACCGTCATCATCGACAATCGACGCCTCAACGAAGAAGCCGTGACCTGGGGAGACGATGGCGCACAATATCGCCCGGATCGGTTCCTGGAAGTGGCCCCTCAAGCGTTGCGATGCGGCTTTATGCGCTATGGCACGAGCGCGGCTTCTGGTCGCTGCTTGGGCAAACATCTCGCAGATCTGATTTTCAAGTTGACGACCGTGGCTGTTGTCGAGCGTTTCCGGTTGGAGAGTCTGGGTGTCGGCGAGAAGCAGCTAGGATTTCAGAATCGGGATGCTGCTGATGTACGGTTGATTAAAATCTGAAGGCTTTGCTGGGTTGTTGTCACCAGGCGTTGGCAGCAGCAGTAGCAGCAGCCTTGATGTGGATTATCGTTGTGTGTCGTCCTCGTTTGTCTATGAGTTGTGTAGAACACGATTTCAAATTTATTATCGCGGTTGCTTTCTCGATTTATCTTATTGCCTTGAATTTGCTTTTGTGCTGCCTGGGTTGATATGCCCCAAGTGATATACGCTTATCGTAAAGTACTTCTGTTTCCTAAGCTTTAGCATATGGCAAGACTAGTCTGGTATGGCCTTATACACTTGGAAAAGCTTGAAATTGATCCGGTTAGTTATACCGATGCGATAAGTTTGCTAGCATATTCGTCTTGAAAGCTTCTGGGAGGAAACGCTCGCCGATATCGTTCGATCGACATTTCAAATCGAGGGCTATGGATGCACTTGCTTTCTATAGCAGTAGAGCGGTCCAATAGTTCCTAATCGTGTGGACGGAATGACATTGATCTACATAGGTCAAACGAAAGACGTCTGTAGAATTGATAAGAACAGCCTTTTGAGGCAATATTTACCTAGATAATGAGACTCATCACTACTAAGGAAAGTAAGATGCAATCACTCTATGCTTCATTCCCGTTCCTAGTTGAAACCTCCCCTTGTGAAACCTCCTCGCCCATGAATGGAAAACGCAAAACCTCGCCCCGTTCCACCATTCCCTCTAAGTAGGCCGTGATCAGGGGATCAATACTGGCCTGCAAAGCCCGATCGATCCAGTCCTGGAGTGGGCATTCATCAAAAGGAACTTCATAGATCTGTTCCATTCGCTGGCGAAACTCTCCCAGAGAAGTGCGGACACCGCCGGAGTGATGGCGGAATCGAATCGCCGACGAATCTGTCGACAAGTCAAGCAGAGCCAGAGCGTCGCTCACTACCTCCTGCGCGACCTCTTGCACGTCTTTGAAATCAAAGTATCCCTCAACTCGGTCGAAGACGGGGACTGTCTGCATCAGGCGCGAGTAACGGAGGATGGCGTTTAGGGCGTCTGAGTTAGGGGCCTCCGCGCCGACGACCACACAGGGTCGACTGATTTGGATTGGGAGTTGTGGACATGATTTGTCGGCTTTGAGGTTCTCTAGGAACACTTCGCTGGCCCATTTGGATGCCGTGTAGCCTTCACTTCCGTCTTTTGGAGGTGGAGAACGCGAAATAGATGCCGGAGGGTAGGCAGTGCTACCGGAGAGAAGGGTGACGCGATTGGAGGAGAGGTAGAGCAGGGGGGTGGATCGAGGTAGAGCCATGGCGATCAGCTCGTGCGTGGAGTTCAGATTGGCCGTCCGAAGGGAATGAAAGTTGTTTAGGCAGTGACCATTTGAGCCCGCATGAATTATCAAATCCACGTTCGATTGTAGATGTTCATATTCGGGGACTGTAAGGCCCAAACGGCGTGACATCAGGCTTCCATTGTAGTATGCGACCGATTGGGAGGCTGGGATCAATTTCTTGTCGTCATGGAGCACAGCAATGCAGTGCACCTTTCTTATCCTCGATCCTGTGAGCTCAGCCAGAGCTCTTAGAATGACTCCACCAAGAAAAGATGTGGCGCCCGTGAGGAGAATCTCAATCTCATGTTTCTTGGGACTTTTAACATCATTACGATGGGTCGAAACTTGCCTTAGAGCGTCCCGAACAATAGATGGAATTTCTGTCTCGGTGTCCCATGAAATCTCATCCTGTGGCTGGTCGACTTGGCTTTGCTCCTGCTGGACCTGGATTCGAGCAGTCATCTCAGCAAGCGTGCTTGCCTGGTAGAGATCTCTGGTAGAGACTGCAACGTTCATCGACTCTCTTATGGCTCCTTGCAAGCGCATGAGGGCCATTGAGTTTCCCCCAACATGGAAGAAATCGCTTTCGGGACCGATGGATCGATCTGGGCCACCGAGAACCTTTTCCCAGAGTAACCGGAGTTCTCCCTGACCCAATGTCAGTTTGTTTATTGTTCCATTGCTGGAAATAGGTCGGTTCGGTTGACCCGACGTGGCGAGATGCTGAATTGCCTCCCGATTGATCTTCCCAGCGGACGTAAGCGGCAGTGTGTCCATGATGATCAGCTTGGAGGGTTGCATGGTGGTCGGTAAGGGAAGAGACGCGTAGATCAGTAGCTGTTTTGTTTCTGTCTCTGTCAAAGATATTCCAGTTGTTAATGTCGCGTATGCAAGCAGACGGTCTTTGTGCGCCGCTGCAACTACTGTCGACAGTTTGCCGTCAGATCCAGCTAAGATTGTGCCTTCGACCTCCTCCAACTCAATGCGGACGCCATTCAACTTGATCTGAGTGTTGCCGTCCAGGCGGCCCATGAATAGCAAAGATCCGTCTTCGAGCAGACGTCCTTGGTCTCCTGTGCGGTACAAGCGCTTGAAGGGCCACTCTGTAGATGTCGTCGGATCCACGATAAATTTCGCTGCCGTCTGCTCTGGGAGACCGCAATATCCCAGAGCGACACCAGCGCCGCCAATGCAGATCTCGCCTTGCATACCGATGGGCAGGAAATGGCCCTTATTGTCAATGATATGAACCGAGTAGTTTGGCAACGCCTTACCAACAATCATCATTGATCGATGATCTTTCTCACCGGTCATGCTGATATGCATCGATTGGAAGGTGGCTGCAGCTGTGATCTCGGTCGGACCATAACAATTTGTTAGTCTAAGGTGCGGGAGGTCGAGCAGCACAAAGTCGCGACAAAGCTGTTCAGTGACGGGCTCACCACCAAGGCAGGCGTGACGCCAAGCTGTTGCCTTGTTTCTGAGATGCTCGTCACTACCATACCGAAGCCACATCTTATATTCCGATGGAGTCGCAATGGTCAGGGTGACAGCTCCCTGCGACACCAAACGAGCAATTTCGACCGGGTCTCTTCGGGATTCAGACGGCACAATGAGCACTCGACCACCATTCAACAGAGCACTAAGGATCTGGATGATGGACATATCAAATCCCATAGAGCTCTGTTGCAGGGTGGTCTCGCTCTGCAGCCCGAGTACTTGGGTCTTGAGAGAGATGTGATTGATGAAGTTGCTCTGGGTCAAGAAAATGCCCTTCGGGTTTCCAGTCGAGCCACTCGTGAAAAGTAGTACAGAAGCGGAGTCTGTCGGGGTTTGGATGGGAACATCAGATGCTTCTCGTCGATCCTCGCCATCCAATGCAATGACATTCATTCGGTGATCCTCGCTGGCCATTGATGAGATCAAAGCCAGAGCACGATCAGAAGTGGCAGAGTGGTGGATGAGAGCAATGAAGCGAGACGACCGAAGTATAACTCGGTGCCGCTCGTGAGGAAGGCTCACATCCAGTGGGCAGTAAATCCCTCCAATATGCAGAATGGCCAACATAGCTGCGATGAAGTCGGGCGAAGGCTCACATAGCACGCCTACACATGAGCCATCACCACAACCGGCTTCAAGGAGGGTTTGAGCAATGGAGAGAACCTGTGTCTGTAGCTCACTGTAAATCATATCATTTCCTCCACAAGTGATGGCCAAGCTTTCTCCGTGGGACCTCGCAATGGTGACGAATCGCTGAGACAAAGTGGCAGGCCATGTAGCACTGTAATCAATGCGGGGACCTCTGCCTAATATCAGCGATTTCTGCCATGCAGCTGGGTCATGGAGTTGACCATCGTTGGCAGGCATTTTAGGATGAGCTGCAAAGTCGTGAAGTAGGCGCAAGAAAGAATCCAAGAGGACTCCACAGCCGTCTGAGTCATACAGATCACTATTGCAAATGACCTCGATTAGAGCGGATCCATTTTTGGATTCCAACACACCCAGACTAATGTCGAACGGATTTTCGGCGTCCTGGCCGTCGACCATGGTCAGCTCGCAGTCGCCCAGTGATATGTCGCTGATTGCACCCATCCGGTAATTGATGGCAGCTTGGAAGAGCGGCGTGTAGCTTGGGGACCTGGGTGCATTCGAGAGCTCTAGAATCGTGTCGAGCGATACTCCTGAATTGACAAGTCCTGTCAGCACTTTTTTGGAAGCAGTACGGGCGAGATCTGCGAATTTGGATCTCTTCGAGAGCTTGGACCGGATCGGCAACATGTTCATGAAAAATCCGATTATATCAGTGTAGCGCTCGTTGAGACGGTTGGCATCTGCGACACCGATGCAGGTGTCTTCGATATTCGCGTATCGCGCGAGTAGAACCTGAAACGTCGCAAGCGTGAAGTGAAATGGTGTCAGACCTAATTCACGGCAGGTCTTAACAATGGCAGACCATTGAGTCTGTTCTACGCGCGTAGATTTGTAGGATGTAAAATGACCTAGACTTGCTGGACGTCTGGCAAGTCGAGCCATTGGCATGAGTGGGAGGATATCAACTGGTTCGGTGAATTCGTTCTTCCAGAACTGAAGTTTTGCTGTAGTGTAGAGGTCCTCAAATTGGTCCTCCGAAAGCATTCGTTCTTGGGCCACCAAGTCCATGTAGTCGATAGACCTCCGTTGTAATGTACCAGTGCGATATGCTGTGTGTAGATCCCGGAAGAAAATGGAGAGACTGAAAGCGTCCATGATGATGTGGTGATATCCCAAAATGATGGTGTGTTCCTGCTGACCACGCGGAATCACAGTCATCCCCAACATCTGGCCCTTCTCCAAATTCCATTTCTTTGCCTTGAGCTTGTTAAATTCTCGGAGGGCATCAGTTGCGTTCCCTTTCTCCAATTGTACAAAGAGATGTCTAGGTTCAGACATGACTCCTTGTACAAGTTGATTGTCACCTGGCCGCATGTAGAAACAGCTGTGCAATGTATCATGGCCCGTCATCACCACATTCAGCGCATGTCGAAGGCGATGGATTTGCAGGTGACCCGTGACATTGTACACGAAGGTAAGGTTGCAATTCGTTGGGTGGCCGGAGTTGGCAGAAAGGAACCACACTCTCGACTGAGCTGACGAGATGGGACCTTTCCGAGTGATCTCAGGGGGTGGCAGGTCCCCCGCGTCTTTGGCAACTCGTAGTGAAGCTAG